CAACAACAACAACAACAACAACAACAACAACAACAACAACAACAACAACAACAACAACAACAACAACAACAACAACAACAACAACAACAACAACAGCAATGCGAAGTCCAAAACGGCGCCTCAAATCAAGTCCACACTTGCCCCTCCGGCTTCTCCACAGACCATGACAGCGAAGACAATCACTTTCGGTAGCTTGGTGACTGTCAGACTCCCACCTGCCACCAAAACTCGAGTTCAACCCCCAGTGACGCCTTTGTCACCGTTCCCTGACTTCGCTGCTGTCGACCAAAACAAGCTCATAATACCGGATCATGGTATTGATAATAGTGACAATAGTGACAGTAGTGAAAGCTCGGGCTGGGTGAAAGTATCGGGGAAGGGAATGTCCTGGGCAGATATCGTCGAGGGCGATATATGAAGACCGTGACGGAAGGAAGGGAGAGAGTGAGAGAGATAAGATGACGATCGTTGAACAATTGTCGATGTTATACCGCAAGGACGCAATATAATTGGACGGCAGGTCCGGCAGTTGAAATCCTTTGCCAAGACCACCAACCGGCACTTTTCTTGGACGTTTTGTTAGGATTTCGGGACTTTGAGATTCTGAATTGAGGCTTCACGACAGGCGAGGCGTAAACCATTAGTCAGACTTCCTATTGCTGTAGCGGGTGGAATAGCTTGCGACCCACATTGTGCAATTCGCTGTTGTTTCACAAGACAGATCGCTTTTCCTTCTTGTCGTACCTTGCTACTGAAGCCCACACAATAAACACTGTGTTCCCGTATGTCTCCAAGCCCATCAATCCTGCGTCATATGTGGTGTTGCTACGGGTACCGACTGACAACGAGCCATTCTAATCGCATAGCGAGCTAGTATCATCAATAGAGTACTTAGACTTAAACGGTGATCCCAGAGGTGTCGAGAACATACGAGGAGCAAGAATAGGAACATCGAGCTGCATTGTCTAGTACGCATCGGTGTATATCAAATGGCAGATATGGAAGATAGTAACATCAAGAAACGAAATCATCTTCCTTTCTCAAGTTGGCCGTAGGCTCCATCCACTGCGTGGGGAGTACGGATAGATGGTAAATATTACATGGTGTAGGTATACAATGCCAACCCTTTCTGGGCATCTTTTATCTGTACAAAAGCCGCTACTGCGGCAGCAGGAAATCTCTTTTGTCGAGCGCGGCCAAACCCTGCGCTGATTCCCTAGATGTGAATGTGATGTGGGTGAACAAAAGAAATGCTAGGTGGTAAAACTTCGAAGTGTTCCGCTCCACCCTGTAAATAAAATGCCGCAGATAGTAGCTGAAAGCAGTGGTCTAAGAGGTATCGCCGGGTAGAACAATCTGGGTAGATGTAGTTGAAAATGAGAACGCAGCTAGGTCTCATGATGACCTGCTTGGGTATGAGGCACTAACAAAGGGAATCGACAAAGGAAACGAGGCCACAAAGCTATGCTGGAGGAATCGATACCAGGATGCGCCATGGAAATCGTTCGAGAAGAAAATGAAGTAAAGTTGTTAATGAGAGGTTGGAGTCCGGCCGTAAGTCGGACTCGGCGTGACAAGACTCCTACTGTAGTAGAAGACGGAACGCCTACGGAACGCCGCACCAGATGCTACATGTGAGACGCGACGTGGGAATGCTCATGCAAAGCCGTGCCAGACGGTGTGTGCTGTGAAGCTAATTGAACTAGATTGTTCACAGCTAGCGGTAGTGTGAGCCAGCGGCAAAGATACTTGCACTTGCGGTCGCTGCCCAGTCATTTTCGTCGTATGGTGGCGTTGGCCACTTGCTGACAGTCTCATGGTTTTGCGGTGGAGTCTTATGATTATGAATGGTCATTGGTTTGGTGGGAGTCGTGCAGCAGTCGTGTCCGAAACTGACCTCATTCCGGTTCGCTGAGTGAGAAGGTGTCATATACGAGGCCGCAGGACCTTGTTCAGACATTGTATGCGACATGGCTGGGCGTGTTGGCTCATGGGTACCTGGCTTCTGGTGCGAGTGACGGTCAAGACGGCTGGCAGCTTTGTGTGCAGACGTCAACGCTTCGTCCAGGAGTTCTTCCTCTTCATCTGGTGTTTCATAGCGATGCGTTGGGCCAGGATGCTTCAACGCACGACGAGTGCGACTTGATACCGGAGCACTCCCATTTGCCACGGGAGGAGGACCGCCGATAGCAGGTTGTTGATGTGGTACAGAATGGTGACGCTTCAGCATGGGATTACTAACAGCCTTTGGTAGCGCCGCAGCATTTGCTTGAGCAGCCACATCGAGGCTGTATCGTACGCTTTGCAGGGCTTTGTCGAGCTCAGACAAGTCGTTCTGCTGAGGCTGGACGTTGTTGACAGCCTGGGAAGTCTCGACAACCATGGATTGCCGGTTGCTAAGATTACCCCAAGGTGCACAACCAGCGCTCGCCTCAATGTCGTCCGAGTTGGGAGACATTGGGGTCTGATAACGGCCCGAGAATCTCCGAGCACGCTTTCGTAGATGTGAGAAGAAGCCTTCCTTGTGACTGCTTGGGGGTGACATCACGCGGGATTGGCCATTCAGAGCCCGCTCAGCTTCCTGACGATGGTGATCCGCATAGTGATTGTGCGACTGGACCGATAGCTGGCGTCCAATCTTTTTAGAACCCTTTTCGTCGACTTCACCTGGTCGCACATTGGCTTGGGCAGTGACAGCAGCAGAGAGAGGTGAGACTGGTCGAATCGATGGTAAGATTGGCATCGGCGCAGCATTGTTGGGCATGCCGTTTGTCCAGGTAGCACGTTTACTTGCGCTTGGGCGAACTTTCGTCGCAGATGAAGTCGACTCTGGAGCCTGCACATGCACTGGTGATGGATTTGGTGACAGAGGTCCCGTGATTGGATTGTGCTGTGGGACGGCTGGTGCGCTTTCGCGGGCGACTAGAGAACGTCTGAACCAAGAAGCCTTCATTCCGTCACTGCGGAGATCTGTGCTGCTAATGTCAGAGTGTTTGCGGCCAAGTAGTCGTGAAGCTGACGATTTCGGTCTCAGAGGATCGTAGGCGTCGGCGAAGTAAGGGTGTCCCAGGGCCTGGGACGATGTAGGTCGACGGGCGGGATCCCACATCAGACACCATGTTACGAAGTTTGCCAGGTCGGAAGGCCATTGCGGCGTAGACAGAATCGTCTCCATTGAGTGAGGCGCCATTTTCGGGAATGAGAAACCAAGCTTTTGAGCCAGCTTGACCCCGTCTTTCCATTCTCCACCGCCCACTTCGACATTCTGTTTGTTAACCCATCTCCCCGGACTTCCCATAATCTCACAAACCCTCCAGACTTGATCAACTTCGTTGCTACCAGGGAAGAGTGGCTTTAATGTTGCAATTTCCACGGCCATAGCACCAATGGCCCACACATCGACTGGCGCGGAATATTCACCGGCTCGTAGAAGTACTTCTGGTGCCCTGTACCATCTTGTTGAGACATAAGTCGTATATGGAAGTTTGGAATGAGTTTCTCGGGCAAGACCAAAATCTGCAATCTTGATTGTGTATGATGGTGGTGTGGAAGGTGGCGTGACAAGGGCTGAGTATCTCCGGAAAGCGCTTCCTGAGTCCGACTGTGCGGATGTGGATACAAGAATGTTCTCTGGTTTGATATCACGGTGGAAAAAGTCGTGGTGGTGAATATGTTCCAGTCCAGACATGATTTGGAACAAAATGCTCTTCACACTGCTTCCATCAAGTGGCTTGTGATCTCGCGCCTTCATCAGTTGGTAAAGGTTTCCGTCCATATATTCCATGGAGATGTGGAGCTTCTTGCTGTAAGGGTCGAGGAAAATATCGAGAGCAGGAACAAGGTGAACATGACTTGGCAGAGTTCGTAGAAAGATGACTTCTCTGAGTTCTAGACATTGGTTGAAGTGCTCGAATGTCTTCTTCATGGTTTTGATGGCTACCTGAATCAAGAGTTAGTGAAGTTCCGAATTGCTTCAAGGTCGAAGCATACTAGTGAACCTCTGCGTGCTACATGCGATCCAGCGCTGCGAACACGTCCTAAAACAACACTACCAAAGCTTCCATCGCCAATCTCCTTCATAATCTCGTATTTGTCCTCCAGACATAGTGGTGCTCGACCACCTTGGGAGTAAACCCGGTGCGTGGGGTCAAACGCGACCGTCATTGTGGACGTTGTGGATATAAAACCTAGGACGCGACAACGGCTCCTGTGCCCGGAGACGTGCTGTCGAAGCTATCACGTTTACTGGAAGACCGTGTAAGCGAAGCCACGCGAGACAGCAGTATCCTCAGTATGTATGACTTTGACAATCTATGAGCTCTCGGGGACCATTTCCGTTGACGGATTATCAGCGCCACCGAGCAGTCCTGTTGGTAGAGGAGTGAAGTAGGTGAGAGGAGGTCCGTTCGGATTGATGTCGATAGGAGATATGCGGAGGCCTAATTCGATGCAAGGTGTGGAAGATTTAGGAAAAGGAGCGGCAGAAGTTGGTCAAAAGAGGTGTTGATGATGAAGGTCCAAATCCACGGTAAGCGGGTGGGCTTCCGACAGGGTCTCTTTGACTAGGCGATCAAAGGAATAATAACGTCGAGACCATACCATCCGGCTGGGCGCCGTTGAGAGAGAAGAGGAGATGGTTGTGGACTGTGCGTGAGGCCAAGAGCCGTGCAGAAAAAGGAGGCTGCACAACTAATCTTCCGCGCTCGGGCATGTACTGACGGTCCGTTGGTGACTAGGCCTCGCCACTAGTCAGGTGAATGATTCGCGAAGACGCTTGTCAGATTAAACAGTGATTGCCCTGAAAAGACCGGCGTTATTATTGTCTAGGAAGTTCGTTGATAAACGAATTGTTGAGATCGTGACTGTAAGTTCGGTGGTTCGTGGTTGAAGGGTTGAAAAGTGAGAGAGCGCGACGACAGTGTCGAGTGGGGGCAGCGCAGCCTCGTAGTAATAGGAAGATACAACAGCAAGGGCGCAAGTAGAGCGTCTGGAAGGGGCGCACAAAGATGATACCTTTGCAGACCGGAGATCGACGAAGCCTAGTGGGCGTGGTGATGAGGCTTGGTTCGGAAAAATCTGGGGACGGAGCAAAGCGTAATGCGCTGGCAAGAGCTTCAAGGCTTGCTCGTCAGCGAGAGCACTTGTACGCAAGGTCTAGACACAAGCTGTAGATCAGAATGGAGCGGTGTAAACGTAGACTGGGGCGGTGTAGAAGAACAGAGTGTAGTGTTTGCTGTCGTGGAAGATGCGACAGCTTTTGCAGGTTGACGTTCGAATTCGCAGTGGGAAGTAGGCTCGCCAGGATGAGCAGGGATGTCGGCCAGTTTAAAGGGGGATCCACCTGTCTGAGCAAGCTCGCGTTCCTTTTTCCCCCGAGTGTGCGCACGAGCTGTGATGAGCAACGAACAAGAAGCAGGGAGCCTGACGTGCGTGTGGATGTGTGTGTTGTTGGTGTGTGCGTGGGAGCGAGTGGTGATGAGTGGTGAGTCTTGAGAGCAGAGCTAGACGCGCTAGTCGAGGCGTGAAAAGCAGCGATTGTGAGAGGTATAGGACGCGCGCATCGAAGGAATGGACGAGTCGCGAGATTCAAAGTGGCATTAGAGTTGAAAGAGGACAAGGCCAGGGGAAGTGGACTATGGGACGGTGGAGTGGAGCGTAAAGCGTGACGCGGATGAGGGATGAGAATGGGAATATTAGAGAGGAAATGGAAAGACAGGCTTAGACAGCGTAAGGTAGCCCGCCCGTTTCAGTGTTGCAGGAGGGCAAAGCTAGCCTCAACGCAGCAACGCGGGGGGGCTGGGGCCGCCATGTTATGGGGGGAATCTGGCCGAGTGCCTACTGAGTGGGCGCCGGCGGACGGGGCTGAGTGGAGGGAGGTCCGGGAAAGCCAGTGCTAGTCAGCCTGTGCTCACTACCCAGGGTGCCATGAATACTATTATTATTATTATAATTATCATTATTCAGCCCAGGTGCAGGTATGTATTGCTATTGCTAGCTAGTCGGGGGTCAAATTAGGTTTGAGACTCTCGACTTTCCACGCCGTGGGATGCCTGGTCTTGACTATTTCCACTTTCTTCTGGCCCCCAGCTGTTGCTCTGGACACTTAGCATTCAGCATTCAGCATTCAGCAGACAGTAGACAGTAGACAGGAGAACAAGTAATCATCTGCAGTAATCACCTTGCCTTGCAGTCGAGAAGTAGCATCGGGCATGTAAGGCCTGCAAAAGGGGCTGCTGTACCGCCTGCTGCACTGCTGAGGCTGCTGCTGCTGTAGGTGTGCTGCGTGCCTACCTACTACTACTACTACTACTACTACTACTACTACTACTACTACTACTACTACTACTACTACTACTACTACTACTACTACTACTACTACTACTACTACGTACGGGACCTTGAGGAAAGAGCCACCCGCCATGTGCATGAGACGTGCAACAGAACAGGTAAGATGGGAAGGCACGCTCCGCCCTTGCGCCGTTCCTGGACTACTCCAGGCATACGCCCAAGTAATAGTTACAGGTACCTGGGTAGTGCCTGCCTAACCATAGTACAGGTCATTTCCCTCTTTACTTGTTTCTCTCTTTCTTTACTGCCTATACTGGAACTGGAAGTCTGCACTTCCTACAAGGCTAGAAGGTTCTCTTGTACCGGACTTTCATTCGCATATAATTCTCACGTTACATGGACGCCGCTTAAAAGTTCTTTACCTTTACTGGCTGAAATTGGAGAACTTAGCGTCGTTAATTGGCTATAGTCTACTGTCTACCTGGCCCGTGCCTTCTTTTCCATTGTGCTCATTTAATCCTCTGCCCCTTGGCTTGCACATTTATTTTTGTGCACCCACATCCCTTCATGCTTACGCTCTAAATTACGCTACGCCTTAAGTTGTTGTTTCCGTCCGTCAGCGGCGTTGTTATGTTCTCTTTCCTTTTAAAATGACCTTTCTCTTTCATGACTCAGCCCATGTCTAATCCCCATATCAGCCATCCCCTTTTATCACGCCACACACTGCTTCTCGACTTCTATCAGCGCTATGCTTGCTCACGGTAAGCTGACGAAGATGTGTCCATGTGCGTCCGTTGCGCGACCGAGTCAAACACGGCAGTAAAAGCGACCGTTGTCGACGTAGTGTATGCACACAGGGTCAAGTAACGGGCGGCCACGTTGTTTCCTGTTCTCCTGCCGCGTCCATTCCTCTAGCTACAAAGACGCGCGCCATTCCTTTCCAGTAAGCTCCAATTCTTCCAAGTTAGCCTGCTTGGGCTGTAAGCTGGCCTGTTCGCCGGATCAGGCTGAGAATGGCGGGCATATCCTTGCTGATAGCCAATCGACACGCCGTCTGAACTCCACCGCAACACCTCGATTGATCCTCTCATCTAACGGCCACAAGCTTTGAATATCGGCCCTCGGTTGCATTGCCCCCTGACTATCTTCTGATCTGATTGGGTGGTTTTACTACCCCAGTCTAGCGTCCTTGTCCGTCCGTTTCCCATTGGATCACAGCAGGTCTTCAGTACGGATGGCGGACGCGGAAGAACGGCAGGCGACTCCCATCCACTGAGAGTGAATCCGTCACCACTGCAGCAGTGACATTTTCTTGCGCGAGTCATCGTAACTAATTGTTATATGGTCGAATATGGTGGGAACGATACGATTAGGCGCCATTTGGAACTTGCAATTTACATACGTCTCCTGTCAAGGGTGCGTTAGGGTTAATGCCCAACCTTCTCCACCGGCACCAAGACTGCGGTACATCTTACTACTCCCACGAGCCGAGAGAGCAGTACGACGTTTTATGTACAAGCATCATGCCACGATTACTAGGTCCTGGACCTGTCTGTGTCCATGTCATTACCAACAAATCTTTTGAAATCGCGCCAATGCTTTGATAGGGCTGTTTGACAGGGAGTGATCCTTGAACCTCCGTGTGCCGTCCGCTGTCAGCTTGTAACGCGGGTCAACCCGCCACCGCTGGTTCCCGTGAACCAGACCCGGACGCAGCAATAATATGGCGTATTATTATGGCATCGGCATGTGCTACTACCTAAGACACAGCATATCCGCACAATATTCAAATTCAAGCTAGCGGTCTATACAGTACGTCAATAGTTTGTCGAGAGCATCCCACTGACTGTCGTAGTACAGTATAGACATGTATCATGGCTACGTCAATTCTTGATGGTGCATGATTCGCACTCCGACGCAGAACGCGGGCTGTTCGATAGAAGTCCGGGAAACACTTGCTCCCGAGACATCTAACTCGCAAAAAGCCCATGCAGTTTGCATGTCGGGCATGCTCTATGCTTACATGCATGGCGACTGTGAGGCTATTTTTAATATCTGCCATGAGGCTACTGCGCGCTCTCGCCTCATTCTGACATAGCCACCGGAGGTAGCTGTGTAATACCCGACAGAACGCCGTTGACATACATGACGCGCATGAACGTGTGTCCCTGTTACTCAAACAAGACGCTGCGTCGTTCTGCATATACTTGGTCATCCAATGAATTGAGAATAGTGGTCCCTGGGAGAGACGTGCTTATGATACACCTGAAGTGAAACTCACTCCGTTCGGATCCCGCTGCAGGCAGGTAGTTTCATGCCACACATCGCGTCTCCACGCAGAACGCATCGCAGCCAAGACGCTCGCCTTAGGAAGTTTTGCTATGTCTATGAGCAGTCCAGACTCTATTTCCAAATGGCCCCACCAGCCTTGTTTTATGTCTCGCATTGCAAGTCATGGCGGTCTTCATTCATGTCCCCGATCTTTCGGGAAGAAGTCTAGTTGTCGATAAATTCCGTGACGTGCCGGAAGCTAAGGCTCCTACAGCAGTATCGTGGAGTCCGTGAAGTCGATAGTGGAACGTTGTCGGGTGGTCGTCAGTGTTGCGTCACGTCTGTCCATTGCCGCAACTTCTCCATCTGACATTGTTTAGATCTGCCTTGATCTGCGTCGCTGATTTTATATGCAAGAGCAAGCAATCATGAACGACCACCATGACACGAACAGAACCTTCCCAGCTCTTTGTCGAAATGGCATAGACAAATCTGAACTATACAGCCCACCGTAGCCAGACCTCCAGGTATGTACGACGTTCAAGGAACCCTTTCAGAGCTCTCTCCGTCTGTTCATATCTCTCATTCCGCTTATACACCACTTCTGTCATGCGGCGTTCCGCCACATTGCATTAGAAGCTGCCATACGTTCAGCATCATTTTTTCGAAATCGATTGGTGATGGGCAAGTAATATAGTGTGCACCGTGGCTGGTATCTGGTATAGGTAGACGAGTAGATCGCTCCTCTTTGGCATAGGTGTCATATAACACGGCGTATTGAAGATGTTTTCGTAACATACAGCGCTGGAAAGAGAAGAAAAGAAGACAAAAGAGGTAGTTGACAAGGTCACTTAGGTATATACCTATTAAAGCCGGGGGCATGAGCTCAGGTCGAGCATCCATCCATACACCTTGCAGGTTGAACTATGCCTCGGTCAATGTCCTCTGGCTACCTCCCTGGTTGCTTCCATGCACTACATACACTATCCATGTGGACTGACGGTTAGACATCGAGATACTTCAGATACTCATACTCAAAGATTCGAGGCAAACTGTGGTGCAGACTGGGGGTATATGATGTCATGTATGTATATACATGTACATACTAGGTATAGTATAGTATATATACACAGCTCAGTTCTCGCCAACATGCGGACTATCACGTCCTAATCAGACTTCCCAATTCGTGTTACTAACTCGTGATCTTCGTTCTCAGACGACTTCTACTTCTCATCGTCGCAACAGACTTCTCCATACGTTTGCTGCTACGCCAATTAGGGTGTACCAGTAAGATTGATGTAAGGATCGCTCTCAGCTCTTGCCCTACCCCTGCTCCACTCAAGTTCCTCTATGTTCAGTTCGTATCCATTTACTTTTCCCTTCTTCCGGTTAGACCCTCTTGTAATCACTCACAATGTCAAATCAGCGGCGAAGTAGACAGCAGCCCTAACAACGGCGGCCATCAAGAGATCAGCGGAATTTGCGAGTAACCCGCCGATACATCTGCTGCTGCCAGCCCTGTGAACGGTAGGTTGGGGAGGAGACTTGGAATATAAGCTGAATGGCTGCGCGAGGGATCCTGGTCTCGGAAGGTAAGGCTTTCACGGCGTATGCGCCGGCGGCGACGCAGACGGATGTGCCAGGTGAATTTGATCAAAAAGAAAAATAAAGAGAGGCAAACGAGAGAAGAGATTCCTGAATGAAGGTAGGAATGGGAAGCATGCATATACAGACTGGTATGATTGGATCATATATATACATATATACATACCTGCTAGGTTGCTGTTGCTACAAAGATACGCTAAAAGATCTCAAGGTGTTGAGCATTTTTGTCTGCGTATCTTGCTCGCCCAGACAGACCTTCGGCTCAGAATGTGTGGAGGAGGATTGGATAGGGGGTAATAGTGCTCTTACATCTTCAGTACCTTGCCAACAGTGTACGACAGGGAGCTGCCCATGGTCGAGCTTGACTTGACCGAGATTTTTACTCTTATATTCCTTAGTGACTCGGTAGATTATCTAATTGTGAGCTTGTCGTATGTATGCTCACTTTGGGTGGACTGTCTGGTTCGTCAGGCGGTGGGTGTACCAAACCTATCAGACATTGCCAGGGCCTCCTGATGCACTCCATGCGCCTGGGCACCTTGAGAATTGGACCTATCCGGAAGATTCCACGGATGGCGTTGAATTTGCATGTTTTTGATTTATAGGCAAATCGGTTCCTCGCTTTATCCGCTCACTTTTAATCGCTTCAGTCCCTCTAAGCCATCGGCGCCTTCTTCCTCGTCCTCTTCGTCTGTCTTACCAGCCAGGCCTCGTTCCCATAGTTCCCTGCCGGTAAGCTTCTTCTCTTCCTTCGCAACTCGCCTCTTCTTGTCTTCAATCTCTTTCTCTTCTTGCTTACGTTTCTCCTCCTCGACCATCTCTTGTCGAAACCTTTCTCTCCACTCCAGAAACGATTTCTTTGTCACTGCGGTGCCGACAAATTTTCGGTTCTCTTCCTCTTCTGCCTTTGCTGCCTCAAATTCCTTTTCTGCCTCCTCTGCTTTTTGTCGCTCTGTGACTAGGAGCTCAGCGCTGTCCTTGAGAGTGCTAACGAGGGTAAAGACCATAGCCATTCCTATATTCTCTTCTATTGTAGTTTGAAGGGACTCCAGTAGCCGAGGCTTATCCTCTTGAATGTCAAGAAGGGGGTGCTTGGGCGCATTCGAAGGGGCTGATATGTCCAATTCGGGGGCTTCATCTGGATAGTCTGGAGGATATCGGACGTGCAGGAGTATCGTCGCTAAAGATGCATGAGACTATGACGTTCGTGTAGTGCGCTCGTATGAATAACGTACGCAGTTCTTCGGCATCATCGCCATCAATTGAGTAATCTGGTGATACGTCGAGCGCTATTGAAACGCGGTATTCGGTGTCTGTCACATCTGAGAAGTGAGAGGTCAGTATGAGCTATATCTGACTTCTAATCACGAACTAAGGTAAGCATACCTGTAATTTCATCTGGAAAGATCGAGTCGAGGACTTCTCTCTCCTCCTTTTGCTCTTCTATACCCATTTTACTGAGAAGTACAGCGGGTGCGCTCGATGTTGACCTGAGCTTTGTCGCGGGGCTAGATTTAGCGGGGTCGCCAGCGTCACCCGTCGATCGCGTGTGCTCTGCCGCAGCCAAATTTTTTTGGACGCCAAGATTTCGCGATTTGAGGTCAAGATTCTCTACAGTGGTAACTTCGTGTTCGGCCTCCTTTTGCTATGAAAGTCCGTGTATACCACTTATTATCACAACCATGGCCCCGACAAAACCACAAGATCGCAATCGTAGATCGAAGAAGAGCAAGAATCCTGCAAACCAGAATGGAGCTCCAAAGAAGCCCAAGCAAAGGCCGGAAGACTTACTCGCAGAAGCAATTGCATTGCTGCAGACATCACAACCCGACGAGGCCCTGATACAAGCTCGTCGCGCACTAGCTATCCTACAGCCGCAACCAGAAGAGCCACGTTTAGAAGCATTGCCTGCACTTAATCTACTTGGGGAGATCTGTGTGGAATTGGGCGATGCTGATACCGCCAGAGAATATTTCACAATTGCAGCAGAACTAGATCCAGAAGGCAGCATTCCAGAAGAGTCGGGGGGAGGTTCAGAAAAGTACCTATGGCTGGCGCAACTCTGCGAAGAGGGTGGTGCCGAGAGTGTTCGCTATTTCGAGCAAGGCGCAACGATCCTTAGACGGCAGATTGCGCATCTTGAGAGTCTCTTGAAACGGACACCGCTGCAAGAGGCGTTATTAGGTGACAAGAAGATCAAGATGGCGAATGCGTTATGTGGAGTGGTAGAGGTGTACATGACAGATCTTTCGTAAGTCTTCCTGCCCACACCCTTATCATAGCAAGTGCCAAGTACTGAATGTGGATAGATGGGAAGAAGATGCGGAGGCCAGATGCGAATCCGTTGTCACAGAGGCAATGCTAGTCGCGCCCAACAGTCCGGAGGTCCTCCAAACGCTTGCAAATGTACGGATCTCACAGTCAAAGATGGAAGATGCGCAGTCCGCCCTATTACGAAGCCTGGACATATGGAAAGACTTGCCCCCTGAAGACGCAAAAGTGCCCGACTTCCCGACAAGGATCAGCCTAGCTCGTCTTTTGATGGAGGCAGACATGAAGGAAGAAGGATTTGAGGTGCTTGACAGATTAACGACAGAGGACGATTGCAGTGTAGAAGCTTGGTATCTAGGAGGGTGGTGTCTCTACTTGCTTGGAGAGGAGGCCAAGTCCACGGCTAGTTCTTCGACAGACAAGAGTGACGTCTCAGCGCTCCTCACACAAAGTCGGAGATGGTTGAAAAGGGCGCTGAAGCTATACGAAGCGTTGCATTATGAAGACGATCGATTACGGGATCACACGGTCGAACTGGTCGAGGAACTGGACAAGACACTAGGTCTAGCAAACGACGAGGATGATGAGGATGATGAATGGGTTGACGAACCCGAGGTCGATAGTGAAGATGAGACAATGGAAGGAACTTGAGACTTTACTGTGTTGTTGGTTCAATGTAACCAGTTCGCTGTAACTTGGCGATCTCGCCTCTTTGTTAAGCTCCAAATACGTCGTCGGAGTTTCAATCGGGCTCAATCTTGCAAATGAAAGCCAGTAGCAGCCCAAGAGAAAACCCGTACAGTGTCCCAAGCAATGACACTTGCGAGACACACGACTTGAACATTCTGTACCCTGGTCCTTGTGCACTTCCCAATCAAAACTCTCGGGAGCCCTGATGAGTAACAATAGATCTGCGCCCCACTTCAAGGAAGCGGGTAGCCCATGTATCCAGATCCTTGCTAGCCCGTGCCCAATTGCGGGCATCTTTGCACAGTAGCAAGCTTCTCGGCTGGCCCTCGCTGCGAGTATGGGATTCGACAACCACCATCCCGAGTGAAAGTCAAGGGCCTATAAGTCGACTTGCCGATGTCTTCGCTGACTCTACGAACGCAAAATACTCTTACGCGACATCATCTACCGGACGCCCTGCTTTGTCCGTTCTTCCAGCTCTCGATAGCTTTCATACCACCCGCTCCGCCGCGCAATTGACGTCTCCATGAGTTCCTACAAGCAATCTTTTACCCCCGCCAAATGATTTGGTACCTTCTGTACCCATTCCGTGGGTAAGTCGATAGCACTCCATATCTCCAGATAACATATCGTTCATACGTGTTTCATAGCACCACCGAGCCCCCCAAGCTGCCGACTGATCACCCACTTCGACGAGCATTCGTGAGCCATGGGACTCGCACTTCTCGACATTGGCTTCTCTCATTGTTGCTATCCACGGCTGTAGGAGTATCTCTGTGCTATCCAGCCTTCTTCCTTTATGGTAGTTCCGCACACACTCCTCACAGTCTCCCCCGCCATGTCTGGACATCCGCCCGGCAATACGAAGGCAATCCGGAGACACGCGCAGATGTTGAAATGCGACCCATATGGATACATGGGGGTTATATGCAAGCGCTGGAGCCGGCGATATTTCGCGATGCCACTATTATACAGGATATTATGATAGGTCAAGGATTTGGAGAAAAGCTATGGCATCCTGTAGATGACGCTGCGAGTGATGCAGCAGTGGATCCACAGACCTTGTCGGTGTCACCATACCCTTGCAACTTATCGTCCGGTACTACAAATCATCAATGGGGATTTCATTCGCCCTTGATGTTCGCAAATTGCACGATATCGAGAGCTGAAACCACCGAGGAGTTGATCAACAAGCTGAACAACGGCTTATTCTCCCGCTCACATTGGAACATCACGCTTCGTCCTTCGACAGTCTTTGCGGGGAAATCTTTCATTCGAAACAGACTTGTAGCGGCCGATGCCTTGGTAATAACACTCTTCGACCGTCTGGGCTTCGCCATTGGGGATGAATGGCAGTCTAGGGCTGAAGCATTGGTTCGGGCACATGGCCATCATTGGACGTTCTATCCGGAAGGTGCCACAGTGACGCAGAGTCAACTCTACGAATTCCAGTTCCAACCGATGAGCCTCAATGAGGATATTTCGATTTCTCTGGCGTACTTCCTCACGGCACTGTACGTTATCATAAGTCTGCGCAAGCTCAGAGCGGTCAAAAGCAAACTTGGACTGTTGTTCACAGTCATCGTAGAGGTAACCTGCTCATAAGCCCAACCAGACGTCTATTACCCTCAAACTGACAGCTATATTAGATGGCTGTGTCTATACTTGCTAGTTTGACAATTTGCGGCCTGCTTGGGATCCAGCTTAGTCGCATCCCTCGCGAGTTTCATCCATTCGTTGTCTCAGTGATTGGACTCGAAAACAGGTAAGTCTCCTCCTCCTTTGTTATGAATGCACACGTTTTTAATGTCCCTCGGGCGTTGTAGGTTTCGCCTGATAAATGCTGTTATAGCTTACCCTCCTGAGATGCAAACGGTGTCAAGGATAGCTCATGCCCTTGGCGATGTAGGTCCTCTAGCCCTGGGATCCGCTGGCCAAATGCTCGTCATTCTATGGTTTATTTCGCGGGTTGTATATCCCGACATTGCTGCCCTGTGTACATTTGCAGCTATTGCACTGATATTCGACTTCTTCTTTCATTTGACATTCTTTACGGCTGTTTTGAGTGTTGACATACGACGTATGGAACTTCAGGAGTTCCTAGATCGAGCCAATCAATCGAAAAAGCAGGATAATCATGCTTCAACACACCGCATATCTTGGTTTGAAGCCATGGCTAGCGGAAACATGCCCTTCAGTACTCGGATAGCCGGCACATCTGCAACAGTCTGTTTCGTGCTCGCATTGAACCTACACTTCTTCAACAGTGAGACTGGGTTTCAACTGCTTTGGGATAGTCTGCATCTAAAACGAACATATCCCCAGGGTACTCAAGCAGGAAACACAATGCTACCCCCTCCAATCAATCAAGCTCGGACGCCTAGTGCATGGATGGAAATGCAGGACTACGACACCGCTAAAGAGATTATGCACATGGTGAAGCCGAATGCTCATAAGTTCATTGCTCGGGTCTATGAGCCTCTGAATATACTTTTGCAACACGCAGATCGCGAACACTCAAAACAAAAGTATCCGACTCTCTTGGAGATACTCCGCCAATTGGCTAACAAGCATTTCTTTTCCTTCGGGCTTGTCGTCGTGGTCGTGATCTCCTTGACCACACTTCTCATGAATTACCTGTTATGGGAAGAGGTCGCTGAAAACCAGGCGCACGCAGGGACTGGTGGAGACCAACTCTCAGTTCAAACTCTACCCTCACCTCAGTCCTACGACATCGCTAGAATTTATGCATCCTCAAAAGCAGATGTCATATCAGTCAGCCTTGATAGATCTATTGCTATATGGTTATCAGAGCCTCAAACAAATTCATACTCGAAAGCAACAGAGATCGACACGAAGACGCGCCAGATCATCTGGCCCGTAGCTCTGGCCACTTTTGACGAAGATAGTATTGTGGCTGTATTCTGCACTGACTTTGGCCAACTTGCTTTCTATAGCATGCGCGATAAACGACTATTTAAGGGCAATATCGCATCGGTCGATCTCCGAGGACATGCGCCTGTATCAATTTTTTTAATGTCATTAGACCTTGAAAATCCAGGGTCGGCCAGGGTCATACTGGTATCATCAGGTGGTCAGTTGCATGATATCGATTTTCGCGGAGGCCAAGTAGCTGTTCATTGCATTCACGACAAACATGCAACATCAGCATCAATGGTGGGAAACCGAAAGGATGGCTACGTGATTGTCACTACATTCCATGACGGAAGTGTTGCAGGCTCCAGGCATTCAGATGGGGTCTGGAAGACTGAAGTGGTTCCGACGATTCGTCCACTAAATGGCATGGCAGTTGCTTCTTCGAAGCTGCGTTCTGTGATACCCCTCCCCGAGCTCGACATGGTAGCCACTGTGGGTCCATCAAAGGTGGATTTGCTCAGGTTGCCAGGTCTTAAAATCGTATATTCATTCCCACTAGCCTCTTGTCACCGAGACTCGGTTCGCATATTGCATTCCGCTAGTCGTCAGTGCCAATGCTCAGGTACGAGCGTCCGTTCAATCGCAATCGTTTATACAGACTCAGTACATCAGAATTGCGTAGTGGAAAGCTATTCCGCAAAGGAAGTATCAGCTTTCATCTGTCTTGGACCTTCAAATGGACGTCTTGAGAATTGCCTTGGCCTTGAAAGAGCTCAGAAAGGTAGCATGCAGGTTGAGAACCCAGGTGTGTGGGAGACAACCAGCGTCCAATCCATATTGGGAGTTGGGAAGCGCACGAAATTTGGCGAGTCTTCAATGAGTACCTCAAGCAAGAGAGAAGACTCCAGAGCAGCTCCATCGCAGAACGGCTCCTTGACGACAAGGCTACGCTTGCAAAACAATAGTACTCTACGGAACGCAAATAAAAGATTATCAACAGCTGATCTAAGTAATGACAACCACGAGTGGAGAGCATGGACCCTAACAATGAACGGCGAGTTCCACACACGAAGCCTGGCTTCAAATGCCTTACCTTCTGCATCTTTGAGTACTCAAGAGGAGGAACTCCTAGTCCCAAGAGCTGGTCCTATCGTAAGAGCAGGAAAAAGAAGTGTGATTGTGGCAGTGGGAAACAGCCTCAAAGTCATCTCAACGGGTAACGAACGTTTCGACGGATCGCCGAATGGATTCGAACACCCTATGTCGTCTGTGAAGGGAAGGAAGAAGGGCATGAAGAAGAATATATAAAACAAGGCCTCAGCGTAGCAAGGGGCGTAATGGTGCCGGGCGTCGAAACAAGTATCAGTAATAAGGTGATGAAGTGAAGTAAACAGCAGAGCTCTTACGTTTGCGTGTGTCAGTCTAGGATTTTGTCGTTTGTATATACTGGGATTGGACGAATGTAATGACTTTAATGGGTACATATAGAGCTCGAGTCACTATAGATCGAGGCGTCATGGGAAACTGTATTTATGTATTGATACCAGGAGACACATAAAGACCCCTGCAAATGCGCTACTAATCAATAAGGCAGTCCGTAAAAACGATTATTACTCCTTTCGGTATCAAGCTCAGGACCCCACCACCCATCTATTAGGTACTCCTCGGCCAGGGCTTCAGGGATCTCCAGCTCTCGTCACCCAACAGCTCCTAACGCAGCTCTTTCAATTCAGCATTTATCGCGCCAAGAGGTGCTCGTTACCCGCGACAAGCCTCACAGTGGCTCGATCATGGATTACAACTACCATTGCCTTCGATTGTGCTAATGCGCCATGACTTATTGGCCCATTTCCGCTCCGTCCGTTTACGCCGCGAGCAAGCAGCAGCTATCAAAGCGAAACATTCGCACTTCCTACGATGGCTTGGAAGAGCATTCATCGACGGGACGAACTAATCGATTGAGTACCCAACATGAAGATGCTTCAGAAAAAGAATCGTCCGTGGAGGAAACCAATGTTAGCAGCGTGAACATTGACGCAACAAAGGCGTCTGAACCCTCCGTTCACCCTGGACCAGAACGAAGCCCTGTTAACGGAGAGCCTGATATAGCTGGAGAGATTATTGGGCTGCGCGTGACACGTAACGGACATATCTTTTCCACCATCACAGACTCGACTCTCACAATATGGCAGACCAAAGTAAGACATACTCATCGCCGATTCGAAGCTTCACTGACACTCTGGACACAGCCTACAGCAATTTTAGCATCTGTTCTACGATCAAAACAGTCTCTTAAAACGTATGGACCAAATGTCAACCTACTCTTACGTCCTGATTCCGCGATCTTCGTCGTTCAGACCTCTCTAGGCTACCTTATAACGTACTCGCTAGCGTCCGACCCTACTGCGAGAGTCTATAAACCTCAATTTCCCCTAAATAGCGTTCACAATAGGCGACACAGTATATCTGGCTACAAAGCTGGTAGTAATACAGAATCCATGGTTGGACCAGGAGAAGGAGGGGGCCTTCGTGAAATCAGTCTGCGATTTCGTATGGTCATCAAAGTCGACGCAGGCATTGCAAAGGCTTTAGCCTTAGATGAAGAGCTGATTGTTGCTACGGAAAGACCCGCAGCGATACAATGCATTCGCTGGGCTCCTGATAACGCTGGCAGTCAGACTAGTACCGAGCTGCTCAGTCGAATGCAGTGGCTAGGTAACAAGGTCACTATATCTGATATGGTATACGATCGCCCAATGAACCTCTCGACGTGGGTTACGAACGAAGGAAAGGCTTTTGCTGTTCAGCGCCTATCGCCGGAAAACGGACATGACACCAAAAAGCGCTCCCTTTTCAACGGCTATGCATTCCATGTTCCTGAGAATGATGGCGACATCGCGGTCAAAGCTGCAATAAACGCGAGGTTTTCGTTGATTGCTGTCGGGTGCAAGTGTGGATATATCTATGTCTACACGGCGCGCGATTACACGGGCAATATCCCGCTATCGCACAGACTTATGCCCGGCGCAAGCTCGTCAACTACGGGGGCATTGACCTTCCTTAGCTGGTCGCCTGATGGATATTGCATCTTCGCTGGCTACGAGAAAGGATGGATGATGTGGAGCGTCTTCGGCAAGCCAGGGGCAAACAGCTTCACGAGCGATCGCGCTTTATCAGAGAAGACCGAGGAAGGTTGGCTCCTGGGCATACGCGACGGATTCTGGGTTGGGGGTGGGTCACAACTTATGCTCCTCAGTCCGAATGACAATCGCCTCTGGATGCTAGAGATGGCTAGAAGCGCTGTTGCAGGGTGCTTTTCGTCCGCCAATGTTGCGCGGTCCTTGCTCCAGACGAATACGGGCTTCATGATCTACCGTGGATATGACCTCCCCGACATGACGGCGATATCTGCTGATACTTCATTGTGGCATCACGTCCAAGTTCCCGCTGCTTATCTAGCCGATCAATGGCCAATTCGGAGCGCTGTCATATCATCCGACGGTCGGTACGTTGCTGTCGCTGGCCGCAGAGGGCTCGCTCACTACAGTGTGAACAGTGGCCGATGGAAAACATTCGACGACACAAGTAAAGAGAATGAGTTCACTGTGAGAGGTGGAATGTGTTGGCACCAGCATGTCCTGATAGTAGCGACTGAGAGCTCGGAAGCCCATGAGGTTTGTACAACGTAACAAGCATTCTGGACATAAAGATTAACTCTGGTCTAGATTCGAACATATTCTCGCGAAGCGTCGTTGGACGACAGTAACGCTGTGCAGGTCGAAAGGTTGGCAGCACCTATCGTGCTGATTGCACCGTCGGGGGATGACTCCTTACTTGTTTACACCTACGAGAATATTCTTTACCATTTCATCATTAATATCACAAATTCATCGGTAAAACTAGTCCAGGTCGGTCAAATAGCCCTGCATGGTATTATACGTGCACCTCCCAGGGTTCGGGCTCTGAGCTGGATCCTGCCCGAAAATCAACTCCGTAAGCAACCAAACAAACCGAGCCATTCGTACCGCTAATAATAGAACAGAAAATGGTGATCCTTCTCAAGACGTTTCTGTGGCATCAATACTGTTTCTAGTGGATGGTAAACTCGTCTTGCTCCAGCCCGCTGCCACTGACAGCGGAGAATTGAAGTACGAGATGCGTATAGTGGCACAAAATGTCGAATACTACACCCTGATGCGGGACCAGCCTTCCTTCACAGTGGTTGAGCAGGAAGGTCTTCCTCCTAGCCCAGGAACAGAGGTCGCAACGAGCGGTATACATACGTACCAGGGTCACGACCTTCGTGACTCTTTGTGGTTCTTTGATGGCCACGATGTTCGCCTTTGGATTGATATTCAAGACGTCCTGATCACGGCTCCACTGGACACAAGTAGAGATCTGACAGGAGCAGTGAAAATTACTGTTGACTTCTATCCTCTCTCAACGCTCCTTAACAAGGGTATTTTATTTGGACTAGAGTCTGACCTTGTGCAGCGGCGAGATGGTACCTTTGCGTTCCTTCGCTTCGCAACTAGAGTAAGTCCAGCCCCAGTCAGCCTCACTCGCTTATTCATGTGATGAGATCGACGGTGTATTAGTGCTGATCACGGCCAGACGCACCTCTTCATACCGCCTCTCTTGCGGCACCACCTATCACACTTCGACTCTCCAGCGGCTTTGCACCTGTCACATCATTATGCTCATCTTGCCTACTTTCCTCACGCCCTAGAGATCCTGTTGCACGACGTACTTGATGAAGAGGTTGATGCTCCATCTCAGTCTGAGCATGCTTTGTTACCGAACGTTTTGTCGTTCCTGTCGTCATTCCCACAGTACCTGGACATCGTGGTGCAGTGTACGCGTAAGACGGAAGTCAGATCCTGGCGAACCCTTTTCGATCACCTTCCACCCCCGCAGGAACTCTTCGAAGAGTCATTACAACACGGGTCCTTGAAGACTGCAGGAGGATATCTACTCGTACTGCACACCTTTGATGAGATTAGTTCCAGCTCATTTCACTCCGTCAGACTGCTCCGACGAGCTAAAGAGGAGCAGGACTGGGAGCTTTGCAAAGAACTGGCTCGCTTCTTGATGGCCCTCGATGAAACAGGAGCCACATTACGCGATGCTCTTGCGTCTGTAGACCTACCGTCACCCCCTGCAGGCGCTCAATCGTTTACTGGTCGAGAACATCTCAATGCTAGTCTTGTACTCAGACCTCGGCCAAAGAGAAATGGCAGTGGTCGCCTAGATAGACAGTTCTCCTTCCCAAACAGTGCGGATGGATCTGCTTCAGACACGAGCACGGGGAGGAGTGGGAGCCCTGGTTCCATGGCCTTGGTAACGAACATAGAGAACACTTGAACTGCGCTGCCATAATCGAACCACGCAGACGACTGATGGAGTGACAGCCACGTAGGAGAAACCCTTGCATATTGCCATGGCGATCCTAGCATTGTGAGGAATATGATGGTAGGCGCCTACTAGACTCAGAACACTGTTGCTATGTAGATGAAGCCATATGTACGAAGAAACCACGTCTACTGCCTGCGAGCCAATAAATCATCGCTAGTGACTGCATTGCGTGCAAGATATAGGTCTTATGTTGGTACAAGAACAAGGCTCCAATATCTATGATATTTATATCACTTTGGCCCCAACAGTCCATATCCATGGATCAAAGAGTGTTCAGAAATGCCGATCCCAATGCCAACTCGTTCGTCGGTCAGACGCCAAATCAGGGCCTGGCGAACCACCTCCACGGTCGCGGGATGGGCCACGCCAACGACGCCAACCCATGGACACTAAGTGACTTTTAGCTCTGTGCTGCTTGTGAACATGGGCTCGAAACACCGCTTTTTGTGCTCTCAAACCAATCACCGAGCGCAGCTCGCTAAGCCAGACCCTATGCAATACGGCCAAGTCCGGTCGATTTGGATGGCAGTGAAAGCATAGACCATTATGAGATTTGTGATAGATTATTTGATGAGTACTACGTCGCTTTTCTCACATCAGTCTATTTCTACAGTCACTATCGATTGCGACCCTAAGTAAGCAGTGCAAAGATCAATCCCGGATAGAAGAATAATCCGGCGTGCGGCCTCTACACCGGACCCCAATCTGCCCGATTGCAGCTGTGCACAACACAAAGGCAGTCATTTTCTATCCACCGCCTTTTGCTCTTACGTCCTTATTGAAAGAGATCAGATCAAGCACGAGGAGCTCTACATATTGAGACGGCTCAAGACTTATTTCCATCTCACTATGCCGTCCCGGGCACAAAGCTACACCCGAAGTCAGCGCACACGCACGCGCAGAGCATCAAACACATCAGCACCACAAAAAGTCTCACTTCAGCAGCATATTCCTTTTACTTTACCCTCACCTACTAGTTCCGTCTTGCCCGTAAGGCAGTCACTTAAAACCCCGCTAACCCGCCATCCACATGATACTCAATTCGAAAATTTGGTGCCAAAACAAGCGACGCTCGGGGGAAAGCCAAGCAATGGCTCAATAACGAAATCTCGCGTGCAAAATGTCAGCCTGAAGTTTGTTACAGCCACAGGTACACTTGAAACGTTCAAGGACAAGCAGTCGCTCAACGAGATCCGACGGCATGTCATGGTCGATTATCTCAACAAGCACCAGCCGGAGCCCAACACCCTCCAACGACGTAGAGACTCCGTACAGGCACTCGAGCTACAAGGGAATGTGGTGGAGAATCCAGTCCAGCAGTTCGATACTCTTCGAGGTGCAATTTCTAATGAATATGCGTTGAAACTCTTCAAACAACCGAGTAAACGGAAATCACTAGCTTCGTCATCAGAAGAGGACCTTTCAGAGGATCAACAAGAACATAATAAACGCCCCGACCTTACAGGGTCTCTTGAAGATGTCAACAAGATAGCACAATTCGATACCGCTCTTCTCACCAAATTCGCCAAATGTGACATTGTTGATATTAAGCAGCCTCTGGTCATTCCTGCGGATATTTCAAGCTGGACGGCGGAGACTTACCAACGCAGAACTCTGGAGGGTTCGTCAACGGGGCCACCCTTAGATCCATTCGGCACAATGGTCAAGAGTCGCCATCGAGAGGTCAACAATGAGGCACTAAAGTACAACTGTAAATTTCTCTATGGAAGTAAAGCCATGGTCTCAACTTGGACACGTGACCTAGGCCATACTCCCCACGGATATATTGCGACATTATACCTTAGCTCCACTCATATAGATGTTATGAGAGGCTTACACCATGAGAGCATACCTACGAGACTGCTAAGAGACGAGAGTATCCAGTTAATCAGAGGGCGAGTTCACCCTTCAACATTTGCTCACGATACAACAATTCAGGCGGCACTGACTGTTCTCTGCGGTGAAATCATCCAAGGAAGTAGTAGAGAAGCGATTCAATGGCATGAAGATGCCATACTCCAGATGGTCTCGCACCGTGGTGGTCTCATGAAACTTGGCTTCAGGGAGCTGACCGCGATCATTGCAATGTGAGCTTCAATCTCCATTCTGTTTCTAATACCACCAGCTTACATGAAAGTGAACAGGGTATTCATGCAATCAGCAATATTTCGAGAATCACAAGCTCCAGAAACTATCTCCACCTGCATGGCCCGTCTCCAAGTCACCACCGCGGACCCAACTAAACCAGTCCCGGAATCCCCCCTTTACTGCCCCCGATCGGACGGCCATTTTACCACCATTGCAGTCCGGTGCCACCCGCACACCCTGGCGATTCTCTACGAAACACGAATACTCACTGACCTCGTCGTCGACGCCTCGCACCCCTTCCGTAGCATTAGCATCTTCCCCGGCGCCATCCTCTCTGAACCCGAGATGCACATGCAGCGCCTGCACGCTCGTCTCCAGAACCGACCTTCAGCTCACGATAACAGGCATGCTACGTATAAAGACTGGACTTACGAGGCTTGCCGGCTCGCAGCACTCGTCTACTCGACCGCCATTGCCAAACGCACGTCTATCTCCGCCGCCGTCACAATGACGTCCATCAATCGCGCGCAGACCGAAACGTCGCCGTACGCCGTTCTCGAACAGCTGAAGGCGGCACTAGAGAAGTCGCATGCGGCCGACGAGTGCTGGATGGACACTAAGATGACAGGCGTGCTCTTCTGGATCACGCTCGTCGCTGGGGCCGCATGTTCACGCTTCCTAACGCGATCGCCATCGCTCAGTACATATTCAGGCTTCGGCGAGGCCGACAGCGTCCGAGGCGAGTACGCGCCGCAGGACAGCGAGAGGTATTTGCGTAAATGGTTTACTGCGATCAGTGTGCGGTGTACGATTTTGATGGGGTTTGAGCATGGGATTCCGGTCTTGTTGAGTCTGAGGAAGATGTTGGCTGTGCTGGAGTTATTGACGCCCGGGGGTGGAAAGAACGATTGGGGCGAGGTGCACTTTTGAGGGCGAGGGTTTTACCGGGATTCTTGTCAAGGCTGTAAAAGATACTCTGTTGGTGTTGGAGAGGCGTACTGTTCAAGGAATTGCGATTCTTTATTTGAGGACTCTCTGTCATACAGTCGTTATCATATTGGCACCTCTTCTGATCTTATCATAAGTTGTATTTAGAAGAAATCGCCGCAAGGCTTTCCATCCCTGTCCATAACTACCCCTCGACAATATACCGTGTTCCTGTGCCTTAACCGTGTGTGACCTTTCTGACCGTGTTGTCTTCACCAACATGAATGTTGAGTCTGTCAGGGTTGTGATCCATGGTCATCATGTCACCCTCCTTGACTACTCGGTGCGTCTCCGGGAGGTCTTTCTTTGCAAAAGTCTACACGGACAAGTTAGCCTTATATTCAAGTTTACGGATAAGGAGGAAGACCTACAGTCTCATTACTGGTTTCACCAATCTTCTTGCCCATCAGCTTAGTCTGCCAGTCGGAGCTCGAGGACGAGTCCTTGGAGTTGAGGCCGGGGACGACGAGAGGCATGTTGTGTTGTCGTGAAGCGTGTAGTGATCTTGTTGTCTCGTAGATTGCTCTTGCAGAATTCTGGACAGGTTGCTTGTGAGTTGGGAGTAGATTGTGAAGGCGGAGACGAGGTTTAAGGGTCATGGACGAGCACTTGAAGCCTGATTGTTCACTCCCTTATGCCGCTGGTACGCGTGCCAGGAGGGGCAAATGATGACGTATGAACCGCATAGGTATAGTTGAGCACGATGGTACGAGAGATGCGTTTCACAACATCCATCAATCATCACAGGTATAGATTCAGCCTTGCAAGTTTGATGAATTGGCCACCTTCATTTGAGGAGACTGAGGACTCGTGATAGTATGCTTGCTTTGATGTCCCTTGCTCAATGTTGAGCAATGTTATACCTACCACCAGCAACCATTAGCTCAAAAATAAACTGCTCCGGACATGTGGCATTCTATATCTCCATCATTACAAACCCGGAGATCAGGCAATAAGAGGATACAGTCGAGTTTCACCGAGACTTACGTAGACAGGGGGTCCCGAGGGTACTCAACGTGGCAGTCACCGGATATACAAGTTATACACAAGTCCGAAGTGGGCTTCTTTGGATAGCTAGGTCATCGAGCGCCAAGACAGATTTCAGTGAGAATGGATGCGTATCCAGACTAACCCCAGTAACTAACTATGGATTAGAGCTAAATCCGTGACGTGCACACTTTTACTTATCTCCGAATAAGTTGGAAGTCTTCAGGTTGTTCGTGCAGTGAAATCTAACTTCCAGCGTTAGACTCCCACTAGTACATCCATATAAGAAGAACGGCCTGCCCTGTCAAGAACAGCGTCTCTCACTATTGCCCTACCTCGATCATAAACTACAAAGACAGCGTCAGCCCTCACCGTCCAAAATCTATTATCAACGATTTTACTCAAGACTTTACATTGAATTATCTTCAAGAAAATGTCGCAACAACTCGTGGGAAAACCAGTCAGCAAAACTGGGTTTGGTCTTATGGGTTTGACTTGGCGCCCGACCCCGATTCCATTCGAAGAATCCATCGAGATTATGCATCAGGCATTTCATAAGCACGGCGCAAACTTCTTCGTTGGAGGGGTCTTCTATGGCCCACCAGAGCGTAACAGTCTACATCTACTCAAGGCATATTTCGATAAATATCCTGAAGACGCTGAAAAGGTCATCGTGTCAATCAAGGGCGGCAATGATCCGAAAACCCTGGCACCCCAAGCGAATGAGAAGGACTTGACTGCCGATATTGAGTTCTGCCTGAAAACTCTAGACAACAAGAAAATCGACATCTTCGAGGCGTCTCGTGTCGATCCCAAGGTCCCGATCGAGGATTCCCTAAGCTACATCAAGAGATATGTTGATGCTGGCAAGATCGGAGGCGTGGCCATCTCCGAAGTAAATGCCACTTCAGTCCGGAAAGCAGCCAAGTTCACAAACATCGTCGCGTGCGAGATTGAGTTTTCGCTTTTTCATACTGCCCCTCTCACGAATGGGGTCTTCGCTGCCTGCAAGGAGCATAACATTCCCGTTATTGCGTACTCACCACTGGGCAGAGGCTTTTTGACTGGCCAAATCAGGACACCAGAGGACATTCCGGAGGGAGACTTTCGCAGGACTATCCCACGCTTCCAGGGCGAGACATTCTACGAAAACATCAAGCTAGTGAGAGCCATCGAACAGCTGGCGGAAAAGAAAGGATGCACATCTGGGCAAGTTGCACTTTCTTGGATTGAGCAGCAGAGTGGGAGGAATGGTAATCCTGTTATTATTCCCATTCCAGGGACTACCTCACAAAAGCGATTGGTTGAGAATATGGTTCGCGTTCACCTCACAGATGAGGACTTTAAGGAAATTGATGGAATTATTGCCAGCATTCCAATCTCCGGCACACGATACGGAGGACACGCTTTGTCGGTTATTGATGGCTGAAGGAACGTAGAATCAAACGAAAGCCCCAAATAGAGACTTACGAATGAAGCTGTAATACATACAGAATAGTATGCCGACATTTCAGATCTAATAAAAATCCTCCTAGTTGCCTGAAAAACGCGCGTTCTGACGCTTATCCATAAATTTTAAGAATTACGTCTGTATGTCAACACATTAGCTTGGGACGAGGAATCATGAACAAGTATGGCGTTGAATAGGAGCAATAATGTGTCAGATCAAGTGTAGTGTGTTTTTCATTCGCTCACTCGGTTATCGCGTAACGAGAACCGTAACGAATTGCAGATTGATGTTCATCACGATGCGTAGGAATCAAACGATAAGAGATACTCCACTTACTGTTCGGCTAGTAGAAGATGACAGTTATCTGAATTCGACATCCTGCTGATGGGCCTATAGCTCACATTTTTTGTTATTGAGTGGTGACAACGGTGACATGAATATCGAGAGAGAAGTGGTGGCGGCACGCCTCTCATGGATTTAATGAGCTACCCACAATGAGACTAGCTTGCCGCGTCGCGATCTAATCTAAAGTCGGACACTCCTCAGAGTCGTTGGTCGACAACCAACCAACACGACAGCACTTCATACACATAATCCATACCGTACACCCATCATGTCTTCTGCTGGCTCACCTCTCTCTCCAACTTCACAACTATCATCCCTTGACGAGCCGCTTTCCTCCTACGACTCTGAAGACTTCGACGACGTAAAGCCCAAGAGGAGTGCTCGACGCTCTCCCGATGCAGACAAAGGCAGCGGACGGCCGACTAAACGTCAACGACGTAGGGAAGCTCGCCCTCACTTAGACCCTCCCCCTCCGGCCGAAGTAGATCTATACGAGAACGAAGTGGTATCAGATGATACCGATGGCAGCGTCCCTGCTTCGCCGAGCCACCCTGGTGATGAAGACGTACACGAGCGGCAAGTAACTTGGTGCAAATGGGACGGCTGCCAGGCCGGCGACATCGGGAATATGGATAAGTTGGTGGAACATCTTCATGAGGACCACATTGGAGTGCGACAGAAAAAGTACTCGTGCGAATGGGTAGATTGCTCCAGAAAAGGTATACCACATGCCAGTGGGTACGCATTGCGCGCTCATATGCGGAGCCATACCCGAGAGAAACCCTTCTTCTGCACATTACCTGGTAAGACGATACGTGAACACAGTCATGTGCCCCACTGATATATGTCCAGAGTGCGATCGTTCGTTCACCCGCTCCGATGCGTTAGCAAAGCATATGCGCACCGTCCATGAGACTGAAGCCCTCCGCCCATCAGATCCCGTCCCCAAACACCACTCGTCCAACGTTGGCAAGACCTACCAGCGCCTCAAACTCATCTTCAACAAAAACAACGGTGATAAAAATGACTCCCCACCACCTTCATCCCCAGGCATGTCCAATCCAATGCACCCTGATCCGAATCACGCCCTCAACAATGTTCAATACTACGCGGATCCAAGCACACCCAGCGGCGTTGGCCGTATCTTCCCCAATGACATCCACTTCACTCCAGAAGAGCTCGCAATGCCAGCCGATCAGCTTTTCCATCTTCTTCGTCGTCAACAGCATTGGGCGCTACAAGAGTCCGAGGAGCTGAAGATTGAGTTTGACGACCTCGAGAAGAAGCGATTTGAGGAGTGGATGCGCAAGGAGCTTGTGTTGGAAAATATGCAGGAAGCTGACTTGATGCGTATGATGCGCAATAGGCAAGACATGGGAGTCGCTGCAGATGGCCTAGAGGGCTTGTGGAGGGTCCTTGAGGAGGATGTAGCACCCTCAAAGAAACTGGAGATTAAGGGGAAGCAGCCTTGGTGGCGCACTGTGGTTACCAGCACACCAACCGACGGTGAAGTACCAGATCTCAGAGGAGCATAGGAGTCGGAAGATTGGTGGCACAGGGGTGTATGGGGCAATGGAACTTTGTAATGCATTTACCGGCGCGGAGTTTCATGGATTACGTTTAGGGAAACACACGATCGTGTACTACGGACGCGGCTTGTTATGTTAAAGGTCTGGCTTTCTCCCAAGTCCTTAAGGCACGTAGCACTAATGATCCAATGTTACCCATCCCATGGTACTTCTATAGCAGAATAATGCTACACATGGCACGTACGCTAAAGGCTGTTGCTAACAATAGAGGCAATTATTGACCACCTCCAGGGGCTCCTCTGCCTGCTCCACCAGCTCCAGACCCCATGAAGTTGCGCGCCCTACCGGAGTGTTAGTATAAAGTCTGAATGTCTAGCCGATATATGTACTTACATCTCAGCAATACTCGGATCGTTCATCAGACTCGAAAGATCAGGCATGCCACCTCCCTGTCCGCCATTATTTACCCCTTGGCCACCACCGCCTCCTGAGAAGTTCTCGGCCATCTCTCTTAGTCTCGGGTTGCTCATCAGGTTGTTCATCGCATCTGGGTTGCTCATCAGGTTCTGGGCCATCTGCCTCATCATTGGATTGTTCATCAATGCGCCAAGATCGGGCATGCCACCTGCACCTGCACCTCCGCCTCCGCCAAACATTCCAGCCAGCGCAGAAAGATCTGGCATACTACCAGCTCCGCCACCCGGCATGCCTCTTGATGCATCTGGAGCCCCGACATCTCCGGCCTCTTCTTCATACTTTCTCTTTGCTGTCTCGTAGCCTCTCTTCATGGCATCACTGCCTCCGCTACCCTCGGCGTCGATACCTGCCTTGTAGGCCTCCATACTGCCTTTAGCATCACCAAGCGCATACTTCGCAAGTCCAAGTCTGCTCCAAGCCTTTGTGTACTTCGGATCCGCAGCGACCGCCATCTCGGCATCTTGCTTTGCCTCTTCGTGCATCTGCGATCCACTGTACGCCGCAGCACGATTGGAAAGGTAAATAGGGTTCAGCGGAGTCAAATCCAGCGCCTTAGTGTAGAACTCGATTGCTGACTTGTAATCCTTCTTCTGCATTGCCGCGTTGCCCTGACCTTTGAGCTTTTCGGCCTCCTCCTTCCCTCCTGCGCCTGTCGCGCTGGTCTGTGGTGTTGCCGGTCGTGCTTCCGTCGCACTGCTTGGACCCTCAGTGCTGGGTGTGCTGCGCCCCTTGAGTTTCTCATAGACAGAGTATATGGAGAGGAGATTCTGGCCGCCGAGGGCGTCGGCCATGGCCTTTGTGTCGGAGGCATCGACCTTGAAGGCTTCGGCGATACAGTTGGTGGCAATCTCGATTGACTCTACGTCTTCGCTATCTATGGTACCGTCGGTCGCAGAGGTGTTGAGGAAGTTGATCATTGCGAGCGCGAGGCGCTTCTTTGAGGTTGCTTGGGAAGCCTGGTGGGGTTTTTGTTAGTTGGGATATTGCAGAAGTTGTCGACTGGGATTACCATGATGGCTTATGTTAATATGGAATGGTACTGTTTGAGAACGTTCTTTTGCAAGTCCGTTGCACAATATCTGTTACCAAAGATGTTCTTGTTGCAACCCAGGCGACATATGCAAGGTAACATTTCGAAGCAGTTGGAATCACTGAGGTGGAGCTAGTTGGACCGAAGTATTACCGTAGGAGTGAGTAACAACCTGTTGCTAGCACACATCAATTTCATCTAAGATCTAGAGTTATAGAAAATACCGAACTATATCCAACAGAGAAATTCATACTATGTGGTGGATGGACTTTCTGACTACGAACCAAATCCTCACGATCAGCTATACCTCCAAGCACAAACTAATGGCCTGACGACGAGGTCGCAGCCAATGCAGCAACGTAGGCTGTTACGTAGCGTACCGTCGAAATCAAAGAACTATGAATATTTCATACGCGACCACCAGGCCCATTTTGCACACGGGGTCAGTTGGTTCATATGTCCCTACTATGCTGACGGGACAGCGAGTCTTTTGTCGTATTCGCATTGGTTGCTGCCAAGGCTTGTTGTTTCTTGTTCGTTTTTGACCATGGATTGCTGATGCAGGATCCGGAACATTACTTCATTTGTAAAAACTGATGTTCTAGGGCCCAATGCTTCGCAGGATTCCCGTATGTATCGTTAGAAGCCATACAGGACTAATCGTAGCTATTCCCCGCGCCGACCTGACCAATGACGTCTAGCTCTTCGGCTTGACGGAGAATGCTCAGTCATATAAAACGTAGGTGAATAGTGGGCTATATCTGACCTCTCCTTTACTCAATTGACACCACGAACTTTCAAACGAAATCTCCAAAAATGGCGCCTATCACTCTCTACTTTCTTCAAGCCTCACGCTCCATCCGGATCGCTTGGCTCCTCGAGGAACTTAAGATTCCTTACGAGACCAAGTTCTATTGGCGAGAAAACAATAAGGCACCACCCACGTTCAAAACCGAGTCTGGTAGTCCGCTTGGTAAAGCTCCTGTCATCCGTGATGGAGACAATATTGTCTATGAGTCCGGCGCTATCGTCGAATATCTTGCTTCGAAGTACGATCCGGACCACCGCATCATCCCCGCGAACGATGATCCCAAGTATCCGGATGTATTGCAGTGGATACATGCTGCGGAAGGGCAGATTCTGCTACATGCCCTGAGCATCACCTACGCAACGTGGATGAGTCCTCCAGCTGTCAAGGAGTCTGGCGGATTTGACAAGCTGCTGGAGAATCTTTCTATCAACGTAGTACGGGACTTCGACTGGCTGGAAGGAGAGCTGGGAAAGAACTCTGGTGACTTCCTAGTCGGTAATACAGTCACTGGCGCAGACATTATGACTGCATTCAGCGCGAGATTTGTCCTCACTAGAGAGCTGGGAACGAAGGGGAAGACATGGTCAAATGTGAACAAATGGCTAAAGAAGTGTGAAAGTACGAAAACATATCAAGACGCGGTCAAGAAGACGGGCCACTCGTTAGATAATGGTGGTAATAAGCCGCAGTAGACGTCGCAGGTCCAGACCACTTTGTGGGACTCTGCTAGTAGAAGCGTTCATAGCTTCCAATCCATATAAGGTGTCAAGCCAATGGTACGACGACCGGGCGGACTTGACATCCTTGGATGCTCATGCTCCATGCGCGCCTCTGCCGTATATGTTGGTCTTGAGACTTCTTTGTATCTCTTCTGCACTTCTCCATTTCCACGGCCGTCCCCTTCCTTACACTCGCTGTACACAGCTTTGTTTCAATCCAAACCCAGGTTCCACAATCCATCCCCTAGGTAATGACCTGCTCTACAAGCCTGGCCCTTTTTCTTCGTCTTCATATCGGCCGTTCCCATTGCGAGCTGACCCACAAAACAAGCCGTTTCTTTCCCCTCCGCCTCAATCACCACGACGTCTCCCTCGTCCAGCTCCTCCTTGCCGTACCTGAAATCCGAACCACCGTCCGCGACCGCCTCACCCGGTAATCGTCCACCAGGAGATGTTAGACCCGGAACCATCAGCGAGGCACCTGACAGTACGAAGCGGATAGCGCCACGGTCGATACGGAGCTTAGAGAAACACTGTGGGTATTTGTGCACGAGAGTAAGGTGTGGGAGGAGCGCATCGTCCATATGTTGGAAGAAGAGAGGGCGCGGGCCAAGTGTGTACAGAGAGCAACGGTCAGGGAGCTTCACCAAGTCTAATTGCTCTTTCTTGGGCAGTATATCGTCGATATATGGTTCAAGAGCTGGGTATGTGTCCAAGACTTTCTGGCGTATGGCGCGCTGTGCGGAGGACTTTACTTTGGACTTGGAGCCCGCGGAGATGCTATGTGACCGTCAGCCTTGGTCGTGACATGGTTGAGCTTGCCTACTCTTTCTTGAACATGTTGGAGTGTATCGTAGTGGTTATGTGTCGATGTTTTGGTGAAGATCAAGTGCCCCTCTATTCCATATTTTGGTAGGGCGGGGCAGCGCCTGACGTCGGAGTCGGAGCTATCCTCACGGTTCACCGTGTGCGCTGGATCGTGCCCCAAACTACCCAGCCCCTCCCTCTTCTACAGGAGCTCGACCTCGGAAGCTTCAACGTCACTGTCTCACGGCACTGTGGCAACCTTCGACATGTTCAAGACAACAACCTTTCCTGCAGCTTCCAGCTTCTTTATATACGTAGACCTAGTATTATGAATCCACCCCCTCTACCACCACGTCCTATCTGGCAACCTACACCTGGGACGACCTGGAACTACATCCTAAACACTACTCTACGCATCGACCCAAGCATCTCTCATCATTCGGTCTACATCATTGATCTATTTGACAATGACGCCGCAAAAGTCGCTCACCTACACGCGCTCGGGCGCAAAGTGATTGCCTACTTCTCCGCCGGCACTTACGAAGACTGGCGCCCAGATGCTGCACATTTCCCCAAATGTGACCTGGGCTGCAAAATGGACGATTGGGAGGGAGAGAAGTGGGTACAAACGAGCTCTGGAAAGATCCGCGACATTATGCGTGCTCGGATCGACTTGGCACGTGCGAAAGGATTCGATGGGGTAGACCCTGACAATGTCGACGCGTACGATAACAAGAATGGACTGAAATTGTCAAAGGCGGATGCGATTGACTATGTTCGTTTCTTGGCACAAGAAGCTCATGCGCGAGGTCTAGCATGTGGTTTGAAGAACGCGGGCGATATTGTGCCCACGGTCGTCCGTGATGTCGAGTACTGTGTTCAAGAGCAATGTGTCGAATTTGACGATGTAGATATGTTCGTCCCTTTCATAGAGCACGGGAAGCCAGTCTTCCATGTCGAGTATCCCAAAGGTGATGATCCCGATAGCAAAAAGATGAATAATGACCGAGACGTCTCACCGAAGCAAAGAGACAAGGCTTTCAAGGCTAGATCAAAGGGCTTTTCGACCATTATTAAAAATGTGAAGTTGGATCAGTGGATACAAGTGTCTTAAAGAACAATGGATTAGGTGGCCCAAAGCGTCATTAATACCCAAACGCTGACATGACTGCTACTCCTGTTCCAATGACTCTAACGCCCTGCCCGTTTACATGCACCGAATCCTGTTTACAGAAATCCCGCCCGAAGTGCTCGCCATTTAGCGACTCTGTCAGCTTACCGAAACTGCGCGTCCCTTACATCCCTCAAGACACCAAGTACATCTCCCCAGGTCCTTCTCAAGTCCCCTACCGCTCCGCCACCGACTTCCCGCACTACGTTCTGTAGCTCTCCTCTCACTCTCCCTAGGTCTTGTACCACCGCTTCGACATCCCTTCTCATTGTCGCTTCTGTATCCCTGACGATACCACCAACTTCACTGCTCACCTGCCCTACCTCACGGAACACGCTCTCCCTCGCAGTCCCTATCTCTCTTCGTGCACCAGCAACCGCGGTAGCCAAATCTGCCATCGCAGCCTGAATATCACCATGCGCACCACGCAGGTCTGACTGGAAGTTTGTGTATAGACTCGACGATGCAGCTTGCGCGCCCGTATACAGTGTTCGAGCGGTGAAGATGGCGAGAAGCGTAGATAGGCCGACAGCCGCGGTGGCGGCGGCGATGAAAGGATTCTGATCGGTGTTATGGGGCTCTGTGTATGGAATCTCTTCTTCTGGGGGGTCAGGAATCGGGTCTGTGGGGGCGGTGGGGTATGTCCCTGGGACAATGAAAGAAGAAGAGTTCTCCTTCTTGTCGGGGTCGTAGTGTTGAGTTATTGGACTTGTGGAGATGGGACGGGGAGATGCTGCGTAAAGAGATGCGCCAGGAGAGGCTTCGGACACGGTGTATGGAGGCAGTGGCTCATCGTCGTGTGTCATGATAGCATCTTCAAAGGGTGGGGTCGAAGGTATGGAAGCTGTTGACTCCTGCGCTTGGTCGGATACCTCGTCTCTGGAATTACCCATGTCGACGTGGATATAATCTGGGAAGGTATCCGGCTCGCTGGGTGGAGGGGTGTTGATCATGTCTGCGTCGTCGTCGTCGCCCATTGTGCTCGCCACAGAGGGCGAAGAGGGACGAGAGGAAAGCGGCTGCGCCATTATGCTATTGTGCGTCTTATTTGCTCACAGTCTTGGGTATGCTCACAATCTAGATTGAGGAATGAAAGAGGTCAAGGAGTTTGCTGTTGTTGAGTAGGAAGGAGATTACGAGGCGGACTTCGGAGACGTACATGTGAATGAAGTACGCGGCGTGGCGGGGAGATCCATCGGCTTGCACAGCCGCGGACGGTCGATCTTGCACTGCGCAACCAGTCCAGCAACCTTCAACCCATGTTCACATTGCCTTAACATATAAATTTTGTTTTACACATGCTCGGACGAACAGCATCAACATGCTTCCACTCCGCTGCTCTACAATGATACCTGCTCGTTGAATAGTGGTACAAGCGAGGGACCAACTAATTGAGACACAAGGGTAATTACACGGACCATAGATTCATCCGGATTGTGATTCTTGAACTAACCTCTTATGGAGCGGCTAGGCGGGCGCTAAGTCGATGCTTTCTTCACATAATACTACTACTTTATTCTATAATTAAAGACGTAGTCACAACGAAACACTAGATGGGCCACCTTATATCGAATCGAGTTCTAACGTAATATTAACATGGTAACCTCCCGATGCTTTGTGTTTGACCAGACTAGAAACACAGAATCAGGCGACATCGCTAGACTAGGATCATAGAGTTCACAGTATGGGCGGTGCGAGTCTTTAGTAGATAGGGATTTGCGCAACTCAAGAAAGAGAATGCCTTTCAGTTTGTCGAGGCGCGACGGGATATACAGTATTGCAAACAGAATGGAAGAAAATCTCTACCAGGAACGAATCCTAAAGTAAATCTCATACCCTACAAGCCTTAGCTCCCTGGATTGTACGCAATGCATATATATAATAGAGAAACCGTAGCTACGCATTTCATGATCTTCACCCGTGAGTGTGAGCGTAGAATTGTACGTTGTGACTGCGTCAGCTCGCTCATAGCTTCTTATACGCAAGGGCGAACCACGTAGAGCGTTCACCTGACTGTCGCTATAAATTTTCTCGATGCATAATCCTGGATCATTGTTCGGCGAGTCGTGTCTGCAGGCATGGAACAGTACAGGTTAAGACTTTTTCTGTTCCACCATTATTGTATCCACTTTTGTGGTACACCCCCTGTGTTTGTCCCTTGTACTGTCGTGTCTATACAAGCAGCACTATAATACAACGTTACTATGTTGATTTCGTCACTGCTAACGCGAAGTGACCTCAGCCAATATCGACCAGCTCTTGATAACTCCTGAAATGTACTCTGTCATCACTACAGTTCAGAGGGCTGAGTGGTTGAAACATTAAACTACCGGCTCCTTCTCGAGGATGAATCTTGGTCACTGAAAAATAGGGCGGCAGAACGTTGTGGGTTCAATCGTTCAACCACAGGGCATGTAGAACTGATTCTTCATCAATCTTTTTGGCTTGGGACTTTTCATTTCATTATGCCTAGCTACGTAGGGGGTGTTGATAGCAACGAGGTGAATAGATTTTATAGCGAATTGATCGCTCGACCGCAGAGTGCATAGGCGATACGGCGGATGGCCGACGTTAAGCTTAAATATCATGCGGTAGAGACTGAATTCGGCCATGATAAGAATCATATGAAGACGTTGATTAGGTTGCTGGATCGAGTCACGACGGCTTCGGGTAATCACATCTGCATGGATGGAGACAGCAACCCCAGTCATTTTACAAGAATTGTCCAATTTGAAGTTAGTTAGGCGGTATACCGATGTATGAGCTATCTACCCACCATGTGCGCTAACGAGGTAACATTAGGTCAGTACGTACGGACGAAGATGAGTATCTGGTCAAGTCTGCGAGCTGCTGAATATACCGTCAAGCGGAATGGGCCTTTGTTCCGGATATTGACCCTGTTGCTGTTGTACTAGAGACCGCGATGTGAAGTAGATCAATGGGGTATAAGCTCTGGAATAATCCGGAAACTGCGAGCGAGTACCTATTGTTCTATGATGCTGGGACCATTCGCAGACGCTCGTCGAGTAATAGATGTTGACATAAGCATAACGAGTCTTCAGAGGGATGATTAGGTGTTAGGAGAGAAAACGCGACTTAGAAAACGCGCTAAGCGCGGCACCAACTGCTGAGCAATATTTCAACCACATAGCTTGTGACTCGGTTCGCAGTCGACCGCTACCCATTGCGGCTCATCTTACGTCATGTTTTGATCATTGAAATGAACATGGACGTAGCTCGCTGAAAAAGACTGAATGACCCAATGATTTTCATCTCATCTCCGACCTTCACAATTTCATTAGCGTTGCCCGGCGCCGTGATGGTACGGGGGCGGGCAAGTCGCGGCAGGCTAGGGCTATAGAGTAATTACAGATCATCTCAAGGCTGCCCCAGACCTTCCCCAAAGCATTCGCAAGACTAACCCACTAATAATAAGCCTAGCTATGGAGGGTACCGGGACTTGTGGTTCAAGTTGTCGAAACCGCATCGAGATTTGGCACACCCAGCGAATGACTTTGACTTCATCTAGAGGATATGTATGTGTTTAATGGCCTATCTACTGGAACCCTCTAGCATAATTACGATGCATTGTACAGCACCAATAAAGTACGCGTTCCTCAGTACTACGGCTTTCCGAGCAGAGTCTTTTCCTAGGCCGAAGCCATATTAGCCAGAGGCGAAGTAGAGCATACTATACCGATTTTGACGTCAACATTGCGGAAAAGAAAGCTTTCGTCAAGACCGAAGATGCGTCTCCGCACTGTCTCCGCACCCATCGAATCCTATACCTACTCTGGAGCCGCCAAAAGACACTCTTGAATTAGTTCGTTGGACCGCAGCACTACACCACTTCCAGGGTCCTTGCATATCACAACTCCTTTCATAACGTGGTATTTGCGTCCTTGGATGTCGCGGCGCCAGGTAGGAATCTCGATGGTTCCCGCGAAACAGATACCAGGCGTGATGAGATAGATATAGGGGCTTAATGATGACTTTCGCTCTCTCGTTCTAATGGAAGTCAAGGACCGGTTGAACTACTTTCCAATTATTCTAATTGGTCGCGCGGTGCCGGAAATCGCATTGTGCTCAGGTCACAGGATGGGATTCGTCCCTGGCAAACGGCGAATTTCTGATTTGGCATCAAGATGTTGTCATATTCGATTAGGATAACCTACGGATGCGCCCATTGCCGAACGATGATCTTCCATTGGCTTCAATGCTGCTCTGATCAGATGGGTCTTTACCGCATCTGGAGCTGAACGCTTCATACAGCTTACAGAGCTCGCTGTGGAGCCGCCAAAGAGCTTTAAAGCAGTGGAGCTCTCTCCAGCGCTAGACCCTTTCTAGCATCATTATCACAGTATTCGACATCGCCGCCAGGACGCACAAGCTGAAAAGAGCAATGCTGATGATACCCGTCGTTCCCTAGCTGTCCTGTCTCTTTGGCTCGGTCAACGGGATCTACGATGTACAGAGTACAAAGGGTGTGCAGACCCGCCCTTGGGAGCTGCTCCTTTCAAGCAATCTTGCCAGCCGCACGTCAATATACTCCTCAGCATCAGTCTCTTTGAATCAGTTCCAGTCTCAAAGCAGTGCCCATATCATTATGAAGTCATTCACTGTCGCTGCCCTTGTGGCCTCTGCTGCCGCGGCGCCATTCAATTTTCCACTGTCCAATGGCTTTCCCAGTCCAAGCAACGACGCCATTGCCACCATTCAAAAGCAAGCAGGAGGTCCTCTTCCAAATACGCCCCTCCCAACTGAGCTCTCCGATGGTGTAGTCACGTCGCTCCAGCTTATTGCTGCCAATGAGATATTTGAGGTTGCTTACTTTACTGAGCTATACCACAACATCACTGAAAACGTGCCTGGATACGAGGCTACGGAGGAGGATCGCTACTTCGTCACTCAAGCAATCAGACGCATAAGGGCCCAAGAAGAGCTTCACGCCCTCGGTGCCAACGCCATCCTCAAGAACGCTGGCAAGCCGACCGTCGGGGCTTGCGAGTATAACTTTCCGGTCAACTCCTTCCAGAGCGCTATAAAGCTTGCCAACACATTCACTGATGTTGTTCTCGGTGTCCTTCCTGCCGTTCAGTACCTCGCTGGTACTAACGGAGGTGCTCAAGGGCCAGCTCTGATCCCACTCATCGGTTCCATTGAGGAGCAGGAGGCACAGCAAACTGGATGGTTCCGTACCCTCCGCGGCAAGCTCCCATCTGCTGCCCCCTTCCTCTCCCCAACTACCCCTGAGTTCGCTTTGTCCGCCGTCCTCCAGTTCATCGTCAATGGTACTTGCCCGCCAGAATATGCTGCCGTTACTTCGGCTGTCAAGTCCTTCCCTCCCTTGAACGTCGTCAAGGCTCCTTCCGAGGACGTCCAGACAGCTTACTACTCTGTTGATGGAACAATCGCCAGCGGCAATGTTCTAGCCTATATCACTGGTCAGAGCCTTCCCGTAGTCGTTGCTATTGAGAACGCTAAGACAGAGGATGGCAAAACTACTTTCTCTGCCGCCTTCCCTGCCATCGCCCAATCTTTCTCAGATGGTCTCACCGTTGCTGCTGTCGTCAGCTCCAACCAGACATTTGCCAATGCTACTCAGGTTGCTCAGAACACAGTCTTTGGCCCGGGTCTTATCGAGTACCAATAGATGACCGCTTTTGATACGGGATGACTTATTGAAAACGATACACCTCGATGTCATCATGCATACCTGATGGGCGTAATCCCACCACCCTTAGATCACGAACCTGTACATAATGATAATGTCTACTACGATTAGATCGCACAGAATATATGGCTTATGTGCAACACACGGAGTATTTTTGGAGCTATACTTGTCCGAAGGCTTACAGGTCTTTTCTTGCTATTTTCTCAAACTCGTGATGAACAACTAACGTTAAGCATAAAGTCCATCATTTCAGTCCTCCCCTTCTTATCTTCGCACATCTTCTCTCCCTCATAGTCTCTTTCTCTCTGGACCTTACCAGCCACAAGGCCTCGCGCGCGGCAGTGCCCCTCCGCTGTATCTCTTCAGTCCTGTACTCACTTGGTCAATGGGAGTCTTATCTGAACGAACAGGACGGAAGTTGACCCTCAGTCGGAGCTCCGATCCCACTAGCACCAATATTATGGCTGGGTTGAGGGGGTCGTCCAGGTATATTTCATACTGGGTCTGCGCAGAACTCAGACAAACCCAAGCAGTCATGATTTCGACCCCGGACCTCGGCCGACAGTTCTCATCATTCTCTGCAGAGTAATCATTGTGTATATCGCTTGAAAGTCAAGAACTACTTCTACCCTTCTCTCACGTCGCTGCAAGATGAAAATTGAACCGCCTCTTCTCAACTCGGCTAATCCATGGGCTACCACATATGAAGATCTCCTTGCCCTATACCGATGTCCTTACACAGGAGCTGTCACAACACGCACGGCGATGCTGCAAGGATTTGCGCACGACGATGCGATTCATAGATACGCATTCTTCAATCCGGTGACTCAAGAATCTCACCAAAATCCTGAGGCCGAAAATCTGCCTTCTGAACAAACGGCCAGTGTGAACAATCTGGGCTACAGTCCACTCCGATTGAGTGAATATCTTTCTTTCATTAAACAGATATCCGAAGTCGCCAAATCTGACTCTTCGCTTCGTAGAGACAAACCGTTCATTGTTTCTGTGACAGGGACTGCTTCGGATGTCGAAGTGTGTCTTGAGAGGATTGCAAACACGGCGCAACAAGTATCGATGCCTCTTTTCATGGAGGTCAATCTCAGCTGCCCAAACATTCCCAATAAACCTCCTCCAGCATACTCCATATCCGCCCTTATACCATATTTATCAGCAATATCAAAGTCGAATGCATCCGTATCCATTCCAATCGGCCTAAAACTTCCTCCTTACACCTATGCGGGCCAGTTTGATACCTTGATCACAGCGCTTGGTTCTATGGATCCCTGCTCTATCTCCTTTCTCACCAGCACTAATACTCTCGGATCGTCCATGCTGCTCTGCCCTAAAAGTGAACCGTCCAAAAAGGATGGCTCTTATGTGCCCGTACTGTCACCAACGTCCGATACACAGAGCTGGGATCATTCTCTTCCTTCCGGTCTTGGTGGCCTCGCTGGTTCAGCGCTACACCCTCTGGCGCTCGGAAATGTCTTCAGTTTACAACAATTTCTTCGCAACCATCCGACCCTAAATAGTATTCAAATCATTGGTGTCGGAGGTGTAGAGGACGCGGAAGGTTACAAGCGCATGCGAAGTGTTGGTGCTTCCGCTGTCGGTATTGGCACTGGTCTTGGGCGCTTGGGCATTGGAGTCTTCGAGAAGATTGTGAAAGCTTTGGAGGATTAGTCATTTCATACCGTCAGACTGATGCTTGGATCTACGATTCTTTCTGGACTTCATCACGAAGCATGGCTTAAGTTTATCGCTATTCTGCCAAACTTTCCGGTTTGACGTCGCGTCGTCTAGTAAAACGATAAGAAGGATCGTGGCTGGCAACAGAACGTTCATTATGTGTCTTGACTATCTCGACGAGGTTTTGCGCTGCTGACGATGTGTAGGCTGTGATACGGCCATGTACCAAGAGATAAGCTGATATGGATTCTTCTAACTATACTTAAAATGAACAAATTTTTTATAGTATTAATGAAAGATATATTTAGATTTATAGAGAATCCTCTCTCTCTCTCTCTCTCTCTCTCTCTCTCTCTCTCTCCCTTCATAATTAAACCCTCTTATTTAGATAGGATATAGGAGTTTAGAGCTTGAAAATATGTTAGACTTATTAATCTAAGATACTCTATCAGTCCGTATGAATATTATAACATGTAGACTGTTATATAGAGGTAGAGAGGCATAATTCAACCTCTAGGACTAGGTAAGCACGCGTGTGTAGAAATAGAGAAACGCTAGAGAGTCAAATGTTACGAAATCTAACGGATCCAAATCCATCTAACCAAATCTAGCATGGATGATATAGAACTAACCGCATATAGAGTACCTCATCCATAGCATTATTCTCCCTCCTGGCTTGCTCATCTACCGAACCAGATAGAAACCTGATTTTACAATCAAAAACCTGATTTGAAAGATAAAAACCTGATTTAGCAGATAGAAACCTGATGTACTAATGTGCCAATACACCAAGGCACGTACACCACCTAGTTCACTTGTCGCGTCAGAGCTGCCGTTGCCTACGAAGGAACGGGTTACGACAGTGGCAAGAGAGGAATGTAATGTGATAGTGGCAAGAGAGGAATGTAATACGATAGTGGTAAGAGAGGAATGGATTACGACTGTGGCAAAAGACCAAGTCGTTGCAAGCTTCTTAATACTACGCTCTGCGCCTGTATGAATCCTTTTAGCGCGATCACTACGTTTTACGACCAGAAAATAACACCTTTGGCATTGAACCAGGATGGTCATCAGTCCTCTGCAGGTGGTACGTCCGCTGGACTCTGCATTTATGGCCACTGGAATGGACTATCTCCTAGACGACTCTTCGGAAGATGAGCAAAAGATTTATGCCATGGACGCCGATATCCCGACTCACGTTGTTGCCGACTTTGTGCAATTCTGCCAGCACGGCCGCCTGCCCACGGGTCAGCAGAGCAGGTCACGACTGTTGTCTGCAGAAGATGTAAAGCTTTTATGTACTCCGTATTCTTCCTGGGCAAGCGCTACATCACTGAGTCAGAAGCTAACTTCAAGCGCCAACGAGCTGGCTCGAAAGGAATGTCTCCCGCGGAAACCTTCCTCGGCGGACGATCAGAGCGCTCGCTGCACTTTCGTCGAGAAGCCTATCGCGGCGTTGAAGGCACGACTCTGGGCTGGAGTTGCCCCTGTTTCTGACTCTCGTTGGGAAACGATGGGTTTAAACAAACAGAGTCAATTCAGGCTCGCTCGCCAGCAGATGTCCATGGTCGTCAACACATTCCTCTATATAAACGGTAATGTAAGCTTATTGAATAGGCGAGAGACATATAATGCAATTTACGCGCACTACTCCGAGTTTGACTCTGCGCTGGAACAAGTCAGAGAAAACGATACTGACGGACCCCCTCGTGTCGCAAAGCTATGGGCTGAGTACATATCAGACCTCTTCACATACATGCCTGCGAAAGCACACTCATGGATCCATGCACGCGCTGTATCTCTATGGGCTGACATCATGCGCCGCATCGCCAACCAGAAGCCCGAAACGACAGCCAAACCCATAGTACACCTATCGAGACAGGCCAAAATGCACAACAATGTCGTACACATCTTGATCCAAGCAGACACTGCGTTTACCATGCCCACTCAAGGATTCGACGGCATAAAACAACCATCTGTGCCTCCTCATTTTGATTCTAAGGGAGCTAAGCCCATCAGCGCACAATTTGACGTTGATGTCTTTCATACAGCATTCTTGAAACGTTTTCGTTATCTCAACACACTCACCGAGTTCAATGACGCAGAGTTGCGCCGCACAGCGACCAAAGAGTGGTTCACCAAGAAAGGGAAGTCCGTCGAAAAAAACCGTGCCAGTGTAAGGCGTGAACTATGCGGTCAGGAAGAGACATATGGGACAAAGTGGATTGCTGACGTCCAGCACGCAGCCCCAGAAAGGCCTCGAAGGATGGGGTTCGTGTTGTATCGCATGAACGCTAAAGAGACTGAAACCGATGAGCAATGGGGCGACTTCCAGTGCAAATTCTACAAGGCTGCGATGAACTCCGATCTGCAGCAAGTAAAGCATCACTGTGTGATCCAATGGGAAGATGCACGGCACCTACAGCCAATGAAGAAGACGTTGGAGCAAGAGTGTGACTTCAGCAAGACCAAAGAGTACGTCGCATTCCCTAATGCTTCTGATAAACCTTTTTGCCCGTCGAGATTCCATCTAATGGCACCACAGACACTTCCAAGCTCTCACGGCGTCATCAGACTTCCACCCCTCGCTCCGTACAGACTGCTTCCTCGTCGCCGACTCGTGTAGCGTGCAAAGCTTCATGCAGCCAAACACAAACGAACCGGATTGTGAGTGCGGGCCTAGTATCCTCGCCATTGACACCACTTGGACGGCCCCGGCCGCACACGACATTCTACGCCTGCACATAGAGGCCGGCTACAACGGTCGACTACGCGTGCTAGCTGAGGTGCTATGGGACGACTTTGCTGCGCTCCTGGTGTCTGACGCGCAGCGCATGGTGGATCTGTGGCCGCTGGCTAAGCATCATCCGAGTAAGGTGTACATTGGCACTGTAGTTCAGGCACACAAAATCCTCTGGCAGGATAAGGAGTTGCCGAAGGATGAAACATGGACGCACTTTGTGCGCTTTTTGAGGGATAATAGAATGATTCCTGAGAGAGATGATGAGAGGTGGACCGTGAAGAACTCGTGAGGGAGGAGAAAGTGCAACAAGCATTGTGAGTGATGATGTTTGCATAGTGTGGAAGGCGGGAGTAGACACCCGCGGTATCTTACTTGATACGATATTTGCGATAGGTCAAGTGCTCATCGAGTACTGTTTTCCGCTATAGCGCGGGATCCATGGGTATCATATTGTATCATGCTGTTTAACCACTTTTTCAACTCGATCAATCATGATCAGCTCCTTTTGGTGTAGCCACCTTGTCTATCGCCAATTTTACGGCCCCTTTTTTAATTTTACACAGTCCTCATCCATTTCTAAGTCAGAGGTGGTCGCAGTGTCTGTTTTCTTCTTCCTCAGAATCGTCGTTCCGACTACGATTGCCCCCATAACTGTCGCTCCGAGGGCGCATGCAAGACCTTGGCTGAACGCATTCCTCAATCCAATTGCGTATGCTTCCAAGATTGCATCGATGTCCGCCGGAAATGCCTCGCGCAGTCCCACGGCACCGTTTTGTACGATGCGGACCGGATCTACACGTGGCGCGACACGCTTTAGCGTACTTATTAGTCCGTTCGCGAAGATTGCCTGGCCAGTCGAGAGGAAGAATGCACCGCCGGTCAGCTCGAAAAAGAGCGTCATGCCGATCATATTGGGAATATCTGCCAAATCGACACTTTTCTGGTTCGCAATCATGGGGATTTGGAGACCGATGCCGATGCCTACACCAACGACGATCTGGTAGCCGATCCATTCGGCCGGAGTGGAGTGCAGGTCGAGCAGCTTGATAAGCGCAGAGCCGATGACCATGAGGATCGGACCGAGTATCATGGGAACTTGCCAGAGGTTGGTGCGGCCAATGAATTGAGACGCGACGATGGTGAATAAGGATGTGGAGAGGATCATGGGGATATTGCGGTAGCCAGACTGTTCCGCATCCACTCCTTGAATGGATTGGAAAAGAATTGGAAGGAAGTAAATGAGTGGGAAGTAAGCACCAGAGATGAGGAATGTGGTGATGCAATTCCCAGGAACTGGCCAGATTTTTAGAAGACGAGGCGGTGCCAGGGCTCGCTCACCCATGAAGTGTTCATTGACAAAGAAGATGACCATCAGAAGCCCAGAAACAACTAGCATTCCGATGACTCGAGAGTCGTTCCAAGCGTAAGATACGCCCCCCCATTGCATGGCTAGCATGAGACAAGTGCCTGCGGCAGTCATCATCAACGTGCCTGGAAGGTTCATGTCGAGAAGGAAGCGAAACCCTTGAAATGGTTGGCGGGAATTCTTGTGAGCTTGTGGTGTATCAAATACAAAGAAAAGAGAAAGGACTGTGACGATTCCAATAGGAACATTGAAAAGGAAAGTCCACCGCCACGAGGCATGAGTTGTAAGGATTCCGCCTAGGAGAGGACCAACAACACTCGCGACGCTGAAAGTTGCACCCATGATGCCAATGCACATGACCTTCATTCTTTCAGTTGTGACAAATGCAATGCAGATAAAGGCACCTCCGATCGTTCCTGAGCCTCCAATCCCAGCTATTGCGCGTCCCAGAATGACAGTAGGTGAGTTTGGAGCCAATCCAGATATCAGGTTGCCCATCTCGAAGACAGCAATGGCAGTTATGAGAGTCCATTTGAGGTCAAACGTACTGTATGCCTTGCCCCAGGTCGCTTGAAAGGTGGCCTGGGTAAGGAATGACGCAGATCCGTACCAGCCTACGTCGTCCAGTGACATGAAGTGGGCAGTTATTGCGGGGACTGCGGTTGCAATCACGGTCATCTCGAGAGCTGAGAGGAAGATGCAGAGCATGATGGTTCCCAGAACGGCAATAAACTTAGCACCTTTCGGTGTATCATCTTTCGTGCCTTCGTCGGTAGGTATGTCGAATAGCTCAGTATTCGTGGACGAAGCTGTATCATGGATGGTAATCATGTCGGTATCCTTCTGGCTCTCATTTTTACTTGTCAGTGAGTTTAATCGCTCCATCGTAAGTTGAGTTAGGTGGAGAGGTGGAGTCAATGAAAGAAGTCAAAGTAGGAGATAGGCACAGAATGATCGGACGGCCGTTGAAGGCCAGCAAATACGACCGATGAGACAACGACCGACTGAGCCGTGGATGGTTATACGGCAGAAGGCATTCGAGAAGAAGCTGTAGATGCAGTGTAAGGGCTAGCAGCCAGTGTTATAACGTGGAAGACAATCTTCAGATATCGACTGACGATCATACCCACAATCCAGATGGGTCGGGGTGGGGATTGGCCTCAATTGCTAATTGATCCTTTAGCGGGCTTCGGCGAACCAGATGACTCTCTCGTGCCCTAGCGTTGGACACACGAGGCCGTCAGCCAATCAGCGTGGAACATACAGTGAATAAACACGTAAGTGAAGCGCCCTGGCCTAAAGCGGGAGCGTGTAATACGGCGCTGCATGGCATTCCTTTCTGCGGCTGTCATTACAGTTAAAGCCTGTGCGGTATGCTGCAGTGTTGACAGAGGTCTAAAAATGCCGTGCAATCAAGTTGCGCCTGGTGTCTTTACGTGGAACGCACGTTAACATGCATGCCGTCGATCATCCTCCAGGCGGTCGGTCGGTAAGTATTACAGTGATAGTGTCCCGTCCAAAATATACGAGTGGCGAGGCCAATCATTAGCTTGTGGTGTCAAGCTGAGCGATTACGCCTAGAGCATACATAGTATATTGCGGCGCGCAATTGATTCGCAATTACAGTCTGCCGACATTATGCAAGCCATTCAACGCAAAGAGGAGGCCAAGTAACTGAGTTTCCTGCAGGGTCGACCGGGACAACAGAAGAGTAGCCGTCACGGATACCAATGCGATCTGAAGTCCGTGGAATGACTGCTTGCGGAGCATTTTGCGAAATAGTACATCAGTACATAGTACGATGTACCATGGGTGTGACTACCGCCGCCATCCGTAAGGCACAGGCTACTGCAAGCCGTCGCAAATTGGATCGAGGTTTATTGTCTGGCCTGATGTGGGCAGATGAGAATCATGCTGGAATGTAATTACACGACAGGCTCGTGTCCAGGGAGTTGGGAAGTCTAGCCATACCGTCGGTTCGGGTTCGTGTTTCCCCCCAAACGCCAACGGGTCGTTTCGATCTACATATGTGAATTTCTGGAATGGAGGCGTGTTGTGCGGAACGTGAATTGTGCTGGTTGTGTGACGCAGGTTGAAATAAGAATTGTTTGATTCGACGGCGGCGATGGCTTGCGGGCTGGGATGTTCGGCGCGCAACGGCACCACGCCCGTGCGGCAAAGTAAGGGGCTTCTTGAGGCTCGAGCTTGGCCAAATGCGGCGTAGTGTGTTTACACCTTGGTCGCCGTCTCAGAACCCTGGATAGGAAGAATCATATTACTCTATCAAAAGAACAGAGCGCAGACAGCACTGGATGTTAGTGTCAAACAAGCAACCCTATTCCATCGATGAACAGGCTAGATTCATACGATTGACCACAGTACATACAATGCACAGCATATACATGGATGGTAACGTCACTTTCGTAGCCGTAGTTCTCTACCCCAGGGCTTCGCACGAAAGCATCAGGCAACGTACTGTAGATCACCCAGTCTGACTCGCGGTCAGCACCAAACTTAGCCATCAAAGCTGTCGTATTGTGCTGTTTAGGCACAATCGTCCCAGCGCTTAACCTCTGTCTGAAACAATAGCATGTAGCATACTTTCCAGGCAAACTGCATATGTCTCGGTATGGCACTGATGTGAGATGACGCTTTAGTATGAGGGATGGACTGGACGTTGCTACAGCTCTGAGCGTAGTGTCTTTGGTGAAGCTGGCTGAGAAGGTGAGCCAGAATGAATTGGGCATAATATATGCAAGGCCAGAGGGCTTGCGTGGGATGGCACTTTGGTTAAGGAACCGACTAAATGCGAACTCGCCTCAATGACCGAGAGATCTCACTTGTCTCCTTTTTCGTTAATATTTGTTGCATCTTCTCCTCCCTCCTGCATGGACCGTGTCTGACTGCAACACCCTGTCTGTAGACGGAGAATCACTGTATACAGTCGCGTAACTGCTCTGGACTACTTGTATCTCCAAGCGTGGAGGCGTGTGTAGGTTTCCTAGAGTCTGAAATCGAAAGCCCGGGAGATGTCTTTTGCCGCAAAACGCTGAGATTCTAGCACTCCAGGTGCAAGCAATTACATTCGCAACAAGATCGTACGACGTGTTTGTCTGTGGCATATCCACATATATTCATTGGTGATTGCCTCAAACTTGTAACCAGCACCCCAGTATGCGAGGACCTTTTGTTAATACGCCTCCGTCAGATGCTGATATGACCTCTAGTTCTGACACGTGGGTAGATAGCTGCTTATCTGCTCATTACTGCGTTTATTTCAAGTGTAGCTAGTACGAGACAGCATACCAATAGAGGCCTGAGACAAGTTGCAGATGTCTTGGAAACACGATCGGTCGAGATCATTCATGTGATGCGTCTGCATACTTCGCCTACCGGGCTTTCGCACTCCTCCAAATCTAATGCTCTCATACCTGCATTCTTCCCTCTGTACCAAATATATACGCTAGCCTATATAGAGCCTGTTGCCGCATCTGATAGATCTTATCGGCTATCTGAGATGAATCTGGCTTCGGACCGTAAGTCCAAGGTATAACTTATGATCGTATGGCACAATTATGAGAAAGAGTATGGATGCTAACTGTACGGTGAGAGCAGTTAATGAATACGTATGCGGTTGTATCGACGCACGATGTCGTGCGTCCGACTACATAAACAGTCGAAACGATGTCTGATTTGGCTGAACATGACAGACTTTGCGACAACAACGTCAGCGTACATTCATTATTCACACAGAGTTCGTTGAGAAGAAGACGAGGTTGACAGACTGCTATTTGACCCGTCGTCATATCTGACAAATCTTGTGGAAGCGCTGGTCGCTCGTAATGCAGGAGTTAGAACGACACGTAGACCGAAACAGATAAACACGCGTAAAGGACTTGAGGTAAATAATTACTTTCTGAGATAACATTCTGAGATGTGAACGCATTCGAGATATAGCAAAATATATGCAGCAACGCTAATGTAAGCAGGAGCAACAAGACATTGTCATAATCTGCTGTGCAGGGTATCGCATGCAGAAACTCAACCGCAACGCTGCATGCCTCAAGAAGAACAAAGGCACTGGTGCCACCATCTAGTTGCAACGAAGGAACCAGATTTAAACGCCTCGCAAAATGCATGAAGTGATCAGAGGTATACCGCTAAACGTTCTGGGGGCTTTCTGCTTCGGCATCAACAGAGAGGTATTGATCACACCGCAATACCACGTCGGTACCAGCCGTTCACTCCTTTCCACGCCCACAACCAGAGTCCACACGCAATCCACACACTGACTGCCATGCCCCAAAACGTTGGGGCGTAGCACCGTGTTCCATAGCACAGTGTGTCCGTTGTATGTCCTTGGCTCTGAGCCTCTCCAGCCTTTTGATACACAGCTGCATAAAGTGCGCCCCAGACAGTTGCACCCAACGCAGGCATGGTCGCTACAATACCCCAATTCGTGCCAAAATTCTCAACACCCCAGACCACGCTGATTATGATGGGAATAAGACTGAAGGTGGCACCGTAGCCGGCACCAATGAGGGTGGAGACAGCTCCAAATGCCATCGCATTGTTCTGAGCCGCGCCCGAGGCAAGCAAGATTTGTCCGATCGAGAGCATGATCGCGAAGGCGAGGAGAAATACTATGCGGGAAAGTGTGAACTTCTTCGGCGAGAGAGATGGAAGAGAGGAGAGAGACAAGATAGATGATGAGAGATCGCGTCTGTGTTGGCCGCTTGGGGCTATAGGCGACAAGATATCAGAGACAATGCCAGTGAGTATGCGAGCTGCAGTGGATGTCACGGCGATTATACCGACGTGCGTAGCGCGTGTTACCATAGCGCTCTCGGAGGTACCGGGCGGATATAGAGTCGGGATGATTGTGCCAACATTGTTGATATATGCTTCACCAGGGCCCGTGAGAAGGAAGAAGCCTGCGGCAAGGTACCACATAGTTTGGTCGGTCAGGAAGCGGCGAGTCTCCTCATTGAGAAGCCAGGTTTTCTTACGGGCCTCTTCTTCGGCGCGTCGTTGTAGGACTTCCGCTTCATGGTTCAGGAACGAGAATTGGGATGCTGAAAGATCTGCTGTGTTCAAAGTACCGTAGCCATGTATATCGGCAGCCCGAGAGAAGAACTCAGATTCAGATAGGAAGCCGCTTTGCTCGAGCTCGTCAATAGCTTCATCGATCATTTCAGCTTCATTGACAATTTGCAGAGCGAAAAGGCCAATAGTGCCGACGCTTAGCAGGAGGATCCCCAAAAACAGGAAGTATTTGAAGACGTCTACGTTTGTCGAGCCGTCGGCCAAACGCTCATATAGAAGCTTGTCCCCGACTTGACTCTGCCACATTCCGCTCAGCCCAAAGGCAGCAATAGGTAGAGCAAGGGCGACGCCCTTATTCTTTCCCCGACCGAAATTTTTTGCGCACGTCGATACTGCGGACACATACATGCAGCAGGTACCCATCCCAACGCAAACGAATGAAAATATCATGATCCCGATAGGCCAGCCATCGCCACCATTGGATACTGGAGGGCCACTCTTATATGTGAAAGCTGCTAGCAGGTAGCCCAGTCCGAAGAGAAAGCCAGAGAGGAGTGATGGTAGACGTGGTCCGTATCGGTCACACAGATATCCGAAACCTGGCACAGGCAGGTACATCGCGAGCTCAGCTGCGATGGACACCCAATTGACCTCATACTGCGAGTAGCCTAGGCGCTTTTGAAACATTCCTCCGTACAATGAATACGCAGTGATGGATCCGGCACATGAGCAGTTCACCAACGCCCAGACGAAGCTGAAGTACCGTACGACTTCGCGCTGCATCCTCTTTCGGTCGCGTGCCTGTATGCCTTCTGCAACTTGCTCGAAGAAGCTGCCCGCATAGCTTGTGTCTTGACTTCGCCTTTCATTGCTACTATCTCGATCTACTTGTAGGAGAGGGCGACGCGATCCGGGGCCGGGAAAGTCAAGTTTGCTGATGCCATTGTTCGGTGACATGACGCAGGGTTCAGAAAGCGGTCAACAGGAAATGAGCATGGTAACGAAGGGAAGGAGAGATCCAGATTGATGAAGGAGCAGAGGAAGGAAAGGATTCGTAGGAGGAGTAATAGATGTCCTTAGACAATACGAGGTAGAGAGAATGTAGCTGCCGGCGGTTACAGAAATGAGGCTGTTCAAGCAGCTTGACGTTATGACTAAATCCGGATCGTCAGCATGACTCGTGCGTCGCAACGCACGAGCCCCCATGACTTCGAAGCTCCTGTGACTTCAACTTTTTTGTCCTCCTGCAGCAGCAATGGCACCAACCGCGCAATCAGCGCAAGTCCTGTTGTCACCTGCGGAATTATCCTATCTTCATTCCTCGCTCGCTCTGACCCCTCCTGTTCGACCTGATGGACGCACATCTACTGAACTCCGTTCGCTAGTCGCCGAGGCGGACATTTTACCTACAGCGAATGGCAGCGCAAGAATCTGCTTTCAAGATGGCACAGAAGCAATCGCGGGTGTAAAAGCTGAAGTTGAAAATTCGCAATGGCATCCGGTGACGGGAGGGTACGAGACAAACTTGGAAACGGGCGGCACTGATGTAGAGATGAGCCAAGATGCAGACGAAGATGAGGAAGCAAAGCGCACGCGAAGGAGCAAGGGCAGAGGCGAAAATACATGGGTCGAAATGAGTATCGAGATACCTGGTTTTCGTGATGACGATGCGCTCCCTGTGTATCTAGCTGCCATGCTTACTGAGGCGCTGCTGTCGGATGGAGTATTGAAAGACAGATTGTACATCAATAACCGTTACCACTGGAAGCTCTATATCGACGTAAATGCTCCTATTTTTGCACACCAGCCCAGTGCTGACCATGCTATAGATTCTGCTACTCTCCCCGCCACTTTCCTATCCTCTTCCGCTCCTTTCACTTACGACACATCTCGCTTTACTCTCCTCTCGCTTGCCTTCACTCAAATCAGAAGGTGATGAGGACCCTTTCTTCGACGATGACTGGGAAGCTGCCACACCTTTATATGCACCATCGTCGAGGCCCCCAGTGACACTGCTCGTGATGACAGTCGGCTCTAACATAATATTTGACCCTGCAAAAGAAGAATTAGCAGTCGCAGAAGCAGCTCTCGCAGTCTCGTGCGCGAGTGACTATAACAAGACTCCGGACTCGAACGGCCGAGGAATAAATATCCTTTCCATCCGCACGATTGACCCACCATCTCGTCTTACACCGCTGGGCATTCCAAACTCCCTCAACTCAGCGACGGGAGGAGCTGCTCCAGTATCTCAACAAGATCTTGTCACCATCAGAGAAGGTATGGATTCGCAAGGTGTTTGGCGTCCTCCGCGAGGAGGTATCAAGAGATCTATGATCGCTCGAGTTGTCAAGGCCGCAATCCAACCGGGAGGTGTTGCAGATGAGATCCTGCAAGCTCTCAAGAATGTGGAAAGATGAAAAACAGTAATGGCTTTCGAGAGCTTTGGCTTTGGTATATCCAACGAGTCATGACTAAGGTCGTATATGTACGACATGATGTCTCACCTGTGCCGATAGCGCATCATAGTCAGCAAAGGAAGTATCATCTATTTATTACAGAGGACATCATACGTCGTGGAGAATCAGGAACATGAACTGATATGAGAGAGGGCATGGATGCTAATTCTCGAGTCAATAGATATTCATGAAGATCAATGGTCACTTAGGTTTGGCCTCAAGCGTTCGCAAGTATCCGAGTAGGTACGTAGAATATGACGCGGCAAACGCAAATATTAAGACGTATCTGAAACTTCCCTTTCCTCTCAAGACGCATGATTCCTATAACTTTTGTAATCCTGCAAATGACACCCGGCTGTAATCAAGTCTTCGACTGTGGTCGGGAGTCGTGAGCATTGAATGGTCAGATCACACATTTTCTCAGTACCTGATTCACTTCGATTCCGGGTGGCGGCGGCAACATTCCGTCCTTCCGCAACTCAGAAACTTTGCTACCTTTCCTTCGTTTACAGACAAAATACCACTAGAAAACGTATTCCATACTCTACGGGCATGTCCTCACCAATGGACAGTGTGGTCTCCTCAGGCACTGCTCACGCAGCTTCGTCAGCCGAAGCCACGATCGTGCAGACTTGTCAACTCAGAGATCTTCCGAGAAAAGCGTTCGACACTTTCCAAGACCTTATTCAATTTATATGTGAGGATCTAGATCACGTTCATGAACAGTTGTCAATTCGCTCACGCCCTTACAGCTAAAGTACAGCGGTATGCTTTGCTCAGAGACGTTAAGCAGGAGCTTCATTTTGTGGTATCAGATAGTATGGACAAGTCCGTCACAGTTGCGATAGGTATCGAAAATATGTCACGACAGAACTATGAGATCCTCTTACGATCAGTGCCTTCAACCAACACGAGAGATGACATTCCAGCTGCCATTCGTAGCTTGGAACGCATTTGCGACCGAGCTATACTAAGGCTAGAACGAGAAGCTCTGGAAGTGATTTCTTTCCTCGAAGGACAAGGAATTGACAAGAGTTCCGCGGATCATGGATTTCAGCCTGGGTCTGCATTCTCCGTGCGGCAGATAGAACGGCTAGGTATCACCCAGGTACTTGTTATTACTGCGATTCTGAGAGCCATAGCTAACATGCAACAGGTCCAAGATGCAACGCAGGTGCACAAGAAGATCCTTCTGATGGGGTCCCCAGTAACACCCGAAAAGCTCATAACGCCTGTTTCAGCGACGGTTGGATCCGGATCAATCTTGAAGCGGAATAGAAACGATATCTACTCCGTGTCACAGTCTCGCTCTGAACCGAGGCCTTCGACTGCTTCAAAGAAAGTGTGCTTCGAGGCTCCTGCTACTATGCCTCCAGAACCTTGGGTGGTCAAAGGATCAGATCTTACATCATTGGAGCAGGCAAACTACATAATCCTTTTCCACGACCCGTCCGTAATCGCTTACCCACCAGTAGTGCACAGTCGCAAAGACTGCTCACGACCTTCTTATCGCTTCGGATCGCTGTACGTGTTGAGAGCGCGGTATCAAGGCGAGGTACGCACTATTATGCGGACGGCAGGTAACGAAGATATCCTTGATTGCGCTATTCCTGCCCAGGGAGAGAGCTCGTTGGTTGACTCCGACAAGAATACCGTACGTCTGGTATTCGAACACAATGGTGAGCAAACACCTTGGACCTTTTCAGTTGGTAGTCTCCAATCTGCCATGGACCTGGTCTGGGTGTATGAGCGACGTGGATCAGCACTGTCGCGACTTTCGCAGGAACGACGATTCATTGCGGCGCCACTATAAACCTCAAGCCCGTCTGTGTGCCACAGTCACAGCATACCTTGGGGCTTCTACTTTTGATAGCCTGCGCGTGTGTGTTTTCTAATCACAGGAGGTCTGGACACGGTGTGAAGCATCATAGCATGTCTCAAATGAGTCAAATCCGGTTGGGGAATAATATTGCATCACGGCAGACGTGTAAGTGGCTAATCGAATATCATACTCTCACCACACACACTTGGTCTTGTAGCATGTACCGAGTCACTTTGACCGTAACGAGCACCTGCGCGACCTAGAATAGAGCACCAGACGGAATCCTAGAGCGCGTAAGTGAAAAGTGCTTCGTCATCTTCTATGCCAAGAACCAGACCTCATTGATGGCTGAAGGCTAACAGAAACCACTGATGTCCGAAAGTGGCCTAGCATAGCGGCTCTACACGTTTAGGCCTTCCATATATCCTATCGTCGTACCTCGATCCGTCTGACTTTCAACCCCCAACACCACAATAATGTCTAATTCCTCGACCTTGGATGCCATCAAGCGCCCGGTCGAGGTCAAGAGACATGCTGCCTGCGATGAATGCCGTATGTATACAGTTCTTGATTTCGAAATCTGCTACTGCAGTGCGTCGTCATTGGCGCTCTTTCATATGTCTCCGAGGTGGGCGGTTCGTTGGCGGCTGCGATTCGCATTGACCAACGCCATCCAGGGATCTAGAGGCAAGAGCGGCAACGAGAGCCCATGTACTAAGCCATTTCGGTATCTTTTGATGGCATCTATCTATCCTTAATCATTACTGCTTTGTCCGGAATGTCGACTCACCGAAGTACAGGTACACGTAAGCTGAAATGCTCCGGCACAACACCCAAGTGCGCACGATGTGAGCGTGAGGGCGTACGATGCGAGTACTCGCCGCAGAAACAAATGGGCCGACCCAAGAAACGGCGACGAGCAGATGAGTCGGAGCAGCAAGACACGCCGCCAGATGAGGTAAGCCCGGAAACCCCGGCCGCGCCGGCCATCACCATGGACGACCTCGGATTTGGCCACGGAGCCGGATTCGACGATTTCGACTTCGACATGTTCAGCGGCATGCTGCAGTGCGATCAAGGCCATCAGCATCAGATCAATATTGATCCTGCCCTGAGCAACAACCAGAACGGGACATATCCGACGCCATATCTGGAAGCATGGAACGGATTTACAGCGTGCGAGTATGCCTCCTGACCCAGCAGAATCCTAAACAAAAGCCCGATTGACACGCTCGCCCAGATCCATCCAACAATGGCAACAACATACAAACCAGCAAAACCTCCTATACCCAATCATCCCCTCGCCCAACCCAACACCCGCAACCACCACAAGTACAACTACAACGATAACTCCACACCCACCAGCCCCGGATCAATCCCCACAGCCCCCCGCCGCCAGCACAACCCCAATCTGCTCTTGTCTCTCCTCAATGTATCTGACTCTCTCCACCCTCTCCACGCTTCCCACCCACTCCTTCCCTCAAATCCTCTCCCCAATCCGCTCCTCCCTCGCCGTCGCTTCCACCGTGCTCACATGCCCGACCTGCCCCCTCGCATCCGCAACCCTAATCCAAAACATCGGCGTCCTCCAAACCCTCCTCACAACCCTCGCAAACACCTTCTTCAGAGCCCTCGCCGCCATCGACACCGAAGCAACCCGTCTCACATCCGCCGGCGACACCCGCGCCTACCGCTTCAGTGAACACTCCTCCCCTGATACTCCTGCCCCTGCTCCTGCTCCCGGAATTCATACCGCCCACGCCCCAAACACCGTCCAGAGCCAAGTCAAAGAGAACAACAGCACCAACGAAGAAGATAGCCCAACACCATCCTTCAGCCTCGAATTCACCGGCGACGAATGGCGCGCCCTAGCCCGCAAAGCCCTCCAAGCCGAAGCCGGCACGTGCAAAGGCCGGCCCCCAGAGCGCACGTTTGTCGGTGTTGTCGAGTCGATGGTCGTGCGGCAGCGCCGGTGGCACGCGGATCTGAATGTGGGTCAGATGTGTGAGCATTTGTATTTCAGGAAGAGGAAGAAGAAAGATGGTGGAGAGGGAGTTGGGCAGGACAAGGAGGATGAGGGGCAGGAGCGTGGGGGAGGGAACGGCGAGGGGAAGGTGGGGGAGGATGGGTGTAGGAAGGGCATGCCTGGCACGCGGGGCAGGATTGAGGAGCATGATTGCGTGAGGCAGTTGCAGCGGATTCGCAAGATGGTTGAGTTGATGGGGTTTGACGAGTGAGTGAGTGAGTGAGATGTCTCTGGCTGAGGAAGCTGGATCCATATATACCGTGGATATATGTATTCTGCATCTGCATCTGCATCTGCATCTTCATTCTCGAGAGAATGGAAAGAGCCGCGAGCGTGCGGGCTATACACAGAAGCACTTGTCCAGCTAAAACACTGCCCAGGTATCCATATTATCCTCATCTCTATATCCATCTCAATGTCCAATCGAATTCCTAGACTGCCCCATCATCTACCTAAGACAGTCGAAACCACTAAGACACGCACGACTCTGTCCCGCATGTGCTTAAAGGAAGCAATGAACAGACTTCGGTGATGTGTTATAGTGTATCATATATATAAATCGAAATGTATAAAATTCTTCGAATTTAGACTTTCTGGATTCCGATTCTTGGGCTCTACTAAGAATCTAGAGCAGATAAGGTGGTTGTTTGGTTCTGCCCCAGGAATTATGGCTGAACTGGCTTGAGTTGATCTGCATGTATGTGCTGCTATCTACATATACTTCATTTCTCACTTCCGATTCTCGCTTTCTCTCACAATCTCATGAGCCAGCCCACCCCAAATCCCGCTACTACTCAAGCCATGCATGATGGAGCATGGCACGGATGAGACGCGTCTAGTCATCTGTCATACGCAACACACTCCGATCCACACTCAGCTTGCGATGACTCTGAATCCAGCTGACGGCATCAATCAGGTACGGAATGAACCTGACGGGGTTCTCCGTGGCAGGGAAATGGCCGAGACCTTCCATGCTCTTGAATTGGGCACCCGGAATCTTCCTTGCCGTGGCCTCGCTCATTTCCGGCGTGCAGCTCCAGTCGAACTCTCCGGTGAGCATGTAGACGGGGCATTTTGTCGTATTGATCTTGTCCACGCGGTCGCGCCCGTCCCAGCCGCCAAAGTAGAAGTCCAGGTCGCCGTGGAAGATGCCGTAGGCCTGCGCGCTGTACAGATGCCAGATCAGGGCTTTGTTGGTGAGCGGTGCAGTGGGCGCCATCATGCCGTAGACGCGTTCCGGGTTGACAAGGGATTGGTTAAAGTACGGTGAGCGGTCAAAGTCCTCGCGCGGCATATCGAGGTGGTCACAGCTGGTTATGTCAGCATTATGGTACATGATAAGTTCAGGAGCTGATGAGTGGGAGTGGTGAGCTTACCCCTGAAGAGGAATCACACCGCCAGCGCCGACTTCGTCGTTACGAATGGCAACTGCCAGACAGATCTGCCCGGCCATGGAGGCACCACACACAATTGGTCTCCGCAGACCAAGTCGTTTGACGACGGCCGCGATACAGCCAACATAGCTGTCCTCGGTGTTTGTGTGTGAGCCCGGGAAGTAGGCAGTACTAGGGAAGCTACGACCATGGCCAGGAAGATCGAAAGCGAACATAGTGCATCGGTCACGCATGCGCTTGTCGTTCATGACGGCGTGGTATTGCCGAGAATCGCTGCCGGCGGTATGTAGGAAAAGAAGTTGCTGCTTGCCCTGGCCGGCAGACTCGACAAAGATCTTCGTCTTGCCCCATACTGGAGCTTCGATCCAGAGGTATCGGCCGATGATGTAGTCTTCCTTGGGCTCGACGGGCTCCGGATCAAGCTGTGCTGGGCCGGCGTGAGCGTCATGGATGAGCTCCAGCACGCGACGCCAGACGTGTGTGTGGTGTACAAAGCTGTCCTTGTCGCCCAAAACCTCAATGCCCTTTTGCTTAATGTTCATGCCGAACATGCCCCAGTAGCTCTGGTATGGCGCCACAACGGTGGGCTTCATGAATTGCTCCCATTGTTCGGGCGTGGCTACAAGCGTAAAGGCAGCATCTTCAGCTGAGCCAACAGTGGCTTTGCCTTTGCCCTTCTCGACGTGGATGAGGAGGGTGGACGGATCGGCGGAGGACTTAATGCCAAAGGTAATTGGCTTGACGATGGCGTCAGTGGTGGTGAAAGCGAGGTACTGGCCGTCGCGGGCGAAAGAATCGGCGAGAGCAGTGGTGATCTTGTCGCCGCCGAGGGCAGAAGGGAAGTTGGAGAAGGTGGAAGCCATGTTTGGAGAGGTGTTGCAACGCAGGATAGAGGAAGAAGTGGGAACAGAGTGACCTTTATTGGGTTGGGGAGGATAGATGGAGTAATCAATACCCCGCGGTCCAAGGGACGGGATGCACTTGACAGCTACTGGCACAGACTCCCGTACTAACGTTACCCATAGCTCACCATCAACGAGGTAGTTCACTCGTAGCTCGCAGTAGGCGTTGAGCAGCGTACTACGTAGAATCCAGAGGACGGCGCCATTAATTGGGCATTGCAACGGTCGAAGGTGCACCAGCTGGCTATGATTGAATGCAACGTATATGCACAGTATTTCTACAGCAGATGTAGGAGGGGGTTGTAGTAGTGTTGTTATTGTTGTTGTCTCATCTCTTTACTCACTCTAGAATGACGCAGGGGCGGGGCAGCCAAGGCGGGGGCGGGGCTACAGTATAATACAGCACAGCACGGTATGTTACAGCACATAGAGGCCACGTGGGGAATGGGGAGGAATCCATTCACTCTCATATGTATCTCCTCCTATCCTTCACCATTCACTCGCTTCCTCTCCGCAACTATTACTCTCTTCCAGCCATTTATCAGCACATTACTACCGTCATCGTCCACAATCCTCCCCGGCCATCACCGTCCAAGATCGACAGCAAGGAATATTCGGACTTGGCGGCCTTGGCTGTCTCTCTCTAATGGCGCAGGTAGAATATCACCCGCGGGCTATTGCACTCTCAAGCACCTCGGATCTCACCTCGGGAAGGTCAATCGCTGGACGACCATGTGACCACCAGTCATACACGTGACTGTAATATTCCACGTGACCCTATAGCACAATTATGTGCATCAACTAATCAATCGATCAATCCTAAAGCGGTAATATGAGACGGCTTCATGGTGTTGACTGTCACCCGATTGATATCTGTCCATTCCACTCTGGGATATGCTTATGATGGCGTCCACTTATATTCCTACATGACTTGCACATCTACCACCCACCACAAACGACTTAATACCCTATCATTGCACCGCCGCCCGCCTAACCTGTGAATGTAGATAGAATTATACTGTTACACCTCCCCAATCACTCCAATTCCGGACCTTGACCAACGCCTGCACTTCCGTTCTGCTCCGACGACGACACAGCCTCACCCATCCTCATCGTGGCCGCTGCACCGGCATCAGCATCAGTACCTCTTTGTCTCTTTCCGGTTCCCAGCCCTAGCCCCAGTCCACGAATTGCACGCCGCATGCTTTCCAGACGTGCCTTCTCTTGCACCACCATGCGTCGAGCCAGCTTCCTACACGCCTCTCGTCCCGTCCTGGCATGACTCTCCTGCCACGCCGCCAGTTCACCCGCTACCGTCTGCTGCGTGTACCGCAACTCTTTGCCCAAGCTCTCCAGTTCGCCGAGGCTCTTGTCCATCTTGTCTGCTGCATCGCGCTGGATACGGCTGCGCGTGTCGTCCAGCAACCCCAATGGCCAACGATCCGACCGTCGGATCGAGAGTGAGTGCCGCTCGATCGCTTTCTGTGACTGGCCCATCGACCCGATGAGGCTACTCGGACGGCCGAGCGCTGCGAGGATTGCCGTGATTGTGCTTGAGATGCCAACCATCGAGTAATAGAACCCTTGCATTGGCTCAGACTCCGACGGCCCGATTGCTTTTGTATATCGTTCGTACGCTGCCACGTGTGTTGGAGGTAGGAATGCAAGTGATGCCAGCGCTGATGCGGACAGTGCTGCCGCCTCTGAAAGGTCTGTGCCTGCAGTGCGGACCTTGTTGCTGCGACGGACCACGCTCTTGGCCGAGTGATGTACGCTGCGGACTGACTCGAGCGCGTGCTGTACGAATGTCTCGACTTCACGCACGTCACGCACGGGTGAGTATTCTTCTCGCACCCGCTCTGACCGTGTTTCAGCCTTGCGCCGGCTGCGTTCGGCAAGAAGCGACGGATCCATTTCAGGAACAAGGAAGAATTCCCACACCATCTCGTGTGTCGAAAATGTAGAATGTCCGAGAAGTATCTTAAGGAAGGTGTCTAGTTGGACCTGGATATCTCGTAGTACTGCCCTTGATGGTTTCGACGGAATCAAAAATGGTGAAGGAAATTGCCCTATCGCCGGCAGCCATGACGCTGGCAGCTCTGTTGCCAGCCATCGAGACAGATTCTCAAAGTCTGTCAGTGATCGGCGACATGTTGTGACCGTAATTGTCGAATTCTCGTTCGGCGCTCCCGACTTCAGCACCAGTCTGATACTGCCGTCCTCAACGAAGAAAGACCGTACAACCGTCGTTATGCGCCCGTCTTTCCCAGCATCGTTGCTCATGAGAATGAGATCGTCAATTCGATTGCGCACTTCGTCGTCTTTAGCAAGTTCAACTGCCGTGAGACCCCGCAAGTCTTTTGCTGCAACGTCAACCCGGGCATCTCCAAACAGTGCACGCACCAACTCTGTCCTGCCATACTTGCTGGCCACCATGAGTGGCGTAAAATGTCTCTCATTCGACGCATTCACGTCCGAGTCGGCATGATACAGCAGTCGTAGTGCTACTTGAGCATCGTTTGCGATATGAAGAAGTGTGTTGCCTTTACTGTCCATGTGCTCGTCCAGATGAAGAGCCTGCTCGTCTCCCTGCGCGCTTGTTGCTGCAGAAAGACCTTGTTCAACCATCCACCGATACTTGTCATGATCGTAACATCTGCACAAGGCAAACAATGGAGTCTGTCCGTTCTTGTCCTTCAACGTCCAATCTATCAGATGTCCTATCCGTGAGATGAGCTCCGGCTGGTTGAACATGTAATGACCTGCACATCGTCCTCTGTCATCTTGCTGCTTGATGTATGTCCTGGCCACATCCTCGTTCGGTGCGAGGTCGAGGATATAGTCCATAAGGACCTCCGATGTCGGCTCATGTCCAGACTGCACCGCAGCGCTCAGTAATGTCGTTCCCTCGTTGTTGCAGTCCTCGAGCACCTCATCCAGACCGAAGTAATCATGCAGGCTAAGCAAATATCCTAACGACTCCGCCTGTTTTGCTACAACTGCCATCATCAACACTGAGTCTCCGTCAGGCCCCTGCGTGTGACACAGTGTCTTGATTCCAGTGTCTCCCTCAACTCCACTGTATCCACTGGCCCTCGAGTCAACTGTGTCGCTCCGAGAGCGGTACGAATATAGCGACGAACTGGACATACTTCTAGTGTCCAATGTCACCCGCTTCTTCCGTTTCAGACCCATCTCACTCAAAGGTGGAGATGGGGCGTGTGCTCGTGCAAATGGGAAGACGTGAGCCAGCCCTGCTTCGCCCGGTACATCCGCTATCGATGATCTTTGACTGGACAATTGCGACATTGTAGGTGCTAGTGTCGTGCCTCCAATGGATAGGTTGTCTGTCGTATCATGGCTATTGGGTCTCCTGAGTCTATTCGTATACATCTCATTAGTGTGTCCATCTCCGTTGACGTTACCCTGCTCCAATACTTCACGCATGACTGATATGTTGCCAGCCTTCGTTGCTTCCCACAGCTTTCTATTGCGTCGACTCGATTTCCTTAGACTCGCAGCGTCACTCGCTAGGTAAGACACAACGGCTTCGAAGGTGCTAAGTGCATAGCCAATCTCGCCGCTCTCCACGTCGTCGATGAAGATGAAGTGTCGCATGTAAGAGAGTCGCGCATGCAGATGTCGGATCGAAGACCGTATTACCACAATTAACAAAAGCGAAACAAGAGTATCAGCATTAACCGTCAGAGTCACCGATGGTTTTTCGACCTGCCCGCCGCCACCTTGAGCTGCCACAGTGTTACTTGCCAGAGTCTCGGGTGCCTCAGTTGTCAGTGCTTTTTGAGTGGACAAAAGGACGTCCATCATCTCTTGTGGACTTTCCGCGACGCCCATCTTCTTGAATTCGGCGACAGCTTTTGTTAGACGTATCGTGAGCTCCCGTCGCCCCTCGCGCCCACCTTCGATTGGGACTCCAACTTGAGATATGTCCACATCGGTCATCTGACGTATGCGCTTCTCTAGTTCGACATCGTCTAGTTTACGAATCTGGCAGACCCGGGGAAATAACACAGATCCATGCACTTGCTCCGTGACATATCGCTCTATCATTCTTTCCACCATCGGACCGGTCAAATCTGTACTTGCACCCAGCAACGACAACTGCGCCTTGTCTACCATCTGGAACAAGTCGATCGCAGCTGTGACGGCGGTTTCCAACGCAGTCCTCATGATATCCTCTTCGTCGCTTATCTCGATTTGTCGCGCCACACCACTGAATCGAGTGGAAACGGTACTGTGGATCGATATAGGCACGCTATTTGAAGAAGACACCGAACTACTGCGGCGATGGCGCTTCCGAGTGCTATCCTCAGCTGGTATGGCAGGCAACGGCTTGTCAAACTCTTTTCCGAATTCTTTGAACAATCGCTCCAATCCAGATTGCATCTGTCTCGCTATCATAGGGAAGTTGTTTAGGAGATCGTTAAATGATTTCACATCTTTCTTCTTCGGTGTAGCCGAAACGACATTGGTGTCTTTAGGCGACCTCGCTTCGGCCGGACTCAGGGTGTTCCCCTTTGCTTCTTCGATTGGATATATTGCCGGAAGGATTGGAGTCTTCTCATATGTGCCCACGAGAGGCTTGGATATGTAGTAAATGACCCACGCTGGTGCCTCAGTCGTGTCGGGATAATATATCACATCTTGAAGCAATTGGGCTTGGTTCAGCGTCTTGAATCCTGTATATCGGTCAGCAGAACTCTGTGGTATTGAGCGATCCAGATAGACTGAGCGCGCTCGTACAACTGAGCATGCACCCGAGGCCATGGGCTTCTGTAGTATCCTATATCCCTCAAATCGCGCTGAAGCCAACTATTGACTTTTGATACCAGATCCACTGAGTTTGTTGCGCGAGTTCAGTGTTTCGCGTCCATTCTCGGTAGCAGATCTAGGACCGGAGGGTGTCTCACCTTTATTACTGTAAACAAAGCTGTCCTTGATTATCACCGTTCGGCCATTGCACGTGGAGTACTGTTTCGCCTTCCCTCTACTTTCGCGGAAATTATTGACATCTTTGCTATTGTTGGGCGGTATGAAACCTCCACCGGGTACACGTATGACATGGCTGGCTAGAAAGTCCTCCGAACTCGCAAGGTCGGTATACAGGGCATTCGTATCGTGATCCCGCGCATTCGAGAGGACTTCAGTGGTGGGGACAAGTAGGACCTGTTGGATGCGTAAGCAGGTGGAAGATTGGAGCTACAACTGTTCACTGGTAACGATGGATGTTGAAAGCGCATACGTGATGTTGGACCGGCGAGCACTGCGCGGGTAATGTGCTGCGGAAGAAGGCCCGAAGAAAGGGATTTAGCGGGTGCATCCAATCGACGGCGACATCGACGATATAGATTCCTGAAAAGATGCCTCAAGCTCGAGGCGGTCCTCCAGGCGCGCCGTGTAGGTGTTTTCGATGCGAGACGGAGAGAGCAGGCTGACAGTGGTCGCAAGGTGGCGATAAAAGCAGGTTTGGCAATAAGACTGTTGTACTGCCAATTGCGATGTAGCTAGTGGCTGAGGTGCATGTATCATGAGAAGAAAGAAGGTCAATAGAACGAGGTTTAGGCGCGTGTATAATTAGGTGAACTTTAATCGATGAGGCCGCGCTGGACGTGACCAGTGAATCGTCATTCGACCGCCACGTGAAAGTGCCCGATCCCCCGACTTAAAATTGCTGCCTCATTAAGGCCCCAATAAAGCTCTATCATTAAGGTCGCACACAGCATGTGCAATATTTGATAAAGGATCTTCCTCGATACCAATAAAGAATAACAGAACTCCAGTGTTTTATTATTGTGGTGTCTAGATGCCCCCTTATGCCTGTGGCCCGCGTGAAGGACCCTTTACATGCATCTCAATAACATGACCATCTTCCTTCCACGAGTTGACTCGCGCGAGATCTTCTTGCGATGAAGAGCTGCTAGATGCAGAACGACGCGAATCTTGCTTACCCGTGGCCTGGTTCTTCGCCTTCTTAGCCAGCCTGAAAATGAAAGGCAAATTACCCTTTGGTTTCCAGGTCCAATATTCCTTTTGGTCCTCGTCACGTGGCACTATGCGATCGCCAGTGATAAGCGCAGTGAACCAAATCAGACTGTTTAGAGTGGCGTAGGTCATGATACCACTGATGTACATTAGTCTAGATTCTTTCAAAAGTGGTGACCTCACTTACGCGATAACACCATAGGCCACGGAGTAGCTGAAAGGAATGAACATCAGCGTAACGAATGCTGGAATGACATCCCCAATGTAGTTCCAGTTGATAGATGTAACTTGACGCATCATGGTGGCACCAACGATGATCAATGTACATCCCGTAGCCTTTTGTTTGTCAGTCCATCATAACGTATATTGATTGACCGACTCACCCATGGAGGAATAGAAGCAAAGATAGGAGCGAAGAAAACAGAAACTAAGAAACATAGCCCCGTCGTCATGGCTGTAAGACCAGTTCTGCCGCCCTCTGCGATTCCGGCGCCAGACTCGATATAAGCCGTCACAGGTGACGTGCCAAGGAGAGCTCCTATAGATATAGAAATTGCGTCGACGGAGTAGGCGATAGTCGATCGCGGGAAATCACCCGTCTCCTTATCGAGACTACCCGAGATACGTGCCATACTATACATAGTAGCAGTACAATCGATGATATCAACATAAAGAAACGTGAAAAGAGCGAGAGCAAATTGTGTTGGTTTACTTCCAATGTTCCAGTCGATAGCGTTTAAAGTCTGATGTATCGGCCGGAAACTAGCAACCTGCTTGAAAAAGTTGAACATTTCATCTCCGGCCTCGGTATAGGGGAAAAAAGTGAATGACGTGCCCCGTGGCCACGAGATAATCGAGGTGACCATGATCCCAATGACAATGGCACTTTTGACTCGGTAAGCCATCAAGTACGCAGTTAGTATGCCGCCACAGAAGATTCCAATCCAGAGCGTAGGGTTTCGTAGCTTCTGTCCAGTGCAAAATCCGGTGACTGGATCCCGTGCACTCACTGGGCATCCCGCAAGATCCAAGGGAGTGGAGATGGAGCCTGTGATAGCTCCAATGCCAGCCGAGTAGCTCAAGCCAATCTCTGCGAGGAATAGACCGATACCACACGCACTGGCAATCTTGAGGGAATGAGGTAGAAGCCTCACAAGCCATTGTCTCATGCCAAGAAGTGAAAGGGCTACAAAGATCAAACCTTCGATGAAGACAGCAGCCAAAGCAAGACGGTATGGGACTGGGCCGGTACCATGGAAGCCAACGACTTGATATGCAAAGTAGGCGTTCAGCCCCATGCCAGGACTACGCATGTTAACCGTTGTCTTCTCAATTGGCTGGCATCGAGACTTACGCGAGCGCTACAGGAAGATTAGTGAGGGCGCCCAGCATGAAAGAAGATAAAGCTGAGATGGCGGCTGTAGCAGTAATAAGATCGCGCTGGATGTCTACAGTATTCGTTAGCACACTTGATAGGGCAGGCAGTCACGAGTTGTAGCGCACCAAGTTTACACAGATTGTATTCTGTGTTTTGATCTAGACACATGCCAGAGGGGTCATTACATTCACAGGTCGCCCCAGAGTCTGCTAGTATGACTGCCTGTATGTAGTCAGTATCAATCCCAACATGACATGCCATGACACATACGTTGACAGAGATGATATAAGCCATAGTGAAAAAAGTCGTGATACCAGCACGGACTTCGGTCAAGAATTTTGCATTTTCAATTTCCTTATCCTGCCCAACTGTTAGACTTGGTTTATTGTGAAGCTCCTTTTCAACTTACGTGACCCGACCCGTCAAGACGATATATGCGGCCAATAGGAGAGACTGCGACAGCATTGTTGATGCTCTGGCCGGCAGCTCTGAGGTAGTCCATAACGAAGGAAGGTGGAGAATGCGAGGGTATAACAAACAAAAAGATCTCAAGATGTTGAGCTGTGTATGAAGGAGTGGAGTTTCAGGGTAGGGGTCTACGAACAGATCGAAACACCCTCTGGTTAGGGTGTCTAACGTTGACTATATAGCTCAGGATGGGATGGTAGAGCTGTGAGCAGACTAGTCGAGAGTACTCGCTAAGGTGAGAATGAATAGTCAACGGGGGTGTGTATGTTAACGGCCCCGGTAAGCCCTACTGCGGAGTGACTATTGTTAAGCCGACTGGATCCAGAGAATGTAGAGAAAAATGAAAGTGACGAACGGTTCGAGGGAAAGGCATGCCGAAGACAAAGGAGGGAGTATTAGATTATGACCTGGTTGCCGACGTTATCGAGTGGAGTTCGACGTGGCCCTGCGGCGCTGCACGAGTGATTAGGGTGAGGTGATGGTCTAGGATTCGGACAAAAGAGGATGTGAGAGGGACCGGGGTGGCGTCCTGCAATTGACAAGTCCGTCGGCGGGCCAGGCTCGATCCCCTTCAGGACCAAAGTCTGACGAGCCTATAAGATCGACATGAAACACTGAATCCAGAAACGATGGTGAGCTTTGTTGCAAACGTTAAACGGTGGCGGCATACTGGTTATGCGGCCACGGAACTTGCCTGGGGCACACCATCTCGCGAACATCTTGCCGGATCTACTATGACCTCGCAACCATTAGCCACGACTGTCCCGACGTTTTACTGCAGGCGTGTCGTGTTGTTGTCGGCTTGTTTAGCAGAAGGATCCCGCCATCGTCCGTATCTCATGGTGGGCGGCACAAGGATCGTTCTGCTGGGTTGATTAACATCCGAGGGGGTGAAAAAAAAGGCCCCGTGTGACGCTAAGAAAGGCTTGTTCTCTCAGGCTTAGGGCGCCTAATGCCTTTGTGGTATCGCATGCGGACTTCCTGCGTATACTAAGTAGTCTGTACGTAGAGTAGCAGAACGATATCGTATAACGGTGGAGTGGCTGCTGCTGTGGGAGCAGGGACAGTTGAATCATGCGACATCATTTATGTCCTATTTCATAGTAGATTACCGTCGTCCGATGCCAGACAGATAGAGTTCACGGGCATGGAAACCCATGTTATCCAGACAAAGGATTACGCAAACAGGCTTGGAAGCGAAGTGGTTACTGGATCACGACAGTTGGCGGCCGAACCAAATATCCAGCCGTGTTATTGTCAAGGGTTGGGATGAACAGAAGAACCAGGTGATGCTGGAGATGATAGCCGCAGTAGGATTGGTAGTGGTAGTGGTATTGGTGGTTTGTCTATAATTCCACCTGGCATAAAATCGTTCGGGGGGACTCACGCGGGCCGTTTGAAGTTTCCACGCCACCTAAAGACCTCGGGAAGGTACGGTACATGGAGGTGTTGTGGGTGTTGTGGTCGTGCCTTCTTCCTTCTTCCCAAGCTTTGAGGTTGTTTTGTCTCACCTGGCCCCCGCACTCCCACCCGGATCCGTGCTCGACTATAGCATTAAGTAAGCCGCTATCCGAAAGCGAAAGGCTCCACTATTTTGGCATTTCTGAACTCTAAAGCCTGCCGGACTCTTTGCTTATCTACACCTTCCACTTGCGCGTGTCCCGAAGTCTATCCAATGCTGTTGTGCCTACATCACTCTCGCTTCCATAGCGCGCGCGGTCAGTCGTTTGTGTAACCCTTGCAATATGCATCAGAAAAGCCGACTAAAGGGTTGAGAAATGCTGGAGAACCCTGGCCTTGACAATGGCGTTACGCTGCTCCCTTAGAACCAGAAAAAAAAGACGCAAAGTCTAGACAATGATAGCTTCATGCTTATACGCGCTTGAACCTCCAAGCGACACTGCAGCCGAGACCTCGACGACGTCTACTTCCTACTATGATCACTCCGCGTCCGGCAATCTCCCAGCATGTCCGATGAAAGGAGACATGGCCTCATACATTCATTACAAACGCATGCGAGAGATCGATCCATTGTCGTGTTCCGTACAGAGGGTACACTCAGGCCGGCTTCTAGGCCAAGTGGCCATCCATGGTTTCGATAGCTGCAAAGAGTAGATTAGTACTATTTACATGTCCTCGCTTTAGCGCGTGCTGTAGTGTGTAATGTGTACTATGTATGTATGTACTATATAGCTAGTAGTAGTACTGTTGCATCCCAGTCCGGTGCCTCGGCCGCCAGCCGTCATAGGCTCATGGCGCCACCAGCTGGTCGGCAGGGCAGTGGACAAGTGGACACCCCCGGGCGCCCACCACCATCCCCCCTCCCCCCCTCCCCCATCCCAAAATGTCAGCTTTTCTGTCTATCTGGTATTTGCCCATCGTCGCCCAACTGAGGCGCGCCAGATGTCGCACGTACGTCGCGACCAAAATCTCGGTGCGGCTGCGATTACACTTTTGACATAATCCTCCTTGCCCCTGCTCCCGAGACTGGCGTTCTGTGCATATTACTTACTGCATTGCATGTCTACATCTCTCCGGTCATGTATTGACCTTCATCTCCATGGCTCACATTGTGTTATATCCTCGCTGCGTCACCTCCCACGTCTTTCTGGACTAACTTACCGCTTTCACCATGTTTTCCGCAGATGTGTCTTGGGTTCAGGAGGACAGAGAGACTGTGGGACAGAGGAAGGACAGGAAGCGAGCACAGTCAACCAAGAGTGCAGCCTCCAAGACCAGAGATTGTTCCAGCAGGGCATCCGACTCTGGCCATCGCGACACTCCAACAAATACTCGTCGCCCTGTGATAAGGAAGGCCAGTCAGGCCCAAAGCCTTAACAGTCACCCTGTTCATGTCGAGGATGCACGACCTCCTGTGCCGCAGTGGAATGACATTTGTGTCGAGGCACAGAAGTTCCTAACACCCACTCCCGAATTCGTGCTTGAGCAGATTTGCAAGCACGCTGACAGACTGTCAGACGACAATGATCTCTTGGCCCGCCGACGTAACCTTCATAAACACTCGCTACCAAGTATGTCTCATGCGGATAGACTCACTACATGTCTAACAGCCGCAGGCCTAACTAACAGCTATACCCCACGCTCCTCACAGGACACGGCGCTCTCTCGAGACCCTCGTGAAGAGGTCATGGATCATCTCTACGACGTTCACCATCTTAATGGCGGTGACTTCGTCTCCCACACAAACACGCGAAGCACTAAAGTACGTTCGGACTCTAAGTTGCGTCACAGCATTATTTACGTGTCTCCTAGATACTCACGCCGGAAGAATACTCACCGCGTATGCTGCCTGTCGATGGTTCGAGGGACGCATTAGAGGAAGCATATGAGAAGTGAGTCAGTGCCATTTCCACGGGACCGATCATGCTGACTATCTACAGCGCCTCTCGATATAAGGTTCAGTCCCGCAGCCGCTATTCTCCCGAGGATCGCACTCAGGACTTGTCTTGGGGGTATGATCCAGCAATGGATATGACTTCCATGCAGCTGTCTATGTCGACCATGGATGCTTGGAAAGATCCAAACTACTGGGACGTTGTGCCACCAACCCCTACCTCTATTTCAGAGGCGTCCATCGCTCCCTCATCGGATTCAGTTCATCGTGGGAACTACACCAGTGTTGAGGCAAATACTGGAGATTTAATCAACTTCCAGCGCTTCATCCGCAAGATGCAACAAGGTTCGCCGAAGATAATATTGGATCGACTGAACAAAGACTGGAGCCCACCCGCTACAGAAGAGGAACGCGATAACCAGGCACTAGAAAAACACTTATGGGTACTTACCGCCTTCCAGCTCAAAAAGGAGGAGTCCGTCGGGCAACTGCCAGATAGTGAGCTTCAAAGTAGCGACCATAGCGGAGATACCAAGCCCAAACATGTTCTAGAGATGTATGGCAACTTAGGTACGTCCTTCTCGAGCTTTCTTCATGCTACTTGCATCACTATCGATCGACCTGGTAACTAATCGTCTCATAGCTGAGGTATACCAACTGTCCGCGATGAATCCGCACGACAAGATAAAATACTTGTCAACCCGCCAACAAAGCACGGTCCCTCTCCCATGCAACGTATCGTACTTGACCGTTCCGCATGCCGGCATGACGCCAATGCCATATGCCACGACATCATTCGACCGAATCCGAACATCATGTCTTCCATCTCTCATCCCGCTCACGAAGCTTCCTCCAATTCTGCAAGAATGCAATCGAATCCTCTGCCCCGGAGGCGTGATGGAGGTTCGAATCGTTCCTCCATCCCCGAAAAAAGAGACAATGGGGCCTAAAATGACTGAATGGATGAATGAACGACTGCTCATTAGCCTTGAACGTTCGTTTCGATCCTTACGACCTGCACTGTCCATGCCAGGATGGCTCAAAGGCGCCGGTCTCATAGTGCAGCAACCTACGCAGGTCGTAAAGCTTCCGGCAGCGACCGATCCAGCGACAGAAGACGTTGACAATGTCCTAGCAGCGCATATCGCACGGACCATGTGGGCTGACACTTGGGGTCAGCATATGGAGGATCGCCAAGACCAAGATCGTTGGTGGTGGCAGAGTGAAGAGATCGTGCAAGAGTGTGTTCAGTACGGTACAGTCTTCGAATTCGAAACCCTACTGGCGATCAAACAATGATGAACGTCCATCACGGTCGACTTAAGAGCCACATTCGGTTGTTCAATAATTACTTTTGCGGCGTACACATGGGAATCACTCAGGGTTATGTCTGCATTCTTTGAGATATCCGCCACCGGCGCACATTATTTGACAGTTGAAGGTTGCATAGTTAGCAACTTCACTAATAGCGAGTCTTGCGCCTGTCCCTTATAAGTTGCATCTCTAACCTATGTCATCAACTAATGGCCAAATATGGACTTCTGTCAGCACTAGCGGTATACTTTTATCACGTACAGACGCTCGTTATCGTTCTTTGCCTAATCCTCGCGAGAGGCACGCACTCCTGTACTACGCGCCAGCACCAGCAAATGGTAGTAAAATCCCGGGTGGTCCATGGTGAGCGGCTGAGGCCAGACCGTAGACAGTCGAGCATTGCCAAACGTCTGTCGATTGTCGCTGGTGGCACTCCAACAAGAAGTTCTGTAGGATGCATATCCATCATTGTCGCATGTACACATCGTAGACTCCATCTTTCGCGTATAACTGCCTTTGTAAATCTGGATTGCTTCATGCAGTGGGGCTATGATGGCTATGTCATATTTGCACACATAGGGTTAGAAATAGATGGGAGAAGAGACCAGCTGGGCAGTCTGTCCAGTTGTTGCGGTGTGTAACGCTATCCATGTATCTGCTTGGTATAGAGTAGTGGCGAATTAATTGATAGCCTTAACCACTTCGTTCCCATTCTCGTCTTTCTACTAACGATCACAACTCCAATCACTTGTGATAGTCACCACCATTTTACGATCGCCTTCTCTAGACGGATCTTCGACAACGACCTGTTCAGTCTCACCGAGAGCAAGGGGCAGGACCCCAATCCAGCCTCGCCAGCCCAGCAGCCGCAAGACAGGTTGACAGGGCATGCCTGGGGTCGGGGACGGCTCGTGGACGGCCACTAAACGCTTCTAGGGAGAAAGTCCCGTGAAGATCTTCAAGATCTGCCGTAGTTAACAGTCTAACTGAAACCCTACGAGGCTCGTTCTTCTAACTAAGTGGTAGCACTTTGAACACGACGACAAGTAGAAGACTGCAAGATTGAACTGAAATGCTGGAGTACGAGAAAGAGATTAGCTATACTATGAGCTAATTCCCTCCACCTGTCTCCCTTCATCTATCCCAAGCATTGTTATCCATACATGTTTGTTGTGTGCGAGAAATTCAAGGCTGGTGTTTTAGCAGGCCCAGGGGCTGTTGGCACGTTGACCCTACCCGGGGCGGGGGGCCCAGGGTGCCTGTTGATCGGCACAGCCGCGGCAGTTGCGCCGCCGTTGTACGACCACCGTCGGCTTTCCTGGCGCAGGTCTACAGTATACTAAAAGCGGGCACAGGTCCGAGGCTGTTTTAAGAAAATGAACGTTGGAGTCAAGAGCGGTGAGTCTTGTTTTTCCTCACCTCCCTTTCGACGAGAGCCGTTGTTGTTATTACAAGCGGGGGGATAGTGGATGGGTGAGTTGTGTTGAATGCGACTGCAACTGCACTAATACAATCAAACCTCGTTGTTACGATATTCTTTATAACGACAGACTCGGTATAACGATACAATTCTCGGAAACGAGATCGAGAGTTTACTAGTAGATTAGTTCGTTCTAACGATATGCTCGTCATAACGATGCGTTTGACGTGGCCGTATTCGTATCGATATAACGGTCTTTGGCTGTACTGTGTGTGTGGGTGGAGATGTTTGGATTGGTTATCACGTTATGTGGTTGGATGAACGGGATATACGAGGCTTATACGAGTATGTGCTGCTATTTTGTTTGCGGGCAGGACAGGGGAGTCAATGACATCGTGTCGCGTGAGGAGACTAACTGACTGGGATCGTGTTGGCACCTTGTACGTGCATAGTCATAATGGACTCTCTGGATCGCAATCGATTGACTTCTTCGAGCGAACAAGTGTGGCGTCGTTTCAGTCGAGGAGAACGGTCTCTGAATGCTGCACAGTCAGCGGCCAATGCGCCGTTATAGATAAAACACAGGCATGATGTCTGGTGTCGGATGGTTCATGTTGAGGCCTTTCGAGGCATGTTGGACTTGTTTCATTGACACGTTCGAGTATGCATAAGGCTGGGACTCTGGTGACATTGTTTGCACTGTTAGGGTCCACTGGTCCTTGTTTTGGATGTTGTATGCGACACACACACATCTCATAGGCCGATGGAGTAAGTCTATTCGCATACCAAGCCATGCCAATCCGGCATCCTCTTATCAGATCACGTTTGCAGGCGGACCCCAGGAACCCAGATACGGGCAGTACGGATGCATGGCGGCAACACAAACAGCAGCGAGGCATGCATGGCACAGCCTTCCTCAGCCTTTGCTCGAGAATGTATGTTCCTCTTCTCAGCCATTCGCGTGTCCGCGAGATATCCTCTTTCCCTGCATTGAGCCAACGTGTTGTGTATTCTCACAACCGCCAAAAGGGCCATAACTGAAAGAACAATTATTCCACATCTTCCAAACCAGCCATGCAAGTAAGAGACGCCTCCACAACAATCGCTTCCAGACCTAAACCACATCATTAAGCCACACGCCACCGCCACTATTGCTACTACTATCACTGTCGGACGTCATGACTCACTATCGTCAAATGAAGATGTGGCGCCAGCTCGCGAACCTCGTGGCTGCGTCCCCAACACGGACTCCGGACGTTCGCTTCGCTTCGCTCCCCTTCCCCCCTGTAGCGGCATATCCAGCCAAACCGAACCAAACCCAAAAGAGCACTTGCACTCCCTCCGGACGATCAAAAACGCATGCACCCAGCCTTCCATGCATCCAGTACTTTCGTAGCATTATCTAAAGACATGTCGTCTTCCGCGTGAACTGCGATCGGTCTGGCGGGGTAAAAAGGAAGAAACAAGAAAAGGAAATTGGGATTGCTGCAATGCAGAATGTAGACGCATGCGTCAGTATTCTCCGAAGATAGGGGTATCTGATGGGATTGGTTGATATTAGGGGAGGGTCTGGTTCGTGGTGACAAGCTGGCATGTTTTTTTTTTTTGCTACGCGGATGTGCTTCCGAGAGGACGTGGTCTGGAATGGGCGAGGGTTATGGGGGAGGTTTGTAGGTGGACTTGGTGAGTGTGGTGTATCATGTATCTGTATGCGATCGAGATGAGTGTTTGGGGGGCATAGAGGTCCGGACTCGGCGCTGTGTCGTGGCACGAATATGTGCTCTCGAGGCCCTCTCTCAAGGGAATGTGGAGGCTGGAGGCTGGAGGTAACTCCGTGTTTTCCTCTCACTATATGGGAAAGGGATTGCGTGTGCATGCACGAGGTGTGTGTTCTGCATGGGGTATCTTCATTCGGCAAATACGTGAGGAAGCTCACCAACGACCACTTGGTGACGACTATGAGATCTCTCTCTCTCTCGTAGGGCCGATTGAGTATACGAGAACCCGGATATTCTTCATCAACAACTGTCAAGACAGGGTCACACCCTTACCAATATGGCATCGTGCTCACTTTTCCTCAAGTGCCGATATTATCACCACGCACACGCTTGTCACACAGATCACAATCTCGCTGGCCCATGAGTAGGGGCCATCTGTATACGTATGACCGTGGAGGAACATGACAGAAGAGTGCACTTCAGAGAGACTTCTAATAATGATAGCATCATCATCACCATGCAGAACGATGAACCCCCCCAATCCCCGCTCTAGACCAGACAATAGCCTGACTGAGAGCGTGGTAATTATCACTATTCACCCGAACTTACAAGCATTCATCACACGGGACTATCCGAAACCTGCAGTAGTTAATGTCTGATCTACCTCTAGCATTAGTCCCTGGCTGCTGCCGGTGAACGATATCATCTAACACTGAGATGGGAGTGTCAGATGTCATATGGGCAGATGTCCAACATCAGATGCAGCGCTTGTATCTGATCTGGCCTGTCTACCGAGAGATGACATGTGCCAAACCACCACGGAACGAGCCGCACGAACGCAGCCTGGCCGGCCTGTCAGCACCCGACCGACGACTATCGATCGATATCACATTTGACGATAGCTTCTTGGCCTTGACATGTCAGTCTACATTAGTAGCCAGAAGAACACGTCATGTGCGAATATTCCAAAGTAGGCATTTGGGCATCCTTGAACACGGTAGTTTTGTCATGGTGTTTTTCGGATGTTGTTTTGTTATGCATGCGGTGTCGGTTGATGCCCGGAATGAACCGAAAGCGAGACTTCATTGGTTGGCTCCCCTGTTGGACACGAACAATACCATCTACTTGCACACATGTCACACACACACCGTTACGTGTGCGCAATTGTAGCTAGCAGTTGAGCTAGCGACACATGGACATCCTTCCTTCCTTCACTCACACTAATAACAAGATCGAGTTTTGTCCCGTTTGAATCTTCCTATGCACACGCACATACACACGCGGACACGCGGACGCGCGCGCTCGTGCAACCCAGCAACAAAAATTTATTTAATCATTTGATCTGATCCATCCGATGAGTTGATTGGGTCCCAGCAGTATATCATTCTTCCCAATCTAGTCTAGCGGCCCATCTCCGCACAAATCCGCGTCCCTTTGCTTCTGACTAAACCTTCTCCCAAGCTGTCAATTGGGTATATGTCCGTGCGTGCGTGCGTCGTCTTCGTTAAACTTAGATAATCGACTCCTCATCATGTCTGTTATTTAATAAAACTGTGATCTACAGATTTATGTCTTTGTTTTTTTTTGGATTGCTAAGCTCAGCGCAGCTCAGCACAACCCACTCGACATGAGCAAAGAATTGTGCCCCCTGGGCCGAGCAGACAACTCGCACCTGCAAGCACATGCCAGTTTGCGCCTCAGGGGTAAATGCGATGCCAAGCACCTATCAGCAACACACCACCATAGCCAATAACCTAGCTATCGAGTAGTGTGCCTTACCCCTCACTCATCATTATCACGATCAGCGGCAGCAGCACTATCGTCGTCCACGAGCAAACAGATGCTGTACGCCCCGTCACAATCTGGACTGCGGCGTAGTCGTTCTTGTCATCGTCGTCTGCATCTGCTGCATCTGAATCTCATCTCTGTCTCGGTCGTTCGTAGCACGCAGTACCAGCTTCTGGCCTCGGCGGATCGCGCCGGTGCCGATGTGAGTCCCGGGCTCGGGAATTGATGAGATGGCAGAACGAGCATGGTGTGATGAGGACGTTGACGAGGATGAGTATGAGGATGATCCTGATGGGTCTGCTGCTTACACTCTGCGCCCGGGTTGAAAGTGAAAAAATGACCGTGAGTTCGGTAGCCGGGTTGCTAATAATACCAGATATATACTTTGTAGCGAGCAACAATGCTGAGCTGGGTGAATTAATAGACTTTCGTGCACGCTGGAACATCCCAAACAACCGTCCACTCGTCCATCCACTGTCCAAGCTGTCTCGTCGGTCCGTAGAAACCCCTCTCCTAGAACACTAAAATGAACTTAAATTTTTTTTTCTCTCCAACGTTCAACAAGTACGCGTGTCTCTTTCTCTCTCTTTTAGACACACACTAATAATATGCAAGGCGTGACATGGCCTGACCTGCTCCCGTCGTCTGACGAGGGCCTAATTAGGCGTCCTCACTCAATGAATCACTCACGGCTTATGCCGCCTTTCCAAATCTGTAATTCAATTCAATTCCCGTCCCTCATCAGCCCATCTAAAGACTGCGGGGGTGCGTGTCGTTCCTGGTGTTCGGGTCCAGTAAGAAAAGTGCTGGCCAGCACTCCCATGCTTGCTTCCTCGTTCTAATCAAAAAGGTCCGATAGGGCTGACCGGTCGATCTCCCGCGCGCGCGCACGGAAAATGAACACACAGATGAAAAAGTTGTGTCAATCATAAGAAGTCACTGATCGCTCGCTAGCAAGATGAGGAGAGAGAGAAGAGAAGAGAGACCGGATATCCACGGGACGGGTGAATCTTTTGGTGCATGTCTTTTCTTGGGAGGGGGACGGGGGGTGGGCAAGGTGGAGATCGAGACGGGACCTCTTGAATTGGGGTGGATCTTCTGCGATAGGAGATCATGGCAATTTGTTTATGCGATTGTGTTATACAGGAAAGGAGGTGGAGAGGGCTGTCTCTCTCCTAAGAAGTTGTGACACGACGGCGGTCATCTTGAGCGATGAAATCCTAGCAGACATGCTGCTCCTATGCCTGTTGTATATGAATGAAACGCTCCAAATCCGTCGGACTTCTTCCTACGAAGTGATCTCGCTCGCTCCGCTCCTCGCCGACAAATACCGTATTTCACCATTGTCTCACAAGTATCCACCTATGATGAACTGTTTCTTCCTTCCGGAGACTCCGTCCCGAGACAACTTTTGATATGCCCTCCTAGGTAGACTGTTATCTAGGTAGCATTATCGCACTTATGCTGTGTCTTCCTATAAAAATCTTCCTTGCTACTACGTCGCTAGGATGCCGTATAGTTCGAAACAGCTAAAGAAGTTGAGGATTTCTCTACCCTTAAAGTATCATGTTTAGTGTAGCCAGTATTGGGTGTTTCCGGCCATTTTAAGATCACTTTTTCATACCAATCAAACCCGTCCGTACGCAAGAGACTCTCTACGTTGTGCTGGATGCGCCGATGATGCGTAAACCAGAGTCGCTCGTGTATGCCAGGACATAGCGATGCGGATGCCATTGCACACACGGACTCGGCCAGTTCGTGTCGATGCTATGCACGTACTCTCCAGTCTCTGCATGTGCAATGTCCAGTCCTGTACCCTCGTCGCTGCCGCCGACCACATAGCTACCGTCAAAGCTGAAACTCACGCTGGTGACCGGTCCTACACTCCTGTCAAGCTTGCGTACACAGACCCAATCTTGTGTGTCCCAAAGTGTGATGAGCGCATCTGAGCCTCCTGTAGCCAGGAGTGTAGCCGGTGGGTTGAGGGAATGGGAGAGGAGAGGAGACGTATGTGCGCGGAGAGTGTGCAGTTTTGAAAGGTCAGGGTATCTGTGAAGGGTCAAGGCACCCGTTGTGCTACAGAGTAGAAGAGATGGATTGGTTGTAGAGTGGGTGAAGGAGAGTGAGGATACGGGTGTCTCGCAATTCAGCGGTGTTGAGGGCGTAAGCGTGGATCGAGGAACTGGTATCAACGTGGAGGACGTCTCAGTGTCCTAAGACATTAGGTTCAGAATTGTGTCGCGTGTTAGGAGAACTCCTGCATGAGCACTCACCCTCGCCTGCCTTCCTATAATCAGCTCTCCTCCATCTGGCTTCCAAGCCAGCAGATCTATGCCTCCGATGTTGGGCTTTATCTCCACGATGCTCTCCTTTCGTCTCACATCCCAGAGCCTCACCGTGCCATCTGCACTGCAGCTTGCCAATTCACTCTCATGCGTCGGGTTAAACTCGACTTTTTCGACCGGACCACTGTGACCTCGTAGCTCGGTACTGTATTTGACATTCGTGCGTTCTGGATTCCATATTCGAAGGGTTCGATCGGCCGCTCCAGTCGCGATCAAGGTTCCCAGCGCATTCCAGGATATGGTTCGAATGGCATGCGACGGTGGTGGTTGACGTGTCAAGGGTGTGTCAACGTAGGTGCTGGTCCTGAGCTTGCTGAAGATTGGCACAAACTTCTCTTTCAGCAGTGGCTTCTGGCGCGCAGGAGCCATGCCCACCTTGTACTCAAGAAGAGTATGAGGCTCGGAGGAGCAGCTCGTGGGCTCGGGTGGACTGGCAGATGGTTTGTCTGTAGCTTCTTCTCCAGTGGCAGGCTGCCCACGTCGTGCCGGCTTGGACTGCGATGCAATATGTGACTGTTTCTTTGCAATTACACCTTGCTCAGCTACCAAGACTTTGATTCTGCTGCGTAATTGCTGGAGTTCGTCTTCTCGTGCAGCTCGTTTACTAGCTTTTCCCGCCAGGACACCAGAGCTCGAGGGTGGGGTTGGAAGAAGCTCGTCTCTAGTATTAGCCGACTCCTCATGCTTTACAACACCATCATTGCGAATTGCTTGAACTTCTCGTGAGTTGACCTTAGTATTACTGTCAGGCTCTGATACGCCTACTTCCTGGTTCCGCGTGTCATTGTTGATTTTGTCCCTCAAAGGATCTTCGTCGCTGCCCCGATCGTCGTCTATGATGCTTGATGCCATTTCTGTTGACCACAGCTGGAAATATGGCAATGCGGTGACCAACGAATAGTTGAAGAATGAAGCCAAGGCTAAGTTGATATATACAAGGGATCGACTGCTAGACAAGTGACGAACGATGGGCTGGTATCTTTTGTTTGATTATCACACTACAGTTCTTGGGTTTCACTTCTCAGGATTCACTTCTTTGAACACGGACAAGAACAGCCCTTTGTCTAATTACTCTTCACTTTTTAACATTCGTTTTAGACACGACGTGCCCAATGATACCTGCGATTCCCGTTTCACTCACTATTGTTGAGGGGGGATGCCATAACACCTGCAATGCATTTCCACAAACATACCCATCACTACCTGGCTATCAACACAGCTTCTGTTCCTGTTAACGAGATAAAACACCTCTTACACTGCCATCTAGAATCAAGGACCCCTTAGCCATGAGTTCCATGATACCAGACTCCCCACCACTTCCTACAGTCAACCACTTCTGCAAGAGATCGTTGCTCTCCTTCGGTTTGATGTTTGGTTCCGCAGTGCCAATAGTGATATGCGCGAGCGCATTGACAGTCTCAAACTTAACGTCTCCCTCATTCTGGAGTCGAGCTACAAAGCACATAACTCGATTGTCCCATACAAGACGTTCGAGCTGAACTTTGCACCTTCCAAGTTCAGGTTCGGATGCTGGTGCATCGCTATTCGGCAGCTGACCAGCTATCGACTTATTCCAGGCTTCAGAATGGAGCCTACCGAGCTTCGACCAGCTATCTGTATGTTGGCTTGAAGCGGCCTTGTGGATAAGGGTGACGTGAAACTCGTTTTGCAAGCGGCGAGTTTCCTTAAGGTGGTTGTAGAATCGTGCCGTCTCAGGGTCGACATCACGAAACATGGCGTCGAGAATGGCTTTGACTCGACTGTTAGGAAGCCGAACTGCAAAGAACTCTAGCTTCGGCTGCTTTGGTTTAGACATGGAGCTATTCTGCTGTTGCTGTTTGTTCTTTGGGCCTCTGTTGCCTCCTCTGCTTAGGTCCTGCTTCACTTCTGGTTTGTAGTCATCGAGCGCACTGTCAATTGCAGCGTCAAGCTCGTCAGCCGAGGGCATTCTAGTGAACAGTTTCGGGTATCTCGAGCTAATCTGGGTAACAACTGTTTCCAAATTCTCCCGCGAGCTCGCTGTAACGTCCAGGTCAATCACCAAGTCAAAAGCGTCATCCGGTGATTTGGTCGTGTCGATCGGCTGGAACCGATGCATGAAGCCGTCCATGATACCAATGATCTCGGCTGGGTCCTTGGATGCTGCTTGGATTGTCTGATGATTGTCACCGCGTCCAAGCACTCTGTCCTGCATGACTCTTCTGATCTGGTCGTAGTTTCCACGGTCATGAACCCAATGCAAAGCGACAAAACGGGCTTCAGGTATCACCCGGGAAACATCATCTATAATCTGAGCTCGCTCACGTTCTTGATGGTTGTTACGGTCTGCAATCATAACCCCACTGTCGACGACCCCGTTGCAAACTGCCGTGGCAAAACGCTGTGGCCTGTTGCCTTTCCCTACAACGTTATCATTCTGAAAATGTCCCCAGCCGAACAATTTCACCAAAGCTAGAGCTACGGTCGTCTTTCCACAGCCTATCGTTGCAATGGGAACTAATATGACATTGCCTTGCACATCTTTCGCATCTGGTCTTTCTTCCCCGGATTCGATCTCCTGGCGAATGATATCAGATCCTTTCTGGCCGAGTTCTGTCAGGAAGTCATCTCGCATTTTGATGATACCGTGGTTCTGATTGTAGAGCTTAGCGAGACCAGGTTGCTTGGCGAACTGCTTCCGTGCGAAGATGAGATACTTTTCGGTGACTTTCTTATGCTTTTTGTACCTTGGTTCTTTGCCGGCAATGATGGCTTTGGTGCATTCCCGCCACTGTCGGTACATCAAATATGGCTCCTCAAACTTATATTTGAAGAACCAATCTTCCCATGGCGCATTTGGAGATTCCCTAGCCTGACAGCGGATGACGAACCCCTCAGTGTCGCGGCCATCGTAATTCCCTGTCTCCGCAACATGTTCCAGGAAAGTTTTGACATGGCCAATGTTGTTCTCCATGACATACATTGTCTTTCTGAACCCCCATTCTTCCGCAAACTTGTCGACGTGATGCCCAGGATAAGTCGCAAACTCTGGCACGTTCAAATTGACTCCATGCAGGTACAGCCCAGCCGCGTCTGGTGCGTACTCAAGCACGTGCTCTTCGAAATCGTCATCGCAGAGTTCTGCTACAGCCGTCACATTCAATTGGTGCAACCTCCGCGCGAGCTCTTCTTTTGTCTTTCCCACGCTTGTCAGATGCCTCTCCACCCACTTCTCACCCGCAGCGGAATGGCTGACGGGAAGGTCTGGTCGTGCGCCAGTGGAGTGTTTGCTACAGACGAGTAGCGAGCCATCGTCCAGCCCTGAAATGAATATTATGCACCCATTCTCTTTCACACTGAGCTCGTAAGGTCCTTTGGTGTTCAACTCGACATTCTTCCATTCCGTTTTCTTGACTTCGCCATGATTGAAAAACTTATCGTATCCACGTACAGCAATGGCCTGCTTTCCGTCTAGGGTCTGATAGGTGAACAGTCCGCGGGCATAAGTCGGTAGATTTGGTTTCTTGTAGTCCCAGTCTTGCATCCGCCATGAATCAACCTTACGGCCACTCGGTAATGTGTACGTGTTCTTCTTCACCGATAATCCTTTCCCTCTACCTCCTTTCCCATGTGCATTGAGAGTTTGTACCAACTCGAGGATCTCTTGCGGATTCTGGGCGCGATAAGGTACTTGATCGTGGTGCGCCATACTTATGGCAAAGCTGGTAGTAAAGCTCCGAATGTTTGGCAAGTATAGAATGCAAGGTTGGGCGGCTTTGGTGCAGCGGCAGGCTTTGAACGGAGTGGAGATTGTGAAAAACTTTGAAGCGTAAACAAGCATCAAGGTATAGAAAGAGATTGAAGAGTCATCGCATTTGTGCGAGTGCAGGAGCTGTGGTAACTTGAGGCAGGAAGCTGTGGTATTTTTGGGTCACCGCGTAGATGCGTCACCGAACTTTTGCGTAGTGGGGGCACTTGTGCTGTGGAGCCACCTAGGCAGCCTTGGTCCCTTGCTACTAAGCCTAATCAAGCTGTTTACACTATTAGTGCCTAAGTAGATGAATTTAGCACTGTAAATGAGGGTACAAAATATTTACCGCCTAACAACTATTCTTAATACTAGGTCTTCCTAGGGTGGTAGTACACTAAAAGTCCTGCCGTCTAATGGCCCGCAGTTGGTATAAGCTGACAGTATCATCCAATACTACATGCATTTCGAAATTTATACTTCAAGGATCTTACCACTCCCTACTTCCATACAACAGACTCTGTTCAGCTTTCCAAAAATCCGATCTATTTCAAAGGATCCGTCTCCATCCATATGATTCACAGACAGGGAACGTATGTCCGCCGCATGCGGCCACACTCTCAATAGCTCATGCGTTCTCTGAATGAATCATCTCATCAGGTGCATTTCCGGATTAGTTTTCGCAAGGATTCATATAGCATCTACCGAAGAGCGATGACTCGTTCAGAGCTGAACCTATCGGACAAATCGTTTATGGCATCGTCAGAGATTGATATCATCATCTTGACATTTTGATGGGTAAGATGGGTGGGACATTATAGGCTCCAGTAGCCTAAGCTCTAATAGTATATTTCCCTTGATTCAAGAAGAGGTGATAGGCAGCGCACTCAAAGTAAGTATACGACTACTATGGCTAAATGGAATTTTGACTGAGACTTAGGGACTTTTCCTCAAGAACCTTGCTACATATTCAGATCTACACTGAATTACCAGTCCGAATACCGAATGGTACTGGGTTTAGACTGAAAGCGGCTACGGCGGCCTATAAAATATCGCACTGCCCTACCTGTGGACAAGAGCAACCCATGGACATGGAATGTTATAGAGCTATAGATGAGTTTCTAGCACTGGCTTTCTGGTCTTGGTCCGCGCTTCTTCCTGTTGCGGCATCTCATCCCACATTGCTTATAGAGGATGCGGTAATACTCCAGAGGGACTGTTTATGCGTCTAGCTGAAGTAAGTAGTGGACGAGACGGACTCGGATCGCCAGGCATGTTATGCAAGCAGCATTCTCTGAACAATTCAAATAAATCGATGCAGAGTATAGCTAACCTTCAGACTGTAAGGATTAGTATATGAAGGCGATATTGGGAGAAATACGACTAAAACTGATTTTGCCTCAAAGTTATCATTCGTCTACCACTTCGTAGCCGTAGCGGCTGTATTAACCTCATTGGATTGACGCATGAAACAAGTAAAGCTCATGGATGCCATTAGGACAGGCCACCGTTGTTGAGTCGACAGAAGTCTGAGCACATGACTACACCCTATGACTTGATCGAATTTTCTCGTCTTTGATTTGAACGTCACGCAGCTCCGTATGCGGCACTTTGAAAGGTATCGGTCCGTTCTCTCGTACTCGGGCGAGCTGCTCGTATGCATGTGCCACCTTCAAGAGCATGTCGTCAGCGTATGGCTTGGTGACAAACAATAGCGAGTATCTGTTTGGGGTTCAGCATCCGTCACTTCAATTCATTATGCTTGCTTGTCGACTCACGGCATGCCTGGGCCCTTTTTCACAAGATTCGGTTTTCGTGAGTCGTGCTGGACGGGCGTGTCATCAGGCCAGAACCCGAGCGGCACTGATATAACCGGGAACCCCATTTTAGCGGCGAGATCGTTCACAACGTCCTGGTCGGCTGGTACTGTGAGGATGTCAAGATTGAACTGTTCCATTGCTCCGAGTATACCGCCAGGGCCGCCAAAATAGTTTTCTTGCTTGATCATTTCTGCATACTTGGAACTGTCGACATCGACCCCTTCAGCCTGCGTCCATTCAAATTTAGCGGTATCTCTGTCTGGGTATTCCTCTTCTGTATGTGACTTTGTGAATTCGATGATATCTTCAACAGACTGAACATTGTTCGGGTTGGTCACGAGGCTCTGAAGATAGTGGCGGATGTCTCTCCTAAATTCAGAGGCTCGCACGATGCCTTTGACTTGCATGTTGAGCGACTTGAACTCATCGATAGCAGGTAAGTCAGCACTATCAACGATCCTCGCCCCTGCGGAGCGCATAATTTCCAGTGCTGCTTCGAATGATGCTTCGATTGGGCGTGGTGATTCGCCCTCCCAAGTATTGCGAGGAACCCCAATTGAAACATTCTCAAAGCTGGTCCCTTCGCAGTACCTAGTGAAGTCTGGAATTGGATGAAGTGGAATATTCCAAGTTCGTTCATCTCGTTCACTACGTCCTGCCATATTACTGAGCAGGTATGCCGCGTCCTTGACTGTTCGAGTCAAGGTGCCAATAACGTCCTGTCGACTGGAGATCGGTATTGTACCATCAGTAGCAACAAGTCCACGTGTAGGCTTGAATCCCACGACGTTATTGACTTCAGCGGGCCCCATGATACTGCCCCAGGTCTGCACGATCTGTCAGTCGACCAAAACCCTGTTGTACGTGCGTGTCCTTACTTCTGTGCCCAAAGCCGCAGTCGAAAGTCCTAAAGATACACCGACTGCAGAGCCCGAACTTCTGCCCCTTGGTATCGAATTAGGATAGTAGGTTCCTAACGTTTGACCGCCTCTCGGACTCCAGCCACCACTGATATTTAAGCCTCTGAAGTTTGCCCATTCCGACATGTTCGACTTTCCCAGAACGATAACTCCAGCTCGTCGCAGTTTAGTCACCAGAGAAGATTCGACATGAGGCTTTGCCCCCAACAGGGTATATGAGCCTGCTGAAGCATCCAGCTTGTCCAGAGTGGAGATATTGTCTTTGATCAAGAGAGGTATACCGTGCAGTGGACTGTGGCAATAAGCATCTCCTACCGAAGCACCAGGCTATGACCGACCCTCTGCTGCCTGAACGAGTACGCTCCTGATCCAGACTTTCTGCCACATCAAGTACGTCAGGATTGATCTGCAACACAGCCTTGAATTCTGAAGCTTCTTCAATCCTCGCGAGGTAAGCTTTCACCAGCTCAACAGAAGTGAATAGGCCTTCTTGTAAGCCATCAGAAGCTCTCTCAATTGTAAGACACAAAAGGGAGAGAGGATCGACGGAGTCTGGCCTTACGCTTAGTAGTTTAGAATTGTCCGGTGGCCTGGAAAGCATCATTACCTAATTTTCTCACGTTCATCGTCATCAGACCTTGATTACCCGAGAGGAAACGCAGTATTAATATGAAGAGATATAAACCGCGAAAGATGAGCAGTCGCCAGTATGGACGATCCAAGCGGTTCATCGATGTGGGAACAATGTAGGTAAGGCAGTAAGTAATAGTGGCGGTAGCTAAAGCACGCTAGCACTGACAGCAGGGAGGGGGAGAGACTGCTCGTTAAAATAGCGCCTTGTGCCAGTTGGGCTTAGCGGATAGTGTGGGAACTTTTTAGGTGGCAGAGACACCTCGAGATCCTTCCCAATTCATTCTTGGATAATCCGATAGTTTCTGGTCAGGTTGTTTTGATCCCACCAGTTGCAACCTTAGAAGTCGACCTTCTATAGGTGCATAATGCAAGTGAAGAGTTGTCCTGAATTGCGAACTTGGCAACATCGCCATTGACCCCTTCAAGACCCCCTTGGTGTAAATTGATTTGTACAGTTGCCCACGAGCAGTGCTGAGCTATGATCCAGTGGGAGAAGTTGAATTCCCAAATTGATCAAGGATGAACGCTAGCCGTTCCTTGATGCATGATCCCTGGAGGGTGGGGATTTATGGCCCTCTACTGTCAGCTTTCAACGAAGGATTCCCATCATCGGCATCGAGTGCTATCTTAAGGGAAGGAATACTACTATTGCAGCGGGACTTGTGGCCCAATACGAGCGGAGACAGTGTTGCTCCAGATATAAGAACGTGCGTGTGTGGCATCGAAGGAACCACTGGCTCGATGATCCATCGAAATGCATTTTGGGAGCCACGTAGGTACCGGCTGTTAAGATGGTGACGTAGCTAAACTACGCATTATCACCATGAGCATGAATGGTCACTTTCCAACAGACACATTGCAGTCCACTAGGGATTGTTCTCCGGGCTGCAAGGGGTGTAGGGCACGGGTGAGTCGAAACTTGGCGGGGTTCTAAGGATGAGTTTGGCTATATCTACCTTGAAGCTACTCCCGTCAGCTGTATCGTGGCTGGCACGTCGTATAAGCTACCAAAACTATGGCCGCATCTAGCCTGTCAGTAGAACACCTCTTTGAACCTATCATCTGCTAATGATCCTCTGACAATGACACAGGGAGCACTTACTGTGCAGTCAATGGGATTCGGTGGTCTGCGAATGCACCGAACAACAAGAATCTGTTGATTTACGACAGGTTGAAGATCATAAATCTTGGGATGCCGTCCAGAATCAATTACAGGAGATGGGCGGCGATCAGGGACTCGCTCTACTTTCACGAAGTCTATTGGAGGTACAAGACTTTGCTAACATATGCATGCATAAAGCATCAATGAACATCGACTGTTCCATAATCTGGGGATACATGTGGTTGGTTTTGAAGGTATGGCAATTCATTTTCCATAACAATGCTTGAGCTGACTTTGTGCAGATCATCCACGAGACTAAGACTGGTGCACACGTTTTACCGATACTGCAGGACATTACTCAAAAGATTGGTCTCTTCACCAACTATGTCGCTGGCACAAGCGCTCTGACCGTAGGAATGAAAGGATTTTGTGTCGACATTGGTGTGGCTCTGCTCCAGTTTCTATCTCACCTGCTCAAGTTCATGAGGAACAATACTGTTCACACGATACGCGGTATGATATTCTGAGTCGTGCTCGATGTGTATGTTGACCTTCAATTCACAGGGCACATCTCACCCATCGAATGGCAACCTCTAGACAAACAGTACTCGTCATCATGTCGTCAAGTTCATGATGTGATCAGTTGCATGGAAATGCTTCTCAACTTTGCGAGGCGCCCTAAGCCCGCGCGTGATGTAGGCAACGGTAGAGAAATCAATGATTTGCTGGCACCAATGAGACGAAGCTTAATGTGGCAAGAACCGGCAAAGCTACCCTGTATTATTCTACCCTCTGCCAGGACCCCAAAACTTTTTGATCGAACAGAAGTTACCAGAAGTATTGAAGAGCGGTTCAAGTCTGGTATCCCCGAACAGTCCTTGCAGTCGCTAGCAATACATGGCCTTGGAGGAGTTGGGAAGAGTACCGCAGCTCTAGGGTATGCTGAAACCAAGCTCCAACAGGGCGAGCTAGATGCGGTCTTCTGGGTTCATGGTGAAAATGAGTCATCGATTAAACAAAGCTTTACGGATATTGCACTTCGTCTCAAGCTCCCAGATGCACAGCAAGGCGATCATGATGGAAATCGTGTTATGGTCTTGCACTGGCTTCAACGCACCCGTAAGAATGGAGGTCTTCAGTTCTTGCTCAATCGCTGATTCTTATTGTGGTAGAAAGTCGTTGGCTTCTCGTGTTCGACAACGCAGAAGTGGCCGATCTAATCAGAGAATATTGGCCTCTATCAGGTCGCGGCCAGATTTTGATCACTACTCGTAGCTCACCGATGGCTTACGAACTTACGAATAATCTGATAGAAGTTAGCAATTGGAACGACGAGATAGGATTGAAATTTTTGCTCCATCTATTATCTAGGGACATAGCTACAGACCTTGAAGAGAAAGAAACAGCATCAGCTTCGGAACTGTCAGAGAGACTGAGTGGACATGCTTTGACAATATCCGCAATGGCTGGCCTTATCCATCGCCACGCGTGCTCAATCACGGAATTCATGGCTTTCTATGATCGATATCCGGGTCAAGTGAGTGGCATATCAGCAAACCGCTCAATCAACGCAGTTTGGGAATTGTCTTTCAAATCGCTTGACTCAGAAAGCCGAGTACTCTTGGGAGCTATGTCTTTCTTAAAGCCTGACAGTATCCCACAGGATTTGTTAGAACCGCAAACAACGGAATATCTTGACGAAAGTATCATATTTGCCCAAGACAAATCCAGGTTAGTCTGCCAGAGATATTCGATGCTTTCAAGTAACTAATCGTCTAGATTTTCTAATGCTGCAGAAAACCTTATTAACGCTGCCCTTGTGAAACATGACCGTCACTCGAGGACGTTCTCTATTCACCGCTTAGTTCAAAAGGCCTTTAGGATGTTTCTATCGCCAATAGAACGGCACGACGCTTTCAAAAATGCTGCGACATTGACGTTTAAGGCATTTCCAGATCCGCGTCGCGGAGGAACTGCAGGTCCTATTAGTCTTTATGACACATGGGACCAGTGCGCTACGTACTTCCTGCACGTAATCAGCCTCAAGGATAGATTCCGTGAGGAGATACATCTGAACCCTCAATTCACTGCATTACCACTCTATTGTAGATTGAATAACTCATGTCAGAGGTAGGACACACCATTTGTGTATTCAGCCCCAGAACTATACGCTAAAGACTCAGCAGATACCTCTTAGAGATAAATTCTTTGGACGAACTTGGAGATCTCGTCGACGTCAACACAATGGCCCTGGACACATTACCCTCGGAAGGGAGAACGGTGAACCTATACGGTTCATTGACGTCACATCACGGACAGCTACTTATGCGTTTAGGTCATCCCCATGAAGCTGTGATCTGGCTCAAGAAGTCATATGAAATGCGGAGCCATGACGTGCCATGGAATCCACGAGAATCATCTGCCGCTGCGATCAATGTCGCTGCCGCTTTAGCGACTTCCAACCACTTCACTGAATCTCTACGCTGGTATAAACTCGGCTATGAGCACTTCATGGAATGGTCATTGAGACAGCATGATAACAAAGCCGTAATGTCTCCCACAATTAGGATAGAGATGGGCCTTTGTCTCTATTGGCTGAATGATGTAGATGCTGCGAGGGATCAGCTGAGCCTAGCTCTTACACATATAGAGTCTACGACACCATACAACTGGGCCAGAGCAGCTGGGTAAGAGACCTATAAGAGCGATGTACTTTCAAATGCTAATCCTGCAGGGCTCACTTCGGCCTCGGAACTGTCGACCGCCGTGAACGCAAATTTGACACAGCTGAATGGCACTTCCTAGAAGCGCAGAATCTATGGCTAAAAGGAGATCAGATGCGCACCCACCCAATGTATGCGGCCTGTTCCTATCGGCTGGGGTGTGTCGCAATGGAGCAAGGAGATATCACTGCTGCGATGTAAGTCGAACTACTACCACACCTTTACTAAATGGCGTGCTAACATGCTCAAAGCAAGCACCTGCATGATGCGATGAGACAAACCGGAAAAAGCAGTCATATTATGACGGCAGAGCATATGAGAGTCCTCTTTAAGCTTGCGGAAGCCCTTGAGCAAGATCCGAGAAGCACGAGAGAGTCCATATCAATTCGTGAAGAGGCCGAATGTCTACTGCGCCGACGTGTACCGAATATTGAAGATCCCGGGAGCGAGAAGATATATGACAGTTTTGTGTGTATCGAGTGGCGCTAAGAGGTCTCAGTGAAAGGTCACGAGCAGCAATTGACTGACTGCTTTCCCTATTTTCACCACATTATTGGCACCTGTGATTGACTGATACACAAGCTCGCTACGGGTATCACTATTGCGCGCCTTACGTTCACTGGCTGTCTCAGGATCCAATAGTGGAGATTAATCAACCTCTGATCGGAGGTAGGAAACCGTTATTGATGGTAGGGACCAAGGACCTTGACTCGTCGTAGTCTTCTTGCGAGTGAGACCCAGCTTGAGACCTGAACTGATATCTCGAGCGTTCTGCGGAAGGTTGTCTTGGATTTTGAGGCCGTCAGGAGTTCGCAAGCGGGGCCTCTGCTGGACGTTATACATAGAATCATTATTTCATGAGTGGGCCTAGAAGATATCTGCAATTGGCCCATCATTGGAACACGTAAAAAATGTCCTAAAGTGTAGTTGAGTTTATCATAGATCCATTACCCGCCAATTTCCGTTATTAAACTCTTGCTCGATAAATGGAGAGGGATGCACATGATATCGTGTCTGGTACGCGTCAGAGGGGTTAGCCGCTGCAAGTATAAGAGCGCTAACGGGAGGAGTAAGTCCTTTACAGCCGTACGGCTTGTGAGATCACTGTCGCACATATCATTATGACTATAGATTAAGGTTTTGCAAATCTGAGCGTGCGACAGATCATCGTGGCTGTGGAGCTGCAAGAGAGCGTAACTCAAGCACGTGGGCTCTGAGTCCGGTGAAGCTGGGGATGATACAATTGGGCACATAAGAGGTGCTGAGATTCAATTGCCCTGTGATCCTTCTGTTAGCTTGTATTATGGTTGTACATGGTCATTATGCTTGAAAGCCTAGTAAGGATTTTTCAACAAGGAGATTTTTACTGCCTGACCTGCGAGCATTAGATCCGAACAATCTCCGCGCACGACCCTCAGCCACGCGGGTCATTCTGGTAGTGGGGCATATTAACGGCTCTCATCTTCGTTTCTCATTCCCAAAGACCATCTGTCTGCTGCGCAAAGGTCTTCCAGCAGGCGCGTGTTGTCTGTCGGACCAATCTCACCACCCAAGCCAACATGGCCGACTTCGAAAGCGAAACGGACAGCGATTACACAAGTTACTGGCGCGATTGGGTAAGTCAACACACCTACCTTCATTCTACACACATGGACACGCGGCGTGAGAGTACAAGACATACAACATGATGCAGCAAAGGATTAACGCAAACATGGGGATTGGAGCTATCATTAAGGATCCACCATGGCTGTGAAGCATCGGCAAGACGCGCCATGGATCAGATCTCCAAAAGGCGAAGCCTGCCAGCGCTCGGGTTGACACAGAGCATTGACAGGGGATCGCGCCCCTCGCAAACACCTATTACACAGCCCATGTCAGCACTCAAAGACAACTCATGATAGCTTCAATACATATTCTACCAAAATGCTGACCAATGTCTTGCAGTTCATATCCTCGCGCGGCAACGAATACTTCTGCGAAATTGACGAAGAATACCTCACCGATCGCTTCAATCTGACAGGACTCAACGTAGAAGTGCAATACTATCAATATGCGCTGGATCTCGTAACAGACGTCTTTGACCTAGATTGCGACGATGACATGCGGGAGCAAATCGAGAAGAGCGCGAGACATCTATACGGACTGGTACATGCGCGATATATTGTTACGACGAGAGGGCTGGCAAAGATGGTAAGTGTGCCGAAAGCCATACGTTCCATCCCATATATCAGCTTGGCCCCTCCATCCTCGCATTCATCAATATACTATACCCGAAGAGAGGTGTCGAGAGCTGACCTCAAATCTGTTCTCCTAGCTCGACAAATTTAAGAAAGCCGACTTTGGGAAATGCCCACGCGTGATGTGCACCTCGCAACCGCTCCTCCCGATGGGCCAGTCCGACGTACCCAACACCTCCCCGGTCAAGCTCTACTGTGCGCGCTGTGAAGACATCTACAACCCCAAATCCTCACGCCATGCCGCCATCGACGGCGCCTACTTCGGAACCTCGTTCCAGAATATTCTATTCCAGGTATATCCGTCGATGATGCCGGCGAAGACACAACGGCGGTACGAGCCACGGGTGTTTGGATTCAAGGTTCATGCGGCTGCAGCATTGATGCGGTGGCAAGCGATGCAGAGGGATGATATGAAGGATCGATTGCAAGCGGCGAAGGTGGAGAGTGGGTTCGAGGAGGAGGATGAAGAGATGGAGAGTGAGGACGAGTTGGACGACGAGATGGAGGGAGAACAGGTCGCACCCCCATTATGATAATAAGAGAAGGTAATTACGTTGCGCAAGTGGCATTGTCAGGTGTTCGGCGTTTGTTTGTTATAGCAGGCTCAGGTGCGGACTTGGTGTATAGACTCGCACCGTTCTTTTCAGTATCTTAGACCTGACATGTCCGATCCCCGTTGCTGATCTTATCTACTGATCATTCCGAATGTGTGATTCATAGGCCTCTAGCTCATGATAGTCACATTGTGTAGAGCTGAGAACACATCAATACACACGCACGAAAGTCACGTTTACAGCAAGAGAATCGCTATGAAGAATGATAATTTAATCCTTAATTGAAATTACAGAACCATGACTGTCTGTCAAGGCTGCCAGTTGAGCACAATAGCCATGCAATAGCCATATCAATGATCCAGCAATGTAGAACCACACGTGCAGGCGCTCGTAGCTCAGGCACACCAATGGCTTGATAGATCCATCCCATAGGGGGAGCATTAATTACCACTAAACCCAACGTGATACATGTTTTCGCATGGCCCTGGAACAACTCTCGCCAACTTGAATCGTCTGAAGATATCGTATCATCAGTCGATGAAAGTATGAGAGCTTCAAAGTCTTGCTGGTCTAAAGCATCGCAGCGTCAGCCCGATATGAAGAAATGCAAATTGAGCTTTAGGAATGAGACGCGTATTTTTTTGCACCCGTTTACAGGAGAGCAGCAAAGAGCGCACCAGCACCGACAAGAGCACCACCAGCAGCCTTGAAGCCAGCAGCAGCACCCTGGGAGGATGTTGGTTCGGCGCCGGTTCCTGATGCACCGGATGGGCTGCCGGATTCTTCGTCACCACCATTCTCGCCGCTGGTCTCAGTAGGAGACGGGGTAGGTGTGACAACGGAGCTGATGGAGGCTTCGGTGTTGACAGACACGACGAAGGTCGAGTTGCCGTAGTTGAGGGTGTGAAGGCCGTCCGAGAGACCGGCAGGGATAGAGGCAGCTGGCGGCTGAGTGGTTACAACAGCAGGGTTTTGTGGCTGGCTTGTGACGAGGTCAGGTTGGCTGGTCACAACAGCCGGCTGGCCAGTGACCACGCCGAGAGAGTTTGTCTGGGTAAGGTATTTGGTGTTCTCGTTGGTGTAAGGCTGTACGACGTTAATAATCGTGTGAATAGTGCGTGCCAAACGGAGTGTGACATACAACAGAGCTGACAGCACTGTCCTGGGCCAGAGCACCAGCGCACATAAGAGCAACGGTGAGGATCTTGGAGAACATTTTGAAAGTTATTAGAAGGGTAGTATAAGTGATTTGAAGTTGTTGAAGCGATTGGTAGTCGAAGTGAATTATTAGCGATAGGATGAAGCTCGAGAGCGACGCGATGCAGTAAAATGGAAAGTTGTTGGCGAAAGAAGAGACCAGAGTGTTTGCAGGGGATGAAGTAGAAGAAGTAGAGGTGAGAGGAATAAGGAGGTCCGCTATTAAAAGCAAGACCCGCCTGTCTTGTTTAGCGTCGTTTCGCGTCTTAACTAGGATCTCGCCCAGCAACGGCATGCAAGATTTGCGTTGCGCCACACTAGAGCTGAGCGAGCACAGACACTTTGCGGATCCAAGCGCCGGGCCATCTCTCTCCCCAGTTTGTTCTCTTGCGGTCAATCATGCTAATTACACTCTGGCAAGACACCACGCACCGCAGTTCCGGAGCTTAATCATATTTCATCCCGATAATAATGCCTCTGTCCTGTTGGAAGTCCGCGTGGCGCAGAGCAGCCAAGGTCTCTGACTGACAAAGGTTGGCCACCCAATACAACACGATATCCATTTTTTACGCGTCAATCTTGTCACACTTTACGTCAAAGCAAAGCTGTTTTCATGCCCTTGTGCCAGACTCACAGTCACCAAGCCAATGATGATTGGCTAGTAGAGCAATAGCCGATTTATTGACTACGTGCGCTAGTCCCACTTCACTACAAGGATCCCCACACATACGGTGACTTAGCACGTTATATATAGCATACTCACGTATCAGTCAAGACAATGACAGAAGTCGTAAAATCTTGTAGCTCGATACAATCAACTGACGATGATGCCTGCCATTGCCCATCTCATGCAATCTACAAGAACATGATGATCCCACGGCACCCCGGGCGACTAGAATGTTTTGGTCCTCGCAGTACGGAGATCAGTCAAACCATTGTATCTACATCAGGCTGAAGCGCAATCACGGGTACCTGGTGACTGCTCACGACGCAAGATGACCCACAAAGACCTGCATTGCTCCATGCTATCACGTGTCCAGCAAAGGTTCTGCATAATAGGTACAGTAGTCACCACCGCAATCGACACTTGGTGAGCAAGTGATGGTGTGCAAACTATCCGAATAATACTCGGACTGTTCTACCAGCAAGTTTTGTAGCTTAGCCTGATAGTATGCGGTCTAGTTTATCTCCATTGGTGAGAAACAGATGGACCGCAAGCGCCAAATGTCGTTTGTTTAGTTGTTTTATTTGTTTCTAAGGCTGTATAGTTGTTGGACTGTACTGTTGCTTTGAAACGTGCTTGTGTGATTCATGTCCAACTTTCTTGCATTGTTCTAATCATTCTGAGTCTGATATAAAGCTGACGCACTCTATCTTTGTAGGCATTTCCAACATCGATCAAATCTTTCCCTACGTACCTACCATTCGAGCGCTGTCTCGCGATCACTATGCCTAAATTCAAAGTCAGCCAGGAGATCAACCTTCCCGATATTCCTTTCCCCTTTCGTTGGATACCTTCAGAGAATGCTGCAGATGACATCAAACTCGCCGTACAAAAGCGCACTGAGATGACTGTAGAGCGACTGTGCTGGGTGTTACGGAACGCACCTCGGTCCAACAGTATAAGAGACTACATCTCCTCTTTTGACGTGTCAATGGTTCGTTCAAATTTATCAACAAACTTGAATGGCCATAACCCATTATTTTACGCTGTGGCATCAATGCACGTAGACGTCGTCGGTTTGCTAGTGGGCCTTGGAGGGGACATCAATGTCGCCCTCCCATCGAGACCTGGTTTAAGTATTCCTCTGATTGCTTTCGCTGCGCTTGAAGGCTGGTGTAGACTTCGTCGCCACCAAGGCACTGAAATGATACGAAAACTGTTGGCTCTAGGTGCCGACCACGAGCTGATACCTCGCGACATGTGGGAGGACTATATTCGCGCGCCAGCAAAGCTCGCTCCTCCAGGGGCCCTACCACCAAAGGCCACTTGGTGCTCTGGAAGAATTCGAATCGCCCTCGCCAAGGCTCTCAACCTCACTGATCGATATCTGCTTTTTACAGCGGAGGAATACAAAAGTCCCAGCAGACTTCAGTCCCAAATTCTCAGCGACACGCAGTCGAAAAGCCTATTCGAGCTTCCATTCTACGTTGTAGCTCAGCGCTATGCTATCGAGCGTATCCAAAAATCCCTTATGTCTCACATTGTCGTGCAAGATAGGCGACCTTTAGTTTTAATATTTGGTGGGCCTTCAGGACATGGCAAGACAGAGTTAGCACGCCAAATAAAAGACCTTCTCAATGTGTCTTTTCACAACGTCAACTGCACAGACATGAAGTTCAATAACGATATCTTTGGTCCTCATGCGCCATATAAGGGATACGAAGACGGATCACCCCTCAACAATTTCCTGGCGGATCGGAATGGCAATCGAGCTGTTGTGCTGCTTGATGAGTTTGAGAAAACAAGTCAAGAGGTACATCACACACTGCTCAGGCCATTTGACGAAGGTCTGTAGCATTCTGGCTGCCACTATTCATTAAAGGGCTTTCTAATCATATACAGGTATATATCAAGACCGTAGAAATGGTGATAACGTTGGTTGTAAGAACATGATCTTCATCATGACTACAAATCTTTTCGACGATGAGATTACGGCGTTCTACAACAACCATCTCGCCAAAAAGTCTCATACAGAAAGGAAGAATGTCAATGGGACCATCTACAGAGAGTTGCAGTCGCGCCTCCGTCAGAAGATGCGCCAGAGATTTGGGGTAAGTGAAACATTCATGTTTTCCAACGTTGGGAAATTAACACGCTAATCGCTCAAATAGGTTCCTCTGGCAGGTCGCATCCGAGAAATTGTGCCGTTCTTTCCGTTCTCCCCAACAGAATTTCCAGTCGTGAGTCACAAGAACATCCTCAAGCTGAGTGACTCCCTATACCCTCCGCCAGACAAGGACAATAAACGATACTTGGGGAAAATTCATATAGAAGTTGTAGACGAAGAAGCAGTTTGTCAGAATATTGTATATGACTCACAGGAAGGAGCACGCTCAATTGAGCGGGACATTGAGGATAAGATCAGAAATGGTGTCTTAGATCTTTATCTGGACAGAGACGACAGCCTGGAAAATATTGCTAAGTCCCCACTGATGAATATGGAGGTTACAATTGAGCCGAATGATGGTGATAGGAAGATGATCATTGTACGCGATAATGGCACTATCTCTGCACCTCGCGAGTTCCCTCTATCATTCTAGTTCAAAACATCCTCACGAGAGTTATGGAATCTGTTCAGTCGGGATAGGGAAGTATGGTGATAGAGCTATACTATACGTTTCGGATTATAAGTTAAATTATAACATACTTTATCTAAGCCTAATTTTTTAGTTGAACCTCAATGACAAGACTTCTATTTCGGTAGCTAGGCCAAGTTCCTAGAGCTCCTATACTGCACAAAAATCTAATGATAACGTTATAATAGCCTAAATTGGAGGATGTTATGTAAATACTTCGCATTCTTACTTTTGATCTCGAGTGGAAGCATGATCTATCTCTTCGGCTTGACTGTCCGTCCCGAATAGAGTTGACTCGGTCCTTGGAGATTTATTTCTAGAACTTCTAAATATTACTGGAATTTGGTATCTAGTAGCCGTACTCTACTAATAGTCTAATACTCTAATTGGTATGAAGTATGAATCGTCTAAAGCGGGGCATCACTGCTTGCAGCTACATCCCTGCCTAGCTGAGATACTTCATCGGATTACTTCCCGTACGCTCCGCCTTGCTTCTCGCATCAACCAAGAAATCTCACGTACAGTTGAATCTCCTACTTTTCGTGATGGAAGTTTTTATGCATAATGTGCCTGGAGATCTGACAGACAAGAGCCTCGCCATCCAACTAAGGCCAGTGATGGAAGCTCTGAATATCCGGGACTGGAGGTGCGAAAAGGTGAGGAAGAAGGCATTTGCTACTATTACATTTCTCCACACCGGTGATGGTATCCGGTTCCGACATCAGCATGAGCAAGAACCTGTCTCGACCATCAATCTAAGCGGTAAGCCTCAGTACAAAGCAAGGTTGCATCTACTTGGAAATGAAGTGTACTGCACCTTAAGCCACAAGAATCCAAATCCGTTCCTTCTCAAATCTCTTGCGAAGGTTGCTGAAGATCGTTCTCATATGGAAAAAGAGAGGTAGGAAATCTAACATTAGGGATGATACGGCATTAACCTCTATTAGCAGACGCCCAGAAGAACCGAAAGATGATACAGTGGTATTTACAACGAAGAGTATATCTTGCGGCTGCTATAGGTACATGGGCAAGAGCCTGGCTTACTTTCCAGAATTTGTGTGGCCAACGATCGAAGGCTCGGCGAGATTTTTGAAACAGTCGCTGTTTATCAGTTATCGGGATTCCCATGGCTGCAAGAAAGTTGAAATTCCGTTTCGGATCATCGAAAGTCTTGTTGCATCGGCTGCCTCCCATACACTCACTTTGACTCTCTGGGAGCCCCCAAAGCTCTATCAAGTGCACGATCAGCAGCTTCAGAGCGCCATGGCACAACTAAGCTTCAATCGACGTGCGGAAAAAGGACCCGATATGAGCCGCCTCAGTGGCTTGACCCAAGATGTTTACGACCACCAAAGGATTATGGGTCTGACTCTTGTCTTTCAGCTCACAGTGTCCGCGTTTGCATTTGATGTATACGTGAATAGACTAATCAAACGCGAGACTATCTCGATATGGCAGCGAGATCTCTGTAAGCCCAAAGTGTCCCAAGAAAGATCTCTGCGGCTCGATCAGCAGAATTTGCAAGCACAGATCCAAAATGTCACGAAAAGCGTGCCATTCAGTGTCTTATTCCAGATGGAAGCTCTGGTGCGCAACGGGTATCTTCTACCGTCGACTGTTGAGGGCCTACTGAAGAGAATTGCGACGTGCTCGGAGAGCATCTCTGATACCGCTATTAGAAAGTTGTTCGAACAACTACCGTTTCCAGGCCCAGAGGTTGACGCATCTGTGTTCGACTTAGATGAGCTATGGGATTACTTGTTAGACAACGAGATCCAAACTAGGGAGGCGCTCTTCAAGCCTCTGATCACTGTAAGATTCATCGCGCACTTAATCAAGTTCGAAGGTTGGGGATTCCCACGCGTCGCTAATAGTCATCTAGGATAGAGCTCTTCAAAATATTGTCATGGTTTACAAAGCTCGTGTAACACCAACTCGAACTACCCTTCATGGCCCTGAGCCTGAAGCAAAGAATCGTGTGCTCAGGCGCTTCCCGGAACATACGAATTTCTTTCTGCGCGTACAGTTCTGTGAGGAGGACGGTACTGATCTGCAATTTAGCACCACTGTATCAAACCGGAAAGTATATGATCGCTTCACTAGTGTTCTGAATAAAGGTATCAGCATCTGTGGTAGAGTGTATGGCTTCCTCGGATTTTCGCACTCGTCTCTCCGCAGTCACGCCGCTTGGTTCATGTCCACTTTCTTTAGTGAGAAGCAGCTACAGTCTTATGTCACCATCATCAAGTGGCTCGGTAATTTCGACAAGATTCGGTCTCCTGCTCGCTGTGCTGCTCGGATCGGCCAGGCCTTCTCCGAGACCCCTCTTGCTGTTTCATTAACAGACAACAGTATAAAAACACGTCAGATCCCGGATGTGAGTGTTCGTACAGATGGCGTGGAACGTGTTTTCAGCGACGGCGTCGGACTCATCTCACAAACGGCTTTGGAACTGATACACAAAGCGCTACCCAACCAGAACTCGTATCCAACATGCTTTCAGATCCGTTGGGGTGGAGCGAAAGGCATGATTAGCCTACATACCCGTCTACAAGGCAATGTTATGCTTTACCGCCCATCAATGGTTAAGTTTGAAAGTCAGGTTACTGCCAACCTGGAGATATGTGACCTAGGTCGCAAGCCAATTGCCATGATGTTGAATCGTCAGGTACGTCTAGTCCTCAGTACACAGTTGCCTATACAAAGCCTCATATATTAACATGATAATTCTCAGCTTGTCAAAATCCTCGAAGATTTGGGCGTATCTTACAACTGGTTCTCGGCGCGTCAACAAGAAGCACTCCGCCATCTCCGACTACTTACTGCAAACGTCACGAATACCGTAAGTTATCTCCAGCACCAGAAAATCGCAGACAGCATTGGTTTTCCGCAGTTGATTCGGCGTCTAAACGATATCGGAGCGAGCTACAAACACGACCGCTTCCTCCGCTCTGTTGTAGAGACTCTGATTCTACGGGAGCTGCGGCTGCTAAAACACAAAGCTAGAATAGAGATCCGAGAAGGCGTTACACTTTTCGGCATCATGGATGAGACTGGCTACCTGGAAGAAGGTGAGGTCTTCATCACTTTCGAGAAGTCGAAGTCCGGCTTCTTAAAGACGTCTTTCCTCGATCTTGATAACCAGCAGATTATCGTTACCAGGTCCCCGGCACTTCATCCTGGTGACATTCAACTTGCTACAAACATTGTTCCACCGGATTACCACTCACTCAGAGCACATCGCAATTGCATCATCTTCTCTCAAAAGGGCCAGAGAGACTTGCCGAGCTGCTTGAGCGGTGGTGACCTTGATGGTGATATTTATAACATCATCTGGGATCAAAACGCGGTCCGTGAGTGTAGATATGTACAAAAGCCAGCAGACTATGCTCGTGTAACCCCTATCAGTCTCGACCGACCTGTGACGAAAGAAGACATGTCTAGCTTCTTCGTCAAATTCATGGAGACAGATCAACTGGGCATCATTGCTGTGAAGCATATGTGTCTTGCAGATCAAAAAGATGCCGGCACTATTGATGCTGGTTTGTTACTCGGGTACCCAGCTATGATAGCACGCCTCGCTAATCCTTCATCCAGGGTGCAAGACTCTTGCAGAGATGCATTCAACAGGTGTTGACTACTCGAAAACAGGTATTCCTATCGACATGTCTCAACTAAGAGGTCTAAAAATTGATCGTCACCGGCCTGATTTGTAAGTGAAAGCAACTCAAGTAGCCTGGTATTGAGCAAAAAGAGACTTACATACACGTAGCCTTGCGCCCGCTCCTATTGCAAATATCAAGGATCGTACCGAGATCATATTTGACGCGCCTACCGCTCCAAGTGCGGAGGTGAATGCAGACGAAGAAAGTACAGGACCTTCCTACTCATACTACAAGTCCGACAAAGCTCTTGGACGGCTCTATCGCGCAGTAGATGAAAAGAAAGTTTGGTATGACGAAGTCAAGACTAGTTACAAGCCAGATGTTGACATATGGTCAATGTTCCGAGACTACGTGTATGATGAGCTTGACCACTCGTATACACAGATGAGGTATTCGAAGTCGCACATAAAGGAGGCCTGGGAAATTCGTCACGCGTGGGTGTTCTTGTCCTAGCCTGCTTCCGAACTCTGATTCCCTCCAGATACGAAGGCGGCGTCGCAACCACGACTGCCGACTACTCGGAGCATGCATCTAAGACTCTCACCGAGCTAGAATTTTTCACTGGTAACATCTTTAACAAAACAGGCTCTCAAACGCCACGCCAACGCGACAAGTCCATGAAACTCAAGGACGAATTTGATCGTATCACGAAATGGGGAGCTACCATGATGCGTAGACGTAATCTCATGGCACTGGAAGAGGATGAAGATGAACGATTTAGTCAAAAGAGTGGCACTGATGAAGCTTTGAAGTTATGCCTTGCTTGTTTCGACGTAGGTCGGATGGACGATCCGCAGAAACGAAATGGTATGGGTGGGAGGGCTAAGAATACCTGTGAGAGTTTCAAGGTCGTCGCGGCGTGCTGCGTCGTAAAGGAACTTGATGCAGCTATATGGAGAGCAGAAGCTGGCCATTGATCACGATGACGAACTTAATGATTTGCTAAATTCCGTGCCAGACAATTGGCGTTTCCATGGTCAGGTTCGGGAATTTTTTATGACACCGTATATACTCCTGCCTCGTCATCTGAGGTTCATGTTGCTCCACTAAGACCGGAATGATATGGAGCCAGACACCATTCGTTAAAGTTGTGTTCGTCCTCTGTAGATTTTTCATAACGTCATATGACCATATAACACTACGATCCTACGACAGACTATGAGCGTCTATTACGACGCATAGGAATATTTGCACATCTTAAGATAGTGTGTATCATCAGGCGTTGCATAAATAGCCTGGGTCAGCCGGTTCCTTTGCAGTACGATGTTATTATTACGACTGACCAGACTATGCGACGTTACCCAAGGAGACGAGAAAGAGAGACCGCGACTGTACTGCAGAAGTCTTGTCTATCATGACACTACGTCTCAAATTTTGCTCTCGCTTGCTGGCCAAGGTGCAAAAGCCGCTCGATTTTGTCCTTAGATCCTTTGACGAATGACTCCGCAACTTCGTCTTTCCGCATCGGATCCAAGGCTAACACGTCATATCCATCGTCGAATCCTGGAAACACCGGCCTGCTAGAGCCGATTGTCTGCAAAATACAGAGTTCGTATGCCAGGGGCGTCAGGCTCATCTTGGGCAACGGTGCCAGCGTTTTCAAATACCCCAAGTTTGTCTGACCTTGAAGCATTTCCGGTGGCAGTGCTCTCGAACCTGAATCCTGAACTGCACCGAAGCGACTTGTCTTGAAGTACTTGAGAATGCCCATTGCTGTACCACACAGACTGGGGCTGATATTCCAGCCGATCGCAGGGTCAGTCTTTCCGGTGAACCGCTTCAACAATACGCTTTGCACCGCCAAAGCCGTCGCGTACCCAGTCGTGTAGTCATTGATCACCATCCCAGGTGGCCACCTAGGCTTTGCATCTTCCTCTCCCTCGCCCATAACAGCCATCATACCGCTGCTAGCCGAACCTTGCATATCGAAGCCAGGCTTGGAAGCCCACGGCCCGGTTGTACCATAGCAGCGCGTGCGACAAACAATCAACCCCGGGTTGATCCGACGTAGATCTTCTTCGCCGAACCCGAACTTCGAAATAGCATTTGCTCGGTACGAATCGATCCATACATGTGCTTGCCCGACCAGATCTCTGAGACGAGATACATCACTTCCCCTATGGAGGTTCAAGCGAGAGGATGCAGTACCTAGGTTGGCGTATGTGTAGACGAAGGGGTGCTCAAACCCATGAGTGAACATGATTTGAAGAACAGAAGCCCCGTGTTCAGCGAGGGTTCGGCCGGCGGATGGACCAGCGATGGCGTGAGTGAGACAGAGAACCTTTATACCTGATAATGGTCGGTGGCATGAATCGGGAAGATACGACCAAGGAATATTCTCTGTTATGGGTTGAAGGCTCTTTGCAGGCTCAGTGGGAACCCATGGCAGTTGGGCCAAATGACTGCCTTGAGGATGTGAACTCCATGATTCTTCAGTCTGACAGATGGCCATGGGCATGCCTGCTGCAGCAGCCGCAACTTCGAGCTCTGTGGTTATCATCAACGTCAGGCCAACCCGGAAAACTATCGCAGTGCGTCAGTGCCTACCTTCCGAATTCCACTTCCTCACTGCGTTCCTCACAGCACTCTCTGCAACCGAACAACCCAAAAATGCACTCCATCGATACACCAGATCAACGTACACAGCACTCAGGACGACCGACCGTCCATCCCTTGTCTCAAAGATATTGAAAAGAAAAGGATTGCCAGCCACCATATCCAACGGTATCTCCTGTCCATTGAGTGAAGGCGTCATCCCAATATCCGGATCGATATAGTTGTGTCCGCGCCGCAGATCAGACTCAACGCATTGTCGCTTGCCCCCTCGAGCCTCCCATATCTGCGCTGCTGTGACAGCATTTGCCAATGCCGGTATTGTGCCTATGAGTGACAGATTGATCTTCTCGCTTTTAGTCTCCGACACCGGCGGAATGCCTCCGATGAAACTGATTGTGGGTCCTTTCTCACTGGTGGGTAAAGGGATGTTGAAATCGAGCAGAATATCTTGCAAAGTACGCAGTGCGACCTCGTGGGAGGTCACTGACGAGCCAGCCATGACTGAAGGCAGACACGCGGTAAGTTTATCGCGACACGAACAGGATCTTGGAGGGCAGCATGTGAGTATTTATATGGTAAATGGATACACTGGTACGTCTCCAACTAAGCTTTTACGTGAAAAATAGGATGACGTTGTCGAATCGAGTGAATAGAGCATGGGTAAATTCCGTGGAAGTCGGCCACGATCAAATTATTCAGCTACACGCATATGCTCTGTAAGGCGGGATACTCCGTCGTAGTTCTCCGAGCGAATTTAGAACAGCCTAGGCGTTCACTGTAGGGGTCAAACAAACAACTCATAACAAGAGATGTCTTCGATAGAGATTTGATGCATCTTGACCACTTTAGGGAAGTAGAGCAACAAAAAATAAGAGCAGGAAGTAACGAGTATACTCTCTTATTATCAGGTGATGTTACTAGGCCTACATAAATGGTAATATAATAAGTTGGTCTGATGAAATAGTGCTACAAACAAGCTTTGGAAGATATAATCCCCAAATCCGAGAAAAGTATCAGTAGTACTTAATATATAGACCTTCCACTTCAGTATTCCCGCTAAAAGGATAAAGTAGAAGTTTTATATGCAAGTTTTCAACCTAACATCAACTTGCACTTCGTTAACTCGTTCGCAGAGACAGCGAACATTGCATTTAGCCGGCCAGCTAACAAGCATATACCCCAGATTCGCGGGTAGCCAAGATAAAGACCCACATCCTCCCCTCTTCACGACGTAGGGTTGATCCCTACCGCTATCCAATAAGACCACTTACTGATAGTTTTATCCGGAAATTCTCATTCTCCATGCCACGCCACATAACGATCATCAGTCGGGGTCTCGACCATGTATTTAGCAGCACTGCTGCCCTCAATGTTCCTCTGCCGATGGAAATCCCACTTGTGTATTTACTAACAAAATGCATGTTAATCTGCGGCAGAGTCTTTGGACGCATGTTCTCATAGCCTGTCTATACATCGTGGTGATTGTGCACGCGACTGGGCTACCCAGTGAATTAAACCACTCATCACCCGGACGACAGCGGATAAGGCTTCATACAGGATGGCGCTTCCAACGGTCTGAATCAAACCCGGATGGTCTGATATACGACCTTCGCCCCGATGCCAATGGCACGGAGCTCCAGGTATTGAGACCGTGGATCCTGCCCGATGCAAACCAATATATCAGGGACACGGACAAACACCACGCGCGGCCGCCCGGCAATCCGGGGGCTAATGTTTCTTTCGTATGGAACGACTTCGATGATTCGTCCTGGCAGAGTATCACCGTGCCGCATGACTGGGCTATTGCAGGCCCGTTCCAGAATGATAGCTTTTTGTCCTCTATGGGATCTTTGCCAGTTTATGGCGTGGGCTGGTACCGGAATACAGTAACGATTCCAGCTGAGTACAAGGATGGGAACTTGTTGCTTGAGGTTGATGGAGCGATGTCGTATCCTATGGTCTGGTTGAATGGGAACTTCGTTGGAGGCTGGGCGTATGGGTATAACTCTTTTCAGCTGGATCTCACCCCCTTTGTGAGATTCGGACAAGAGAATCTGCTGGCCATTCGCACGGAGGGTCCCTGGGATACGTTCTCTCGTTGGTATCCAGGAGCTGGGTTGTATCGCAACGTATGGATCGCAAGTGTCTCTCCCGTTCATGTTGTGCAGTACGGAACACATGTAATATCGAGAGATGTGACTGAGGAGTCAGCAACAGTCGATCTCAGCGTTCAGATTGAGAATAGCGGAAAGGACGAGATTCAGCGTGTTGAAGTCGTGACAACCACATTCGAAGTGGAATCAAGATCTGGCCTCTCTGGCAACAAAATAGCTAACCGACAGTCCACATTCCTGGACATCCCTCCAAATGAAAGAGTTGCAACCAATATCTCGTTCAAAATTGATCGTCCACGGCTCTGGGGTCCAGTACCATCCCAGACGCCCTCTCTCTACAAGGCTGTGACCCAGCTATACCGAGAGAGCATGCTCATAGACACATACAACACCACTTTCGGCATCAGATCCGTTGAAATGAGCTCTACGAACGGCCTACTGATCAACGGCAAACGCGTCTACATCCAAGGCGTCAACATGCATCACGACCTAGGCCCCATAGGAGCCGCATTCAACACGCGCGCCGCCGAACGACAACTACAGATCCTGCAAGACATGGGCGTCAACGCAATCCGCACGGCGCACAACCCGCCCGCTCCCGAGCTCCTCGATCTCACCGACCGCATGGGCATGCTCGTACTCGACGAGATCTTCGACTGCTGGGAAGTCGCAAAGACACCGTCGGACTACCACTTGATCTTCCCAGACTGGCACGAGCCCGATCTGCGCTCCTTCATTCGGCGCGATCGCAATCACCCGTCGGTGTTTATGTGGTCCTTCGGAAATGAAGTCCCGGAACAGAGCGTCGCGCTCGACGCTCGCGCCGCGGTGATAGCGACTGCTCTGGGCGATATCGTCAAGCAAGAAGATCCCACGCGCCTCTCGACGTGCTCGATGAATCTGTCCAAGCCTAACCAATCCCTGCCCAATGCACTCGACGTCATCGCACTAAACTACCAGGGCGAAGGGATCCGCTATGGGCCAGGCTACGAGCACTTAACAGGCAACCGCAGTCCGCCGCAATACGACGCCTTCCATGCGAAGTTCCCCGAAAAGGCAATTTTTGGCAGTGAAATTGCCTGGTCACTGAGCACACGAGGCACCTTTTTCTTTCCCGTAACCAACCTGACGAGTGCGCCCGCGAACGACACAAGTCTGGTCGCAGACGGAGGCGGGAATTCGACGCTGAAGGAAGTCAGTGCGTACGAGCTGTACACGTCGCAAGCAGGCTCGTCGCCCGAGAAAGTCTTTGCCGCGCAGGACACGCACCCCTTCGTCGCAGGTGGGTTCGTATGGGTTGGCTTCGATCATCTCGGGGAGCCGTATCCCTACGAAGGCACGCGAAGCACGATATCAGGGGTCCTAGACCTGTCCGGGTTCAAAAAAGAGCGGTTCTGGCTGTATCAGGCACGGTGGAGATCAGAGACAAGAATGGCGAAGATCGTGCCGCACTGGACTTGGGCTGGGCGAGAGGGGTTGATCACGCCTGTTCATGTGTTCACGTCAGCAGACGAGGGCGAGATATTCGTCAACAATGTATCACAGGGACGATTGACGAAGGATGCGGATGCCTATCGGTTTAGGTGGGATCAGGTAATATATGAGCCAGGAGAGCTCAGAGTTGTGACGTGGAAGAATGGGACATTCTGGGCAGAGGACAGAGTGAGGACTGCTGGGCAGGCTTCGAAGCTAGTGCTTACTGCCGATCGGAGTGTCGTTGCTGCGGATGGAGAAGATCTCTCATTCGTGACGGCGGAGGTGCTTGATGCAGATGGGAATTTTGTGCCTGACGCGAATGCACATATCACGTTCTCCGTAAATGGCACAGGTGAGATTATTGCGACAGACAACGGATTTGCAGGCGACTACGTGAGTTTCCAGTCCACTATGCGAGCTGCATTCAACGGTATGGCACTGGTTGTAGTGCGATCTATTCCGGACATGAGTGGTACGACGATAGTAACAGCGACGGCTGGAGGATTGGAGGCTGCGGTCGTGGAGATTGGAACTCGCTCATTTATTTCCACGCACGCTATGTAGATTGCACGCGTGGTGTCTTGCTACTTTCATGAGCTTAGTCCTCACCAGGACATATGATTGAATGATTTACCTCCTAAAATGGACCATGCCGGCATCTATCTCGTAATGCATCCCATGAAGTATCAACAAAGTGTTACGTTCACACTCAACGCTCGTACGCTGGGGTGCTCTTGCCCCTTTAGCCAAAGGCGAAAAGGGAGCAAGGCGGAAAGGCAGCCAGTCAACAAGGCAACAAGGCTCAAAGCGGGTGTTGGTGTCGTTCCTGATCGCTGATTCGTGGACTCAGTTTCGGAGCGCGCGTCCGCATCAACACGATACCAACACGCCAACACGAACAATTCAGCCTCGTCAATATTACCTTAATCTCCGGTCTAAGTTATTGTGAAGGCAGCGGATACACAATTAGCAACCTTCAGGTATCTACGTCTGATGCCTTTCGCTCGTGCTGGTGAATGGTATGAAGGATCTCACTCGCGCATCGGAAACAAGGAAAATATGACGTTCAACAATTGACCATCTCGTCTGGACTTGAATCAAGCGCAGTCTCCGGGTCATTTACGGGGGTGAAGTAGTGGAGCAGGTATACAAATAGATGATACTGATGCCTGGTGAGATTCTCAGCCGCAGTAAACCTCCGGGGGCCTAAGAAGTAGTGGTAAACGAGGCTGAAGCGTCACAGTGCCAACCGTTCTACCTTGGCGTCGCACGGATCGAGTTACGCGCATCTTAACTAGTGTGGCTTACAAGTCTAGTTCCCCGTACCTACCGAACTATAGAAAGATCTGACGAGTTGGTGGCTCGATGCAGACGAGCTTGTATATTTGTAGAAAAAGGTGAGCATGGCAGTGTTTCGACTTCCGGACCAATCAATACCACAAGCTGAGCGTGCTGAGTAGATGCCACTGTCACTATGCAGCCAGGTCACGGCCTGACCTCAGAGATATCGCCATGAGTGGTCCTCTCTCTTGGCCCCAAACGAGGCCGTCAACCATCTGCAGTGTATCGTAAGATGTAATGATGGCTAAGACTGCCGTGTATAAAGCGCGAACGGATTCTGCGTAGTCCGGCAGTGATAATACAACTGATTCCTAAGATACATACACACTGTCTCACTGATACCGAACAGCCAATTCTGGATTAAGATGGTTAAAATCACTGGCATTACCGGCGCCCAGTTCGAAGCCGACACGCCCGAATACGATACCGCACGTATCCAATATGCCACTTTCGGCGGAAATCATGACGACCAGGGGCTAGACCCTCTCCTGATCATCAAGCCGAAGAACAAAGACGACATCAAGCTTGCACTTGCATACGCCAATGAACAGAGGATCGCTGTCGCGATCCGCACGGGGGGACACCAGTATAGTGGTGCATCCTCAACGACATCCCAGAATATTCAGATTGATCTGTCAGAGACATTTGCGGGTGAATGGTTCTCAACCGAGGAAATTGATGGAGAACATAAGAGGTCACTTGTGCGAGTCAGTGTAAGCTGGCGTCTTAACGACTTCAATGCTATGCTTGGCGCGAATGGTCTATTCGTTCCGCATGGCCAGTGTGGTCATGTTATGTTAGGAGGTCATGTCCAGACCGGGGGTACGTAATTCCAGATCACCCCAAGAGGTAAATGTACTAAGTTGAGGCAGGATATGGACAGCTTGGTCGCAGCTTTGGTCTGCTGTCGGATCATGTTCGGACGCTGGAGATCATCACGCATGATGGGCAAGAGCTCGAGGTCGATCGCACGCATTTCCCGGAGCTGTTTTACGCCATGCTGGGTGGGAGTCCGGGGAACTTTGGCGTCCTGACGCATGTAACGCTCGAAGTGCATCGCGACCAGGATCATCAGGGCGCACGCGCGATGAAGGCGGGTTGGTTGTATGACCCAGCTGTGATGAAACGGTTGACAGATATGGTCGTTCAAATGGGCGAAGACGATAATTTTCCCGCGAATTTCGACTTATGTGTAAGCGTTATCGACCACGGCGCGGACTTACCAGCTCACGGTTTCGATAATCCTGCGCTGAGAGACAGCAACGACCTGGGACCACCTATGATTGTTGTATATGCGCAATGGGTACCATTGACCCCAGGTGAAGTATTTGACGAGCGAGCTCAACAATGGTTCACGGAGCTGGGTCAAGGCGCTTTTCAAGGTAACACCATCATCGAGGCGCCAATGTCAAAAATCACACCCATGTGGATCTTTCCCAACCCACGCGAATACAACTTACCATACGTCAAGCGCGCATACGTCACCAACTCGAAGACATTGTCGAAGGATGGTTGGGCGCAGTGGGTGACTGATAGATGCACGCAGATTGTGGGAAAACATGCTGAAGACCTGCATCTTGCAGTTCAACTCCAGTGCTTTGGAGGAGGATTGTCCAAGTTCAAAATAAATGCTGACAATGGAACATCGCTGAGCTGGCGTAGGGACAGCACCATTGTGGCCGTGTTGGACTGCTTCCACGACGAAGATTCCAAGGTTGATGCGGAGCAATGGCAGAACGTGAACGATGAGCAAGGTGTTGGTCCCAAGGGTATCTTCAGCAGGGAGGACCGTCGGGTGCTCTGGGGCTCATACGGCGAGTGGGACCTTGACAAGGTGTGGAACTGTTATTACGAAGACCGTGAAAAGTACGAGAAACTGGGTGAGATCAGGAAGATCTATGACCCGAATGGAGTGTTCACGTCAAATCCATTCTCAGTGAAGCGCGCTGTTTGAGTCAAAGAGCCGGATGAGTGTAGATGGCGGTTCAGAGTAGCGAGACAGGATGTATGTATTAGTAGCACATGTATTCAACGCAACATTCTTGCAAATCGACGTGATCCGTTAGGATTGGGTGACAGCACCCAGCCATGCTCTTGGTGTCGCTTGAAGCGATGACGCTGCAGTACCTGTCCACGTCTTCTCTATCACGTCGATCTTGCCTGCAAGACGTCCCCAAACATCTCTTCTTGAGTCGATACGGTGGTGTGCAAAAAATACGGAAGTGACTTGCAGATTGTGTTCCGTGAGGAGATTATTGGCACCATGTTGGTTTGAAAACCTGCTCAACCGGGAGCACGCTCTCATGCCATCGTCTCAGTTATGTGCTCAGTATGCGTCAATATCAAGCTGTGGATTTACCAATGCGCAACTAGCACGAAGGATTGCGCGCCGCTCCGGTGACGCCGACCCAGGACCTTTGGTCCCAATGGCTGCATGATGCTAGTGTATAAGAAGCCATATTGACGATGCGAGAGTCTTGGTCGCAAGACAGGGCCGGAAATGCACGATACCTTGTAATTACGCTTCCAATCGACAGCCATTCTACGTCACAACGAGCACTAAGGCTTGTGAAGAAGGATGTAACCTTATTAGCGCTGGCCGGATAGCTCAGACAGGTATAGAACATGACAATTGATATTATCATGCGCCGAAAGGAATGGGAGGAGATGGTGTTTACATTAGTGAGGGCGATGAGGAGTAGACCGGAGAAGATGAAGTTGAGGTCCAGGCACGGCCGAGCCAAAGACGTTGCTCCGAGCTGTCACTAGCCTATACTCTTCTACCGTAACTAATAAGAAGGATGACTAACTACCTATACCGAGATATACCGTATGTGTATACCCACGTGACACGAGTCCGAGTGTCAAGTGACCAGACCCCATGTGGGCGCAACTACTTCGCTATCGAAACCTCCGTCTCGGTCTCGGACTTGTTCACGGCTCAACATCTTCACCTTCATCATCTCCAGCTTCATCCTTCTCTAAAATCCTTCCATCGCCTCTGTCCGAGTCTGGCTCCTTTCTCTCTGCCCGGCATCGTATTTTTACCATCCTGGACCGATGTTAAGGTCCACCTGCACCAATCGACTCATGCCCACCACGTTTTTTGTTGGGTAACAAAGTTTGCGCTAAGACACCGCCTCCGAGATCTGGACTGGATCTCCCTCAGCGCAAACGTTTGCTCCGTGTATTGCTGTGTTGTGCGATCCCCTCGCTCTGCACATTTGCCGGGGGTCCCCAGATCAACGTGGTTGTCACATGGAGAGAACAGGGTCCAGGCTGTCTGGATGCTCTTGTCCTGCAGATCATTAAGCTTCTTGAAACCGAGTATGGGAATGCGACTGCACTGTCTTCCATGACATATCGCGATCCTCTTGCCGATCAAGGTTTCTCCTAGTAATGGAACAGTCTTGATACAGCCTTGTGGAGCCTTCTGGGCTGGCTGCGTCACGTCGAGCCGTGCTCTGATAAGTTGGCTTCCAATCGATACATCGAGACACCCAAGGTTCTAGATGTGGAGCATTAAGGAGCATTTTATGTCGAACCTGGTTGGCTGTGTCTAGGACCTCGCAACTCCAAATGTGTACTTGTCCTACGCTCTCTTGCGTGTGCCCCAGAGCTCAGGTGCCGTAGCATCCAGCCGCTGTCATGGAACAAGGTCTGGAAAGGGTCACAAAGTTTATTTTCTGCATAGCCGGCATGCCCATAGGTCAAAAAGACCTATCAGCCAGCAATCTCTCGACCTTACTTCTATTCTGTGGTTTTTTCACTCCTTCTCTCCGCCATCATCTCGTTTTAATAGTTCGTTCTCGCCCATGGCATCCCGATGGAATGAACTGGCCCTTGAGGACGCCAATCTGTCCGCTAGAACGTACTCTTTCAATAAAGGCTCCCCTCCCTCTGTCCCTCCTAAGGAACCCCTTGTCTTCGATTTTAAGGAAGCACTTGGTCTAGGGCCATCGACTCCCAGTGTAGTATCAGACTCTTCTGCTCATACACTTGGCTCTGGTGTTCACCCAGAGAGTAGCGCTTCCGCCTATCAACCATCTCGGCCTCAGCCTTTGCAGCAGTTTCATCCATATCCTTCTGCTCCACAGGTTTCTCACGGGACTCATAACTACAGCCAGAATCACCTACATCCTGAACGACACCGCGGCATGGCCCATTCCTCCAAGGCCCAGCAACAATGTTTGCGGCTATGCAAAACCACATCGGCAGCTGGTGATCGCGTCGCCGAACGCATGGCTGAGTTATCTGCTATTGCCAGGCATCTTCCTCATGGCTTCGACGTCCTAGCTAACGATCTGCTCGACACGTGTCAAGTCTTCGCCACTATCGAGTATGGACTCGGCGAGGTCGTGAGTGAGGGTCAATCATGGCCACTTGACATGATCTCCGTCTTAGACAAGAAATTTCGTGCTGCCCAAAGAGACTTTCAAAATCTCGATCACATGATCGGAAAGCAGCTTGAGCAAGAAAAGAAAGGATCCATGGGTCGCTGGTTCTCACGCACATTCGGAGATAGTGGACTTCATGGCATGGCCAATACACTAGCTAAGACTCGTGAGGACCTCAAAATCAGCGCATTCATGTTCCAGTGGCACGCTGGTGCAGACATCGAGAGCGAGGTTGGCATTGGCTATATCGGACTTGCCTCTGCGCTCGACGGTAAAGGTACCCGACGCAAGCCCCCGCCTGCGTCTGTAGCTTCCGATGAGACACATCGTCCCGGTCAAGTCCAGAGACAGCGAAGTCTGGATCACCCGCGAATGACTCCACAATTGATGGCGCCGCCGGCACCGCATGGACGCGGGGACAGAGCCTTCCCGTTGAGGAATGAATCTCTCGGAACCCGGAGTGATACGATGGTTCACAGCCTCGATTCACTAGACAGTCCAACCACTCCGTACACATCCAGTTCTACAAGCTCTTACTTCGACCCTAACCAGAATCGGAAGCCTGGTATGCCACACGGTCATGACGATAACTACCATTCGCACTCAAGCACAGAATTTGATGCTCTTGTTGGTGACATCTCCCAACTTGACCTCGATAGCATCAAAACTACACATATCGAGGCCGAACCATTTACAATGCCACGAAGGAGACCTCGAACTCTGGCTGATGCCGATAAAGTGGGCGCAACGAACGCCCTCGTAGCAGCAATTCAATGCAGAGATCATCGCCGCGTCGAGCAGCTCCTAGACCGCGGTGTTTCTCCCAACACTGGGCACGAGCATCACGCTTTGAACGAAGCCATGCTTGCCCAAGATGGTGAAAGTGTGCGCCTCCTTCTGCTTTACGGTGCCGATCCGAATGACCCTGACGCGAACCACGTCAGTCCTCTTGCCGTTGGAGCTATGAAGTCATTCCTGGCCGGAACCTTGGTTCTTCTCAAATATGGAGCAGACCCAAATTTGAGTGCGGGGCCCGACTCTGATAACGCGATTGTCATTTCTGGCAACACTGGCAACACCAAGATCCTGCACATGCTACTCATGTATGGTGGTAAGCCCAATCAAAGTGCACAAGACGGCAATACTTTGTTGATCGGCTCCATCACCAAGAAGGTTCCTCTGACCTTGGTTGACTTACTACTTGAATATGGAGCCGACCCCAACGAGAAGAACCAGGAAGGCAAGACCGCTCTATTCGAAGCCATCACCTCAGGTCGTGACGATATCGTCGCAAGCTTGATCAAACACAAAGCAGATCCGAATCTGCCTGGACCTAAGCACATGCTATGGCCATCGACCTACCAACCCAAGTGTCTTCAAATCCTCCTCGATAATGGCGCGAGCTACCGAAAATCACCTGGCATCATGGAACTCGCAACCTCAATCAACAACATAGAGTCAGTAAAGATCCTCATCAAGGCCGGTGTCGACGTAAATGCGAAAAAGGACGGCGTTTACACTCCTCTCTGTACGTCCATCCGTGATAACCGCCCAGATATCTTCAAACTCCTTCTCGCCAACAAAGCCGACCCCAATGTTCCCGCCTCCGAGTACCCATGCTTCAAGTGCGTCACCCACCATCGCGAGCAATTCCTGCCTGCCCTGGTAGCAGCTGGCGGCGATCTCTCTTCACCAAAGGGCATCCTGGAAACTGCCGTAACTTCAAACAACATCGTAGCACTCAAATGGCTTCTCGATCAAGGTATCAACCCGGATGACAAGTCTGGCCAGGGCCATACCGCCCTCACGTCCGCCATCCGCGATTCCCGCGTCGATGTTGTGAAAACTCTCCTCCACGCCGGGGCAAATCCTAATGTGCGCGGCCAAGACTGGCCCGTCTGCATGGCTGTACGCAACCCCGAGATCCTCAAGCTCATCCTCACAGTTCTTCCCGAGCCGCGCGCGTTCAAGGGCATCATGGAGATGGCCGTACAAGCCAACCAACTTGAATCGCTCCGTATATTGCTCGCGGCAGGCGTGAGTGTGGAAGATCGTAACGGAGGCGTTTTCAGTCCGCTCACGACGGCAATTCGCGAGCGCCAAGACGAAATCGTCGATTTTCTAGTGGGTGAGGCAGGTGCGGATGTCAATGCCCCCGGAGAGCATTTGCCCATTGTCAAGGCACTGAGGAGGTGTGCGGAGGTGCACACTGAAATCATCGACGTGCTACTCGACAAAGGGGCTGACCCAAACAAGGTAAGTCTTTTTTTCTTGCGTTCGAGAGAGCTATTACTAATATAGAACAGATGTACAGAGGTTGGAACGGCATCATGCAGGCACTTGAAAATGGAGATGCAAAAATGCTCAAGAAGCTTTGTGAGAAGTGCGGTGTGGATTTGGAAGTGCGGGACGAGTTGGGACGCAACGTGACGGAGATTGCTGTGAGCAGGCGGTGGGAGGAGGCCATCCAGATTCTGCTCAGCAATGCCTTCAGGAAGTGAGTATGACGATGCATAATGTTGGAAACGAGGGTATTGTAATGTTGCAGTTTGGTACATCATATACCCGGTCGGTGTTTGCGGACTGTTGTTTACACACATACCACTTTTCTCTTGGGTTGTCGTTATTATGTAATATTTTCTTGTATGTATGTTCATATCGATCTCTTGAAAAGTAATGTTACCAAATAAACATTCCTTTATCGCTACTATCACACGAGGTCTCTCACTCGATCATTATAATGTCGCTTCATCACGCTTCATGTCATGTCGCCCGGCTCATGGTTACCTACGTATTGGAGGATAGGATGTGAGGCTGCTGAAAGTATTTGTCGAAGGGGTGAAGTCTTGGGTAGTTACATGTGTTGTAAAATTATAAAGCTATACTGAGCCGTTGTTGTAGGCCAGCAGGCGGCAGGGCAGTCCTCGACTGAGTCACAACTCGAGACTTCATGTAAAATCACCTGTCACTAAGCTGTGAGAAGCATAGCAATGCTAACCTGCATTGTATGACTAAAATCAGCAGACTTCGTGTATATACACATATGCATGCCACTGTTATTTTTGCTCACTACTTATGTTCCACGGCTGATACGTTCGTAATGATTTTTTTGGTTTACGTCCTCTCACCCCTCACTACTATTGTCGCTTCATTCATCTTTCCTAGACTCTTCAACGACTACAGGTCCTTCGTATTAGAATGCTGAAGCACAGGTACGAGATAACAATACCAACTGTCAACGGAACGAGTCTCTTCTACGCAGCTCACCGATCTGTTTGTCGTTCCTTTCTGGGATTATCGTTTGCCCATCTTACTTCGCCCTGTAATGGCTGTCTCCTACGCTATAGGAATACCTTAGTATGGTCAAGCCTATCACACCTAGATCCAGTGATAGCTGCGAGACCCGCTTGAGCAGCGGGTGCCTTGCATTCAACATGCATAGCTAGCTGGGATTTGTGACTGGGATATGTCCACATTATTACAACGCATACCCCTTTTACCAACATAGTTGCACATTCGGATGTAAGGGTATCCTCGGTGTATCTCCATGCGCAACCGAGACACTCCCTGTCCCTGCCGTACCGGCATGCTACAGCCAGGATCAATCCGGACCCCCACATCCACTCCCTTGACAATGCTGTGCAACATAATAATTTGAGCTCCGAGCGTTACGAGGCACCCGAGGCATCCGGGGTTCTCCTGGCTAGTACCCCTTGCGGCGGTACCCCGCCCGAATCTCTGTGTGCCTTACTTCGTCGGCTAAATCCCATAAGGGATGCGATGGATACTGATATGGTATCCCGAGGAAGTGGGTGAATTACTGCGTGATGTCTGGCTTGGAAGGGAAAAAGGAATAGTGGGACGCCCGAGAGAAGGGTATGGTGGCTCAAGCGATGTGTATGAGTGTAGTCGTCTAGTTCTACATGCTTGCAAGATATATGAAATATGTATCAGTGGAGATAGTCATAACGGAAATTTACAGAGCGGGCTGAGGAGCGATTTTCGCGAACCATTACGAGCAACAAAAACCATAGGTGTGAACCGCTCTCTACAATTCGCGAACCTTCACCCGTAGCCCGCCTCTCGGTTTTACCGTAAACATGCCATCCGGAACCGGCTCCCCTTGTCCTTGCGCAAGCTCGAACTCGAACCGAGCCAGGAGCGCTGCCAGCAGCGCTTTCAGCTCATACCTCGCAAATCCCTGACCGATACAGCTCCTCGGTCCATGGAGAAAGGTGTTGAAGGCGAGGGCCGGTGCACCGCCTTTCACCGAATCTTCCATCCATCTCTCCGGTCGGAAAAGGTCTGCATCGGGGCCCCATGTCGAGCTCGCTCGGTTGAGCGCCCAGATGGGGATGATGACGAGCACGCCGGTGGGGATGGGAATGTTGGCGATTGTGGTTGGGCGCAAGGTGACCCGTGTGGTGAGCGGAGCGGCGGGGTATAGACGGAGAAGCTCGGATAAGAATGCTTGGAGGTAGGAGGATGAATCCAGAATGTCGGCGGTCATGACGCTATCGGTGTGGAGCAACGGCTGGAGCTCATTGCGTAGGCGGATTTGGATATCTGGGTGGGTCGCGAGGATGTAAAGGGCCCACGAGAGAGTTGACGAGGTTGTTTCGTGGCTTTGCAGTGTATCAGTAGGATGTTTTAGTAGAGTGGGGAAGAACAGAGATTGGTATTACCCTGCAGCAAGAAACGTGAGCAGTTGATCCGTGAGAGTGTCGTCGGTAAAGTTCCCTGTGCGCGTCAAGATGGCGATGATATCATTTTGATGTCTTATTCCATCGTTCATTCCCTGCTGCTTCTCCGTGAGCAGGTCACTCGTAATCTCTCGCAGCCTAGAGGCTGCTTGCGATATGGTAACAGTTGCTCGGAGGGGTATCCATTTAGCCAGCCAGTACGGGAGAATCTCATTAGTCAGATAGTATAGCAGCATATCAATTGACTTGATATCAAACAGGGAAGAGTATTGCTTGGCAAGTGCATTGTCAGAGTTCTCGAGAGTATTAAAATCTTTGCCGATGCATGCAGACCCGATGATATCAAGCGTCGCTCTCGATATGGGTGCTGTTACTTCCAATGAGCCGTCCTTGCGAGCCTCACGCGAAATTACATCGCCTAGTTGATGACCTTTGGCCCAGAAAATTGGAACGAGGTCTTTGATGTGACGTCCTGAAAACGCTGGAGTAACGTTCTTCCGCTGTTTCTTGTGCTCGTCCCCTTCTACATTGACCAGACCGTTGCCGAGAATCTAACAAGATTTATTGGTGGAGAGCTTTCGAGAAGATTGACACCTAGACTGACCATGGATAAAAGCTTACGAGCCATACCGGGCTTCTCATAATGGTACGCATGGGTGCTCACAACGTCCATCATAGCCTCCGGAGTGGTAACGTGAATGGCGCTGCCGAGGTGCAAGTAGCCTTTGTAATGAATTACTCCTTGATTCGGAACTTGCTCAATCCATTTCCTAAACACTTGACCTGGAGGCAGGCCCTCTATTTCTTGGGAATGTCCGAGAAAGAAGTGGCTTGTTTGAGGTGCGGGAAGAGGCCTGAGGGGAGACGTGAAATAAGGAAGAACGAGTTTTGAAATAAGGAATGCATATGCGACAATGAGGAAAGTTTTGGTGACCAGATGAGAATTAGAGAAAAGGAAGAACTCGTACTGGCGGGCAAGGAGTAGTACGCTGACGGGCATCAGTGCCAGTCCCGTAACGATTATATCTCCTTTGATGGTTGCCATGCTCATCCGTTGCAAGCATTTGTACGTGATGCGATGAGTTGTACTCTACCTGCCTATATGTTCTCACACACTTATCATATATATGAGAGGAAGCTGGTCACATTCGGATCGCGTTGCGAGCGGGAGGCGGACCGTAAGCAATAAATCCATCCTTAGTCACGAGCCACGTATGCGTCATACTTATCGTTGGACGAGCTGATCCGAGTTGCATTTAGACTTGCACGAAATGCCTATGCCATAGTTAGACCTCAAGAGGCCATATGCATCGACTCATTGCAATACCTGTTAAATAAAAAGGTATGTCGGATCGAGATGTGCAGGATTAGACGTTCTGCTATCTACGCGTATATGACAGTAGCTTCATTCCCGCTGGGCTATTCAAAGCTGTCCTCAGGCCTTTAAGTTAGTTGTACCAGAGCAGTGCTTACTTTACTACTTATGGCTTCCAACATATAGGTGAAGAGGCAACAATACTTCAGGTGGAGCAAAATAATGCTATACATACACCTATTCACCAAGATATATATCCAGACAGCTAAATAGAGTGCCTAGGTAGTACCTGTGTGCTCTCCTGCGCTTCGTAAAAAACATCCTACTCATCTCAGTAGATTTTACCTGTTACGATTGTAGGCAATATGTCCTCGGCCACATTCATCGATGACACTGGAATGAAGACATATGTCCCGCTTGGTTCGTTCGTGCCTGGCTAGAAATTTACGTCCTCTGACATTTCCCAGAGAACAATCCAGATGTTATGACTCAACTGGCTCATCGCCTCGGAGCTTCGACGGCCCTGAGCTTCTACGATATCTACTCAATGGACGAAGATGTCCTCAATTTCATCCCAAGGCCCGCACATGCATTAATATTCATAGCCCACGCCGACGCCTTCTTCAAGACCCGCGATGAGGAGAATAATGGCATGTCAGAATATGACGGATGTGGTGCCGATGAGCCAGTGTTATGGATTAAGCAAACCATCGGACATACCTGCGGGCTCATGGCTCTTCTACACAGCATGGCTAATGGAGGTGCCAGAGAGAGTATTGTGCCCGGCTCACTTGCAGATAGGCTCTTCAGGGCCGCTGTTCCTTTAAAGCCAAAAGAGCGTGCCAAGCTATTATATGACTCTGAAGAGCTCGAACTCATACATCAGGAATATGCTCAAAAGGGTGACTCGGCAGCCCCATCTGCGGCGGATCCAAACGAGCTGCATTTCATAAGTTTCGTCAAGGCGGATGATAATCATCTCTGGGAGCTAAATGGGGGTATGAAGGGGCCTGTTGATCGCGGAGAGTTGGGTCAGGATCTGGACGTGTTAAGTGAGAAGGCGTTGGATCTGGGACCGAAGGCGTTCTTAAGGGCGGCCAAGGAACATGGTATGAGCGATATCAGATTCAGTATCATTGCGATGGCGCCGACTCTGGAATGATTGGGCACGACGGACAGATGCTATTGTTGAGCGATGCTAGCGAGAATGAGTCTAATAATGAGAAAGCTTGTGGTGCCGTTGACTCGTTTGTCTCCACAAAAGTCTCGGGCAATTTTAGCGTGGATTTCATGAAAAGCAGTAATGCGCCAACATACATTCCACCTCAGATTTTCTCTATTCATCGCTACAAGCTCGATTGAGCTGCATGTAGCCACATGCAACATATAGCCCGGCAGGCATTACGTGCCACATCTAGAAGCCCTGCCAAACTCATCGCCGGCCGTCGTTATCCTCGCATTACAGTTCGGGCCTTTCACCGAACTTCTGTCGCGTCACACCCACGCACTCCACCTTCGCGACTCGCTTCCGACGATACAAACAATAGAAGAGACATTCACACTAGTCAAAATCATCAGGGTTACTCTCAAGTGGCACAGGATCTCGAACAGGCCACGAAGTCGGGTCGAAGCGATGGACTACCGCCCGTAGATTTCCCAGATTGGTTCCTCGACAAGAATGTAATACTATGCGAAGATAATCCTGTCCGAGCTGGGATCGAATCAGAGATATGGATACAGTCGGAAGAACCAAAATCGGCGAGAGGCTATTCATTGACACCCTCGTGGCCGCTTATCAGAACCCTATGTCTATCAGCATGGAACAAGAGGCCAGACACGGAAATAACAGAGGATGAATTTGATCGTAGCCTAGAATCCTTGTGTGCTGCGGACCCTGCGATTCTGGGGTTGTTGAAAGAAGCTGACTTCCCACGCGATGGGAAAATTCTCAATCCACTTTCGCGGTCAGAGGTCAAGAGAAAGCTTGCCGCAATCTTGAACGCTCCATTCCTCGATGCAAGATCACCCCGCACAAACATGAAGGCTAATGCTCTACTTCGGACGACGGATCAGGACGATTTGATACCGCTTGTGAAAGAGATGGCGGGCGAGCTCAACGCAGATGTTGTGCACATCGATGCTCAGGACATAGCGGAGCTCTTAGGTGGCTATGTCAGTAGTAAATCACCCTCGAAAGAAATTCAAAATCTGGGCTTTGATACATACGCGGAACGTGGAGTGCTGATGCAAGAATCTGAACAACGAGAGGAGGCCGAGGAGGAAGAAGATGAGCAAAGTGACGAAGACGACGAAGAACATGCTCCGCAGTCGACCAGAAACAATTCCATATCCTCTGTCCTGAAATCTCAACTATTTCCACTATCTCGTATAGCTGGGATGAGTGCCGTCGTTGTCGACGGGGTCACAGGCAAAAGAATCAGTCTAGGGAGTAATCAGCCCAGCCGTGGGAATAACTATGACCCAGAAGACCGAATTGACCGTCTCAAAATAAAGACATGGCTATCCAACTTACTTAGGCTTCCACAGTTCAAAAGATCGTCTCGAAATGGCGCTGCCAACACTCGCTTGGTAGAATCAGCACCCTCAGATCACGCAACTTCAAGGTCCTCAAACCAACCTTCGACAGATACTGGGGCTTTCGAGCAGAACACTAGGCTTGTCAAGGCTGCTTTCAGGGGCGTTGAAGGGCCGGAAAGTTCTGGGCACACGTTTATTGCTGACATCTCCGCCCTGGGAGATCCCGGTAAAGAGGGTGACCGCAAAATCGAGATTCGTGTTTCTGGACGATCTAGGCCTGGACCACCGACACAGGAGACTCCAAAAACCATCGTCGTGGTACGTGACCTAAAAGAAGTGGCTGATGTCAAGGTTGGCGACTTGATACTTGGAGAATTGCAAAAGATAATACAAGACCGCCGAGCTAACGGCGAGACTATCATGCTTCTTGGCACATCGACGAAGCTTCCTGCGTCTCGCCTGCCGTTAGGTTTCATTGGACAAGAGCCTGCACCATTGTACAACGTAATTGATGTGCAATCTCTGGACCTCCGGGGGCCGGGCTCAGAAGCGCTCGAGTTTACGTTGAAATTTCTTGATTTGATGGAACCAGACACATGGCCACAGGTTGTCGAACAAAGGACAATGGAGATAAATGCACGCCACATCTTAGACATGCTTCGCCTGTCGGATATTGACTCCATCGTTGCGGCGGAACCCGCGAGGGAACTTTCTGCCATACTCCCATCCCACCGGCAGATCTTATCCCCCGAAATGGTCTTTGAAATCATCCTCACCACGATTGGCACTAGGATTACGAGGGAGCTTACACCACAATTATCATCACTTAGTGAGCCAATATCAGATGACCACTCCCGGGCGTTTTCCTGTCTTCGAGACGCGGTGGCTCTACTTTCTGGTATCAAGCTCACACGAGACCAAAGAGCCCCCTCGAACTCCAGCAGTCAGCATGTTTTATCATTTGCAGCAAAGTTTGGAGGTGCGTCCAAAGCACAACCAATGATGACATGGGGTCGTCCAGCAGCTGCGCGTGACAACTCCCACGAGAAGCGCTTGAAAGGAGGGATCATCAACCCTGACGATATTCACACTACGTTTCAAGACGTCCATGTTTCGCCTGACACTATCGACACATTGAAAATGCTAACTGGACTATCTCTGCTTCGTCCAGAGGCTTTCACTTATGGAGTTCTAGCACGAAGCAAAATACCTGGTCTTCTGCTTTACGGCCCTCCTGGGACTGGTAAAACGTTACTGGCCAAAGCTGTGGCGAAAGACACACGTGCTACAGTTCTGGAAGTAAGCGGTGCTGACCTCAACGACAAATACGTAGGCGAGGGAGAGAAGAACGTGAAGGCTGTATTCTCTCTTGCAAGGAAGTTGGCCTCAAGACAAGGTGGCTGTGTGATTTTTATTGATGAAGCCGACGCCATTCTTAGTTCCCGCTCCTCAGAGACATCATCTCGAGGTCATCGAGAAACTATCAACCAGTTCTTGAAGGAATGGGATGGCATGAATGAGCAAGGAGTATTCATCATGGTCGCCACGAATCGACCTTTCGACCTGGATGACGCCGTGCTGCGGCGACTACCCCGACGTATCCTTGTTGACCTACCTGTTAAAGATGATCGGAAGAAAATCTTGCAGATTCATCTCAGAGACGAATCTCTAGATGAATCCATTTCACTAACGGCGCTGGCAGAGGAAACAAGACTCTTTTCAGGGTCAGATCTTAAGAACCTATGTGTGTCAGCTGCTCTGGCTTGTGTCAAAGAAGAGTACGAGTCCGACCTGGCCAAAGATGTAACGTCTACATTCCCGGCGGCAGCAAATATATCTTCGGAAGTTTCTAAAGGACATAATTCTGATGTTGGGCTGGACGAGTCCCACAATACTTCGGGGTCTAGGAAAGCCTCTACTGCCGAAGGACCAGAGTCGATGACCCACAAAGATACAGAAGCAACACCATTCTCGGGGTCTTTCAACACAGCAAGTGAGAGCAACGCACCACTGAAGCGTCGCGTTCTCCACAGGCGCCATTTCGATAAAGCTCTACAGGAGATAGGCTCTAGTGTCAGCGAAGATATGGGAAGCTTAGCAGCGATCCGCAAATTTGACGAGCGATTTGGCGACAAGATGGCGCGGGGAAAGAAAAAATCACGTTGGGGCTTTGGACAGGTAGACGCCGAGAGCGAAGCTGCGGCTAGTGAGCGAGCGGCGCGAGTCCGCTCGTAAGGAGACCCTGTGTGTATCAATAGATGCATGTATAGTATGTACATAGATGTCTGGGTGTATGTGTAAGGTATATGGCGGTTGCATTGCACGGGACTATATGGGATGATTGCTGCGTAAGAATTCTTGGTGTGTCACAGGCTCATTCGGGAGCTTGCGGCACGTCTTTGCATAATGTTCCTGACCTCCTTTGCTGTGACTCGCGACCAGCTAGACGTGATTTCCAACTTGTGAGGTGAACATCATTACCCATATTGTCCTACCCTAGGTTCGGACGGTGTAGAGAGCAGGTAGTGAGAGCATGCGTTCCAAAGTAGGTTCGGACAAAGGGTAGAAGTAGTGCGTAAATATGGGAATAACGAGATGGTATTCGTTGTCCGAGGCTGCGACGTCCGAGTAGATACTGGTCTGTATGTGTCTGCTGTGGTGTCGTCGCTTGACTGTGGCCTCCTTGTTGTCCTTATTCTTATCTTCCGTAGATGACTTGTTATATGAGGCGACTCCACATTGAGTGCCGGCCCGTATGACAGTGACTTCGTATGGATGATGTAGTGCAATAGATATACATGCACTTATGCCAGACTGGATGAACGGGTATCTTGCCCAGACCGTACCTACTGTGATACGTAGTCCCACCTCCTTGAATCATATGTATATTAATGCCCCAGGTTATGCGTTGACATGATGTCTCTTTCTTGTTTCAAGTCCTGTACTAATCTTTCTATGTTGAGTGTTATGAAGCCAATTTGCTGAGATGTAGCCACGCAGGCTCCGGCGCTTGTCGAAGCTTGCGGCATCAAAGTTTATCAGATCAATGGGAACGCAGTACTTTCCTCGAATCCGAACAAGTGGCCTCTTCCAAGCATTCAGAATCCATCCAGTTGCCAATTGCCTCGAGTATGATAGACCAGCTGTATATCAAGAGTTCTCTAGCTCAGGGCGAGGATTTTCAGATACTTGATATTTGGAGGCGCTTGTTTTGAGCCACCTTGTGATCGTAACTGCTATGCATTTTGGAAGGGCTCTTGTGCGAGCTCACGCTTTGATGGTGTAGACATGATGTATGTGTGTCTGAAGCATAGTGTGCGTCCAAAGGCGACGTTTGACAGGTTTCGTGTTTAGGATGACTGAAGAGCTGGGTGGGAGATCTTGTCAGGGGCAGTGTACAACGGAGGTAGTATAACCAAGTTTTCCCGGCCGAGGAGTTACTTTGTCAAAATTCCATTTAGTTTGCTCTGCTTGTTTGGGACTACGCACACAACTTTTTAGCACCATCGTCTCTAGCTTTCTTATTCAAGAATTCTTCAGGGACAAACTGTTTACAAGCTCTAAGGACTGATTTTGGCTACCAAAAGTGTATTTCCAGTCTTACGCTCGAAGCAGCTTGATCATCAATTCCGTTCGTCAAGTTATTGTTTACTGTTAGCGACACTTGCTAACGTCACTAGCCTGTCACTGCTCAGACAAGTGGTTAAGAGCTCCTTTCCATCATCATTTCCCTTTCTCCTCGAGTCAATTCGACATGGTATCTCGACGTCAGTCCGCCGCTTCAAAGCGTTCCAAACGCACACGCACACCCCTGACACCTCCAATTCCAACCCTCGCATCAACTCGGGCAAGACGTACAACTCGCCAGCCCATTCGATATGGCATCGACGATTATGTTACAATCACACGGGTACCTCGTCCACAGGCCTCCCGCTTGAACCCAAATGCGGTCACAACACAGCCCTCTCAGACCATTGCTCCAACTACAGCACAGAGCGCTCGCCCCTCGCAGATCGCCCACATCACTGCACTACCTACAGTACAGAATTCTCAGCCCAGTATGCCTGGTCTGAACAAAATAGCTACCATAGCTTCTGCTGCTAGTGTCGAGGGTGCCAAGGTCACGAAGGAAAAGACAAAGTCCACAGAACCAGATAAAACAGCTGATTCGGACATGCCAACGCTCAATGAAAGCGGCAAAACAGCTTCCGCTCCACCAGAATCTCCTCACAAGGCAAGCACAGAAATGAGCGCCTCACAGAACCGGGCTTCTTCGCTTGGTCCGAATGGAGATAACGCCGTCGCTTCGACTGCCCAGGGCTCCTCGAATATGCAGTACTCTGATGACTCTGTCGCTGCTCATGCCAGTGGTATAATGATTGCACCTCAGTCCGATGATGTAGATGATGCTGCCTTGAATCAGCCAGTCGTCCCAAACATGCACCAGGCCCCTGATTCTTCAATGGTCATCGACCCTGATGCAGCAAACGCTCCTGCCACAACAGGCAATTCCGCTGCTATCGACAGCCATGCAGCCATCAATATCGCCATCAATGCCCTCGCCATTGTCAACAACAGCAGCGCTCCTTCCACCACCGACTATGGTGCAGAGCATACAGAACAACACTCCTATGATGAGGAGGAAGATGACACTGATGTCGAGGAGGATACGCAGGATACATATGCAGTGGCAGCATATGTCAGAATGGCAGATGCAGCAGCAGATGGCAGCCTTTCGGAGGCGGATGACGACTGGCTCTCGTACTCGGAGTCGGAGCTTTCCGACAAGGAAAACATTCCGCCTCCTGGCGCTTTCTGATCGCCTCGTGGACTGTGGAGAAACGTGGGAATGCTTTAAGGTGTGTAGATGTGTGGCTCTGTTGAGTAGCGGGGTTTAGGTATAGACGTGGTCAATGAAATTACCATTAAAATGTGTCCCTTTGAGCTTCTAAGTCCTGCTTTTCGTGATAAGGAGTGGAAACGTCGTAGAGTCTATGACAGAAGACGACACTCTTTGCTCTCTGATATAGATGTCGACTGTCGGGTATCGAGACTGCTGATTATGGCAGTGCTCAGTAGGCCTAAAAACTCACGCCAGGACAGGTAATGGACGTAAGTGCTATTGTCTTCCTTTGAAAATGGCCTATGTAGTATCTCGACTGGAGCCAGGCAACATAAGAATGTAAAGGGCTTCTGCTGACTAACGTGTAGAAGGTATGGATGGTGTAGAAATGCAATCTCCCAGTATGAGTCGCTATGTCAAGAAGCATCATTGAGCACGTTTTCAGATATTTAGTACAAAGATAAACTACGCTCATTTCTTTCATGAGAATCAGGTATATGTCTCCTATATACCGTTACCACAGTCCACTGGCTTATGTTGAGGTTCCTAGTCTACTGTAAGACAGAGGCTCGCGCGACTGGGTACCATGACAGTGGGCTGGATCATAAGAGCACAGGCTTATTTCCCTTGAATGGCCCGCAGCGTGTGGTGTCATTGATTTTTTCATTCAGTACTATAAGATGGAGATATAATATCAGAGAAGGGTTTTAAAAGAGTTTCCGTAGATGTATGAGCCAGTGTGATTTTCATAGAGGAGGCTGCTGGTGGGTCTTTCGCTCCTCCTTATGAGTAGTAGTCAAAATAGGCTGCCACACACGAGCAGCCCCGTAGCCAGGTGCATTTGAACAGGCCTGACATTTGTTTTCGTGAGACATTCGCATAGTCTTCATTGGCAACGAGTTTCAGAGTTCAGATAATCAAGCCGATTCCTACGTGCACAGATGGAGAACCATGCTGGGAGTCATCACTAGTTCAAGATATCACACCATAAGCACCACAGGCTATGAGCGCAAATGGAGCCAATTTCGTGCAGCTTGACCGGTGTGGAGAGATGCCTAGTCTTGTATGAATGGTCCACTCTCAGTGTGCCCACGTAATGATGGGAGCTTGTTCAGTGACATGACTGGACAATGCCCCTGTTGCACCCTCATCCTAAATCATGGATTCTCTTGTCCATCCCAGCTTTTGCTAGCACGAGGACTCATCCATGCGTATGAGCGGGCGTCAAGGGTCGCGCCGCTCGTCTCGTGCCTGTCATCCATTGCGGCACAGCAAATGTTGGGTACTCTTATCAGGCGCATGCTCTCGTGGGATAGCCACCCTCATCAGCTTAGTACTACCCTCACGACGGCACACGATTTCAAACCTTTGGCTGATACTGTGTCACTCTCTTGACGAATCTCACGCACACGAAGGGGCTGGACAGATATTTCACTAGATCCTCTCTTGGACTCTCGGTGTGTCCACCACCTCATATATGCACAGTCAATTCTCAGTCCCTACCTCAGCCACAGCTCTTGCCAGATAGTTTCGTAGCGAAAAGTAGGAGTTTGTCGCGAACGTTGTGAGAGGTTAGGAGAATTACGAGCTTGGAGCAAGGTATTGTTGCATATGATGCAGAGGTGCTGCCTACTATGGGATGCTACCACCAAAGCTAATACAAAGTGTCGATCCCAGGTTCTAACGACCTTCATCGTCTATTTGTTTCCTCGGCCGTACCGTTCACCACGACTGTTTTCATATCATGTTGAACTGGACGCGAAATAGGTTGGTCGAGCGTACGCTGCGGTACTTGGGAAACGGCCAGACCTCCATCACTTGAACGATTCGATAGCTGGTTCGCAAGCCGTTCGGTGACTGTTGGTTCACGTCCGAGATAATCCGCCAACATAATAGGGCAATGACTAAATTATGTCAGTAAATTTGGTCCCTCTAAACCTAAACAGGCAACACACCCATTGCTCCTTTGAGAGATATCTCCTGACTGAGGAGCCTCATCTGCCATGATGGGAAGGTGGGCTACTACAAGGAGCGAAGCAGAAATAGCAGGAAAGTGAGTTATAGACAGCGGATCGTTTTCTCGTAGACACACTCCTTTTTATAGGAAAATGGTAAAAATACTCGACATGATTTCTGCATTTGACTGGCTTATATATGTTATAGAGCATGTTACGAGGCGGTTTATACACTGGTCGTCCTATTTGTGTTCTTTATGCAGCTTTCTCCCAGATAGTGACAAGATGCTTATCTGTATGATGGAGAGTGGTAAGCTGTGTGACCCACAGGACTGTATGTCAAATACGGCAAGGAGACAAATTATGTTGCATGCTGTCATGTTTGCGTGGCCGAGGAGCCTGAAGATACAGAATGTCATGGATGCCACGACACATAACCAAACATGCCAGGATCAGGTCCCCTGTCCGAGAAAGACGGTCACTACACGTAGAAAGTCTATACACCTAAATCTCTAGACTTGGTGGAAAACAGTAATTACAAGCGTGGTATACCACCTTCACTGAAGCATATAACGCGGAGTCCACATCTCTGACGCCTCTCCTGGACTGTTGCTCCAGTCATATAGAGTAGTCTCAACGTATCCTCTGCTTTTTTCCAGGGGTGAGATCGTCAGTGCACATGCTGCAGATTCTGGTTTCTGCAGTGTATCCTCATCACATCACCACTAGCTCCATTCTTCTGACCGGCGAACTTTGTTTCACCTATGAGGATAATGGTAGATGTGGACAAAACCCTGCTAGTGGTCCGAACCTTGCTTCGCGGCACCATCTTCAGTCAAGGTGCACTCTGGTCAGCCAGTGGCCTACAAAACTACCAGCGAAGTCTAAGAGCAGAGGTCGAACTAACAAATGCTACGTAAATACAGCTTTAGACGTGTCTTTTAGAGTGTAGCCCCTGATATACCTGTCGCTTGCGGCATTCGCCATCTTGAGCGTGCATGGAAGCGGGTATCTACAGCCTACTGGTGGGTAACACCACAGGTTGTAGAATGAATGAATGCTGATAGGACGATGCTTCGGCACAAACCTCGTTCGTATAATGCTAATCTAGATGCAGGGCCGAATGATCTCGCACTTGCTCAGTTAACAAAGTCACCAGTTCTCCATGCAGATTGCTGTACTTGATTATGGTCTTCCTCCATAGCTTCTTCTCAGATAGACTAGTCGTCGTAGAAAGGTCTCAGTGTACGTAATCTAACTTGATTACCCCTGCAACAACCCTCGAAAACCCAGCACGCAGATTAAGGTCATCAAGAATTTCGCAAGGCTAAGCTTGGTGGCCCAGCTCCATACATCCATCTCTACACCATGTAGGTATAGAACATGGGGTTTACAAACTCCGAGCACAGCTCTGATTGATCGAGTAAAAGAAGTCAAGGGGTTTGTTAGAGGCATCGCCTACTTACTCCTAGTCATTCAAATAATGTGCGAACCTGGTCCGCTGATTACTTGAGCTATAACTTGATAACGCATCAACATCTAATTGCTTTACATTAGACTCAATGGAGCATCCCTGACTTGTTCCCTCCAGAGGGGCTAGGATAGTTAGTATCGTTTTAGTTTGCTTGCGTATAGGATTGTCTCTCTTGCATGGATCGTGTGCAGCTCGAGATGTAGAGCCATTCGTTGATCACGTAGGTCTACCAGCATAGGCGTGATGCCCATTCCTATCATTTGACTAGATGTTCCCGATCCCAAATTTGCAGAGTTTGCTAGGTGATACTTGAACAAATGCGGCTTGTGTCCGAGCAAGGAGTTGCGAACAAGTAGAGAAGTTTAAGGGAAGGGTTTCGATTGTTGGCTTCGAAAGCTGTGCGACAGCGTGATTCCGTCTCCATTGCTCGGGTCCAATGCACTGTCGTCCGTGTCAGTCATGCATGCTCTGTTTTGTATCTAATTGCATAAAAGTGTCACAGAATAGCCCTCTCGAGTGATGAGGCGTCTTATTCGACCACCAAGATACTACACGGAGGCACCAATACAACGAGGGGCCAAGACACGCAGTATTCTGATTTCATTGACTATATGTTAGGTAAGGAGCGAAGCGTATTATGGTTGTTGCTAATGCCACTCGTGGAAGAAGCTGACTTGCTTACAAATCCATTATTGCTTGTCATTCTCCGCCTTGCGTTCATCGAAGACCTTGAGAACCTCCTCCGCGGCCTTGCACCCGGAAAGCACCATAGCACCGAAAGTTGGCCCCATCCTGTTAGCGCCGTCAACCTCCGAGAGCTCCATTCCGCCGACGATGAGACCAGGTACAATCTCACGAGTCCTCTTCACAATAGCATCCTCCGCAGTGTTCATGTCAAGACCACGCATGCCACCAAGCTGCTTGATCTGGTCCATGCTGACAAGTCTTTTGACGCTGAAAGCGCCGAATGGACCGTCATGGCCAGTAGTAGAGACAATGATGGGTGCATTGATGGTGTTGGGATCCATGCAGCTCTGATCGTCATGGTGCATGCTGACCAGAGTCCAGTTAGTAACCACACCGGCAATGCGGACGCGTCCGTCCGCTGTAGGACGAGTGATCAGATCCTCGACAGCTGTAGCGTTAAACAACTTAACGTTGGGAAACTGGAGGACCTTTGAGAGGATAGTTGAGGTGAACAACGCCGCGTGCTTGACAACAACATAGTTACCTTCCTCTTCATAAGCAACACCGACCTCACGGAGAAATGCATCTGCAGGCTTGCGCATTATCATGGCAGAGAAAAGTTGGCCTCCGAGCCAGGCACCACCACCTATGACTTGTAAACCTCTGGAGAATGGATTGCTTCGGGCGATGTACTCACCTGGTGCAACACCAGCCTCAATGATAGCGATTTTCAGATCTGGACGCTGCTTGGCCAGCATGTAGGCAGTGCTGAGACCACAAGATCCTGCACCCACGATAACAACATCGCTCTCGGCATACTTGTCTAGGTCGGCAAAGTAGCGACGGGTCATGGCACGCGAGACTTGAGACTCGCGAATTGGTGCGAACTGAAAGTTGTCCCATTGACCCAGCATGCTCTCAACCGTTTTGGTAGCACTCTTAACAGGCGCCGCGAATTCGGTCTTGGTCGAGAATATCTTGCTCTCGTGGACAGATACCTCCTGAGGCTGGATCAAGGCGGCTGGAGGCGACATATTGGACGATCTAAGCGGGATTAGTAGCTCTTCACGGGGAGAGGGAAACAGTTCATGATCCTTTCGCTCGCATTATCGAGACGCAAGTTCGGCCGTATAATCTCAGAACGAGTCCTCGGCAGTATCGACCATCTCTGTCTGCAGATGCAGCAGGTGGATAGCAGTCTCTGCCAGAACTCGAACACCGGCTCATGCTAAGATTACCTGGTTTACCTTGGTCGTCTCTGTCTAATCTGGCGTATAAAGGCATCATGTCAAAGTCTGTTCCCGTAGGGTACAGTACCGTGGATGAATGTGCTGTGTGTGTTAGTTATCTAGTCGGCTGTTTATGATTTCCATCAATACGTTACTGGTGCTTGTAAACACTTGAAATGTAGATACTGGAGTATGCGAGATTGAAGAAGAAGTTAAAAGGTGAAAACCACAATGCGTGAAGTAATTGATCTTTATAAAGGTGCGGGGTATTGGGACTAAGAGCTCCCTCCATGAAAATTATTAACGCGATGCTTAGGCCTAAGTGGGGGTTCCAGGGATGTGAATATCGGGGAGTAGCTCCTTTGTCGAATGATCGAATGATTGAATATTTTCCAGTCAGGTGTCTTGGTCATGTACGGTAGACGTTGCAGTAATGCACTTGCTGTTAGTATCTTTGGTGAGTCTGGCCGAGCTGCAACCTATAGATATCAGAGGACTAGACTAGACTATAGACTTGAAATCTGTCACAAAAATTTTAGGATCGAAAAAGGAGAGTAGGGAATAGATCAAATCTAGTCAGCGTGTTGAACTTTGAATTCGGATGCAGCTCTACTTCTTATGATGCATTGGCCAGCGCTGCGATAAGAGTGAAGGGGTCGCGTCAAAACACATTACTAGGTTCACACTAATGTTGTAGTAAGCGGAGACGGAAAATCATAGGACCGCACCCGACCATCTCACGGTGCGGATCTCGCTTACCTTAGCGCACACTTGATGTATGCGAAAAACTCAACACCTTTCCACACGACTTCAACGACTCCTAACGACAACAACCATCCGGAATTCAGCACCGAATCGTCTTGACTAACATCCGTCAAGATGAAGCTGAACATCTCATACCCGGCCAATGGCTCTCAGAAGCTCCTCGAGGTCGACGAGGACCGCAAGCTTCGCGTCTTCATGGAGCGCCGCATGGGACAAGAAGTTCCCGCCGACAGCTTGGGCGACGAGTGGAAGGGATACATCTTCAAGATCACTGGCGGTAACGACAAGCAGGGCTTTCCTATGAAGCAGGGTGTCATGCACCCAACCCGTGTCCGCCTCCTCCTATCTGACGGCCACTCGTGCTACCGCCCTCGACGCACCGGTGAGCGCAAGAGAAAGTCTGTCCGTGGCTGCATTGTCGCCATGGACCTTGCAGTCCTCGCTCTGGCCATTGTCAAGAAGGGCGAGAACGACATTCCAGGTCTCACCGACGAGGACAGCGTCAAGCCGAAGCGCCTCGGACCCAAGCGCGCTACAAAGATTAGAAGGTTCTTCGGTCTCAGCAAGGAAGACGACGTGAGTAATCACTTCCCGTCTTCGCCAATCCTTTTTCTATGGAAGGGTTGAGTCTGAGTTATTTGTGTGATATAGGTCCGTAAATTCGTTATCCGTCGCGAAGTCTCGAAAGAAGGCAAGCCTACCTACACCAAGGCGCCCAAGATCCAGCGTCTCGTTACCCCTCAACGTCTCCAACACAAGCGTCACCGAATTGCGCTCAAGCGCCGCCGTGCGGAAGCATCCAAGGATGCCGCTGTAAGTACTACAATTCGAACAGTCGATCGCACTTCTAACCACATCCCAAGGCCGAATACTCAAAACTCCTTCACACCCGTATCTCCGAAGCCAAGGCCGCCAAGGAAGACGTCAAGAAGAGGAGAGCCTCCTCGGCAAAGAACAACTAGAATAGTTTCGTTGTGTATTGTTGATCATGAGGTGCATGTGGGATCTGAAAAAATCGGCATGAAAGGAATGTATTGCGGTAGGCACTAGTCTCGGCATAGCTTGAGACACGAGGCTCTCACTCCAAGTTTTGGGAACATGTGGTCTGGCCGTAGCCGCGAGAATCCCTCAGCGGGTAGCTCAATGCTATCAGTACATCTACCTAAAAACCATTCATTACTTCTTTGCTACACGCGACCAATGTTACATAGGAGCCTTCAATGTCTTCTCCGTCCGTCCCGCCAGCGAATTTCAATGATCACTCTGGATGAATGCGTGCCATTCCAGAACTAGCGAGCATAGATGTGCCAATGACTAGTTCTGTGTCCCAACTATGCCTATGTCTATATTCTGCGATGACTTAAGACAATGAACGTGTTAACCTCATGTGAAGAAGTGTTTGCGAACGGACAGAGCACGAAATGTAGTACAGAACATGATCCCGAGCTGAAATTGATGAAACACAACCAGTAATCTGAGCTTTCTTGCCAACATATTTTTCTCATTGATCGCCCAAACGCCAAAATTGCAATAGCCTAAACTGACACAGCTTCCTTAATCAACTGGCGCATGTTTGAAGAGGAACGACACACTCTCCCCGTTGTGGGTCCGGCGACACGCTTCTGCAAGCTACACAGCGGGTCAGTAGCTGCAATAGGCAAGAGGATGTGTAATCCTGGTTTGCGAATGCCTGATGGATGGGGTTGTAAAGCTAGTGAGTCTGAAGGCAAGCATGACAGAATCGTGAAAAAGACATGTGTAACAGACACTATAAAAGTGCACTTACCGTAGGGCTGATATCAATGGTCTCGATTTTGGAGCACAACTCCTTCTTTTCTGTGTGGGGGACGGTATTGGTCACGACGATCTTCTTGAGCTTGCTGTCGTTCAAGTTCTGGATTGCATTACCACTCAAAACACCGTGAGTGACGATTGCCAACGCCTCTTTCGCGCCGTGTTGAATGACTACATCAGCTGCCTTGCATAGGGTCCCGCATGTGTCAGCGATATCATCAACAATAATAGCAGTCTTTCCAGTGACATCTCCGACCAGGACCATTCGTGAAACCTCATTCGGTCTCGGGCGTTCTTTGTGGATCAGAGCGAAACCCAAGTCAAGACCGTCCGCTATAGAGGTTGCTCTAGAAATTATGTTAGCTTCGATGACAATACAATACAGAGATCGGGGTTATGGGGAGCCCAATGCACACCTTTTAGCTCCTCCGGCATCCGGACTAACAATGACTGCGTCCTGAAGCGGAACGTGTTCCCGGATCCAGCGAAGGGTACTAGGTTCGGCGTATAGATTGTCCACAGGGACATTGAAAAAGCCTTGGATCTGACTGGCATGTAAATCCATAGTGATTACATGGTTACAGCCTGCGGTCTGCAACATATTTGCCATGAGCTTGGCGGTTATAGGAGCGCGCGACTTGTCCTTTTTGTCCTGGCGCGCGTACGGAAAATTGGGTATAACAGCCGTGATCCGACGGGCAGAAGCGGTCTTGCATGCTCGTATCATGATGAGGAGCTCCATGAGGCCATCGTTGATATCGCCGGGGGCGGTGGACTGGAAGACGAAGACTATAAGACGTTCAATTAGGAGCGCGGGATGCAAGCAGAATATATTGTACACACCATCTTCATCACGAACCGACTCTCCGATGGTTACAGAGGTCTCTTGATTAGAATATTGAAGCACTAACAGCTTGGCCAATTCGATGCCCAACCTAGGTAACGCGTAAGAAGCCAGGTGAGGGAAGTGAGCAGATCAAGGCGCATACCGATCAGCCACCAGCTTCGCAAGGGTGGGATGACTGTTGCCAGTAAGCAACTTGATTGAATTGGAAGCCATAACGATATGGCAATGGTGTGGTGGAGGAGAGCGGCGTTAGCGTTAGCATGTTGCAAAGATAGAAGCTCGTGAGAAAAAAAACCTCTTGGAAGATGAGTCGTCATGGGTGCCCGGAGCAGGCCGAGCCTAAAATTGAATTCCAGTTGAGCCGGCCGTGCAGCATGCGGCAGGTGGGGAGCTTGTGACTATCAAGACAGCTTTGGGCCGTTGGGGTTAGGGCCGGTTTCGGGGCAGCGGGGTTACAGTTTCTCCTGACTCAACACCAACAATACACTACCATTCTCCTCCTCCACACCCACACCTACACCCACCGCGTGCCTCTCCATCTTCCAACGGCTCTAGGATTCACACGTTAGGTAGCCGTTAGGTACAGTTGCAGGGTCCCTTTTGGCCCCCATGAACGCCTGCACGACACGCCCTTGAACGTCATCTTGCCCGCGCCTTTTCTTCCTCCAGCTATCTCCGCCGTTTCAGAGCACCTGCATACCCATTGGCTCTACCCCTCCTGCTTCCCATCTGCGTCGCTGTGGACGCAGCCATAATAAACAGCTTCTGGCGTCGCATACCATTCGGTTGCAACTGAGCCTATCACTTTTCTTAGGGCTTCATACAGAGTACGTTCAATCGGAGGCATAACACGAGACCGGCAACAATTTCAGAATCAAGTAGTATGACCTCATCAAATATCTGATGTATTATTTACCGTCTATTGTAATACCTTGGACAGACTCCTGTTAAGGTATCAAGCTGCGAAGACTTGGTGACCAGGGTTGCCGTCCATCCCGCACTCCTCATAATCCTGAAACAGCTGGAGGACCCATGGTCAAGAAAATAGCTGTAACTATTCTTGTCTACTATAAATACTCCCAGTAAGTTCGGGTTCCGGACGCAAGCTCAACCACCATACAGGAAAAAAGAAAAATATGGGTCAAGCCGCACGCTCTAGAATATCGCGCAGCAACATGAGTCATGAAGATTATATCTGTAGCCGTGCACGACGACTTTCAGACAGTATAGGCCGTGCCCCCTGTGAAACGCCCAAGAAGAGCGATCACTAACCGGGTCGTGTGTACAAGAAACCATTATGATGGGTTATGTGCCGTGTAGGCGGTAATGATTAGGCTGAGGGCTCGCACAGCTGCCCGATGGCTTGTTGGATATCCGAGAAAAGGTCCAGAGCCCGACCGTCTGCGTAGATCTTGATAGACTCAACCTCTCTCCGCTCGGGACCTCTTCTTGGGCTGTCTACCTTTATAGGGCTTCTCGGTGGTGTCGTGGGCGTGACGACCATAGGTCGACTATGCTCTGAGTCGAGAAGTAAAGCAGCTGCAACATGTTCTAGCAATTTCTGACGAACTCTGAGGCGGCGATTCTCGGCCTGTTCAAGTTTGAGAATCCAATCGTCGATTGATGTATCGAGCTCAGCAAGTGCTTCTTCCTGTTTGAGCAAACTTTCGCGGCTGAAAACGAATTCGGTCCGCTTTAAGTAGGATATCATACGACAATGCAGTTTCTGTCGTCCATCCCGTAGGGACTTGTAAGTTTTTCGCAGGTATTCACAGCGCTCGTCAAGTGCACGTAATTCCTGTACGGAGTCAGTATTAGAAAAAATCTTTTTGAGATATATGACTAACTCTCGATAGCACAGTAACATCCTTTTTGTGTAGAACGGCAAACTTCTCAGCTTGATACATAGATTGTTTGTGCAAGCTTGCTCTCTCATCATCTGGCAGATGAATTAAGGCTTCAGACAAACGGACTCCAGGTGGTAGATGCCAGGTGTCAGTTTGGGCGCTTTTGCCCGTCTCGGAACATGTCCGACTTCTTTCTCTGTTAAGCTGCTTATACGGCCGACCACGGTCCATAATGGTATTATCTGACTGATTGCGACTATGCAATGGCCTCGCTTGAAGGCTTGAATTCATTTCACTGATGGGTGACTTTTTCCGTTCTGTTGCTGACGCGATCGCTCTGTGTGATATTGATCCGGCACCTTGCGAAAAGTTTGGGGATCTTCTGCCTTCCAGCGCTGGGGCACTCTGTGGGCCCGCTGGGAATAAAGGCGCTATCTTGCCATCACTGTTCATTCTTCTCAGAGCTGGAGAGCCTCTACGACTCATCAAAGGAGATTTTGGTGGTGGTCTGGGTGGCACATCGTTGTCGTCATCGACAAGAGTGGTCTTGGTATCAACCTTCAACACTGGCCGTGGTACTGCGGTAGGACTCAATATAGGAGATAGCGGCTTCTTGGAAATTTGGGATGTGTATGGAAGGGCTGCAGAATGTGGACTGTCCGAAGTGAAGATATCTCGATTCCAATGATCGGGACGTAGAGGTGCTGGACCTGTAACACACGAAAGTAGTGCATCTCCAAACGGTCCCTGATGCCAGGCATTGCCTGGAGCACTACTGCATCTCTCGTGTCCAACGGGGACCGCCGAAGCGCTTCGTAAGAGGGCAGGTCGTCCCGGTATCGTTGCTTTACAGGTTAGACGATAGCTTGCGAATAGAGAGTCGACACTTACGAGAGTCGAGGGAATTTTCTTGGACAGTAGCCATGGCCGCACTCAATTCAGGCACACTGACCTTTCTTCGTCGATATAGATCCCCGCCCCACGGTTTCATTTGCCAGATAGATTGATGATGCTCCAAGGTCACGGCTGTGTCACTGAGCGAACTCGGCGAGCGACCTATAGCCAAAGCCATAGCTCTGTCTGGGCTGATAAAAGGCTGTGGAGAGGATGATGGTACTTTTTCAAGAGGACGCTTTGGAGGATATGAGGGCCTGAGTTGATATATGATTTGGCGAGAAGCGGTAGAAGTGCCCAAATGGGAACCCCTCTTGTACAATTTTGAGGAATCTTTTCCTGTGGACTAGTAGGGGAGTCAGCAGGAAGAACAGGACGAAGGATGGGGGCTGATATAAAAGAGTCTATATATGGCGAGGGTTCGACTCACCACGCGAGTGTCGCTCGGATGGACTATTCCGTATGCAGCACCTGGTTTATCCTCAGGAAGCCGCATACAATTGGCGATGTGTGTCATGGTCGAGGCCTCTGGGAGAACTTTTCTAGTATGGGATATCTTGTGGACTATACGCTGGTGAGACTCGGCAAGCTTGTGCATCAAACCCGGGCGGTTTTCCCTTGCAACAGTGGCAGACAGCAACCTTTAAGGGTGGGTCTTAAAACGACTATTGCCACAGGGACAGCTAGCAGCGTGGAAGGCCTGGCTCAAGCTTAGGCTCAAGCATCCAAGCGAGCATCCAAGATCCAGCCAAGGAAGTAAGCAAGAAGTGAAAGAGCTGCAGCCCTGGTCTTAAAACAGGGAATGGCGTTCGCTGCACCAAAGATGTGGGGAACAGGCGGCAGGTCGATACATAGTGTAGTCGAAGCACACTACACGACCCATTGGATAAGAGTTTGATGCTCTCTAGGCAAGTATTAGAAAAACTCACTGACGTCGAGACCATGATGATTGGGCGGGACCATCTACCCGACACTGCCCACGACGAGTTCTCTAGCCGGCAAGGGCAAAGAAGGATGTTGTTTTGGAAGTCTGCCATTTACCGGAGACTAGTAGAGTATACTTCGGCCATTTCCAGATTAGTGAGATGGTGCGTATGGAGTGAATGGTCATTTTGAGGTAGAAGAAGCGCGAGGCGAACAGGGATTAAGAGAGGCGGGAGGGGGTTTTAGGAGTGTCACTAGTAATGATATACCTAGTTATAGCTGACTTTGGCAATTGGCTTCATGCAATCAGCAGCACACAAGTACATAAGTGAAACGGTTGTCTTGTTTCCCGTAGTAGCATGGCCGTCGCATCCTACCATCATGACCCAGTCGTAATGTCAGCAAGTGGTTCTTCTTCTCTTGTATGAGAAGAGACCTATGTAGTGCAAATTGATACCCTTTTCGCATAGTTTATCGTCACTAGCCACAAGCTGCACGGCCCATTTAATCACTGAAGTTATCTTCGACATTGTTGACAAGCCATACTAGTCTTAACGACGTTAAAGCCGAGAAGCTTGCGCTACATAATGTCCCACAGTGGTGTTTACCCTGGGATTAACACCACCGACTATTCTGCTTCTCAACGAACATATATCGAACAAATGGAAAAGCAAGTCAGTGCAGTCCCTAGGATGGCCGCAGAGAAGTAGGCTGGGGATAGGCTGAAACATGCGGATTCGCTTCCCAGTCCAGCACGTTGACCCGTCCCGCCTGTGCCTGTTGAGCTGCACCGTGATCCGTCGACTCGGCCAGGTCTTCCCTGCCCCCAGTCCTCCGTCCTCTATCCCAATTCTCCTTCCCCTGATATACAAACCTACGCTGATTACTACAAGATAGCTTACTACGACTTGCTCGCCTGATCTCTCGCAATCGCTTCAACCGTTTACTGTCCTTTGATACGTCTCGATCTTTGCCTCCTTGTAATGGCTTGCGCACCAGCACCAGGATATAGGCCTCAGATCAGATATCGATCGATCGTGTGCTACTTGCGTCTGAACTCGTACAGAACGCCGGCTCATCCTGGTACTTCGTCCTTGCAGAACACATCTTCTCTGTCGTGCGCCATCGTCTTCACTCGGACATGTGCCCGATCCTAGCTCTGTAGGCTCGCTGCGACGGAATACTCTCATGGATTCATGGTTAGTGTCCGGTGCACGTATAGCTTCATCTATATGGCCCATGCTGCAGCTCCCGGGGACGGGAGCTCGTGCTGTCATGGATCATGACCCTGTGTCACTTCAGACAGAGGCCTGGTACCTTTTTATCTGGGGTGCTGCATGGGCTCCTCGTGTCGATTGTTGTTTGTTCAGACCAATCTACAAGTGTGCTATTCTACTCGAGTGACATTCATGGTGGGCCCGATTTTCGTGTCCGTCAGAGATCAGCGGTGCCTGATTAGCATGTCAATCAGTTGTTTAGAGTTGCGCTGACGTCTTTTTGAATCCTACAGAAAGGCATATACTATTTTGGGCCTATGAATGTCGAGATGGTTTCATCCGACATGCCCTCAAGACATGTCCCGCAGAGCAAGTGCTTGCTCGATATCCGCTTTCTCCCCAATTTCGCAAAACAATCACGCTTCTCCACTAGATCGCCCATACAGCTGACGGTTAAGATGTATTTCGCGAGCTTGTTCACGGCATTCCAGCCCGTGGTCCGTGGATAAGAGGCATGAAGATCTGTGGAATCAGTGGGCTGCACCAAAGTCAGGTTTCACCATTTCCTACCTACCAACTATGTCTAGATGTTTGGACAAAGTCTATGTTCCTAGTGTGATGACTGCAAAGAAGCATCGGTCCAAGACATTCCAGGTTTCTTTAAACGCCACGCTAGATTTGACAATTGGTCTTTAGATCGCCGTTATCCACAAATAAGGCCATTTGCGCTTTGGTCTTTTTGTGTCAATACGCGTGGTAGTCCTGCTATGTATGTGCACGCTCCAAAAGCGTATGGACTTTATGCTTCGCGGTCTCTTGGAGATAGCGAAGCCATGAAAGTGTGTTCGGAGGCCGTTGTGTAACATTGGACCCTTTGTCCGTCCAAAAGACATGCAGAAAAATCAGCGCACAGTGTGTGTATGTTCAAGTCAGCATGCAAAGCCCCGAGATCCAAACAAGGCAACAAGACTGATAAGCAGCGCCACGAGGAATATCACACAGCATTCCTGCGTGTGCTGAGAACAACACGCAGGTGTGGCCGCAGTCTAGAACGATGCCCACGTTTGACACTACAGGCTATTTTCGAATCATAAATCCCCCATAACTCCTCTCACTAACACACTAGCTCAAAATAGGCTCGTCCGTACCGGCAGATGCGACAGGCGCCTGCATAGCAGAATTGCTGGGTTCATGACTAAGTTAAGGAGGAGGCACTGCACTATCAGTTAGAACTATGGCTTTCGCGGACTCCCGAACAAGGATGCATGACACGCGGTATAGGTCACATTCGACTTTCGACCCACCGCCAAGTCTCAACAGGTAAAGTCGATAGTCACGGATCATCAAGTTATCTGATTCAATCAATAACTAGCATCCTTTGTTTTTGTCGCCCTATATTCGCGCTTCGAATACTTTGGTCGGAGAGTAGAGCCGGAAAGTGGGGACTCTAACCTGAAGCAGTAAGGTGATCCGGGGCCGACAACAGATCTGACACTTGGACTGCGACCGATAAAGTTTGTTGTCAATCCTTCAGGGTCACATTCGTACCTGGATTTGCATTCGAGTACTATGAGCGATTCTTGGCGCGTACTCGACGTTCATTTTCTCTCATCTCTCCTATCAAACTAATATGATTACTGCCAGCGATTTCGTCTTGACTTGTAATGGAATCAGATAATATTCGTCATCAGTAATCAAGCTCGCTTAACACCATTGCCCGGGATCAGGGTTTGTGCCCACGAGTCGAGAGCGCGGAGCAAAGGACCACAGCAAATTTGGCGGGCCGTTCGGAGCGCGGCGAAGCTGGTAAATGTTATCATGATCCCGCCCTCACGACCTGTTACCTGGGTCACTCTACTTGTACCCCGCACATACTATTCCAGGGGTTCTTCTATTAGTGATTGTAATTGCTATAACTGTGGGGGGCTACTTCCCAATGTTTGGATTATTGATTACCGAACCGGGTAAGTGGTGATACATATCAAAGTTGAGGAAAGGGGTGGCTGAACCTTGAAAAGCCTTAAATGACGTCGCGTGCACGAATTTATGAACTTTATCACGACTGTGAAATAGTTGTGGACGGTTTCACGGTACTTCTGATTCAGATTCCCCTACTAATTGTCTGTTCTAGGCGACAGATCAAAGAAAGATAGATCAGAGTTTCACTGGGCTCATCCACCATGGTATCCATCTAAACCATAGCACAGACAAGAGTCAATGCAGCCTTATTTCAGTGAACTATCTTACATAATGTCATTCAAGCCAAAGAAAGAACCGTGACGATAACAAGATACTTTTCGGGTAGTTACCTCGGTAAGGGAAGTCCCACTCGCTACCATTCTGTCGGGTAATTACACAGTCAGCTCAATTTCGAGGCGGATAGTCCCACGCCAATATTTATATAGCTTCTAGGCAAGGTTCACTGCTCATAGAAGCACTCTGCCCTGTTTTTGTTGTACAGGCGCAAGCCACGCACGTTCCTGTAACCGGAGCCGCAGTCGTGGCATTATCTACCACCAAGCAACCTCCCACGCACCGCGTGCGCCATATGCAAGCACAAATCATGATATCACCAGCTTGAAACGTATACCCTTTGTGTCTGCCTGACTGTAAACACAAATAGGACCGTTAGGGTTGTTTCAGATGACCTAGTCTCCGTCTCACGAGGTGTTCCAGGCACAGCCCTCTGGTCTTGTCCCCAAGACTCGATATGGTTGGTCGTCCACAAGTGCCGTGAAAGAAGATTCCGGCTTTCCCAGCTTTTCGGTACCAAGTCACTTGTCATGTCAGGGTGCACGTACAAGATCGCCAAAAGTGCGAAAGCTAGTACAAACTTACCTTACGCTTGGTAGTCTACTACCAACACAAATAGGCTCGTGATCAGCCTCAGAGTCCGTGAACGGACGTGCTTGAACAATAAGCGTAATTCAAGATTGGTAAACTAGCCTCCACGCTCTGGTCTGAGAACTGTCATCGACGTCCGTGTGTACAGATGAGCCTCAATCAAAAAACGTGGCCCCCATTTCCCTGCTGACAGGAATACAGATGGACGAGTGATGACAAAACAAAAGACAGAAAGGTGTTTACAAGCATTTGCCCGCTTTGTGGTTGTCGTCAATTGAGCCCTCTTCCTACCCTCGTCTTCGAAAACCCTTCTTGACGATCATTTGACGGCGTCTGTATCGGGCAGTCCTCACTGATCTCGTAGAGCCAGATTAGACATACATTGAACCCCTGTTGCAGCCTCTCCGAGGCCTCGAAATGCTTACCACGACACCAGTATTCTGACTATGAGCATATAGTAGCTGCATTTATGCTATATTTACAGATCTCCACCGCCATTTAAGCTGTGTGTGCTCTCACGAGGGTGACTAGACATGCAGCGAAGCATCTATAGTCATATCCATGACAAATAATGAGTTCCATGATCCTGATCAGTTGCTCACAATCTTTCACATCGATCGTTTCCGATGTACCACTATCAACAGGACAGTGTCGAACATGAGATCGTGGAAGCATGGCCAGATTCGTGGGTGTACTATATTTGTCACGCAATTATCGACCGTCCTAGTATTTGTGATGATGGAATTCTCCGAGAAGTGATGCTATCGACGGCTTTTGTCTTCATAAGCCATTAGTTCCTTGGAAGTGACTCCTATATTGGTGGTTTAACGGCTCCATCTGATGGATCTGGCATGGTGAGGTGTCCTTGTATGGAAAAGATACGATTTGCACTGTGTTCTTGGATGAAAGATGGAAGCGATCGTTTGTGAGAGGGGCAGGGGGAGGTCCTACGTACTCCTGTCAACAAACATATATGAAAGCGGAAATTCATAGCTTGGCCTTGTAGGTACTTTGGACTCATGTTAGCATGACAGAGCATGATCGGATACGCAATTCTGGAACTCTGGCATAATCCTTGGTCGCCTGAGTTTGTACCTGGATTATACATATCGGCAGTCAACGTCTCTTAATATTCATACAAACAAATCTTCTCTTCTTACACATCCCAGCATCCTCAGCGTATCTCGACTCCCAGTTTCTCAACCAGCTTAGTCTTGATCCCTTCATGCATCCTGTTTGCCTCCACGTTTGTTAACGTACGTTCCAGACTACGATACACAATGCGATAGCATCTGCTCTGGCGGCCGGTCTTCGGGTGCGTGAACGAGTCTGTGAGTCGCACGTCTTCAACGTCGGCGCCGGCTTCGTTACGCACAATTTCCATCAGGTCGTTTTCTTGGAATAGCGCCGGGGTGGCATCAGCATTGGCAGAGCTTCCCGTCGCTTCTGCACCACCGGCAGATGAGGCTGAAGATGTAGCAGTTGGCTTTGAAGTCTCGTGCGCGGCTTGCTGGGAAGAGGGAGTTTGAGGAGTAGGTAGCCAGAAAGCGACGTCTTTGGGACATTCGGGATATTTTGAGAATGGTACAAAGCGTGTGAATCCTTTCTTCTCCGCCGAGAACTGGGAAAGGAACCGGTTATCAGCCGACCAGAAAAGTCGGATGTCTGGGATCGAGAAGAGTAACATGGCAATACGCTCCAGGCCCAGCCCAAACGCCCACCCATGTCTTGACGGTACGCCGGCATCGTTCAGGATGGACTGCTTAACGATTCCTGACCCGAGCACCTCGAGCCAATCACCTTGCCAGAAGACCTCCAGCTCCCATGAGGGCGACGTGAATGGGAAGTACGCCTCGACCCAGCGAATCTTGAGGGGTTCCTGTGATTCTCGAATTGCGACCTTATCGCCCGAGCGGACGGCCGCGTCGCGCGCTGCGTTGAAGATAGTCACGACAACATCCTCCAACGATCGCTTGAGATGGGTGGCCATAGCCTTGCATTCGCCTTCCGAGTGGTAGTCTGCCTGCAGTGGGTTCCCATCGTGGAATGATGGATTTGGGTCCTCGACCTTTACGTCGTGGCGTGGGATCTTATCGACTTCTCCCCAGATATGCTGTTCGAGAGTCGTGCCAGATGGCAAGGAATTCCGATCCCACGTCATTGCCCCTTCCATTTGGTGGAAGACAGGATAGTGGCTGCGATCCACAGCATCTCTGCGGTACACGTCTGCTGCGATGAGGTATCCATCGCTTTGATTTGCTCGAAATGTATCTAGCTGGTGAGCGGACGTATGCGTGCGTAGAACTGTATCTTTATTGATGTAGTATGTGTCAGATTTTGCTCGGCCAGGGTGGTCACCAGGGAAGCCTAAGGAGTCGAAGTTTTGAGCAGTAGTCACGATTGGGGACAAGTTGTTGTGGTACTTGTAACCTGGAAAACGTGACTCGATGAGTGTCCGCGTTATGGCGAGAGGGTGGTCCGGTTGTAGATGCAGGCGGCGTGAGATGGAAGACAGTATGCTAGGAGTAACATTGGTCCAGTTGTCGGTCTGTTCTGTGCGGCCTCCAATTGTTATGGATGTGGATGCTGATACTATGGTTAGCAGGAACAGGGGCATTGAACACCGAAGCGTGATATGTGACAAGCCAGGCGAGTGTCTGCCACGACAACAACATCAAAGTCCCAATTGACAAGATCATCCATGTATTTATGTGTTTGTGTTGTATAACTCCTCGACGATAACGAGTTTGATAGATATGATGAGTTCGTCGAGCATTATTGGCATGATAACTTGAGAACGTAGCTTACCTGAAGATGAATAACGACATTGGGAGCATATCCACGGGTAGCTTGCGGGTTTCACATGCGTTACTGCACGTTCTACGGACCGTAGAAGTACATTTGGCCGTACTCTCGACCTCATGTTTGATGGATCTGATGACGATGTTTATACGCCGGATGCGAAAACTCGGACTAGCGTCCAAGCTCCGGACTCCCTTGTCCAGGGGGAGTTTTCAGCCCTATCATCGGCGACTCATCGGCGAACGGCTATCGTCCATTTTATTTCCGACGCTAGGTATCGGCCTTTGCCGTCCTCGGCTGCCATTTTGCGCCGCCAGCTTCTGGAATTTGACGATAGCTCACTGCGACATCATCCACGCTTATTCACTCCATCACCCCTCCTCTCGCTCGCGCCTCTCCTTCCTTCTTGTCGACACCGTGCAGCATTCAATTGACTTTGTATATGCTGCAAACACCATGTCGACCACAAAGGAGGCCAAGAAGCCGCTGCACTATCCCTTCTGGTTCGGAGGGAGCGCAAGCTGTTTTGCTGCGTGCGTAACGCATCCGCTAGATCTGGGTATGTGAGAAGACACGACTTATCAGATAGTTGCTAATTGGACCTCGAAGTCAAGGTAGATCGCACTCACATATGCCGTATCATCATCGGGACTCTCACTTACAATCCCAGGTGCGCCTTCAGACGCAGAAAGCAGAGGGTCCACGCAAGAACATGCTCCAAATGACCCTTCACGTCGCAAAGCAAGATGGTTTCTTAGGCCTCTACCGCGGTGTACATCTTCCCCCATTCCCAACCACCCTTCGGACTTCGCAAATCTCACTGACTGCCCATAGCTCTCCGCGTCCATCCTCCGCCAAATGACATACTCCACAACGCGCTTCGGCGTATACGAAGAACTCAAATCCCTCTCCACAACACCTACCTCTACGCCCTCATTCCCTGTCCTCATCGCCATGGCCAGTACATCCGGCTTCCTCGGCGGTGTCGCCGGCAACCCGGCCGACATCATAAACGTCCGCATGCAAAACGACGCGGCCCTGCCACCTGAGAAGCGACACAACTACCGACACGCTATTGACGGGATAATCCGCATGTCGCGGTCCGAGGGACTCGGCAGTCTGTTTCGGGGCGTGTGGCCGAATAGTGCGCGGGCAGTGCTCATGACGGCGTCTCAGCTGGCCTCCTACGACATCTTCAAGCAACAATTACAGAGACGACTCGAGATGAAGGAGGGCTTGACGCTGCACTTTTCTGCGAGTTTATTGGCTGGGTTTGTGGCTACGACGGTGTGTTCGCCAGCGGACGTGATCAAGACCCGGGTTATGAGCTCGACGAAGAATGGCAGTTTGGTGGGCTTTGTGTTGAGCTTGTTCCAGAAAGAAGGCTTTACGTGGATGTTTCGTGGGTGGGTGCCGAGTTTTATTCGGTTGGGCCCGCATACGATCGCAACCTTCTTGTTCCTGGAGCAGCACAAGAAGATCTACAGAAAAGTCTATCACATAGACGAAAAGGCTGCATAATCAGGCATTAGCTGCCTCGTAAACGACAATCCTGGACCGTTGTACAAATGGGCTGGACCATTTGGAGTTGCGTTTGAATATAATTTAGCTGCATTCGCATGGCGTTGGAAATTTGATAGTCTCTTATTGGTCCTTCGAGCGCCATTGATTCCTTAGCTAGCGATAGAACTCACTTGGTAATATATAGGAAACGAAAACGGATGGAAAGATGACTTTTCTCTTTGAATTTCTCATCTTAGCACCGCGAGACTAGCAGGACAAGTTACAGTGACTGCATCAGTCTCACAGGCCGTGTGATAGTAATACCGACAATGTCAACGCCTGTCTGAATCACCGAACTTCAGGTCCTTCCTTCTCAATCCCGTGAAAACTCTCCAAGATATCGCTCCCACCAAGGATGCCCATTCGTCGCTTGGATCTTCGCTTCTCCTCGCTCCAAACCTCATGGAACCTGATTGCAGCATCGCTCGCGGCCACCACGATACAGCCATCTTTGTCCCGTCCCAGTCTATCCGCACCATCCGTGTCTCGCTGACCTGTGTTTGGACTCCCAGGGTAGCCAATTGCGAATAACGCCCTTGACTCGTCGTACCAGGGTATGGCAACAACCTGTTCGCACGCAGGCCAAGAGAACACCGCGATCCGAAAGGGGTGGTCTGGTTGTGCAAAACCGAAAGTTGCTGCTATCTCACGTCTCGTGTTACTCCATATAAGTGATGTCACTTGCGCCGCACAGTCAATAGTAGCTAGACCAGCGCCCGATATTGTGTGATAGAAATGAATGCATCGGTCGTTGGACCCACCGCCGATTGCGACTAGTCCTCGCTGCCAGGGACAAAAGGCAATGGCTTTGACGGCGGCATTAAGGATCCATTTGTGTTTCTCGCGACCGGCTGGAATGGATAAAACATTTCCATGACCTGGAACCACTGTCCACCGACGTTCACCATCCGCTCCAATCTCAACGTTGACCTGTGCAGTCATTTCAGGCGTAGGCGATATACAAAGTAGCTTTTTCGTTTCGAAAAGAAAACATGCATTATCGTTGCCTCCGGTGGCAAAGTACTCTCCGTCACTAGACCAAGACAATCCACAGACTTGCTGCGTATGAACTGTGATACGTGCGAGTAGTGTCATACCTCCGTGAAATCTTACAGCATGAATACTTTGTTCAGGTGGCCATTCGACAGAGTACAAGTATATATGTCCAGCTTCATCGCCTATCAGAAGCTCCTCGGTTGGAACCTGGATTTCTGGCGCCTTGATAGAGCCTCGTTTGACAACGCTCGGGCGAAATGACACGCATGCGATAGGGCTAGGCTGAGATGCCTCGAATCGCGGTTCTTCATCAAATAGGCTCCACAGAGAAATCCGTCCATCAGCTCTACCGACAGCAAGAATGGCCTGACCGCCCGCAGCGGAGGAGAATGCCAAGGTAGTGACATGACTGTTTGACAAGTTGTTCACACGCTCCGGAGTATCGACTCCCTTTTCCTCAGACCAGAGGTGCACGAAATTCCCAAGCCCTACCGCCAGGCATTTCGCAGTTGCAGAATAAGCCAGCAAGGAGCAATAGAAATCATCGCGTAGCTGGGGAGCGTCGAGAACTGTATAAGTAGTCAGTATCGGTTTTGACTCGTAACGAACGCAATACATATCTAAATGGTATAATAGGCACTGGCTTGATATCCTTAATGGGCAGTCTCGACGCTGTTGACAAATTGTCAGCAAGATTGAGTTTCTTTCCTAACTCCTGAGTATTTGATGCTTGCTGAAGCAAGACACTCACAGGCCTTCCAAAGCCCATCCTGCCCGAAGGCTGTTCCACCAGCGACACTAGGGTCAGGAGTACAGCCACGGCTGGTCGATGCTAAGGCGTCTGAAGCATTGGTAGCACCGAGAATGCGGCATGACTGATCAATGTCGAATGCCGCGGCCAGTCGTCTCTCGTAGGTTTCGAGTTCACTTTCCGGATCCGCCTTTTGCAAGAATTTTGATGTGTACAAAGGCGCATTAGTACCACTGCCAAGCAGACCTCCTTGGCCTGTCGAAATCCCCACAACACTATCACCCGCCACAGCGCTACCACCAACTTGCCAAATAGCACCATCGCTGATCTGGCGAGGGGTTGTGACGGACGGTCGTGAAGCTGTGAAAGAGTTGTTCCTAACGTTCGGACGGTTTTGGCTTTGCCGCAGTGCACGCAGCTGATTGGTAAGCCTACTACTCCTGCGCAACTGGCGAGCGAATGGGTTTGGGGTTCCACTTGCTCGGCGGTGCAGTCTTTCTGGATCGGTCAACGCACTTGTAGGCTTACTAGTAAAAAAGCTCTCTGTTGAACTGTTTGGTGAGCGCCGCGCAGGAATGAAACGGTCGGCCATACGACTTGGTGTCTGTACTTGCGGGGAGGAGCCTCCACGAGAGAGCCATTGGCTATGTCTTAACGGCGAGCCACGGTACCCACTCGGCAATGCAGACAGAGAAGTTACACGACGTTTGCAGGGGGTGAATAGAAATGCATCGACCGCCGGGGAAGCCTCAGTTAGAGGAGTTGTTACGCCAATGGGATAGGGGCCGATGTTTGGGAATGGTGAATGCTCGGGGGAGGTCAGTTCAGCCGTGGTATTTGGGTCCTTAGCCCTCCATCTACGCTTGGGACAAGGGGTGTAACCCGGAGAAAGTGAAATGGGGTCAAGGCGATAATAGTCCGTGTAAGGCGTCTCCGGCTCCAGGTCTTCCCTATCATTGACATCAGATGATGCGCTACTGGCGACCGAAGAACCTTCCCCGTCGTCAGTGCCATCGCACTGAGGTGAGCCCTTCATAGTCATGCGTTGCAATAATCTCTTGAAGCTGCTGTAGTGTGTCGAATCGGTGCAGTGTGACTCCACATGAAGGTGAACATCGTCAGCCGACAATGTGCGCCGGCACGACACATTGTTCACGTTTCGACTCTCCGTCAAGCAGGTTTCAGCCCGTGGCCGGCTTCTAGGGACCTTCTGTGGCGAGTTCGGAGAAGATGGCATGAGTATGGCATGAGATTTCTCTGTCTGTCGAACCCTATATATCCTGGGTGTCTTTGGGGACGGCGTAGAAACCTTAGCTTCTTGTTTCTCCGTGTAGCGGTAGTCCTCGGACTTGTATTTTTTTGGCGACAAAGGGGGACTGAGCACAGCTGGACGTGGCGGCGAGGCATGATTGGTGATATTGTTCATGCTGCGGGAGAACGTGTTCCTCGCGCCCCTGGCGCGGCCCTCCAATTCCAGGGGTCGAGACTATGCGACGTTTGAGTGGCTGGAATGATAGATTGACAGAATACGTCGGCTCGCTTCGAAACACTTGATGTATTCAGTGACAAAGGACTCGATCAAAGGACAAAGTTCCGGGAACGCAGTCGGAGCAGTCGAGGTTAGTAGGAAGAGAGGAAGGGGAGAACTGCATGTTCCGGCGTATGTATGCTTGGCGAGGAGAAGATATGAGATGAGCGCAATGGATGAAAGTGAACTCTGGAACGATGATAAACAATGCAGTCTGTAGGTAGAGATCAAGGTTAAGAAAATGAGTGGTGTATCAACATTAGCCAACAGCCAAGAAGAGCAGCAGCTTCATCCATTCTTTGCAGGTGGGTTGGTCCGCGCAGCACTTGCCTTCTCCCATCCTCTCGCCTTCTCAGCCTGCGAGCGATATTGACATCTTTCATCATCGTGAACCATAGGATTAAGTTATACTTTTCTACTTGATGGCAAGCGTAAGTCACGCATTGTCCCCTCTGCTGAGGTTGAGAATGGCCGCTGAAGGGAGAAGCATGGTGTTCCGCGCGTGAGAGGTGTCGAGAACTCTGCCAAGTCCGAACACGCGAAACAGAAAGAACAAGAAAAGATCGCGAAATACAAGACACTCAACGACACGGTCAAGACTCGAGTATGTATTCATAGCTATCACACTTTATATTTGACCTTTGCCGACACTGGATTCTCCTAGATAGCTGACAAGCAATACACCCTCGACACTTTCCACCACACCTCGGAGCTACTCACCGAAAACCCTGAATACTACACAATATGGAACCACCGTCGAACTATCCTCCTGCATCTCTTCCAACCTATCCCTCACGATGATCCATCAACAGAATCGACGTCCGACAGCGCGCCATCGCCGGTCCCAAGCCCCTCCGTCCAGCACATACACGACCTCATAACGACCGATCTACGATTTCTCATTCCCCTCCTCCAGAAATTCCCCAAATGCTATTGGATATGGAATCATCGCCTGTGGCTTCTCTCACAAGCATCACTGCTTCTCTCAACACCCACGTCCATAGATATCTGGCGCGAGGAGCTTGGCCTTGTGAGCAAAATGCTAGCACGCGACGCGCGCAACTTCCACGCCTGGGATTACCGTCGGTTCGTAGTGTCGCGCCACGAACAACAGACAGGGAAGAGCTTAACTGAGGAAGAGTTTGCATATACGACGAAAAAGGTCATGGGAAATCTGAGCAATTTCTCGGCTTGGCATTATAGAAGTAAGCTTATTCCACGTCTACTGGATGAGCGCGAGGCAGGCAAGGAGGACAGGAAGAGAATGCTAGACGCAGAATTTGACTTTGTTAACGAGGCTCTCAATACTGATCCGTATGACCAGAGCCTATGGTTCTATCATCAGTTCCTGGTCAGCACCTTGCAGCCAGATGCATCGGAGAAAATCGCGACAGAACTAAGTAACCGGGATCGCGTAGCAAGACTGGAGGCGGAGATTGAGGCGATCCGGGAGATTGAGGATGATACGAAAGATTGCAAGTGGCTATACCAGAGCTTACTCAAGTATTCGGCTATATTGCTCGACGTCGAAGCGGCGCAAAAGGCTGTCACGAACGAGGATTTGAGTGTGTGGATGTTGCAGCTGGAAACGCTGGATCCATTACGAGCAGGAAGATGGACCGACCTAAAAAAACGTCTAAATATGTAGAGCACTCAGACTTCGACCTGACTCATCGCAATTATTACGCTTTCCACCTGAGTAATGTGAATGAGTGCTTCAAGAAACTGAACTGGCCCTCCCCATTCCAGGTGCTCTCCTCCAGTCCAACCTCCTCCTGGCCCTCCTTGTTGACAACGCCTGTGTTCTTACCTGTCACGGTGTACACCTGCACTTCCTTGGAATCGACCCCATTTAGATCAGTGCTGAAGTCCCTCTCGTCATGAATGTTGACAACAGCAAGACTGACCCACCCATCATCACTCACCGCCGCGCTCACATCCAACCAAGGCGTCTCTATTGCGCCTCTGATCCACCCAGGCTCCGTGTTACCCCCATACTCTCCACTCTTGACATTGACCGCAACCGTATGCCCCCGCATATACTTGCAAAACAACAGCAGCGGATACCACGTCGTCTGCCTGATAACCCCCTTCGCGCTCGTCATCAGTGGGCTGATTACATTGACGCTCTGCGCAATGTTGGCCATGCCCATGAATTGCGCCTGTCGCACGAAAACGTTCAGCCACACGGCTACGGCCAGGGCGTCAGAGAGCGTGTATAGCTCTTCGGCACCTTGCTCGGGCGGTGCACGGCCGGGGCTCCAGACGTTCCATTCGTCGAAGCAAATAGTCTGGCGAGGAATGTTGCTGGGCACACCATTTTCGATGCGTGCCAGGTCGATTAGAGCTGCGGTGACTTGGATGGCGCGCTCGGCCGATCGTGGTGCTAGGTGATCATTCTTGGCAACTGTGATATTGCTATGCTAAAGGCATTGGACTTACCTGTTGCGTTCGGATAATGTTCTCCGGCGGCGGTGTAGATGTGTATGCTGACCATGTCAATGAGCGGTGCCCATGTGCCAGCTCTGAAAGCAGCAGGGTCCCAGTTGATGCATTCTTTGATAACATGCGCGTCCCAAGACGTTGTGCCTGTCTGGCCGCAGAGGATCAACTTGATGGACGGGTCCATGAACTTCATTACTTTAGACCATTGCTTCGCTGTTTTGGCATAGTCTTCTTTGGTCATTTCGGCGACTTGCCAGGGGCCCCAGACTTCGTTTCCCAGAGCCCAATATTTGACCTGCGGTCGTCAGCTGGATCTGAAGCTTATATATATACTTCGAATGGACAGGCCCGGGAACACTTACGTTGTAGGGCTCCTCGCGGCCATGCTTACGGCGGAGGTTGGCGTAGAATGTGTCATCAGACGAGTTGCAGTATTCAAGCCAATTGAGAGCTGTAATAGTGTCAATCCTCTATGTGTTAGAGTTATGGCATACTCAAGATTGTACCCTCGTCGAGTGTGCCAGTACCCATGTTAAGGCACATGTATGGCTCAGTGCCCAGGACCTCACACCATTTCATGAACTCGTCAGTGCCAAATTCATTGCTCTCCGTGGTTAGCCATGCCAGTTCCTGTCTGTTGACACTTCAATGTGAGTGAGTGGTCAGAGCTATTTGCAAGACTTAGGCTTACCGCTTTGGGCGTTTGTCTACTGGACCAATGCCATCCATCCAATGGTACGACGCTACGAAGTTGCCGCCGGGGTATCTGACCACCGGAATGTTCAGTTCGCGAAGAGCTTCTAGCACATCGGTTCGGAAGCCATCTTTGTCGGCGGAAGCATGCCCTGGCTCGTAGATCCCACCATAGATGCAGCGTCCGATATGCCTAATGGTGCGTTAGAAAATGTTTGCGGTTTATACCAGGAAGCGTGACCGCTCACTCGCAGAAGCCTCCATATATATTGTCGTCAATCTTGGAGATGGTGTGAGTAGGATCCAAGGTTATGGACGGTGTCTCGTTGTCTGCGATCTTCGTAAAGGTAGCCATCTCGTATGGTAACGATCGAGACTCTCAAATACTACAATGAGAAGTATTCAAACTCATAGCTATAATTGTAGCTGTCTGTAGCTTCAGTCGTGGCACTGGGGAGTGGGGTGACCGGACAGCCCACTTTTGGAAAGCTTGTCCCACCGGAAGGATCTGTCTATGCATTCACACCGACATCATTGGGCTGGCAGCTCAAAAGTAGCAATGATATATGCTTCGATGGATGATGCTTTGATCCGGATGAGCACAACGGCGTTTGCCTGAAAAACGATTCTGGCCCAGTACAGAAAGTGTTCCATGCACGTAGGGGATAGCAAACAGTTGACAGTTTCAATCACTTCGAAGGACGACCTCTAAAGGATGCTTAGGTTCATCCAGGATGATTGGTGGAAAATCAAGCACGACACATGTAGTGGATTCTAGTGCCCGCACCCCATGTTTCCCCAGATTCTGAGGTTCCCAGGCCTATCAACATCTTTCCCAACACCGGAACTGCATCATTATGTATCGTTTGGCTTGACATGTGTGAGTTCTCGCCAGGATCCGTAGCTTCTTCCCCGGACTGACTGTGCGCCACGATGTCACTAATAGCATGACTTAATATTGTACATATTTAGTGGACATGCCTACTAGTAGACCTACGAACAACATGTCGTTCCTGTCCCCGATCATTTCGTGGTAACGTTTGTATAAAAAGAAGTCAAAGATGAATCTTCCGCCCAGAGTGTACCAGGTAAGCCGCGACTACCCTTCGGGTGCATCATCATATGCTGACTTGGCCGTAGTTTCTTGTAGGCCTTTTCGCCTCACTTGGCTCGCTGCTATTCGGGTATGATCTTGGTGTCATAGCTGGCGCAATCGCCTGTGAGTCTTTCAAGGCTGAGTTTGATCCCACCGAGAATCAAAAGTGAGTGGCTCAAATGGCGAGGTACGCTTCATATCTGAACTGGACAGGGGTGCAGTCGTTAGTGTGTTTACGGGAGGAGCATTCTTCGGTGCACTCCTTGCTGGTGCCACGGGAGACTATTTTGGCCGAAAGAAGACAATTTTGCTGGGCGCGACCATATTCATTCTTGGCGGAGGTTTGCAGACTGGCGCGCAGAGTCTTGATTTTCTATACGCCGGACGGTGCCTTGCGGGCGTCGGTGTTGGTTTCCTGACCATGATAATACCACTCTATCAAGCAGAAACTGTACACCCTGACATTCGTGGGCGGGTGACTTCTTTGCAGCAATTTATGCTTGGAGTCGGAGCTCTGATAGCGTCTTGGACATCTTATGGTGAGGATTAACAAGTGACAACTGTAATTGTGGCATCTAACACTGCACAGGAACATATATAGGTTTCGCTCCAGATGATAGCAGGCAATGGCGGGTCAGCTTAGGAATTCAAATCATCCCAGCCGGCATCCTCGCACTCTGTATCCTCCTATTTCCCGAGTCGCCAAGATGGCTCATCGATCATGGCAGACCAGGTGATGGTCTGTCGACTCTTGCAAGACTACATGCTAATGGCGATGAAAACGATCCTTGGGTTCGTGCTGAGTTCGACCAAATTCAGGAGGCAATCACATTTGAGCATGAACATGAAGCCAAGTCTTATACCGAGCTTTTTACTGATAAGTCTTCCTTTCGGCGGCTTTTCCTTGCCTGCGCCTTGCAGGCATCTGTGCAAATGACCGGTCAGTAACTCCTTGGTAGACTAAAATGACACGACTAAACATAGCCTGCAGGAGTCAGCGCAATTCAATTCTTTTCGGTCGATATCTACGGACAGATCGGGATTGCTGGAAACGATACCTTGAAATATCAAGCTATCAGTTCAGTCTTGGCCTTGATTGCTGAGTTTCTCTGCATGTTACTGATCGACCCGATTGGGCGTCGTTGGCCACTGATCGGAGGTAACCTTGGAAACATGGTCACTTTCATCGTCGCCACAATTCTGCTGGCGAAGTTTCCGCCTGGCGAGTCAGGCAACCATAGTGCGGCATGGGGGTTCATTGTCATGACGTGGTTGTACAACTTCTCGTTCAGCTTGACGTGCGGACCGTTAAGCTGGATCATTCCGGCGGAGATATTCGACACAAAGACTAGATCGAAAGGTGTTTCCATCGCCACAATGACTTCTTTCGCATTCAACACAATGATCGGACAAGTAACGCCAATTGCGATGGCTAACATCAAATATCGATTTTACTTCCTCTTCATCGTACGTATACGGGTACAAACTTGAATGAGTAGTGCCACCAGACTGACATGTGACCAGATTTGCAACTTTACCAATGCTTTGTTTTTCTGGGCCTTCTTGCCTGAGACAGCCAAGCGGCCCTTGGAGGAGATGCATTACCTCTTCACAAATGCACCATACTTTGTGCCTATGATGAAGAAGTCAGAGTTCGAAACGCACGATTTGGAGCGTCGTGTAGAGGAGGTTGAGAGGAAGCGAGCCCTTTGAGCAACTTGTTACACCACATCTGTGATATATGTAGGACGCCCGTCCACCTGCCAAAATCATGAATGCGGTCACTGGTCTCGATTGCCATTGGCGTCCCCCATTGATACTTGTGACGGTGGCAATATTTGTTCCTTATGCTCTCGAACTTTGCGTGATTCCTCGCGCCCTTGATCAGACCAAGCCCAGCCACCAAGCGCGTTCCATAATGATGGCGGATTAGACTGGACAGTCGATTTAGATGCACGATACTCAGTATCTGCGATTGGATATTGCTGAGGGCTCAGTGGCGTTTTTGATCCATCAGCAGGTACAGATACGGATGCTCTTTTCTCGCATCAGTATGAAGGTTTACAACAGTCCACAGTATCGTAACCTACTGTGTGCCTTCAACTCGATCAAACTTTCGCTTCTGTTGTTCTTCGAATGCTGGCTTGAAAATCGCAGTCCCTTGGATCAGTAGTCAGATATGTGCGCGAGCTATAGACGAGCAAAGTTACCTGTAGCGGCTCCAATGAACGCGACAATTACGAATTGAACCAAGCCTCTGGTCGATGACATTATTGATCTATACTTCCGCCCAGGATGGTAATGCGAGCTGTGTGAAACGTCAAAGCATCATTTATACATACCACAGGTTGAGAGTCTAGCTCAGAATGGCCCGTGCGCCTTCTAAGTGTGGAGACGCGCCGAACGCGTCTTTCGGGCGTGTAATTACCCAACGAGGCAGTACCCGCCAGAGGTACATCTATACACGATCTCATCAATGTGATGCTCCGATGTTAGCATGGCGCGAGAAAGGCTATGTGCCAGACTCTGAGGATGAGGACGACTCACAAGAAAAAGCTCGTTCACCGGGCTTGCAAGGCGCAGCAGAGACCGAGGCCAACGATAATGGGTCCAGGGCTGCTTCTTCCGCGATAGCACCACGAAAGAAACCGTTCAAGACATCTACCCCAACGCAGGCCAAAACCGTAGACTATGACGATGATATCGATGAGCTGTCAAGAGACCTTCCGAATCTGGGCGCCCATCTAAGACAGACACTACCGGTGGAACAGAAGAACTGGGAAAAGAAAGAGACTACTGCGATACAAAGAGACCATGACCCGTATGAATCGTCTGATAGTCTGTCCTCGCCGCCGTCAAACCTGTCTACCCCACCCCTCTCGCCAGAGCTGCCGGCTGTAAGTGTCAATCGGAATGGTCAAACACGACGCCCACAAGCACACGTCGTGGTATCACCTCGTGCGCCGATTTCGGCAAGAGATGATGATGTTGTCATGGAAATAATCGATAGCAATCCTCCTCTACAATCAAGGCGCAACTTCCGCCAGCGAAAAGCCATTCAGCTGCATCCATATATTCTTGAAGGGGAAAGATATCGACAAGAACTTCGGGCTCGAGGTGTCAAGCCAGTGCATGTCGGAACACATGTGCATGCTCACGCCGCCACTATTCGTCACGACCAGTACCAGAATGGGGACGAGCAATACCAGAGCTCAGTCTCGTCGAGTGGACACAACGGTTCGGGACTCAATATCAGTTCACCAGCACACCCAGTACAGACTTCGACTCCGCCTACCTTAGGAAGCTCGCCAGCCGTGCCCATACCTGATCGCTCAGATAGTGATGCTTCACTGCCAGACGTCCAGGATCTTTTGAGAAATGCGACAGCTGGTCGTATAGGAAAAGAGATCACTCGGACACCGAATCCCAAACCAAGACGAGGTCGACCACCCAAACATAGACCAGTCGGATCAGTCACGCATAGAATTGGAGATGTATCAACTAACCGCACGGCAAACTCTCCCTCGTTGCGAAGAAGCGAGCATCGTCAACTTTCAAGTCCATCACCGCCAAGAAAACGCGCGAAGAAAGCCCACATTGATTCCAATTCCCGATTACCGACGCCTACGGCCTCATCGTCGATACGATCACGATCGCGTTTCATACAGACCATACCCGACGATTCGGACTCGGACGCCATTACTCGAAGTCGTCGGCGACGTCGAAATGTACCGGCACCTATCCAAGTTTATAGCCAATCTTCTTCTGCAGATTCTGGTCCGGACGAAGAGGATACTCAAGTCGTCGAAAAGGTTGCATTGCATAAGTATCGTCGAAAGATTAAGGGAGTATTGCCAGCCTCATGGCTAAGACTCGACCGGCAAGCGCAGCAAAAACAGCCAGAGCTTAGGAGACCGTCTGCACAATATCGAAGAGCAGCAAGCGAAAGTCGTGGACTGGACACAGAAGAGCCGCTCATGCTCGATCAGGACCCGACAGACCATCTACGTGTGCCGCAGTATGAGACCAACATAGAGAATACAACAAATGTATCCAGTGATGAAGGTAGACTTGAAGAGGAAGGCTTACGTCAGATACATAACACTATGGGCGAAGCGGACGAGTACGACGTGGTTGATACGATAGCCCTACCCAAAGCCAGAATACGCGCACCAAAGGCCACAAAACGGAAGAGACAGCTCAGACTGGACGATCAGGGCCTACGAAGTATTACTTCCGGGAAACGTGGCATTCGGTTTGAGGATGAGAAGAGCAGAAAGCCACGAAACAATGGTACGGCCGATCTCTCTTCCAGGGTCCCTCGATCTCATCGATCGAAGAAGGCACGGACGTATCTGCCGAGGCGGAGCATACTTGATGCCCCGCTTTCTCCGGCTGAGCATTCTGAGACGGTCCCTCAGTTCATTCGTCTCGCGCAGCGCCAAGCGCGAAGACAAGATAGCCAGGGCAGACATAGCCCCTCCCACAAACATGTGCGCTTGCAAACCGAGACCGACACAGCGGACGCATTCAAGACTCTGACCAGGTGGAGAGAGGGCAAGATCGTACGGTCAAAAGAGAAACCCCGGGGTCCTCTTCGAGGGCCTCTGCAACCGCGGGACGCAAATCAGGACCAGCACACCCTCGAAGTATCCGTACAGAAGAGCCGCCCAGAGACCGTCATATCTTCAAATTTCAATGATTCCTCAAGGAACGGCGTTCAAAAGAACACCGCGAGTCTGCGTCAAAGCAGATTACAACCTATTTATATGCAGCAGACTGTGTCAAGGGAGCAACGTCCACGAATACACCATGTAAGTAGTAGTACAAAAGGGCTGCGTAGAGGTAGACCTCCAGTCAGCGATCCTATGTACCGTTCGGGCCAACTGGAAGGCATAGAAGATGAGAATAACCTACCTTCGTCTCGCACAAAACTCGCAGCCAAGACGAATATCATTCAGGCTCTCAAGAAAAGGGGTCCTGCTATGCCGCTTCAATTGGAAAGATACTTGATGGAGAACGTATCAACTGAAGCCGACGAGACGAGGAGTACATTCGATGGTGACCGGCAAGACCACTCCAAGTCGACAGGTTCACATGCGCCTCGCCTGAGGAAACGGAAGCCAGTACGCCTCGACGTGCAGACTCGCGAGTATCGACAGCCTTCGGATCCCCTGCCAATCACAATTCCATCTGAAGAGCCTCAGGGTGTCTATACGAAAGGTTTACAGGGTCTTGATTCCTACAATCTGAGGTTCTCTACTGATTTTGATGTTCATCCTCTCGAAACCGATACATTCTTCGGCCCTGATACTTTCGTAGGATCGGGAGAGTTTAAGCTATCTTTGACCGCTGGGACGCGAGACTTTAGCACTTGTTCTGGCTCGGATCTTGTTGTATTTGGAGAATCAAAGTTCTGCTGGAATTATTGGAACGATATTGCCGCCTCTGAACTGTCGAAGGGCTTCCAAAGTTACCTTCTACAATTCGAGTCGATTTCTGAGGTATCGAGTGAGCAAGCAGTTGATAGTCTCTATGGCAAACTAGAGGTAACTTTACGTTCACTGGTCAAATACTTCGCTAGGACAATGCGGTTCTCGGACCCCGTTGATCGTTCCTCGTGTATACAGAAGACCATCGATGCCTTGACTGGAATGCTACCAATCTACTCTGGCAACGATCCTCGGGAGACTATATCTCGAGGCAAGATCGCCTCAAACACGCTGTTGTGTGCTTTGATGGGAATATTGTCGGACATGTCACAGCATTCTTCCGTGCAACATAGCTTGAGACTGAGTGCTGAGGCGTTGTTTTCGAACTCTGTCAAGTTTCTTTTCTCGAACATCTTGGCTGGTGGACTAGGACAACTGAGAGGATATCTCTCCGATAATCGACTCCATCTCCAACGCGAGAAGGGCATCTGTGACGATCGACCTTTTGTTGAAGCCCTGATAGTAGCACTACACCTCGGTGCAAAGCCCATCCTCTCAGTGACATCTTTGGGAAACTTTCTCGGAGAGCAGCTTGATACACAGCTGAAGGATGTTCAGCATGTGGCACGATTCGATAGTATTTGGTACGACATCTTTACGATCCTCCCGTATGCGGAGATGGAAGCAGACGGGTCGATGAGGACTGGACGTCGGTTTCAAGAGCCATTGGAGCTTTGGCCGGGAGTTAAATCATTGCTAAGCAGACTGTTCCAGCTATATTTTGCATCTCAAGCCAGTCCGGCTATGAATGGCTATATCCGAGCTGTTCTGACGCGATGCTGCAACCTTGTCCAGTTATGGGGCTGGTGTCACGGAGAATCCGTCCTCGGAATAATATTCGACTTCCTCGCGCGCAATGGTCTAGCTCCTTTGCCGCATGAAGAATATCATGGATCGCCTCGGTTCTTGGATAGTCTCAATCAACCCACCGATCTTCGTGTGCAGCCGGAAGACAAGGCATTCCACATATTCCTGAAGATGCTCGGATCAACTCTCAGAAAACTTGGCGCATTATATTCAAGGAAGAAGATGCCAGGAATTGTCTATAGATTCATTCCTAATCATGGCCGAGTGTACAGGAAAGACATGCCTGTCAAGCAGCAGGATCTAGACGCGTTGCAAAACCATCATGATCTCCTCTGCGTTTTGTATTGGGCATCTCCGCCAGGTTGCCGACCGAAGCTGGACCTTTTGCGAAATCTTGTTGACCACCAGTCATCACATCGGGAGGCATGCCGACTGAATGTACGAGCATGGACTATCCTTGTTCGATTCCAACTTTCAACGACTGAAGATGCTGAATCTATTGTACCGTTTGGGACATGGTGCAAGGAGCTGATAGAGCAGACGCAAGACCAGTATTGGCTCGCCAAGACAGAAGCTTTATCTCAAGTTGACGCGGCTCGCGGTAAAGGGGTCAGAACAATCACGGACGATATCGTTCAGTCAACGATAACGAAGAATCAGCGTCAAATCTTGGGGACAATGAGTAGTATAGTTGCAGGCATGAGGACCGCTCTCATGACGTCCAATGACAAGCACAAGTCTGCACTACTACTCCGCCATGCCTGCTTGACGTCGATTTTCAAACTCTTCGATCCCATGCTGAAACGGGCGAATGCAGTCATTCTTGAGGCGCTCGAAGTGTCTCGGGAGTATCTCCAGCGTTGCGCAAAGGAAGCAGAGAATGCTGCCGATAAAGCCAATGACGAGAGTCAAGACTACGGAGACTTTCCTGATTTAGATGAGATGGATATATCCAGCGACAATGCAAACGCGTCCACAGCTCCGGATGAGGCCGATTTTCTGACAGAACCACTGTGGCAGCTGGTCTCGAATTGCTTCGGGGCTGACAAATCTCCCACTGATGATAGTATGCTCTCGGCGTCGGTTGATACCTGGGTGGCCGCGACCAGGGCTAATGTCATGGTAAAGCAACAACCTTGGAGCATCTACATTGATCCGTATAATCCGATGTCATGGCACCAGCTTCGAGACACCGAGCAACGTCGAATATACACTCCTTACTTCCTGGCCCAAGTCTTGACGACCGACATGAAGGCATACGAGGGCAACAGTATCATCTTCCTGTCCGCTTGGCTCGTCTCGCTTGTCGAGCGAGAGGCTCTGGTGCGGTTTCAATACAAACTTACCGCCGCCTTAGCTAGCGACGTCTTGTCAGAGCCTCTCCTGGAAAACCTCCCCTTTGAGAGGGACCGTGCCTCGCAATACATGATCGGGCCAATCGAGCTCCGCGAACGTCGACTCATGCTCATATCAACAGTGCTCGGTAACATGCGCCAAGATCTCGAACGGATGCCTCATGGGCCCGCAAACCACATTACCGGAAAAAGACAAGACTACGGGCAACTGCTCAAGGACCTCATGGGCGCCATGAAGCGAAACTACCGCGAGCTCCAGCAGGGCAACGTCGTAGTCACCGGAAGCTACGTCGACTTCGTGCACCGCGTCGTCGAATCTCTGCAGCAATTCACCTCGGACATCCGGCCCCTCGACCCCTTCTTCACCGACTCCGCCGCATTCCCCCTTCCCGCAGATGACCCGAACTACGTAATCGGCAAGTTGAAAGGCTACGCATTAAAGACAGGCGAAATGGGGAACTGCATCCAACTAGCAACCTTCCTACAAACCCTCACCCAACGCGCCGCCATCGACAACCAACACTCAATCCTAGCCCAGCAACTCCTCAGCGCCATAAACCACCCCTTCGAATCCGGCCTCCCGCACAAACCCACCCTGCGCCGCCTCCTCATGCAAGCCCTCTTCCCCGTCTACATCCCCCTCGCCCTCTCCACCCCCTGCGGCTGGCTCCTCGCCCAACCCATCCTCAGCGTCTGCACCACCCTCCTCGACTCCCTACCCTACACCTTCTCAGTCTCAGACCCTCGTAGCCGCGCCGCGGTATCGTCCATCCTGGACTCCCATCTGCGTACCCTCTGCCGGACCGCGCACCTCGTCGTCTCGCGCCCTGCTCTCCTGCATCAGCCTAGCGTCCTGCGCATCCTCGCGCTGCTCTTTGATAATGTCGCTGCTGCGCTGCCGGTGCTGGATTATGTTTCTCGGCGTACGACGGGGCATTGTTGCGGTGGTGGAGGGGCATGCGGGCCGCTGGTCACATACCTCCTCTCGTGCGCGTCATTTGTTGCAGATTCGCTGGGCGGTGTGTCGGATGTGCCTTTGCCGGTCCTTCCTGATGCTGTTGTGGATGGTGGTACTGCCATCTCGACGACGATGACGATGACGACGACGACGAATACTGCGGATATGCAGCAGCAGCCGCCGCTCTTCGGTAGTATCCGCGCTTTTTGCGACGTGGAGTTGCGTCGGGCGTTGGTGGATAGGTGGGATAGACGGGATGGTGGTGGTGGTGGTGGTGGTGGTGGTGGTGACGAGGACGACGACGGTGGGGTGTATACTTTTGTTGAAGCGGGGGTGCGGAGGAGGACTACTGGGGCGTTGAATGGGTTGGGTGGGTTTGAGGGGGTGAAGGGGGAGGTGCTTGGTTCTGTGCGCGGGTTGAGGGGGGTTTGGGGGGTTGTTGTGCGTGGTGGGCTTGGTGGTGGGAGTGGTGAGGAGAGGGAGGAGGTGGTGGGTTTGTGGGAGAGAGGGAGCGGGAGTAGGAGGTATTTGCATGTTGGTGAGATGGGGGGTGAGTTTGTTGTTTGAGTTGATTCGATGGTGATGGGATACGGAGAAGGGATACAGAGAAGAAGGTAAAGGAGAGTGTATATATGTGAGGAAGAAGACGACGACGAGGGAGTGGTGGGTGTGTAACGAACGTCATGAACAGAGGTCGTATTTGTATTAATCACCCCCCAAAAAGGGTGCCATGGCATGGTGTTTATATGTTCGTAGTAGGTATGTCATCGGATCGGTTCGGTCTGGGGTTCGATTGGGTGGAGTTGGAGTAGGAGTTTGGGCTGGGCTGGGTGACGTTGGGGTTAGGGGGCGCAAATACACTTCTATATACATACACATCCATCCACAAATCAACAGCACATCCAAGCCTTCAAGACCTTCACAATAGATAACGACACATATATCCATCCATCCACCATCCATCCCATGCCCACCCAACCTGCACACAACTCCACATTCATCCCAAAATTAATCACCATCAAATAGATTTTACAGAGTTCAGTGCTCGATATTGTACAGGATTTGACTGATTAACAAATTATTGGATACAAATTTCCTTCCCACCCTATCGTGGGCCAAAGAGAGAAGAAAAACCATTATACTTTACACTTTACACATCACTTCACACATCAGAATAGAGTGTGAGTGATGCTTGCATTGTGAGTCCTGTTTAGAAAAACAACGTACAAGGACGAGTCTATGGATTTGGGGTATAGTGCTTTTTCCAACGCCAACAAGACAGAAAAAGAGAGAGAAAAAGGCCAAACCAGGGCCCTCTCTCTCTCCCCTACAAAGCACAGCGCTGATCCCATACATTCCATTCAACGCACAGCGCTGACCTCATGACCCATACATTCCCATCAACGCCCAGCGCTGACACCATGATCCCATACAATCCCCTAAAACACAGCACTGTCCCATCCGCTCCATGCCTCTGAAAGCGCACTCTCCTGCGCCGACAGCGTAAAGTATGACACGCTCGACTTGGGCTGCCAGCCAGCGGCCTTGTCCAAGCCGATGAACTTCATGACATCCGCCACGTGATCGAGCTCAGTCTTTGGATTGCTACAGGCGAGGAAACGGTTTGTGCCTGGGGGCAGAGTACCGCCAAGCCAAGACTGAATCCTTGCGTCATTCTGCCGGAGCTGGCGGCTATATGTTGCGCGCATGTATTGAGTGTTCTTCTCCATGGCAGCCAGTTTTGCTTCAAGAGTTCGAACTTTGCGGACTCGCAGCTCTGGCAGAGGACCGGTGGTGGATTTGCTTTCACCGCTGAGTTTGCGATAGTGTTCCGCAGTGAGCATGGCGCGCTCTCTCTCCTCATCGGCCTTCTGCATGCGCTCGCGGTGTGCAAGGACTTGTTTTTCCTTCTCGGCCACCAAGAGCTTCATCTCAGCAAGAGTGTCTCTGAGATCTTGCATTTGGGCGGCACGCCTGCTGGCATCCACGACACGCTTCTCGAGAACCTCGACTTTGACATCGCGTTCTTCGAGTTCTTGCTTGCGTGCGGTAATGTCTCGGCGCTGAGAATGGACCTCCTCGCGGAGCTTTCTCATTTCCTCCTCGGCATCGACACTGACAATCTTTGCCGCGGCAAGCTCCTTGGAGCGAAGGACCCATGGAGCAGGAGCGCGCTCAAACTCAGCGGTATTGTCAAGATCTGCCGCCTGGGCGGCGAGCTCCATGAGCTGCCCGGTAAGAGTGTCCAGGCGAGCTCCCATGGCTGCAAACGGAGTTGTTTCCTTGCTGATGCCAGAGAAAACCACACTGGCGGTGCTCAAGACTGTTGCGCGGATAGAAGCAAATGTGAGCTGGTCGGCGCGGCTCTCATCCATGATGATTGCAAAGATGTTCTCGCCGAGTCTGCGGCTGTACTCGGCCAGGTCTTCCGCAGCGAGAAGGGCTTGTTGTAATTGGGCATTGCTGCGCTGGTTGAGACCAAGGCTGCGTGCTTTCAGCTCCTGTAGCGCGCGTATGGCTTTGCCGACAATGACTTTGGCGCTTCGGCAGTAAGAGCCCATCTGTTCGGCTTTGCAGAGGAATTGGTCAAGGTCGTCTTCCGTTTCATCTTCAGCAAGCGCTGGGACCTGGACACGGACGCCTTCTGTGAGAACTGTGATGGCAATCGCAGTAGAGTCGAGGTGTGATAGTATGAGTGTTGTGGACATGAGAATCTCGTCAGTGTAGGCAGCGAGGTCACCGCCCGACAGGTGATGCTCGGCAAGATGTGAAATGACTGCACATGAGCGATGAAGTTCCTCTGCGACTTGCTTCTCTCTGAGGTCCTCTTTCTTGAGCAGTTCAATGTAGCTGTTGAGACTGCGCTCAATAGGCTCGAGGTCAAAGAGGGCGCCCTCAAACTTGGCAAACTGGTCGACGGAGCAGCTGTAGATGTGGTTCACAAAGCGCTCCGCCATGGAGCTCATGTATGTAAGCTTGTCCAAGACGTCGCAAGCATCGAAAATGTCCTCCTCGTGCATCGACTTGTCCGAGCCAGCCACCTTGTCTTTGACAAAGCCATGGAGAAGTGTGGCCTTGAAAGCAACTCTCTTGAAGCGAAGCAGCGCTAGGACAGAGTCGCGCTCAGAATGGAAGGCCTCTGGCAGGAAGAGCTGCACAATGGCCAGGTGTTCAGCAGCCTCTTGGGCTTCGAGCTTCCTGAGTTCCATGTCGATGGTCTTGATCTTGGAGCTGGCGGCAGACTGTTGAAGTTGTCTGTTGAGATCCATCATCTCACGTGATTTCTCTTCCATCTGTTGAGCCTCCGAATCGGTGATTTCTTTGGTCGACCTCAGATGCTCCAAATCAGACTGCATGTTGGTAACGAGGTCTCTGAATTTTGTGATGGTGTATTCTTGATCAGCGAGAACCTCGTCTTGTTGGATCGCGCGACGGGCCTGATCAGCAATCTGGGACTCCTTGAAGTCGATTTCGTCTTGCAGTTGCTTCTCAGTCTCGATGTGATTGATCTCAAGCTCGTCGTTGACTTCTTTGAGACTTTCGAAATCTTCGACGGTGATCTTGAGCTCGTCAATCTGATCGATGAGTGCCTCATTCTGCTCCGTGAGCTGTTCGATAATGTCTTCAGCGCCAAGGGCAGCCTCCAACTGCTGACGGAGGTCGTCAATGTCTGCCTCTGCTGCAAGCAGCTTGGCTTTGGTCTCGTCATGTTCTTGCTTGACCATGCTGAGCTGCTCAACCTCGCTTTGGAGACTTTCAACTTGGTCTTGGAGCTCGGCTTCTTTTTCCTGAGTGACGTCGCGCAGACGTATGAGAGCATCTCTGACGCGACTGTTCTCACGCTCCATCTGGAGCCAGCCCTTGCTTGTACGCTCCTCAGGGTCCATCTCTCGACCAAGCTCCTCATTCTCGTCTTTGAGGATGTCGTTCTCAAGCTGCAACTCTTCGATGCGAGCGCGGATTGTGTCCAGCTCAGTCTTGAAGGCTTCGGCTTGCTCCTCGGCCATTTCTTTGTCAAGAGTAGCCATTTCCAGGTCGGCATCATGCTCGGCCTGGAGAGCCTCAAGGCTTTCGAATCGATGTTCTGATTCTTTGATGGTCTTCTTGAGTTCGATGTTTTCTTGGCCTAGCGGCTGGTACTTTGCCTGGAGTTTTTGAATGATAGATTCCAGGCGAGTCTTTTCTTCGCCAAGACGGTCGAGGTCCTTGAGCTTCTCACGATCCTCGGTGCGCTTCTTTTCGAGCACACGAAGTTTTGTTTGAAGCTCCTCAACTTGCTTGCTGTTGCTTGCTGTTGTTTGATTTCGAGCAACTGTGCTTGGCGTGCCCGAGGGAGCTGAAGAAGTAGTAGGTCGCTTGGGAGCCTCAGTAGAGGGAGCCTTTCTAGGGGCAATTGAGAGACGACCAGGAGCAGGCTTTACTGGTGGTGGGAGTATTTTTTTAGATGGGCTGACTGCCATGCTTGCTCTCGCGCTTGCACGATTTGTAGCAGTGCTCGCCGGTTTCGACATGGATGCAATTGTCGAGTGGCGTTTGTTGATGGAAGAAGCTGGAACTTTTGCACCAGAGGATGCAGCAGGCTTGGGTGCCGGTTCTATGACTTTCGAAATGCGTTGAAGAAACATTCCGTGCTTAGGCAGGCAGGTAAAATAACGCTTGCCCTGGACGGCACCGTCATTCTTTCCGGTGGCTTCTGAAAGCTCTACGCCAATCCAGATGCCCTCGCGAAAAGAGACTTCGCCGGCATAACGAACAGTTGCAACTTGTCCGTCTGCAAGCTCGACAATTGCACCTGGCTTGATGTTGGGATCCATCTTGTGTTGATGGAAAGTGACAAACGGTAGAACACGCCCACGAGATGGGACGTGTCAGGTTTTGTGGAGAGTGTAATGTGTTTGGCGAGAGGTTTGATGAGTTTTTGAATGATTCTGATGAATTGTGTGATGGTACTCGATCAGAAAGTTTGATTGACTCTGATGAATTGTACGACTTTGATGGTATTCGATCAGAACGGTTTGATGAGTTTTCTTGAATGATTCTGATGAATTGTGTGACCGTACTCAATCAGAAGTGTTTGATGAGTTTTGGTTGATTCTGATGAATTGTACGACTTTGATTGTAGTCGATCAGAAGTGTTTGAAGAGTTTTCTTGAACGACTCCGATGAATTGTACGACTTTGATGGAACTCGATCAGAAGTGTTTGAGTTTTCTTGAAGTTTTCTTGAACGACTCCGATGAATTGTACGACTTTGATAGTCCTCAACCAGAAAAGTCTGACAAGTCTCCTTGATCAATTCTGATGAACTTCCGACTTTGTGACGATAGCCCTCAATCAGAAAAGTTTGATGAATTTGACAGAGAGACGCGACGAAAAAAAAGAAATCCAGGCAATCTGCATCAAAACACACAAGTCAATTTTTCAATCCTTTCAACGCATTCGGCCAGAGGCCATACTGAACAAAGCCGATTCTTTCTCTTGAAACGTGTCTGGAAGCTTTGTCTTGTGTGTGTGTGCCTTTGGTTTGATGAGTGTAGTAGAAAGGAAGACGGCGGAACGCGGTTTCGAGAGAGAGAGGGAGAGAGAACAGGCTGCACGGACCAGCTGCGCTAGTGGCAGCTGGATCCGGGCTAGCGCATTGGAAGCATGGAACCGGAAACGGTCAGGGATAGCAGGAAACGAGAGAAGAGGTTAATAAGGATGGATGGATGGGAATCGTGGTAGGGTGTATGCTTATTGTGAGTCGGAGGTGTGTGTGTGTGTGTGAGTAGGAGGCGTAGAGTTGGCTGATTAGCGTGGTCGAGTGCTTGCTTGACGGACAGCGTCTGCCAGCACCGTTCCTTCCTCGCATGTGGAGCCGACCTCATGTCGCTGGGATTCCAGGTCCCTGTGACTTTTTCAGGGTGATCAATTCGTAAAGACAGACAGACACATTCGCCAACATATCCGTGCCTGACATACAATCGCACTAGCAAACCAATCATTCCCTGATCGCTCCTTGCCAATCCTTTCAATGTTCTCATATCCACCCATCTACGACTCCACAGCCAACGCCTTCAAACCCACAAGCCTCCCATTCCCCCCATCCACGCCCACAACATAATACTCCACCCTCGTGCCCCCAAGCCGCACCCTATAAACCCGCACCTCCTGCCCCCCAGCCGCCTCCCGCACCGCCTCAAACACCCCCTCATATCGACCCCGCGGATCAAAATCCTGCCGAGACAGCCCCTCAACCCCATCTTTATGCCCGATCAGCTGCGCGAGACCATCTGCAGCACCACTTGTGTCAGCCAAAAAAAAGTCGAACATGCTGATGATTGTCGGGAAACAGCTTACCGTCTGAGGGTAGGTCGGCGGTTTCGTAGGAGAGGGATACGGGTTCAAAGGGCTCGTCTGCGTCGGATTGGTAGTATTGCTCGATGTTCTGCAGGGCGGCGGGGATGGCGGTGTCGACGGATTTGGTGCTCGGTTTGGCGGGGGATTGGGTTTGGGCCGGGCTGGTGTCCTGGTTTGCTTTGTCGAGGAAGGCGGCGTAGGCTTCGTCTGAGGCCATGGTGCGTGGGTGCGGGGAGGTTAGGAGCGGTCGAGTGAGCGCGGTGGGTGTGCTGGTGGTTTGGAGTCGGGGTCGAGGTCTTGTTGAGAGGAGGGTGGTTATGCGTCTGAAAGGTATGCGGATGGGTGAAGTCTTTGGGCGGAATTGTGTGAGGAGGCGAGGGGTTGTCATGAGGGTTGCATGGCTTGTTTATTTGCTCTGCTATGTCTTCCAGGTTTTTGAGCCTCACGTCAGGGCAGGTGGGTGCTGTGCTTCATTACGTCATCAGCCGTGATGAAGCAAGCACGTGACTGAGTTTCTGCCTGGGCGCTCCAAGGCTCCAAGAAGCCATCGGATGGATGGCCCAGCTTGCTCCTCCAGACTAGAAACAAACAGTACAAGCGAGCGGGTCGGGAAGGTCGTGACAAGCCCCCAACCCCCTTGTCGGTCCGTCGTCGTGTCACGTTCCGCAGATACAGAAAGGCTAGACAGCGTATTAATCAACATAGGAATCACAGCGACTAATTAGTAGGGATTCACCGTGAAGAAAGCGAGATGGTGGTGGTGGCTGCACGTGGTGGAGCCGGTGTACACTCTACAGGTTGGATTAGGTGCAGCTTCTAGGCTGTGTGCTAGATGTGTGCTAGGTGTGCTAGGTGTGCTAGGTATGCCAAGGGAAGGTTCTGCAGCAGTTGGAGCGGTAATACTAGGTACGGTACCTAGCTAGCTACGTCAGGTAAGTAGCCGCTGGACACACCACCACCCGTACAGTACTCGGTAGCTGTGAGATAACGCCACGGGAGAGAATGCAGATGACACAGCAGGGCAGGGCAGGGCAGGGCAGGCAAGGGCAAAAAGGATGTGTGTGTGAGTGAACGAGGAGCGAGCGGACGGACGGACGGCTGGCTGGCTGGCTGGCTGGTCGGGGGGGTGTGTGTGTAATGTAGCGACGGATAATGGACGCGACACCTGGCGGCAGTGTGCGACGATGCGAGGATGCGAGGATGCGACAAAGTGACAGCCCTGCGCAGGAGAGTGTCAGGGCGGCATGTTGGTCGCAGTATGTAGTACAGCATGGGGATGGTCGAACGGTTAGTCTCAGCACGCAGCACGCAGCACGCAGCACGCAGCACGCACCCCAGGCAGGCAGGCAGGCAGGCAGACAGGCAGACAAGCAGACAAGCGGGCAAGGGGAGGTATATCATACAACAGGACAGGACGGTCGTCGCGCAAAGGTGGATGATGACATGCATGCACGTTCGTGTTTCGAACATGTTGACCGGCGGCGGCGCAAACAGGTTTCCCAATTAATTAATGGGTTGGGGGCGAATGATGGTGTAGGGTCATTAGTTAGTTTGCACGCCGTCGACAAAGAGAGGCGGCAGTCAAACATGTAGAATAAAGATCAAGGGCACATGGTAATTTATCGCGAGAGTTGGAAAGGAGAGAAGCAAGCAGCGTGGAAGACAAAGAGCGAAAAAAGCTTGATTAAATGCTTCTGATTATAGCCCAAAGGATTTCGGCCGACGAGGTAAGGCTGGGGGCGATGGATGGCAGTGATGGAGTGATGGAGTGATGGAGTGATGGAGTGATGGAGTGATGGAGTGATGGAGTGAGGCAGATGAAGGGATGGTGGTGGTGGTGTCAGTCACGATAGTAGCAGCAGTAGTAGTAGTAGTAGTAGTAGTAGTAGTAGCAGCAGCAGTAGTAGCAGCAGCCGGCAAGGTATTAAGCGAGAGCTTGGGATGTTGTTGTTGTGTCAGCAATCATCAGCACTCAAAACCTCATCGGAAGAGCCCTGAAGAGGCTGGGGGGGCTGACGATGATGAGCGGAACGGCAGCTGCAAGTCGTTGAGGAAAGGAAGGGGCTTTTTCTGTGTCTGTGAGTGCGAGTGTGAGAGTGTGAGTGATGGGTCCCCCCCCCCCGGGTCTGCTGCGTAGATAGGTAGTAATTAGTATGGGCATTGGGTGGATTCATTTGTGGAGAGAGAGAGCGAGAGTCCACCCTGCTGCACGCATGCACGCACCCACCCACGCATGCGGCTTTGACGAAAAGGCTGAACGGTGCCGAAGTGTAAAGTTCGCGACGATGATCTTATTGTTGTTGTTCCCATTCACATTCTAATTAGCTATTGCCGCTGCGTTTGGCGGGAGAGGAGAAAAGAGGCTAATTAGACAGGAAAGGCCGAGCGGAGGATGGCGGGCGGGCGGGCAGGCAGCGTTTGTAGTAGTGCTGTACTGTATGTGGGAGTGCGGCACACACATGCTTCGCTTGCAATTCATCATCCGTTGGAATGGATGGATGAGCAGAAAGGACGTGTGCTCTATTATATATATCATGTACAGAATCTCCGATAAGAATGCCAGCTAGCTAGCAAGCGACCGACCGACCTAATTAATAGCTGGCTGACTGGCCGTCACCAAACACGGTAGCTATTATCTCGCGACTCGCGACAGGGACGTGGGCAGGCAGGGAGCGATATTATAATGGATGTGTGTGTGGATGGCAGATCTGGCAGGCCCCTTGCACAACAGCAGCACAGCAGCAGCCATACACCACACACCTCACAACCATCAGCACCAGGACCAGCACCAGGACCAGCACCAGGACCAGCACCAGGACCAGCACCAGATCCCCGAACCAGGCTAGCAATTAGCTCCACAGCCGCCGCAGCGTCACAAGTTCCCGCCAAAGGAAAGTAGGGGAAGTAGGGGAAGTAGGGGAAGAAGGGGAAGCGTGTCTTTTGGCGCCGCCGTGGCTTGAGCGGGACTGGTGTGTCGGACTCTCTCACTCAGCTGCTGCTTGTTGGTAATATACGGAGGATATATATAATACACACACATACACACACACATATATATATATATAATACACACCACCACTCCACTAGGGGAGTCAGCAGTGTATTGTATTGTATATACATCTGACTGGCGACGACACTTTCATGCATCTACTGTAATTACTGTTGTTGTACTCACTTACCCACCACACACTAGCTATTAAGCCCTCCGCACAATACACACACTACACACCATACACACACTCACACACACTCACTTACTCACTTACTCACTAACCCCAGCCTCAACCATGCACTTTCACCCCCCTCCCAAAACCCGGTCTCTCCACCCAAACAAACTACCCTTGCGCCCTTCTTCCCTTGTTCCCCCTTGTATCTGGTTAGTTCACATGCCAAGCCCAACGGAAGTTAACCTGTCCACGGCTCACGGTCCACCCATACAGATTCCTACCTAATGGTGTCGACACTTTTCAAACCCTAACCTCCGCCGTCAGATGCCATCGTCTCCCGCGCGCCCTCTCTCGCTGCTGCTGCTTTCTCTCTCTCTTCTTCTTCCCTTTCTTCTCTCTTCTTCTCTTCCTCGACTGCTTCTCTTCCACCATCCTCACTTCATTCATCCTCCCAAACAATCGCCAATCTCCCATTCATCAGTCCGCCATCGCTTCGTCGCGTCCCTTTCACTACTCTCTGTCTCTCTCTCAATCCCGTGACCTTCCTAATCTGGCTCTCTTTTCTCCTTCGTTCGCTGCCTTGACAGCTGTCATAGCACTCACTCACTCACACACACATACACACACGCACACACTTGTGCCTGCACCTCCACCTCCGTCTTGCGACGCGACTTTCGGTGCGCTCCACTGCCTCCACTCAATCATCTCTTTCTCATCTTTACTGATTGGCCTGCCATTAGCTCACCTTCATATCACCTCTGTTCCCTCAATCGCCGACTGCTGAACCGAGGCCTCGTGCTGCCTCTCTTGAGCTCGCTCTCCCATTCTTTCGTGCCTGACGCCGTTCGAGCTTGCTTCGTCCGCTTCATCGCACACTCACAACATCATCATGGCTAGCCATCAACATCCTTCGCCCACTGCTGTCGGCTTCCCGCCAACCCATCAACATCCTGCTCCTCCTCACGCCCAGCCCAATGGCCACGCCATTCAACATGGCCCGCAACCTCCTCCCCCAACCGGTCCCCCAAAGACACATTCACAATATCTCGGCCAATTGAATGAGCAGACATGGAACCAACTAGGTCCGTCTCTTCCTCCAACTCACTCTCCTCACAACACATTCATCCGACTGACTGTCCTTTGTAGGTTCCATTTCCGAAAGTCTCGGCGCCCAAGACGAGGCTTCTTCATGTTACGAGCGCGCGCTGGCACACAATCCGTGGTCCATTCCTGCTCTCCAAGGTATCGCATGCGTCCTGCGTGCACAGGACAAGTTTGCGCCTGCCACAGAGTACCTGAAGAATATTCTGAAAATGGACGGCAACAATGGCGAGGTTTGGGGAAGCTTAGGTACTGTCTCATGCATCGCCCCACCTCTCTTCTCCACGCAAGCCATTGACACCCCACAGGCCACTGCTATCTTATGCTCGACGACTTACAACAAGCCTATGGAGCCTATCAGCAGGCCCTCTACCATCTACAGGACCCAAAGGTACTTTTCCCCGTCTTGCACTCTTTGCCCATCTTCTAGCCCAGCCCCCGCTAATCTGATCTCCAGGAACCAAAACTCTGGTACGGAATTGGCATCCTGTACGATCGCTACGGTTCGCTCGAGCACGCCGAGGAGGCCTTCTCTCAGGTGATGCGAATGGAGCCTACTTTTGAAAAGGCGAATGAAATCTACTTTCGCCTCGGTATAATCTACAAACAGCAACAGAAGTTTTCGTCCAGTCTTGAGGTATGTTGTTCATCAATGGCTTGGTGGCTTCGCATCACCGCTTATGCTAACTTGAAACAGTGCTTCAAGTACATTGTTCACAATCCCCCTCGCCCGCTAACCGAGGAGGACATTTGGTTCCAGATTGGCCATGTCTACGAACAACAAAAAGATGCAAGTCATGACCGGGCACCGTTGAAGTAGGACCATTTACGCTGACCATGTCTACAGTATGAATCTGCCAAGGGCGCATACCGCAGGGTTCTTGACCGTGATCCGCATCACGCAAAGGTCCTGCAGCAGCTTGGCTGGCTGCATCATCAACAGAGCACCAGCTTCCAGAGCCAAGAGCAGGCTATTGAATATTTGGAGAAGTCTGTAAACTCTGGTCGGTCCTCTTACCCCGATCACCGCCCAGTCGGGAGTGCTGACCCGTACAACAGACCAGACCGACGCACAGAGCTGGTACTTGCTCGGTCGCTGCTACATGTCACAGCAGAAGTACCCGAAGGCGTACGAGGCTTACCAGCAAGCCGTTTATCGTGATGGCAGAAACCCGACGTTCTGGTGCTCCATTGGTGTCCTCTACTACCAGATCAACCAGTACCGCGATGCCCTCGACGCCTACTCTCGTGCCATCCGACTTAACCCGCAAATCTCCGAGGTCTGGTACGACCTAGGCACTCTTGTAAGTTTTTTTTTTGTCAACTGTCACCTGTCGCCGCGCTTGGTTGGTTGGGTGGAGGCCTTGATATGAATAACATTTATGCTAACTTGACTTTTCCCCCACAGTATGAAAGTTGCAACAATCAGACTGCCGACGCTCTTGACGCCTACCAGCGTGCCGCTGAACTTGACCCCGGCAACGTTCATATCAAGGCCAGATTGCAGCTGCTTCAAAGTGGCCAGCCCACGAACGGCATGCCAAACCAAACCGCCCAACCTCCAGCCCCTCAAGACGTGCCTCCTTCTGCCTACCAACCTGCTTCTATGAATGGTCCCCCTGCTCCCCAATGGGGCGCCGCCGCTCCTTCACATCCTCCTCAGGGCCCCATTCCTCCCGCGCTTGGTTCGGGCAGTGACTGGAATCGTCCTCCGGCTATTGCTGCGATTCGTGATCCACCACCACCGCCCCCACCGCAGCATGGTGGCCAGCACGAGCCCCGAGATCCCATTCGACCTCCACCACACGCTGCCTCTCACCCGACCAGCCCGAGATACGAGCCCATGAGACAGTACCCTGACCAGCCGCCGCCGCCGCCGCCGCCGCCGCCGCGTCAAGGTCCCCCTCCTCCCAGGAGAATGTCGCCTTCACCAAAGCCGCACAACACGGCTCCGGGTGGTGGTGCATACCCAGGTCCTTCGAACCAGCCACCACCCCATCAGCTACCGCCGCACCCACAACAACAACAGCAGCAGCAACCACCACCGCCGCCGCCGCCTCAAAATAGGATCAATAACCCTAATTACGGTCCAAACGCATCCTCGAGTGTTCCTCCGTCGGCCTCTGGCATTGCCGGCCCGCCTCCTCCACAAGGTCCCATGCCGGGATACGGTCGCATGCCAAGTCCCGGGCCTGGTCCGAACCAAGGCCCCGGCTCAATGGCTGGCCCAGGTCCAGAAATCCGGCCTCTGTTGGAACGCAGCCACAGTACCACTTCCCCGAGGGGAAACTTCCACGACCGCCAGTATCCACCTTCCAGCGGTGAGACGAATCACGGCATCGAACGTGGTGCTCCTCCTCCTGCGGCCGCTCTTGCTGCGGCGGAGTCTGCTGCACGTGAGCGAGATGATCGTACTCCTGCTGGGCCCAAGCGCATGCGTGAGTGGGAGAATGACGATTCAAACATGAAGACACCCAACGATGAGAAACGACCCCGGCTGGACGATCCGCACGTCCGACGTCCGTCACCCCCGCACAACCGTGCTCCGACGCCGTCGTCTCGTCGTAGCCCTCCAGGCAGTGAGCAGCGTCGTCACGAAGAGCCCCCTCCTCGTCGCCCAGCTGACGACGAAGGCCATCGCCGAGAAGGCTCCTACCACCCTTCGGAAGCTGCTCATCACCCACAAGCTCTCCCTTCCATGATGGTCGCTGCTCAACAGCAGCAGCAGCAGCAGCAGCAGCAACCACCCTTGCCAGGACCTGCGGAGATTCCAAAGCAAGAGCCTCGCGAGCTGCACGAGCCGGCAGCCCGCAAGATGGAAATGGACGAGGACTACAGCGACGGCGGTGAAGATGAGAAGCGCAACCTCAAGTCCGAACGCAACAGTCCTCGGAGCGCCATCCCTGCAAACGGCGCCTTGCATGCACCCACACCCGTCGACCAGAAGGCTTAGCTAGCACTGTGAGACGGCGTGTATGGCATGTATGGCATGTATGGCATGTTTGTTGTCCTGTCTCGGGGATCGTTTCTATGGTGACGGCATGTTTTCTGTTGAAGAGGGATATCTGGGGTGACGGGCGGACTTTACGGGCGGACTTGACGGGCGTTGTTTCACACAATGTTATTCTGACAATAGAGGAGAGCAAGGGAAGCGAGCGGCTTCCCGGGTGATGTCGAAATATGGTTTCGAAAGTTTTGCGGGGAGGGATTTTGAAAGATTAAGCTGATGATGGACTATTATGGCTACTGATATCCCCCATTTTCCTTGATGTAAAAAAGGTTGAAGGACCTGGTCACTCTATGAATATGGCTTTGACATGTGCTTGTGTCGTGCTTGTGGCGTGCTTGTGTCGTGCTTCTATTGTACTTGTGTCGTCCTCGTATTGTCCTTGTGTCGTGCTTGTAACGTCCCTCTATGCAGTAGTGGCCACAGCAACAACAGACACACTTACGGCCTGGCACGAGTTCATTGAAATGCCAAGTGCTATCCTTGTTCTAGCGTGTAATATACGACCACCAGGTCTTTCTTGAAAAGGGAAATTATAAATTCAACTAAACGCCAGCCTGGCAGCTCATTGCCTCTAATCCTCCCCAAAAAAACCAACACGTACAAACACACCCCACCCCACGCCATCCTCTCTTCCCATTCCCATTCCCATTCCCACTCCCATCCCCCAAAATCTACCGCACCATCTCCTGCTGCCCCTCCGTCCCAGGCACACCCTCACCCTCACCCTCACCCTGCCCATCCCCCCTCCCAAACACCACCGCCATCGCCTCGCCCAAAATGCCCATCCCCTCGTCAATCTCCGCCTCGCTAATAACAAGCGGCGGCACAAACCGCAGCGTATTAGTGCCACACGTAATAACCAACAGTCCACGCTCCCTCGCCGCCGTGACAACAGGCGCAGGGTCAACAGTAAGCTGCAGGCCCAGAATCAGGCCTTTGCCTCTGACTGCAGCACTACCACCTTGCTCCCCATCCCCGTCAGCAGCGGCAATATATCCCGGAAACCGAGCCTGCAAAGCGCGGAAATGCGCGCGGAAAACCTGCTCTTTCGCGCGGACGGCGGCGTGCAAAGCCGGGTCGGACAAGCGGGAGAGGATATAATGCGCGAGCCGGGCGCCGAGCGGGTTCCCGCCGAACGTGGTGCCGTGATCGCCCGTCTGGATCTTTGAGGCGACAAACTCGTTGACGAGCGTGGCGCCGATGGGGAAGCCGTTTCCGAGGGCTTTGGCGGTGGTGAGGATGTCGGGGTGGGCTTCGCGGGGGAGGGCGCCGTGGGCCCAGAGATGTCCTGTGCGGCCGAGACCGCATTGGATTTCGTCGTAGATGAGGACGGCGCCGACGGCGGTGCAATGTTTGCGGAGAGCGAGGAGGAAGGACGGGGTGGCGGTGTGGATGCCGCCTTCGCCTTGGATGGGCTCGACGATGACGCCGCAGGTTTGAGGGGTGATGAGGGTGGGCAGGGCGGCGATGTCGTTGAGGGTGCCGTGGGTGAAGCCCGGGACCATGGGGCTGAAGGGTTTTTGGTATTTCGGGTTGGGCGTGGCGGAGAGGGAGCCCATGGTGCGGCCGTGGAAGGAGTTTGTGAAGGAGAGGAAGTGGGTTTTGGTGTCGGCTTCTGGGGAGGAGGAGGAGAGGTGCTTGCCGACCTTGCGGGCGAATTTGATGGCTGCTTCGTTGGCTTCCGAGCCGCTGTTGCAGATGAAGGCTTTGGAGGCCGTGTGCATTGCGCCGGACTCGAGCGTCTTTTCGACGAGGCTTTTTGATAGCGCGCCGGTCCAGGGGTTGTGGTATAGGTTGGAGGTGTGGACGAGGGTTTGTGCCTGGTTGGTTGGGTTGGCTGTCAGTCTTCAATTCTCCTGGCGTATAGCAGTATGCCCTGTACGAACCTGTTGGTAGATCAGCTTTGAGAACTCGGCATCACAGTGCCCGAGAGAGTTGACGGCGATGCCGGCGGTGAAGTCTAGGTATTTCCTGTTCTCGACATCCCACAGGTAGCATCCTTCTCCCTTCTGGAACATCGGCGGCGGTCGAACATAGGTGGGGACCATGAACGGGAGCTGGGAGTTGACTATGCTGGAGGTTTGCGAGTCCGAGGGCGGATCGGGGGTTGCGAGAGCGGCATCTTTCTGTGCGAGGTATTAGCAGATATTCTTCTTCCGAGTCCAATTGGATCAACATCATCACGTACAGAGATGGCGTTCTTGAGCGCAGATGGGAGACTGGACGCCGCTACCGATGCGGATGCATGTCTGCGCTGGGAGAAGCCTGTGGCGCTGCGGCTCAATCGTGTCGAGACATGCCTGAGAGACATACTTCCTCCTACTGCCGCTCGACGACTGTGAAGCTCAGGTTCAGGTCCGGAATGGTGGTGCAATTAATCAAGCAGAGAATTCCTGAACGAACATTGGATGAGGAACGAGTCATAGGGCGCCCCAATAAAAAAAACCACGCGGGCTGCATTATCGATAAGGGGTAAATACTTTAGGTCCAGCGACTTCGGACGCCCTAAGACGAACGACGCGCCATCAGGGTTCCTGATCGTTAATCATCTGAGAAGACATGACAGATCTCTGTACGCTTCGTGCAGTCGATTGTTGGTGCTATGTATTAGCATCTCGACCGACAAAGCGCTGTGCAATGGACGATATCCCGCAGTGGCACAACAGCCGCAGTGGCTGACGTCGTCAGGTTTAGCGGGATCCGGGGAAGCCAAGACCCTCAATAACCGAATCGCATCTCCTCTCGTCCATGGCATGGAAGCATTACATGGGCTCATACGCCTCGATCTTGATCTCCTTCGTCATTGAAAGATACGCATAAGAACAGCACGAACGTGTAGTGGCTCCCCGCTACATACACCGCCTAGCATGTCGACCCCAAGAGCTGGCTCCTTGGTATGGCGCTGCTCTCGAGCGTGCCTACAACCATCCTCACATCGCACATTCACAAGCACAGCTCCCCGCCCCGCGACCGTACGAATAGTGGAAGTAGGGCCAAGAGACGGACTGCAGAACGAGAAGAATGCCATACCAGTCGAGACAAAGATCTCTCTCGTCGATCGCTTGGCAGACACTGGCATCACATGTATTGAAGCCGGCTCATTCGTGTCCCCGAAATGGACGCCTCAGGTGGGTATGGACACCAAGCAGAGAGAGACACAGCATTCATAAGATGTCCAGATGGCCAACTCGTCCAGGATCCTGGAGCATGTCCTCCGACGGCCTCCCAGGTCGGCAACGCCCATAACATACCAATGGCTGCTGCCAAACGTGAAGGGACTGGAGAATATGCTGGAGATTTACGAACCATTTGCGAGCGAGGCAGGCTATCCCACACCTCCGGGCACGCCTGAGCACGATAACGGCCCTGCTCTAAACACATCCTCCCAAGACCCGAATGCGATCAAGTCTGCTCAGTCCGGCCCTGACGCGATGACCCCTCCAAAGACCGCTCCTACCGAGATCTCCCTCTTCACCGCCGCGACCGAGACATTCACAAAGAAAAACACAAACTGCACCATCGCGGAATCGCTGGAGAGGTTCAAGCCGATCATGGCAAAAGCAAAGTCCCTGGGAATCCCTGTGCGAGCCTATATCTCCGTGGCGTTAGGTTGCCCCTACGAAGGCCCAGACGTTAACCCAGGCGCAGTCGCCGACCTCGCCATATCGCTCCTCGAAATGGGCGCATACGAGATATCAGTCGCCGACACGACCGGCATGGGCACAGCGCCCAGCACCGACCGGCTTCTGAAGACTCTCTCCTCCGCAGGCATCGAGAACAGAGATCTCGCCCTGCATTTCCACGACACCTACGGCCAAGCGCTGGTCAACTCGGTCGTCTCTCTTGAGCACGGAATCAGGACTTTTGATAGCGCTGTCGCCGGGCTCGGTGGCTGCCCCTTTAGCCCCGGTGCAACTGGGAATGTCGCCACCGAAGATCTTGTACATTGCTTCCACAGCCTGGGTGTGGATACGGGTATTGATATCCAGAAGCTTGCCCGGGTAGGAGAGTGGATCAGTGATGAGGTCGGACGGCCGAATGAGAGTAGAGCTGGCAAGGCGGTGCTGGCGAAATTAAGGAAGCAGGCATAAGAAGTGGTGTGTATATGCATGTAATCACGTTGATGAATATGCAAGCGTAGAGGTCTGCAAGAATAAACGACATTCATGCCTTGCCGACGAACCTGCATTTGCTACACTGAACCAGGCTCGAACGGGGGGATAGACGTACTGCCCAGAACCAAGTCTTGCTTGCTCAAACACCGCGTGTATCTCGACAATCCTCGCCACCAGTCTATGTTCGCCAATTCTCCATACTAACCTACTCATCAAAGTCCATCAAAACAACACCTCAGAGTACCCGCTCAGAACATGTCACTCTGATTCATTCCAATCAGGTCATGCTAAACTCTCCCTCACCCAACAACCAATTACCCCCAAAGCTTCAATACTCCGTTACCTAATCGAACCAGTCCAACCTATGTTTTCCTCTGTTTGCCTCTGCGATGGTACATCTGAACGCACGGTTGATAAAACGCATTAGATATCGGCCCTTTTTCCCTCCTCTCACCACCCCCCCCTCCCCTCTCATCTTCAACCTCCTCACCTCCCCTCCTCCCCGCCCTCAATCACAACATCAGCCTCCTCCCCCACGAAGAAGCGGCTCCGCCGAAATCACGCGATTGGAACATGTTATCCGTGCTGTGGCACTGACTTGACTGACTGACTGCCCGTATCTGTGCGTGTATCTGTGCTCCATGCTCTGCATCAGTGCTCTGTATCCGTGCTCGACATCTGCTCACTCCGCGGCCCTATCCGACCGACTTTTCCACCCGCCAGCACGCGCATGCGTGGCGGAAAATGGACCCTAAAACTACAATATCGAATTTCGTTCTCGGTACCTGTGCGGGACAGGATAGGACAGTATAGTACGTACGTACCTGCGTCCCATCCATCCATCCATCTCATAGCCGTAGCCGTACCCGTCCGTACCTACTTCCGTCGTGCGTTGACGCTCGAGCGCACCGCGAGAAGAGGTCGAGATGTGTCACGGGGGATGACTGATGTGTTTGGTTTTTTTTGCAACCCCCCCCCTTTTTGTCCTCCTCTCCCCTTCTTTCTTTCATATAGCCGTGCGCGTTGTCTCCGCATGTGACTTTGCCCCTGACCCCCCTGACCCCCTTCGCCACGCGAGTAGAAGTCGAGCTCTTCTCTTCACGAGGGATGCAAGAACCGAGATGTCTGTCTGTTTTTGCAGCCTTGTTCCTATTTGCCCCCCCTTTGCTCCCGGTTTCCCCACAGACACAGACACAGACACAGACACATTCGAAGAAGGAAGTATACTCCGTGGATGGGGTCATGCATGTTGTGGCGGGTATTTGGTTGTTTGGGGGGTGTACACGTGTGGTGGCGCGTGTACTTGCTCCGCAAGGACTGAGAGAAGGGGGGAGGGGGTGCGTAGTCATGTTTGTTGGGACAGGGAGTTGTTGTTTTTGTTATTATTGTTGGCTTGGTATACATATGAGATTACGCGGGATGACGATGGTGGTGGTGGTGGTGGTGGTGCGATATCTGATAGACTGATTATGGAATGACTGACTGACTGACTGATTGATTGATTTATGGACTGACTGACTGACTGACTGATGAACTGACTGATAGCCTGACTAGCTGAATGATAGACTACTAACCGACCCACAAGCCAAGAACATATCTCAGGGACTCTACATAGCGAGAATGGTACTTTGAGGTGCCCTCCCAGACAAGCTATCTAGCCAGATACTCATAATACCTGATAATATTCTCCATCTGCTCCTGGTAAGAAAGGGGTATTTTTGCTTGGCCGGGTGTGACGAGCTGGGTATGACGATGATGAACGAGCGATTCAATACATAGCTCGCTTTTTGGAAGTAGAGGGTATGTGTGGATGTGATATGTATAGCTCAAAAAGGGAGACGTATAAATTAATTTATTATATTCTATAGATATTGGTTAAGTAGGGATTCAGGGAGACACGGGAGAGACACAGATTCAACAGTCTGAGTGGTGATCGTCATGCAGGAAGGGGGTATTTGTCAAATACATAAAGCAACGCAACGTATAATTCGACACAAAGATGGAAAAACCCGGCGACCGCTGTAACATATAAGACTCGCAACACACAACCTCAACCCCGTCAAAACTCTATTCTGACCACCACCCTCTAAACGCAACCTTCGATATCAACTTCATCCCACCTCCCCTGACACCCAGCACCCACTCATTCCCCCTCCTTCCACACACCCCTTTCCATACACCATCATCGTGCACCAATCGACCAAACCACCCCCTTTGCCTCGTCTCGGCCGTGAATCCCTACATCCTGCCCGCGCCGACGCTCTTCCTTCTACGTACTCTCAATCTCATATTACTATGTCCCTGTGATTGCAGGACTGCGTGTGCGATGGGAACATGCTCACCTAGTGCGTCGGACACAACTCTCCATTCTACCATACCCAGCGGGCGCAGTCGTCGCAGTAGGGTCAGCGGTGGCGGAGGTAGTCTTGGTGTTGTTTGGGCCATGCGTTTTTTTATTTTGCATTTTTGGTTGTTCGGCTGGTTTGTCCAGGGGAATGGGGTGATATGATAGAGGAAGGGGGCTTGAGAAAGTGATAGCAAAATCGGGACCGGGGAATGGGATCACAGTGATTCTATCTTTTCAACCAGGCAGACTGTTTGACTTTCTGTTTTTCTCACATATATCAATGTGAACGGTCTGGATGGCTGTTATGATGCCGTTCGCGCGGAAGGGGAAGGGCGCGCTTCCTCGACTCAGTGCCCTTTGTGACTTGGTTCGTTTTGGGACAGTCGGGTCTCTGGTACTCTGGTTGTCTGGGCTCTCTCGCTTCCAGCCTATTCCTTTTTTCTGTGTGTGACGTGTCCTGTGCCTGTGACGGGCACTCTCGGGATCGTCGGGAGTAGGGAGTGGTTGGACGGATCATCGGACTGCGAACTTCATGATGGACGGGTATAAACTGGTTCGCGAGAGCACGTGTATGTGTGTCAAGCCTTTTTCTGGTCCTCGGATGTAACAGACAGTCTTTCAGTCCTGATTCTTAGACATCGAGATGGACTAGTATAGTTATACGAGACTCTGGGTTGTTCTGATTACACGAGACAGGTTTTGGGGGAGTGATCAGTATTCTGCGTAAATCTTCTTGCTCAGTCGAATTAAAGAGACTCGCTCGGGACAGACAGGTTGTCGTGACTGACAGTGCGTTGAGCAGACTATGCGGTTCCATTATGCATCGCGACCAAGCCGTCGAAGGGTGAAGGACAAGTATAATAACACGAAACTCGAGTCTATCTATATCAACAAGACGTCCAGCGCAGCAAGCGTAAACACAATTCGAAGCAAACCAGCCGGCGAGTAGCTGTAAGCAAACCACAAACCTCAAGATCGAACCTGACACCGCTCTTCTCCCATAGCCGTTTCTTCGCGCCGTTAACACATCTTTCGCTGCATCGTCTGATACCGCCATAAACAGACCCTATATCGTCCTTGACCACATCCTCCCATCCTTGGCATCCATCCATCCATCCATCCATCCCCACCGACCAAACACAAGTCACAACTCACAAAGCAAAAAGCAGCCGTGAAACATCGGCGCCTCCAAACTGTCAACGTCACACAACAGCCTCGACTCCCGTCCCCTCCCCACAGCAATCCACGACACAGAACAGGTCGGCCCCCATCCACGCCCAATACATCGACGAGGCCGGGCCGTAGAGTAGACACACAATCACAACCACAATCACAAATCGCAATGCTGTATTCCGTCCCCGTCCCCGTTCCCCGATTCCCCAGTTCCCAATTCCCAGCGTGTGCCCTGTCCGCACGCTCGCCCGTTCGCTCTCTCCGTCGCCGATATCCCGATTTTCCGAATGGTTAGCCCCCCCTCCCTTCAAATCCTTCCTTCGCTGGGTACACACTCCCACACTCACACACACATGCAAACACTACACATGGCGTAATCGCAGGATCCGCCATGCATCATCCGTGGGTCGTGCTCGTGTGTTGTGTGTTGCATCCTACGCCAAGACACGACAAGGCTGAGTAGTTACTGTAGTTACATAGGTCCCCACAACAAAGGATCGATCCTACGAGACGGACGAAGGATCTTCCGCACAGGGGCTGGTATGTTACACCCCTCTCATTTATGTTCACTGATAGAGATCAATGATGGGATCTGGGGTATGAGGAGGAGGAGGAGGAGGAGGAGGGAGGGGAGGGGTGGTATGTTGTAGGAAACAAGATGCGTAGTCCGTAAATGGAGGGCCGGTCCGCGCTGGTTGGTGAGGCTGTAGGGCGAGGCGAGGCGAGGTCGGGTGCTCCCTTTGTCCCCTGGCTGGCTGGCAGCTGGCTGGACCGAGCGAGCGAGCCTTAGGCAGACAGGTCCGTAGGCACCATCGACAGTCTATCTCAACTCACCGTTTACGACACACGCAAGATGCAAAGAATTTGACTTGTGTGATCATCTTTTCACCGCTCCAGTATCTCAACATCTATTGTTAGCATAGGCATAGATGGGTGGATGCGCTTGTCTAGTCGTGTTGACGATGTGCTACGTACTAGCCGCTCCCGCGTTTACACGGAGGGGGCCAAGAGCAACAATGACATCTTGCTTGCCACTCAGGTTTCAACGCAAGCGCCGTCTAATTTTGGTGATACAATCCTGAAAGTGGCCGATTGGTGTGTATGATAGAATTACATGCCATCATATAATGCAGCGTCGATGTAAGTCACACGTGATGGTCGAAAAATATGAACTTACTGGGGAACAAGTCCACTTGTCGAAAGATCAGATCAGGTATCGGGGGACGTGGTCGAGCCCAGAAAAGCATGTCACTCAATCCAAAACCAAACCTGCCAAGCAGGAATCAGCTATTTCCCAATATTCTGGATCTATGTGCTTGTGGGCCTCAAGATGTTCGATATCGGAGTGCATCTACATCAAGGCAAAGCGGACCAAGAACCCCTACACGGACAAATACTTTGTATACTTTGCAATGTGATACAGGCACGATCTCCGTCCATAGTGGTCACTGGTGGTGTGGTGCGTCGGATACTGATATCCACGCTGTCTTCGAGACATGGCTCCCTTATCGATACGCCAAGCCATGTTTTATACGATCCCAAAGAACTGGCAAAAAAAGCCCCAAGGTCATCCATCAACATGGCGCCATCGGATGAGAGCGAAAAAGGGCTTCGACAAGCTGGCATGTGCTTAGTCTGCTTGACAGAGAACTCGGACGTCTTGTCTTCTTTTGGGTTGTTGTTTTCAGTATAGACAAGTGTCCAGCAGAGAGACCTAGCTAAACATATCGGCATTGTCGAACCCCTATTCTACGCAGCGGCCAGCGCTGTCTGTTTATGCGCATCCAGGGCTGTACTGCTCTCGTGTACAGGTATGTGCTATCGCTTGACGTGACAAGAGCCTTTGCCGAGCCTGCTGCCCCAGGGGAGATCAAACCAGGGTATGAAGCTCGACCTTCGCAGGAATTAGTTCTAGCATATCAAACTGGCCTTCATCGATAACAAGGCCATGCCCTACCTAAACCAGGATGCGCAGTGGGCCGGCCAGTAAGGGTATGCTCTGGTGATCATTCGCTAAGCAGGTACGCAATGCAAGCCGACACCAAGCTAATGCGACGATCAGATGACTGCACTGGTGTGGAGTTTTAAAAATCGGGTTGTTCACTCGGTATGTCGGGAAGTGCATGTCTGACACTTCATACCCTGTGTATCAGCGAAGTCGAGGTTGAATTGCAGCGAGCGGAAATGAACGTCAAGACCGGGACGAGGTAGAAGACTGCCCCAGTTCTTCAGCCTTGTGGGACGTCCGAGCACTGACTGCGCCTCGTATTGTAGCTGAGATGTAGCGAATGCAAAAGTAAAAGTTGTCTAAAGTGAAAACTGTGTTGGTCGAGACAGCGTCACCGATCACGTGAGACATTCCGATTACCTAAATGCGACATGACATGTAGTGGGCCGCAGTGAGTGGCAGACGGTGGCACGTGTGTGTGGGGGGTAAATACAGGATTACAGGCTGAGATCTCGGGTGCGTCCGATGGAATATAGTAAACGATAAGGTTGTAGCTTTGTTTTGTGGATCATCATGAATATCAAAGGTATCGCGTGCAGGCGCTTACTTTTCCATGTCAATAGACTTCCTGTATAACAGTCTGTATACAGCGAGTCATGCAGAAAAAAGGAAGCAGAGTGCTTCGGGGGCCTTAAGCCACCACATATCGCTGCGACCGAGCAGCCTTACCCTGGCCAAGGAAGCCTTCGAGAATGCGTCAAGGGCGGCATCAAGGCGGCAAAGGCTTCATTATGGCGGCGAAGGCTTCGTGGCTAGAAAGCTTACCCGCCTTCTACACAAGAGCCCCATGACGCTGTGGATTATCAGACCCATTACTGTACAAAACAATGTCGTGTATGTACCCATATGGCGAGGCTGTTTACATAGAAGTGTCGAAATGTCTTGTATCCAGGCCACGCGCTCGCACGTTGAAGTCTTTACACCCTTGTAGCGATGATGGCTCATGGGATTTGGACAATCTCACAATACCCCTTGGCAGCTTGGCTTTGGCTGCATTCTGCAATGTATAGCCGGCTCGAGCGCAGGACTGCTGTGCTACTGCTAAAGCTTTTAGGTGTTGACACTCTGTTGGCTCTGCGACGTTGTGGTTGGCAGACCCATTTCCAGGCTCCATCCCGGGCCAACTGTTCGACGCCGCAAGTCGTGGGGGATTCCACAGGGCGTTGACATGATTCTTTCACACATATCATTATCAGCAGATCAGGCTCTCTATAGTCATGGTCAAAGCGTCTATCTGTTGACGTTCCTGACCGCTGGAGAGAGTACGAAAAGTCGGCAGCTGATGGTTCTCGAAGTGCACTAGGTGAGCCTTGACATGCCTGATAGGCGTGCTGGCCCAATGAACGTACCAGGGGCCACAGGCAGATCTACCTGCACGCACGATGAATGGCCACCAGAGGGCTGTTTGTTTCCTGATTCCACCTGGCCTGTCAACATTGATCTACTGCAGCTTATTCGGTGTGCTGTTCGTCCACGATACCATACAACAGCAGACACGAAAGAAACACACCTGTCCTGTGCCCGCTCTTCGGCTCAATTTGAAGTCCGGTCCTTGGCCATAGATGAGACAAAGAGGGGTCTACAGATATCCCCAGGGAAAAGGCAGTCGAAGCAAGCTAGAAGGTTACTGGGCTTTTCGATGCGTCTTCGACACAGGCAGCTAGCTAATGGCGGCTGCCCGCTGGCCTTCTGACGGACATCATCAACATCATCATCAAGCATCAAGCGGAGCTGTAGCCAATCTCAAGCAGCATTATGCGCGGTCGGCTCCGTGGCCAGATCCGGTAAGGCATGGAGAGTGGGGTGAACAACAAGCAGTCTCACTCGCTGAGGACGGGCATATGCGGGAGGGGGTGGCTGAAATTGTCTAAAGCAGCGGCTCCCTCATCTCTGCCCCGGACGCAAGCAAGCGGTTCCTGAGCTGTAAGAGCGCGGCGATGGCGCATCTTCTGCTGCAGCGGCGAGGGCGTATGGGGGGGCGTTCAGGCCGTTGATGGCCGTTTGAAGCTGGGGTGGTGATTGGGAATTTCAAGGGGAGAGGCAATGGGAGGACCGATATGCTGCATCGGCGGACCCTGCCCTACAGACTAGCTGCATGTCCCGCCGGGCGAGGTGAGACTGGGGAGAGCTGGCTTTGGTGACTGGCTCCGAGAAAATGTGGAGGAAATCAAAGTGTATGTATGGAGTGGGTGTATGTGTATGGTGTATGTGTATGGTGTATGGTGTATGTATGGTAAGAGGAGAGACTGCTAGACTGCTAGAGAGAGACAAAGGAAAAGGCCCGTGCTGGCCCTGCGCCACTGACAGCCCACCGGCCCCATTCATCCATCATCACCCGCTCCTCGCTCTCCTCGCTTCGACAGCACCGATGTAACCCTTCGCCGCTGGCAGGCGATGTGGTGGAGTGGCCAATGTCTTGCTCTCTTTGTAGTCTTGTAGTCTTGTAGCTGGTTTCCTGTAGCCTATGGCCATGTAGCCACCGAGGTCGTCCTAGTGCTGGCATGCAAATGTGTAACACCCTGCTGAAATGGCGACAGCGTAGCGCGAACTCCCATCATCAAATAGCAATCCTCTCTTGCTCGTCTTCTCGATGCCGAGGGGCAATCAAACAGGGCACAGGTCCGGAAGGCTGAGGCCAACGAAGCAGAGTGGAGGAAAGGGGAGATCAAGAACGTCTCCTGAGTTCTGAGAGGTCGAGTATAGATGATGAACACAGATTCGGTCTCGTAGTAGCATCCCCAGACGCCTGAACAAGACCCATTTTCTTTTTGGTCTGTCTGTCTGAGAAGTACACTCTAAAAAGTCCTTGAGAGAGGCCAGCTGTTTTTCTACGCTAAGAACAGTCCTGGTCAATGCAACAGCTTGGCGACAACAAGGCCTATTACCTATTCTCTGCTTCTGTCACCACCTCCCCCCCCCTCCCCCCTCCCCCAATCTTCTGCCCCTCGTCTCTGATATCGACATACACCCCGGTAGCCCCGGGGCGTTCTTCTGTGCTTTAGTGAGGATCTTATCTGGACAGGAACTGAATGGTGCACAGCTCCACAGCTTAATATTGGCCATGTAGTCGCTAATCCTGAACCATCGTGCGCATATTGCCTTCATTGTTCCATTCTTGACAATTCATATGGTCCAGGTCTGCAGGTTGCAAACTTTCTAAACTCCTCATTCTCAGTTTCCATTACCCCATCATACATACGCCTTCCTCTTCACCATGTCTACTTCAAACGCCTCTACCGCTACCCAGACCTTGGACCCACCGCCGGCCAAAGAAACGTCACAGGCACAGGCACAGGCCACAGTTCCTCGCAAGCGAAGAAGAAGAGCTCCAGCAAGCGGTGCTGCCGAAGACTGCTTTACTTGTCGTAAACGTCAGACCAAGTGTGACCGACGTCGTCCATACTGCACTCAGTGTATTGAACTTGGCAAAGAATGCTCCGGCTACCGAACCACGCTGACTTGGGGAGTCGGAGTTGCAAGTCGCGGCAAGCTTCGTGGCATGTCCTTGCCTGTACCAAAGTCACCATCAAAGAATGATAGCACCAGCAAGGAGACAAAGATCACCAAGACTGCAGCTTCAAAAAGCACCGTCAGCACCCCTTCTGTCTTCACTCCAGCGCCGGCTGCTTCTCGCCAAAGCCCAGACTTCAACCACTATGCCTCGGCACCAACCACCAACCATATCGTCAGCAATGCTCAGGACTACTTCGCTGTAAACGCTACAAGTCCGATTCCAATCCCAACTGCTTCGGCTCAACAAATGAACTGGCATGTACAGGCTAATCCCTTTGACTTCAACGAGAAAGTCTTGAGTTCGAACCACCTGCAGTCTAGGCCACAGATTGGTCGTATCTATACGTCCATCTCATCCTATGACACAATCTCAGCCTCGACTGGATCCATCAGCGCCTACAGTGATCGGGATTATCCTTCGCCTAGCGACTTCAGCCAACCGGACGATTTCAGCTACACCGATTCGCATATTCCATCCTACCCCGGAGTTTATATTAGCGAGCCACATTCCTATGAAAGTCTGTCTCGCCAGACGTCCTATGGCCTGACCAGTGACGCCATGAGCTCTAGCATGAGTTCGGATCAAAGTCAACATGATTTCCTGGACAGCGCTGGAATCCATGGCTCGTATAGCTCGGCAGGAGGAGACTTTGTCAAATTCGAGCCAATCTATGAGCATGACTTGCAGCACAGCATGGACATGGTCCCCCAGCACTCTCCAACCAGCTACTACCAGCAGATGGAGAACTTGTTGGTAGATAGCTTAGCAGGCGAGTCCGGAGTCTTTCCACCCAATACGGCACCATTCCTGACAATTCCCCGTAGTGTACTCCCCCACCAAATATACCAATTGTCGCCTCGCCTGCGATTCTTGCTCGACTACTATGACAAGGCCATCTGCCCAGTTCTGGTCGCATTCGATGGTCCAACCAACCCATACCGGATGCACGTGATGCACCTGGCCATGGAGGACGAGGGATTGATGAATGCGATTGCTGCCCTGTCCACCAACAACATTCGCATGAGGGGCGGCACAAACATGAAGCGCCTCGGGTACGACCAGACTTCATGCTCGAGTCCTGGCGGCTCCCAGTCCATCCTTCCAGATAGTGCATACGCCTCAGTGTCTGCTCAAGAGATGCGGGACTTCCAGGGCGAAGCGACACAGGAGGAGTTGCGCTACAAGGCTCTGTCAATTGAGGTGTTGAACCAACAGCTAGCAGATCCCTCACAGGCAAAGAATGATTCAGTCCTGGCGACTCTTCTTGTACTTTGCCTGTTCCACGTTTGCGACAGTGGATTCTCCAAGTTCAAGACTCAGCTGGCTGGGGTGCAGAAGCTGCTGAGCCTGCGCGATCGCTCGCATCAATCGAACTTCGTGGGCTGGATCGAGGTCTTCTTCACCTGGTTTGATGTCATGAACTCGTGCGTGAACGAGCGGGAGACAGAGGTGCGACCCGAGTCGCTGGACATGCTCAATCTTTCCACCAATCTCGGCGCCTTGGAGCATCTCGTCGGCTGCGAGGGACGGCTGTTCAAGTTGATTGCCCGTCTCGGTCGTCTGAATCTCCTGAGCCAGAATCGGCCTGTCCGTGGGTCTGATGCGACGCCTCGTCCATCGCCTCAGCCCAGACGAGCCAAGGACTACTACAGCCTCACGTTCGACAATCTTGATGGCAATGGCTGGGGACCCCTGGTATCAGACTGGGATGACGGGCGTTCGGACTTTTGGCTTGAGTGGCAGTACGTACGCGAGCGATTGCAGGAATGGGAGCTGCACACTGCCCCGCCATCACAACAACAATCACATGCCAGTAGCCCCCCTGTCGCAGCGATGTGTGCAGTAGTAGCACCAATAACACTTGATGCACCTCAGCGTGACCTGCTGCACATCAGCGAGTCTTTCCGCTACGCCGCCCTCCTTTACATCGAGCGGTTGGCCAATCCAGACCTCCCGTCGTCTGCAATGGTCTTCCAGAACCTGGTCGCGCAGGCCTTGTATCACATCTCACATATCGGCATCACCTCGTGTGTCAACAAGTTCCTCCTCTGGCCCCTGTTCATTGCCGGGACCGAGTGTGTGGACGAGCATCACCGTGCCATTGTCAGACAACGCTGCGTCGAGATTCAGCGTGAGAGTGGCTTTTTCAACAATCTGAGTGGGCTCGAGGTACTGGAGAGGACATGGAAGCAAGACTACATGCCAGCATCTGGCGGTCCGTTCAAGTGGCGAGCGGTCATGGACAAGGTGGACGGAGAATACGTTTTGGTGTAAGGGTACATAGTTTTCTTTGTTTATGTCATTGCATGAGACTTCAGATGGAACGAGCGATGTATGGACAACTCGTAATGTGTTTGGATGTGTTATGACTGCATTGTATGGGGATATGATGATGTAACGCATGCATAGGGATGGCGGCGGTCTACTTTGTTTATTCATATCACATGGTTGCGAGATACCTCTGGTCTTACTGGCATGCATTCTTCCCTACACTGGTATACAGAAAACAAGGGCAATCATCACATTACTCACAACCAATTTCAACGTTTTCAATGCGTCTGCGAGATTCATTGCGCAAGCATCTAAGCGAAGTCACTACCAGGCAGTGCACGTCACGGATGGGCCCGCACATAACACTATCGGAGCACTTGAAAGCACTTAGAAGCCCTTGATGCACTCAAAGCACTCGAAAGCACGTAAGAAGGAGCATATTGGAGTCATACGACTCATGAACAACATTCTTACGCAGAGCAGGATGACATTAAGGTTGAACTACCCCATACGCGTTAGCCGATCATCCAGCCGGCAGAGATGTTTGATGTTCACTCAGCACGTCGCCGGTCCGGATCCGTTCCCAGCCTCTTTAGAGGTGTAATCTCCGCGACCAGCAATCAACGTCGTTCTATTTCATCCGACCGAGAAGCCCAGGAGTCTCACCATTCACTTCTCCCCTGCCTTGGCAAGCGTGTAGCGTTTATAATTCGGCATCCTGCCAGACTCGGCGCCTGATCCTTAATTTCAGAAATAAAAGTCACTGCCGCGAAGGCACGTTCGAGGAACTTGAGGCTCGAGCTCGACTCTCGAGCACCTCACTGCAGATGGATATGGATATGGATGCGCCCCACACAACACGAGCATACATAGCACCTGCGCTTCTATCTACCCCACAGGTGCTGGTGCTGGTGCTGGCTTCACCGCACATTCGTGATATTGAACCGGCTGTATATGAAGCGCCGACACTAGTTTGACCGTTGACAGCCACAGTCATGGGAGGCAGCATTCTATGCCCTGGGTGGCGGGATGCGCTTTGTTGATCCTCCGCTGACCTGTACGTGTGGCGATCTCGTGCCCACCACACGCACGTCGGAGCGCGCTCCAACCTTAACCCTCCAAAGCCAGCCCGCGATGGGGGAAAAAGCCCCCACTCGCGGGCGTGCTGATCCCGCCGCGGCTGGCTGCGCCTGTTACGAGAGATAGCCAGCCAGGACGTCGACATTGACGTTGATTTACGTGATTAGCCGAAAGAGAGACACACAACCAGACGTACCAGGCCAGACGCGGCAGCGGTAAACGGAAGCCCAGCATCATTTTGGGTCGAGGTCATTGCGTCGTCGGCCCCATCAATGTTGGTAATTGTATGTAATGTACATACATATTGACCGTTAGATAGCCCGAGCGTTGCATATTGGACTTGCGAACGTGGGATGTCATCACCAAAAGCATTACACTGGGTATCAAAGTGCTTGCTTGATCTGGGGCCAAGGGATAGAGGCTTAGCCGCTTTTGACTGCTGGACTGACTTGATACTGACACATACAGCGCGCGCAAGTACAAAGTAGGGGCCCTGTGCCGGTCGGCCTGCCCGCGTACGGCGTCGGGCTAGCAAAAGCTTGATCAAAACAAGCTCATGAAAGCTGGGTCTGAGGTCACATCGGCGGTCATGCCGACAGGTCATACTTTGCCTGTGGCTTGACACCGCCCTCATCCAATCCTACACGGCATTGATGGCAAGCTGTTCCCAGCAGTGGTGGGGTGGACTATGTAGATAGTATTAGATACACAGCCAGGATCTACTTAGACTTCTCCCTACTTGCCCCCTCCCCCCCTACCCTTATCACTGCTCGGAGACTAATCATTCACGGTTAGGAGATCGACAACATAAAGGGTCTGAGCGGTAACCATCGGACCAACGCCGTATCGCAGCTCGCTTGCCTCCTTCATGCAAAGGCGTCAGGAAGCTTTTACCACCCCGTGCACCAAGAACGGGGGGAGAAGGAGGCTGTTGCTGTGTTCGCATCTTGCAGCTCGCGCTCGTGCCTGGAGGAGACCGCCATCCTCATCTCTATTGTTCCTGATCTTGCTAACTGCGGGATGTAGGCGTGTCAATACGAATCCTTCGTAATTCTAGACGGATAAATAGATGGACGTACAGACATACATGGTTGTGCTGTACCAGGCTGACTACGAGGATCCGCGCGATCCATGGCTGGGGTGGGCTGGCTATCTGTACCACTGGCTGAGCTAGAAGTACTCTGGAAAGGGAACATATCGATAACCGATTATGCAGGTCACCACCCGCGCGCCCGCGCACAATCAATTATACAGCAATATTCCTGGCGAACTTTAAACAGTCCTTCGTTCATGCATCATCAACATCAGCATCAGCATCATCGAGATCCAAAGGCCAACAATAGCTGCAAGATAGCTTACGCTCGCCTTGTAGCGGCCCAGAAGCGCATTCACTCTATACCGTCCCAGCTTGTATGCATCTCCGAGCGGCCCTGGGATAGCCAACTTAGAATATTCCGTGCGCGTTCTGTCGGCAGTAGAGCGCTTCCTGTCGGGTGTCGTGTCGGTAGCGATAGTTCTACGACATCATTTTCATACACAACTGCCGTTCATCCTAGACTTGGGGGGACTATTACTCATCAAATCGCTTATACAGAAGCAATAGTAGAGACTCGTTAAGATTCACAAAGCTAACGCATCGTGCAACCCTTTCCCGGCCCCCGTATCGACGAGACCGCTTCTTGGCACACTCTTAAACTTATTACCCCCAGATCAATCCTTGCTGCGACCTCTGTACCTGCTCACGGTGCAGTGCAGCGGCAACGGACGGTAGCTGCAAGGCAAGCATCGTCAGCGTGGTCGACAATAATACTTGAAAGCTCATATCCTCGTCTCGGTGAGCTGTGAGATGGAGACGGAGGAAGCTACTCCAAAGTGACACCATCAACATCAACATCTACCACTCTTTAAGACATTACCTAAAACATGCTGCCGAGACGGTCACATTCACAGCATCGTCTTGTCGTCGGGGCCATGGACCTGGTTCGGGCAGAAGAACGCCTCGCTGCATAGAAGCCTGCACGGAAATCAAACAGAAGCCGCTACGATCTCCCTACTTACTTCTCCGCATCCATGGAGTTTATAATACGTTAATTCGAAACGCCACTGCACCGGCACCACACATATTCTATAAAGCTGCATCAAACACACGAGAAATCCTGGAGATCTGCACGCGCCTTGCCATGTTCGATTATATATCCGTAAGTTTGGCCAATCGCCTATGGATAGGTGCCTCTTCGCACGTAAAGATGCAACTAGACCCTTTACAAATAACCTCGAAACACTTACTATATAGTCTCTGCTTGGTTCCATTGGCCACGGCGTCTTGTTATTTCCGTTCCCGGTAAAAGCACCCAATCCCGCGTAGTAGTGCACCATAGCTATGCAAGCCTCTGCTATACGATGGTGCCATGGCTGGCTTTAGTGGCCATCCCGTCGCAACGCCAAGGGGGTAGTAGTATCCTATAATATCACAAATCGAAGCCTGCACAGAACGTCTAGAAACATTGCCCCGGGGCGAGGCTAGGGCGGATGGATAAGCTTGTTGAAACATAAGCGATGAATGTGCAGCGGCATGTCGGGAGTCACAGCAAGGACTGACACATAACAAGGTGCGGCGCCCGCGGGCGGCTTGAGGAATGGTATTGGATCATTCTCCCCTTGAGCTTCTAATGGCCGATCCTAGAAAAAGCCACCCACAGCCACCAGATTCTCCTGGCTGATGGGCTAACACGCCACTAGTTAGTCAGGTGTACAGCCTTGAGGGGGGGCTGTAAAAGCCTCGGCCGCTGAGAATGTACAGAATAGCTCCAAGCAGTAACCGTGAATAGCCAGCTTGATCGATACACGTGACTAATATTCTAGTCTGCTTTATAGTGAAAAGTGCGAGAGGACTATCATCAATACTCGAACTGGCAAGGCGTGGTGTGTGGGTCTTTGCAGCCCGCAAGACCGCTCTATCCGCTCTATCAAAAAGCTGATGACTGTCTACACATGCATGCATAGTACTTTCCTTCGCATGTGCTTCCCTTCGAGTCAGTGACTTTCAGTCCACAGCATCATCCCAGAAGAAATCATCCAAGGAAGCCCTGTATCAAGCACGCAAAATGCTAAACAGAAAACCATGACTCTTAACACAATGTAAAATATTGGCACCATCTCTCGAGTCTCGACCATTCATCCGGAGGTCGCCGGCAGATAAGTCCTTGACCATGGACCGTCGACTATTGCATAGATCTCAAGCAGCAGGGTTTACCTACCTTCGATCCCTGTATCCCGTTTTGTTTCATTTATCGCATAAGAACATCCTTGAGCCTTCTAGAAGGAAGTCCTGCATTCTGTAGGGTTGACTAACTAGCTAATGACTCGCATTTCCAGTAGTCTCCCGTTCGTCTTATCTTCTGCTTCAACGCTTCTGCAGGATACTGTAGGCTCTTTACTACTAGTATATGAGTCAAGTGGTAAACTTCAAGCATATTATGCTTAGCAACAGTGGGTGCAAGCAGTCCCTGGTCGCTCTTTTTTAGATAAGGACCTTACTAAATAAAATCACTTACTATACCTAAACTTTTTTTTATATAGAGTTAATGGTTTGAAGAATATAGATTGAAGGACTTTATTCCTTTGTGGTATGTACAGATTATTTACTTTATTCAGCTATGGGAGTGCTACGGAGACTAATCTAATTCAAAGATTAACGTTCATCTTTGGCGTAAGTATTGTTCTTACATATAAAGGTTATGCAATATTCAACTCTATTACATAATCAGTATAGATAGACCGCGAGAATCTCCATATAGTTGTATTAAGTTATATCTATGTTACTACTAGATCGTGGGCCAGCCTTTTAATCCAGTAAGTTACTATTATACTATATCTAGAGGCCTATGCTAACTTCTCGGAGACGTTCTTAAGCCTTACCTAGTTAATAGAATTTACAAGTTAGGTGCGACCGCGTCTTAGTAGAGGGCTAGTTTAAAGAATTATACAAAAGCACCTTCGAGCTATAATGCCTCATCCTAGAAGCGTCGTAGGTACTTACTTAGCTGTGAGTGGCGTCATGTCTCTTAGAACAGCTTGTGAGGGGCGTCAAGGATCTTGAACGACCTGTGAGCTCTGAGGGCGGTCAAGGATCTTGGAAGGTGAGCGCGAGCCTCGCCAACTCGAATTCTATATTCTCTCTTTCCGGGGTCATCAGATTCGCCGGCTTTGTCGCATCGTGACGCGGAGCACTTCATGCCCACGTCCATTCCCAAGTTCATATTCGATTCCATCCTACCGACCTAGTAAGATCTATCTTACGAAACTCCAAATGGCCGAGATCTATGACACCGACAGATTTGCGCAATTGTACTACGCAGAAGGACTCACCTTGGATAATCTGGCTCTCGCAGCAAGATTTCTAAATACTCTCTTTTTCATGGGAGACATCGAGTCAGCTTTTGTCGGAGGCTGGGCGCTTCTCCTGCGCGGAAACACAAGACAGACACGAGATATCGATATAGCTGTTGGGACAGATATGCCCACGCTGAAAGCCTATCTCGTCCAGCAGGCAAGGTACGTATACTTCGAAAGCTGTGTCTCTGACTAAGTGAGAGTTTAGGGTATGCTTCCCACAAACTCATGGAGAAAGCACTGTCACAATTTTTGTCCAAACTGGAAAGAGCTTTGACGCCGACTACCCGGATGTTGTCGACTATCCAGTATATGTGGACATAATCATAAGCGGTGAGTGATATAGATCATTGCTGCTTGCACATAGAGTCGCTTACTTGGAGAAAGGTTATCTTAACACGCCTCGTCCGTTACACGAAGGTACAGAGTTTATATTTCCAGAAACGGAGAACATTCAAGGAACAGGCCCGTTTCAGGTGCTCAATCTCTTCAATCAGATGAAAGCAAAGCTCTCAGCTTTCCGCACTCGCGGTAAATTGTCCAAAAATGACTTCATAGACCTGATTTTCTTGGTATTCCGGTACTATGACGACATTCCTACTTTCAAGCATAGCTTGAACTCCGAAGAGATTGCCATGTTTGTAGAGGAGTATCAGGAGGTGTACGGCCAAGACGAGGAGTCCGTCGCATGGGTAAAGGAGGTCTTACAGTAGATCAAGGGATTATGCAACGAATTCGAACCATAATGCTTCACGCTCACGTCGATGCTGCTTATCCTTATCTGCTTAGCTTAGGGAGACAGTATAATGTTATAAAGTGAGTGAACAAGTCTGCAGGGTTGAAGTGAGCCGGAAGCCCGGGGGAAATCAAAGAGTGTTATCGAATGGATCCAATCATTTTCGTTCGGCGGATCATTTCTCCGCTCACCGTGTTACCTTATTCATGAATGAAGCGCGTCGCCTGTCTTGAACAACTCCCTTACTAGACTATTTACCATGGCACACAAAACTCAAGAGATTTCACAAATCATCGTCGCCCTAGAGACCCAGCATATCACCTGTTGCATCGTGGGAACAGCTGCACTAATCCATTACGGTGCTCAACGAGTGCTTCATGTAAGCCTGCAGCTCTAGAAAACAGCGCCCGAGCTGAATTTCATAGGACTGGGAACTTTGTGTTCCATCATCGCTCTACCACCAGGCTGTCGAGTACTTGTCTTCCGAGGATGAATCATCTACTCCTATACACGCTTGCCGACCATCCCGTCCACAACCTAGCTCGACTAACCATCTACATGCGCGTTTCCTCTGCCCGTCCGATCGTTCAATATTCGTTGTATTACCTGACGAGGAAGTCCATTTGGATCTGAGCCGTACTGAACGAGTTTACGATGCCAATAACATCCCATACCCTGCTTTGCGCGATCTTGCACAGAGCCTCCTTGACACAAGTAATGAGGTTGGCCTATGCGACCTAGTTGATGGGGCAGATATCGATATTGAATGGGGCGTGACGAATCTCGACCTTTCCGGTACCAAAGATGTGGACTGGGCTGTTCAGATGAACTCGAGAATCAAGCGCCTGTGCGAACATCCGTCTGATAGAGTCGCCATTTTCCCCACTTGTTCGAGGCCTAGGCGGGAATTTTGGTCGCACATTGCGAATGCGAGCTCAAAGAAAGGTAGACTGGGCTGCCAAAAATCGCCAAGCTGCTTTGACACACGATTTCGTCTTGCTGCTAGACCAGCAAATGTTGCATCTTTGACGTCGGCCCACGGGGCAGGCTGACGTTGCAACCAGGCTTGGTCGATGACAGGGAGAGCACTACTTTTGGTCTCGTGTGTATGAGCTCGGAGTGAGTAGATATCATTGAATATCGCGATACTGGGGTCGTATATGCGAAGGGCTGACCTGCTGAGCAATGATCGTAATGATCGTTGTCCGTAATGAAGCTACCACACTAAGAACTTCATTACTGATCATGCTAGACGTGAGAAAGCAAGCAGGCACACGTTGCGACCAGAAATTAATGTTTCGTAGTAGCTGGTCTGGCAAGCAATACGTGTGGTGCGAGTGGGAACATTCAGCAGTGTTGCGACAGATGCATCCTTGGAATGTCAATGCACTGAAATTACTGTCAAGCCAGGCCGATGGACAAGCCACCTGATTACTGGACACACCTTGCAGATGTTTTCAGGATTCTTATCGGTCATGTACAGTTCTGCAGCCTGCTCGGCTTGCAGAAAGGCAAGGCTGTACAGTTGTTTGTGTAGTAACGAAAAGGTACCCTCTTCAAGGGATTATCGCTGGCCAGGCTCGTGTTTACTTGCCAGTCAGGCCTCAGATTCGAACTTCAAGTGGGTTCTTGGATGGTAGTGCCAGAGACTGCTATCTGCTACTGTGTGTTGTAGGGAAAAGGTTGCAGTTGGAAGGGCTTTCTATGGAGCACAGGCCTAGATATATATGAGTGGATGAATGGACATCATTGTAGTTCGACATCTTCCTCTCTTCTCACATACATCAAGAGCCCACTGTCATCTGACCATTCACTCTGCTCCGGAGGAGGGAGGGGGACTCCACTCAAGCATAATCAGCAGCCTCAACATACTCGGGAAACGAACAAATATTAGACAAAACACGAATAACAAGCACAAACGGTTTACATCTACTACAACACATAATCCTTCTTTCTGTGCTTTTGCCCGTAGCAAAACAATCCCCCCCTTCTTCCCCCTTCTCTCACAACATCATAGCTGTAGTGTAGCGAGCTATTGAAATATTCAACCTCCATTAGCTGAACCTCTACGCCTAGCCCTTGTGTGTCCCCGTACCGTAGACATAATTATATCTCGTCACCATCATTACGTAGACTGTCGTAGAATCACTACCGCCCATTGATTTAGTCTTTGTTTCCACAGTGTTATGTGCACCCCGGAATGTATTGTTGCTTCAATGGGAGGAGGAGATGTGTATAGGGAGAGCTTAGCTTATTATGTTTTTATCTAAGCTCGTCTTTGAGTCTCTGATTGACCACGACCCCTGCCTGATATGCACTATGGCTCTTAACTCACTGCTCACATGTTCGCTTTAGAGAATATCTGCATGCTCATCCTCATGCTCACGCTTACAGTTGGTTGCTAGATATATATGTGTGCAGTGTATATATTCTCAAATAGTGCGAGGACAACAAACATTTGCATGTGATATGTAGGACAAACTATATAGATAGACATCCGATTTGGGGTATAGATATGGAGACTAGGCTGTGGACTGTGGACTGTGCAATGCTGGTCGAATGCATAGGACAATCCGAGGGTATATTTATAGATCAGAGTTCAAGCAAAGTCAGGGTAAAGCGTCAAGTCCAAGAAGTATAAGAAGTTTAATCTTACCTCCTGACCATATGCTTAAGAACGGACAGATAGACAGTTAGTCAGAAGGAAAATGTGTCATTATAATCTCTGCCAACGGTATTCATTGACCAACCCCTCCACTCAGTCTATGTAGTGCTTCGCCTGTATCTACCATATAAATCACCAATTCTATCCATGTACATCCAAAGGACATGGGTGTAGTGCCCACTGACGGCAAAACTTTTCGTATATTCGTACACACTAGCATCATAGTCAGACACGCAGCGCACCACATCATACCATACCACACTGCATAAACCCCACCGCATGAACCGAGCTAAGTCCAAGCCCAAGCCCAAGCCTAACCCATAGCATCATCATGTCATTGCAAAAAACCCGACAACGCTAACCCAGGATATCCTGATCAAAGGAACATCCTTCTCATACGAGCAGCTATAACAAGGCATCATACTCCGGATTCACCCAACCAGGCTGCCCACACGCGCCACGAATCCGCGCGCCGAAGAAATGCAACGCCGCAAGCGCCGGAACACTGACGAAGAAGGTGATAATACCCTGCGCCGCAAACGTCCAGGTATACCCCACCGCATCAACCCAGGGCACGATGAAGAACGGATTGACAAACGCGGACAGGTTGAGGATGACGGCGTAGAATGTGACCATGGCCATGGATTGGAGCGGGTAGCAGTCGACGACATACGCCGCCACAACGGTGTTGCCCATCTGGATGCCTGCGCCGAAGAGGAAGAAGGCGATCTGCCCGACGATCCAGTGGTAGCCGCGGTCGATGCTGATGCCCCAGATAACGAGGCCGATGGCGCTGAGCAGGGCGGCCGGGTACGCGAGCCAGAGGCGCATCTCGGCGGTCCTGACGCCGGCGTTCCGCTTTGCGAGCTTGACAACGAGCCAGTCGGATAGGGTACCCGAGCAGAGGATTTCGGAGAGGAGGGTGCCGAGAATCAGGCCGATGAAGAGGAGGCCCTGGATCTGGGGCGCGTATTGGGCGTAGGCGACGGGGATGTAAGTGATGACGCTGAGGATCCACCAATACCAGGCGAACGAGTAGATGCCGAGAGCGAGCGGGACGACGGCGTACTTGAAGGTGATGAGGAAGCGGGTGAGAGCGCCCCAGATTGGAGGATGGCGCATGCCCGGGACGGGTGTGAGGTTTATGAATGGGAGCTGCGTGGTCCGCTTGATGGAAACCTCAGATGCGGCATGCTTGCGTCGGTCGGCCTTCTCGACATCGACGGCTGAGGCATGACTGTCTGTGAAGGGCATTTTATGCAGCATCTGGTTCCTCGGATACAGAGTCTCGGGCAGGAAAGCGATTTCCGCGGCAAGAATGACGCCGAAAAAGATGGCACTCAGCCATTGGATCCAGAATTGGTCGACAAGCCAGATGAATCCCCCGATCAAAGGACCAACTAGCAGACCCATGTCGATAGCCAGCACCCAGAGACCAACTTTCTGGCCACGTTCATGCTCGTAGAACATGTCGTTGATGATTGCGAGACCGACCGTGGACGCGGGAGCTACACCAAGGCCCTGAAAGAACCGAGCGGCCATGTATCCGGCGTAGGTCGGAGCTTTCGCAGCGCCTATGGTCGAGGCAAAAGCCATGACTGTGCCAATGATGAAGATCAAGCGGCGGCCATATATGTCGGCCAAGGACGACCAAATGAGAGGACCGACTGCAAGACCAAGCGCCGGGATCGCAACGGTCCAATTGACCTGAGCCAGGGAGATGCCATAGTATTCCTGCAGATCAGGAAATGCAGGCACAGTCGTTGTTGTGATGTAGGTAAACATGAAGTATCTATTCACGAAAAGTCAGCACTTTATTGCTGTGCATATTAAGTTTTCGGCAAGCTTACAGGGACATGACAATTGCGAGGATCGAATGCTTCTTGACCCATGACCAGTTCAATGGGTCGAGAGGATCGCTCGTCGGTTGAGGATGCATCTTGAAGCCGTCCTTGAGCAGGACCGGAGCATCAACCTCTGCATCGTCGCCAGAAAAGACGGTGGACTTTTCTTGTACCGGCGATGGGGTTTCATGCTCGCAAGCGTTATCTTGTGAGGTCGCCATGTCGTCAGATGTACTGGGGTATCTTATCGCAGGCTGTTGTTGAGAATAGTAGGGAATGCAGGGATCATTCTACAGCCAGCCGGATAAGTTGATAGAAAGAATGATGGACGAGGAGAATGAAGCATGTAGATTTACAAATACAACAATCCCCCGACAACGAAGCACACAGCGGTGTGTAGGACTGTGAAGGTGCAAATGTCTTCGTGGTGAGATCTGTGACAGACTGACTTCTAAAGACGACAAAATGAAGCAGAACAGACGGACATAAGAAAAGACTGGTGAACGGGACGGCCGACGCAGGCCTTTGCCCACACTCGCGGGAGATATCAGACTATACTACTAGTAGGCAGCCAGCCTTGCACGAACGAGACGTAAAAGGGCCGTTTATTGTTGCATGCATCAGACTCGCGTGGGAGTGGCGCCCCAGTTCGGTCTTCTATACTCTTTCATGCTGGAATGCGTATCTACTAATTACAGTGGGGCTAAAAGCTAGAGGGGAATGGATGGAGCGCGACGAGGTCCCGCAGCTTCGAGGGACGTAGTTCGCGAAGTTGAATCTGCTATTATATGCCGCCGCCGTCATTAGACTGATGTTGGTCGACGCCCCGGCGTGGGATAACAACAACACAGGGTGAAGATTGGCAGTTGATGAACCAGCCGAGAAACCAGGTGCTGATCACTGCTACTGACTGATAGCAATATGTTGTAAGGATTATAACGAAACAACTTCCCAGGAAGACCGCTACAGACAGACTCCTGTCGAGCCGCAACTTGATGAGTAGGGAGAGTGTCGTGAAACAGATGAGGCACAGTGGTTGGATGAGATGTTATTGCGACATTACTGTGGCATCGATCCTCGTGGAGGCCCAGGGTAGGCACAGACGTCAGTGACAAATGCAATGGGCTCCCTTTAAGAGAATCGATTGGACGAGGTCGTGCGAGGAGGCATTGCATTGACAGATATGGATTTTTGGTTGTTCTTCAGTTGATCATCATAGTATGAGGGCTGGAGTTTGGGAACGGACTAAGGAGGTGATGTTGACTATGAACCGTCACTAACTTAGGGAGGGAATAAGGGAACAGGCGCCGCTAATTAGCTGCCTCTGTCCCCCCATTCTCCCGCCGGGCCGCCGCGACGTTTCTATTGAGTTTCTGCCCACTAATTACCAACCACCACTACTACTACTTCACTCACCCCCCTGTGGCTTACGGACTAGAGACGCCTTTTGATACGGGTTGGAAACTGGAGTGGAGACATGTTCGATACTCAGCTGCTTCCTTGAGACGCCTGGTCAGACGCCTAGAATGAAAAAATAAAAACCCGTTATTCTCGTTGTCTTCTGCGTTGATATTCTGCTTTGCATCTCTTCACGCGTCTTCTCGTAGTCCTGATCACCGCGGATAACCATCTGTTTCAAAAGACAACATGAACACGCTGCTTATGCTATAGAGCGCTCCAAAGGAAGACCTAATCATCATCACCAAGACGCGCGCGGTTGGCTCCGTTTCCGGCGCCACCCTTTTGCCAATGGGGCCTTCTTCGCCCGCGCCGTCGACCAAGTACTATCATCTGCCATCACTCGAGTCTCGCCAGCCACTCGCTTGTACCTGTTCCCTTAGTCATATCAGTCATAGCCAGTTGGTCTTTGACATCATAGGTATAGCAAGTCCCTGATGCTCATCACCCGGAGCATGCAACTTCAGTCCATTGCATCAGCCTTTGATAAACAGACACTCGAACGTTAATGATGTTTACGACTCCTTCATCATGGTCATCTTAAAACCCAGTTCCAGTCGCCGGTGCCTCTTACAGCCGAGGACAGCTTATCAATACGCTGTGGGCCGACCCCAACTAAGATCCACTGCCTTGCATACTCAACACGGTTTATGTCTCACCCAAAAAGTACTCCAATTGACCAATTGACCAATTGGGCACCACTGCTCGCATTACTCGCACTGCTCTCCAATTAGGTGTCTGCTGCGTGCTTGAGAACATGCGTCTAGCAGCAAGTTCTGGAGAATTTGCAACCCCAATCGAGAACGATTCGCCATCTATTTTGACCTTCTCCCTCTTCGTGAAGACCTCGATCCATTGCGCCATTCACGAGGACTTCTCCTAGCCTGCGGGCAGAACTCCGAGCTTCTGCCTTAAGTATCCGTGATATTGAAACTGTTCCCCTCATTTTATCGGACACTGTACGTCTCAAATCTGCCGCGGCCAAACCCCACCCCGATTACCCGGCACTTTCCCCGACACGGCACCGGCCCATGGAGAGCCAGGACAATATCTCGAGCGCGACGTCGTGGCTCCCAAAATTTTTGCGGACGTCGCCAAAGGTGTCAGACTCGTCAAGTGCCACGCCTACAGAGCGTACTTCACTACTCCCAAGGCCTGATGATAATGATAGTGATGCTGATGATGATGATGGCACTGAAGTGTACGATCTTGAGGATGGAGACCGCTCCCAGTACCAACTGGTTTTGCAAGAGTTTTGGATATTGCTAAAGGGTTCTATTCCAGTCATCCTGGCATATACCCTCCAGAATTCATTACAGACCTTCTCCGTTCTCATCGTCGGACGTCTCTCTCCAGAAGCGCTGGCTACAGCTGCCTTCTCATACATGTTCGCAATGGCTACTGGATGGCTGATTGCACTGGGCGGCACCACTGCGATCGATACACTGGCCTCCGCTAGTTTCACGGGGAGCAAAAATAAGCATGATCTCGGCATAATTCTACAGCGTTCCTTCATCGTGCTGGCTTTTCTGTATGTTCCCGTTGCTATCCTATGGATCTGTGCCGAGCCTGTCTTCAGGCTGTTGGGCCAAGAAGAATACATTGCGCGTGACTCTGCCAAATTTTTGACTGTTTTAGTGCCCGGTGGTCTGGGTTACATTTATTTCGAGGCTCTCAAAAAGTATTTGCAAGCTCAGGGTATGTGCATGCGTATCACCTATCTCTCTGTTGGGTACACCACTGATATTGACGCTGGGCAGAGATTATGCGACCTGGTACTTACGTGTTGCTCATCACGTCACCACTTAACGCTGGCCTTAACTACTTGTTTGTATACACGTTCAAGATGGGTCTTCTGGGCGCCCCCCTTGCCACTGGTATCTCTTACTGGCTCTCTTTTGCCCTTCTACTTGCATACACGCGCTTCGTTGCTGGCTGGGAATGCTGGGGCGGCTGGAGTCGCAAATGCGTTCAGAACATGTGGACATTCACCCGCCTTTCCCTTCTCGGAGTCATCCAAGTAGGCACTGAATGGTGGGCATTCGAGATTGTAGCCCTCGCGGCAGGCCGCCTTGGAACAGTCCCGCTTGCCGCGCAAAGTGTCATCATGACAACCGATCAGGTCATGAACACAATCCCCTTTGGCGTCGGCGTTGCCACATCAGCACGCGTTGGTAACATGTTAGGCTCGAAGAATGCAAAAGGGGCTGCTCGATCGGCAAACACGGCTGCCTGGCTCAGCATGCTCCTCGGCGCCCTCGTCCTCGCTGTCCTGATGGGCGTCAAGGACTTCTACGCCAAGATCTTCAACGACGACGAGGATGTAGTTCGGCTTACCGCCCTCGTCATGCCATACGTAGCGCTTTTCCAGATTGCCGACGGGCTGAATGGTAGCTGTGGAGGTGCTCTCAGGGGCATGGGACGCCAGCACGTTGGCGCTGCAGTCAACATCGTTGCTTACTACTTCGGTGCACTGCCCTTTGGCATCTATCTTGCCTTCCACGGCTGGGGTCTGGTCGGTCTCTGGATCGGTCAATGTATTGCTCTCTACCTCGTCGGCTTCGTTGAGTGGGCGATTGTCGCCTTCAGTGACTGGAACTACCAGGTCAAGAATGCCTTTGCGCGGATGGATCACGATGAAAGGGCTGAGATTGGGGAAGCTGATGATGAATCTTCTCATTGAAACGGAATTTATGACTTCCGACAGCATGTATATATATATGTATATATATATACCTTATAGCGACATGCATGGACGAATTTTGATCTAAAAGTAATGAGACGTTGTATGAGGGCATGGATCGAACTATGCACAGCAATGTTGATCGTCGTATCTGATATACATTCCATGGATCTCCAGTACTCGATTTCAACCAAGAGAGCTTGTACGACCACCAGTACACCCCGAGAAGTCAAACTTCAGGCAGAGAGTGACACAACCATATTGACGTATTCGCACTGTACTCCTTTCGTCCTGTTAGCCATGCATTTGGACTAATGGGAAGCATTCTAGGTGTATTCCGTGAGAGCTTGCTGACCAATGGCATCCATGCCACCTATTCTTAGCTGCTTTCCTACTACGCTATCTGGATTAGCTTGTGAATCCCCATGCAGTGCAGTTCGTGAACCCGCGTAGAGACACGTGGGGACAAGCTGTTGTTGGGGAAAGGTCACCGTCACGGAAATCTGTGATAACAAATATGCTTGTAAGAAATGTCATACCAAGCAGAGTCGCCCTCAGACCTGATCCTTCACGAAGGTAGATACCTCAGAAAACGTGCATCATTCCATACAGTGCCAGCCTTGTGTTGTCGGCATCCGCTCCCGGTATCTTGTTACCACTCTCCCCGGGTCCGGCATCCAGCCAGACAGGCATTGTATCCATCTTCTGCCCACAATCCTTATCATACCTCCGTTCAGGATGCTCGCGGTTACGTATAGCCAGGCACATCGCTGATTCGCGCGCTTGCGCCATCGAGCTGTCATCGTGCGTGGATCCAAGCCCAAGCTGCCCCTCATGGCTGCTTCTTTACTTGTAATCCATTAGCTAGAAAGCAGAAAACACACTACGCTGGCTCGGCATATGCAGTCTCCATTCATCCCCACTCAGCCAGAACGATACGGTTGAAGCTATGCACTGCAGTGTCACAGTCATTGGTAATCGCCCCCAGCCTACCTCATAAGGACGAAGTACAGGGTCGCCATGACGGCACCCAATTCTGGGGGAAAGCAGCCTTTTCGCCATTTCGACGCTGCTCCATCGGCGTTACATAATGGCAGACGGTTAGATTGCATTTGATGAAGTTGAGATCGAGACCGAAACCTTTCCGTGCTCTTTTGATGCAAATTCTCCCTCTTCTTCCTTTTACACAGCTGCAGATCTGTGTGATTTCATCAATTGACCCTTAGTCTGCTCCAACAATCTCCCTCAAGCTCCCCATTCACTCGTCGCTTGATTAGCTCGCCATGAGGTACTTTTCACTGCTCGCGTTTGTGGCTACAGTCCTAGCTCATGGAGACCATGATCAAGAGCCCATTGAGGGCCCACACAAGCATCTGTGGTATAACACCCTGCCTGGTGATGGTGGGAAGCAGGTATGAGCTCCAGCAACCCAAGTGGCACTTATGTCGTTGGTTTTTCGTTGGTCTAAAGCCCTTTCCTGGTCATCGATGAGCTGAAGGGCTGACCAGATGTGAATGCAGGCAGACTCCATCTTCTCTGGGATTTCCACCTTCGGCCGCCTCGATTACTTCCCGTGCCTTGCCAGTGATGAGAAGAAATACGACATTGCCTTCATTGGTGAGTTCTCACAACGCATTTCGCTCCTGGCTCTTAGTAGTGTCCTTAGAGTCGAATATTAAACACACTTCTCAGGCGCTCCTTTCGACACCGGGACCTCCTACCGCCCAGGAGCACGCTTTGGCCCCAGTGGCATTAGGCAAGGTTCTCGCCGCCTCAATCTCTAGTACGTCTTCCGAACATATGCTTACGAGCGCGATGGTGGGATACAGGCTCACACAAAGTACGATTCAGTGGTGGATACAATGTCCCACTCGAGGCGAATCCGTTCAATTCGTGGGCAACTGTGATTGACTGTGGTGATATTCCTGTGACTTCGTAAGTGGTCAATGCCTTCAGCTTCAATTCGGATTCTGTGCTCTTCCCGGTGCCATTTTGACAAAAAGGCTATAACGACGGCTCTACTACGTATCCTCAAGCCCGCAAGGTTCAACGATAGACGTCAGAGAAGTCGTCTAATGTACTTTTTCTAGCCCAATCATCCATCACAGTACTCAGATCGACCCCACAGATCGGCACTAACGTCTGTCTCGCAGATACGACAATGCCTGGGCTCTCCAGCAGATTGAAGAAGGCCATAACAGCATTCTGTCTCGTGCACCGAAGACCGATGCCCATGCAAAGGGCCCCTCAAAGAAGGGCAAGACACTTCCCCGTGTCATTACTCTCGGTGGTGACCACACCATCACCTTGCCCCTGCTACGATCCATCAACCGCGAGTATGGACCAGTCAGTGTGATCCACTTCGATAGCCACCTGTAAGACAAACCATCCCGATGCCTTCGCACATCACAAAGCTAAATAAGCCCAGCGACACCTGGAAGCCAGCCGTGTTCGGCGGCGCACCTAGCAAGCAAGCCTCCATCAACCACGGCACATACTTCTACCACGCCTCCCAGGAAGGTCTGCTCGCCAACGACACCAACATCCACGCCGGCATCCGCACCACACTCTCCGGGCCCTCCGACTACGAGAACGACGGCTACTGCGGCTTCGAGATTGTCGAGGCCCGCGAGATCGACTCCATTGGCACCGCCGGCATCCTCAAGAAGATCAGAGACCGCGTCGGAACCACGAAGCCCGTGTATTTGAGCATTGACATCGACACCCTCGATCCAGCCTGTAAGTGCAGCCAACATACAAACTACCCTTGAGATACGACAATGGAAAAATTGACCTCTGACATAGTTGCTCCTGCGACCGGTACCCCGGAGACGGGAGGATGGTCTACACGTGAGCTCCGCACTATTATGCGTGGTCTTGAGGGCATCAATCTGATTGCAGCTGATATCGTTGAGGTTGCACCCGCGTACGACACTAATGCTGAGCTCACCACCATGGCGGCTGCTGACACCTTGTATGAGGTCATGACCCTCATGGTTAAGAAGGGGCCCCTGAGCAAGACCGTCGGAGATAAGGAGGAGGAAGAGCTATAAGGCAAGTTGTCGCTATGGACTCGATGTCGTAGGGACCACACCAAGGCAGCAAGCAGACTGCTTATCAAGCCATACGTAGAGACGAATGTGAATGAACAAAACGCCGGGAGATATTTAACTTATATCACCTACCGCATAACTGTCAGATTCTTTACATGTCAAGCACGCACTCAATGAGCCATGTATCCATAAATTGGGAAAGTGGAATAGACTGCGCATACACACCATCCTGGCTCTGTGATTGGCTCATTACATCCGAAACAGGCAAGTCATGTATCACATATTATCATGCAACGTCTGAGGAGCGTCGCGCCGGAGCGACGCTCCATTCGCTCATTTGTGGGTATATAGCTACTTCAAGTTAAAGCTGCCTACCTATCAGCTGAAGTATGTCCTTAGGTTGTTGTGAAATCGTGCAAAGCTGTCCACACACGGTGTCATGGCTTCATGGTGTCTTTCCGGTTCGAGGAACTCTCAGCGTTCTGACGAGTAGTATTCCTTCTTTCATTCTCAGAGTGGTATGGCTTTGTATATCAATATAAACTCAAACTTCTCCCGCGATGAGACAGTGTATAGTGAGCAATGCTCGCGAGATGGTCTTTCGCATGTTATCTTAATTAAGTAGAATAATGATGGTACTAGCTTAAGAGATAGAAGCTCGACGACGTTGTGTGGAATGCAGTACTGTTGTTTGACTAGACTCTTTAATCAGTGTATCCATGAGAGCCCATGAGAAGGATTATTTGGACGTGGCGATCGCGGCGTATAAGTGCATATGTAGGTATTAGATAGTTGCAGTAGCGAGCTTGGTGGGAGGAGAACTGAATTCCGCGACTACTGGTATAAAAAGTTTATGCCTTCAGTACGGAGGGCGTCCGCGGGGCGGAGCTTCATGTCGCACGTTTATGACCGAGCCCGTGCCCGCCCGTAAGGTACGGCAGTGCTAGTCGGAATAGAGACTAGTCCACTAGCTACTTTATGCGACGAGTTTGTTTGTGATCGCTTGCCTCAACATCGAGAACATGCAACGGGCGCAACATGGTGGCATGCCCCATCTGCGGCGAAAAAGTACGAGAAAAGGACATCAATGCCCACATTGACTCGGAGTGCAAAGAATACGTCAATATCGAATCAGAGCTCCCACAAACGGCACCTCCAAGCTCGACGCAGAAGGCATCCGGTGTTGCGAATTTTTTCTCGACACAAACCCCTCGACGCGTCAACACTTCTTCTCATCTGAAAAATGGATTACCTTCGTCGCCCTTGGCCCCGTCGCCTGCCGCCAGCCAACGACCACTGGGCCTGGCGCCTGCCAATTCGAATAAACGCTCGTTAGAAACAGTCAATGGCGAAGAAGCAAATGACGATTCTATACCATCAGAACCCGTGAAGAGGCAACGGACAAACGTGTTCCAGAAGGTGGCTCCACTGGCAGAGCGTATGCGACCACGTACGCTCGACGAAGTGACTGGGCAGGAACTTGTTGGCGCGACAGGAGTCATCAGAGGACTCATCGAGCAAGACCGTGTGCCGTCTATGATACTCTGGGGAGGACCTGGCACAGGAAAGACCACAATCGCGCGTCTGATCGCGAATACTGCCGGATGTCGGTTTGTCGAAATCAATAGTACAAGCAGCGGTGTCGGCGAATGCAAGAAGCTCTTCGCAGAGGCCAGAAGTGAACTGGGTCTGACTGGAAGGAAAACAATCATCTTTTGCGATGAAATACACAGGTTCTCAAAGAGCCAGCAGGACGTTTTTCTAGGGCCTGTTGAAGCTGGTCAGGTTACGTTGATCGGGGCAACGACAGAAAATCCGTCTTTCAAGGTTGTCAACGCTCTTCTATCGCGTTGCCGCACTTTCACGCTTTCCAAACTCACGGATGCCGACATCACGAGTATCTTGAAGCGTGCTGTCGAAGTAGAAGGTGTCTCCTCTCCTCTACTTGACGTGGCTATGATTCAATACTTGGCCGCATTTGCTGATGGCGATGCTCGAACCGGACTAAATCTCCTCGAGCTCGCCATAGACTTGTCCCAGCGACCATCAATGACTGCAGAATCCATAAAACAGTCACTGACACAAACACTGGTCTATGACCGCGCCGGCGACCAGCATTACGACACCATATCAGCTTTTCACAAGTCCCTTCGAGGTTCGGATGCAGACGCAGCTCTATATTACCTTGCCCGTATGCTTCAGTCTGGAGAGGACCCACTATACGTCGCTCGGCGCTTGATCGTTGTTGCGAGTGAAGACGTAGGCCTGGCCGACAATTCAATGTTATCGTTGGCGACTGCGGCGTACACGAGCGTGGAGAAGATTGGCATGCCAGAAGCACGCATACCGCTTGCGCACGCCACGGTAGCTCTAGCCTTGTCACCGAAATCAACACGTGCTTACAGAAGTATGAACAATGCGTATGCGGCACTGCAGGAGCCTGGTGTCGCGGGGCTACCCATCCCCTATCACATCCGAAATGCACCTACACGCCTGATGAAAGACATGGGTTATGGCAAGGAATACAAGTATAACCCAGACTATGTCAATGGAAATGTCAAACAGGAGTATCTTCCAGAAAAGTTACTTGGGAGAAAGTTCTTGGAAGTAGATGATCTCGGTACAAAGATCGATCCAGACCTTAATGGTGCCCTTGAGGCTAAGGAAGAGTCACCATGTGACAACATCGAAGAAGAGGAAGATGAACGACTGCAGCAGCTAGAGAATCAGGATCTCATCCCTGAAGTTGACGGATGATCCTGATGCCAGCGCTACTATCCCAGCTATTGGCAAATGAAAAGAGGCACGGGTGCTTCCACTGATAACCGGAACAGCCCGTGTTATGGGGCTAAACCCCCTGGATCGACAATAATGTTCCGTCCAGGACGGTGTGCAAACCAGTGGATCTGCAATGCGTTGCCGGGAACCACGTTAGCGCACCCAAGGATGCCCCGGAATTCGGGAAGTGATAATTAGCCGAAAAGCGTTAGCTCCCGCCGGGGAGGCACGTTTGGGGCTCCTTCGAACCTATTTGCCAATTTCCCGTCCACCTGGTCTCACCTCACGCCAGCACTTTGTGAAATTGGTGCTCTGCCCGATTCAAGAATTGGTGAGGCCATCACCATGGTAAGAATCTTTCTATTGTGTAGTGTGAACCCTGTTTGGGCCATACCATAAGCTCTAGGATGTTATTATCAATATGATGATCTGCTCAGCTCAGGGGAAAACAGCCAAGAGTACGACTATCGACTGCGGTATTTTGACAGAGCAAACAATTACTATTTTTATCCGGCACTTCATAACGTTTCTGGTGATACGCCCCTGGAACATGCCGTAGAAACACGCTGAAGGTTTAGATGTTAGTCTCTCACAAGAAAGACGGGGCCGCGGGCTACACAAGATCTCTTATGGGCGAATTATAGGTTGTAGCGGCACGCTTCATGAACATTCGCAAGGCTGGAGTTTGATGGAATACCACGTTCGCACCAACCTTCACTAATCATATCCTTCTGCGGCCTCTCACCGCTCACCTAAAGTAGACTAGTATCGAAACATCTACGACTTTTTACGGCACTGGATGCAACTTATCGCACATGTTTGGGTAAACTCTCGCAACCCTAGAGCTTCGAAGGTAAAGTGTTGGGCAATTATTCAGAGGGCACGGGCTGAGAGCTACATTGTTCTAGGGGCCTTGAGCTTTACCGCTTAAGGTAAGGGTTTAACCTCTTGAAGCTGGGATCTAACTCAACGTAGTAACATACATATAATTTGACTTTGGAGCAACGCGTTGCATCTTTGCACGATTCCCCACTCAATGGAACCTTGGCTCTGTCCCCAAACTGGAGCCGTGCATGAGATCCCATGCTCGGACGTAGAATTGTATCTGTGCACTCCACGAATAACTTCATGATGCGGCTTCTGCCAGGTTAGCTCCATATCTTACTGCATTTTGAAAGTATACTGTGATGGTCTGCCCATACATTGCGAGCAGACTACTGATAAACTTTCCTCATTAAGGCATGGGTATAATGTCTGGATGCCTGATGATTAACGACAAGCTCCCAGTAGGGTGGGACTCTAGGATGCTGATCAATAATAAGCAAAATGATAATCATTTCACAGTAACGGCAACTAGCATTAACGATGAGCAGATCAATAGTCCACCATGGTTCGCCCCTGTGCCGCTTGTCTAGAGCAACACTCAAATTCCTATAAAGGAGCCTCATCTCGCACCCTCGAGTATCTTTTTTCAGCATCCAGCATCTACTTCTACACCGCGTCTATCGACTGCTTCCACTCGTTAACAGTACTCTTTACTGACTTAATACACTCTTTACATTTCAATTAATACCTAATCAACCAACCCACCACCTCAAACCCAATCACCAAAATGCGTTTCTTCGTGCCAACCGTCCTCCTCTGCCTCATCGGCGCCCAGGCTCTGCCCCACGAGCTCCCAGTTGACCCTACCTGCGGCTCTGGCGTCGGTGTCCCGTCTCTCCCCGAGGGCGGTCTCCCCAACCTCCCAGGCACCCCGGGTCTCCCAAACCTCCCCGGTACCCCGGGTCTTCCAGTCGACCCTGAGGACCCCACCTCCAACCTTCCTCTTGACCCCGAGGAGCCGGAGCACGACGAGCCCGAGCACGATGAGCCCGAGTACCCCTCCGAGGGCGACCACGACGGCAGCGACAACAACAACACCTGCTCCACCGGTGAGCTCACCTGCTGTACCGGTGACGCTCTCATCTCTCTCTCCTGTCTCCTTCCCGGCCTGCTCGCACCTGCCTGCGGCCAACAAGTTTGCTGTATCAACAACGGCAGCGGTGACCAGACCTGCACCACCACCTCCGGCCTGAACATCAACGTGCCAATCACCTTCGGTGACATCGACATCTTGTAAGGAACGACAGGAGTTGAACTGGGTGGGAAACATCGGCTCGGCGATGGCATTGGCAGCGGTGGATCTAATAGACTTTGGTGGATTGGTGAGCGTCGGTTGTTTACTTGACAGGGGGGTTTCACGATTCCCATGTCTGGTGTGATAAATATAAATCTTTGCTTGGCACGCAGACGGACAGTTCATAAGACTGCTTTCCTGTAGCGACAAATATAGGGCTCTCGCCCAATTTACTGTGCTGGTAAACAAAGCTTCGTGTGCTTGACTTGTGACTCTACTCCATTTGGTAACTACATGCTTGGTTTCACGACATTCCATAGTGACGACTTCAGCTCGTGAAGGCATTCTTGAGAATCTAGTAATTAGATGGCCTCATCTTCTTGTCAATTTTGCCTCGAAGCCTTGTCGTGACTAGATATGTGCCAAGATCTGTGACTTTGACCCATAACTTTCGTGCGACGTGAAGTACGTATCAGGAGGTTTTTTCTTTCACAACCAACATGATATTTTGCTAGTGCAAGTGATGTCCACCATTCGTCCCTTCGATAGTGTTTTCCCCCTTAGCTAGCCATGCACCGTATACAGGTGGCAAAATATTATGTATCATCACATGTGATTCCATATCACATGCTGCGTTCAATCAATCACATTACCTACCATGTGGCGTTACCCGCCCGTTCTCCCAAACTATCGACTTAGAACAAACAATGTTCAGATTAGACTATTCCTGTCAAAGGCGAGGCAATTACACTCGGCCGCTTTACTTTGTATCTATCCTAAACACCGTTGTTGGAAGGTCTAGAGCCGCCGAAACGTGGAGTACGTTTGCCGATCGATGTCTTGAACTGTGAGTATGTTTGACGTGGCGATTTATACTAGTAGAAAAGACCCTTCGTGGTCAGCTAATCTAGAACTTGAGGAGAACTCGACGCTAAGAACGTGGTTCTGGTCGGTTTATTGTCGTGATTGAGTCCAGCGGAAACACACTGACACGTCGTGTGGTTATATGCTCGTGATTAATGTCTCTGTTTTCAGTCTTATTATAATGAAAATTTAGTGTTCTGATTGTAACACCACAAACATGTACCGATACCAGCGGCTGGTATTACTCCAACATAGACAAACCGGACTAGCTCACCCCTTAACGACACAATCATGAAAGATGGGAAAAGTTGTTCTGGTACTTGTAGTCATAGGCGGCGGAGCTGAGCTGAGCACTCGATGCAATCAAGAACGATCCAGAGTTTGAGCTCACAGCTCCTGTATGGCAAGTCCTGTGTGGAACACGCTGCTGTAGCTCATGAAAGCTCAAGCAGGAAAGAGAGGTATCACACAGACGGTGACGTATTCCGTCAGTGTACGTCGTCGGGCCATTCCAAGTTTGTGAAAAAATTTTCCAGCTTGCATTTACTCTCCGCGGACGAGAAAGAGTTCAAGTTGATTAGCGTGAGGATGTGACAAGACTATCATTTTCAGACTGCCGTTAGTTCGACTTGACTTATCATGTGCCTGGACTATTCCGGGAATCATGCGAGATCTAGACGTGCCCTGATGATCACCACGGAACAATAGTGAACAACGGTGGGCTGTTTCACCTTGACATTAGCCTTGTGGATCAAGACCAGTTACTAGGGAGCCACGATGTGACATGTGATCCTGACCACTTCTTAGTAGTACTAGACCTTCAGATGTCGGGCAGCACTACAATTCTTAATTGAGAATGTACGGAATGTGTGCAAGTCTTTGATAGCTTATCCCTCCTGCCAGAAAGAAAACTTCGAGGACACCAGAGACGCCTGCACATGTACTATCTTGGCTTCACCTATCAAAAGTTTCTGATACACGCTCTTCTGCTCTAGTCACTCGTTACCATTCACGACTTGTGTGCGCGGTAGACATAGTCGGCATCATTTAAGTAATAAATACTGGCCCTTCCGTTGGACGACATGCGTCATAGAATGCAGGCATCGAGAAAGACCTGGGCGGTGAGCTTACAGATTCTATGAAAGCGTCAATAGATGCCGATCCGCTACCGCATCAGCATTCAAACACATTTTACTGTTCACGTCGAAGACTAGAGTCTAGGGGAATTGATTTGAGATGTAGTGTCTTGCACCCCTAACTTATATGAGTGTTCTCTTGGAAGATCCTCAACTCGAGCGGCGTATTTTATCGCGTGTGATGGAGAGAGTAGACAGATATCGAAAGATAATCGCGAGCGTCATTAGTGATAGAACCTAGTCCGCTGGGAAGGTCCGACTAAGTTAATGGAGGTGAAAGTCGACGTCATGTCTAATAAGTTGATGAAAAAGGCATGAAGTTGATTGAGTGCTACACGAATTGAACTAGATCAATACTCTTAACCAAATGCAGACTAGCACAACGGCGTTATCTACGATGATGTAATTTGGGAATCGTGATGGCAGCATTTGTTAGTCAGTGTTGAGGAGTCGCTCTGTATCATTTACCATTGGCTAACTTTATACAGAAGTGTGATACTTGGACAAAGCTTGGTTGTTCTCAGCCCTATAGATTAACGTAGCCAACGGACTCCATTCACGAGAATGTCACTAAGGGACCAGAATGCTATCGTTGTGCGTGTGATATCAGTCACGTTAGATTCACAAACTGATACATGTTTAGACAGGGGCGTCTATGGGAATCGGAAGAGAGATCGCCAAAAGCCTCGCCGCCGAAGGGTGTAATGTGGTCTTATTCGCTCGAACAGCGGTAAGAGCATCGATACAAGTGTGAGGGTCCACTACTGAATAGTGCGACAGGAGAAACTTGAGGATCTGACTGCCGAAATCCAAAAGACTGCAACCTCAAAGGTGATCTACAGATCCGTCGACGTACAGCAATACGACTCTGTCAAAGCCGGGGTAGATTCTGCGGTCAACGAGCTTGGTGAAATTGACATTCTCGTGAACAATGTAGGATGTCCATGCCTTACATATGGATGAAAACGTTCTGATCGTACTCACAGGCTGGCCTCGCCCTGGGAGCCCCAAACCGGTTCCACGAACTCTCGATCGACCAGATTGTTCAGATGAACGGGACCAACATGAACGGATATATGTTCGCTGCGTATGCGGTTTTAAATGCTTCTATGGCGAAACGTAAGACTGGCACGATTTTGAACGTCTCGTCCACAACCGCGCTCGAGGCCCCTCCCTTTCCTGGAGAAGCGGTCTATCACTCCAACAAGGCTTTCCAAGAAGGCTTCAGCAATTCTCTGAGAAATGAACTGTGCGGAACGAATATCAGGGTGCTTGTGTTGCGGCCAGGTGTTGTTGCCACGAACTTTCACGAGCAGCGAGTCGGATATGACAAAGACTCGTACGATAATTTCATGCAGGGGTTCCAGTTAGTAGCCATAACCACAGAATCTCACAAACCAGGTTGCTTCTCCCTAACAAGTCCAGGCCTTTGACACCAGACCAGATTGCTCCGCACGCGATTTGGATGCTAAAGCAGCCAAACGGATGTTCCGTCAAGGCTCTGGATGTTATACCGACGGGTAAGATATGCTCGACAACTACAGGACAGCGCAAGTAACATATTGGTAGCACAAAGATCTTTGAATGTGTTTGACCGAGAGTGGAACTCTCGACACTCGTAGAGCCTGATGCATATGAACCCAGACGAGTCCCCAGATATTGAGAGTATCTTTTATCATGACACTATTGCGAATGAAGACCCAAAACCATTCCTAGGAAAGTCGTATGCGGCATATGGTGATATGCGAAAGCGGATTTGTACGAGGTCTGTGATTGGTCAGGATCGCCACGCTTCATGCCACTAATCACGTTTGAAAGGCGAAATCAAATCGAAAATATGAACAAAGGAGGTGCTTTGTGTTTCTTATATTACTGCCGGTCTGTTTAAAGTCGGGTATATAATTCGTGTATACATATCAAATTTGAAATATGATCGCCGTTATCCCTGATGCTATAACACGGCTCGTGCTTGTAAACTGCGGTGTCGCGGTGAGAGAGCGGTGTTCGATGTCCCGGAATGGTAAGGCGCGGAGCTTGACTCTAACACCGAGCCAGGACTTGACGCGAGAAGTCAGGATGCGGACAAGATGGAGGATTGAGTCCTGTTATATCTCATCAGGCTGATGTGAGTCATCCAAAAAGCAGCAGTCAAGATGAAAAAGTCGACAGTTGAGGCTGAAACAGCCGGAGTTAAGGTTAGGCGATGGCGATTCCACCGTCAGTGCGCTCAAAATTAGCTAGCGCCGTTGCCCCGCCCCTCGCCCGCTTGCATCGCACGCATCGCAAATTCATTTCTCCACCTTCACCCTCTGTGTTCTCTCTCGTCAACACTCCCACCAGAGGCATCGAAGGCCGTCCTTAAAGAGAGTTCGACCTCCCTCCATATTTCTCTCAAACTTTTCAACACCTCTCTTTCGTAACATATCCCAAAAGACCCACGCGCCACTAAAGCGGGGCATTTGAAATCAACCCCTCCAACGAAAATTCTTCTCTGAAGCACTTTCATCAACCGTCAAGATGGTTAAGTATGTCCACCCTCTTCCCCTCCTACCTCTGGTTATCTCTCTCTGAGTGCTCTCATTTAAATTGAGATATCACATACCAATTCAATCCTATCGATAGAAACTTGCTGACATGGATACAGCTTCACGGTCGAAGAGGTATATACCACCACCCGAGTTCGCGACCGAGATGACATACTGACAATACAACAAGATCCGTGAGCTCATGGACGATGCGGCCAACATCCGTAACATGTCGGTCATTGCCCACGGTGAGTCAAATTGGCGGCTATGGTGGAAAGTACCAGGAGTCTAATCATGGAACAGTCGATCACGGAAAGTCCACCTTGACCGATTCGCTAGTCCAGCGTGCTGGTATTATTTCGGCTGCAAAGGCTGGTGAGGCGCGTTTTACTGATACGCGTCCGGATGAGCAGGAGCGTGGTGTGACCATCAAGTCCACCGCCATCTCTCTGTACGCCACCCTGAACGACCCTGAGGATCTCAAGGATATCCCCGTCAAAACCACCAAGAATGACTTCTTGATCAACTTGATCGACTCACCAGGTCACGTCGATTTTTCTTCTGAAGTCACTGCTGCACTCCGCGTCACTGACGGTGCCCTTGTCGTCGTTGACACCATAGAAGGTGTGTGTGTGCAGACCGAGACTGTACTGCGCCAGGCTCTTGGTGAGCGTATTAAGCCTGTTGTCATTATCAACAAGGTTGATCGTGCTCTCCTCGAACTCCAACTTGAGAAGGAGGATCTGTACCAAAACTTCTCCCGTGTTATCGAGTCAGTCAACGTCGTTATCGCTACCTACTTCGACAAGGCTCTTGGCGATGTCCAAGTTTACCCAGAGAAGGGTACGGTCGCCTTCGGCTCTGGTCTTCATGGCTGGGCCTTCACCGTCCGCCAATTTGCCACAAAATATGCCAAGAAGTTTGGTGTCGACAAAACCAAGATGATGGACCGTCTTTGGGGCGACAACTACTTTAACCCTAAAACCAAGAAGTGGACCAAGACCGGTACCCACGAGGGCCAAACCCTTGAGCGTGCCTTCAACCAGTTCATTCTTGACCCCATCTTCCGTATCTTCAACGCGGTCATGAACTTCAAAACTGACGAAATTCCTAAGTTGCTCGAGAAGCTCGAGATCAAGCTGGCCAGTGATGAAAAGGAGCTTCAAGGCAAGCAGTTACTCAAGGTTGTGATGCGCAAATTCCTCCCTGCCGCCGATGCCCTCTTGGAGATGATGATTCTCCACCTCCCATCGCCCAAGACCGCTCAGAGGTACCGTATGGAGACATTGTATGAAGGTCCCAATGACGATGAGAACGCCATTGCTATCCGTGACTGTGACCCTAAGGGCCCTCTCATGCTGTACGTGTCCAAGATGGTGCCGACTTCAGACAAGGGACGTTTCTTCGCCTTTGGCCGTGTTTTCGCCGGTACTGTTCGCTCCGGGTTGAAGGTCCGTATCCAGGGCCCCAATTACACCCCTGGAAACAAGCAGGATCTTTTCATCAAGGCTGTGCAGCGTACCATCCTTATGATGGGTCGCTTTACCGAGCCCATTGAGAACGTCCCAGCTGGTAACATTTGCGGTCTCGTCGGTGTCGATCAGTTCTTGCTCAAGTCCGGTACGTTGACCACCAACGAGACTGCCCACAACTTGAAGGTCATGAAATTCTCTGTCTCTCCTGTCGTGCAACGTTCCGTTGAAGTCAAGAACGCCCAAGATCTTCCCAAGCTCGTCGAAGGTCTTAAGCGTCTCTCCAAGTCCGACCCTTGTGTCCTCACTTACATCAACGAATCTGGTGAGCACATTGTTGCCGGTGCTGGTGAGCTGCACTTGGAAATTTGCTTGAAGGATCTCGAAGAGGATCACGCTGGTGTGCCTCTCCGGGTTTCGGACCCTGTCGTCCAGTACCGCGAGACCGTTGGTACCGATTCTAGCATGACTGCTCTGTCCAAGTCGCCCAACAAGCACAATCGTCTCTACGTCACCGCGACCCCTCTTGCTGAGGAAGTCTCTGTTGCCATTGAGGCCGGAAAGATCACTCCCCGAGACGATTTTAAGGCTCGTGCTCGTATCCTGGCTGATGACTTCGGCTGGGATGTCACCGACGCCAGAAAGATCTGGTGTTTCGGCCCAGACACCAATGGTGCCAACTTGCTCGTTGACCAGACCAAGGCTGTGCAGTACCTGAACGAAATCAAGGACTCCGTTGTCTCTGGTTTCCAGTGGGCCACCAAGGAAGGTCCAGTTGCTGAGGAACCTATGCGTTCAGTCCGCTGGAACATTCAGGATGTCACCCTCCACACTGACGCCATTCACCGTGGTGGTGGCCAAATTATCCCCACCACACGTCGTGTGCTCTACGCGGCCGCTCTATTGGCTGAGCCAGGTCTCCAGGAGCCCGTCTACTTGGTCGAAATCCAGGTTCCCGAGCAGGCCATGGGTGGTATCTACGGTGTTCTTACGCGGAGAAGAGGACACGTCTTCGAGGAGGCCCAGCGTCCTGGTACTCCTCTGTTCAACATTAAAGCTTACCTTCCCGTCAACGAATCTTTCGGTTTCACCGCCGATCTACGATCCAACACTGCCGGACAAGCCTTTCCCCAATCAGTGTTCGACCACTGGCAGATCCTTCCTGGTGGCTCACCTCTTGACAAGACGACCATGCCTGGTAAGATTGTTGAGGAGATGCGAAAGCGTAAGGGTATCAAGCCTGAAGTACCGGGCGTCGAGAACGTAAGTTACGAAAATACAATATTTAGTTACTTTGCTAACATCACACTCCAGTACTACGACAAGCTATAAGGAGATGCTATCGAAATTGATAGATTTTCTTTCGTCCAAGTATACCTCTTTCCTGGATCAGTGGGGATCCTTTGTACGGCGCTTCTGATGTCTTAGCTCACCTGTTTCTGACGGATGAGCAAAATATATTCGGGCCACACCTAAAAGTACCGACATGAACGCGAATGGCCGGCGGTGATGGTCAAGAATATGAGTCCCCCTCCCCTTTCATATTCTCCGAATACCTACCTTCTTCTTACTCTCCCATCTGATGCATGTTTCTTTTGTGTACCTATCCGATCAAGTAAGAACGAGATAAATCACACCTTCTGTGGCATTTTTGTGATACCCAAGTGAAGAGCGAATTGTCGGCCCGACCTAGAAAGGCCACACGAAAGGAGAAGAATAGGACAGTTCCATTCTATCCGCACGCGCGGAACCATACCGAAAGTGGATCTAGTGCATCCCGTCTCGTGCGCTCCATTCAGAGCTCCAAGCCCAGTCAGGAACTGTTCACCCCACATAATCACCCAACTCACAGCTTCTGATGTGACCGACCCCTCACTTCGTATCATGAGGGTACAGCCTTCCCCCCGCCCGGTAATGGGTCATGGTTGTGATGACGATCGTTTGGTAAGCGCTGCCGGTAGGTGCACAGAGCTATATATATTCTTTACGGATCTGTTTATGCGTGTATCATACTTCCCGCAAGTAATCGGCTGATCTCCGCTACCCAGTTACTCCACTGCGAATGTTCATTCGACTGACCACGGTCGCTAATTTCCCCTCCTGACTGTTCAATTGACTTCATATTTCGCCTAGCAATCACCTTCAGAGCACCTGGAGATCACTTTTCGAGGGCCTCACTATTTACCTAATGGCTTCAATTGAAGTTGATTCGCCTGTTCACGTGAAAAAGTATGCCGGTGAAGGCGCTGAACGCTCGGAGCCTGGCAGCGTCAACCTGACGGCCGCATCCTTTCCGATAACTGTCACTCCAAGTGGTAATGTGGATGAGATCGCAGCAGATATTGTGGACCGCTTCAATACTAGTCTCAAGAATAAGGACTGGGCTGCTATTGCAGATCTCTTTCATGACTCTAGCTATTGGCGTGATCACCTCGTCTCAACATGGGACCTTCGCACTATCAAAGGTAAAGCTTCTATTAGGTCGTACCTTGAGGCGACATGCAGCATTATCGAAGTCTCTATCCGCCGCGGGGACCCCTTCCAGAGGCCACACTTCGGTCCGCTCGACGGTGTGAGTGATCCTCAAGGTATCACGTTCTTGATTGACTTCCAAAGTAAAATCGGAAGAGGTCAAGGTACTGTTCGACTTGGTGACGACGGACAAGGTTGGAAGATCCTGACCTTCTTCGTTACACTTCAAGAGCTGAAGGATTTCGAGGAACCGATAGGGCACCGGAGAGTACAGGGGGTACAGCATGGCGGGGACCCAAGTAGGAAAAATTGGCGTGAAAGAAGGACAGATGAATTCAACTTTAAGGATAGAGAACCCATTGTTCTGATCATTGGTATGCTTACGTCATTCTTGAAAGAGGTAGCTGACTCTTTGAATAGGAGCGGGCCAAGCTGGCTTGACGGCATCTGCTAGGTTCAAGATGCTAGGCATTCCTGCTCTTGCCATTGACCAGAACGAGCGTGTGGGTGACAATTGGCGGAAGCGGTATCATCAGCTTGTGTTGCACGATCCGGTCTGGTACGACCATATGCCTTACTTGAAATTCCCTTCCAATTGGCCCATCTTCACGCCGAAGGACAAACTGGCAGATTTCTTCGAGGCCTATGCTAAGCTTCTCGAGCTCAACATCTGGACTAGGACGAGTATCTTATCAAGCAAGTGGGACGAGGACGAGGCTAAATGGACTGTGGAAGTGGGACGCCTGTTGGATGACGGCAGAACTGAGAAGCGGACGTTCCACCCACGGCATATCATCCAGTAAGCCTTGTCGTCTCGATGATTGCGTTTAGTGGCTAACATGTCGATCTCAGAGCTACAGGCCATTCCGGCAAGAAGAATTTCCCAAGTATCAAAGGCATGGAAAATTTCAGAGGTGATCGCCTTTGCCATTCATCCGAATTCTCCGGGGCTCAAGAGAACAGTAAAGGGAAAAAAGCTATCGTCGTAGGTGCCTGTAATTCAAGTCACGATATCGCACAAGACTTCTACGAGAAGGGCTACGACGTGACAATGGTACAGCGCTCAACCACTTGCGTCGTGTCCAGTCATTCCATCACTCATATTGGACTCGCCGGCCTCTATGACGAAAATGGCCCACCTGTTGATGACGCAGACCTCTGGCTCTGGGGCTTACCTAGCGAGCTATTCAAGACGCAACAGGCTCGAGTCCACCGTCTACAACGAGACAACGACAAAGAACTCCTCGATGGGTTAGAGAAAGCAGGCTTCAAGGTGGACAAAGGTCCAGGTGATGGAGGACTTTTCATTAAGTACTTCCAACGTGGAGGCGGCTACTACATTGATGTGGGGGCTTCCAAACTCATTGGGGAGGGAAAGATCAAAGTCAAACAAGGCCAGGAGATTGGGGAGATTCTCGAGCACGAGATGCTCTTTGCAGACGGTACCAAGCTGCCTGCGGATGAGATCATCTTCGCGACTGGATACCAGAATATGAGAACTCAAGCTCAGCTGCTGTTTGGCGATGATGTGTATAATCGGACCGGAGACTTCTGGGGCTTTGACGAGGAGGGCGAGTTCAGGGTTGACTGTAGGAGGAGCGGTCATCCAGGGTTTTGGTACTTTGGAGGCAATCTCGCGATCTGTAGGTATTTTTCGAGGATTCTGGCGCTGCAGATCAAAGCAATTGAGACCGGATTGGCGAAGAGAGAGCCTGGTGGTGAGAAAGAGAGGACTGCCAAGGCCTAGTGCTATTGACCCTCAAAGGCAATGTAGGATTCTATATGAGCTATACATCTCTTTCGGGGCTTTATTCTGTACATTGAATGTGACTAGTAACGTGACGTTCAGATGAGAAAGGGAGTGAGAGCGTCACGTGCACGTGCCAAGCCTAGCAGCGCGACTGCATATTCCATCATCCCCGTGTCTTTCGCGCTATCTCTAGCAGAAGCGCCACTCGCAATTTGTCTGAGCTGTTGACAACTTTCGTGCAGCTTGTTCATGCCCGCGATCAACGACTGATGAAGCTTTGCGCCAGCTTGGACTCTTGCCGCTGAAACGCTACATAGACGGCGATACTAGTCCCCTTTCTCAACCCGCCTACGCGCATGCCACTTCTTACCCTCGCTTGATCACGACTTCATACACTTCTCGCGGCAAGATGCACGTTGACGAGGCAGACACACCTCTACTCAAAAAATGGATCGTAAAGCGACTTGAGGACATGTAGGTCCAGACTGTTGTAGCACAAGGTTTTAAGAAGACTGACCATTAGCACAGCTCAGACGCAGATTCTGATGTCCTTGCTGACTACGTCCTCGCGCTCGTAAAGTCGGATGACCCGGACGATCAAGTCCGAGCGACTTCGTTAGAGAGTTTGGAGGATTTCTTGAAAGAACGTACGCGATACCTTTATAACCATCTCGCGGGTGCAGACTGACGACGGTAGATACCTCAAAATTCGTTGACGATGTACTTCAAACCATCCGCACAAAATCATATGACTCAACAAAGCCCTATCCTGTGATACAGCCTCCGACCGGTCCAGCGTTCAACCCACCAAGTGGGCCGTCCGACCCGAACCGAAGGTCTAGCTTGCCAGGTCAAAATCCACTCCACGGCTCAGCGAATGGTGCCGGTGATCAATCGCGAAAAAGAAATTTCAATCAGACAGGACTGGGCGAAGGGCAAGATGGTCAATTTGGACGAGGCCCTGGTGACCGTGCAATCAAACAAATGCGAAGAGGTGGCAGGGGCGGCATCCCTACTGGTCCTGCAATGGGGACTGGGAGAGGAAACAGAGACGCGCACATGAGTGGCCAAAGGACTTCGATGTCTGCAATGCCGAGCATGCCTACGCCGCCGGGCTTTCCACCGATCGACCCTAATAACCCTCTGGCGGCTATGATGGCTATGCAAGCTATGGGCTTTCCTATGCCTGGATTTCCTGGTATGCCTGGAGCTGGCTCGCCCTCGTTCGGTCAGACTGGATCGTCACAGCAAAACGGTCCGCCTAAGAAGCCTGGTAAAAGATGTCGGGACTACGATACGAAAGGGTTCTGTGCTCTTGGCACTTCGTGTCCATATGAACATGGACCAGACAGTATAATGGTTGGAACAGAAGGTAGTAATAGCTCAACAACAATCCCTCATACGTCGCTAATAAAAGTTGTAGAATATGATCCCACGAAAGGCTCACCCGGTCATGAACAACGACAAAACGGTTTCGACCACGCAAGAGGAAGCGAACGGGGTCGTGGAAGAGGCCGCGGCCGTGGCGACAGAGGAGGTCACAACAAGAGCAACCGTGCAGCCTTCTCACAGGCAGGACCCAATTTTGACAAGTCAAACACAACCATTGTCGTCGAACAAATACCTGAGGACAAGTTCGATGAACCAATAGTGCGAGACTTCTTTTCGGAGTTTGGAAACATTACAGAGATCAAGATGCAAGCGTACAAACACCTTGCCATTGTTACGTTTGACGATTACTATGCTGCGCAGAAAGCATACGAGAGTCCAAAAGTCATATTCGATAACCGTTTCGTAAAGGTGTATTGGTACAAGCCAGACACCGTACCGACTCCACCAATCAACGGTCAAAATACTAGCTCTACAATATCGGAAACCAAGCCTGACGAAGAGATGATTGACCCTGTGGAGTTCGAGAAGAGGCAAGCTGAGGCACAGAAGGCACACGAGGAGAAGCAAAAGCAGATAGAAGCAGCCAAGAACGAGCGTGAAGAGCTCGAACGAAAAGTAAAAGCACAAGCAGAAGAGCGTAAGAAGCTCCTAGAAAAGCTCGCTGCCAAGACCGGCGGAGTTTCTGCTGGCCCTGCAGTTGGAGGTGCACAATCGCCCACTGCTGAAGCCGCTGGCGAAGAAGGCAAGCAATCGCAGACCGAAGCTCTCAAAGCCAAGTTGGCTGAACTCGAAGCTGAAGCTGAGCGCATTGGACTTCCAGATGAGCATAGTACTGGCTTCCGGGGCCGTGGTAGAGGTGGATACCGCGCTCGCGGCTTCCCATCTCGAGGACGAGGATATGACCCCGGCTTCCGCGGTTCATATCGCGGCCGTGGGGCCTTCAACGGGGGCGCACGCGGTGGCGTGATGAGACTAGATAACCGTCCCAAAAAAATCGTTGTCACCGCTCCGGAGCTTACGACGCCGGCGAAGGATGAGGCATTCCGCCAATACCTTTTTGTAAGTTTAAGTCCAACAAGGTGATCAGAGAAATTTGCGAGCTGATACTCAACACAGAACAACTATGAGTTCGATGCCATCGAGACCCATCCCTCCAAGCCGAGCTCTCTCATAGTTGGCTTCAAAGAACGTTATATTGCTGAGCAGTTCATAAACTCGACATTTGACGTCCCTAACGTTGGAAAGTTGGAGCTCACGTGGCATAGCGGCCCTACATCAACAACGACTACGCCGTCGGTCAATCCTGGGAATAAGGAGCTTGGGCTTGGGAGCGATGTGCATATGAGCAGCGAAGCGAACGGGGCGGGAACAGAGGAAGCGCCGAAAGCAGAGATGGATTACGATGTTGCAGATGATGAGGATCAGTGGATGGCTTCGTAAGGAACAGGGCCGCGCAAGATGGAAAAGGGGGAAACATTGGCAGACATGAGATGTAGAGGGGCTTTGTAATATTACCGCATACTGGGTGGCATATCGTACATTTCAGGATGAGTTGTCCACAACCGTTGCGCACTGTATGTGCTGTCTCCTCGACTAAGAATAATATGTGACCATTACCGTGATTAGTACCCGGTCTCACCGCATCCTTTTATACCTGTCGTTTGTCACTCCCATCTACGTCCCTGTTCAGTATTGTCTTCATGGGGCACCGCAAGCTTCGGAAAGCTTAGCCACGACGCCACCAGGATCGTCAATCGATGTCAATATTTGGGCTTCGGCCATCCATCCAAGCGTCTGATCTACATAATGGCACTTACGTTGCATTCCTTTATTTAGCAAGCATACCCAGCGAGCATTGTATGCCGACGCTTTGTGGGGCTGGGGGTTCATAAGAGGTCATACTCGGGTAGCTAGTATACTATAGACTCGCTGTATTTGGCGTTGGTGTGTACACATACGTGCAACGTCGAGAATGCCTCCATACCGTCATCTTTGATTGACATAACCGTACTAGATGTAGACCCTAACGCTCCGAGACATCCGTTGATGATGTAGACCGCCGTTCAAAGATGCTGAAGTATCTAATAGAGTCCTCTCGATGCATACCAAAGCCGACAGCTTCTCCAATCACTCTACTCCCATTTTCAGTCTCCAGTAACGGCTACATTGGCTTTACGCGGGCGAATTTTTGGAACACAGCCCTTTGTCTAGCTCGAACATATTCTTAATGAGACCTTTACTATTTTGTCCTTGTCACTGGATGATTTCTATTGTTGGATGTAGTGTAAAGCGATGGAGGAGGGTTCTGGTCTTGGATCGCGTTTCTCAACGCTGTTTCAAGCACAAGTAATCTGAGATGCCGTATATCTCGGAGAGTGTATTGATACACTAGCTACAACATAGTCTGAAACTTTTGGCTTAGGAATGACAGTTCTGTATGGGTGCGTCCATCTTTCGAGGCGGACATTGTGGTTGTTGTTTCTATGACATGTTTTGGATTGATTGACTTCGAACCTCGTTAGCGGAGCACAGAACTGGTAGATTAATAATATGTTTGCGGGATCCATCAACATAACGCTATAGTCATTGAGTGCGTCTCTGTATACCCCAGAATACCGACGATGTCAGCCGGAATCTACACAATAGCCATGAACTCCTGTTGCCTAGAACGAGGAAAGTATACAACGAACAAGAATAGAAAATGACAAAAGTGACTGAGAACGACCAATACAGCCTCACATGGGCGCCTGAGGGTCGGAGAGGTATTGACCATGTCATGGTGTTGCATTCGTAATCGGCCACTGGTCTTAGCAAGATACACTACAAGGGAATATAGCCGATTCGGAGTTGTGTTGAGGAGAGACACCATGACGCTAAAGAAGAAACAAGGGTTTCTCGATGTGGTATGACAGTAGTATATATCGGAATAGTAGCCCTGAAACCGGCAGTCGTACAGCAATGCCAGACCGTAGCGAAAGAGAGTGGGCGGCCACAAGAGCACACCAAATGTATCTCAACAGCCGGCTGAACAGAAAGTACATGACATGCTGAGGACTTACTTAAAATCCCCTCGTATTGAAAGCATGTCTGGTCCAGGATCGAAAGGCTGCACCTGGGTATTCGTGTAATGTGCGCTGCGGTCCTGTCGAAGTCCGCGGTCATAGAGCTACAACCTGTCACATTTTCGAAAAGAGGCAAGGCGAAGATTGGCTAGATACAGGCTGTAAGCTCACCGGAGAGCTCAGCAGAGTGTCCAGGATACATGCAAGTAACCGATGCTTACGTTGTGCCAACACTGTAGCATCAGGCTCTCCACCGATCTGACAGACACCCGCCCTCGGTGTGGCGTTGGCGTAACCGGCATTAATGCTTCAGGTTTCAAACAATGCATACACAACGCAAAGGCGGGAAGACCTTCGTGGCAAATTAGGCAACCGCAGCGCCATCCTTCGCGCCCAAACACAGGGGCCACATGATGCCCCGTGTACAAGGCAAACAGTTGGAGAATGTCGCGCGGTAATATATGATGAGCGGACTACCGTCAATGCGGCCACTGAGTGGTAAGCACGGTGAGGGGCTCGATATGGAATATAAGTACCCTACGATATTACTGCTGCGTTGGGTCAGAGTTTATACTATGACTGCCTGAGGCAGCAAGCCTGATAAGGTATTCAATTTAGGGCGCCTCATTGGCCACGTCCGTTACCACTGGTTCACCGCTGGTTGCATCCCTAACACTTTGGATGCAGGCGACTATGCAAGCGAGAGCCAGTCGCACACATTTTGTTGTTTAACACAACGTTTCGTATATTTGCTAATTCCAGGTCCCGAAAGCGCAACCAGTTGAATACGACGGGGGGGTATAATGAAACAAGGAAGAAAAGAACAGTGAATGAGAAAATTGGGCATGTTTCGGTCATATCTCCTCCGAGTATATTTTATCAGTTGCTGGCGCCTTCTTTGGAAACCTTTCCTTTGCGAATACTGACAATTAAACAGTTTGATGTAGGGAATCCAGTCGTTGTGCAATGCTCATGCGCCTAAGCAATTCGGTCATATCGTCATTAGTCGTCAAATTCGTTCGATTGGGAGAGTGAAAACACTACGTTTAAATGATGTGATGGGGAAAGAAGTATGCAAGCAGGTCGGGCATGAAGGTTGGAGGTCGGGCTCAGAAAAAAGAAAGTGAAGAGTGCCGAGAAGAAACGATCGAAAGAGCCAAAAGTACCGGGAGATTCAGAGAGCTTCCTCGGTGGCTGCTAGTCATCATATCAAACTTTACTGAAGTCTTCGGTAGGCCCCAGACGGCCTGCCCCTACGTTCGATTTGCCGACCGGCAGTCACCGTAAAATGTTCGTGGGGAGCAGATTGCAGAGTTCCAGTGGTCTGTAAGTCCTTGAGTTCCTGGTCGCTGATGAGTTTTTTGTTCCACAGAAACTTAAACAGTCCACGGTCTTTGTGGCTGCCTATAAGTGGTTCATTTCGCCGAAGATGTAGAGAAATGTGTGCCATTCGCCATTCCCAGGCCTTTTCGCCAGTCTCAAACTCCTCTACTCGCAAGCAGATTGGACATAATGATTTCTTCGGGGGTGTATTGCATCGCAAATGCGCTAGACAGTGTGTCCACCATTCCTCTAAGTCCGTGGAGGCGTACGAACACCTAAGGAACCAGAAAACACAGGGATGATTAGTTAGAGGTCTTCGTGGTCCCGAGTAGTCTTCAGCAGTTTCATTATAGCGGACCAGAAGATTGTCATCTTCGACCTGTAGAACCTCTTTGCCCCGGAAGTTGCGTGCTTCGTGGGTATCTGCGCTCATGCTTGTCAGCGTAGACACATCTGAACCTTCGAGCGAAGGTGGAGACGAAGCTTCTAACGTAGACGTCGAGGTAGGCCGTAAGGACAGGCTCTCAAAAGCAGAGGAGGTGGAGGTGACATTCTCCTCATCTAACGCAGGCATGGCGGAACCAGTTATTGATGTGCCCGACTGTGAGCCGCTGGACAACGATATTGCTCTAGGATACCGGGAGCTCGATCCCAGCTCTGACTGTGCTCCGAGATGCCTCAAGTTCTGCTCTTGAGCTGCAGTGATTCCAGGAGTCCCTCTCTCATAACTTTTAACCAGTGGGGTATCAGCTTCGGATGTGCTCAGGCAGTCTGAAATGGACAGTGTAGTCGAGTATCTCGTGACGGAATCGGTCACTGACAGGGTGTCAAGGTCATCGACCGCTCTTAGGATTGCCGGATCGTTCGACCGTCTTCCAAGTATCTCAGCCAGTGAAAGTGCTAATCGGGGAGGGCTTGCTGAATTGTGCAAAATTGCCCTGCCCCTCGACGCGTGTGGAGCGGGGAGCCCGCCCTCCTGGGGCCTACTTGGAGGAGCCACTGCAGGACATCAGCGATCTGTATGGAACGAACGAGACGATAGGCCCTTCAACGCGAGGGGAGGCTGCCATGCTGAAAGAGTACCAGATTGCACAGCCCACTACAAGGCTGCGAGAGTATACGTACTGGTCTCCGGAAATGATAAAGGGCGCTGCTGAGTCGAGCGGTGTCATTCCCTTCAAACTTTCGCCACAGGATGGGGATTGGGAGGCAAAAACCTTATTGCCTAGAGGCGCACTCGTTGTTGACGAAAGGCGTAACCTATTTCGCAAATGTCAGCTTGTGAATTCTGGAGTAAGCCGTATCGAGCGAAACTCATGGTCGTACTTGAAACTGCGCAGTCGTGCTGCCTCCAACCTGACGTGCTTAGGCTGCCTGGGAGATTCAACGACTTCAAGCTGATAGACTTGCCCCTTCTGGAAGAGCGTAGCCAACCACAGAAAAGTCGCAATTAGAATATAGTCTACAGTTCTTGCTAGAGAACCAATAATAATGGTTAACAAATCTTCCGTCGCTAGTTCATATTAAACCATGAAATATCTTTAGATTCATGCGAACCAGTGTTTCATGCTCATGTCAAGATATCCGATTCAAACTTGGATGTATCACGATTCTTTTGATCGTTCACGTAGCATTACACGGCAACGTTTCTCCCCACCTAGTGATTGTTACTATGCTCTAGCATTTGATGGCCTACGGCTCCTACTCCACTCACCATCCCTGGTATTTGCCTTACATGGAACCGAATCACATATTTGCACAATTCCCTGCATCCCTGGGTGGCATAACGATTCGTCTATTTCTCTTGGCTGCTTTTCCAGACTTCCGAATGGCAGCGAGGAGAATCAAGGCAGCAATCGTCTGGATGTCCTTCATATGTGGAGAATTACCCTTCGTGATGGCGCCTCTTGTTAGGCGGCCTCGCTCTCCATCACATATCACTATCGCTTGCTCAGTTTTCTGCATTAGGGACCTTACGTACATACATTAGCCATCGAGATCGGACGAAGTACTGTTTGTCTACTATGGCTGATAACGTACTGGAGAAGGAGGAAATTGGAATTCACTTGGAAAGTAGTAGTTAAGCGCCACAATCGCGCCACTCCTGCCCCACTGGCTGGGATCTCCACCTGCCATGCACTTTCCACTAGCTATCCAAACCTACGATCTTTGACTTCCTCTCCAGCAGTCAGCAGTAATATACTGGTTGCCCATGGGGATTGTAAATACCAGTGCATTTGAAACTACTGGCCCAATCACTTTCCATCTGTATCATTCACTTGACAATCGCTCGTCCAAAATCGGCCACTCGCTCTCAACATCACTCCCAAGTTCGAGGTATATAGTACGATGCCTCTAAACACTACACCCCATCCTTTGTGGACACAACCACCGTCTACAATCAATCCATCGGGACCAAACACCAATAGAAAGTACCACGCCTGCGCAACACTCCTCAATACGCCTCCCGGCCAGTCCTCGAAAGCACGATCCCCTCTCGCACTTAAACCTCGTGAAAGCCATGAGTCGCTGGCGAAGCGCGTCGAAGCGGCGCGTATATTAGAAAGCAACGAGATGTTGATATGGTACAGTGTGGCGCGGGACGAGGTAAAACACTTCACTTTATCCCCAAAGACGTTCGTCGCAAGGACGACTGCTGCTGCTGCTGCAATTCCCCGTTGCAAACATGCTGACAGCGTTATATTGCATATGAAGACCGTCCCGCAAACACGCCTACATTTCCAACGCATCGTCTCCGGTATGCCCGCGCCGCCTGAGCCACCCTCGCCTACCTCGACAGTATCCTCCTTGTCGAATTCTCCGTTGCGAGAGTCGCCGCTACGCAACAACCCCTCGCTCACATCTCCGTCCACATCATCAAGGAAAGGAAAGGCTCCGTGTAGTCCTCGCCAAAATCCTCGCCAAAACCCTACTGAACCAGCTGTCGACAACACAGACGCACTGATGGCAGCAATGTTGGAAGCTGCTACAAGCGAGTCACTTGAGATGAATCCAACGCAGTATGCTACTGAAACTGCCGCAGGTCGGGCACGATACCCGCAAGCCAATGCATCAAATGTGGCCGGGCCTTCAACTGCAGCGGATAGACTCGATTTAGATGCAGATGATATTGATGATCACCTGTTTGACGAAACGTAGAACGAGACTGTGTATAGTGAACATGACGAGTGTGTTTGAGAGAAGAAGTGAGTTTAGGCTAAGATGCGCCATGCTGATGACCTGTTTCTTTAGGCAATTCTTCTGGGCGGTAGTTGGGGATGTGTAACAAGTATTATGAGCGACAGGCATGCCAGAGATACCCGTGCGAATAAAATTGTAACATAGGATAACAAGCACATGTTTCAGTGAACGTTGACTGAATGATACGTATATGCTCATTCACCTTCTGTGCTTTTTGCTGTACATATATCTGGTGCATACTCCCCTACACTGACTGATGCATGGATCCATCCCACGCCTAGCCCTCCTATGCAAATACATCCCAGCAGCCCCAAGACAACCATTTTTCTCTGAATGCTTTTCCTAACAGCCTCGCTCCTATTCACACGTTAACTACCCCCTACCAAGCTCACATATATGCTTCCCCGCCATAATAGGGTCGGATTGTCCTTAGGATGCAATGGACTTACATCCCCTCCTCCATGCCCACGTTGCGCCACCACGCCCCCCGATCGTCGTCCTTAGTCCGATTCACCATGCTCTCTGCGTCACCGACCTGTCGCCGCTCACTCACCTCCCACTTGTGTGCGTTCAGCTTGAGTTTCATGGCTCGAGCGGCCAGGGTGCCTCCACGCTTGAGCTGGTCGCGTATGCGCTCGGCCTCGGTCCAGCCGTTTGAAGGACTAGAAGAACTTCGGAGGACCGGTAATTGCTATTGAAGGGGCTCAGAAGAAGAGGAGAGGCGGTTCAAATGGAGATAAACGTCAGTACCATACCTGAGGGTGTTGTTAGTAATGGCACTTGGCACGTGTATTTTTGACGTTGGAGAAGCTTTACCCTTCCATGCTAATGAGCTTGAGGTCACCGCCAAAGTACCGCGCATACAGACGGGAAATGGGCAGACCATATCCAAAGCCCGCCATTGGTGCCTTGAAATCGCTTTTATTGAAGTCTGGGTCGAGATTCGGTGTTTGATCGACCGTCGTGTACATATATGTCCAAACAAGAGGTATTGAACTTCGCGGAATACCACCACCCTCATCACTGATCTTTATAGTTATATCTTCTTTGCCCTCTGCGACGATGACTTTGGTCACGGGAAACTCTTCCTTGTCCTGACCGTGAGTTTCGACAACGGCGCGCAGCGAATTCTTCAGGGTCTCAAAGAGCATATGTGACAAATGGCCAGGGACATACATAAAGTTGATATCGGGATTACAGATGAGTTGTACTTTAGGCGCATCAAAGAGTCCGTAGTGGTCTTCGCATACGAATCGAGCATTCTCGATGGCTTCCATGGCGAGGTCTTTGACATTTGTCTTTGTGCATATAATTCCTACGTAATCCGAATCTGTGCGTTTCTTCTGATCCGTCAATGCGATATGCTGGCCGATCAACATTCGTATGCCGATGCGAGACATGTAAAAACGGTCAAGGAAGGCCTGGATGTTGTGATCAATTTGCATCCGTTGACGCTTGCGCTTGTACTCTAATATGCCTTGAGCTATACTTATAAGTCAGCGGATTGTTTGCGAAAGGTTCGTAACAACACTGACCAACAGTCGTTACAACACTGTCATGCCTCCTTTTGATTGTGTCCAGCGCCGCAGCGAAATTACTGTTGTATTGCGAAAGCTCCGGTGGCCAGTCTTCACCGTCGTCGGCAGCAACGTAGTATCTCCTAGCGGCAGTCACTTGCTTTCCGTGGCCGTTTCCATTCCCATTGGTGGCTGGCGCTGATTTGTACTGGCCCTGCTTGACTGAAGGGTTCTGTGTGGTCTGGCTGAGCATTCGCGTGTCCCGCGCATTCTTTTTCGCTGGCTTCAGCAGTCTGTCGCGCACTTCTGTGGTCAAAGATGGCCGAGGTAATGTTGTTAATTCCTGTGCGCCTGTGAGTCTTCAGAATAACAACGTCAGAGGGTGATAGTGCATACCTCGAACGACTGTGCGTACCAATCCTGTACTCTTTGTATAGATGGCATATCATTCAGCCCATCGGGGAGATCATTGAGTTCTTGCACACGATGTGCCAGCCGTATGGGAAGTTCTTCGGACAGAAATTGTGATGCGCGAAAGAGAGTGCCCGTGGATGGTCGTTCTCCAAACTGCACCATTTGTCGTAGAGACACACCTATAGCTGTCAGACATCTTGAGCGCAATATAGGTAGCCATGCAAGTCTTACCTGTGGCAGGAAAGTTGCTGTAGTGCTGCGATTGATTAGCACACCTAGTCATACAGTGATGTCCAGCGACAAGAGCATACCTTGATGGTCTCCATCAGCTCTCTAGACTTCTTCCATGACATGACGGGTATGAATCTTCAAGGGCAATGTGCCCTCGAACGCGTCCTAAGCAGTCAACGTTGAGGTGCAGCCGACGTGGGGTGAGTCGTGTTGCTCTGACTATGACGCCGTTCCCATGGAAGCTATACGTGAAGCTACCAAGGTGGATATATACGGTTTAGAAATTGTGGTGTGCGGTCATAAATCACGAAGTAATAGCAGACATGGTAGATAGAGTGAGTAGGAAGCGAAAAACAAGCAATTGGGTCGACTATCGGGCGACGATGGTGTGTATAGGTAGGCGACGCTGTCCCTTGAGTGACTACAGCCCAGGGTATGAGCGGACAGTCTCACTTGCAGGGAGCTCCGCGGTGGGCAAAGTTGCCGAACCCTCCCCCCTCCGTGCGTGTGCCGTCACCACCTCGGAGTTCACGTGCCCTGCCTTTTTTCTGATTCGCTGTCCATTCCAGACTACCAAAAGCTGTCTTTATTCACATTGTAAAGTGGTGATGTTGTCGCATGTACTGGCTGGAACGGGCAAGATACGACTCCCAAATCTGACTATGGTTCGGAATGACATCTTCTGCCGCGCCCATGGATAGCACACCTCAAGCATCGTGAAGCGTTATAAAGCCAAGACCTGAAGCTGTACTAATGCAACATGATATCCACAGATAATCCATAGTCACAGAATAGGTCTTGCATCAATCACTGATAATAACCACCTTATAGCCAGCCCAACCACCTTATAGCCAGCCCAGCTCAGGTGCCCCTGGAGTGTAGCCTCGGTAGTGTTCGGGGCGACATCGCCTCTCATCCGCTTGAGCTGGCTGCGCTGCACGTCACACTACAGCTCCAGTTCCACCTCCTTGGCTGCGGCTCGGCGCATCCTGGTAGCTTCATGGGAGGGTATGCGCGTGACACTTGAAATTTCTCATGAGGTATTAGTCGCTAGAGATAGAAAGGCGAGCCGTATACGTGTCATTGATTTCCAACAAGTCTTGGAGTGAAACCCTATACTAGTACCGGTATGAAATGATTGCTGCTGCTGAGACCATGCTGGCTGCGAATACAGATGCGTATGGCCATGTCAACGACCAGAACACAGACTAGGTTGTAGCTCTATCGTCTATTTGACGTGAAAGTGGAGAATCTGAATTTACGGCAAAGTGCACCCATCAGTAGCACACCTAACCCCGGTCTAAATGCAAACAAAAGTAGTATATACAAAATCAGCGTTTCGGGTTCTAGACAGGAAGCCTCCTATCGTACGTCTTTTCAGGAATGTTGGTACATGAGGTTGCTCGGAAGAAAGGAATCGACGCATCTCATTATAACGTTTATTTGGTCGATTCGCGGAGGAAGGTAATCAGGTCATTTCGCTCCTTGGGCTTCTTCAGGCCACCGAATGCCATCTTTGTTCCAGGAATGTATTTCTTGGGGTTCTCAAGGTAGTCGAACTGTATTGGCGTTAGTGACTATTATCAAGAATGACGCGATAGCGACGAGCCGCAGACACATACCAGAGTGTCCTCCTGCCACTCTACACCCTTCTCCTTGTTGGCATCGGTGTAGGAGAAGCCCTCGACCTGGCCGGACTTGCGGCCGAACAGACCATGAAGGTTAGGGCCAATCTTGTTGGCCTCGCCCTTCCCTAAGGTATGACATTGTGCGCAACGAGTCTTGAAGAGGCCAGCTCCTTTCTTAGCATCGCCTGAAATTGCATATTAGCTTCGTTCTAGTAGTCCGCAAACGCCACTTCAAGAAAATTGAAAGCCTTCATGTTCCATCTCAATCAAGCGATTCTTTCGGGAGCGCGAAGCTTCAAATGTAGTTGCGCAGTTTATGCAACTGAGGCCGGAAGCTTATGATACAGTTGCACCGTATACTGTGGTCGCTGGACGATGTATACGTATTCTTATCGTCGAGTATGGATGACGTCGTAGAGTCAAAAGAATGTCTTACCGTCTGAGAAGCCCATTGTGGATGGTTATGTAGGTGAATAGCACAGGAAATGTGGTTGGTGAGATGGCGAGGTGGTAGAGATGTATAAGGCGTTGTCTGATGGATTATGATGATGTTATGGAGTAGTAGAGGATGAGAAGAAAGTTTCGAGCGCAAAAGCCAGCTTTTTCTATGAAGGCGATCGAAATGGCGCTAAAAGGACCCGCCGCATCCAATCAACAGCCGAGTGATTCCAATCTCCCGGCAAATTCTCGCAGATTCCCGTGACGCGGGCCCGTCATCTCCCTTCTATGACAGCCACAGCCACAGCTACATTGATTGGCACAGCTCCACTCGGCTGTTTAATGTTCTCTGTCTTCTTCTTCATCATTCACTATGATATCCCACACAGGCACCCTGACACATTGACTATCTCATATGTGTCTCAGTTGTACCGATTCCACTCATTTCGACATGTTCGAAGATTCCCACAGCGACTGTTAAACAACCGTCATTTACCGTGGGCAACAAAGAGTCCGACGCTACGCTTGAGATCTCGCAAACGAACGAGAAAATCGATAGCACAAAACCATTTCATTAAGCTTACATATGATACAGGTGGATTCAGTCTTCTTTTCCTTAGTCATCATCGATCGATGCTGTCCGGTAGGATCTCGACCAGAAATTTTACTAATCGATCACGATACCCGTCGCGTCATGACCAGTATATTTGCTGTGCCTTCCACACAAAGTCAACAATATCCTGTGTTCCTCAATGACCTATCCCATATGGTAAGGTAGTTAAGTGAGACATTCAGTAGATGCTCGAGTTGCGTCAATAGGCTTTTATGCTCTGGCGTAATCCTCTCTCATTCAACGACGAAGCCCTTTGGACTGGTATGACTTATGAACATATCCAATGCTGTTCGCAGGCGTCGTCCGTCACTCTTCTCTCATGTTACGTGTGGACACTCAACGCGACATAGGTGGATTCGGAAGAATCATTACGCGGTTGCCTTGGCATTACTGTCGGCAGTGTCTAGGATGAGGTTCGGTTATGTTGCAGGACGCAAGAGATACAATACTCCTGTACATACGGTACCACCCAGTGCTAAGATGACAGCTGAAGGCTCAGTCTCATATTTATAGGTGCATTGTCAGGTTCAAGCACGACTTCGAACACCTCACTGCAGAGATCTACGTAATTGACCGTCGACTGACGACCGTTGTAGTGTTACTACCCGGCTGCAGCTAATATAATATTAACCTTGGAAAGGTGCCAATTTCAAGGGTCGGGTACGGCGATCTCGCCAATTCTTTCCGGCAGCAGAAAATGGACAGGGATAGGTAGGAAAATAACCTCGTTGACATGTACCCCGCTAGCACTTACACGTATAATATACAGGGCTTATTCTTACAACACATATATATATATCTCCTATACCGAAAGAGACTTCTTATATAGTTACTGATTACTTCAACCACATCCTAGCTTACCATCACTCGCTCGCCCTTTTCGCTTCTGGCCAACATCACAAAGAATTCAGATCATGCTCTAATTCAGCTCACCTGGTGTAACAAAGTATGAACCGTATCCCTGACATCCTCTACGCAGACCGCAAAGCAAGCACATGGGTCATTGTTGGCGCCTCGCGTGGTATAGGACTTGAGTTTGTACGACAGCTACTTGATCGTGGGGAGCGCATCATTGCGACCGTACGTGAGCCTGTCGCGAGCACTGCCAGAGCTCTGTGGGGTGTGAGTGGAAGCGACCACGGGAGAGCGCAGATGTACGTATGCGATGTGATCAGTGAAGCCAGTATCAAGGTACGTTCTGTAGTATGGACACATTCAAGGAAACTCCAGAGGAAGTGTACAACCCTAACATAATGTCAGAATTTTGTCAACCAACTTACCTTGATACCGAATCTGAAGATCGACTATGTGGTCGTCAATGCGGGTGTTTTGCAATATCCTAATGTTTGTTTGTATATCATATATCTCTGAGATGTTCCACTGATGTTGCACAGAGAGCTACTGAGCTGTAGGTCTCCGGATTTCAATTTCGATTGGTTATGTTTTATTACGTCCTTTAAAAACTACCACAGATCCTTCGACCAATTTGCCTTTCATTTACATACCAACACAATCGGGCCGATAATCACAGCTCAGAAGCTGCTCCAAACACGCATTCCGATCGGAACCATCGTTTTCATGTCAAGCGACTCAGGTAGCGCTACTCTATTTCGGGATATGGAAGATGGGTATGTACGATGCTTACAACCTTCTTGTAGAGACAGCTTTTACGTGCCAAACTGGATAGGATCCTGACGTGGTACATCAGGTTTGCGGCATATTCAGCCTCGAAAGCGGCCCTGAATCAGATGTTACGACATATGGCCGCAGAGCTGAAACGTACGGATGACGATACGATTATCTTGGCTATGCATCCAGGAGAGGTAGCTACGTGAGAAGCCACTCTTTAATGTTCACCCGTTAAACGCATTCGTTGACGTAAGGATGCTAATATATAGCAGTGATATGGGCAACATCGAGACGCCCTTCGAAGTCGACGGCGTTATCACAGCCCAAGAATCAGTCAAGTGCATGATCGATGTTATCCAAAGTAAAGGCATACAGCATAGTGGGACATTCTGGACGTGGGAGAACAAGGTACGTGACTTCATCATGTCGGTAGTCCGTGCAAGGATATGACTCATGTGGTATAGGCATATCCATGGTGAGGACTGTACGAAAGGCTCGCTATGCGTTATATGCATTATAGATCTATAGAGATGCATGGCTCAATTCCTTGTCTCCCACCTCACCCCAGTATAACTTACATCCCATCTCAGATCACCGGGCTCACTTTCCAGAGCTAGATCTAAGTGCGACCAATATAGATCCGGTTGCATACAAGCCACAAACCCAAGACGCCTCTCAATCAAAGCTCACTGATCAAAATCTCACCGCTGTGGCCCTGCCCAAACAGAAATGCCCACTGCCCGGTCTTTTTGAGTCCTTGACTAACATCCGCCAGTCCATCCTTGATATCCTTCTCAGTATACGCCTTGGTGGATTCTTCATTTGCCTCTGGAAAGCCTTGGAGGAACCACTCGGGGCTCTCGTTGATCTCACCTTCTTCTTGACTGGGAGCCTTTTCGTCTTGATCCTGGAGAATGGTTTTGGCGGATACGCTGGAGAGGAGTGGACGCACGTTGTAGCGTGGGTGATCCTTGACGGAGTAGGATTCTGGGTAGTTTCTTGCGTCATGGAGTTGGGTGGTTCGGGTGTCTGTTTGGTTGCGACCACGATGAGCATGCTGATGGGCGTAATGACGCATATCACGCATCTGTTTCCTCCCCTGGGCTCGTTGTTCCCCTCGTGCCACATCTCCTTTATTCATGCCCTCCCTGCGAGCATCTCGGCTATGCATCAACTCCCCTGTCTGCATCCTGGCCCGCTCACCGCTATCAAAATCCTTTGTTTGTTTCCGGAACTTCGGAGTGTTCCGCACCTTCCCGATCCCCAATCTCTTCCGATCCTTCGCCTCAGCTTCACGCCTTCGATGCTCGATGCGACGTAGACGCTTTGCGCCATCACGTTCGCGCATAGAGACGCGACGGGCAGAGTGGTGATTCGCAGTCTGATTGTTGCGATTGTTCGTAGTTCTCAACGGGAGCCTCTGCTTGTTTGTGGCCATTGGTGACGAAGGCTCATCGTGCCCACGTATCTCGTCTTTCTCCTTCTCAAAATACGGTAGCTCAACCTCATAGTGGCTTCCAGCACTAAAATCACCATGCGCGTTCATCCCACGAACGGCAGGTTCATCCCTGAAGACAGTCCGCAGAGGACACAGCGAAAGCATGCATATGCGGTGATGCACAAACCCCGGTGGCGGAATAAGCGTGAACCGCGAGGATATGAAATGTCGGAATCTGCATATGTAATGAGGATTGCGGCGCACAAGACGGCAGTCGCCGTGGTGGTACCAGAACGAGCAGATGGTTCTGCTATAATCAACGGCGTCAGCAGGTAGGGCGTCGCGACCTTGGCCTGTTGCTGTTGGTATTTGAAAGGGTGCAGTATGAGAGTCGTGGTGGCCTGTAATCTCTGAGTGTCGGGAGACTAAAGTGGAAGTCTGAGCCGAACTCGATGGCAAGATCAAGGCTGGAGAAACGGGTTGAGGAATCATGGATGGAGATGTTGCTGCGGTGATACAAGCAATAGTCTCCGGGGAAAGGTTAAGCTGGAGAAACGCGAGACTCGGTACTTTTGCCGAGTCTATAATTGACAGCAACTGCTTTTCTGGAAGTGGTGATGTAGGTGAGATGCAGTCGGTCAGAGACGGCGTATATGAAGTCGTGGACGAAGCCGTTGAAGTTGGTGACGACATCTCCGCAAGTAGAAGGGTAAGATCGTATTCGATTGAATGTTGATCGTATAGAGTGTTTTCAAGACGTGGTGGTGGGCAGCAGGCAGCAATATTGATCGAGACCATCGGCAGAATGGTCGAGCAAACGGGTAGATAAGCCTGTTAAAAGACTGATATAATGAATGTGAATAAGAACGAGAACTGAGTCGAAAAGAGCCGGAGCTATAAGCGAATAATATGTAAACACTGCTCGCGATGCAGAGGGTGAAGTCAGGACTAGTGATAATTTGCGGTTCAAGACTACAAGAAAAGGAGTGAATGACGAGATCCGACCAAGGGATTGAAAGACTAAAAATTCACATGCATTAATATCGAGCCCCCAATCCAGCAATGGCAAAGACTAATTTAAGCAAACCCCAAGAGACCAATGCCAATCCACCGAAAGCAATAACAAGGGTCTGTAAATTCTTCCTCTCTATCTTACTCCATTTCCCTGGCTGACCGACTTCACCCATATTCGTAATAGTCTCATACTGTGGAATATACTTCAACTCGAACAATGTTTCCACTCCACCCAGGCCGACTTTACTCTTCACAACCAATTCATAGTACAGCCTCTTCAACCAGGCAATCTTTCTTCGATCCAAGTAAGAGATACTTCGCGCCGTGTAGCACATAAACATAAAGAACAAACACTGTCCAGCCATTAAAGCAGAATAATATAGACTGGGTCGTGGCAAAGCAAGTTTATCTGCCAAGTCATTCCCATTCAGCCATCTTGCACTGGCAGTCAACATCTCGGCGCTTGCGAACGCTGGAGGCTGCCCTTGCAAGCATATGATGACGTTGTTGGCTAGAATCTTGCTTGTCTCACTGGGCTGTACTTCATGTAACAGTAAAGTCTCCACGATTGCTTTGGCCTTGCTCGGACTTGCGAAGGTCTCGTGTGGTGTGCCCATCAGGTATGCAACGTACCGCCACAAGGCTAGGTAATCTTCAGTTTCCTGCTTTCGAAGGAAAATACCTTGACGGGGAAGTGATATCCAGATAAGGGTAGAGCTGAATGTTGCAATCGTGCCGATGCAGTCTAGGTCATTGATTGGCACACCCCATTGCTCAAGATCATAGTAGTCTGGCCGAGTAGCACGCATAGCCATGATGCGTTGACGAACAGCAGCGTGAAGTAACCGCACACGAATGGAAGCTTGGAAGCCGGCGCCATTAGGCTTGATAGATTCGAGGGATTGTGTGCATTGGAGGATGTGCTGTGTGGTTTCGAGGAGTCGACGTCGTGCGACCTTCGGCGCAAATCCTCCGGTACGTGCAAGGGTTTCCACGACACGAGCCGCACCCATACCACCGAGAAGCGATTGGTATGTGAGACCTGTAAGAGCAGGACCGCCGTATCTGTAGAAGACATCCTGTCCACGCTGTATCTGGTCCCAATCGACCCAGTCCGGAACAGTTGTGACTTCGGCCCACAGCGTGGAAAGAGATTCGTCCGAATGGGCATGCTCCTTCAACAACGCATAGAGGTCACGCTGGACTACAGACTTCAGGTCGGGAGGCTTGGTTGAAGCGTCATCCTGAAGGGTATCTTTGACAGGCTTGGTAGCTTTGACATCACTGTTACGTGGTAAAGTCCCTTTTGGGGGACATATCTCATTCAGCTTGAGGAGGGCATCTTCAGCGAGACGGTCGTAAGTGAATTTCAGGGGCTGTAACTCTTCTTTGCTAGGGTGATCATCAGTCAACTCGTACGTATAGCCCCAAGCCCTATGACCATATCAGTACAACATTCCTAATCAGGCTAGTGGAGCAGTAGACAAACGTCCGAGTGTTTGGACCCTTCCAAAGCGGCCCCAACCATGTCATCGTATGTGGAAACTACGTCTATACAAACGATGCAGAGCAGTAAGATTGAAGGATAATACTGGCAGAAGAAGAGCAGCCATCGGCCCGTTTGGCCACGAGCCGAAGTGCATTATATCTGTCGTAGCGTCATCATGTGGAGTTTGGTACTGCCGAGGATTTAGCTTCATATCTAGAGAGGGTGGCTAGCATGACAGCCGAAAACAAACACCCATGGCCCTGCAAAGAAACCTACATCCATACAGGTGGAAGACATCCATGTTTTGATGCTCGAGTAGTTGCAAGGAATATCTCGGATGTTGTTGATGCCTGCGGGGTTGACAGCCATGACACTGATGACAGCCAGGGTAGTCGATTTAGGCTTGCCCCTGAGGCATCAAGGCAGCATTTTGCACAAAGCGCTAAGCAACTGGAACGACGTCGGACTCGCAAGCAACCTGACCTTTAAAAAATTCACGAGGGCTCGACAAGGCTCTGCAGCTCGACCCCAGAATCTCTTGTTCTACACCACAGCGCCACAACTGATGGCCGGCACGCATTTTTCATGATCCATGACGTGTCGCTATCTTTACCGATGTCTCCAGCCGACTAGTCGAGTGTTTCTGTCGTCTACGTTCCCCAAATGGCAGTCCGCTCTTACCATTCCGTCACTTGAGCCATCACGCTCTTACGCCTTCAACACGAGCCGCAAAAATCGCAATAAGACTACTGGCAATGCCACCGATCCGAAGCTCGCTCAGTACTGGGCTACTATCCACGATGCTGAAGCCTACCTTAAATTACCCTTGTCAAAAGTCGATGGTCGATGGCGCGCGAAACGCCTGAGAGGGCGGGCGAGGGCTTTGTTGCAGCAGAAGATCGACAAGAAGATAGAAAAATCTGGTGATGACCCAAAGGAGCGCTCCAGGCTCGTCAAGAAGATGAGCGCATTCGAATTAGAACTTTACCACGAGGACGAAGGGACCGTTGCCTCTGCAAGCACCATACCAGATCTTATAGGAAAAGCTTTAGACGAGTCTTTAAAGATGGAAGCAAAGGCCCACGTGAGGCCGTCTCCCGGCAGTTCAGAACCGAACAAGACCAAGGATGTTGGAAATACCAGGCACGAGAGACCTGCGCGTCCAAACAAGAACAAGGAGCCCTGGCAGGTGCAGAAAGAGGCGCTCAAAGACAAGTTTGGCGATGAGCCTTGGACACCCAGGAAGAAGCTTTCACCAGGCACCATGGACGGTATGCGTATGTTGCATCAATCGGACAAGGCGAAATATACAACTGCGGTTTTGGCCGACTCTTTCAAGATCTCGCCCGACGCGGTCAGACGCATTCTAAAGAGCAAATGGGAACCTTCTGAGGAGGAGGCCGATGAAAGACGAGAACGGTGGGAGCGCCGAGGCCAGAAGATATGGGAGAATAAGGTTGAGATGGGCATGAAGCCACCTAAGAAGTGGCGCGAAAGGGGTGTTGGCCGTGCAGAGCCTGGCTTCTATCCCAAGTGGAAGAAAGGAGGGCAGGCGAAGCCGTTCGCTAGTGACGACCCGTTACCGTTCGGTGAATCATATACTGAGGTCAGAGCACGCAAGGAGCCCAGGGATATCAGGACCGTCTCGAGTCAGATCCTGTAAAGTTCGAGATGTATTGTAATTACTGTACCATAAGGAATAAATGAATGTATAAATATCCAATAGACGCAACTAAGTGCGTGTAGTGGAGGTAGGGTATGTAAATTAGAGAAAGTGCAAGGCATGTGTCACGGGTGTAAGCCAAGACGTAGATCCATCCGATGTAGTGGGTGGGTCAACTCCATCCATAGTCCAACGCGGAGCTGTTAAGGTTGTGGACTGTAGTACCAGCCACAACTTATCCTCGTTCTCCAAGTTTCACCAACATATCAGCTTGTGGTGTTGAGTGAATACAGCTACCGGAACAATCGAAAGCACAACTATTCGGATGTCCAATTGAATTCGTGCACGGCAAAAGCATGGCGCACCCTCGAACTCCATGACCGCACTCCTCCGCAACCCCTACCCCCCAATGGTTGAGCTCCTCAGAGAGCTTGAATTATGTCCTCCAACATCAGGGTCTTCGTTCAATGGAAAGACGCGACGGTATTTGCAGGCGAAGATCTCGAATGCACAATAACCTTCAAGAACGTGGCGTTGCTTCCACAGGCAGATCGATCGCCCAATCGAAGACAGAACGGCTTCCTTGCAGCCGTTGAACGACAGCAACACCGAAACCCTGCCCTCAGACCTTCTGTGAAGCCCTCGCTGTCTCGAAACTCCTCGTTCGGCCCACAACTACCTACACAGCATGCGAAAGGGCATCGGCCCACCCTGTCCTTGAGCACCTCCGCAACTACTGTTCCCTCAATATCGCAATTCGCCGGAGGAGCCAACACGCCCACGAGTGCAGGTCCACATGGGAGATCATTGTCGATAGTATCACTTGGTAGCGGAGGCAACAGAGATCCCGATCGAGCTTCACATAGCAGTCCGCGAAGACCAACTCGACCGCATGGCCGGTCTGCTAGTCTACAGGTAGTACCAGGCAAGAAGACTGGAAGTCCTCATACAGGTAAGACAGGATGGTATACTTCTCGGGACTGTGCTTACGATTTCAAGGCTCACACAGAGCTCAGTCGGCCACACAGACGCCTACTGTCTTCAGTTCAGCAGCGCCTGCTTTGACGACTCCTTCACGGTTTTCCGGCGCAAAGCGAAGCGGCATAACACACATCTCAAGTACCGGTCGTCGAGGATCAGGTTCTTTGACACCACACTTCAAGTTTCCGCAAGGAACAGTGGACAATGAAAATGAGACAATATCAGAGCATCCAGTAGGAGTGTATGGGCGGCCGCCACGTGTGAGAGGGAACAGCCCTCGACCGGCAGATGAGATGTCTGCAACAGGCGAAACGTTGTCACCTGTTGCGCGACTTCTATCGGGTACGAGCATGAATGGAACACCTCGGAGCAGCGGAGAATTCTATTCGATGAGCAATCATTCTTCAGAGACCCTCCCCTCTGAATACATTACCCAACCTATGGCTCGCTTACTGCCTCCCTCACATTCACGGCGATCCTCTCAAGCTCCGCAGCCACGTGTTGGGCCGGAATCGCTGATGATGGGCTACGCTCAAGTCATGGGTTCCTTCACCTTGGACGGGTCTCTCATCAATCAAGCTCCATTTGAGGAAGTGAAACGCAAGGGCGTACTTGGAGGACAAGGAGGTGGTGGTGTGGTGGGCGTAGAACGATTGAAGAGGGACAGTGGATTATTCGGCGCTCTAGGATGGGGAACTCTAGGAGAGTCTTTGGGTGGCCTTCTTGGAACATCAGAGCCAAGCAGCATGCGAGAGATGCGTGGTATAGCTAACAGCAAAACCGTGCCACTCTTAACAACACCCCAATCCATTCTGTTCGTTGACCTTAGGCTAGCCCCTGGAGAAAGCCGGAGCTATCGATACAAATTCAAACTACCACGAGGCCTACCACCAACGCATAAAGGACGTGCAGTCAAAGTAGCATATCATCTTGCTATAGGAACTCAGAGACCAGGAATGGTAAACGGGCAGCAGCAAGTGCGGCATGTCGATATTCCTTTCCGAGTTTTCGGAGGGGTCACGGGTCAGCTCTATCGTACAGTCCGAAGTAGTTTCGCTAACTCTAATGCAGGGGAAGGAGAAATACTGGGTCACGATCTGATGTCTCCATATATCATACTTCGGGACGAAGCCCAGACGGAGAGGATAGATGTCGAAGTCGCTACTCCCCATCAACGCAAAACACCTAAACCATCACCGCGCATCGGATCAGGATCAGCAGATTTCCTAGACTATGTCAATAATCTCCTCGACAAACCAGACGACAACTCTACAGCCGGCCTTCTCTCCCCAACAGCCGAAGACCCTCGCCGCAAATCGATCGCGGAAGAGCTCCCCAATACGATGAAGGAGATCATTGATCTGGCCATAATGCGCTGTAACAACGTCGCATCATCCTCCCAAAGCACCTCACGATTTGATATCGCTCGTTCTGGGTATCGTGTTGCGACCATTAACCTCGGCCGGCCCGCCTACCGCCTCGGGGAAACGATCTCCGTTGTCATCGACTTCTCAAACACCGACATTCCCTGCTACTCTGTTATCTTCTGCCTCGAGACTGCCGAGCGCGTCGACCCCGCCATTGCTCTGCGCTCTCACTCGAGTATATATAGAGCGACGCGGAAAGTACATGCTGTGTTCTCCGATAATGCGCTCTATTCGCAAAGACTGACATTTGCGCCTACGATACCTCCGAATGCGACACCGGATTTTGTTACGTCGGGTGTGAGTCTGGAGTGGCGCCTAAGAATTGAATTTACGACACCACGCCTGACGTACGAGGAAGTAGAGGAAGGTGCATGGACGGATGTGCTTGAAGAGGTGGGGAATGATGATCGAGGAGTCATCCTAGCAGCGGCTGAGAAACTACCATGCGAGACCTTTGAGGTTTCGGTTCCGATACGGATTTATGGGGCCGTGACAGGATGCGTAGAGAACGTGAGCGAGGGAGGGTTGGTGGTGTAAGGCCAGGCCAGGCACTAGATGAAGAAAGATGGCAAGACGGAGCAGAGCAGAGGAATGTCATGGATACCCGGCAAAGAACTCAGATAGCATGTGTGTAATTAAAGAAGAAACATGTGCTCATACACTGTATATACCTCATCCATGAATAGATCGCGGACATATACACGACGCACAGTTCTCCCTAACGTGATGATTAAACACCTATACCATGAATTTTCTACAATTTTATACTCCGCCTAGGTGTCAAGTAGTCTGGCGAAAAGCAACGGAACTGCCTCTGGCGCTGTTGGCAAGTACCTGATTTCCGGGAAGCCGGAGGGGGGGGCTTGGCGGGAATGTGGACGATAGCGAAATTATACGCTTCACAAACAGTTCAGGTACTCAACGACTTACGAAAGTACAAGATTTCCGTTTTAGGCTGGGGTGTGACCAATAGCCAATCATACGCAAGTACCGGCGCTTCATGCCTTGGTGCCTTAGGTAAACCTGCCAGCCATGGAGACGGGAATAGGCTACACCAATGGCAAGAACGGATTGATCACTATCAACCAGGCATGGAGAGTAAGTTCGTAGGCCGCTCTACTACTACCTTAGCGAGAAAACTATATACTTTCTGTGGTGAATCAGTACCAACAAAATTTATAAGTTTGATCTATTATAAGTATTATTAGGTACTTGTTTAACCCTGGCTACACCCCTGCGCCCCTACTTTGCGTGTCAAACTCCAACTTGATCACATCAGTCTTCAGCTTTGCTGAGCATATGACCACCTTTCGACAGTGAAAAGGTGGTTCTAGCAAAGAGGCCCTGCTGGGGCACAATACACAAAGTATCTTGAGTCAATAGAATGCCCGACATTACAAGTATGTATAATAACTCCGACTCTGGAGATCTCATTCGTCATCTATATGCCTTGGTGCTGGAAAATACGTAGTTCCGGGCAGGAGCTGGTCCTCCGAGTCTCCGTTGGCTTTCTTCTCTTCATCGCTCGCATCGTCCGGGCCCCCTGACTTATCAAGCGCTAGGTTGCTGAAGAGACGGCCGACATGATCGGCGCCGAATATCCAGAACAAACATGCGAACGCGATTGGTGCCACCCCCACAGAGAAGCCGAACTTGGAGTAAAACACAATATCTACCCCACCCACGACGCCAAGTACGATTGCAACGATCGTTACATGTACACGCGCGGCAATCGCGATCCACATTGATATGTCGAAGGCTGTTCGACGAGAGAGAAGATTCAGGACAACGGTAGTTGCTGCAAACAGTGCTAGTGCGCCCCAGAAATAGCTGTATGCTGGCGTGTAGAGGTCTCGTTCCAAGCCATGTATTTGCTCGGCTGTCGGAACTTGGTTGTCCACCAGCGTCGAGGCGTAAATACCACCGGCCACTGATGAGAACAGATTGTAAATGGGTTCTGTTAGCGCTGATACCCAGTTCGAAGAGCCAACAGGAGAGGCGAGAATGTCACGTGTGTTTTCTGGATTGCAGATCCCCGTCGTATTCGCGACGCGTTGCAAGGAGTCATTAATCAGCGGTATAAGTTGTAGAGAGTTTGCTTTGTCCTCAAGCTTGAGATTGTCGACCACAAGTTGTAATGGGTCCACAAGCTGGGACCCTTCGAGATGCTGGTAGGCGCAGAGATCCTGTATATCATCCGCAAAATCGAGGATGGTGTTATGAAAGTATCGCCCCCGTACTAGCTGCTGCACTCCTTCTACCACACCGATGATCGATAGGTGAAGTGGGAAATGCAAAAAAGCCCAGAACTGTTGTCGTAGAGTACCGATCAGGCCATCAGGTGTACTATCAAAGTAGATTGCGTACATCATGAAGATGATCTACCCCACAGTCAGGATGTTTGTGTTCAAGGACGAATGGACGATGTAATAGAGATAGTACTGACCAAGAGGATTACCAATGTCAGTCCATAGTACTCTGATACTTGGGTTGTACGGAGGATAATCGATATCGTCTTCCCAATTCCAAGAATACCTTCGCCAATGACAATGAGTGTCAAAAGTCCCATTCTCTCAACAAGATGTGTGTGTTTGAAGCTGATGTCGCGCCACTTTGCTGACACACCCAATACACAGATGATTTCGATGACCATTGTGGCGTACCAGACGACGTAAACATATCTTAGATAATCCGGAGTACGAAACGCGAGACTCAGAAGCCCGAGTGCTGTTGCCGAGATAGAATAGCACAAGACGTTCAAGACGACTGGTAGAATGACTTGCTTGAGACCGCGAATGTAACAGAAATATGCTACGTTGAGATACTGAATTGCGAATAACGCGCGACTGGCAGCAAGAGCATAGCTCAGTATTTGAAGAGTCTCGTTGGAAGGTGTTTGGCTGATACCGTACGTCCGACTACCGGTTGGCTGGAAATGTGATCCGACAAGTGAGAACACGACGAATACGGCACATTGTACCAGTTTGCATGCACGCTCATACATACAGTCATCTGCGAAGCGAACGTCAAACATGGTTATCGAGAACCATGTGCCCCAGAGAATACCGAAGAAAGCTATTAGGGTTAGTCGGTTCAAGCTTGATCGGAGTCTTCCACGTCAAATCGACACGTACCAACATAGTTCACAAAGCCGTCATTATCCACTATGATGTGATATTGGGTGAACAGAGCCAAGTTAGCCACGAAGAAAAGGTCAAAGAATAGCTCCATTGAATTGGCTTCGTGGCGCTGGGAAAACGAGAAATGCGTCGGCCCTTCTTTCACATTAAGAGTCGGATCTGTGATCCATGGTAGTAACGGGTATCGCTTCTTCTGTGCAGTGGGCTTTCCATCCCGAGCTGCCCTATAAACGGTCAGCCCTGTCCACCAGAGTATAATCTTTATGAAGGAAGTGTGACTTACTGACGAAAAGTTGGCATCCTAGTGACCATGTTGTGTTAAAATCGAATTGAAGTCTGTATAGGAATAAGTGACCAAGGAGCTAGATTTTGGGGGGTCCTTATGTAGATGCCAGCGGGTCTAGCTGAGATGTCGCTGTGTCGGGACTCCATACGGGGAATGACGCAGCATTGCAGCTATGCCGTCTAAAGATCGTGTAGGTGCACAGCTGATGCGAAGCCACTGGGTTGGGGGCTCTGTCATAACGTTACTCGATTCGTAGTAACCACGAGCACGTCCACACCCACTCCTCGCTTCTAATTTAAGAGATGAAGATGGGTCTGGTTGATCGATCGGGGTGTATGCACCTAGCCAGCGGCAATGCTTAGTCTTGTGAGGCGTTACGCTCGCGAGCTCGTGTTGGCTTGCGGTGCGATGATCAGATCTCTTCCTAATTGAGTAGATACGCGTATAGTACTTCATAGTATTAGTGTTTAGATCGTATCCTGCAAGGCTTGTTAAGTCTCAAAGTAGACTAGTGTACGTCTAAAAGCTTAGCCACCAGATCAATTGCTGACTTATTGCGAGCCAAGTACGATGACGTAGTGGTCATACAAATTGAGTTGGTTATAGTACGCGTAGGGAACGCAAGTCCAGTGGGTACAAGGAGTGTCTGTTGATATCGAGTAAAGGTCTCCGGGCTGAAATCTGGCAGTCAACAACGCACCCAGTCGATGTTGCAAGCTACACTAGACCTCTCCTTGTGATATCCATGAAGCCTTCGAAGCTCTTGGTTAACCATTTTCCTCGCTCTCCATTAATCCAGGCTCTTATTCGTCAATCTTAGACCCCATGGCACAATTGTGCCGCTCCAGCCTTTGTTTATACTGGATGAAAGTGACAGCGGATGGTGGTCGGACCGATACCATTATCAGTACACTTAATTGGGAGCAACTATATGCATGCAAGCTGTATGACGCGTTGCAGAGAAGACTTTTACAAGACGAACGCGTATGAGGAAGCGTAGTAAGTATTGTACATAGCTAAGTGTACGGTGGTGGTTGATATTGAGGTATCGCGGTTGTCTCTTTTTAAGGTGGTGCCATGGATCACCCGCCAGAGCCCAGGGTCAGGCTATCGAGAATTGTGGTCCGGTGGCCGTTACCGGCTAAATAATGATTGCAGAGGACTCCCGCATCATCAATTGGCCGTCCACGTTTCTAAAGCTGCACTGTGACTCACTACTCTCCACAGAGTCTATTGTAGAGTTGAGCTGTCGTCCTTGTCTGTCCAAGGGATTCTGTTATCCTTTTACATCATATATACAATACGATTGATCATTCCTGAAGTACCAATTGCCCCTCTATCGCCATGGACGCCATCAAACGCACATTTGCGCAGTGCCGCAAAGAGCAGCGAGTGAGTTTTCGACGCTTACCCACAAGGTCGTCCACTGATTACAATGGCAGTCCGCCCTCGTGACTTATGTCACCGCTGGTTATCCTACCATTGAGGAGACGCCAAATGTCCTCCTTGGCATGGAAGCTGGTGGCGCCGGTATGCATTGTAGCACCACACTCTGGTGGCAAGATGTTAACGAGAAAATGACCAGACATTATCGAACTTGGAATGCCATTTACCGACCCAATCGCTGATGGCCCAACGATCCAGAAGTCCAACCTCAAAGCCCTCCAGAATGGGGTCACGACTGAATCCTGCCTCCAAATGGTTCGCGATGCACGCAAACGTGGACTCAAGGCTCCGATCCTTCTGATGGGATACTACAACCCGGTTCTCAGCTATGGTGAAGACAAGATGTTGAAGGACACGCGTGAAGCTGGAGCCAATGGTTTTATCCTCGTTGATCTGCCTCCTGAGGAAGCCGTTCAATTTAGAAACAATTGTGCCTCTGCAGGCCTCTCTTACGTTCCTCTAATTGCACCAGCAACATCTGAGGCTCGTATGAGAGTCTTGTGTGGCATTGCCGACTCCTTCATTTACGTCGTGTCAAGAATGGGTGTGACCGGTGCAACTGGTACCATGAACGCTGCTCTACCGCAACTTCTTGAGCGAGTCCGCAAGTACTCAGGCAATAAACCCGCAGCTGTTGGCTTCGGCATCAGCACACGAGATCATTTCTTGAGCGTAGGAAAGATCGCAGATGGTGTAGTCATTGGTAGCCAGATCGTCAACGTTTTGTCTGAGGCCAAAGAGGGGGCTGCTGCCAAAGCAGTGGAAGACTATTGCAGTGATATAACCGGTCGACGACCCGGGAATGACTCTACGACTCGCGAAGTTGGCATTGTTGAAACGATGGCCGAAGCTGCGGAACCGACTGGCGTTCACCCAACCAAGGTCATCCGTGACGGTGACGTTCCAGATGGCCCTGGTCTCATGGATCAGATTGATGACCTGAACATCAACGGAGTTAACGAGCATACGAATGGAGATGCCAAAGGAGTCGCAGGCCCATCTCGATTCGGCGAGTTCGGTGGCCAGTACGTCCCTGAATCACTGATGGACTGTCTTGCTGAGCTTGAGACTGGCTTCAACGAAATGAAGGACGATCCCAAGTTCTGGGAAGAGTATCGTACGTACTATCCGTACATGGGCCGCCCTGGCCAGATGCACCTCGCTGAACGTCTCACTGAGCACGCCGGCGGGGCGAATATCTGGCTCAAGCGCGAGGACCTCAATCATACGGGTAGTCACAAAATCAACAATGCTCTTGGCCAAGTTCTCCTTGCCCGCCGCCTCGGCAAAACTGAGATTATCGCTGAAACGGGTGCTGGCCAGCATGGCGTCGCGACCGCGACTGTATGCGCGAAGTTCAATATGAAATGCACAATCTACATGGGCGCCGAGGACGTCCGTAGACAGGCCCTCAATGTGTTCCGAATCAAGCTTCTAGGCGCAGATGTCGTCGCTGTCGAAGCTGGCTCTCGCACATTGCGCGATGCAGTAAATGAAGCTCTACGCCAATGGGTCGTCAACCTGTCCACGACGCACTATATCATTGGATCTGCTATCGGGCCACACCCTTTCCCAACCATTGTTCGCACTTTCCAATCCGTCATCGGAAACGAGACGAAGGAACAGATGCTATCTAAGCGCGGTAAGCTCCCCGACGCTGTGGTCGCATGCGTTGGCGGTGGAAGCAACGCCGTTGGCATGTTCTACCCGTTCTCCAAGGACCCCAGTGTCAAACTTCTCGGCGTCGAAGCCGGAGGCGACGGTATTGAGACTGGACGACACAGCGCTGCGCTGACAGGCGGCACGAAGGGTGTGTTCCACGGCGTCCGCACATATATCATGCAGGACAAGCACGGTCAAATCCAGGACACGCACTCAGTCTCCGCAGGACTGGATTATCCTGGTGTTGGGCCAGAGCTGTCGAGCTGGAAGGACTCGGAGCGAGCGAAATTTATTGTTGCTACCGATGCCGAGGCGTTTGCCGGTTTTAGACTCATCTCGCAACTCGAAGGTATAATCCCGGCCCTTGAGACGGCACATGCTGTCTGGGGTGCGCTAGAGTTGGCGAAGACAATGTCCAAGGATCAGGATATCGTTATTTGTGTTAGTGGACGCGGTGACAAGGATGTACAGAGTGTTGCTGAGGAGTTGCCCAAGTTGGGTCCTCAGATCGGCTGGAATTTGAGGTTCTAAGAATCACCATGTTAGATTCATGATAGATATGTACGGACATGCACGGACGTAGTTGACTTCTCCTCTTCTGACGGAGCTCTCTGTAGCTTCGACCCACTTCAATCGAAAAGAAACGGCCCTTCACTCGCTCGGGCATGCTTTTGAATCTTTCTCAGTGCACTTCTAACATACTTTCTCTGTTCGTTCGATGCTAGTGCTAGATCCTGCTACTCTGGTGCTATCCATGTCACACACAGTTCACCCATCTCCTGCAATAGCTACAGGTGTTGTGACAGGTATGGCAACACACCGGGTCGCTCCTTCCGTAAGGAGTCTACTTCGCCTCGTCACACTATAGCGTCTCACATGTGCTGACTGCGATTGGTTTTATTAGTACAAATATATATTCTCAACATTGTAGACCAGGTGCTAGTATACTATGTTATTATATCATGTCTTCGCATTATATAAGACCTATCATTTGCGCCCAAGTCGTCTATGCTCTTCCTCATCTACATGCCCTATTAAAGTATAGGCCCACGGAGGGAGTCTTATCATCGTTCAGTTGGTATCAATGAGTGGATTAGGCTGATCCTGCTTCGTCGTCATCATCATCGTTCCCACCTTCTAGTCAGTGACTCCGAATGGCCTCTATCGTTGTGAACCCTTTCGCTGCCGCCTGCAACTCTTCCTCCTTTGATGTGTCCGACTGGTCTAGGACCCGGACCGCCGCAAGCGCAGCATCGACTTCTTCCTCGGCACGATAGCCGTATATCCACGGCTGCACCTCCGGACATGTCCACCGACTTGGAAATGCGCCGGTCAACTCCTTCCCGAGCTGGGACAGGAACAGCTCGTCCCGGGCTTCTTGCTCAGGGCCGTTCTCCATGTGGAAGTCTCGTCGTTGCTTGAATGTCTCGCGGACGATGGCCTCGCCGCGTGATTTGCGAAGCCGTTGGAAGATCTCGAGGAGTTTGGGGAGGTCGGATCGGTGCTCTAGGCTGCCGAGGAGGCGCCCGAGGACGGCGCCGTCTTCCATTGCGGAGTTTGCACCCTGGGCGAGATATGGGAGCATGGGATGGCATGAATCGCCGCTGTGGGAGATCAGTGTGGACTCTTTGCACTTGCGAAATGTTCTTACATCATGACAAAGTTTGACTGTGCATTGACCCACGAGTCCATCTCGTCCCGATGCATCAGCTTCCACTTATCCACAGTAGTGACGCATTTCAGAAATCTGGTCAAAACGGGATCCCAGCCGTCGAAGAGCTTCATCATTTCATCCACCGACCCCTGTTGCTTCGACACATGTTCTGGTAGGTCGTCCGGGACTAGCAACACAATGTTATAGATGGTACCATCCCGAATAGAGTACGCAACAACGTGAGCTTTCGGCCCAACCCAGAAGCGACACGCAGGTTTCGAGACCATGTCTCGAAGATCCTGATCCTTTATCTGGTCCAGTGGCAGAAGGATGCGATACGCCAGATCTCCGGTTGGCAGGGGCGTGTCTTTTTTCTTGAGCAGACACTCTCTACATTTCGACCATAATCCGTCCGCAGCAACAATCATGTCGCAATGGTACTCCGCACCGGATTCAGTGGTCACTCGTGGTGCATCAAAGTCGATATTCGATACTCTCGTGCCTAGCTTCACAGCTACGCCCAGTTCATTTGCGCGTCTGGCCAGTTCCCGTTGCACATCTACACGATGCAGATCCCAGAACGGCGCGCCATATCTTTCACGCATGTGCACGTTGAACTGATCGTCCTTTGCCAAGAGCTTTCCGTCGGAGTATCGATGGACTGATAGGACGGTGGGCTCTGCGGCGGACTGTTTGAGGCGATCATACACTCCCCATGCCTGGAATAGCCGGGATGCATTGGGAGTTATTTGTAGGCCAGCTCCAACCTATATCGTTTGGATCAGTTTCTGCGGTCGATATTGCGAGGTTCAATAGTTTTACCTCAGCGAGCTCCTTGGCGCTTTCTAATATGGTCACTTTGTGTCCATGAAGAGCGCATGATATTGCAGCAGCCAGACCTGCAAGTCCAGCTCCGACGACGATGATGTCAAGTTGAGAAGATGAATGTGTCCTGGCAGCCATTGTCACATTGAACGTTCGTGGGCACTCCAGACAGACTGATTATAGATACATGATGAGTTGATGAGGGTGTTTATGGTTATGAGAAGAGATGCGATCACCTAAATCACAGACATCAAAGTAGTTACGGGCAAGTCGGCACCTTTCTGTGGATCATGTCACGGCGTTGACGGTGAAGCCTCGGAAAAGCCAGATGAGATATTTTGCCAGTTCGGTTAACCGTTACATCGAGATGGAACGGTCGAGGCCGTGAGCCCTGCCTATTTGCCTGGAAAGGGCCAGCCTGTTGCGCCACTGGACTTGCGAGCTGTGATAGATGTGGTCCTGGTTCAAGAGGTAACATGGAAGAGTTATGACGGAGCGCGGGCTTCGAAAGCGGGAGGTAAATTTCGAGATCAAGCATGCCGGAGAGGCGTTGTCCAGACGGGCAAGAACTCCCGTAGAGGTTGTTGCAACAAGGTGGAGATGTGGAGATGTGGAATGTGGCTTCGGAATTGCCGACTGTTATTGTAACAGTTGTGTAGACCTTAATAGATGATAGGAGCATATGTCGGGGTCGGTGTCGGCTTGCTGACATAATACACAGGCGGCAGTACTTCGGTGAGTATCATGAATAGGCCTGAAAATACAGGCATCAAATAGTGCCCTCGCCGATTGGTCAGACGTTGCTACAGCTGCGCTAAACTTCGTTAGGATGTGCACACTCCGTGTATGTACGAAATGAGAAGTCACGTGCTTTGCTGTATCAGTTACCCCCGGTCGAGCGTTTCTCCGCCTCCGCCTCCGCCTCCGCATCCGCATTGGGAAGATGAAGACGCACGTGGTGGATAATGCTTCGGGCACGATCTGAGCCTCAATCAGACTGTTTGCAGTCAACTTCACCTACTATCAGACGTTCCTGGTCAGGGACAGTGAGGTGTCTGCATGCTGCAAAGCGACAGAACACGAGAAATCCGAATCAAAGTTCAAACCTCTGCCGAAGGGGGCATAGCTCGAATTTGGTAGCTTGCAGCAAGGTTCCAACAGACACCTCACCTTACCGCACCACACCCGCTCTGTCGATCTGCCTGTTGCGAAAACCTAAATCGACCTCGACCATTCCTCGTGTTTCCAAACGCCAACCTCAATTGAAACGGAGGATTTTCTACCTTCGTCCTCGATGTCTCTTCTTCTCTCAGCACATTCTTCCTCCGTGGCAGCACCATGAATCCTCAACAGATGCCGGCTGCCGCAGCGAGCAGCTCCGCTGCAACAGCCCCCAAGAGAACGAGACGCCCACGCGCTATCCAGGCTTGTAACTTTTGTCGATCCAAAAAGTACAAATGTGATGGCGCATGGCCGTGTGCGCCATGCCAGAGTAAATCTCGCATGCTGAACTGACATCCACAATCACCACTGACCACCCATCTCAGAGCATCGCGAAGAATGTGTCTTCAGAGGTCAAAACCCTGCAGCAGGGGGCCCAGTTTACTCCGCAACGTAAGTTGCAATCCTCGGAAGATGCATTATGATGAAAATAGCATGCGTTGCGATGGATGCAGGTTCCAGCAGTGACCATATGTGATTATCGTGCGCTTGTGCTGATTTGAAATCGACTCGGGCATTGGCTGAGTCTTTAAACAGTTATGTACATGACCTGGAAAGACGATTACGCCAGGCTGAGAGTGCTCTCTCGTCTCCTCAGGCCACTCACAATGCTTCCGGTCTGGTGAGCTCTGCAAGTCAGCTACACACCGAAGCGACACGCAGCACGATGCTGACCCCATCCTCTGGCACTGGCAACGACAAGTCTACCATCCTCAAATCAACAGAGATTCGTCACGAGACTACGCCGGATACGAGCGATGACGGCGAGACAGAAGTTGTAGATGTCAACCCCATTACGTCATCCATTGAGTTTCATGGTAATTCTTCGTCAATGGCATTTCTTGGCCGTGTCCGCCAGGAGTATTCTGCATCGCCAGACGAACCAGTTCGAGCTGGATCAGAAAGGCCCTCGCTAGTCAGCGCTTTTCAGAATACCAATTTCGGTGCTCAAAATGACAGAATCATGAACTGGAACGATGGATTCGATGAACGACTCTTCTCTCCTCAGCTTTACGTCTTTGTGGAGACGTACTTCAGCAATCTCCACTACATCCATCCTATCATAGATCAAGCCCACTTTCTTCGACGTTGCGATGACCTCTGGCAAGGCCACCCCGAACGCCAACCACGGAGTTTTATTGCCATGTATTTTGCAATGCTATCACTAGGCTCTTTGATACGAAATTGGACCGAGGAGAGAATCAATGATATGGGACGTTTTGATTGGAGCCGCATGCTCTTCGAGAGAGCGGAGCTCGCGCTCGGGAAACCCGGTTATCTGAACGATCTCGAAGCTATCCATACGCTTTTCTTACTGGCCAAAGTCTGCCAAAATGAATTGAATCCAAATTTATCATACATGTACCTGGGCGTCGCCATTAGGACCGCACTCTCGATTGGCTTGAACCGGAATGCCTTGCCAGGGAGACATACAGCAGACTCGCCCGAGGCACACTATCTATCACGGACGTGGTGGGGCCTATACTCTCTCGAAATGGAACTCAGTTTCGCGCTTGGCCGGCCAGACACCCTCGGCATGGAGGACTACCACAACAGACCGAAACCACCTGTCGATGACTCCGAGACCGGAATATTGACCAGTATGCTTGGGCTCGCTCGGATCATGCGTTCGACTTCAATTAGCATCTACCTGAGTAAAGCTACCATTGCCGAGAAGCTCACAAGAGCTTTTGAGATTGAGGCTGATATTGATGCGTGGGTCCAGACGTTACCAGTCAGAATCAGACCGAACATGACGCCTGATCATAAGCGGAATGCTCTGACAGATCCAACATGGGCACAGCGTCAGCGAATGGTGTTGCAGATCCGTTACTATAATGTCAAAATGCTCTTGCTTCGCCCATGCGTGGTACATGCAGCCAAGCTTGCTGCTCAGAGCCGACCTCTACCGACAGGGATGGAGGAGGCGATTGCCAAGTGTACAGATGCGGCCGCCAGTACTATTGAGATTATCTACGAAACATGTCGTCTTCACGATTTCTTCCGTACATGGTGAGTTCGGATTCATTTTCTGACTTCTTAATAGGGCTAACTACCACAGGTGGTACAACACAACATACGTGACATTCGCAGCATCCATTTTACTCTTCATTGCCGCTCAGCCACAGCTCTCGTCGTCATCATCATCTTCATCACACCATAAGCCACCTTATTTACCCCTCATCGACCAGTCACTTGAAATCCTCGATGCTATGCATGAATCAGTGGTAGCTCGTAAAACTGCTGGCATAATGCGGCAAATGGTAGCAAGGTTCCGCGAGAGAAGCACTCCTTCCTCACAGTCCCCACACAGCCAGTCTGGTTCTCTGCCCGTTCACAGAGTGCCTAGCGCCCCGAGGTATATTGTCCAAGCTGCACCCGGCCAGCAGCAATTCGTTCCAGAACCGCGGTTTGATGCGGTTTTCCCAGAAGCTGTTGGTAATCCGAGCTTTGGTCTGGGTATGTGGGATCTGGCGGGTCCGCAAGGAGGTTACGGAACCTGGGATTATACTAACTTCTCAAACGATGTCTACTGGCAGGGGGGATGAAAATCCGGGGTGGAAGAGGTTCGACCACTTGCCGCGACACATTCGGCTTTGCAGCACTAGAAGGAGGAAGCCGAAGGCCCTTCTGGCTTTCATTCCTCGAAAGTCCCGTACTTCCGAGCTTCAAACATTTGCGAGGAAGACTGTTTTGAGCGCATTATCTCAAGGAGAGCATATCGGCAGCCAAGACTATGGCATAAGTCTCAAGCACAGAGGCCAGCGACTGCGCATATCTGGGGGTCCTTATTGTCCACGAATCCGATCGAATTGAAGAGCATCGATCGGGTGCCGGCGCATGACAAAGGACGTGTTGATCGTCCATTCCTAGAAGCCTGGACCCCTTCCGACAATCTTTTCGAGAAAATCGAACCCTTTCCTCTGTTCGTCCCAGACTTTACTTCCCTTGACCATCTTTCCGGCAAAGGTATGTTTCTCGCCTTCGATCTCGATCATCTCGGCATCGACCCCATAATCCTTCATCCGAGCGTACAGAGCGCGGCTCAAATGAACCGGGACCATGTCATCGGCAAGCCCATGCACGATGCACACTGGTGGCCATGTGGCAGACACGTTCTCACAGGGGTCAATTGCCGCTAGATTCCCGTCTGGTTGAATTGTCTGGATTACCTCACCACGTGATATTTTAGTCAGTGCGAATGCAGTTCGTGGGTCGTCCTTGGGTGAGAGCTGGCCTTGGCCTTCGAGCGACATTCCACCAACGGTCGGGACCGGGCCGTCAAAAATGCGGTTTATGAATTCTTCTGATACATCGGGTGTGGGCACGTGTGCGAGTGGTGTGGTCCAGATAGGGTCCTTGAGCGAGGCTGGGCCATAGAAGTCGAGTACAGCAGCAACTGGGCGGGAAACACCGTATGCCTAGTATATGAGCTACGATCTGCCATGTAGGGGGCCGCAATGTCAATACATACCAATCCCAGAGCCAAGTGACCTCCAGAGCTCGTACCAAAGCCCATGACACGATCTGTATCTACTCCAAACTTTTCAAAGCCGTGCGCCCTCAAAGCTTGATAGAGTCCTCCGTCATAAACCCAAGCCAAAGCATCTCTACAGTCTCGTAACGGGCCGTCGAGAATACTGACTTGTGGGCAGAGGCGATGATCTAGGGCAAGGACAATCCAGCCACGATCAAGACAGTTTTGGACCTGATCCTTGTTGACCATGCTTGAGGATCCCAGCATGAAAGCCCCACCATGGATGTTAAGGATCACGGGATACTTGGTAACTGTTGATGGAGTAGACGACGGGAGGTAGACATCCGTCTCGATCTCCAGGTCGGGTAGTGTCTTGTAAGGAACGCGGAGGGTAGCATTGAGTGAGGCCATGGATCACAAACGTGGGTAGAGAGGGTCTAGATGAAAGATAAAAGATACAAACAAGCAGGTATTAGAACTACGAGGCGCCACCATTTCCAACAAGCGAGCGGTCAGGTGACATAGTAGTTGTACACCGCATTGCACATAACAACTCAGGACAATCACAGCCACTCACATTTCAGCTCATGTCCGGAACATCCGTCTTGGACTTTCCCCCAAGCCTGTGATTCTTCATTGCGTGGCTTCCGAACGAACGTCCATTCACAGAGGTGGATCTAGTCGGATCTTCCGGATAGCATCGAATTGCTCAGCTTGTCCCCACGCTCTGATCAGGAAAAGCCGTGCCAACAGGAATCCGAGCTGGATAATCAAGCAACAGAAGCTTTACTGCAACAGGCCCACTTGTTTTCGCGCAGACTTAAGCTTTCGCAAGGCAGCAAAACCCGGCGGCTTTTGTAGAGGGAGCGGTTGAGGGGCACGGGAGACGACGGACTCCAACAATCATACACCAACGTAGTTAACGAACTGTTAAAGAGCCTGTACGGGCACAAGTACACAGAACGTCTCTTCATAAGTCATATCAGCAGCAATACTCTATCACAATGTCTACTTCAACATCTTCCAAAGCCATTCCCACCCATGATTCACCTCCCATCCCACCCGCGTCCACCAGCACATACATCATCCCGCAGCTCTCCGGCGAGCTCGTCTCAATCCCGGGCTCCAAATCCGTTTTCCGCATTCTCGCCTCCGAGAAACAAACCGGCGACGACTCCATCGGCGTCTTCAGCTCCGGTGGCGCCCTTGCCGACGCCCCTGGCTTCCACCACCATGAGCGTGCACACGACATCTTCATGGTGACAAAAGGCGAGCTGAAGCTCTGGGTTGGCGACTCATGTCGAATCCTCCAAGCCGGTGATTTTGCGAGTATACCACCGGTATGTCCCTGAAGCCCTCTTTGCTTTTGCCCAATTACGCTTTTTCTTCGATACGACCATGCCTCAGCTGACAGCAGCAACAAGAAAATAATCCACAACCCGCACCTCCTCGGTCCCATCACCGAAACGTACGGCCTGATCCACCCGTCCTCCTGGATCGATTTCTTCCGCTACGTGTCCGAGCCCACCGACATCCCCAGCATCATCTATCCAGAGCAAGACTCGCGCTCCTTGCCCGCCCTGCTCGTCCCCAAAGTCATCGCCGCCGCAAAAGCCGGCAAGGACTACGATGTGCATTTCCACCGCGAGCATGTCGGCTGCGAGGTCGCTCCCTGGTCCGATGCAGACACCGTCCTGCCCGACGGCGAGGCGCCCTACTACCTGCGCGCAAACCGCGGCCCGCGCTGGATCCTGGGCGGCGTGGTCAGTAGGCCGTTCATCACGGGCACGCAGTCGAGCGGCAAGTTTGCGATTACGAGTCTAGAGGGCTCGAGCCACTTGGACGCGGGGCTGAATCCGCTGGCGGCGCCATTGAGGTATGCGGTGCATCATGTGCTGGTGGTCATGGAGGGCAAGGCGACGATAAACGTGGAGGGATATGCGCCTGCGACACTGACGGAGGGCGAGACGGTGTTTGTGCAAGCGGGCGTGGCGTGGGGCGTGGTGTTTGAGAGTCGGTTTGTGAGGATTTGGAGTTTTTCGAGTGGGGATGGGGTGGAGAGGGTGATTGAGCGGGCAGGGAGGCAGTATACAGAAGGATATGTGGTGCCTGACAAAGCTGAGTCTTGGGATGCTCAGAAGTTTGAGGAGGTGTGTAAGGAACTACAGGTTAAGGCTGCTTGATTGTTGGATAGACACATTACGATATACTACCTACAGCAATGCTTTGGCACTTCGGCAATACTTTGGTACGGTACATAACACAAAACTTCACGCTATTTGCATTTCTGTGCCCATGTGTCTGACGAAAGAGGAAACCTATTCGGCGTCCGTCGTTAGATATCGTGGTGTTTTGTAAACCTTTTCACGCATTTCCGCGTCAACATTCACACGTCACAGACGGGCTTATTTGGACCATTTAATGAATACTGTATGCGAATCCTCTTGCTTCCCGCACCAATCACACAATTGCAAAAACAGGAAGCAATCCAGGACGTCGGAGTGTCCACATCATTGTAAATCTTTTTCTCCCGGTCAAACTATGTGTATAAAATCTCAGCTTGTCACGCACAGGACCCCACGATATCTTATGTTATTGACATATTACGTTAAATGCTATATCAAGACTATAAGGCTTTAGGCAGACGAGACAAAGCATTCAGCCTATCACACTGGCTCTTCGAACCATCGCAACTCAGTGCTCCACCTCCCGAGGTAGCCACTTTTCCGTAACAATTCTGAGTCTTTTACCCCAAACCCAGATCGGGATGACCATCAACGAAAACAGTCCCATTAGACCGCCAAAAACACCAAAAGGTACCGCCGGACCAGCAGACGTAACCCACTCGCCGACGAAGAATGTCCATGAGAAAGCGACGATGGCACGCATAGTTGTTACAGCGACGAAGCAGTCCCCAGAAACGGCGTTGTAGGACTCGATCAACTATCATTCAAGTCAGCGAAATCCATCCGGAGTGTGTCAAACAGCAAAGTAGACTCACATAATTGAACCCAACGCTTGGTGCCTGCATCAAGCCAAAAGCCAACATTCCAAGTCCGACTTCCATTCCGACCCATGCCTTGGGCAGAGAACTCCACGCGCTAAAGCCAAATGTCCACAATCCACAAGTCGCCAGGAACAAACCTGGCAACGTTACCGGGAGTCGGTCCTCTGCCTCGGATAATCCATGGCTCCCGTGCTTCGCTTTGGATGTAAGAGCATGATCTACGCTGAGATACGTAGCTGCGGCACCAAGAACCGAACCAACGAGACCACCGACGTTGATGAGACCAGCGTTTGCGCCCCAGAGGTACGGGGGCGAGGCAACGATCGTGGGGCCGACCGTCGATATGGCGACGATACCACCAACGAGACCTGCATACCAGAACATGACCAGCCACACGCCAGGCAGGCGGAGAGTTTTATACGGAGCAAAAAAGCGGCGCAATAAGCCTGGGCGGTATGTACCGATTTTGAGCGATCGAAGAAAAGAGTAGGAGCCCGTGATCTCATTATGATGGGTTGTAGTCTGCTCAAGGCGGATATCTGGAACCTTCTCGTGTGTGTCTAAGGATGGTTCTTGTCTGCTGTTGAGACCTAAAACCTTCTGCCGGTCAAACATAGTCTCTGGCGCGAGGAAGAAGCACAGGACAAGTGTGATCGCGGCTAAAATTACGTTAATCCAATGGATCCATGGAATCCCCATGTTACCCGCAATATAGCCTCCTGATATCCCACCGACTAAAGAGCCGGTCAAAAGGAAAATTGTGTATACGCCCTAGGGGATGCGTCAGTGAAGGAAATGACATACAAGATTCTCTTTGCTTACCATTGCTCGTCCTGTCTGGTGAGTGAAGAAGATCTCCCCAACTACGTCAGGGGATACTGGGAGGGAGACATTAGCTCGATCCTATCACACGGTAGGTTTCTTGAACTAACCAGCTTCTGAAGGAGCTTGTCCAATACCCATGAAGACGCGAGCGGCAAGGAGACTACTGAAGCTTGTTGCTAAGCCCGCCCACATAGATGAGAAAACGAGGAGCACCAGGCTGATCAGGATAACAGGCCGGCGGCCAAACGTGTTCGCCAATGGGACCCACCAAATGTTCGCAACACCTTGCATGAGAACATTGACAGCGATCAGTTGAGAAAGTCTTGAAAAAGCCACAGGCGGATTGAAGGCTAGCGGTGTCGCAAGGAGCGGGAGCGCGCTGGCAATTGACGAAGACGCGAAGTTCCCGATGAAAGCGTCTATGGACATGCAAAGAAGGATGGCTATCTTACGCCACATGGGCCAATTCAGAGGATCTGCTGCATCGGAAGACGGTTGAGGCACCAAACGCAAATGATGGATATGGCCGGGCTCATCGTCAAAGCGCTGGGCTATGTACAATGTCAGTGAAACGAAATAGACTCTATTGGTGGCATGGTAGTACCGATCAATCTGGAAGTCCCAGGGGGTGTTGCTTCCGCCAACTCCTGCTTCGACAACGAAAAGGCGTATTTGAAGCTCGCCATGATGTGCGGATGTTCAAGATCGAGAGCACATCAGACCATCAATGGCAGATTGAGATGTATAAATAAAACTACTGCTGAAGCGTAAACCATAGCCCAGACCATCTCGCATAATTGCTGGCCTGAGTGTCAAGTGTCCCCTGTCACAGGTTAATCGTGCGGGAGCTAATCCTTTCCGTGTATTCTACCCCATGGGGGTGGCTGGCTTTGCATCGAATGAAGACGTGGACAGTTTCGTGCAGAACGACTCCACATGTTCCGGCAACAAGCGACGGTAGATCAGATCACAAAGATCATTCATGCTGCATAACGGGTATGCTCAGGCTATGCGGAAGAGCCGAAGTGGTCGATTCGGTAAGGATGAAGCATTTCGGAAATGCCGGCCCCACAAGGGAGAACGTACACCCATGCCCTTGCTGAAGCCTGATTCGTACTCCTCCCGTCCGCTACGGCGTCAAGCCGGAAGCGGTCGAGATCGGCAAACAAGGTTCGAGATGATATGCCTTTCTCGAGACACATCCGCTTGCAATTGTCGCGAGTGTTTGATTGCATGCCTCTGATGCGCTATTTTATAGTAGCTAGGGTGACACCCTGGACGAGCCGAGGCTACCGACCGCTAAGATCAAGCGGTTTGATATGATAACAATCATGACACGGCGGCGACGCTCATTTGGTATCTGATTATAGCTATCAGGGCCCACAAAACCGGTTTGTGTATTGCCATCGTTCTACTGCATAATCACGCGTGGCAGTGCTGCTGTATCGGATCAATCAAATGCTGAGTGTGGGTGTGGATGTCTATACTTACAAGCAGGCGGATGTACTGAAACTGTTGTTCAAATCTTCGGCGCACATGATAGATGTTGGCTGATGAGATGGTAGACGGAGTTAATCCAGGTATCAATCCAAAGACACGGGGGTGACTTCCGAGGAATAGGCGACGCGACGCGTTCACATTGACGTTGAACCTTCCGCTTTGTAGGGACAACATTTCCCCAGTATTGTTGTATCACATCCCATTAAACAATGTCGTCCGCCTCGAAACACCCTCCATGAAAAGACCACGCAAGCGGAAGACTTCAGAACCCTCATTTCACGGTCATACAATCTACTGACCCACATCACTGCGATCAAGGCTGACGATGACGACCACTGGCACGCAAAATGCGTCTAATGCACTCAAAATCCTATGGGACCGACTCTCGCTCTGGAGCTATAATTTCAAGACACAATCCCACGACACTTTTTCCCGCATGCGCTGGGAAGACTACATACGCCTCGTCGCCGTTCTTGGTGCATACATTCTCATTATCCGCCCAGTTCTCGTGAAACTTGGGGCGAGACATCAGATGCGAGAGCTCGAACGGCAAGAGGCAAGGGACAAGAATCTCGGTAGCAGCAATGTGAACGACCAAGGCTCGCAGCACTCCGCGAACAGTGGGACGACCGGTACAGATTCGGCGGTGGATCCGGCGGTGCGTCACAGACAATTAATACGCAAGGCTTTGCTAGAACACGAGGAGAACTTGCGAGCAACAAGGGAGGAAGAAGACGACGACGATCAAGACATCGATGAATTTCTTATAGAATAGACTATGGTCTTGGCTGCTAATTGGTGTTGGTCGTACTACAGCCTTATGGTTGCATTATACAGTTAGAGATACCGTGGATAGAGATACCTAATCATACCTTATATACAAAGTACGTACGAGACAATGGATATCAGCTTATAATCACTTTGAAAAAGCACTTGCGCACCGACTTAACCATTATTTTTGCTGTATACTTATAAGCTGTTGATATGGATTATTCAACCCAAAACTGTCTAGCGCCAAATAGCTATCGCGAAACTTCACTTTCGTGACAATGTATAATAGAAAAAGTCCATCCCAACACACAACCCTCACGACACCTTCGCGTTCGCCTCTACGCCAATTACACTGTTGACCGTCCGGAATATTCTGATCATCTACTGTTAAGGATCGGACGCACTGCACCGCGATACCCTCCCGCGAACCATTCCACGAACCCATCAACATCAATCCACCCTGTCTATCCTCAGCCGCGCAACAGCGCAACACAACCACTACCCTACACTTAAACGATACAATGCCGCGCCCATCACCCAAAGCCCTCAATCCATTGCGCGCCCCACAATCATACTTCCGCATCTACCTACGGCGCTCTGCCATCGGGCTGCCCGCCAAACAGGCTGGTGTGCTGGACGCATTGGGTCTGCGCCGACGCACAGCGACTGTATACCATCCGGTCACACCGGACGTGGCAGGTCAGATCTTTCGTGTGAAGGAATTGGTCGATGTCGAGGAAGTAGATCGTCCTTTGGATAAGAAGGAGATAAAGGCGCGGAGGACGCCGGCGACAGGGTACTATGTGGAGAGTAGGGCGGGGAGTGCATGGGCTGATGAATGAAGGGTTTGATGGAAAAAGAACGAACAGGACACCAATGAAAGACATGGGGTCTGCCGGACCGACATTGGAAGAGTGTAGATGTAATATAGTGGCTGTTTGAGAGCGTCCCAGATTTCCCGGAGATCTTAAGAGCGTCGTTGCTATGATTTGTAGAGGAACTCGTGCGGTGCAGATCAAATTGTTTGTATGTACTATTTACAATGAATACACCTGAAAACCACGATCTCTAATCTTCCCACGGCTTTGGGTATATTCGTAATAGCATCCGCTCGCCTGCGACTTCATTACTGGCTTCTAAAGATGGGACTTCTCAGACAGAGTACTGAGGCTCGACAAACACCACCACCTTCGTTGAAAAGTCAGGTATCGGCCCATAGAACCTTGATTTCGTCTTACATATGAAGGAATCCCCTTGCATGTGGAAGAGTAGTTCTTACGAGGTACAATTGGCAGTGTGCAGAAATTCACCAAAAGTTCTGCATTGGTCTGTACTCGCCGGGATCAGTAGTACTCATAATGAGCGTCTGTCATGGTTGTCTGAGTTTATGGACAGGGTTTTCGAACAGCTTGACTACTGCGCCTGGAAAGTTGATAGCTAGTTCGATCGTGACCGAACACTTACCGTCGAATAAACCTTCTCAAAGGGGTGAAAAGAGCCATATACCTGTCATGATCATTTCATCACCACTCGCAATTATGGAGAGAGACCAGAGAGCAAGGTGAGATGTAGCGAAGCTGTTCGTCCAAGGTTAGCAAACGATGTGCGTCACCAGGTAGCAGTTGATCGAATGTCTGGCACTGAAAATTCCAGTGAGTATATATTATTTTGTTCAGTAGTTGCTTTTAGCCATGTCTTCGTGTCATGCTATCTGGTGATAAGCAAATATATACTTAAAGAATCTCAATTGTACCATCAAGACTGCTCGCGTGACCACATGTTCCTCAACGGGAATATATGGTCAGCTGCCGGCGGTAATTTACAAGCCCTGGGTGTCTCATAGTGGAGTTGCGCGGCTCATCTTTAGTAGGCGCTGGACACCGACCTGGGGGTATAATTAGCACGTTATTATGAATGGAGTAGCATGCATCCTACCATCCAATTACTACCTTCATCGTTCTTCACCTTGATGATATCGGTAATTATAGCAGTTGCTTGTTCGTAATTGCGGCCTTGGAGAGCCTGCGCCAATTCTCCCATCTGCTGCACAGTGCCAGGTTTGACAACGTCCTCATTGTTCAGGTGGTCGAAGAGTATGTTCAACCGTTTTTCTGTATCTAAAACCTGAGGCTTGAATGAGGCTGGCGCTTTGGATTTCACGCGCTGCATGTCTCCACTTAGGATCTCAAAAATGGGTTGCGCTGGCGGGGGAATATGTGACCGATCTCCGGGAGCTAGGTGTTGTTAGTTAGGATACTGGATCATCATCAATATATCATGGGACTTACGATACTTGGCAGCAGCTGGTGGAGGGGTAGGTACGGCTTGGGGTGGTCCGGAAGGTGGCCTCTGAGGTGGTCCAGGAGGTGGTGCAGCCCGTGGGGGTCCCTGTGGTGGGCCTCGTGGCGGTCCCGATGGGGGTGGTGCCTGAGCAGAAGCCGGTCCAGGTCCTGGCTGAGGTGCATACTGTGATGGTGCTGCCCCATAATAGTTCTGGGGTGGGGGTCCTGTAGCTCGAGGCGTTGGAAGACCACCTGGAGGGGGAGTAGGTTGTGATCCCGGGGCAGGGGCGTAACGATTGGAAGACGGAGCGGCTGTGGATGGCGGAGGGTTGTATGGTGACGGTCCACGGGGCGGCGCTTGAACCGGTGGCGCAAAGCCAGTCTGGTTCGGCGACTGTGTAGGGGGAGCATACGCATTCGCTGCGGACGATGATGGACGGGGAGGAGGTTGAAACGTCTGAGGAGCCGAAGGTGGTGGTCCTGCACCACCTAAAGGTCCTTTCGGAGGAGGTGGTGGAGTCGGTCTTGACTGCTGAAAGCCTGTTGGCGACATCATAGGGGGAGGCCCAGTAGTTTGTTGATTCCCGAAAGGTCCTTGAACAGTAGGCGTGTTACGACGTGGCGGGGGTATCTTGGGTCCGAAATCGGGTGTGTCATTCCACTGAGCGATGTCTTTGCGCTGAGCAGCGGGTACCACTGATGGTGAAGATGTAAACCCGCGAGGGGGTGGGGGAATACTCTGTTGCTGGGGTGCTTGATAGCCACCATAACTTGGCTGGGGAATGCCAGGCGCTGTAGCAGGAGCGTAAGCATTGGGAGTGTAGCTTCTCGCTCCTGGAGCAGGAGGATAAGGATTTGTCGCCTGCTGAGCTTGAGACGCGTATGCTGATACCGTTTGCTGTTGTACTGGTGCATATGGCGATGGTACAGACTGGGTGGGGGCTGGAGCTGGTTGGGTTTGAGCATAGCTTGGTACTACCCGTTGTCCACGCTGAGCCTGAGTAACAGCAGGCGCTGGCTGGTTCTGGACAGTAGGAGTTGCTTTCGTTGTTGCTTGCTTCACGCGATTGCGAGCAACATCCGCCGCTGGGTACTTGGCCGGAAGCAAGTCGAGGTACTTTTCAGCAACGTGCAACTGTCCATGCGCTGCAACAACATCAGCATACTCAGTATACTTCGCATAAAGAGCCGCCAGTTTCCAGTCCTCGGCCTGATTGAGCTGCTCGTCCCGGAAGCCAGTGACCTTCCTAAAGATGGTGACTTTTTCGATAAAATCCTGGAGAGATTTGGCGTGGACAAAGAAACTTGTCTCTTGTTCAGCTTCTTCCAATCCTGCATTCTCATTCTCCTGTAGCTCTTGTACCCAGTTCGTGACAACCTTTTCAAGCTTGGAACCTGCCAAGTAACAGAAAGATGCGTCACGACGAAGAGACTTCCTATCAGCCGCATCGGCGTATGCCTCTTCGAGTCTATCACCAAGCGCTTCGCACAGATCAGGAAACTCAGACGCATCGGCAAAAGTGCAAACAGTCGCCATCACTTCCTTCCAGTTATCGAGATTGGCGTTATGGACAGTGTCCCACAAATTCTTGCCCACAACGGAGGCTAGGAGGCGCAGGTAATTGGGTCCCTGTGCTTTACCTTTAAAATACGCGGCTTGTGCTCTGGCTATACACTCTTGACCACCACAAATAGCAATCATGAAGGCATCGGACATGCGGTCTTCTTGTAAGCAGACATCGAGAGCCCGATCGAAGTTTCCCAGAATCAAATATTGTGTAATCCTCTTATCGGCTTCAGATTCTTGCCCGCTATACAGATTGAATGGATTGTTCGTCCGCGCTCCTTTAGTAGCTGCAAGATCGGAGAGGAAACTGTCAACGTCACCACCATCAAAGAAAGCTGACCCGTCCTTGTCTTCGGCTTTGCCGTTGACCTCCACTTGTGATTCTTCAGGCGCGACAGCAGCATCAGCGAAGCCTAGATAATCTACGAGCTTTTTACGGGCGTTGCCGGTGATCAGCGTCTCGATGACAGTCCAATCAGCCTTCTCTTCGTCCGTGCGAGCAGTCGATATCTTATCTTCGCAAATCTTGGCCAAATCACCTTCTTCCAAGGTCTTTTCAAACCTTTCCGTAGCAATTCCTACCGCTGCATCTGCTGCGAACGTGGATATAGTAATCTTGGATTGACTTGAACCGAGCTCCGTTGTAGACAGCTTCACGAGCTTGCCACCGAAGCCGAATGAGACGCCTACAGGTCGCCGCAACCACTTTGGCGCTTGTGGCAAGGAGAATGTATCTCCCTGTGGTAGCGTCTGGGCGCTGGCAAAAAAGTCTTCTCCGCTGAGAGACTGACTAGTCGTGGTCGTAGCCTTGTCGTCTTTGCGGGTGCTCTGTATCGTCTGTACTGCGATCCTCCCATCAAATGATGCTGTAGCAATGAGACCTGGATTATGAGGGTTGAACCTGGTTTGGAAAGTCCAATTTGTCACAATTGGAAACTCTCCAAGAGCCTGCCCGGTGTGCGGGTTCCAGCAAATCGTCTTGTTATCCTTACCGCATGACAGAAGGAGATCACTATCATGTCTACACCAGTCTAAGGATAAGACGCCCTGTTCATGTGCCTTCAGTATTTTCTCCGGCGCGTTCGAATTCCTTAGGTCCCACATGAGAATTAAGGGGTCCATGTCGTTCGGCACGGCAGTTATTAACCTGGTTGGAACGTTGGGATCCCATGCAACCGCGCTGACGGCTTTTCTTCCATAGTTGTTCAATGTGAGGTTCTCTTTCTTCTCTTTCACGTTCCAGACCGTGACAAAGCCACCGCTACTACCGGTAGCCAATATGTGGGGGACCTTCTTGTTCCAATCGATTGCTTCAATATCATCTGCTCGCGCGGCGGAGGAACCTAGCCGGAAGGAGCTGGATGGATTGGTAACGTCCGTGATGTAGAGCTCGCCTTTGGCTCCGCCAGTTGCGAGGAGCTCCGGGCGGAACGGGTTGAACTGGAGGGCTTTGATGGGCCCGGTGTGCTTATCAATACGTGTGATATGCGAGTCGCTGCCTCGATTAGTCTACTCCATCGTCGTCTGTATCCTTAGACTCTCACCTTGCATTCTTAAGCAGCTTCTCGGCATCCCACAAATCGAGTGAACCATTTTCGAGTGCGCCCGCAATTATGCCTCGAGGATGGTCGTTAGTTGGTTGGGACCAAGCAATGTCATGAAATCTACACAAGTTAGTGTCAACATCATATCTTGTGGCTTGCCGCAATTGTCATTCTACGTACCTCGAATCTGCAGATATGCTTGCGATAGGAGTAATTTCTGCTCCCTGTGCGACGTTGTCCAGAGCCAATTCCCAGAGCTCCAGAACTGTCTCATTTGAAAAGTCCGCATCTACAGCTCCTGCTCTTGTACCCGTGGCAATCAGCGGGGCCTGCGCACCTGGGGACCACGCAAAGGTGGCCGTGCGTGGGATCTCTCGCAAGCGCACCATCACGAAAGTGTGGAGGAGGGGTGGAAGTGATCAAGGTGGCCGATCCAGTGTGTGGGTAGGGGATCGTAGGGTAAGCGGACGAGGTAGAGGTAAGAGATTCAATTGTGGTGGTTGCCTACTGGTTGTGCAGCAAGCGTCTTTGAAATGTAAACTGTGTCTATTGTCAACTGCTCAGGTCGGTTGGACCCCTTCCACGTGACGTAGGGAAGACCCACGCAGATTGACTTTCTATCAAGATACATCAACACAAGTTTCATCGTAACACCGATGGTCCAAAAAAAAGTGACAACGACTACAGAATATAAAGATGACTGAAAGATCAACTGAGCGAACGGTCTATGTCAGCGGCCTTGACAACAGCGTGACATCGCATACTCTACATGCAGCTTTTGTGCCGTTCGGGGAGATAGTCGATATATCTCTGCCAAAACCAGACTTGCCGTCTTCAACGGAACCACATCGAGGATTTGGCTATGTTGAGTTTGAGCATTCGGATGACGCGAAAGAGGCCATAGACAACATGGATCAAAGCGAGCTATATGGGCGTGTCATTAAGGTCGCACAGGCCAAGCCCCAAAAAGATGCGTCGGAGGGACTAGGTAGTAAGACGGCAGTTTGGCAGCAGGTATGTCACAAGGTGCATTTTAATCATGGATAGTGCTAATTGCCACTTAGGAGGGTTGGCTCGCAAAACACGCCGTCAGTGAAGAAGACCGGCAAGCGACTGAACAGGCGCGAGAGCGGTCACCAGCACCGGACCCAATGCAAGGTCTGGAGGAGTTGGACGTTGTGGGCCCAAAGCCCGAATGAGAAGCCAACCGGCATTTTGTCACTCTGGATTCTTTCGCAGCAATGCTAGGAGTTGTGGCGTATGAGATATGGTTTGGCCGACTAGTAGCTTCTCCGTCCATCCAAATCTTTACAGTAGCTCTTCCAGAGCTATACAAAAAGTAAAAGTATAAACTAGTGATCACCGCGAGGGCCTTGTCGGGTAAGTCGAAGGGTCTTATCGGTGACCAAATGACGACCGAGGGAGTAGGCGGCAGCGCCCAATGCAACGCTACTCTCGTGAGAATACGACCGGGAAACGCAAGCCGTGAAGCGGAGGTTTGATACTTACGCAAGAACAACACCTAGGGGATAGTTAGTTGGGCAGATGAGTGAAGGGACAAGCTTTGATTATAGACTCACCAAGGGGGATAAGCTCTGGAGGGATCTTCTTCAAAGTACGGATGCGCTGGGAAATAGTGTGTGCTGTACGGCAGCAATGGTCAGCTCTCCTTCATTCTTTAATCCGCAGATATCTAAGGTAGTTCGTATGTGATCCAAAGCGCGTGTGACATACCGCTGTGCTCCTCTTTCTGTTTCTTCATTAGCAACCCTTCGATGATAGTATGAGCGGGACTACAAGAAGTTTACCGGGACGGGGCGCATCATCCGAGGTGAAGCCTGCATGCGCATGATACGCGTAGGCTGCATCCTGAGTATTCTAGAGGACTGCATAGTGTCGATGGGAGTGGAGAGTTGTATGGAAAGCAATTGGTAGAATGAGGTTATGATCCAAGAAGCTCTCGCCGCTCCATATCCGCGATATGGACAATCACGTGCTAAGCCGAGCTCCGAAAGAACCCCCAGAGCTCCTTTGACCTCACCACAACCACATCCTCTATACCGGTCTCCCGTAACGCCCGCCCATTGACCAATCCGCAGTTTTCCTACCATTCTGCAATCATGTCGGACGACGAGGAGCGTGTGACCAAGCCATTTATGTTCGTTACTGGTAAGCAGCCCTGGTCTTGAATTGCGGACTGAGCACTAATCGTACCATAGCCGGTATGTTCACGATGCAGGCCTACTTTCTCGACAATACTCTACCACAGTCCTTATGTTCACCACTACGAACGACTTGATCGATATATCACCAGTGCGCACGCGTATACAAACTAATCCTCCCCCTCGCATAGGTTTCGACGCCCGTTTTCCGAACCAAAATCAGACCAAGCATTGCTGGCAGAACTACGTTGACTACTTCAAATGCATCAACGCTAAGGGAGAAGATTTCAAGCCTTGCCGCCAGGTACATATACCCTTAGTCGTGTGAGACGAAGATTGGTGGACTTCCAGGAGTGTGCAACAACAAAAGTCCGGTCTGCAGTCGACCACGACAGGCGTCGCAGTCGCTACTCCGTGATATGATACGACTCGGCGCGAGATGGATAGATGCATGACACATTGGCTAACAACAAGTACAGTTCTTCCATGCCTATCGCTCCTTATGTCCTCGCTCTTGGCATGAAAGATGGGATGAGCAGCGTGGTGCGTACATCGACTGTTATATGGACTTACCGTCACGACTATACTAATAGACACGCAGAAAATGGCACTTTCCCAGCCCGGCTGGACGAGTAAACAAATATTTCATTTGTCCAAGTGTGGTTGTAGACACGTGGAAGGCGGACCAGTCAAATCATCCTCTGTATCATATGCACACCACCCGAGCAGTATAGAGCTTTCCACAATTCCATGACTACTTTCAGCGGGACAACTTTGAGTGAGACCACCATATCGAACAGTCCTACAGTACTGTACCGTACTATATCACTTCTCCAGATCGCTTGAACTACTGATCAACTCTATCCCATTGCAACCTCGAATAGTTGCCCAGTAGAGTCCTAAGCAACCCGTTTTTCTCTTCGTTTTCATCCCCGGTTCTCGCCAGTGCCATTGCTTTCACGGCCCACAACTGACAAGCTTCGTCATCGCCCGCACAATATGCATCTACGCCCCGATTGAATGCTGTGGTCGCCAGCCACTCTAGCTCAACTTTAGGATATACGTTTCCATGCGCCTTCAACCGCTCCGCCGTACGGGTGGCCTGATCGAGACACTGCAGACTAACCTTTTCGTCAATATTGACTGCAATCTGAAAGAGGCAACGAATCCAGCGTGCGAGTTTCGTTATATCCTCTGTTGAGGGGTCCGTCGTGGATGATGATGCTTTCCAGGCTGCATTGATGACCTTCTGTAGAGATTTGAGGACGTGCGATTGATGCGTTCTGCCAGCTTCAGAGTGCGAGAGTGCGAGGTCTGTTACGAGAGTAGAATGTATGAGGAGAATAAGGTCGGCTAAGGTGGCGAGGTGCGATGAGACGTCAAATGTGAAAGCAGAGTCGAGCAGTTCGTCAATGGAGGACCAGTCGGCGAGCTTTAGAAGGGCTTCAAGTTCATAAGTGAGCACCTGAGTGTGTTTCGCAACAAGGTCGTCGCGGGCTGTCGGTGCAAGCTCGGACACCGCGGACAGTTGTGTATAGACCAACTCACGGAATATCTTTCCATGTTTGCGAACAGAGAGATAGTTGTTCAGGGACTGTTCTGAATTGTCATGACTGCGTGCCACGGTAAGGTATGCTGTGGTAGCAAGGTAATGACAGAAAATTTTGCGGAGTAGCAGCCCCCTTTCTGATTTCTCGGCGCACTTTGCTTCAAGGAACTCGACAAATTGAACGCATACTAAGAGCAGTTGACCTAGGTGTTCGGGGCTCATTCTGGCGCAATATTTCAAAGCCAGGTTGTAGCTGGACTTAGAGAACCACTCCAACTCAGTCACTGTGAAGTCGCTTGCGGAGGTCTTGTTCGGTTTTTTGCTTGCTTCCTTTGCCGCCTTCAATGCACCCTCAAATAGACTGAGCAGAGCCTTTACCGCTTGCTTATCGAGGTCCTCTTCAGTCTCAAACTGTTTTATAAGCAAGCGAATTGCACATCTTAATAGGATAGCCAGATGTACACCTTCTGGAACGTTATAGTTATACCGCTCGACGACTTTCTGGAGAGCCATGGTCGCTTGGCGTTTATCTCCAGCTTTTTGAGCCTCAAGTATACAAGCATAGAGAATGGTGGCGTCCTTGTTCGACGCCTTGCTAACTGCCTCTAAACATTCGATAGCTTGCTCTTCTTGATTGCTGCGTAATGCGACTTTGTACATTAAATATTGCGTGATCCCGGCAAGCTTCCCGGTCTCTGTCATTGTAAAAAAAGTACGACGAGCATCTGCATAGTCTTGAATGGCGAGGGAGCAGAGGATCATCTTTCGAGAAATCTTTGCTTTATTCATCTCTCCAGCATTCTCAAAAAGATTATGCAAGGACATATTGCACCAAGTCCGCGAAGACTCATATCGCTGCTGACTATACGATGTCTCTATCTTTCTCCACAGTAAAGTCTGAGCTGCGTGTGTTGCTATCGCACTGAATGGCTGCTGTAGATTGTTGCGGATGAGATCGAGAAATACCGAGAATGATGCAAAATGTTCATCGCTGTCAGGCGTTTGGGAGTCAACCCATATTCTTGTAACGCATGCCTTCTCCAGATATTTGTGTCGATCCGGTTCACAAAGCCTTTGCAGAATCAACTCGTCCAGGACGGTACAAGCGCTTTTCGTATCATCCTTACTCTTCAAGTAGTGTATGTGATGCATAAGAGTTTTGAAGTTGGTGTCAGTTATCACGAGACTTGGAACCATACGTAAGAGTGCTGCGACAATGTAAGCTGCCCAGACCGGCTATTACGCTGAAATGAACGGACTGCTGGAGTAGGTGGCAGTGTCAGGGCTTCTTTCCGTTGACATCATCTCAAGTTTCAAGAGCAAGACTACCATTTTGTCCGTGAAGTCCTAGACGTATGGTCGGTAAGATCATTTGACAGGAGCAGAGACTGAACGTACGGACTCCATCAGACGTAACAAATCCCAAGCTCTGCGACGGGAATCATTCTCATTCAATGTGTGGAGAGCCTTGACTACGCTCTAAGTTAGCATTCTTAGTCACATATTCCATAGACATCGTACCAAGACTTTGTAGGATACTTAGTCTGAGCTCTACAGAATCGGCGCTCAGCTGGTCCACATCTTGCGCAGAGAGCACGTCGTGCGATCTTTCCAGCCACCTCACGGCTAAGTCATATTGTTTCCTACACAAACAGTCTTTCCCTATCTCCAATAGCAAGTCGGCGAAGCTCTCGGCTGCACCAGGGTCGAGACTCCCGACTGGATGCCCCCCCTTGGAAAACATACTTTCCGCAAGATCAAGACGTGACTGCTTCCACGCCTAGTCGATTGTTCAGCCTGTCTCACTTATGCCCAATATCAACTTACAAGTGCTATCCTAATAGCATAATACTCGACTCTCAATTTCGCGGGCACATTTCCTTGCTCACACATCGGGTCGTCTGCCTTCTCTGAAGCATTGACATAGTCCGCCGCTCTTTCCAAAGCTTTTAAGGAGAGCTCCAATTCCCCTGCTTCGATACAGAACTTGGATGCCTTCAGTGCCACCTTCAATACCCTGACCGCATTATTGCCCATTGAACGCGATTTCGTAGTCTGCTGCCCATAGTCAAGCAGAAGAAAGGCAAATACACGGAGGAGACACAGTGTTCGCTGTTTGTCCTTTTCTGTGCTCATGCCTTCACGGTGCATGCGAGTGGAGAGGTTCCATAGCTCAGTCCCCATGGAGTCCAGATCCTGCTGTTGCGTCGCCGAAACCACTGACACGTTCAGAGGGACTGATGTGACGTGTTTGTGCAAGTCATTGCGAATGGAGGTGCTGTAAATGTCGTTTTCGAGGCGTGCAGGGAGGCTCCGAGCAAATGCTATGGGAATGTCCGTCAATCGCAGTGAAAGTGAACAAAATGGTACACTTACATAGTAGGGCTTTAATCTTTTGGTCCTTTGCGCTTTTGTTTTGAAGCATAGGCGCCATGTTGCGAATACGCAGAGATCGTGGTGCGTTAGGCTGACAAGATAAGCTCTGAAGAATAGACGTTGTCTTGGCATTCTTGATGTCTGCAACCAAAATCTTGCCTGCGACCTACAGATGGACTTTCATGAATGTAGCTTCTAAATTCTTTTAGGGGCCAGTAGAGACAAAAGTATGCCCTCTGTTAATGATCTGTTGCAGCCCTAAGCGTAAAGCTGTAGTAAGCCACAAATAAGAGAAGTGGAAAAGTGCAAAAGAAATGTACTCATACATGTCCTAGGGAGGAATCGAACTCAAGCCTGGTAGCAGGATCAATGATCCAGTGTTGCAAGAGCAGGTTTGAGCCCAACATGATACCACCCGACCACGGTAGATGATTAACTATAAGCGGCTGATATTTTTATTGTTTCGGTGCCTTATATGACCATAAAATGCTGCCTGCTCACAGTGAGCACCATGCAAGAAGAGGACTAGCGTGCACCGAATCGACGACTCTGGAAGCATCGACGGTAGATTGTACGCGGTAATGCGCTTCCCCTCTTTGTCTCCGTCAAGGGGTTCCACTCGGAGCAAACATTACCTAGCGACTTTACCAAGCCACGCTGAGAAGCATAATCCAAATGATAGAATAATTGACGCCACGCATTTCATAGCAACGATCCACCTGCACACCTACTGGAGCTTTAGGCCTTTCGTGGAATACTGACCAAATACGCCATACTCCACAAAAGTGACAGTAATTATACAGACAGCAGCGAAAGTGTAGAATATCTCTTGTTAACTCTTGAGTAGCAGTCTAAAGGAGATTGTTCATTCCGTTACCTTCTATTGGCTTTGTGTGTGTATGTAGTCGGCATAGTCGGGTATGACATGGACGAGAAAAGTTGAAACGAGCTTCGCCCAACAACGCTACGCAAACATGTGCAAGTTATTGGGGAAAGAATCACCAACATAGACAATTAGGAGATAGAAAGGATGACAGTGACTTTACCATCGGGGAAATCACAGTCGTTGCTTCTGACATCGACCTCATAGAGAAAATATGACCTACTGGGTGCTCGCTGCGCATGGCTTGAATTTGCGCGATGTGCGCAAAGGATCCGTTATAGTGCACAGTTAAAACAGACACTATTACCACAACCAAAGGATGAAGGAATATACTCAATATGTAATATGAGTGAGCTATGAAGAGTCTGGAGCCGCTATAGGAAGAAAGTTACCAACGATCAGCGATGGTCTAAGAGATCATTAGTAAGGATATTACGAAGGACTCCATGACAGCTCACATTGCATGTTGATCCCGACGTATCGTAAACGAGAAACAACATCGTATTTCTGGATCATGGGAGTTTGGGTCGGGATTTTTTAAGGAGCACGATGTTAATATGGCCTTTTGGCTCTGGTCGAAGGCTATAGAGCCAAACTTTTCCCAGTAATTGGCTAGAGAGTCCTCAACGATAATTTCGTGGATTGCAAGCTTGCCCTAGGGCATCGATTAGTCACGGATGTGCTTGGTCGGAAAGCCGGCTTACATCTCTGAGGCTTTCGATAGGCACATGAATAAGGTCTGCCATCTCTTCGTTTCCTCGGAAAATCTCCCCAGTCCTTCGCCAAGAACAAGCCGGGATGGCCATACTGGCAAAGACCCTGTCATAATCCATCAGGCTCCGCTCGAACCACATCTCCACTCTTATGAGCTCCAGATCGGTAAGTATCTGCATCCGATCTCGGAACTGCGGTCGGAACTTGTCAAGCTGTCTTAAGATCCTCTGCCTGTTGTGCGGTTGTAGATGGTGTTTCATATAGTTATTCAGTCTATCGTAGCCCTTGACATAGTTGAAGGGTTTCAAGAGACCGGCATCGTATTTGGCCTGTAGCAGGTTTTGCATTCGCTTCTCGGGTGCGTCGGTTCCCGACGGGTCGGCAGCTGTCATGTAATACTTCTCGCGTGCTTTGTCTGGCGACAGCCCACCTTGCTGACGAGAAGGTGAAATGTTCGTGGGCGCCTGGGAAGATGCATATTGTTGCTGGGCATGGGTTGCATTCGGAGGCGGCATTACGGAACTTGCTGTCATCTGACCCATAGTATTCGTCAAAGACGGATCGGAGAAGATCCCATGGATATCGTCCCCCCTATAAAGCCCGCCATCGTCCATCAGACTGTTGTTGAGAAAATCACTGAGTAAGTTATACTCGTTGTGGACTTCTGAAGTGTTGAACATGTATGATGGATGGAGGCTGTGCATGTCTTGAAAATGAGAACCCAAGTTCCAATCATTATAACCTAGGACTGCGTAACTTCTGTCAGTATCTCGAACAAGAGGCGGAAGGGTGCAACCAACGCGAGGAGTTGTTGCCGGTCAATGCTGGGCCTTGGGCGGCAGATACGGAGCCAGCCTGGCCGATGGACGATGAGCTGGCAAGAGTATCCTGCTGTGATTGCTGTGGAGCTAGGTTCAGACCTGCATGGTGGGTATTTGCACGATGATCAAGCGCAGGGAGTTCTGAGGGGGAGTCGTCTAGCTTTCCAGCCTCTGCCTCGCCATGAGTACTCTCTTGTTTAGATTTCGGCTTCTTAGTAGGCTCCTCATCATGACATAGATGTCCAATACTTCGCTTAATACAGCGCGTACATGGTCTTTCCTGCAGTACAGCCAAGAGGGATCACAGTCAGCATATGGCGAGAAATTGGCCAGGAGCATTTCCTTAGGACTCTACGTACGGTATCGCAAGTCATATGCTAGATATAAATAAAACAATACTAGTCAGCCTGTTGTGTTCCTTGGGGGGCGTCCCGGCAGGCGCCAGGCGCACGTTGCGCTGCGAAGGGCCGAAGAGATTCAAAAGATATGGAACTCACCGAGCGACGGCAGTATAAACACGCTGTGGGACAGTATTTAGCAAGGATTCAGTGCAGCATCTGAAAGACATGGCGATCCGTGGCTTACCATGATTGACCTTCCTTCGCTTCTTGGGACTCTTGCCAGTGCGTTCAGCGACAGCATGCGGCGGCGACGGCTTCTCTTTTCCAGTCGCCTCAGGAGGCTGTTCGGGTGGTCTACTGGGGGAAGCCCCTTGCTCTGGTGTCGAGGTGGACGTCATGGTCGGACTCGTGTAGCTTGAAGATCCTCTGTGGCGCTTTTTCGTGTCTCCTCGCTCGCTCGCATGCGATGTACGAGCCTGCAGCAGGCTTTGTACGCCTCGCAGGTAATGTCTCTGAATTCGGAAAGTTGCAGCAGCGAGCAGTATAGCCGCAGGGAGGTGTCGTTGGTGGTTGTTAGATGTCGGCGCGTGTTTTAGAGACGATTTAGCAGCGAAGCATTATAGGACATGGACAATCCCCGCCAGCTTCTTTCGCAATCGTCGTGTGGGCGCATCGTGAATGAGGGTTTATGAAAGCACGCGAGCGGGAATCATCAGATGGAAGCGTCTTCACGCGCGCGGGCTAAAGTGGAGTTGGAGTCAGCAGTCCCAGAGTTCGTCTACGGGAGTTCTGGAGCGGCAGGACACCCTGGTATTAGCGGGAGCCGCGGCTGGCCTGTGGCTAAAATCTCCGTGGGCAGCTGTCACGGGCACAGCGGGAGAGCTCTAACATATTACTGTACGTACTCTTTTCTAAGTGATTAGTGGTGCCCTATTGTTCTGTCCGCCCTCCATACCGAGGCTTGTACACGTTGTTTACTAGCGTGATTCGTCCATGTATAAATATCTACATACATCTCATGTGATCCCTTGTTCTCGATCTCGACAGACTCATAAAATGATGTCGAAGGGCCAGGTGCATTCAAAAGCTGTGGTAGCTTTTCCAATGTCTGCATCCCTACCCGAGCAGGGTACATGGTATTATGATGGCCTGATGTGTGATGATGATCACAGTGTGTTTGTCTGTCCAGGGCTTTTGGTACTCAATCTTTGGACAATTTCATGCTAATATGCACGAAGACAGATAGTGGAATGTCAACAGTCCATAAAAGGTCGTCTACGGACAAAAGACAAAGTGATACCCGGTACTTTGACACTCATGCGAAGACCAGGAAAGGTTCGAGACCTCGTTATTCCACATTTGTTAACTGTCGGGTGTGGTAGAGGCCGTGTACATTTCGACCTAGGTACGGGGCATACGGGGTCAAGGTACCGCCTGGGCGGTTTGATCGACCGTAACAGCCTTGCTCGAATCACAGCCTTTCCATCGTGCGACCCTGCCTGAGGAAAGTCGTCTGTTGTAAGCCAATCAAGTATGTGATTCACGCAGAGCATCATCCAGGCAGGGATACGAACTGTTCTGAGTCCATGTGCTCGGAAAGGACGCCTGTCAGTGCACAATGCGCTTGGGCTATTGTGTTGCGCAAGCCATAGATCGGTGCGACATTGGCCTGCATACTCTCCAGATGATTTCTTAGCTGATCCAGCAATGGCACAAGATCCTGATCTGTTTCATCTATCGAAGTGGCGTTGATCCTAGTCGAAAAAGCGACTTTTATGCTCTCCGGGTGGTCGTCGTCCCCAGTGGCTGCCGAGCTACGGAGTAAGGGGTGTAACTAGATGGCATTTAATCGAATGTTGTGCACTGGCGAAGCTGTTACATACCTTGGCGCCTGTCTGTCTATGTTTTTGTTCGGCTAACTTGGCCTTTGATTCGAGCTGCTCGCTCACAGCTCGATCGTGACTGAGGGCTCGTTCCTCTTTCTCTATTTCAGCTTCAAGAAGTTTAACGCCATGTAGTGACGCAGTGAGCTGTCCATCAAGAAGACGCTGGGCGAAGTCAGCAAAAAGTGTAATATTCCTAGGTATCGACCCTCACATTGCGCTCCATCAGTTTTTCCAGATCGAAATGTAACTCTTTTGTTTTAGGTGGAAAAGGCATATTCGGCAGTCGTGTCTCGAGTCTCTGTACAAGTTGGCCGAGAATCGCTTCTGCCTCCCTTCGATGCTTCTCATCCTTTCTCGAGGCTACCACAGGCCATTTCGCAGCTTTAAATATCTCTTTGACCTGGTCTTGTGCTGATACGCTAAGATGTGTCCATTTTGATTTCACTACTGACTGAGGAATGTATCGTGTTCGTGGTTTCAAATGTGGGAACTCCCTTCTCAGCTTTGCCGCTGTACGGTTGCGTTGACCTGGGTGCGCTGCCTTGCGACGCTGCGCATCCACGTTCCGGCTTAAAGATGATTGAGGTAGTTTACGGTGCACGACGGGTGATGGTTGAGCTAGCTCGTCCTCGCCAGGAGCAGTATCATTCGTTTTCTTCGACATGGCACGTTTGCGTAGAGCTTCGTGGTGCGACAGTGGTGAATGTGCCTTTTTTGCGGCTTCCTTGCTGTCCTTCACTGCAGCAGACGATTTATGTGGCACTTTCGTAGGGCGTCCAGGTTTGTTCGAGTGCGATTTTGGAGCCTAGAAGCTGTCAGATGAGGACCGCGAAGGAGCAGAAGGATCTAGCAGCATTTGGGGACTGACCATAATCGTCGTCGGGAGTCATCATTAATCGTCTTCGGTGGTCATGATCTTGACGTGTCGGCCGACACCGCGACGCGTCCGTTTGGCTTCTGCAAGGCGATATCACGCTAGTCGCATCGGGCTAAGATCTACATTATGGAAGAACATAAATGCATGCGGGTATCTTCGAACTTGGCTTTGAGGCACATTGTTTCATGCTTAGTAATATCAAAGAACCCAATATCGAGCATCCATCCGCTTCGAATCATAACGCCGACAAATGCACATGACGCTAATTCGCTCCACTGAGACCACCTACTACTTGATTTTGCTCATCACAGTCTCCGGACCCCTCTCTGCGTAAACTTCAGCAGCCTTTGCCTTTACGCTGTTCAGTGTACTTCTGTCAAAGTCGTCCCGAGCTCGCATAACAGCCTCAACCCAGCTCATACTGGTATCCCAATAATCGATTTTGAATTGTTCGTAGACAGCCGGAAGCTCTGCTTTCTCTGCATTAAGCATTCGGAGGAAGCCGTCAACGACGCGCCATTTCTGCTTTATAACGTCAAAGGCTGGAAATTGCTTGAAGAAGTCAAAAGCTGTTACAAGATCGTCTCGGATCTTGTCTCCGTATGGGTCACTTCGTCGGAACTTTACGCCTTTATTGCGTACTGAGCTGAGATACCGTACGAGTAGCTCATCTGCAAGCTCTTCTACCAAGATGTCCCGGAGCGAAGGATGTAGAACCCCTTCGTAGTCCGACAGGTAATCTTGAAAGGTGAGGACGAACTGCGAGATCCGTTTCTGGCCGTACCACGCTTGTGTAAAGAATTCTCCCAGAAAAGGTTTGAAATCGACAGCGAAAATGAGTGATGCAAAGACTGATATGCAGTGCGTACCGAGATCTATGTAGCCATCACGAAGACTGTCACTTGTCGCCAGAGCCTGTTGTGCGTATTGGGGAGACACTAATGGTGTGAAGTCGCGTGAGAATCGGGAGAGGTATGAGACCGACCCTTCTGTGTTGTCACCATCATCAATGCAGGCGATTTGATCGTTGGCAATAGCAACAATCCAGTCTTGGAGCGGCTGCAGTCCTTCTATATCTGCAGTGGGCATTGAGTATTTTTGCAGCTCATTGTCGATAAGATTCTGCCAGAGCTGTTGCCGCGCAGTCAGTGCTCGGAACATAGCTTCAACGACACCCTCTGCGACATCAGTCCGGTCACTGTTTCCTGCGACTGTCAATTGCTCTCGCAACATAAACCACAGATCTGGCAGTGTCTTGGTCCGGAAACAGCCGTTCTCATCTTGACTGAGAGATCCTTCCTGTCTTGAGAGGAACGTCTGCTTGTCATTGGAAGCCATACGGTCCATCCACTCTTCGACAGATTTGATAATCTGCTGCCTATATTCGCGGACAAGCTCGTCACTGCGGTTGTCGATGACGTGGGGAATCAAGTCGTCTTCGGATAAACCAAGTTTCTTCATTTTCGCATAATATTTCTCGACCCACTGCGCGATGATTAAGAGGTGAGCATTAGTTCGATCCTCTGCGTCAACCCGGGATATGAGCCAATCATGCATAGTATTGTGATATATGTTCGCATACGTTTGCATTATTCTCCATTTCTTGGGCATAAGTGTAACCATTCCAATTTTGACTGTATTGAGGTCGTTGAAGTACCACCGCAACTTCTTGTCCAGCCGGTCAGGCTCGTTCAAGAATGCTTGATTCGCCTGGTCCATCTGTTCTCGACAAACTTTTTCGATTGAATGCAAAAACCTGTCTTTATACCCTCGTACTTCTTTTGGTCCGGAAGCTATCGATTTGAAACGTGCTGCAAGCTCCTTATATTCTTTCTGTGCGTCCTGGAGGGCTCTGGCCTTCTTATCGTTCTTCTCCTCCGCATCAATGATGGTAGCAAGTCTTACGACCATACCATGATTGTTCGTCTGGACAAACTCGATGAGTGACATGCAAGCATAATCTATATGCTTGTCAAACTTCCCAATCAATTCGTCTAGGCGGTTGAAGTAATCTTGCAGAGTGTAGCCGGAGTTCAATTGAAGGTTCTCGAGAAGCTCCATTGAGGTGTTTGCCGACGATCTAATTTGGTCCATCGCAGAATCCTTGATGTTCCTAAGCTCGGTCAACCCATAATGCACCTGAAGCAGATTAGGTTGTGTGTCCAAGTCTTGTTCGTTCTCCTGTAGTAGTGCTTCGAGCTCATCCAGCTTTTCTTCGAACCTATCTATATCTCTTTTCATTGTTTCCACTTGCGCAAAGTTGCGATGCGTTTGTGCGACCAGATTGATATGAGGGAAGTCTCGAATCATCTGGGTGGAGTCTGAACATAGCTTGTCGATTTTCATCATCTCCTCTTTGATCAAATTTATGGTTCTTTGGCCATCTGTGATGCTGCCCATGCCGGATTGCGTTATTTCCAGCTGCTCCCTCAACCCTAATTTCAATTGTGTGTCTACGGCAGCCTTCTTGCGAGTGAACTCGGACTTTAGGGCGGATATCTTGTCAAGGTCCTCCGGATGGCGGAGAAGCTCCGCGAGCTTGACAGTAACGGTTTCCACATCATTCATGTCGTCAGAACGCCTGGCTAGTCGGAAATCCCAGCCTCGTGGGCACCAGTTGATGTGTCTCCAACTGCCCGGTTTCGCGTTGGAGTGCCGCTGCGAGTTTGCCGAAGATCTGCCGCATCTACCACAGGTGGGAACTTAACGTCCGGATCTGTACCTTTCCGTAAACAGGTGGGGCGTCCTACGTTGGAGCGTTCGTGCCATCATCGACTGGAATTATGCGAAAAGTATCTTCTATTGACCGAGCATCCGTCCAGACTGCCAAATCCATCGCCACTGTTCCTGATGCTCCGGTGCGGTATGTTTCACCCTATCAAAAGGTCCAAGTGACGTCCAAATCGGGAAATTGTGTGTAAAGCAAACCTACGCATCACGAGGCGCAATAATGGGTCTCTCTGATCTACAGCTTACCCTACGTGGAGTCCGCAGAGGAAGCAAGGCTAGTATATCAAGTATAGCAGCCATAGACGAGAGCTCAATCGTGCACCCGATGCTCAGATCCCGGAAGAGGACATTGTCAATACCATTGCTGCACCCGGCTAAAGTTGGACTCACGAAGCGGTCTTTACAAAGTACCCTGGATCAGGAACAATGCCTTCTATTTAAAATGCTCCCATACGAAATACGCTTGATCATTTGGGAGCTCATACTTGGTGGCAAGCATGTTCATATTTTCAATTGGAAAAAGCTTGGACATCAAGTTTGTCAAACGCTCGAGGAGTCCTCATACGGTGTTCGCCAAGTTTGTTTATTTCGGATGCCAGTAGATGGCACCACAAAAGCAGTAATACATGGAGCACCGCAGAAGCTTCTTCCTCTTTTACGAAGTTGCCGGCGAATGTATGTCCTTTCCCCCTGCTTGACCCAGTCAATCCTCATGTTCCGTAGATATTCCGAAGCCATTGACATTCTCTATGCCAAGAACATATTCGACTTCAATAATCTTCGCTATAAGATTGATGGTCTCTCCGATCGTCTGATGCCTTGCAGATGGAACTCGATTCGTCAAGTATCTCTCACGTGGTATTTTCCTTCTTCCAAACTTGATGCAGGACGACCGCTGGTAGAAAATGATTGGGACCGCTCTTGTAGGGCGCTAGCTTCAATGACAGGTCTACAGAAGCTTACCGTTGGATTGATCACGGAAAGAAGCACAATTGAACGAACGTACATCCGTGAGATCCTCGGTCCCGTGGAAAGTATTAGCACTACCGGCTTGTATGTTGACATATATGTATCATGGGAGGAAACCGAAGACAGCTCCAGAGCCGAAAGAACACTTTTAGGGCGTGATGTGCACATCGTGCTACATCATTTACCGACGATTGTCTCGAAGGCGTATAGTGAAAGCATACATGCACCTCGAGACATTGGTTCATTATACAGGCCTAGGCAGACTAGCACTATAAATTAAAATCGTCTTTTCGTGTCAAGCTGCAACAAGGTTGACTTGAGACAATATAAGCACAGGGTTCGTGCATATCGGTAATGGGTATATATGGGGTATGCATGATGCATTTTGACGCTTCGGAGCCGGGATCAACGGGGCATAGCGTCGCTTCCGTATCCGCCTCCCGACGTGTTAGCACGAATCGGCTAGTTGCATGTGACGGCATCTTGCAACTTCTATAATAAAAACGCGGCGGCGTTCATATACTGCGATGATCACCTGTACAATCCCTTACCATCCTTGAATAACCATGCCTGGCTCCTCGAGGTTACCGGTCAGCCTACGAGACACCATCAGCGGCCCAAGAGCATCGGCGCGCAAACAACTACTGGCCCTGAATCTTGACTTGTGAGCTCTCCCGAGGCGCCCCGCGCATTACAACGTGTTAACGGGGATTACTAGATTGAGGAACATCGTATTCGCTCTATTCCTCCTACGATGGTCGCGTAAAGCCTTCTATCAGCTCAAGGGCCGCGGTATCGCAGGCTCTTCTGTCGACGCGTACATATCGATCCGGCGCACCTTATATGGCATATTTCTCAGGCTGCCTGGTGTTCGATCCAAGGTTCAGGCCGGCATCGATCAGTCCATCATTGATCTCGAGAAGAAGCTTATCGCAAGCGGACCAGACACAGAGCGCTTCCTTGCGCTTCCACAGAATGGATGGACTGGAGAAAAGGTTAGACAAGAGCTGGAAAAGCTTTATGAGATGAAGCATACGAGGTGGGAGGATGGAAGGGTCAGTGGCGCAGTATATCACGGTGGAGATGATCTTATCAAGTTGCAAACGGAAGCTTTTGGAAAGTTCACTGTCAGCAATCCGATTCATCCAGATGTCTTTCCTGGTGTGAGAAAGATGGAAGCAGAGATCGTGAGCATAGTATGTGTGATTCAGGGTCAATTCAATAGCAACGTTAACCCTAAGAATAGGTTCTCGGAATCTTCAATGCGCCACAGGGCTCTGGTGGGGTGACAACGAGCGGTGGCACTGAGTCTATTCTTATGGCTTGCCTCAGTGCCCGACAGAAAGCATATCATGAGCGCGGAGTCACTTCGCCGGAGATGATTCTTCCTGATACGGCTCACACTGCATTCCGCAAAGCAGGCGAGTATTTCAAGATCAAGATCCATTTAGTGAAATGCCCTGCCCCGCATTACAAAGTACACATCCCGTCCGTGTCCCGACTCGTCAACCCGAACACAGTCCTGCTCGTTGGGTCGGCACCCAACTTTCCACACGGGATCATCGACGATATCTCGGCCCTGTCGAGGCTTGCAGTCCGCAAGTCAATACCTCTGCATGTCGATTGCTGCCTCGGCAGTTTCCTTGTACCTTTTTTGCAAAAGGCAGGGTACGAATCGGAACCTTTCGATTTCCGCCTGAAGGGTGTCACCAGTATCAGCTGCGATACCCACAAATACGGTTTTGCACCAAAGGGTAACTCTACCGTACTGTACCGAACAGAGAAACTGCGAAGCTACCAATACTTCGTCTCTCCAGACTGGTCAGGGGGTGTCTACGCTTCACCCTCGATTGCGGGATCCCGCCCTGGAGCACTCATAGCTGGTTGCTGGGCGAGCTTGATGACGCAAGGCGAGAACGGGTATATCGATGCGTGTCACAAGATTGTCGGTGCCACTAAACGCATTGAGTCTGCGATTCGCGACGACCCTGCGCTCAGCTCTGATCTCAAGGTTATCGGCCGACCCCTCGTCAGCGTCGTTGCGTTCTCGTCATCGACACTATACATATATGATATCGCAGATGGCATGTCAGCCAAAGGCTGGCACCTGAATGCTTTGCAGGATCCACCAGCCATCCACGTGGCTGTGACGCTACCGATCGTTGCGGCAGCCGACAAGATGTTGAAGGATCTCGCAGATGTGCTCGAGGAGGAGCGAGAGAAGGATCGGAAGCGGATCGCGGAGGGCAAGGGCCGTAAGGGTGAGGCGCGAGGGAGTGCCAGTGCTCTGTATGGTGTGGCGGGTAGTCTGCCCAACAAGGGCGTTGTCGTAGAGCTCGCAAAGGGCTTCTTGGACACACTGTACAAGGCCTGAAGGAGATGCACGGTATGTGTTACCCACAGACGAAGGAGGCGGTCGTGTACTATATTCTAGTAACCAGAAATAGCACCATCGGAAGAAGCACAAATCTATGCATATGATCATCAGAGCCACACTGGCTACAACGCCAATCCGTTCCAACATCATCACCCTTCTACCCTCTCCACATACAATCAAGCTTCCTCCCCAATCTCCACCTCCCCCTCCCCCTCCCCCTGCCTCCGCACCCCCTCCAACACCCTCCCAGGCCTCGCCATAATCCCCACCGCAACCCCAACCATAGCCCTCACCCGCTCCCTATTCAACTCCTCCTCCCCCATCACCGCCAACCTCCCCTCCCTCTCCCTCCTCCACTCCACAAACACCCCCTTCTCCACCCCATCCTCCTCCCCACGAATCGCACATCCACACTCCTCCCACACCCGCAACTGCCGCACAAACCCCTCATTCGGCGTAATCACATCTCTGCTCTCCCGTGCCAGGTCCAGCGCCGCGGCGTATGTCAGTCCGCGCGACCACATCAGATATGCTACTATGACGGCGCCGCTGCGCGATATGCCTGCGCGGCAGTGCACGAGGACGCCGTGGATGGGGTTGGGGTCGGGGTCTTTAGTTGTGCTGCTGTCATTTGATTCATCGGTGACGGAGTCGGGGCTGCTTTGATGACGTGCCAGGGCAGAGTGGATAAACGCACAGCAGTCTGCAAAGTGGCTGAGCAGGTCGGCGAAGGGGTCGTCTGCGACTGGGACGTGTTTGAATGTGCATGTAGCGCGGATGGTGGGCGAGTAGGGCGGGCGTTCGTGGGGCTCGAGGACGGCGAGGATGTGGGAGATGTGGTGGGTTTCGAGGCAGTCGGTTGTGGCGGAGGAGGAGAATGCGAAGCGGCTGTGCGGGTTAGAGGGTTTTTTATTCGGGGTTGGGTTTGTGGGGGATAATATTGGTGTACAGGGGAGTTGCTGATGGTGGTTCTTGATATGCATGTTATGGTGTGTTTGTTAGTCTTTGAGTACTGACCGTCCGGATATGAAGAGGCCTGGGATGGCTTTGATGGGTGTGATATGGGCGGAGGCCGGACCTGGGTTATCGACCCAGTCGGCGTTGAGTAGGATTGGGGTTGTCATGGTGCTGACTATAGGTTAATACAATGTTCGACAGAATCCCAATGTTGAATCTAAAAAGTAGTATATCAAGATGTTCAAGATCAGATGAACAGGCTACAGGATTCGAGGGTGCCTTGCGGCTGACCCATGCAGCCACGACCACGTGATATATGTACAATCCATTGATTGATGAGTGGCATCCTCCTCATTCTAATTCCAAAAAGTGGAAGCCTTGGGGCAAGCGTCATCATTACCCGACTCTTGCCATGAAGATAGAAATGTATGTGACTCCAAGCCAATATTCACGCAGTCCAGATACGGAGTTTCAAGGATTGCTGCAAATGAGGACAAGAGGGTATCACATGAGCTGATCTGAAGAAGATGAAAAGAAAGGCCTCAGTCCGTAATGCCAACGTGAGATGCATTCGCTAGAATCGCTTCAATCGTTATGTCGTAAATCATTCAAGTTACGGAGGCGAAAGTCCTCCTGGCGGTCCGGTCATACCATGGTGATGTATTCACCTGCATGCTTGAAGTTCGCACAGTAATGTTCCGTGCTTCCAAATCTATACCGTCTAAGCTTCTTCGTTTGGATACCTGTCTTGAATCATGCCACTCTTGTACGCGAGGCGCAACGTCACGCACTCTCCATCTCTTCTTTGGATCCTCTGCCATGAGGTCTTCGACAAACTTGAGCGCATGTCTCTCCGCTGTAGTCGAGTCTTTATTCATGCGTAGTCGATTAAAAAAGTCATTCCTGATAAGATCCATATTCGCATGGAAGCTAAGACCAGAACCATTTTTCCGGCGCCAGTTGTCAAAGGTATCTAAGGAATAGCCCCTAAGGACAGCTAACATGCAGAGAAATACACAACCGAGTGAAAATGCATCGGCAAGGCGAGTCGATTTTCTCTCTTGATTCCTGATGACTTCTGGTGCAGCGTACACAAAAGACGGGTCTGCTGCATGTGACTTTGCTGGTGAGTCTTCTAGCTCGTCTCCAACGCCAAAAACCGAAAGCACCACTCTACTTCCATAGATAAGTATCTTTTGGGGTCTGATACTGCGATGAGTGATCTTCCGAGGGGGCGAATGAATGAAAGCAACGGCTTGTATGATATCGTTGACCCAGCTCAGAAGTTGGCGAGATGTAGTGGCGTCTGGTATTCGTTGGATGGGGCGCAGAAAATCATCCAAGTTGCATTGTGCTGGCATCGTGATGAACGCTACTGTAGATCTTTCAGCGTAAGAACACAATATCTTGGCCAAATTCGGATGATCAAATCGGTTGAAAGACAAGATCTGTTTTACGAGACTTTCTTGTTGAGTAGGTCGAAGTTCACGGTAGCTCTTGCGAACGTAGACTATACTCTCAGATTCACCCAGCCATGACACCCGATCAACGACTTGACCAGGGCTTTCCGAGTCCTTGACTATGCCCTGGCTCAAGATAGGAGTTCTCTCATTCTTCTTAAACTCAAAGTGCTGTCCATTACGCGGTAGCTTCCTGGCCATCACCCGCCATTGCGTCTCAACTATCTTCTTTGGCTTTGCTGCAATTCGTTCCAAGTCTTCTTCCTGGAAAGGAAGTTGGTCGTCTGTCAACATGTAGAATGAAGCCCTCGGAAAAGCTGCAACATCTTCGCACATCAAAAACAGCAATGCAACGAATGGGTTTCGGCAGGCCCAATTGTAAGCATTATTCTTACTCTCCTGCGATACGCCAACCCGCACAAGCAGCGACGGATAGTGATGCAAGAAAGACTGCGCCATATGCTTCGTAATCACTGTGCGCTCCAGTGATTGCAAGTCGAGCAGGTACGCATTCTGGCGATTCTGACTAGGGGTGGACGATGTAGGATATTCGAAAACCCTCTGGATGGGCTCCGGACTCGAGACGCCATAGTTTGAATTATTGAAGCCAGCTATCGCATTGTTTGGTCGGAGCGGCTGCGGAGCCTGCACAGGAGTTGTCGAACGACTCGTGTATTGAGGGGTTCGAGATTCAGGAGTGCCGCCCGAAGGCGACCTCTTTGCAGCCGTGTAAGCAAACCACGGGTTAGACGAGTGCGAGGGCTGAGGAGATTTGACAGTAGGGGTCGACTGCGGCGTCCACGAAGACATGGGCGACTGAGCATATTGAGTAGGAGTTATGCTACGGCTGGTCGAAGACGTTGATGCACTAGACGAGGATTGGGGACGTGGACTTTCTTCCCACCCACCAGAAAGGTCTAGCAGCGACGGCGCTGAATGCAGGTTTGGATACCGGTTAGCCATCTGATCTAAGCGTGACTGGATTTCCAAGCCCAACAGCAGTTCCAAGCAACAGTGGATGCTTGTGAGAAGAATCGACGCCTGTTCTGCATCTGTTGGACAGGGGTAGAGCAAGTGTCGATATCAAGTCATGGTATGTTAGATCCAGAAGTTGGCGATCACGTGGACAGATATGCCCTATACTCCAGAGAGTCTGGCACAGATAGCACAGAGAAGAGACGATCGAGGAAATAAGAATGGTGGAGGAGACAAGACGATCGTTTGTGCGGCGATCGAGGGGGGTATGGTGGAGGAAGAGATGGCTGCGGGATGCAGGTCCGGCGACGATGAACACGACGGAGGAATGAACGGCATCTTCAGTGTTCAGTCGAGGAGAGAGATCAAGCGTCTGATGTGTTGGCACCTAAGAGCATGAGCATGAGCGTGAGCATGAGCATGCAGGCGTTGGTGCATGAAGGTGGTCTTTGTCGTCATTAGGGACGGCGAGGGTGAGCGAGTATGGAGGCAGCACGAAGCTCGACCCTGGTGAGTTAGCGGCCGAATTGTACACATGGCAGCTCCAGACTCGCGCTCGCCCTCATCGCATTCTGCTCTCGTTCCCCCATCTGTCCTGCACCACCGCATCACCATCCTCTATTTTGCTTGTGTTCGGTCCGAATGGGAAACGCGTTCCTGAGCGATGCATCCGCCTTCGATTATTACGGCCCAAAGGCGACCGACACTATCGCCTCTTACGATGACAGATAGCTAGCGCGGGCATGATAGACCGAGTCGGCTGCCTGGCCCATCTCAGATCCACCAGAGGCCGGTAGACACATAAGAAAAGAGGAGGACGTTGATATTGGCCTCATACCACGTTCCGAGTCGCTCGTTTCCGCCATCAGCAAACAATATTAGCTGTCAAATCTGATCTCTAATATCCGAGAAGTTGGCCTTCTGCAGGCGGATCTGTGGGCCTCGTTGTCGGCCAGCAAGCGCCGGCGGCCAACAGAACCACTGGGGGGCTTCCTGCGAGTCATGCGATGGGCAATGATAATGATTAAGCCACTCAGTAGGCGTCATGTCTGTGATAACAGCAGCAGCCGTGCTGTAGATACGGTAGGTAGGCGGTGAGGACGTTCAAAGTATCAGGTTGCGCTGCTTGAGGGACGAATGGTAGGAGAATTGGTAGGAGAATGAAGAGTGAGACAAAAGGTGTCGCCAGGGCTGTTGGGGCTCATCGCCTGGACGCGTCTGATTGGCTGCAACTGGCCGCCCTATACCATTGTCCAAACCTCCTCCACTTGTTGACTACTCTTAGGCGCTTCAACTGTCTCACTCTATTCACATCTTTCTGTAGCGCTGAGGTCTTGATGAGCCTCTTTTCTTTTCTTCAAGCAAAGTGGCGCATGTGGATTCTCCACCGTCAGCAGCGGGAGCCGCCTTCTATCCTGTTCTGGGATAATCACTCGATCATGCATCACGCTCACAGATCCTTCGTCGCAGTCCCCTGTCATCGCCATTTATGCTTTCACGACTCTGCGCCAGAGATATTGCCTTCTCTGTGTTTGTAAACTCGTCTGGAACTGTTTCTTGTCTCGGTCGCCTGTCAAGTACCCTCTCTTCATCATACTGCTCATCGCTAGGCTGGCACTGGCTGATGTGCTTTGTTGCGTCTCGTCTTTCATGCGGGCCGATTCCCTCTATCTCCTCACATTCTCATTCTCATTCTCATTCTCAGCTTTTCATTTTACATTCTAATCACTCGGCATTTTTGCTGAGCGCCGTTCTTTTCGTGCATCACTGCGCTGCTGTGCAGCTTTGCAGTCGATTTCGTTAGCTTCGCCTCTAATTTTTTAACTACACTATTAATTGGTCCAACTCCACAAGCACGGCGCGTACCACCAACAAATCACGATGCGGCTCTGGTCATCTATTCTCCGTGGCTTGCTGCTTACCTCGCAGGCTGCGCAAGTGTCTACCAGCAGTATACATGAGGCAGGATTCCTCTCTTCCAATTTCCTTCGAACTAGAGGCGAGGACATCGAAGCACATCTCCGCCAACATGCAAACGATAGAATCAGGAGCATGCAACGAAGACAGACACCTTCAGCAATCGCAGGAGCTCCAGGACCTTCACTTAGCCCGGCTTCTGGAGATGCATCCAACTTTGACCTGAACGCGTGGCAAGCGCAGACACAAGCCGCTTGCATGAATTCAATAGCCGCACTTAACGGGCAGGCCTCAAACCCAAGTGGCATGGCCGTATGCTACAATCTTCCTTTCCTCGACAACAGTACCGGTGTCTTCCAGGCAGAGTTGCGACTGTACAACGTGTCTGCTCCGGTCGATACGTGGAAAGGTGTGACGGAGAACGATATCAGCTTGGAGTTGGCATACACTGGAGCTACAGTTCAAGCTACGAATGATACGTTCGCCAAACGTGACACTACATTGTCATGGCCTCCGGTCCGTGCGAGACTCGTATTGAAGCACGTGGCAACGACGAAGCTCGAGGCCAGACAGGACGCTTCTAGCACAAAGGAGCTGCAGGTGTTGAACTATGTCGGTCGAGTGAATGCTAACTTGTTGGGCAGTGCCATGTCCAAGTAGGTTTTTACAGCCACTCATTCAATCGCGCTGTGTCTGACAATCTATAGTCCTCGACTACAACAGTTCCTCGTACCGACGATCCGTCTGACAGCGACCTCACCAAGTACAAACGAACAGGTCAACACAGTTCTCTCTTCAAGCGAAGCATCCTTTGTCAACGGAGTCTTCTCCCAAGCAGCCGTGAGTAGCCCAGACTCGGCCGCCCAAGCATCCGCATCCGCGGCTGCAGCCATACCCTTCGTGTTACCAGGCGTTACCTTTGGAATCTTCCCTGTCGGCTTCATCATCACCATGTCCTGGACAGTCCTTTTCGTCGCAGTCGTCGGCTATGGAACCTGGGGCAGATATCAGTTTCGAGAGCATTACCGGAGAAGGGTCAAGAGGGATCAGGCCATCGCGCTCAACAACATATGATCGATTTCCCAGACGATCATCATTTTCAGTATTATCATATATCATATCTGTAGCATTTAGCGATCATAAATCAGTCTTTTTTTTCCCCTTTGAAATCCGCTTCAAAGTCGTCTTACATGCTGCTACGCTTGAGACCCTGATCCTCTCTCATGACACTGTGCCGATACTTTTCTGAAATCTACGGTCAACTCCTGGTCTCATACCACTTCGCACAGATACAGCTTTGTTAAGTATGAGCTGCAAAGTGCAGCAGCTCCGTATGGCTCTGCTCTGTCTTGCTCTAGTACTATCTCCAGAGGAGCAGCATATCATAACAACCCACACACTTCACCTACAACCACAGCCGTGCTCCATGTCGAAACATACTCTCCTAACTAGTAGATATACACCTTTCTATCTAGTGTGACAGATCGATGTCCGTGACCCTAGACACCTACACATAATGCTATAGTTGTTACCCATTATACTAAAAAAATGCCAATTCACTTTTCCCAACTATAAAGCTCACGAAGTTCCACGATCGTCATTATCTATTGGAATTACCTATTCCATTAGATAAGAATACAAAGTAATTGGCTCGTAGGGTTATCATTCATCTAATTCACTTTTTCCATAACTATAAAGCGCACGAAGTTCTACCATAGTCATTATCTATTAGAACTACCTATTTCATATAATAAGAGCATAAGGTGATTAGCTAGTAGGGTTCTTGTTATTTCCTGTTACCTTTCACTTATAGGATTCTACTTTGTTCAAGTAGTATAATAGACACAAAGTATTGTTATTATCATTGTTATCACGTCATGTTATGTCATGTCATGTCATATCATGACCAGAAGTAATCTAGTTCACTTCTTTTTTAAACACAGAGCCCCACTTTTTCCCCCGCGAGAATTCGACCACGAAGTACCACGACCAAGTCAATCTAAGAATTACCTCTTCTGTTAAGAGGGGGCCCGTGAGGCCAATGGTTGTTGTCAGAGTCGTCGTTCACCACCACTACCAACCACCACCACTTTGGCACGGCGGGTCGTCTGAAGATTTATTGGCATAGTGTTTACAAGCACGACGTCAACGTCAACGACTATAGTACAGGGAGTATACTGCTAGACTACAAAGCAGCTGCGATGAAGCAAAGCACGAGGACCGCTCAAAAAAAAAGGTTCTATAACATCTTCAAAAGCATCTTGATCAGCTTCACCTTGTCGTCATCATCATCGTCGTCATCATCGTCGTGATCATGGTGTTTGACCGCTGGACTTTTATGTCTGCAAATAACACGTATCAGCGGAGAGAAAGAAACTAGGAGAGCAAAAGTAGCGGTTGCCAAAAACTTACGCGAAGAACAGGATCTTGATGGCAATGGCAAGACCGGCATGCAGGGCAATCACGACGATCAGCAGTATCTTCGATGTCCGCATGTCCGTTGCGCTGAGCATCGGGTAGAGGTTGCGGAAGAGGAAGAGTGCGGAGACGGCAAAGCCGACGCCGACGAAGACGAAGTTGAGGACTAGGGAGTGGGGGCAACGCATTAGTATCTGATCTTCCATTGAATAATAACGTGGTTTGGGAGTGAGTTCCAATCTTACTGTCGATGTGCGACCACGAGATGAACGCGACGGGTATCCAGATGATGTTCGCATATCCATAGAGAGCCCAACACTCCATCAAGTTCGCCGACTCGCTACCAAACCACTTCAGCGTCCCGAACAGCGCAACAGGTATCACACTCGTGTATCCGTATATCAGCCCGGCAGCACCTATGTTCTAAGTATCAGTACCAAAACTCGTGTTTCCAAGACTGTCCTTATTGATTGCCCAAATCACATACCACTCAGCAGTTTGAAATCATAATTGAAATGCACCTTGTCATCGTGCGCCATGTACTTGTTGATCGTGCCGGAGAGGAACAAGATGACCACCACCGTCGTCGCGATCCAGAACGGACCATACAGATCCGGATTCCCCTCGAGCACATCGAGGAAGTTTGCGCGCGGGAATACCGCCGTATAGCAGCGCTTCAGGACTTCATTTGTGTCGACGTCGAAGAACTGTTGGTAGAAGGAGATGCTCCACAGGAAGCGCTTGCCGGTGTTGCGTGACGATGGGCCTCCAGGCAGGAAGCTGGAGTTGCCGTCCGGCGCGATCTTGTGACGGTTGGAGGAGGTATCGTCGAAGTCTAGAGGGAACGCTGGTAAGCATGGAGCGGTACAGAATGAGTACGCTCATCATACTGGAGGAGTGGAACTCAAGAGGGTCCTCTTGCAGGTCGGTATGGCCTAGGTCGCCCTGTATGTCTGTTAACGGTTTCGCTTATCTGTCATATGAAAGAGCTTTAATACCTCTGCATCAACGTCAACGACCACATCGTATCCTCGATTCGCCATCGTGGGACTGTGCGTAGGAAACTTGGTGCTGGAGAGCTTGACTTGATGCTTGAAGACAGATTGGAGCTAACACAGTTCGGACACCCTGGCTGTAATAACGCACGGACCATTCCACTCCCATGAGCATGGTTTCACGTCTGGCATCATCACATTGCGTATTCTTGGCTAAATCAACGCAGATAAGACTGATGACACTTGTGATCCTTGCTAAAGAATCCACATTTATTTCTAAGCTATCAGGTAACGATCTCCAGCTGTCATCTTCATTTAGGACTATCAGAGTCAATCCAATCGTCGTGCCCTCTACCGCCTTCAGCAGATCTATGTTATCTCCTGATACATCTATTTCGTTCCTCAAGCACCATTCTCCTTTGGTACGAGAGGCTCAACATTCCAAATCATCTCCGCATATTCATCAATGCATCTATCAGAAGAGAAGAAACCCATTCGTGCAACGCTGGTGATGCACTTCGTAAGCCATTCTTCCTGGTTCTTGTACGCCTCATCGATAAGATCGTGGGTCTGGCAGTAAGAAGCAAAGTCATCAGAGACGAGATAGTAGTCGCCGTGGTCAACGATACCGTTGACGAGAGCCGAGAAGGCGTTGGCGTCTCCAAACATGCCGCCACGGATGGCTTCAAAGACCTTGTTAAGGCCAGAATCAAGGGTATACTCGCCATAAAGATGAGCGTGACGCAGCTCGTCAACATCTTCAGCGAGGTTTCCGAATAGGAAGATATTGTTCTCTCCAATCTCACGGGTGATTTCGATCTGACAATGGGTTAGTCTCAAGTCTCGAATAGTGAAATGATGGGAACTCACGTTAGCACCGTCACAAGTACCGATGATGAGGCCACCGTTCAGTACAAACTTCATGTTACTCGTACCAGAAGCTTCTGTACCAGCGGTTGAAATGTGTTCACTAATGTCAGAGGCTGGGCAGATGATCTCAGCCTTGCTGACGTTGTAGTCCTCAAGGAAGATGACCTTGAGAAGATCACCAACATCCTTGTCATTATTGACAACCTTACCAACTTGATTAATGAGGTGGATGACTGTCTTAGCCATCCAGTATCCTGGAGCGGCTTTGCCACCGAAGATTGAAACGCGAGGCGCTAACTTCTTCCGTTCCTCTGGGGACATCTCCTTGATGGCAAGGTAGCGGTGAATGACACCAAAGATGTTCAGCTGTTGTCGCTTATACTCATGTATACGCTTGACCTGGATATCGAAGAGCGCTGCGGGGTTCACAGTAACACCATTGGCATCCTTGATCAGTTTCGCCAGACGAACTTTGTTGGCGTACTTGATCTCTGACCACTCTTTTCGGAAGTCTTTGTCATCAACGAACGACTCGAGCTTGTGAAGACCTGTGAGATCTTTCAGGAAACCGTGGCCTCCAAGTTTCGAGGCGATGAGCTCAGAGAGTTTGGGGTTGGCCTGGTGAAGCCATCTGCGAGGAGTAATTCCATTCGTGACGTTGGTGAATTTGTCAGGACCGTAGATCTTTACAAAGTCCTTGAAAATGGTGGTCTTGATCAGATCGGAATGAAGCTCAGCAACACCGTTGACCTTGTGGGAACCCACAATGGCGATATGCGCCATGCGAACCATCTTGGGTTGCGACTCCTCGATAATTGAAACACGTCCCAGCATTTCGCGGTCCTTGGGGAAGTTGCGCTCGACATACTGGAGGAAGAAAAGGTTGATCTCGTAGATGATCTGGAGGTGGCGAGGTAGAAGGTGTTGCATCAGTGGAACTGACCATTTCTCTAGTGCTTCGGGAAGAACAGTGTGGTTAGTGTAGCCGAAGGTGTTTTGAACGACTATTTGAGTCAGCTTATTCTCACGCATATCAATTATCGACTATACTGACTGTTCCATGCTTCGTCCCACTCGAGACCTTCCTGGTCAACAAGGATGCGCTGAAGCTCAACGATAGCGAGAGTTGGGTGAGTATCGTTGAGCTGGATGGCGACCTGGCTGGAGAAATCGGCCCAAGCGCGCTTGGTCTTCTTGAATCGTCGGACGATGTCGTAGAGCGAGGCCGCGCACCAGAAGTACTGCTGCTTCAGGCGTAATTCCTTTCCGCGGTCGAGGCTGAAAATGTCAGTTTCCAGCACGTATAATACTCCAGAGAATAGTCGCTCACTTGTCGTTAGGATACAGCACAGCCGAGATGGTCTCGGCACGTTGCTGATCAGCTACAGAGCTCTCATATTCGCCAGAGTTGAACTTTTGGAAGTCAAACTCGCCACTCGCGGCCTTGCTACCCCACAGTCTCAAGTTGTTACAAGTCGGGGTATCGTATCCGGGCACTATGGCGTTCAGCAATTGTTGACGCAGAAAGTTCAACACGTACCTGGAACATCGTACGCTACAGCCTGCACGATCTCACCGCCTTCCCATTGAGTAATGGTCTTGCCAGTATCGTCCCTGCATAGCAGTAAGTACAGTGATGTCTTAGAATGGTTGGTGTACCTACTGGAACCTGTTTACGTGGCCGTAGAATTGGATATCCACGGTGATGTCGTGGCGGGGAAATTCCCATGGGTTGAAGTCAAGCCAGTAGTCTGGAACTTCGACCTGGTAGCCATCCACGATCTCTTGCTTGAAGATACCATATCTGTATCTTAGTCCGTATCCCCAGGCTGGGTAGTTGAGAGAGGCCATGCTGTCCAAGAAACAGGCCGCAAGACGACCAAGACCACCGTTGCCAAGAGCTGCATCGTGCTCTTGTTGAATGACATCTTCTATACGGAAGCCGATATCTGCGAGACCCTCTGATACCATTGTCAGTATTGGACCACTACGGGCGAGGGCTCTCTATCTTACGTCTTGCCGTCTCCTTTTGTCCAACGTTCAACATAGCATTGTCAAGGGCTCGTCCCATCAGAAACTCGAGCGACAGGTCTATATGCATGGTCAGAGTTTGTGCTTCTTCGGGAATCCTCAACATACAGTAGACACGCTTCTGGTCCGCGAAGGTCTGGTTCTGCTGAGTCTTGTTCCAGTCTAGGACTAGACGGTCTCTGAAGGCGAGGGCTGTGCCCGAGTATGCTGCACTGATTCTTTATGAGTGGTTATCCGTAACAGGTAGGGAAGTGAGAGGTACGTTTCATCGCAGTTGAAGAGGGAGCGAGCGAGGGTAGTCTCGATATGACGAACAGCCTCTTTCTGCGAGCAATCAGTTTTGGTTCATGACAGATTACAAGGAAGATGTCTCTACTTACACTAAACTCGTCCGGGCTCGTAAACGGCTTGGGTGTCTGTTATGTTGCTCAGCATCGTAGCTCGTTGTCATCATGTCTCTCAAATGCTCACGAATTTCTTCCATCTGTGATTTAGAATAAGCAATTGCATGCGGTATGATATATTCACGACTTACGCTTCACGCTGGGGTTCTGGAATTGAAGCTTCAACGCTTTTGATATCACTGGGACCAAAGCCAGTGACCGTTCTCTTGTGCTTGGGTCTGGTAAAGCCTGGGCCGACGGGACCAGTGATATTTGAAATTGGAGCACTCATGGAGGGCTTCCTCTCGCGAATTGGGCGTGATGTAGTATCGATATCAGCCATGTTGACGGTTGACAGCTGTTCAGAGTAAATGCGATTTACAGCTGGCAGGGGAAGCCGACTCAGAGGATTCACACAAAGGTATTGATTGCCAAGCAGAGAGGCGCGCGGCGCAGGCAGTCACACAACGCTGAGAATGGGAATGTGAAGAAGACAGAAGGTTTAACGGGGTCAAAGCAGGATTATAAGCAAAGAGCTCGAATGTAAGATCGTAGATATTGGAGTGAATCGGGCGTGTCTATGGAGTCTTGAAGCTTAGGTGGGGTGAGAGCGAGGCGTTGAGAAGCTATTGGAGCAATTGCTGGAGCTAAACAACCAGCGCAGGGATCTCTGACGCTGTGCTAATCTGGGGCTTGGGGCACGGAGTGGAGAAGGCCAAGTATCGTTTTGTCTTGCTCCCGGTCGCTCTGGGCCTGTCCTAGTCCGTCGTGAAGGTAATTCTCCTCTCAACACAATATTGTCTCCATCTGGCTTTTATTGCATGTACTGTGCTGGACATATCGAAATGGCTGTAAATAGCAACATGGAAGGAGAAAGGAGGAATGTAGACTCATATCGTGACACGAAATCCGACCGTGATTGTGCACGAGAACTGTACTGGCCAGCCGTTTTATGCACGACGCACTGCTTTTCGGCGTTTAGCAGGTGGGGTACATTGGTGTCTCCTTACCCCTCCATATTAGTGGCCCGTGCACGCAAATCGCGGGGCATCAGACATGAAAATGTTGGAAACCTGTACTATAGATATATGGGGTTTTCGAACCTTGACCGTCTTTTCTGTAAAATAGGTTGCAGGCGTGCCACCAGTCAACACATTACTTGTCACCATATATACAGATGAGCACACAATAGTAGCTTCTCTAGCTTCGTTAATTGCTTCGACTGTCTCCTATGGAGGCCAGAAGTTGGCGGTTCCCCAGTTCGCACTCTGACGTGCATGCACATCCACGCCAATGAAAACTGCTCGACCGGGTATCATATGCTCCAGGAGAACAAATACGCTATGCAGCGAGAGTACGAGCACGACTCTGACCACAGATTAGGGGGACAACTCCAAAGCGCCTTGCTTGATGTAAACAACATCCAAAACATGTAATATCCAAAAATTTTCCATGCAGACTCACGACGATGGTGTAAGTCCTGGCGTCAGGAGGCCAAACTCCTCCACGGCTCTCTGTGGCGGCGTCGACGGAGTGAACGAGGCCGCCTTCGGTATGGGCAAGTATGTCGAGCCCAGACACGTATTGCAGGTTCCTGCCCTGAGCATATCCTCCTTCGTCTCCTCCACCATGTCCGGCGTGAAGCCATGCAGGCCGTAGCCGATGTGCAGCAACAGACAGCGCGACGTGAGATTGAGTTGCTGTGCTGTGACACTGCTCTGCGCCACCACGCCGGTCCAGTACGATGCCAGGAGGTGGTCGTCGGCAAGGTAAGAGGTGGCCAGGGCGAGGGACGCCAGGACGAGGATCTCTGGGCTTGACGGCATGGCGATGTGCGCGGCCGCGAAGGCTTCCCGGATCTTGCGACTGAACTTGAGGCTGAGTGAGTCCAACACACAGCCGGCGAGAGCGATGGTCTCGAGTGGCAGCATGCACCGTTGGAGATAGGATTGGATGGCTGATGGCGAGGGGCGGTGAAGGCAGACGCCTGACGGAATAAGGTTGGCGAGGTGGAGGGATGGGCCTAAAAAATGAATGTTAGCGAAGAAAGAAGAAGATAATGAACAAAACGAGTGACGTATAGACCGCGATACGGGTATGGTATACGCAGTATGCTCCATGCTTCATGGAACAGACATCACTTAGCACACATGGCCTTTACTACGCGATGTATTTGTCACGATCGATCACAGCACCAAGAGACTATGAAGTTTGAATAGTCCGATATCCTCCGCTCTAGGAACAAATGGCCGAATCGATGAAAAAAAAGAGCATGTTTCTTACCATAGTATGAGTCTCTCAGCCTCTCAGAACCATAGCCTTGCCTCGTGTTCCTACAGCCTTCTTCTCCGTCCGACCCAACTGGTTCAGGAGGAGTCGGTAAACTGGAAAGCGGTACATAATTCGCAAAGTAGTCGTCCAGTCCTTCCATCGAATCCATCGAGGCTCGCCGGCTGGCAGTCGAAGAGGGCGGACTGTCCATTTTATCGGTCGAATATTTCCAGAAATTGTGTGTGCGTGTATAAAATTCGGTGAATCCAAAGGCCTCGTGAGGACATGTAGAATCGGTACTGGCTCCGAAAGTCGTACAAAAGCAAACGCCCCAGAGATCCCACGGCCACAAAAAACCAGCGATAGACAGGCGAAACCAGATGAATCGTATTAACGCTGCAACAGACGAGCAGACACAGGTCATTACATATATAGTACTTCCGCCCAGCCCAGGGCCCTCTGCTGCATCATCCATCCATTCTCAATGTCGGTAGCGACCGAACACACACGCGCCCCCCTGAGGTTATGGCCTAATCAAAACGCAGCACTCCTCACCGCACCCCCCCGCCAGCATACACGCCAGGGGCCTAAACTTAGCCTAAAGCAGCCTACGCTCCACCCCCCCGAGGCCCCAAAACTCGCGCTGCTGCGTCTATGTGCGGCTCACACGCACGACCAGCCGCAACGGACCAGTCTCAGTCCACTCCGTTCAGCGCGGATACCGCAGCGGCGCACCTGAACTGAATAATGAATTATATAGATACGCAGCGAGGTAAGTGGTTCATGTTCACGGGTTCCACATAACACGATGTTCCGTGGAGAGTCGCAATACGGCAATACAAGAGCACAAAGAGCACGCTTGACGTGTCTTGCCACACACACACATACACGTCCTGCCGGGCCAGGCAAGCCGGATGCGAAGCGAAGCCAAAGTGCCACAGCATAATAATGTATGGATGTCCCCATCGAAAGTGCGTATGGCGTCTTCTTTGCATCGCATCCTCTCGTTTCGCCAGAAAGCCAGACGCCAGACGCAGCAGCATACGACGTCCAAAAGACCGGTTCGGGTTCTGACATATGTGGTGGGACATAGACTTTTTTTCTATGTCTGTTCTCCATTAATTACCACTGTTGAAAGTTTGTGCGACGAATTTCGCGTGTGTATGTATGTATGTGCGTGTGCGTGTCTTGGACTCTTGGTGGTGGTAGCGGTGGAGCCAAAAGGGGTCTTCGCTTTCGATAGTGACTTCGCTGCAGAGCCAGCCCCAGCAGCACACCGTACGGTACGGTATAATAACAGCGAGGAGGAGACGAGACTTTTCAGTGGGAGAATCCATACAATAGTTATCCCACTTCCGTAACGGGTATAGAGGCAGCAAGCTGACATGCATCTCAAGGGTTCGCAACTCCGTTCGTACAACGTCCAAACGAGGGATCATCTCAGCTTGTACAGTGATGCGTTCGTATCGATGACCTTTCTCCCATACAGCCCAAGGAATCGTCGTCTCTAAATTGAATAAAATTATTGATTGCATAGCACCAAACGAATATGTTTAGTGCCCTCCTAATTAATAATTGTGACGAGAACTCCCTCCCTGTTTTCACCGCTGGCTGGTCCGAGACTTTTCCTTCAGGAGAACAGACAGCCGACCAAGCGGAACACATCATCCCTGCCGAGATCCCGCATCACGCCATGATTTAGCTAGGAAACACACACAGACACTGACAAGACACACACACCCCGCAGTCTCCATAATAGTACGTACCTACATTATACATATCCAGACTTACCAACAAGTAAGTACATAATTCCTGGGCCCGAAACGCTCAAATCGCCAGTTTTCTTTGGGGGGGTCTTTTTTTTCCCCTTTTCATTATCCCGACAATCGGAACGACCGGCCGGCTGGAACAGCTAATAATAACAAGAAAGAAAGAAAAAGACTTTCCATAATTACCTTGATTCTTCCAGCCCAGCATCCATCAGTAATTACCTAGGCTATTAGGCTCACTGATCTGAATCCCGCGTAAACATAAGCATGCTGTATGTACACATGTAGCATTGTAGATCCCGCGGGGGTTTCGTCAGTTCGCCGCCGCCGCCGGAGAAAATTCCTGCGCTGCGTGCAGTGTAATGCAGTGCGTGCAATGCATGGCATATGCAGCATGGAGATTACATTTTATATCCTCACATACAGTGTATATATGCACGATACAGTGCAGTGCACACACACACACACTGCAGACTAACACCCCTCGGCCATGGATATGCACTAATTAATTAGAGTCCTCCATCCAGCGTCCCGGATGATTATTCCAAAGCAAAGACCCCTCCTCCATGTGCGAACCTCAGCTAGCTGCACGCACGCCCCCTCAAATGAATATATATATATGTATATCCGTGTTTGTTAGGTTTCAGTCCAGAACATTCCATACTATATGCCGTGAAACATCGAGGAAAAAAAAACAAAACCATGTCAATATGACGCGCGGATGTGGTTTGTTTGGGAGTGGTTGAGGGCGGGGTGTGGTAGCACAGTACGCCTTGTAAGAAAACAAAAACAAAACACAATAAAGAAAAAAAACATTTCAAGATACACGCAGGCATGATGGATCTGTAGATTGCGTTCTAATATAAAATCCTTCCGAAGTCGGCAATTGCCCTGCCGAAGCTAGCTGTACTCGTACATATTACTTTGACTCCCGGGTGCATGATACATGATTCCTTCCTTTCCAGTTCTTTTATTGTATTTCCAAAAAAACAAAGAGTCCGTAACTCCTGTGCTTACGCTTGCTGCATTGTGGCAGGCAGGCAAAGCAGTTTCATCGACATCAGCTGGCTTCGTGCTAGATTAGAACTATAGCATATGTGTAAAGAGGTAAAAAAAAAAGTCTGACGCAACGATTGGGTATCGAGAGGCGGCAGACAGAGAACGATAAACAAAAAAGGTTACAATGTGATACAATCAAACAGCCATCTGTGGAGGTGGTGGCGGTAGAGGCATAGTTGGCGGTGGTAAAGGTAGTGGCATCGTTGAAGGTGGTTGAGGCAGAGGCATGTTTGGTGGAGGACGAGGTGGTAGAGGCATGTTCGGCGGTTGTGCACGTGGAGGAAGCCTAGCCATCGATCGAGTCATCAACTGGGGCGCCGAATGTTGCCGCAAAGGCTCCGTGAGGACGTTATCCCGGAAGTAGCCCGACTTAGACTTGGTAATAGGTCCCGAGAGCAAGTTGCTTATATTTGTCGTAGGTGGGGGACCTGCAACTGACGAAGCTGACGTCGAACGATGCACAGAACGCAGATTAGAAGCGAATGGCGCGTGATTGGTGTTGATCTGCATGCTGTTCGGTCGGCGTAGTTGGTGGTAGCTTGGGGTTTGGGGTGGTGGCTGCTGGACAGACATTGGTCGATTTGGCTTGATTGGAAAAGGCAATGGTCGTCCAGCTGTCTGTCTTCGTCGCGGGATTATGATGGCCTGCAGATCTTTAGATTCACGCTGAGCAGGTGGGACATTAGAAACTGTCGACTGCCGGAAGGGTAGAGGCTGAACAAGCTCTAGAGTAGTGACACAGGTTGTCTGGTTCATTGTAGGTTGGGAACTTTGAGCTTGGCTGGGCGGAGATCTACTTATGGATTGGTGGGTCGGGAGCGAGAAGTTGAAAGACGGCGAGGGAGTCGTTCGTTCGCGCAAATGCGGTGCTGATTGCTGTCTAGAAAAGCTCTCGTCTTGAGGAGATGGTAGAGACGAAGCGCTGGATTGTCCGGATCCACGTCGTCCCAAAGACTCCGTATGACGGGTGACACAAGACATATCTGGCATAGCGGACCTACGACGACTAAAGTTGACTGTCTTCGATACTGGAAAGTCCTCGCTGGCTGAAGGAGCCGCTTTTCCTTCGCTGAGCGTATACGACGAGATTGGGGAGAATGACTTGCCTCGCGGGGGTGGGCTCAGAGGGGGTGGACTTATACTCCTGGGCGGTAGAGATTCCGAAAGTGGCAGAGGTGGAAGTGGTATTCTTGGAGCCGGGGCACTTGTGCTCCTCCTGAAAGCAGGTGGCTGTTTTTTCTCTATGGGTATACCAGGTCGGTATCGAGGTGGACGATTGAAACCTGCAGATATCGAATCTTGTGATCTGGTGTGCTCTGAAGAATCAGTGGTGTCTTCGTCCGTGGTGGGTAATTTGAATGTCTGAACAGAGCGCCTCCGGTTGCTGCCCAGGGTTGGGTTCATGGCGAATGATTTCAAGGATGTAGGGTCCCTTGACGGTTCGACCAACTCAGACCTGAAGAAGGTTTCAGCCATTGGCGATGCTTCTGGCGTGGATATGCCAGAGGTGGCTTCAGTCAGGGTATCTGAGACCGATGTCGCAACTGACATGATTGACAGCCGTGAACCCTCCCGTAGCTGATTGAGCTGAACGCTTCCTGGAGATATTGTCGTCATTGTTTCCGACGAATGTCGAGCTGAAGAAGGCTTTGATGATTTGACAGAGCCTGATTCAGATCCGTTCAAAGATAGACGACGATTAACGTCATCCCACTCAGAGGCCACGATAGTAGGCGATCCTGACGTTGTCGTTGAAGCATTTGACGGCTGTACCGGGCTACCATTTATATTGTACTGGTGGGGATCTCTTTGCACGGAATATCTATGACTCGGGTTTCGCTCCAGATGATGGGCAGAAAAGTCATCATTGGGAGATGGTGCCTCAGTCCTGTGCTCCTTTCCACCAAGGACATCAATCTCTTTGCGGACCGCATTCAACCAGGAGTCCATATCTTCTGCGCTTTCGAGCACAAGAAGAAAATTCGAAGCTTGTCGTCTAGTGTTGGCGTTCTGAAGGCGTAGTCGAGCCATCAATCCCCTTTGATTCGAGGCAACTGTACCATCTTCTTGGGCTGTTTGAGAGATTTGCAAGACCCAGTGCTTGCCAGAAATGATATCTGAAGCAAATGCAGCAGAATCAGGGCCGAGCTGCAGAACCTTCTCCGGAAGTCTGTCGAAGGCGCCAGAGCCTGCATACTGAAGGACGTAGCCCGAAGTCACCAGAATGTAGATTTTCGTGGTGAAGTCGGATACATAAAATGGTACTGCGGCTGAGAGCCTTTTTGACGTCAATTTACTCCTCTCAGGTTTCCCGTCCTCCTGCTGCGATAGATCTTGTCGTCCTTTGGCTATGTTTTCTTTAAGGATACTCTGCTGTCTTCGATGCTCTTGCTGTGATCTGAGCATTGACTCCGCAGAAGATGTGGAGGAGGTTAATGTCGCGTATTTAATGGCTTGAGGGTAGGCTTGGAACAGCGGTGGAGGAGTCCAATGTGCGTTATGTCTTGAGCGTCTCGGGACCGAACTCGCAGATTTCGACGATTTGAGCTTCGTGACGTCTTCTCCTGGCTGTCGCGCCAGCAGTACGTTTGGCGCCGTCGATCCTGGAGAAGCAGCTGGCCGCAATGCAGATTTGGGCGGTATAGGAGGAGCAGCGACAGCCGGAGTGGGTGGCGTCTTTGGTCGCTCGGGCAATTGTAGCCCTACTTCGTGATGTCCCCGTGCTCGCTGGACGTTTGGCTTGCTGAAAAGATTGAAAAGCGACATTCTTGATCCCTTCGCTTGTATTTTGGGCGCCTTGGAGTCGATGACCATCGGAGTTGGCTCGTCTTGTTTGGGAGGTGATGGTTGAGCCATGAGTGATTGCCGCCATCGGCTAGGTGGTCTTCCATTCTTGTTTCCCTTCATGGGTCCCAATATATCCTCGTCGCGCGACATGGCGATTTTTAAGCAATTATGACCCGGCTATAATAAGGCTACCAGTGTGTAGTACTCAATAGAGACGTTGACGACAAGACGACAGGAATCGTGATGCGCACAATGGACAATTCAAAGCCAAGAAAGACTGTCGGTGGAGCACAAGGAACGTCTGGGTGCGCAGGAGTAAATGAAGAAAATGCTATCGTCGAAAGCAGTCCGTCGTGGCGTTAAGTCGTCCGGCTCAGGAAGCATGAGGAGGGATATGGCTTCGAGGATAGGCGACAGAATCCCAGGAGAAATGCGGCGTGGTCAACCCAGTGTATATAGGGAGGTGAGGAAATGGACAGAGTTGTTGTCAGAGAACGGCTTTGAGAAGAGATCACATCGGCATGATAGATCAAAGGAGAGGACAGGGCCAGCGGCCCCAACTGAAAGAAATGAAAGCTGTAGAGGAGGAAATGCAGGAGGTGGGCAGGCAGAAGAGAGAGACGAAGAAGGTTTAGTTGTAGATGTTTCACGTAGGAGAAGACGGGGAATGCTCGAGTCGCGGATGTTGAAGGTTAGCCGGGTTGGGCATAGCAGTGCGCCGCGAGTCTGGGCCCGGGGTGAGAAGAAGCTCAACGGTCAAAAGTCAGGGGCTCCCGTAACTAGCGCGTATCTATCACAGCTTGGCCTTTCTGGTCACACATATCACTATTATTGCTGCGAGCAAAAGCAAAACGTAGGAATGTTGGCCTCGCTGGAATTTGGGCATGGGTCAGGCTTCCGGAGCTGTTGCGAAACCAGGACTGCGGACATTCGACGTTGCGAGAGGCGCCGGACTTGGACGCGATAGGAAGAGACACATGGCGAAAAAGATGAGAGACGAGATGAGACGGGAATGGCATACCAGGACAGGGGAGGGCGGGATGCCATGGCCCCCCTCGACGCTTGTCCTGGTTCGCAGTGTCAAGCTAGACATGTTTATAGTAGCAGGTAACTAATATCGATTGTCAATGTTCATCCACTCCGACTTAGGCAGACGATTGGCATGAGAGTAGGGGAGATTGGGTTTGCAGGCATGCTGTTCTCTCACTCGTCTTGTTTCGAGTCGAGTGGAATGTGTTTGAAGACGACGGCAAGAGACAGAAAGGCGATAAAGCGTCCTATTTCGAGGTGGAGGGGTGCGGGATGATCCTCGTAGCAAATCCGATAATCGGTTCGCATTTCCAGCCATCGCTCATCGACAAAAGAAGCCTCCTTATTATAGTATACATGATCATCGATATTAATGACCAAGCGCAGTCAAAAGAGGCACGGCTGACAGCAGCATGGATGCTGCAGGTGGGCGTGGGCGTGGGCTGCAGTAATTAGTTTTGAAGGCCTAAAGTCATGGATAGGTAGGTATAGGTATTAGGCTGGGAAACCTATTGAAAGCCACCCTCTCTCCCTCTCCTGGGCACATCTCTTGTCATGAAAGATGTTTACTGGGGGGCAGCGGGCAGGCGGTGCGGCGCGAGAGGGCGGCGAGGGGGGCGCAATGGAGCGTTTGGAGAGGGGGACGAGGGACGAGGGACGAGGGACGAGGGGTGAACCTTGGCGCCTTTTTTTACTACGTACAGTCCGCCTTTTGCGGCTTCTCACCCCTCTCCCCGCGCCTTCAAGCCACCAACCACCAAAGAGCCACGTACTCAAATATACTCCGCAATGCACCACACCTGCGCACCATCTGGGCGCCACCCATTGTCCACCTGTACTGTTGCTTGTTGTCGTAATTCCTGTACTGTAGCTTTCACGCCTCGTCCCACCTGCACGTGTAGGCGGGGAAGCTGCGAGAGCGATCCATCCATACTGTAATTAATCAATCCATTGAATCACATTCCTACCTAACCACCACCTCAGGCCATTCTGGCGTGTTCACCACTCCACCCGTACCTTCATTCTCTACCTGTTGACCTAGATACAGCAGTAACATCTATCAGCTACTATCTCACACCTCTCAATCTCTCCATCCGCTCTTCTCTGCCAGCTGCTCAACCAGCTCTTCTTTTCTCCCGCAAACCGAGCAATCCATTCTCTGTCATCACCTATTTGCCCTTTCTACAAAACCTGACATGGCACCCGACCTCAATACTCTGCCTCCATCTCGACCTGTCTCCGGCTCCAATAGTCCTCTACCTCCGAGAATGGCTCAGCCTGCAGAAGCCCTCACTCAATCTCCTTCGTCGCCTCCGATACCTGTGCCTCACTCTCCGAGCCACTCTCTCGCCGCAACTGCCGCCCTGAACGCCGGCATACACAACGAAGAGTCTCGCCGCACTTCTGGTGGCTCAATACGTCGCGACGCTGACCGTGCTCGTCGTCGTTCAAGTATTCGCATGAGCCTGAATCTCAACGATCCAACTGTCCCCGCACCTGGTGAGCTCCAGATAAGCCCTTCGTTGCGTACACGCAATGCGAACTTTCCGAGCCCTCGTCATGAGCGCACCCCCAGCCTTGGCGAGCTTCATCAGGAACTAGAAAATGAACAGGAGGCCCAAGTGGTATGTTCCAAGTGACTCTATTCCATAGGACTTTCCAGTCGTGTTTTCAGATGCATGCAACTGACCATCCTTGATAGAATCGCCTTCTCAGCATGATCCGACAACAGCAGGCTCAAATCATAAGCCTGTCCAATACCCAGACTACACCTGCTCAAGGAGCTGCGGTTGACGACTCCACACCGACCTCAGAGCGCTCCTTATCTCTACCCCAGTCTGCCACCGTACCAAACGCTGCTGTCAACCCGCTACCCCTGTCTCCGCGACCTCGACAACATGGAGATCTCTCCAGACAATCGTCTTACCGTGAGCAGTCTCGTGGAAACAGTCGCTCTCCAGCCCTACGACCTGTGCCTCTTAGCTCAGGCTCGCGGAGCGAAAGTAATGAGTGGCTGTCTGGTGGATTGAGCAATAGTCGAGATGAGAGCGCATTCTACCAAGCTGAGACCCAGATGCTCACGCGAGAGAACCAGATGCTGAAGATGAGGATAAGGGAGCTTGGTAAGACCAGATATCTACTGGAAATAATCAGATTGACTGACACGGTTTGAAGAGCGCCAGATTGCAGATTGCAACCCGATTCCCAGTCCGCATGCACCTGCCCTGCCTTCGAATCTCGCGACATCCCCTCCACTTGAGGCTCAACAGACAGGAGTACCTGAGAACACGCCTTTACCACCTTCTGCAACTGCATCCAGTACTACTGCTTCATGATCCGGACAGCTATCTACACTACCAGTTTTAGTATAGCATCGACAGCAGTTGCATCACAGTATCAGAGCAGCATATAATTACACATTGAGGTTCTCGTTCGGGACACGCCATACATATGTTCGCCGCCACTCGATCTGCAGCAATCTTGGGTGTGTGTCCGCTCGGACCGAAGTGTACCAAAGACTCCCCGGATAGTTTTAAGAAGACAACGCTGACGTTCCACTGCCGAACACATCTAATTGGCCGTAGAACTCCCGATCGACAAGCTCTTTACTAATGTGTCCTAAAAGATCTGAAAGGTCGAAAATCCCAAAAGCTTGTGTACAATTCCACTTGGAATGGGTGGCCTGTGTGGTGGATGATAACTATTCTTGGAAAGCGTCACGCCGGGAATTAGTGCGTGCATGCGGTGGCTGTCAGTATGTTCCCATCCAAGGCACATATCGCGGATAAAGGAACACTGGGCAATGTCAATTGCGTGGCATGTCTTTCGGCGAAGCTTATACAGGTTGGGCCTGGGCCCGATTAGATTGAACTAGCACATCCTGATTGCGGATTGTGCAAAGCAAGAAGCAAAGAGCAGATGTGGAAACATTAGAATACTGCAGTCATTCGCACACGTGAGTGACTAACAAGGTAACGGTAGAGCAGCAGCATAATCTCTCTCTCTCTCTCTTTCTCTTTCCTAAACACTCCCCCCTGAAAAACATCTTCCAGACCCTTATGAACTTTTCCTGCTCCCCACGATCCCAACAATTCCCTCTGGCACACTCTCAAACTCAACTTCCTCCCACGCACACCTCACTCCACTCCCCAACGGCACACTCCGACTCCACCGCCTCCCCTCCTGCACACTCTCCTGCACACCCACACCGAAGTGACCGCCTCCACCAGTTCCCCTAACCACCACCTTCTTCTCATCACCGTAATCGAAATCTGCATCAGAAAGACATGCCCGCGGTCGCCGCGCCGCAGCAAGCGTCTCACTCAGCGTCCGCGAAGCCCCTCGACGGAGAAAACTCGGTCTTGCCCGACCACCACTGCCACCACTTCCACCACCACTACTACCCGTCGTCGACAAAGGTGTGAAGCGGACAGGCGGGGACGGTGTTTGAAGGGCGATGATGCGCGCGCGGATGTGTTCCGGGGTGCTGGTTTGGAGGGACGAGAGGAGGGTGGTGAGTTTTGTGCGGTGGGGTTGTTTGGTTGGGGGGAGGAGGGGTTTGTTTCTGGCTGTGGTGATTGTGGTGGTGTGGAGAGATGTTTCTCGGCTGAGATGCGCCGTGAGAGATGTCTTGGTGATGATGATGGTGTGAGAGGCGGAGTCTTGATTGTTGCTATTGCGGATGAATGGTGCGATGGGTATAGATGTGCGCGCAGGAGGACAGAGCGGGAAAGATGTTTGCGGTATGCGGAGAGGGGATCCAGCGGTGCGAGGTCGAGGAGTAGGGCCAGACATGCCATCGAGGCTATGAGGAGGGTCGTGGACGCGTGTAGGTGGGCGGTCGAGTGTTTGGAGGGCGAAAACCCCGTGGAGTCGGCGATGTGTTGCTCCTCTGTGGCGATGTGTTTCAGCGTGAATGACAGGTGGTCGTCGAGTGTTGACTTGATTGAGGATGCGAGCGAGGGGTCGTTGAGGAGGACACGGAGGGCGGGGGCGTTGGCGGAGAGGAGAGCTAGGCTGACGGGTGTTTGGCCGTGGAAGTTTCGTGCTGAGGGCAGAGCGCCGTGGGTAAGGAGGAGTGCTGCGGCGGCGGCGGCGGCAGGGGCTTCGCAGGGAGAGCAAGCGTGGTGTAAAGGGGTGTCACCACGGGCATCTCTGGCGTTGACGTCGGCGCCCCAGGAGAGTAAGCTGGCCATCAGGGCAGTGTGTTGAAGATAGGAAGCCTCATGTAAGGGGGTTTCTCCAAGCACGTTTCGGGCCGCGATGCTGGCGCCTCTGTGTCGGAGGAAGTCGACGACTTCGAGTTGGCCTTTGGAACAGGCGTATGAGAGTGGGGTTCGTGAGAAGCCGTCGATGGATTCCGATTCGATGCCCATGTTCAGGAGCTCGGAGACGGCTTCGAGTTGCGATGTCTCGATTGCTTTCCTCAGTGAGAATGGAAACCACTTTGATGGGATGTCTAGATCGACGGCATCTAGCATGGTCTCGGTCAAGCCTGCTATATCGCCAGCCTCGACGTGGTCGGTGAGCGTGCGGTCCAGTTTCAGGAGCAGTCTCTGCGACCTGGAGTCACTCCAGAAAACATCTGTATTCATTTGCTGTTGCGGGAGTACATCGTCGACTGGTCTCGGGTCTGGGGAAATCTTTTGGACTGCGAGGCTAGATGAAAGTTGCTCTTCCGGTCCCGAGACTTTCACGGCCTTGTCTTTCTTCATGAGCGTTCGCATGGTGCGTCGACATGCCTTGGAGTCAAGGACATCTTCGTCGAAGGAGAAGATCGGGCTAAAGCTGGAGACGTTCGTTTCGTTGCTGCTAATAGTGTGATCGGTGAGACGAGATTCCGTCTCTTTAAGTAGATGCACCAATGAGGTATCATCATGGATTTGAAGCCAGACAGGTTCTTTGGTACTTTCCAACATTGCGAATGGTCCTGTTGAGAGGTCCTGCGTTTGGAGTCCAAGAAGTTGAGAGGGCATAAAAGGCAACGCATGCTACACTATATCAATAGGCTGCAATTGTTGATAGAGCTAGAGGACTCGGGTTGGTAACCTACAGGGAAAGCCTCCGCCACTTCACGGTAGTTGGTACACCGAATGCCTTCTAGAAGTTCATGCCGTACGTAGAGAATTGCCTATACATGGGGATCAAAGCTGCCCGCTAGCATTGTTGGAAGTCAGGAGGAGTGTCTCGTCTCAGCCGTGGTCCGCAGGGACGCCTCGTTCCGGAAACGAAAATGCGGGCATCCAACATCGATTGTTCAGCGCTATCATCATCCATTCTATAGTTATGCAAGCATTCGTGGTCTTAACGAGCCCGACCACCGCTACTCGGGGTCCGACGATCTTAAAATAGGGCGTCTCATTCCTAGCCAGGAATGGAGAGTGAACAACCATGCTACCTGGATTCTTGTTTGACGTGGTCGGTAATTAGTAGATACTTCTCCATCGCTTTCGGAGGTGTCAAACCGGGTCGTCCCGGACAAAGCGCGCATATCATGAAACCACTACTGTGCCGCCTATCTGCTGCTTGAAAAGACATTCCTGATAGTTTGTTGACCGCAGCGATCACCCTGTATGATCCGTACGAGCAATGTTGTTTTTTTGATGCAGACGGCTCAATAGGTTCCGAATAACAACGAACAGCTCAATATCAAAAGCAACATGACTTGCTGCAGATGCGGAGGGACGACGAGCTGGAAGAAGAGTTTGTCATATTCGGGGCGAATGCCACCATTCATCCTCGTCCTGCCAGTCTAGGCTAGAGTGTCGGAACGCCAACTACTACATGGACCCAGGTGGTTTCTCGGTTATATTCACTTTCTGGCCTCTTGTGCTTATATTTGCTCTAGCTCGAGAAATCTCCCAAGGCAATGGCACTAGGCCGCTAAATTCGTTCAAAGCCATAACATTACATAGCGTGGGAATCCTGGTCCAAAAAGACTTTCATTGTTGATGCAATCGTCAGAACGAGCCACCATGTATGGTATCTTCACCTTATGCCAATAACGCCAATGAACTGCTCGAGAATTCGGCTCGACAACGAAATAGCCTGTCCAACGATGGCCTGGATTCATGGGTCCACACCTTCAACTTTCCGCAAAAATTCCTTCACTCTGCTAACATCAATACCATCAGAAGTCTCGCTCTCCACAGCCGCGACCAAGCCGGATAATGATTCCTCAATACGTGTCTCGTCTGTATTCGTACATATGGAAATAATTTTCCGGTACTGCGCCTCGAGTTCGCCGTTCCTTTCTTTGAGAGATTTGCATCGCTCTTGAAGATTGGAATTGTTACTGATATAGGCCGATAGACGAGCCTTCAGCACATGAACCGGAGGTAGCGAATAAAGGAATGCCTGGTGTGGCCCAGACAATGTGTCAATATCCAGGTTTCCATTAATCGATGAAGTGAATTCAGGGGCGGTCGATGACGGAAGGATCGTCGTGAGAGATAAAACACTGTCTGGTAAATGGTCTGCCCTTACGGCGACTCCGGTATCCAAATCTGCGTCCCCAATAGAGCAGGCCTTGAGTCTCGTCAATGCTGCGGGCTCTTTGTTGGCAAGTGCGCGCCTTTGCGACTCGGCCCATCGACGGAGGTTCTGTATACGTTGCAGACGATCAGACCTTACCTGATTACGCTGGCGGAGGACATCAAGTTTTTGCGATTCAAGTTTCTGGTGTGTAGAAAGCTCCTTAATCATACTGTTTGTTTTATCGATCTGATCCTGCTTTATTCTTGTTTCTGCGCTATATTGCGTTTCCGCTTGAGAGAGGAACGAATTAAACACTGCTCGATCATTAGCGTCTCAAAGTCTTGTTATCTGCAACTGGTTAAGCACTCACGGGGCATGATCTCTCGGCTTGTTTCTTCACTTCGGCTCAACGGCGCTTTGCCCTTGGGTGGTGATCCAGCTTGGCTTTGTGAGTATCCAGACTTGTCCACGTCGACACCGACTCCAAATTCAATAGGCCGCATCCCTTTGTAATTAGGAATAGTGACATCAGCCTGTACTTCGAGAAGTTGACGAATTATACTGCGATTACCAATCCTTGCAGCCAGATTCAAAGCAGTATTTCCGCTCTTGTCTCGGGCATTTACCATTTCACCCATGAAACGCATGAGGCCTATTGGCTTATTACTAGAGCCAACGTCGAAGGAAGCTTGTTGCCCATTTGCTGAATTGCTGCGTACTAGAAATTCCAATAGGGCTTCCAAGTAGTATTTACTCGAAGAGGCCCTTCCTTTAATTGCACACGTAACTGCTATGTGATGCAGAATGGTGCGGCCCTGGTGGTCCCTGAACTCGATTAGAGGAGATAAGATCTCCAGCGTTTCAGGAAAGCAACTATGATCCAAGCTGTTATTGACCGACACAGCGCTCATTAATGGAGTCTGTCCCGCAGCATTGCCACGGAACATATTGGCACCTTTCGAAACAAGCAGACGCATCAGTGAGACTCGAGCCAGAGTAGCAGCCCAGTGCATTGCGGTGTTCGCGGCATTATCGATTGGCAAATCGAGTTCAGCACCGGACAGGTGACGAAGCGCTGGATGGTCGGCAAAGTCGGTCCTAGATGTGTCTGCAAAGAGATCTGTTAAGTATGCCTGCTTCTCGTCTGTCATCTTATTTTTGGGAGGAGGTAGTGGTGGCAAAGCAGTGGGTGCTTCGCCCTCCACAGGCGGTACTTGTGGCAAAGACATCTGCCCTGTGAACGATTCATTCGGTTCTGTTGGCGAACCATCCCGCATTGCAACATCACGTCCACCGTTAGACTGGGCGAATGAATCGCCATGGTCCGATCGCATTCGTTTTCGTGGTGGCTCCTGTGTTTCCATTCCGTCTGCTCCGTAAAGTGCGCTGGATGTGCCATAAGTAGAATCACCTTGGCCTGTGGCACCGAAGCTTTTTTCGGAGTGTATACTCTGCATACTCTGTTGACTACTGCGAAACGATTCCTGACTGGCCATCGGAGGCTGCGACGGTCGTCCCCCTATTGTGCCTGGCCGACGCTGTGAGCTGCCTGGCCGAGGCGTAGGTGAGTTCATTCGTGCGACCTTGTTCATTGCAGCTAGAGCATTCGATGCCGTGGACGATATGTTTGAGAAGAATGTCCCATCAGAATTTTGGGCTGGCGCGCGTGCTTCCATCGAGGTAGTGTAGAAACGTTTACGATTCGCCGCCATGGCCTGTTCTTTGGTAGGCGTGTCCATACCTTGGCCGGGAGCGCCGCTCCCGTCTGCACTCACATCATACTCCAGTAATGGGCGTAATAGCTCTTCGACACCATACTGACGGCAGAATTCTCTCCCCCGCTTGTAATCAATCCACGTCCCTTGGTATTTTCCATAACCGCCCTGGACCTTTTCATGGTTTCCGGTCAATATCTCTTTCTCCAAAACTTTGGTTCGCTTTCCCTTGTCTACACCAGCGACTTTGAGGATTTGCGTTGCATTCAGCCAAGAGTCCGATCGCCTCCTCATAACAGCAATACCGTTGACTTCGAGCTCGTATACTGATACGCCCGAGTAAACAGCCTATTTGCGTCGAAAGTTAGCAAAGGCTCTAGAATGCGACATCTGCATCGTGTTATGGCGTACTGTGTATATTTGAGCGGGACCACCGTGCTGCGCAGGATTGAAGCCATTCGCTTCCGAGAAGGAGCGAAATGATCCTGATGGCGCCATCATACCATTGCTCGTGTTCGGATTATTGAACATCAGGTGCTGGGGTGTCTGCTGGCCATTGGAAGTAAAGGACGATGCACAGGCGTCGAATGAACCCGACGGGGTAGTCGTGATCTGCATGTTTGCTTCCATGGATGATAGCAAGGTAGGAGATTGCCCAATGGGTATGAACGACGACAACGATCCAGGTGAATAATGCTCGAGGGCCGAGCTCATCAATGCCGCGGCACAGTACGCAGTAAGCAGAGCGCAGGTGAATAACGACGGGTATGAGGGGCGAGGGAGAGGATGAGGAGGATTCATAAAGCGTCACTGCGACTAGAGCAGATGATTGTACTGCGCAAGTCCATTAGGACCGTGCGATGAGGATATTGAGACGTTCAGGGTAGGCTAGAAGTCTGAGATACGAACGGGGTGGTGGGCGCGTGCGGAGCCAGATGGATAGCATTCATGGTTCGCGTTCGCCGTCAGTCGCGTTTTCGCACTAATTCAGGTACTTACCGTAAGTAGATTCGCTCATTCTTACTCAGACTAATTAGTTACTGATATCGCTGGTCTACTCCTCTGCTCCGACAATTAAGGTGAAAATTATATCGGAGTTTGCCATCCATTGATGATACTATGCTCATACTATCCAGTCTTTTTTACATTTCTCGAAACGAAACTGAGCATAATCTCACTCTATGAGTGCAAACCTACCCCCCCGAGCGAAAACGACCCTCCAGTTATATCGAGCTCTTCTTCGGGAAGCAACTTATCTTCCTGACCCAGCTGCAAGAACATACGTGCACGATCAAGTAGTCAAGCGCTTCCGAAAGAGGCAGTGTATTGAAGATGTTGAAAAGATATCCCACGGATTACAGCAATCGCGGTCCTGGCTAAGCAAGCTGCAACGCGCGAACCATGGAGACAGTAAAGCACTGGGGCGCGTGCTCATGGACACATATGGAAGGTCTGGAGCTCGGCGGCGGCAGCTTATGGAGCGTGTCATTAACACTATGAAGCTCGATGCCACAGTCGACGGAACAGAAGAATGCCTCTACAGTGACCGAAAATTTGCATCTCGTGTGAGCATCAAACCGAGCAAAAAGGGCTATTCTTTCGCCGTCTCTAAGCGCTTCCCTCTACTCCATGCGTTGATGGCCAGCCCGATGGCCAGGTCAGATGACACCAAACCTGTGTTGTCGAAAGCCAGAATCTTTCGAGTACCTGCAAATAACATTTGGGAAAAACCTATACCTCGAAAACGATTAAAGAACTTAGCAAGATCCTGGGATGCTCGAGTATTGAGCGCGATATCGCTTCCGCTGCCTGCAGAAGATTACGAACGACTACGTGACATGGCCTCCGGCAAAGTACCATTTGAGGGAGTCCGAACGCGTCGTCCAGGGATAGTACCAATTCCCCATGACATGAGACAAAAAGAATTTTCTGCGCTTCTAGAATCACAAGTGTCGCTATTGCGACCTTCCACACATGATACAATCACTCACCAACAGGACAAACCATTCAACCCAAGCTCGCCATCTTTCCGGTTTGTTGACCTGGCGAACGAAGATATGATAAGAAAGAGTCTTTTAGATGACGCGATCGGAGCGCAGCGTCTAAACAAGGATTTCAATTGGCTGCGAAATAAACGTAGCACCACCATCACGCCGCGTATGATGCGACGACTATGGAAAAAGGTTCTTGCAGTCTCTTGTGCTGCGAAATGGGATGCCGTGGCATCTAGATGGACTATTGAAGGTCATTATGAGCCTAAAGTCTTCACAAGACCCGCGGAGCTACAACTAATTCCGTCGATCTCGGATGACATACAGGAGAACAGGAGTCCACAGCAAAACCATAGTTCTTAGAGCTTAAACTAGAGCCTTAATAAGTTCTGGTACCCAGCAGAAACTGAACTCTCTAATCACCATGAGTAGACCTCAAGATACTAAGCCTACTATGGGCTTAGAAGTCATCAAAGTAAGCACCAAGGTAGTTCGATCAATCTTGTGATTCGCACTTTCCCATGACCTACAAGACATGTCCAGGTCTTGAACAAAGTCGCCTACACGACTGCGACCACCAATCTCAAGGTTATAGATACATTTGTTGAATTCCAGAATCATTCACCAAGTCACGTCTATCTGAATTGAGGATAGAATGCAGCAATTACAATCTCACATCTCGTGTTGTCACGTGGTCTGATTACTAGCCATAGTCCACACATGTCATAAGGCGCGGACAAGCGCATTTCGTGCTTCCTCGCCATTCTACTCGCTCCTCTCAGAACCATCTCTTTAGCGGCAATACTCAAGATATGTCTTCTGAAGCTCAATTAAGGCATGCCACAAAAGAAGGCAAGTTCAACGACATTGGCTCAGTTCCCGATACAGTTGACCTAACGTCCACAATAGATGTGCCCGTGATCCTCAGTCTCATCAATGAGCTAGCAGCATATGAAAATGCTTTGAACGAGGTCAAAGCCACGGAAGATAGTCTACTGGAAACTTTGGTGTTTGCACCTTTCAGTCAACAGTCAGAGAAACAATCTTCCCCCACTCCACGGGCAGCAAGGGCTCTTCTAGTTGTTTCACCAGAGGGCGACGTCGCAGGAATGGCACTGTACTTCTACAATTATAGTACTTGGCACGCTAAACCTGGAATCTATCTCGAGGACTTGTACGTCAGCCCAAAGTACAGGCGACACGGCTACGGGACTATCCTTCTTAAAGCGTTAGCAAAGGAAGTTGTTGGTATGGGTGGGAAGCGACTCGAGTGGTGGTGTCTCAAGTGGAACGAGCCATCCTTAAAGTTTTACGAAGGCCTTGGTGCTACACAGATGACCGACTGGATTTCATTGAGAGTGGACGGTGACAAACTGCTCGAACTTGCCAATGAGGCCTAATTAGATCGCTGTTTGACTCGATAATGAAGCTGTCTATCACGAAGAAAAAAAGTATCTGTTGGCCCTGCCAGGCTCCACCGCACTACTCAATGGGACGGGAGCGCATTACTGTGGAAGGATTCGGAAAATAATGTTATTTGAGCCTCCAGTCTCTATCTCTGGCATCTTTCTCCAGGACCTTACACACGTGAATCGAACCACACAAGCAGCCAAAACACGTGCCTCGGCGTGGCTTCCAGCTTCCAGCTATCGTCGATACCAACTGCGATGATAATCCCCTTCAGCCTCACTGTATAACGAGTATAGTTCGCCCAATGACCTTCCATCGCAGCAACAGCAACGATGTACATAACCCGGATGAGACTATTCATTCTAGTATCATGACGCTATATGATGATAAAAACAGTATTAGTCCAGTGAAGCCTACGATGCATCTGTTCTAGGATGAGAGTATACACTGATGCCTTGGAGACATTTCTCTAAAGGCTTTGTACAGCACGATATGTAATATACCCGCAATAGCTTCTCTGATTGAAGATCTTTGTGTTTCAGCCTTGTTGGCTCCCATTAAAGTGCTCTTATTCATGGTCTCGTAGTTGATCAGTATACACAACAGGGAGTCTCAATCTCGCGCAGATTGGATTTCCCAAAATGACTTGGTCAAGAACACTGTGCTCAAGGCGAGGGCCAATTAATGCAGACCAGCTAGCATGTGGTAAAAGATGAGGTCGTATTTAAAGGCGGTTAATAGGCTCGTCGGAGTCGAGTCTGCCTACTTGGAACCGCTTGTGTCTTGCAATTTGAAGCACTCCGATGACGGTCTCCATTCCTTCATTTTGCACTGGGGGAATGCAATCTAGGAAAACGCTTCCCATAGGAAGGGCGTTGTTGCAATCCGGCAACTTGACGCCCCAACAATATGCTACTAGCTGGTTTAAAGGGCTTCATGTGAGATTTGCCACCAGCACGAAGTTTCCCGGAAACTTCTGAATCCTGTCAGCCATACCGTTTCTAATAGGCCAAGGATTCCCAAGCGAGCGTTGGCACTGACTAAAGTCACGATACAGGCAAAATACAGCATCTCTAGATCGTGGAATGTTTGCTACTCAGAGGCTTGTTGATCGCTCGAATGGCGCGCCCTTTTGCTACAGAGCACAATTCATGCAGTCTAACTCATTCGCATAGTAGGAGTTATGCAGGGCAACGGCCAAACAAGAAGGTCCTGAGAAGGGCTGGATACGAAGGACTACTTCGATTCGATACTTCTCGTGTAATTTGTAACAGTTTCTATTGTGTCCAGGAGCACAAAATCAGATTGAACATCCATACAGGCCATCTATCTACAGTGATGCATCAGCTTCCTCATATGGCATGCTTTTATCACTAGTAGTAAGCCAAAAGGATCGCGTGCGCCGTCATAGGTCTTGGGATTCCCGGAGAGTCGCCGCATATACGAGCTTTGTAAATTGAGGACTCCAAACTATGACTGTTCAGAATAGTTTTACCTGTCGGAATTGAGCTGCTCGAGGGTACCGCGAGAGACACACTCTGACGACGTGAGCTATGGTGTCAGATGTCTACCACGAGTGCCCAGAAAGCTTGTTCCAGCTTTTGGCTAGAGAGGTGTCTCAAGCAACCACCATTGGCCCTTCAGCCTCCCCTTCTTATCCATAATCATGCTTAAACATATCTGGGACCCAAAGATGCTTTCTTAATGGTGAGAGGATTTCTTCATCACAACTCGCCTTGTTGTCTTCCGATCTTGCCCCTTCGATCAGCCCATGTGCCCCTGAGCGTACTAGAAACGCATACTGGGTGGTTACTGTAACAATCTCATCCCAGCCTTTCCTGGCATGCCTCTGAGAGAATTGGGTTGAATTGGTAGTCGAGGGTATGGATAGGATCTTGATACCAGAATAATGTCACCTTCAATCGACAGATACCCTGGACCCGTACTCTGTGGCACAACTTTCGCCCTCTCCTTTTGATAGAATCTTCCCCTCCTGGTCGTGCGTTGGAAATTTCTACGTCATTAGACACGGCGATGCGCCAATTCAACTCCCGTCAGATACATGACTTTTAGTCTTAATGAGTTGGATTCGTATTCTGACAACGAGTAAGACCGTAGGTACTCGATAGACCAAACCGCCACATTGTTCACAATAGCAATTACTTACAGACAAGATAACCAGGGACAGGCGTTACGGTGGCCTACTAGAACTATGTTTATGCTTCGTATATATTGAATCATTTTAGCAACGCTATAGGGGATGGTGGTTAGTCATATACCTATATCTTGGGTAATAATTTGAGAGCTTCCAGTTCGAAATAGCTCAGTCTATATAGAAATGCAAGTGGAACTTTTGAGATACATCGTGGGGGAAAATTCCTCATATATATGAAAGAAACGATATTGGGAAGGAGGAAGAAGAAAGAGAGAAGAAAGACATGCCAACCTAGAAGTTAGCATCCCCAGTCGAATTCCTCCTGCTCGGGTCTAAGATCCGTAAAATCCTTATATATATCTCCAATAAAAAATGCCCAAAGGCTTAATCGCACTAGTAATCTACGATGAACAAAGTACGCCTTGAAGCTAATTGACACGTCATGACAGGACCACAAGGCTCAACTTTGGCTTGCAGTCTCATTTGAGAGACGCGTTAAAGTAAAGCGACCTATAGATGAACAGCAAGCAGACCAAGCAGCAGCAAGCGGCGCATGGTTTGGCACCATCTCCCACCCCTCTGCCTCTCTCGACCCCACTCTCACCATAAATGTATCCCATATCCCCTACGTATCCAATAGAATGCGCAAGAAAAGGCCGAAAATCCTACTGCTTTCTACGATGAACGCGCTTTTGCCGTCATGCTCCTGTACTAGCCAATAGAGAGCGATGTCGACAACCGGTTCAGGGTTCTTTGCAAACCATGGTTCAGGCACGGGACAGGGGTTGAGCTATTCCTTTTCTGGAAGTTGAAGAGTCCTTGGATGTCGAAGTTTGGGTCGGGGGATATTTCACGAAATACAACGGCGAGGAAAAACTATTTTTCTCTTGTCAAGACAAGGTAACCAATTGTGAGTTGTCCCAAGACTTGACCTACGTCACGCCACATAGCTGTAGATAGTACAAAGTAAGCATTATAAAGATTGTTTCTCGCATTCGTTCTGAGCCATAATCTAGAGAAATCTATCATACGCAATCCCCAGTAAGCAGACCATAACCCACACTCGGCGTGGTTCAATAGCGTCATGACCCAAAAACCGATTCATGTGCATATTCGAGATGGGGGTCTACTCCACGCAAATGCACGACTTAGTGACACTTCTAACCATGCTCTATTTTTCAGAAGGCTCCTCGACTTCGGTCGGCTGCACCGGCTCACTGTCGGCATCCTTCATCTCCTCGTCCTTTGGTGGTGGCTGCTCGGCAGCCTTCTTGGCCTCTTGCTCAGCCCGTTTGGCGGCTGCGGCCTCTTCTTGGGCTTTCAGTTTGGCCTGTCGCTCTTCTTCAATCTTGTCATTATAGCGCGTGATGATAGTAGCAGCAGACGCCCGAATCTCTTCGGCTTTGCTGATATAGACAGCTTTGGACGCGTCCTCTCCGTCTTCATATAGCCAGTCCTGAAAGCAGGTTAGTAAGTCATAGAATGACAAGAGGATAGGAATATTACCTCAGTGGCCTCTAACTTGGCTTTGACTTTTTGTTTCTCCTCCTCACTTGCAAATTCAGCGTACTGCTCGTCAAGCTTCCCTCTTAACTCATAGATGAAGCTCTCAAGATCATTCTTTTGTTGCTCGGTATCGGCGACAAGTTTATCTTCCATGAACATCTGGCTTTCTTTCTCCAATGCAGCGTCTTTCGATGCTTGATCCAGAGACAGGGTTTGCGCCGTCACAGGTAGCTCACCTTTCCGTACCTGTTTCCTGACCTTCTTTGTCTTGGGCTTTTCGTCAGTCTCCATCTTATCACCCTGATTCAATGTTAGCTGGGGTAAAGTAACAGGGATGTAAACATCAGAATCAGGAGTATAATCGGATACCTCCGCACGCTTCGTAAACTTCGGATTACGGGGAGAGTCTACTGGAGGAGATGTTCTCTGACGCTTCATCGAAGAATCGAAAGTTGAGGACTTGACAGGAATTGAATCGCGCTGGAAAGAACTGGTTGTACGTACTTCGGTCTTCTCGCCTTCCTTAGGCTCTGGAATGGGCTCCTCAACTTCTTGATCCTCAACGTAATAGCCTTGCTCTACATTGAGAACACCATTGAGGTTCAAACGCGCTTTAAGTTTACAGATCATGAAGTCGTCTTTAGAATCAGCTTGAACACCTTTGACGGTGAAGTTGCCAATCCAAGGATTTAACTTGCCAGGCAACTGATCCGGTTTGGCATATTTGGCCTCAAGAGCGAAGGGCTGTTTGCGATAGAATGTGAGGATCTTCGTCGAAGGCATGGTGTTACCCTTGTTGAATACTGTAAGGCTGGTGTCTTCGTCCGGGATATCGGGAGACTTCTCCCAAGCAAACTCAACGGGGTATGAGACAACATCGTGGATGGAAAAGTCGCGCACACGGAATACGGGTGATAGGATGGCACAGCTGAAGGCAGAGCCACGCGCAACAGCCTCATCCTGATTGAGGGTGAAGGACAGCGCTTTACCGAAGAAGTTCTGGATGGCTGTTTTCAGTGCGGGAACACGGGTGCATCCACCGACCATCTCGATGCCGTCAATATCCTCAACTTTAAGCTTTGCGTCCGCCAGGGCCTGCTCGATTGGTCCAGTAGCGCGTTCAAGAAGTGGTTTGACCAGTTCTTCTAATTCCTCACGCTTTAAGAAGCCTCTGACATCAACGTCATTCATGACCGATTCGATGTTGATCGGTGCCAACGCATTGGCTGAAAGAATCTTTTTCAGCTTCTCGCAAGCTGCTGCCACTCGCACTTTGGCCTTAGCATTCTCGTTGATATCAATCTTGAACTTCTCCTTGAACTCTTTGGCAAAATGATCTACAAGTGCCTTGTCGAAGTTCCTGCCGCCAAAGTGGCGGTCCCATGCCGTAGCTTTTACGGTAAGCTCACCCTTCTTGAACTCTACGATAGCACAGGTGTAGTTGCTATGACCTATGTCGATGAAAGCGACCCTGCGCGGCTTCTCCTCTGGTGGAGGTAAGTCAGTCTTCGTGATACCATAGCCAAGAGCGGTGGCAGTTGTCTCATTAATGATGCGCAAAAGCTTCAGTCCAGCGATGTCGCAAGCGTCTATCAGAGCCCGTCGCTGGGAGTCTGTGTACCACGCGGGACAGCTGAGTACGAGGTCGGGATTCGCATTCTTTGTGTCGGCATATGCGGTATTCTTAAGTTTGGTGAGGAACATTGCCACGAGTTGAGTGGCAGTGAACCTTTGCTTTTGACCCAGGTATGTGACTTCCGCACCGACTTGCCCGTCCATCTCTACCAAAGGCGCACCAACATATTGCTGCTCAAGCTGGACATCGGGATCGTTGAATGGACGCCCAGCTAATCGGCTAAGTGAGCTAACGGTGTTCTTGAGGTTGGAAATCTCTTGAGTTTTTGCGGGCTCGCCTAGATATCTGCTCTTTGGGCCGAAGCCTACGAGCGACCTGTCGATGTGTCAGTGAGGGAAAGTGGTATGTAATAGCCTGTACATACGGTGTAGCACGATTAGAAACTTCATTTGTGATCACGTCTACACCGCGATTCCTGGCTACGGCTATGACCGTGTTTAACGTCCCCAAATCTATACCAACAACACTCATTTTCGAGATGCAATCAGTCGTAAGAAGTAGAAGTGGGAGGATTGCGTTCGGTACGGGTAGAAGATTGAGGCTGTGGTGGGTGTTTTAAGAACTGAAGTGGGTGCGAGAAGTTGCGATGAGGGATAGGTGTTGACAGAAAAGACTTTGTTCGATAGCTGCGAGGCTGTCCACCGAAATATTCGGAAACCACCAGAAACTACGACTTGTGCCACACTGTGGCTGGTGCGCAAAGATGCCCCGCGTCGTGCGCCTCTGGCAGATCCGGATGGATGCCCGCTTGTTCAGTGTTTTTGTCTCCCGCTTGGCAGTCTCAATTTAGAAAAGATTATATGACGGATTTCATTGTGACCTGCTTTTGAGTGCTTGAGCACATCAAGTCATAAATGTCGAGGTGAGCTTCAGCGCATGGTCCAAGTACTGATATAGTGATAAGGGAACACAATATGCGGGGAGCTGGCCTGAAAGCAATCCGAATACGCTGGACATCGTCTGCTTTTCACGGAATTGCCATCTACTCCACCGCGCGGATTATAATCGCATGAAACTCACTGAATCTGTAAAGACGAGCCGTGCGTCCGTGGACAGCTATCCGTACCTTTGGTACACATACACATACCTAGGTACATACCTGGGAAAGAACCTTGCGACCTCAGTTGTCTGCGCCAATCGACAACAGTAAGTTACGTCAGCCACGCCAAGCCGTAGATCATAACATACAATTACCCAAGAAGCACTGCTAAATAGCCTCCCGTCGCGTTGTTTTGCGCAGGTCAATTCCTTCAGCACCTAATGGATGCAGTCCCGCAGTACCCTCTATATGGCTCGACATTTAATGTGTACAGCATATCTCCTTTATACCACGGTCGTTCGCAACTGCTCCTCGATGCAAGCTTACGATCGCATGCGCGACGACTGCGCAATGTGCTAAAGGGAGACACCCTCCGTGGTGTGCACATCGGTGTCGCAGCCACGGATAATGCAATAGCAAACCTCGGACCTCTAGAAAGCTGTACATGGGATCTGATAGGCGACGAGGCATCATGGGAAGAGACACACGCAAGCGACGAGCACGACGAAATGTCGGACGATCTTGCGCCTGGTGGAAAACCTATATCTCCAGAAGTAACCCGTGGAATACATATTCAACTGCAGTACTTGCAGACAACGCATACAGGACTACTCCTAAGAAACCCAGCGAGCAAACCACCTCCGAATGGGTTCACTTCAATGCCACTTCTACTCCTCCGCATGCCACAGCCCGTCCGCGAAGTCGTGCTAGAATACCTCACCACCACATTCGATACCAGAATCTCTCCCCTGAAGTTTCGTTCAGAGTTTCTATTGTCGTCACTCGAGTCTCTCCTCGCCCACATCACCGATCATGAATCGCCAGAGACTATACCAGACATTGTAAAACCACTTCAGATTCAACTCGCGTTTCCACAATTTACACAGTACGTCAAGCATATCGATATTACAATAGCAAGAGACGACTTGCACGAGTTTGTTTGCCGAGGGCAACAATTGAACGCCGGCTCCAACGCGCCTCTCACTACAGCGTTGGAGCTTTACCTCTCATCTCACCTAGCCCTCGACACGAAGTACATTCGTTCTGGCATATCGAAGGCTATCTGTGGCCTCTTCGCGCTTTCATCAGAGGGCAAATTGAAGCTTTTTGCGCCTGCACCAAGGTCATCCGACACCTCAGAAGACGAACGCGACACACTTTCACCTTCTGCGTCACAATTGTTTATGCGAGACTTCTACAGCCGCTTGGTTTCCGAAGCTTCAACGCCCCTTCAGCTACTATCCTCCACAATTCCAGGCGCGAAGGCGAAGGAACCGAGTAGGCCGGCACCTCGCAGGAAGCGTGAAGCGACGACTGATGTAGAGAATGGTGCAAAGCAGCGGAGACCTCAGGCGCGCGTACAGGATGACGAGCTTGCCGACGCAAACGACGCTCATACCGTGCGCAGCACAAACACACCAGCGAGACTCAGTGTGCCTGTAGATCCGCCGCCACCATACGAGCTCCATGATCCCGCACGGTCGCAGCGGGCGGGGTCGCAACCAGGACCAGCGTGAGATATACTATACTCTATAGGCGTTCGAGATACCCAAAGATACCCAGGCACACGAGGCGTCATTTTGTATATAACCTAAAATAAATCTATACCATTCGTGAAGGCTACTTTGTTACACATGCATCGCTGCTGGAGTGATTGAAAAGGGGGAAGCTAGACTAGGTACCTACACTATACATAAGGGCTAAATTGCAGCCCGATCCGCTCTACAAACCCACCCAAGATAGAGCAAGCCTATAATAGCATCTCCAAGGGGTGCTCAATTACTTTCTTAAGCTCTCTCATGAACTCGCCTCCAACTGCGCCATCGACAACCTTGTGGTCAAAGCTGCCGGTGATGACAATCTGGTCATCCCACTCAACACCGGTTGTGCCGTCCGCATTCTCAACTGGTATTGCTACCTTCTTGGTTGTGCCGATAGCCACAATAGTTGCTTGTGGAGGGTTGATAACAGCAGTGAAACGGTCGATTGCGTCATTCATTCCCATATTGGAGATTGTAATGGTACCGCCTTGGTATTCCTCGGGTTTAAGCTTGCCATCACGGGCGCGCTTACCGAGATCCTTAATTTGTCCCGAGATCGTGGTGAGGCCAAGAGCACCAACGTTCTTGACGATAGGTGTCATGAGTCCTACAGGCGTCGCGACAGCGACAGAAACATCAACTGAGTTATGCTGGCGAATCATGGTCTGCCCTCCGTCTTCACGCCACGACGAGTTAGCTGCAGGGACCTTACGAGCTGCCACGGAGACGGCCTTGACCAGAAAGTCATTTACAGAGAGCTTGTATTCTCCGTTAGCCTCAGCGTTGAGGGCGGCCCGTAGCTTGAGAAGCTTGCTGACGGAGATTGCGGATGCGACAAAGTAGTGGGGGTTTTCGTTCATAGATTGCTTAAGGCGATTAGCAATCGTCTTGCGCATGCTGCTGGCGGGGATGTCCTCGTATGATGCAGCAGGAGCGGCAGCGCCAGTAGCGGCTCCGGCAGCTGGCTTGTACTTTTCGATGTCCTGAACGGTGATGCGTCCACCAGGGCCAGAGCCTTTGACTTGGCCGATCGGCACGCCCTTCTCGAGTGCGAGCTTCTTTGCGGCTGGGCTGGCAGTGGACTCACGCTCCAAGACCGTTTCGAGTCTACCACCTGTCGAGTCAGACTCTTGTGGCTTGATGGAAGAGGAACCTGATTCAGACGATGGAGGTGCAGTCGATGAGCCCGAATTAGGGGGCTCCGACGATTCGGAGGCTTCTTCCTTAGGAGCTTCCTTTGGAGCTTCCTTCTCACCACCGGCGTCATCCACGGAGAAGGATTCGAATGCTGAAACGTCCTCTCCTTCACCGATCATAATCGCTATTGGCTATATCTGTATTAGTATCGGGTCTTCGAGTTTCTTCGGACAGTATTATAGCTTACGGATCCGACTGCAACATCCTTCTCGCCTGAATCTTTCAGGATCTTTGCGAGTGTTCCCTCGTCTTGGAATTCGAAGTCCATTTGTGCCTTGTCTGTCTCAATCTCGACCAAGACATCACCTGGTGCGAGTGAATCGCCGGCCTTCTTCTGCCATGTACCGATGTTTCCCGAAGTCATGGTGGGTGAGAGCGCTGGCATGCTGATAACAGTGTGCGGAGGAAAAGCTGCAAACGGCTGAAGTTAGCCAACAGATTACAGATAGAGTGTGATTGACAATTGTATACTGACACTTTGAAGCATAATATCTTGCGAGAGCGGCGAGTGCTGGTGTTCGCTTGCTGTATATTGCCAGATTAGCTCAAATCTGTGAAGCTTCGACAAGAACTAAATGAAATAGCTTACACGACAAATTGTGTACTTCTGGAGAATGATTGAGCACCTCCAACAACGATTGAGCTTCGCATGCAAAGCTGCGCCGAGGACCGCGCGAACATAGCTGGCGCTGCAGACATGATGACAGGTGCCGCTATGTCGGCAAGAAGAAGTTCTCAACGGATGAACTGGGCGCAAGGTGAGAAAGGAGGGAGGGCACCTGCCTAAGCTGCTTCTAAGTATATATCAGACAACAGCACCCGTCGAGATGGGGAGAATTGGAGATGGGAGTGTGCGTGAGGTAAATTATCCAGGCAACTCGGTGTAGGTATTAGATGCAGTTTATTACTTGCCCAACAAGAAAGATGGACAGGGCCACGGTTGGAGCTCCGCCCGATCTTTTCCTTAGCGCCCGCGTGGCAGAGTCCAAAGCCCAACAACCTTCAGGAAAAGTATGTATATTTATTCAATTGCCCATGCACATACAGCATTACTCTAGATCAGCTCAACAGTGAGACTACAATGGACCAGATGTCATACGAGCTCTACATTGACGATCTAGCATGTGCTCGCATTAATTAGTGCCCGTCGCCAAATCGCTGGTGCTAAATGTGGCCGCTTGACTAAGCTCCAGGGCTGGGCTGGGACGCCGGGATCCTGGCAGCTTGTACGTACTCAATAATGATATACTGTTTATTCTATGTGACTTTTGACCGGGTTGCTTCTACCTTCAACTATTCTGTACGATCTTGAAATCATTGGGTCTGTTTTCGGGCACGAATATTTCCGCGCCTGCTAATTATGCAATCCTAAGCATCACCGCCGCGACGACAACTCCTGAGGCTTACGACGCAAAACAGCCAACATGGCAGAGGATCAGCCGACTGTAGAAGCTACAGAGCCTATCCGTACGAATGGAGACACAATGATAGACGTATCGCTTGGACAAGAAAAGAAGGAAGCGGAGTCAAAGGACTCGTCACCAGTCGACTTGCAAGAGATACCCCAAATACAAGCAATAGATACGTCTGTGCGATCCGATCTCCCATCAGCCATAGCGACACCGGAACAACACCAGATACAAGAACCCGAAACACCGCGGTTCGTCGAGTTTAATAATATCAGCGCAGCGCGACCGAGGACCGACTCACAGTCTACAACCGCGACTACTGCCACGAGACCTTCGACCAGAAGCTCTCTCGTCTTTGTGACTACTGCGTTAGAAACGATCGCACAATCAAAGGATGCAAAGAGGAATAAGAAACTGGGGGACTCCACTCAGCAGGCCCTGACGGCAATCAAGGATGGTGGTGACCCGTCTAGGCTGAATCCAGAGATTCTGTTCTTACCTTTACAACTGGCATCTGAAGCGACTACGTTCTCGATTGTCATCACTGCCCTCGATTGCATCGGCAAACTCATAAGCTATTCCTATTTCTCGAATCCCGCCGAACAGCCCTCGACCGAAGCCTCCGAAGGCACTCCGCTGATCGAGCGCGCCATTGACACAATATGCGATTGCTTTCAAGGTGAAGCTACACAAGTGGATGTGCAACTACAGATTGTCAAGTCTTTGTTGGCTGCTATACTGAATGACAAGATTGTGGTACACGGCGCCGGCTTGCTCAAGGCTGTTAGATTGACGTACAATATCTTTCTCCTAAGTAAGTCCGGTGCGAACCAACAAGTCTCACAAGGTGCATTGACTCAGATGGTTGGTACGGTCTTTGAGAGAGTAAAGACCCGCTTGCTGATAAAGGAATCCCGCCTGACTTTATCCCGCACATCTTTGGACAAGAGTGCACCTGATATTGGCAAAGACTCCGACGATGTGAACGGCAGCGTTGGAGGCGTAGATGGCTCGCAAGCGAATGAAGATCAAGAGGAAGATGGAGACGCAGATATGAATGAGGACCCGAGCGATGTACCTGTCGACAAACATACTGGTCCCAAGATCACACTGCAAAGCTTTGAAAACAGCATGAATTTCAACGACGAGAGGATACATGACAATGCGCCGACGCTTGTTACAAGGGTCAAAGCACGACCATCGCGAGCTGCTTCCGGTCAAGAGAGCGTCGTTTCTGGAGCACCACACGATGTAGACGACGACGAGGAAGATGAGATCTACATTCGTGATGCATATCTGGTTTTCCGAGCGATGTGCAGACTGAGCACCAAGCCTTTGCCTGTTGAACACGCACAAGATATCCGATCGCCAAGCATGCGGTCAAAGTTGCTTTCATTGCACATTATTCACACGATTCTCCATAACAACATAGCCGTTTTCATATCCCCCTTCGCAACGATACAAAGCAGTAGCAGTGATGAACCAACACCATTCATTCAAGCCATCAAGCAGTATCTCTGTTTGAGCCTAAGTCGCAATGGCGCCAGCTCCATCAGCCGCGTATTCGAGGTTAGTTGTGAGATTTTCTGGCAAATGCTCAAGTACCTCCGCATCATGTTGAAGAAAGAAATAGAGGTGTTTCTGAAGGAGATATACCTGGCGACTCTAGAAAAGCGCACATCCGCTTTTTTCCAAAAACAATACATATTAACCATTTTCGGGCGTCTTGCTGAAGACCCACGAGCTCTCGTCGAGGTCTATCTGAATTACGATTGCGATAGGACTGCTCTAGACAATATGTATCAAAGGGTTGTCGAGAATCTTGCACGAGTTTCGAGCACCCCGGTACTCGTAACAGCTGCGCAACAGCAAATATATCGCGAGAAGCGAACAAAACAGTCCAATCATGGTTCGGATTGGCAAAGTCGAGGTCTTCTTCCCCCTTCTTTGGCTACTGCTGCAATGCATCCTCCACAAGATATCGACGAAGGCTACCCGCCGGAGTATGCTATGAAACAAGAGGCTCTCGAATCTCTGGTTCAGATTCTGCGGTCCCTTGTGAATTGGTCTCAGGAGGCAACGACGACATCGACTGCGGTACGCGAGAGCGATTCTCGCATTTCAGAAGATTTCCGAGGGTCGGTCGACACCCGGGAAGGCAATCTACCTTCGCCTAGTATCGGTGGAGACGACTCTGGAGCACAAACGCCCATGGCAGAGGATGATCCGAACCAAATTGAAAGAGAAAAGCAAAGAAAGACGGCCTTGACAAATGCCGTGAAACAATTCAACTACAAACCCAAACGCGGTCTCAAGGCACTGCTCAAGGATGGCTTTATTCAATCCAATAGCCCACAGGACATTGCGAAGTTCTTCATGACACATACCATTGTCGATAAGAAGGCACTTGGTGAATTTCTTGGTGAAGGCGATCCAGAAAACATTGCAATCATGCATGCATTTGTCGATTTACTGGACTTTACGAAGACACGTTTTGTGGATGCACTTCGGCGATTTTTACAATGTTTCAGACTGCCAGGTGAAGCTCAGAAAATTGACAGATTTATGCTCAAATTTGCAGAACGCTATATCACAGGTAACCCAAACGCATACGCGAATGCAGACACAGCCTATGTTCTGTCTTACTCTGTAATCATGCTTAATGTTGATCAGCACAGCAAGAAGATGAAGGGCAAAAGGATGACTCCAGAGGATTTCATTAAAAACAATCGCGGTATCAACGATAATGCAGATCTTCCGGAAGACTATCTGCGTGGGATATACGACGACATCTCTCACAATGAGATAGTACTGGAAGAAGAGCAAGAAGCTGCTGCCAATGCTGGGCAAATTCCCCCAGCTCAAACAGGAGGCATTGCCGCCGGTCTGGGTCTCGCAGGAGGCAGGGACCTCCAAAGGGAAGCATACATGCAGGCATCTGAAGAAATGGCCAATAAAACCGAACAGTTGTACAAAAATCTACTACGTGCACAACGGCGCGGCGCCGCGAGAGCACCGGTGACCAAGTTCATCCCGGCGACATCTTTTAAGCACGTCGGACCAATGCTTGAAGTTACCTGGATGCCGTTCCTTACCGCTCTCAGCGCGCAAGCACAGGATACCAACAATCTTGAAATCGTCAGGCTATGCATGGAAGGACTGAAACTTGCCATTCGTCTAGCTTGCGTGTTTGATCTAGAAAATCCTCGACAGGCTTTCGTCCAATCTCTGTCCAAGTTTACCAATTTGTACAACCTCAGCGAGATGAAAGCGAAGAACGTTGAGGCATTGAAAGTACTTCTTGATGTTGCGCAACACGAAGGAGATCACCTGAAAGAGTCCTGGCGAGATATCCTGACCTGTGTTAGCCAGCTTGACAGGTTTCAATTGATATCAACTGGTGTTGATGAAGGTGTCGTACCCGACGTGTTGAAGGCTAACGTCAACGCGCCATCACGAAAGGCAACCCTTCAAGTGCCCCCGAAAGGTCGCGGCCGCTCGCAAGGTGGCATTGTGTACGAAACACATATAGCAGAGGAGTCCCGATCGGCAGACATTATTCGTAGCGTCGACCGCATCTTTACGAACACTGCAAACCTCTCAGGAGAGGCTATCGTACACTTCGTTCGTGCACTCACGCAAGTGAGTTGGCAAGAAATTCAATCCTCTGGTCAAAGCGAATCACCTCGCACGTACAGTCTTCAGAAACTAGTTGAGATCAGTGGCTACAACATGACACGTGTGCGTTTCGAGTGGACGAACATTTGGCAGATTCTCGGGGAGCATTTTAATCAAGTTGGATGTCACAACAACACTAATGTTGTCTACTTCGCTCTGAACGCCCTGCGTCAGTTATCTATGCGCTTCATGGAGATCGAGGAACTACCCGGCTTCAAATTCCAGAAGGACTTTCTCAAGCCGTTCGAACATATAATTGCTAACTCGAACGTCGTCATGGTCAAAGACATGGTTCTTCGATGCTTGATTCAGATGATCCAGGCGCGAGGTCAAAATATACGGTCAGGGTGGAAGACGATGTTCGGCGTATTCACCGTGGCGGCGCAAGAACCTTACGGTATGAGGTCCATCCATATCGTAAACTCCGTGCTAATGATCGGTAGAGGGAATTGTTAATCTTGCATTTGACAACGTTACACAAGTTTACAACAGCAGTTTTGGTGTTGTAATCTCACAGGGCGCCTTTGCAGATCTGATAGTGTGCCTGACACAGTTCTCCAAAAACCATAAGTTTCAGAAGAAATCACTGTCTGCAATAGAGACGCTCAAGTCTGCCATTCCGAAAATGCTCCGGACGCCGGAGTGTCCTCTTTCTCATAAGTCGGGGCTCAAGAAGGAAGCGGAGCAAGCAACGGCATTGCCAAAACAGCCAAGTCGGCAGACCCAGGAAGAAGAGTTCTGGTTTCCCGTTCTCTTCGCTTTCCATGACGTTTTGATGACGGGTGAAGACCTGGAGGTTCGATCCAGGTGAGTAACTATGACAACAATTAGATTCAATGCTTACATTTGACAGGGCTCTGTCTTATCTTTTCGAGACTCTCATAAGATATGGTGGTAACTTCCCGCAAGACTTCTGGGATACCCTTTGGCGTCAGCTACTTTATCCCATCTTTATGGTGTTGAAGTCAAAGTCGGAAATGTCCAAGGTTTTGAATCACGAAGAACTGTCGGTATGGCTTTCTACAACTATGATACAAGCACTTCGGCATATGATCAACTTGTTCACGCACTTTTTCGAATCACTCGAGTATATGCTCGATCGTTTCCTCGACCTGCTTACACTTTGCATCTGCCAAGAAAACGACACCCTTGCGAGAATCGGTAGCAACTGCCTTCAGCAATTAGTACTGCAGAATGTTGACAAATTTGACCCGAGTCACTGGAACCAGATTGTGTCTGCATTTGTAGAGCTCTTCGACCGTACCGAGGCGACCGCTCTCTTCTCTGCGGTAACTTCATCGTATGCGCCACCTCAAACAATAGTCAACGGTACAAACAAGACCCCGACATTCAAGACACCAGATGAACAGTCGCTATCTGGGCTTAGTTTAGGCGAAATTCCTGCTGACGAGAAGACGCTTCCGCAATCCGAAAATCCTCTTGGAATAAATGGTCTATCATTACCTCGGCGGGGATCTAGTGTGTCGAAAGAGGAGGTTCCTTCACAGGCTGCTGGCGGAGACCCTGCAAGCAAGTCGACCACTGAACTCGAAGATTATCGCCCAGAAAGCGAATTACAACAAGCGCCGGTCGTCGTTACAGCTGCTCGTCGAAGATACTTTAACCAAATCATTACGAAATGCGTGTTGCAGCTCTTGATGATAGAAACTGTTCAAGAGCTGTTCACCAACGATACGGTATATCAGCGGATCCCATCAACGGAGTTATTGCAGCTGATGCAAGTGCTCAAAAAGAGTTTCTTCTTTGCGAAAAAGTTTAATGCAGATCGAGAACTACGCACTCGATTATTTAAAGAAGGATTCATGAAGCAGCCGCCCAATCTACTCAAGCAAGAGTCTGGTTCTGCTGCCGTCTACGTCAGCATATTATTGCGCATGTACCACGATACATCAACAGAACGTGCCGCCAACCGCGTGCAGACGGAGTCAGCCTTGGTTCCACTGTGCGAAGACATCGTACAGTCCTACATTGAACTCGATGAGGAGACACAACAACGCAACATCCTCACCTGGCGCCCAGTGGTTGTCAACGTTTTAGAGGGGTTCCTAGGCTTTGCTGAAGATGAGTTCAAGAAGTTCACACCAATGTTCACCGAGATTGTGGTAGGCCTACTAGGTACGGGAATGGCGCCTGAAGTGCAGAAGGCTGTACAGGCGCTCACAGCACGCTGTTTCGAAGGTCTGGGAGTGAAGAGCGACTGGGGGTCGTTGGCAGAACGAGGCTCTATCAGTCCCAGGACTGGGACGAGCCCAAATCGCCCAAGAAGGACCAGCCGCAATAAGTGAGTAATATCTTAAGTGTAATCTTACTATGAGATCGCAAAAGCAGTGGCGTTTGGGGCGAAGGATGACTTCGGTGAAGATCATCCTAAGATTCGTGAGCGTGTATATCGTATAGAAGCATAGTTACATAGCTTGCATAAGCTTTTGATCAGTACAATAGTATCATAAAGAGGATAAGACCTAGCTGAGTTCTAGATATGGTTAATGTCACTGCTCAAGTCACCAGGTTTGCTGGCGGAAGTGGACATCACAATATTGTAACTTCCACAAGTCCTAGGCCCCGTCCATTCCTGGTCTCTGCGTCAATTTAGCCTGATGAATTTACCACGTCGCAATGATATTGGCGAATAATATAGCCCCACTAATCGTATCGGGATTCTGTATCTGATCCTTATTGATCTCATCAGGGAAGTCCAACGAGAGAAATCCATTTTTCTCTTGTCCACTAGCTTATTAATTACCACCTCTCCTATCGATCCTTACGCAGATCCTGCATCTTTAGTCGGTTTATTTTATCTACTAAGATAGTGTCATACTCACACATGAAGAGGTTTACTTTTGGCTGAGACTGACTAGAAACTTTCGTAGGACAAATACTAATGAAACGAATCAACCAGTCCATCTAAGCTATAATAAACTAGCTCTATATTAGTAGTATAATGAGGGGAGACTTTATATCTTTTTCTCTCTACTTATAACAAGCTTCTGAAATGCATTTAATCTGAGATATATATTCTAATCCTAAGAATAAGGGTTTTCGACATAATGCCTTGATAGCCCATGTGAATTACATCAATTGGAATATGTACGAGATTCTGACCCTCGAAATCAGCGGTAAAATATTGGGCTTGTAAGTATCCTAGAATATGTAACGAACAAGGATACATTCACATAAGATTTCAACGGTTCTATGTAATTAGATGACGGAGATATTATGCCTTAATAATATACATGAAGTTGATATAACTTTAAATCGATTTCGAAATGTTTAAGAACTCCTTTCCCTAGATATCAGACGCTAGAGCATGATTAGTATCATAATGGAATACATCGAGCCTCATATAAGTGTATATACGGATCTATCTACTTAGAATGTCGAAGTACGGTGTCGGGCCGACGAGATCGGGCTGTTCGGACGGCGCACCAGAACAATGTCATTGAGGGTGACATAAGCAAATCGGAGGTGGTATGCCACCACGAATAGATTATGCTAAGAGTAGACTACGTAGTAAAGAGTATTATATCGGAGAGGAGGCTGGCTGTAAGGATATTTGGATCAGAAAACGCGGATGCGCCGAAGTATCTACAGGTCGCAAAGCCCAAGACAGCGCGGGAGCCAGTACCGCGAGGCTTATCAATAACTGTGGCTAGACCGCAAGGATTGGAATTGGAGATAGATATCCGTAGGAAGTTGAAAGGATCGACGACGTGGTGTAGGAGTTCGGAACATGGAGTCAAGAGTTAAGCTAGTGCAAATGAACGTCAGATGAAAAGTCGTGTCCGTTTATCCATAGTTACATCCATTATGAGGAGTATAATGGCTGCTCCGACCCAACATTGAGTGTGCTTAACAGCATCGATGGTTTAGTGGTAAAATCCGGTCTTCCCATAGAGTTTGGCCGGGCCCCGGGTTCGATTCCCGGTCGTTGCATTTGTTTTTGTGTGATTACGATAATCAAATATAAGAGTTCTTATTGGCTGTTAGAACGATTATCTATTTCATCAGATAGAGAGTTATATTTAAGTAAACATTATAGGCGTTTAGGGGTAATTTAAAACTTCGACGAATTAATATTATAGTTATATTTTTAATAGTTACTACTTTACTCTATCTTTCGAACGTGTATAACATTTACTATTATCTACTTATGTTAGTTATAAAATAATCCTATCGCAATATATATAGCTTACTCTAGTAGTGATATTAGACATGTGTCTTTCTACCTCTATACGAACAATCAAATACCATTTTGAGTTTCATAAGAGTTTCTAAAGAATTCACGTAGAGTTACATATTCATGTTGATGGAGATCTAATTGAAATTCAATTCTACTACTAGAACTGATAATCCAATTCAGATATACGGTCCTAGTATTGTAATGTTTTAGTCGAATCCGACCGAGACTTAAAATTCAATTGAATTGGATTGACTCATAGGATGTCTACCCCGTACATGAACGATATGTGTGTGATATCAACAAAGAAGTAAAGATGCAAGATGTGACTTTGCTATTGGTCAGGCAGAGTATGCAAACGAGGGGAAAGGTAACTCGAGTGCGGGTAGTCTTGGCCTGGAATACTCTCCTTGCACATTCGACCTACATCTTTCCTCCCTGAACAATGCCTCGAAAAATTTCAAACCTCATTTTAAGTCATCTACAGCCCCTTGTTCCAAGTCTTTCCGAATTACCTCAGAGTTTTTGCCCGTTACTCTTGCAGAGATTCACCATTCGCAGTCCTGTCACAAATACTTCTCAACACCTCTGCCGCAAATTCGAAATCCTTCATCTCCAGATACACTTGCGCACTCAGTCTGCACCATAGTTTGTTCCCATACAGCATCACCGGCATAAACGTCCCGTAGTCGGCCATCATCACCTTCTCGATCCAATTCCGGGTCATAGCCATAATATCGCCCTCACTCTGAACATTTCCCTTCTCTCGAGCGGCGCAGAAGATATGTTGGGGGGATAGAGGCAGGAGGATGTTTACCATGCAGCAACGGGAAAGGGAATGTGTGCTGTTGTCGAGGATGTGCGTGCCCAGGACGTGGGCTACGTGTCTACCGCCTTCTAATGCCAGAGTCTGACAGTAGTTCCGGATGGCAGACTCCCCTCCGAGGGATCGACGATATGTCAGAGCGGCTGGAACACAAAGATACGGTGATGTGTCGATAGTGCCGACGAAATTGAAGGCATTTACGAACGGGGTGTTTGTGGATGTCGGGAGGGGGTTAGAGATAGGAGATGCGCCGGCTTTGGGCTTTGGGATATACCCGTGCGATGTTGGTAGCGTAGAACGGATGAGGTGTTGATTACGCATGGGCACATAGAAGACGGCGCAGCCTCGCGGGGTGTAGAGCCACCTATTTCGTGTCAACCTGTGTGTAGTATGGTTGTAGAGAGTGCATGATAGAAGTGAAAACAAAGAGAGACTTACTTGTGGCAATTACTCACAAAGAAGTCCGGGTCTAACGCGGTCATGTCGAGCTCGATATGCCCAACTCCATGAGCACCATCAATACAGCTCAGAACACCAAGCTTGCGACACTTCGCCGCGAGCAGTTCGAACGGCATCCTGACTCCTGGTAAACTAACTACCGTGTCGAAGATACAAAGCTTCGGCGTCTTTCCTTCAGCCTTCACACTCTCTACCGTTCTCTCAAACTCCTCGACTAACCACTCATCCTCCACCGGATACACATAGTCAATTTTTCTGCTCTCGGCCAAGGTTGTGTCCCAGACATACTGCACAGTCTTCTCACAGCTGCCATAGATGGTCGCGAAGTAGATGATCACATCACCTTCGTCATACACGAGGTTGCGTAAGACTGTGTTGACACCTGTGGTGGAGTTGGGTACGAATACGAGAGTATCAGCTGGCGCGTTAAGGAGAGGAGCTAGTGCGGAGCGGGACTCGTCGACGAGACGTGTTGCGTCATAGCGGATGAAAGAGTCCGGGCGGGCTTCGGCGGCTTCTTGAAATGATCGAAGTGCGGTGGGAACCGGGTGTGGGTGAGTCCCGAAGGACCCTGGACAATGTCAGATACTCATGTAAAACTAGATAGGTGCGGTTACCATGGTTGAGATTGATATATTTCTCGTCGAACAGGAAGTCTTTCTTGAGAGCATGTCCGAATTGGATTTTGGCAACATCGTTGCCGGAGCCAAGATTGGTCATGACGTTCCAACGTAGCGCAACGTTGTCGTGTCTTGCCTTGTGAGTAGGTGATGACTAGGGGGCATGTAGATGTATCGCGGGAGCAAGATCAATCTTGTAAATGAAACCCCAGAGGTGGAAAGGCTTCTCTATACATTCGAGACATAGGAGGTTGAGCACAATACGGAAGACGCGGGGAGAGGCCGTTTAAATATGTCGAGATCTAAAAATTGTTAGCAAATAATCATAGGCGAATGAATCACTGTTTTATCAATGACTGGTACGTTCGTAAGACTCATACAAACAAGAATGTCACAAACGGTACCTGTTATTGCAGTGTCATGACCAAGTTTACGCCTGTTTTGTTGTAGACTAGCGTAAATACCCCATAACGACTATATAAGGAACACAAATTCTGATCCATGATTACGTTACAGACAGCATATTAGTTAGTTAGTAACGATCTCGAAGCGCTTAAAAGTAGAAATGAAACTCATTCGTTATGAACGATAGCCATGACAACAAAGCTGAGGTCGAGAAACGCAATAGGACTAGAATGTTTAGTGTGAGGCACTGGACGAATAAGTATAGAATGTAAGACCTATACAAGTATATTCTGGTGAACATGCTCTCACAAACCTGTCTACTTACGAGCTTAAAATTTATGTTCCCCATGTTCATTAGCGAATGCTTAACGGATACTGCCACTTATTTACATCTCCTCCCAGTATGATATCCACCGGACTAGTCATTCATTCAGACGAAATAGGCGCTCTCATGGTCCATATATCGTAGGACCACTTCATGAATTGCAGAAACTATCACCTGTAGTATAATTCGCGTCAGGACCATCCTATAACTCCTGTATGCCTCGTGTCATGCAACAAAGTTCAATGAAGGAGCATGTTTCCGAGTCATAGCGAGTCAATATTTTCTGGAATGGATAGGTGACGCAGCTTGAATGCCCGAGGAGGTTTGTCTTCGCACTACAAGTAAGGTTTTGCTGATAATTTTCTGAATTTTCTGGCTAATCATCTCGCAGGCCCTCCAAAATTTACTCAAGGATCATTGGAAGATTCCCCAGCTTCATACAGTCGAATGTCGACAGAAGTAAGCAGACAATGTAGTGTGCTGCGAGTGGTATGATCAACGCTATATCGGAGACTGCGATTAGGTGTCATCAAAGTTCAATGTGTTCTTCACCGAGCCGCCTGTGGATGACCATCGGCTTTCAGCACCTGTAGCAACAATGCAAGCGTCTTACAGCACGAGAGACTTTAAATTAACATTAGCGACTTGAACGGATCTCTGAATAGGGACATACTGAGTAGTTGTATAGTCACAGTGTTAACGTATGATGGTGGAAGCCATGGATTCACAGGGTCACCACCACAACCCACAGCCTAGCAATGTAGCCAGAGACCAGATATCAGCCGATCCTGTTGTTCACAGAGATTTCGCGAAAAAGCTTAGGAACACTCAAGTGCATTCATAGCATAATCTTCAATGTATTAACCACAATTAAGTTGATTCCCCTTACTAATGTATGCACGAAGCAGCTTTCGATATCATTAACGCAAAACTCCTATGCCCATGTCCCATGCTCTTGCAGGCACTTCTCGTGCCCGACTTCTATAAACCTTCTCTTTTCGTATTGTGAACTTCAAAACGCCCAAAGATAGAATGCAGACGCAAAAGCGTTCACCAGTCTGACAGACGATGTGTCCACAGACAGAGCCAGCTTGACGAAGAAATTCGTCAAGTCCAAGCGTTAACATAAATACATGATATAGTGGGATTGAAGATATGGGACCGGGTATATGCAAGTGTGAACAAATCAGCCTCCGTTGTGTGCAAGCATGCTGATCTAGCGTGTGCGAAGTAGAGATAACCACCGATCTGTCGTGGTTCGTTGTTCGAGATATAATGAAAAAGTAGGGAACAAACCATGGAAATGGTTAGACATAAGTGTTGGCCGTCGAGTTGCGAGGGCGTGATGAAGTCGTACGATCGAGTCATGCCAGCTATCGAAAGATACCTTTCAGATGTAGCATTTCTTTTAACGGAAGAGACTCTTCAGGTCCTCCAACTTCCTCCTAGACTCTTCCTCGCGACCTGCCTTTCCTCGAGCTCCTTTTTCACCAAGACTAATCTCAGCGAGCTTCATTTTCTTCCTCTGTAGCTCAAGCATCTTCAGCTCAAAGCTATCATTCATGATGAATCTACGGATTATAACCTCCCTCTCTTGTCCTAAGCGATGCACACGATCAACAGCCTGAGCCTCTGCGGCAGGATTATATTGTGGTTCCATGACATAGACGCGAGACGCTGTTGTCAGGTTAAGACCTAAGCCTCCGGCGCCAATAGAGACAAGGATGACGTGGATTGCAGGGTCTTCCCGGAAGACTCGAAGAGCGATAGTGCGAGCGGCACGAGACATGCGGCCATCGAGACGGGTATACTGGACCGAGGGGAGGTGTTCCTTGAAGCCAGTTTCGATAAGATCAAGATGACTAGTCCAGCCCGAAAAGACAACACTGATTGATTATTAGCATACTGAGCTTGAGTCTAGACTTGGCTATATACCTCTTGATAGGTCTCTCTTCTGGATGTGCTGCGCTCCACTGCTCGTTCTCTATTAGTGACTGAATCAGAGCTTTAGTCTTCGTATGTGGTCCACTATAACGGATCATCTGCTTTGCGAGCTTCGGATTATTTCTCAACTCCTCTCTCATCTCCTCATCTTCCTTCATCTTGTCCAAGCAGAAGTCGAAGAATGAGTACTTGACGTACTGGTCACAAGTAGGGCAATCCATGTAGCCATCTGAAGTTAGTTTATCTTGGGCTTTCTTCTGATATAGAGGAAGACACGTGGGACACAAAATGTGAAAACAAGGTGTCATGTGTCCAACTGTGTTCTGCGCCTTTTCAGCAAGCTCCTCGTCTGGGTTCTCTTCCCCAATTTTGGTGTTGCACATCATGCAGCGATCTTCGTCGGACTCTCGCATCAACTGAAGCATGTCATAAGCTTGCTTGGGGCTGAGCGCAGGCTTATCTTCGTCCTCGTCGTCGCCAAGATCTATAGCATTGCCGTAAGAGAGACCTTCAGTCAACTTCATGTCTTCGTCACTGAGCAGATCGGAGCCATGCGCGCAGATAAGTCGCAGGCGTAGAATCGCGCGGAGGACATGCGCGTATGCTCTTCCACCGATGCCATGTGTGCGGTTGGCCGTCATTGCCTTGACGCGATTGGCTGAATCTAGAGCGAACCAATCGTACAGAGCTCGCTCATCATCGGAGAAGTCAAGGTGCACAATAAAGTCCTGCCGATCAGGAAGATGAATCTTATCCTTGAGCCGCCTCAAGGTGATGGTATCAACAAGCAGTCGCAGCTTCGGAATAATCTCAGGGTCCGCTTGTTTGAACGGAGTCATTATGTACGTGGTAAAGGAACCCTTTTCATCAAAAGGCCTGATCCTGAGAAACTTGATGAGGGCTCCGAGGTCATCGAGGCGGTTCTGCACTGGCGTGCCTGTCACAGCCCATCGCCTGTTCGCACTCAGTCCACAGATTGCCAGGGACTGGCCAGTCTGCTGATTACGAATCATGTGTGCTTCATCGAGCACAATCCTGAACCAATCGAGCTGCCGCATGGCGTCTCGCTTCTGTCTGCCGCTGGTTCCAAATTCAGTCGCAGCTGTATTGTACGAAGATATGATGATGTCGTACTGGGCCAATTCATCGAGATCCTGCGATCTGTTGGGCCCGTGGTATAGGTAATATTTGATTGAATTCTTCTTCAGATGCTGACCAATCTGCTCCTGCCAATTGGAGGTTGTGCTCAAGGGTGAAACTAGAAGCGTCGTTTTTACTTTTCGTAGGCCGTCTGAGCCTGGTTCTTGATCGGCCCAGGCTTTAGCTTCTTCTAAAGTGTCAGTGATCAAGGAAAGGATGCTCAAAGTCTTTCCAAGGCCCATCATGTCAGCCAAAATGCCTCCCAGACAAGGTTTAGGCTGGGAAGCCTGCTCATAGCCAGTTATGATGTTATAGAAGACCTTGACACCATCTCTCCGCATCCGAGTTTTCCAGAGTGAACGTTTGTCATCACAGTTCGCGTCACTGCCGGATTCTCGGTCACGCATGAACCACAAGGCCTGCTTTTGATGGGATAGAAGCTTAGTCGTGATAATGGGATTGGCTTCTTTCTGTGGCAGATCCTCTGACTTTGTGAGACTATCGAACATACTGAGAACATCGTGACGTATCTCCTCCTGAGTTCGGGTGTAATATCCGGTGCCGGCGTTGATGATCCCACTGACAATTCGTGGGGTGCTTCCTTCCGAGAGTCTTGTTTTGGCAACTTTAGGGGCTTGTGGGTTGTAGTATACAATGTTGTTATCGAATCTGGGCGGCATACGAAGCCAGATGCCCTTCCTGCTCAAAAAGGTTCCAAGACTGTCAGCTTTAGACTTTGGGGAGTACAATATGACCAGAAGGTTGAGCTGCGAATGGGTTGGCATGCCCGCAACCTCGCCAGGACGTTTCTTTCTGGGTTCAACTTTCGCGTCAATACGGAGTCTACTACCTTGTTTTTGCCCATCCAAAAGAGGCTGTAGTGCGGATGACGTCTTTGGATCCAGAGTCGCAAATGATTTGCCCTGACCATCGTTGACAAGAATCATAAGATCGTTGCCAGGCCGACGTTGGAATGTGACCTTGATGGCTGGCCAGGAATCCCGAGATCCTGACGGACCACCTCGCCTTTGGCAGGGTATTTGATGCGCATTGAGATATGACCGCTCGAGCTTTCCCAGACACACCTCTTCATCATGTTTTGAGCTAAGGCATACCACTTCATCGTCATCATCCGCTGATGGCACAAATGTTAGTCTACAGTATAAGGGCAAATGTTCTTGAAAGTTACCTGTAAGATCAATAGTAGAGTCCGTAGTCGCTACTGTCGGAGTGTGAGCTGGAGGTGGCATTGCAAGTCGCGATGCAAGGACAGGTTCTTGCAACTGGTCGCCTTCATGACGCTTGTCCTTGATATATTGCCCGAGGATGGTAGCATTACCACTCTCAAAAGTACCTTTCTTCTTCGGTTCATCTCCTGTCGATACTTCCATTCTTGGCCGCTTGACAGGTCGTTCTTCACGTCGCTCAATGCCATGGGCCTTTTCTATCAATGAAACGTAAGTGCCAGCTGGAGACTCCGAGTCGCGTCCGGCATGCACAGGCTTGGCTTTGCGAGATGGTGATTGACTGCTCTGGGTCGTAGCAACAGTTGCTTTAGGGTTGAGTAGTGCTTTAGGGTCGAACAACGGCATTGACGTCTGTGTAGCTTCAACATCGACTGTGCCATTTTGACTCACATCACCTTGAACAGTCAGATCGGACTCCAAACTCTCCATGTTTTCATCGCAATGAGGGTTTGAAACAGAGGGAGGGGTTTTTGAAGGATCTTGCGAAGTGCGAGAGATATCAGAAGCTTCCATGTCTCTCATACTTGTGTCAGACATGATGGAAGAGCCTAGAAAATGATACGGAAATTGAAGGACTTTTCAGAGGCGAAAGTGAGGTTGAAATTGAAGTTGAGATTGAATAGAGGTGAGAGTGGGAGGCTGTAAGAAGGAAAAGTAAGTACCTCGTTGTGTTCGTCCGCGTGACTGCGAGTTCTGGTACTGCTTCGGATTCAACAGATAAGCAGGGTTCATGGTGACGAGGTGTTCAGCCGAAGTTGAGCAGCACGCGTAGTTGGTGAACTGCGAGAAACTGACGCGGCTTTTGGTTGAAACACTTTTGGTACGTGAAATCACCAAGGTCAGTTTATGTCTAGATCCAGGGACTCATAGCAGGGGCGGACAGGGAACGAAAGGGTGAAGCCCGGGCAATGTAAGGAGGTGAGTAAGCACGTAGACGCTCCTCATCGCACAACGAAAGAATCAACAGATCGGTATCAAAATATGAGGCTTCACATCGAAGGACGACGAGAGACGTCTGATGGGCTGAAGTGAAGGGCTGAAGGGTGAGGAAAACAGAAGGATGTTCGATGGAATGCACCATGCACAATACATGGATGCAGATGCACTAGTCGGTGTCGATGGCTAGTGGTGTGGCGGCCCCCCAGATGACGCAGCCAATCACAGGTGGGAAGCAGGCATCTCGTGACCCAGCGGAGACTGCATAGTTCCCGAGGCTCTCTTGTCTGTTATACTCCTGTCTCAGTGTCCACGGAGAGAAATGGTGCCTATTCATTTCTTTGTCCGCCATCTGATCTAATGTTTGTCATATGCTCCACGTGAGCATCATGGTCCCGTCGCCGCACTAGCCCACACATCTATTTCTACAATGTACCCAGATTAGGCCTGTCTATCCAAAACGCCTCGCAATGCTGAATGCAGATTGCCGTGTTGTACAGATCTCGCGTCGAGACAAGGTGTGATCACTAGAGACCACTTCAACACCACGTGAACACTGGGTTTTTGCTCTTCACCGTCTCCAGGCGCTCCACTATCACTCGCCGTTGATTGGCTTCTCGATCCTCTGTTGCTGCATATCCAAGGTCTCCCTCCACATTGTCATCTGTCTCCAGATACGGCGGCTGTGCCGTGCGACGAGTTGAAAATGAAAATCGTCTTTGATGTCGACTGCTTCCCAATGCAGGCCCTCTTCGTGGTCCTTCGTAGCTCATACGAGTTCGTGAATGTCCTTGGAATGTCTGATTGCGCTTGGGCTGTGGCACGACCATCTGGACGCTCGATGATGACAGAGGGTTACGTCGCTGATCTTCGCTTCTTCGAATGTCCATCGAGCTAGACTGTCTCGACACGTTGAAAGGATTTCCACCTTCAGCAGTCGGTGAACTCAGCCCCAACAAGTCCTGCGCGGGTGGAGCAGATGCGCCGACCGCACCAATGTCAGCCTCGCTTCCCGATTCACCGGCCTCTTCTTCTGCTCGACGTCTCATCTCAGCAGATGGCACACGCAGGGGTACGGCAACCGGAATATCGACAAGATCGTCCCAAACATGGACTCTAGCTCTACGCGTGAGCTCAAGTGGTCCATGATCCGGTGTTTTGAGCGTTTCAACAACGTTCCAAGCTTGGCCTTTAACGACAGCGATTTGACGTGCATACATCCTCTCCTTGAAATCGTCATCTTGCGAAAAACAACGGCGCAGCGCAAGCTGCGTTTCACTCCACCACTGCTTCGAGGTCAAAAGAGGGAGAAAATGCCTTCGTGTAGCTTCAGAGAAAGGCTGTCCGATAAGCGAAACAGGTAAGAATAGCCACCCAAATGGGTAACTTCGCCACTGTAGTGATCATTAGAACTGGTTCTGAACATCGGATGTTTAACGTACCGCATCGGGATGTTTCCATGGCCAAGAAAGGCTGTTGTCAATTGCACCAAGCGATACAGTCAGCTCCTCAGCCTTTCCAGTGCCAGGAGTTCTGCTTCTACTTGGTACCGTCATGCGTTCTCTTCGAGTGTATGGATCGGTCGTGGATGACGCATGGTTTCGGGTGTCGAGACCGGGAGAGGTCTCCCGCACCTCCCCATTTCCTTTGGGAGGCTCTGCGACAATGCTTGCTTCTTCAGTATGACGGTCAATCCTGATCATCCAATTGTCCAACCCTCGGTCGGTGTTCCGCATGATATAATCCAGGATCACTAGTCGTTCAAGTTGCTCTCTGAAGGACTGTTGTAGCTTGTCGGTCCAGAAAACGCGTCGCCGCTGATTCTCTTCCACTGAATCTGAGGGCACACCAGTCACTTCATCCTCGTCTTCGTCATCAGATCGCGAACCTCCTGGTCTACATTCCTCAGCCCATCTCCGTTTATTAGTCTTTCGCGCATTAGTTCGTAACCCGGAGCTCTGTTGGTCAGGCCACGGATGCTCTTTCAAGAATAGAGTAGCGTCTTTATAGCCCTTTAGGAAGGCCTGGAAACTGCCAACTTTTGCAGGAAATGCCTTCTTCTTCCGGTAGTATGCCCGGCGGTCCCAGAAGTCATAGTGGAAGGATTTAGAGGAGAGGGAGACAATATCGGTGTAAGGTACGATATTGGTGCGAAGTTGCGTGTCGAGAACATAGGCTGCTGCTTCTGATACATATGAGAGGTTAGGAATGAGACATGCCCGCCCAAAGAAGAATGGGAAAAGGTTGCGATGTATCCACTTCGTCCATTTAGGGTTCTTCGAGGCGTATGGCTCCTCGTCTTTAGGTTTGAAGACTCCAACGACCTTGCCCTGAGCATTGCGTGCGAAGTAGCTCCCAGAACTGCCCTGTGAGATGAGCTTTGGGTGTACACCAAGCTCGATAGCTGTGCGGACACTTTCCACGACCTCTTCAAATTGTACCCGTGTCAGTCGCTCAGGGTCAGGCTGTTCGTCTTGTAGTAGGGCCTCCGCCGTGACCGGACGTATCCAATCGGGAGCTTGGAAGACTGAGTAATGGATCTCCAGCTGCTCTTCTTCTTCTGACTTCCCTTTGATCCGTCTGATCTTGAACTTCTGAGCTATCTCGTCAGCCCACCTCTCGAGGCGAGCATTGATCGCCTTAATATCTACACCAGAGTTGCTGCGCTGGCGCCCGATAGCCGGACCTCGTCTGTAAGATGGTGAAGCAGGACCTGAGCCTTGCATGCGGTGTTGCTGCCGTTTTGGCTGTATAGGCGCATAATGCGAGCTGTTGCTGTTCGAGATCGACGCTTGGGTGCGGTAGGGGTCTTCTTCGTCGGAATCAACGACGTCGTCATCTTCATCTTCTTCGGCTTGCGCGATGCGTGCATATCCAGACGTTGGAGGGCGCTTCTTTGGCATTGTATAGCGGGTGAGACTAAGAAGAAAGTGTATACAGCTGGAAGGAGGTGCAGTGCTCGTGGTGCTGCGTCGATGTTGACAGGAGTCCAAAAAGTTAAGGGTACCTAGCAGGAAGTGGAGTCCCGTCGGGGTTAGTAGCCGCACCGCCCGGCTCAACTTACTGCCTGAGACTTGTTCCAACACTCAGCTTAAAAATAGCTGATCTGATTAGCTTCACTCTAGCTATGCAAGCCTTTTTGGGAATTAGAGGTATTCCTCGTGTGCTAGTTGTATGTTTTGTTCTTGACAATTAGCTTCACACTCCGTTTGCGCTCTCCACATGCGTAAGTCATCAACGTAAGTGGTCGATGGTTATCCAAGATGATGGATCAACTTCAAGCTATTGCATGATTGATTGCGCCACACCAATTGCCACGCGGCTTAGATATTAAATGCCAACAACATACACAAGATTCGAGCACGAACCAAGCGTGTTTCGGGTGCTTCGATACCCGCGACCGTTAAGATGCTGACCTTTACCAACATCTTTCGTCGTTTCGGACTGTCTCCTAACGAACATGAAGCTATCAACACAGGCTTAGTCGAGAAATCCAGTAGACTCCACGGGTCTCGTAGTGTCCCCCGCGGACCTGAGACTCGAGATTGCTAGTTATCTAGACCGCCATGATGTTTCCCACTTGTCAATGACGAATCGATCGATGCGGGATGTTTGGCTCGGAATGATTTACGGGCAAGTCTCGATGGTATGGTATTCAGGAGGTGTCGACCTGGACCAAAAAGAAGCAGCTGCGTCGAAGCTTTCCACGAGCTGATCTGTTGTTGCGAATAAACATGGAAAATCCGTCCGAGCCTCATGGATTGGAGACTTAGACTAACAAGTAGGGGCGGCTGGAATAAGACTCGTATCTCTGACAGGAGGCGACCCAATATCCAACGGCTTTACGATGTATCATTCTTCCCCCGCGGTCAAGATGGCAGAAGTGGGAGATGGCATTACAAACGAACAATATCAATGTTGTCATTGCACTGCTGATACTAAAATGCACCGAGCTAAAAACTCTTACGTTGGGATGGCAAGTCTTTGATAACGAGTATCTGGACCTAGCCTTAGGGTCGGACTTGGTTCGTATTCGAATATAACAGTCTTGCAACATCTTCACACCCTCAGGTTGGGCGATTCCATAGAGAATAGCTTTTACTTGGACCTGATGCCGTTCGACTTCGATTCTTTCAATCTGCCGTCGCTTTATAGGGTGGAGATGGTTGCACCAAAGCGAGATTCCTAGTTACTAAACTATAAAGGGTTTAATAAGCTTGGAAGACATATAACGTCATTTAGGCTTCTAGGATCTAAGGTTTAAGCAGACGAGTGAGAATATCGATGTTTCGTGCCCGAAAAGGGTGGGGGAAGGCGTTTAGCCATAGCCCTCTTCCTTGTCAAGGACACGTTAAAGGATTTGAAACTTTTCATACTACCATCGTGCCCTCTACCTGAGCTTCAGAGAGCTGCCTGTAGTGAGTATCGCTTTATCAGGGGGTTGAGAATGCCGGAAACGCTGTATGTGGATCTGCCCATGCTGCTTGGCTGGCATCCGGCCACCAAGCCTGAGAACCATCACCCTCACTGCAGAGACGACTTTAAGAGTGACTGGCATCAGTGTCACGTCGTGGATCTGATGCGTACCTTCCTTGGGGACCATGGTAGTCTGGAACAGATACACTCTCTCTCATGCGGAAGCTATGACGGCTGACTTTTATCTTCAACTCGATGACCACCTACTCTCGAGGTTGGAACAAGGAGACGAAGGATGAGCTGCAAAGTCTGTGCACGTCGTACGAAGTCGAATGCATTATTAGGACTGAGATTGAGTTCGGGCACTGTGGTCACCTTGTAGTCAAGTGTGCTTGCATATATATCCTGAGCAGAGAGCAGAACACGATAATTATACTGCTGGCCCAGGCTGTGCATATTAGCTGCTCCTCCTGCTGCGAGTCCGAGTCCAGACCCTACGCCTAAATGAGCCAACTAAAGTTACTCACGTGACCGGTCATAGCATGATCCAACCTAAGGCACGGCCACTACAGTAGTACCTACAATACTAGTAGCTTAGTCACAAATCTCCATCTCTCGGAGCTGTTTCGAATCTCTTAATCCAAGTTCCTATCCCTTGCCTACACATCACAAATCACCGTATAAAGCTATTGCGTAGCGATAATAGACAGCGGCGTCATTCTATCACCACCGAAGATCGGATCAAGCAATCTCGGTTCATGTCCAAGCTCATCGCCTATCGCTTGTGCTATCGATGGTGGCGCGTGGCATCCCTCGGTCTCCCATGCAAAAAGACCACCTTTTCCAGCCCAGTATGATTGCTGGAGCCAAAAGGCAGGCCACTTGAGATCCTGTCCATAGTAGGCGGCGAATTGGATGCTCTGGCGTCCTTTGACCACTAGATTTTCGTGGAGTTTGGTAGCAATTTCACAGGCACAAGAGTGCCAAGTCGTCCGAGCTCCCAGAGCTCATTTCGAAAAGTGATCCGCCCTCCTTTCCCCAGCAAAGTCAGCGTGACTGTAGTGGGTCTGAACCATGTGTTTGTTTATTGCTCGGGTGATCTGATGAGCGAAACTTCGAGGATACGGCTGGTAGCGTGTCGTGCCGTGTCGCTGGCACGAATGGTTGCCACGATTTGTTCTGCTAAGCTGTTGCTATTGAAAGGTCTGTCGTCGAAAGTAACGAGACAAGTACCTAGTCAGTACTGCCGCCCCTGAGCAAAATGCCGAACGATGATGTGCACTCATGCGAGAGACCCCTCTGCGGAGAATAATATCGTGCAGCAGCTTGCAGCCGAGACTCGTTGTAGACCCGCATACGCAAAGAACCTGGGACGGCGCGTACGTCGAGAGGTGAGTTATCGGTGGCTATCGGTTGCGCGATAGGATGTGATAGACGCCTGGTTCGCTTGTTGCTAGATTATGCTTGCTGCCCCTGAGCTGTCAGCTCGAAAAGATGACGATAGGCGCCATCGTTAGTTCACATCAGCAAGTAATTTCGACAGTTTGGGCAACGCCCAGGGTCTTTCGCAATACATCCACATCCTCTTCAGCCTTGCCCCATCTTGGATATTTTGTGTCGCCGTTGATATCTGCGGCACCAGCCATGGCGGCGTCGATAGAAAACCCTCGCTCAGACCATGCTCCACAAGAATGACTTCGCCGAAGCCTCACATCGTGTGTCTCGCATGCCCTCCTAATGGCGGTAATTGCTCGACCAGATCGCTTGACGTGCGTGTCTTGTGCCACCAAGTTTGCCGTGCCGGCAACGTGATGCAGTGCGGACAATATACAAAATGAGAAGCTTCGCAGCACAGATTGAGCTCGTCGTCGTGCGTTAGGAAGAATGGCGCATGGCTCCACCTGCAAGCACATACATAGGTCATGGTGCAAATATTTGATCTGTTGGCGGCATCCCTGACAAGAAGGATCAGGATACACTTGGACCCCCCCTATCCACACTCTACGCTCAAAAGGTATCGCTCCCTGCCCACGGCCCACCTTTTGCCAGATGCCTTAATGTTTCGTTCGCTCGCCCACACACTCTCTTTCTAATAATCTACATCTTGAAACTCTTTGCAAGTGTATCTTGCCGTCACTCTTTTGAAATCTACATTCATTCATTCTCTTGGTTGTATAATCTGTTCAGTCATTCTTTTCCGTCTATTCATTCAAGCCCGACCATTCAGTCTTCAGTACGGATATCGCAGCTGTTCGAATTTCCAGTCTCTACGACCTCATTCCAAGTTAGACTCGCTATCACAACGTCTATAATATTTCCAAAGACGCGTCGACCCCGAACTTTGTCTTACTATTGACTTTAATATGGCTTCTCTCGCAGCCCCTTCTTACCTACACCTACCCCAGGGCAATGGACTTGAAAGACCACGCTCGGCGCTTCAGGTTCGCGATCTACCTGCCTTCAATTCATTACCATCCAAGGACCATGGCAGACCATCGCTGCCATCAATAGGACGCGAGATCCCCCGTCCGTCGTCAACTTCATCGCATCTTTCTTCGTACACTCTCCAAAGGCACAGCAGCGCTCCGATGCTGCAACTCCCAGCACTCTCAGCTCTGGCCAACCTGGCAACGACATCTCCTTCAGCAGAGGATCCAAGGTGCGTAGATTCTAGAAGACAGTACACAAGAGGTTGCGGCTGCGGACAGACAAGGACTGGCGAGGAGCAAGCGATGGCATTGTTGTGTTTGCGGCCGCAGATGCATCCCAGTTAAGGTGCAGGGCTTTTAGCGGGCGCTCCTGCCCGCCAATTGCCAGCCGAGCCCTTGTCTCGCACCCGCAACTTCTTTCTCCTCTCCAATTCGCACCTTTTCGCCCAAATCTCTAACTTTTCTGTCTGATAGATGCTTCAATGTCCGTCACACTATGAATTATGCTACTGCAGCACCTGCAGCGCCGAGCGGGCAAGCGCAGTCTCCTGTAAGTCTTCTTTGCTGCTCCTTGATGTTGCTATCGCCCGGAAAACCGTTCTCGCATTCCTTATCAGCTTTATCGCGACCATCTCCGTTCCGATACGAATTGGTGAACTGACCCTCGTGAACAGCCCATCTGCCAGAACTGTGGTACAGGCACAACTCCGCTATGGCGACGAGATGAGTCTGGCAGCGTACTCTGCAATGCTTGTGGATTGTTCTTGAAGCTGCACGGGCGTGCGCGACCGATAAGCCTCAAGACAGATGTCATCAAAAGCCGTAATCGTGTCAAGACGAACCCCGGACAAAAGAAGAAGGTAAGCAACGCGTCAAATACAACGAGGCAGCCAATACTGATACTTCACTCGCTATAGAGCTTCACTGAGCTCAACGGTGGTCTGCCTGCCGCTCATCCTGATCTTCCTGCCCCCATTCCGTCTGCCCTACCTCGAGGCCCAGGCCACCGCATACCATCTGGTGGCTCTGAGCGGTCGCACTCCCCCCTTTCACGACACGGTACTCCAGGCTTGCACCACACCAACATCGCACCGCAGCACATGTTCGACGGTGTAACCTTTGACGGTACAAACTTCCACACGTCGTCCCTCGCGAACATAGCCAACCTACGCCAGCCCTCTCCTTCGAACTCAGTCGCAAATGGCCAGCTCGACCAGTCCCTCAGTTACGATAGCCTCGTCCTCCAGAACAATGGTCTGAAGACTCGCGTCAGTGAGCTCGAGGTCATCAACGACCTCTTCCGAGGGCGCGTTGCAGAGCTTGAAAACAGCGAGCAAGACGCCCGACGAAACCTCGACGAGTCGCGTGCTCGTGAGATTGACCTCAAGCGCAGGGTCGAAGAGATGGAAGCCGAGCTTGCAGACGCCAGGGGCAGCCCTTTGAGACATAAGAGAATGAAAATGTCCGATCTTGTCGACGAAAAAATGACCTCGACCCCTGTGTCGACGCCACCAACCCAGTCCTCATGAGAACTACCACTACTACTACTACTACTACTACCACCAGCTACACCGCCGCGCACACGTCTCAATAATACACGTAAATGACGCCCCATAAAGTGGCACACATCCAACGCACCTTCCACTCCGCACGGATCAATTTCCTTTCTGTCTCATGCTTGCATCCACGCTCTGTCTATATTCTCCTGAGATATCCACGCGCGCTTCGGCTCGCGCGAAAATTCACACCTTCACACCATTTACACATACCACTAATGTCTGGAATCATACATGTACCTTAATAACACCCCTGGTCGGCTCGTCGACCCCTATCACTACCACTACACTTACCACTACACTACCACCAACCAATCTCTCCTAGACCTTTCTTGTTGGATCCACAGCTTGTTAGCCTTGGAAATATAGGTTGGCATTTTCTGCATCGCGGAAAAGCGATTGGGAGGGGCCAATGGTCATTTCTTGGGTTTGTTCCGATGTGATGAACGGATGAGGGAAACGGGGAGAGGAGATGTTAGAGGTCGTGCACGTATACAGTACTCTGTGGACCACAACATCAGTATACTCGCATTGGGCAGCTGATACAAAATGCATGGCTTGGCTGGACTGGGCTAGAACACCGAATCTGAACAGCGAATTGGAAACCTATAAATGACCAGATTTGACCTTTTTGCATTCACACGTGACATATATTTGTATGCACTTTCTATCTGCGAATTTTCCCCATACTTGTCCCCACTCTAAGCCTATCGCCCAAAGCCAAACCACCCTCTCTTCTTGGGCGTCTGATCCTGCTCAACCTCCATCTTTCCTTCCTCCGCCCTCTCCTCCACAGCTTTGACCGCCCCTTGGCCTGGATACACGATATAATTGAAAGCGACATCCAAGAACAGCGGCTTAACGGGTATAGGCTGCAGTTTTGGTGGATACGTGACTAGGTTGCTAAGATTAGCACCGCCGACTGGGTATATGTCCAGGCTATCTACCAGCGGACGCAATGACCTGCCAGATGTTGCAGACGATGAGGTTAGCGTTTGTAGATGGACAAGTGCGCGGTGGCGGATGACGAGGGCGGAAAGCCTGCTGTGTAGGGTCTCAAGATGTGTGCTACTGGGGTCGAGGCGTGGTATGGAAGACGCTGGGGATGCGTTGTGCGATTTGGATTGTGTGGAGAGGGTGAGGGCGCGGTCGAGGAGGGCGAGCGCGGAGCGGGCGGAACTGGGTGTGCTGAGGAGCATGTGCGACTGTGCGATGTTGAGGCATCTAGTGGGTATTAGTATGAGATCTCTGGTATCCACGGAGACAGCTTACTTCAGTGCTTGGTAGTATGCGCGCTTGGCGTCTAGTTCGTCGATGAATGCTGTGTCGCGAGCTGCACCACGGAGTTCTTTGACCGAGTCGATGCTTTGAAGGATAGCGTCGAGAAGGACGACGCGTTCTCTTAGTCGTGCCAGTCTGCGGCCATTACCCTCGGGCTTGACCGTCCATTGTTTGCCGTCCTTTCGAGGACGTTTAGGCTGGCGCTGATTCTCATTGCTGTCGAAGCTTGCGCCGTCGTCTATGCCGATGAGCACGCGATTCCGCCCAATACGCCAGCCGATGAGGTCATAGTTGACAGCGAGATTAGTGACACGAAGGTTCTGCATACGTGAGTCGCCTTCTTCAACGCCTTCTTTCTCGAGCTCTTCGATGGCGTGGCGGGTTGCGTCTACGGCATCTTGGCTGGCGATGAGGATGCCATCATACGCCCCCCCTTTTTCACGCGACGTTGTGTCTTCAGTGGCGGATGTCAGGAATTGAGAGAGTTCAGTCTCAGCGATGGCCACAGATGCTAGAGCTTGACCAATTGCTGCGTCGATGATGTTCGCCTTTCGGCCACGCCATGTTATGGTATTTGGGACATCTGTCGCAGCTGTGTTTGCTGTGTTCGAGCTGGGGTCTACCAGCGCCTCAGGATCCAGCTCCTCAATTGCGGGAACAATACCCGACAACCGGTCTTGAGGAAAGTACTTAATAGCGACAGTAGAGACTGCTACGGTTCGGGGAATGCTAGATGAGTACGCAGCATATCTAATGCTTGGATCTATTGAGCCTACGAGCACTTCTTTATATGTGTCGTCTCTTGTGCTCTTCAACAAAGCATTATAGATCACACGAGCTGTAGCAAAATGATGGAGACACGGCTGCCATCGATCTACAGAGGCTTCGCTATCCTTAATGCCTTCGGATTGTTTCTCGAATTCCTCAGCGCCGGACAGAGACGATGCATAAGCTTGAGCCTCAAGACGATCCCTTTCAACGGCACCTGTCAACTGGTCGCCGAGCAATACAAGCAGGTCGTTTGCAATTTTAGAAGCCTTGTGGAGTCGCGAGATTATATGCTTTCTTGTTGAGCCAGTGATCCCTTGTTCTGTGTTGTCTTCGGCATGTGCGGCTTTCATATACATTGCATGTGCCCATGCTCGTTCTGAGGATAAAAGTAGTAAATGCACGAATCTTCGGTCGATTAGTATGATTGACAGAACATAACCATTTCAAACCCACTCTTGATTTGATTGTACATCCCCAGCAGTAATAGGGGCCTTTTTCGAGTACTTGACATTCTTTGGTGTAGCTCGTCCTAACTTTTTACGTAGCGTGCGTATCCGCCTTGCCAGTTGAGCACGGTAGGTATTGTAATCCCCAATGAGAAGCGCATTATCTCTTTGAGATGTGACAAAGTGTGTAATTTCCATAGCCCTCTAAGTGACTTATGAATTTGGAGTTACGAATAAAGCAGTGGGGTACTTTGCCGGAGGAGGGGTGGAATGAAACTGAATAGATTTGTGAAAATGAGAGATTCTGAGCACAACGTATGCACAGTCCCAGTCAAATTTGATCAGTGCAGGTCTGGGGAAGAGTCAAGCTCCCAGATTAAATGCTTGAGGTGAGTCTCAAAAACTATCCCGCATGCACCTCCGCGTCTCATCGGTAGGTGAGGATGGACTGGCGTCGGGACAACTACGGGTTGAAAACCATTCAGGAAGAATGTCTATTGCGTATAGATGGTGCAGGGCGTCAACCTTAGCTCGCCGCATTCGCCATCACACTTCCGGTTTTTTTCTTTCTCACGCGTGTGTTTCTGCTGTATTTCTTTGTTTTCTCCATCTTCTCAGTACCTACGCGTAATCGACACTAAATTCTCGGCATGAAGGTTGAATGTGAGCTCTCCGAATTGCTTTCTTGCTCCCATGCGACATTAGAACTGACGAATTGTGCAATTGTAGCTAGCACGCAACTCTGGTAGCATAAGGTGAAAGCATTCATTGCTGTTTGATTCCTTGGGGTATGCTCGAGCGGCTCCCGTCATGCCTCGAATCCGGCGGACGTCTTCTACGAGCTTCAGAACGTCGCGTTACAACGAAGAGGACGCTTCATTACGCATTTCTGCATCATGGAGTCGGTGACCTCTCTCTATCCGCCGGGTGGGCAAACCAGGGAGTTTCAGTATCAGGATCAGCACCGACTTCTCCAGACGTCTCCCGGGCGCGGAATGGCATTGAAGCGCAGTCAAGTCAAAGCTCTTCAATGCTCGATTTCTTATACCCACCGCTTACGAGGGCCTATATGCAAAGCCTATCGCCTTTCCAGTGGACGCAGCGTGAGGACCGAGGATCAAGAAGAAGAGGGACAAGCAGTAATCGGTATTTCTCCTCTCTGGCCGGGGGCGCAGTCGAAAAGGGAAAGAGTGAAACACAAACAGAAACGCAGTCCTTTCGTAGCGACCCGCTCAGCGCTCTGAAAAACGTACTTGCTGCCGAACAAAATGAGAGTAACGTCGAATTGGCCTGGCAACTGTACAAATTACTAGACCCGTCTGACCGCACCGGCACTTTACTTGTGGAGCTTGTAGATTTCTTCTCGGGTTCCACTCGCCTTGTAGAAGCAGATCGCATTCTGTCTATCTTTGAATCTATTGCCAGGGATCTTCGACGGCCTTCTACATATCGAGCAGCAATAACATCGGCACTCAAGATACGGGTCGCAGGCCGGGCGCTCGATATCCACCAAGAAGCTGCAGCCCGATCGACCGAACCCAACTTTGGAACGGACATCCTCCTTGCCCGAATGATTTACGATCGACAGTGGGACTTGGCATTTCGCATCTACAGCTCTTATACGGAATTCATGAGGCGAAATCCAACATGTACAGCCCCTTCAGTATTTGAGTATGCACAACGAATACCAAGCCTCGAAATCTATCTCGAGCATCTCCTGAAACACACTTCGAAATACCAATTACAGTACGCCGCAACTGGGAAAACGCCAATCACACAAGCATTCGTCCGGGGCTGTACCGAGGCTGCCATATCACAACTACCAGCTACTACACCAAAATCTGACCACCACTGGCGTGCGATTTTCAAGCGCCTGCAACGACAAGGGCTCTCGGAGAAGAAATACTATGAGCACGTCATTCTCCTTGAGATGGAACAGCCGAGGAATACTTGGAACGTATCGAGGTGGATGCTACCGTGGACCCTATACAATCAATATATCACCGAAGCGAAGAGGAAACCAGTCGGCGATGCATTCGGCCCTTCGGAACGGCTAATTGAAGATGGATTTGTGCCTTCGAAACGATTCATGCATCTTGTGTTGCATCGTTACTGCCGATACCACTACGAAAAGCCTCTGACTGAACATGGCCGTGAGAAGGACATCAGGGCGAAGTTTGGAGACGATAAGACGATCATCATTCGACCTGAAGGATTCAGAGGTATCCGACCTAAAGGATGGGGCTATGATCGTTTGCGAAAGTCAAAATCCAATTGGAACCAAGTCATAACTGGAAAGCGGTTAGCAGATGATTGGTGTCATTTCTACGGATCTCTCGACAAGCTCTGTCTGTGGAGGCTCGCCAAACTCTACACCGAGCGCGGCGGCGCCGAAGAAGTACTGGATTACACAGCACAACTGGTAAAGCTGTGCGGTAAATTGACCACACGTGATGGACTACGTTTGCTACAAGTATACGAAGCGCAAGCCAATCCAACCGGTGCACAGGAGCAATTCGACCGCCTGCAAACCGAATTCGGAACGGTTGCGACCCCACAGCACTACCTTCACTTAATCAATGCGTACACACGAGCCGGGGATATGAATGGAGCATACAATGCATTGGAACAAAATATGTCGTCGTCTCAGAAGCCCTGGGCCGGATCATTTCAAGCAGTTGCAAGGCTTGCTGCTGAAGTTGGCGATGTCAACATGGTTTATGACATTTTGAATCATGCACAAAATCTGAAGATCGACACCAGTGTCCGTATGTTTCGCTCGACTTTGATACACGCCCACATCAACGATGGCAACGTTGAGGCGGCAGAACGCGAAGCTCGAGAATTCACAGAGTCGGTAGCTATTGATTATCCCCGAGAGGAGCTGGCGTTGATCTGGAACCCACTGCTGGTACACTTTGCGTTGAAGCCCGAGATGACCTCGGTGGCTCGCGTTTATCAAGAGATGCAAAAAAATGAAATACCTCTTGATACTTGGGGCTATGCTGCTACGATGCGGTCTTTAGTATCCGTAAGACTTCCTCACCAGGCTTTCAAGATCATGCGTCAAGCCATGCACAAGAAACAATTAAGACCTAAAGCTTTCCATTATTGTATCTGTATTCTGGGCTTCATCAACATAAGGAACCCTGAGACAGCGCTTGAGATTTACATGAAAATGCTTAAGCTCGGTATACCCGAGACCTCTTACTCTAAGGCCCTCTATATCAAGGCTAGATTAGCCTTAGAAAAAAAACAGATCAGACTCGAGGGGTCAGGAATCCTCGCCGATAGGCGACTCCACGAAATCCCGGGTGATTGGGTCAAAAAAATGGAAGGAGGTCAGCTGTGGTCTATAGACAATTACAGAAACAAGACCCGATCACACCTCACTCAAGAAGAAAGGTTGCAGGAGTTTCTGAAAGACATCAACGAGGTTATGGATAGCTCTAATCCGCGTGATAATTCACTGCGCGGCCCACGACTGGCAACACCTACAGGTATGGGTCCTCAGCAAGTTGTCTCTGAAGCCTACTACAAAAGCATCGTAACGATCTACGGGGCACACAACGCCTTTGAACTCGTTCGTGATCTCTTCGATACCTTAATCCAATCCGCCGAACCATCAGAGAATCCCGCATACGAGCCGTCCCTTATGGTGCTAGATAGCACCATGGAGGCCTATCGAAGCCAGCAGGATTACAAATCTGTGTGGAATTGCTGGCAGCTTATACGCGATTATGCAGACAGACTAATTGGCAGAACCAGCTTGCTCGAGTCTCCTTTGCGCCCAAGCGATGAAACTCAATCCATTAACATCGTGGGTAGGCTGACGCGCGACGATGACAATCTACCGCAAGAAGTGGTACGCCTTAGGGATCATGGTGACACGTCCTTGATCACAGTAAACCTCACCCACTTGGTGGAGTTCATACCACGAATTGTTGAGGAGTCTAAACGGCGGCGCCTCCTGATGAAGAGCGCCGATCGCTACATAGCAAGTCTCATGGAGCAAAACAAGTTCAATGCCGCCATTATGGAGTTCTTCCGCATTCTTCTCCAAGGATACGTTCTTAGCAACGACTCTTGGAATATGGCCATCGAGATGCTTGTTCAGACGGGCCGTCCGCGCGAAGCTTTCACACTTTGCGAACAGTATCTCATGCCGCGCTTTGTCCGCTGGTTCCATAAAATTCCTCCCGCATGGGAAGGCGGTCGCAGCTACAGATTCATGAAGACGCGAAAGGCTGAGCGCACACGTCCTTGGGGACTTCGACCAAAATACCGCACGATGATATTTTTGGCAAAGGCACTCATGGATGCAAGGGAGCTGCCGCACACCCATCATCACGAACCCCATCCCTTTGATGAACACTCCCATCCATCTGCAGAAGATCTGACGGAGCTGGCGCCATTGACTGTTAAGGCTTTGGATGAAATGCCACTGGTCAGTGGCGACGAGCTGCAGATGAAATATTTAGGTATAGAGTAGGTAGTTGTACATTAAATCATCCCCATGAACACTTGTAGATAGAAAAACTTGTATATATGTTCAAACAGGGTATCAAGTGGTGCTCATCGAGCGCTTCACGGTATCTCCCTAATTCAAACGCCCCGATCCAGTGACACCTACACGGGCTCCTTCTCTTTGCTTTCAGACCGTCCCTCGGAACTTAGTATCAGGTCATACACAGTCACATCCTCTGTCTTATCCTTCTTCCTCAAGTCTCTGTCCAGCGTCCTCCCTAATAGCGTCCCAACAGTCCTTCTCCTTCTCAGTCGACTCGTCGACCACAGCCACGCGTACCTCGGTCGTCGGTAACAGGGGCGCAGGCTTCGGCCCACGAATACTCTCCTTCAGCGCGCTCCACACTTGCCACCAACGCGCCTTGTTCGGCACGTAAGCAAACCTCGTCCAGTCCGGGCTGCGCTTGTTCCAGTCGGGGTTCTCAGCCATCCAAGCGGCGCGGTGATAGCGTGCCGTGATGGATGTGATCAGGCTTACAAGGCTGTTAGGTATCATTAGTTTCTGCGCGAGGAAGATGAAACGGGAGGAAATCTCTATATCTCGGTTGTAGGATGGCACGGTAGAACAAATGCTGGCGAGGTCGTAGAGGACATACCTTAACGCAGCAAGCAACAGCACCACCACATGCTTCTGCTCCTTCTTGTCTGTCTGGGTTTTCTCCATCCAGTTTTTACCGTGGACTTTTGACGTGACGATCTCGTATATACTCAGGATAATACATAGAAGTGTGATGACGAGAGGAAAGCGGGACGCGAACGGGGAGTTTATGATAGGTTTGTATGGAATCATCGTTGGGCTGAGAATGCTCGTAGCTTGGACAACGAGGGTCAAGGTCGACTAGGGCCTATCAGCAGTCTGGACAGAAATGTAGATTTGGTGAATAACAGTAAGGTGTGTTCGTGATAGACCGAGAAAGGGGTTGGTGGGAGATAGATAGTAAGATGATGTACCCCTATGTGAAAATCGAAGTGTCTGAGGTACAAGACTTTTTAATTTATTTCCTGAAGCATTATGGATACACAATCCACAACACCACAAGAATCAGATCATGTTGATACCAACGATGACATAGTACGTACCCCAAGCCCAGCACACAAACCATGTACATCCCATACTCACACAATCACATATACAGAAAAAGAAGCTTAGACTCACGACGAGACACATCCCCCAACTCACTGCACCCAATCTCGATACCTCCTTGGAACCCTCCGATCCAGCTCCCAGGATCTCCACCAAACTCAAAGCGATCCCCGTGATCGACAGTGAAGGCAGAAGTAAGAAATACAGGATATTGTACAGAAATCTTGCGTTTGCGCTGCAGAAGACCTTATGGCGGCAGCGGAACTGTTGGATAATGGATCGGGTCCTTGCTCGGCATGCTCTCCCGTGGACGGTACAATTCGACATGGTGCCGCAGCATGTGGGCTTGGTGGTTGAAGTCGCGAGATGGGACATAACAGCAGTGGTATCGTGAGACTGCATTGTATAGGAGATGATGTGAAGAGATTTGAGAGTGCGTTGTGAGATGGAGACTGGAAGATGAGAATTTATATATTTATACAATATTAGCGGCACGATTGGGAAGATTCGAAGGTCGCATTCTGGGCTAGAGGGTGGGAAACCATGGTTGATCTTCAGTAATGTGGCTGTGTGGCATACGGATGTTTCGGAGGGAGATGTACGGAGGCTCACGGATAGCTTGTTGATGTTTTTGCGCGATAGGATTGTCGAGGCGTGGAGATATTCCTCAGTACAACGCCTGGTGTCATTTGATGCGACGAGGTGGCCATCAAGGTAAGCACACCGAGTAAGCACTCCGGGAGCGGTAGATCTGGTTTGTTGCTATCGCCACTACTATAACAATATGTTGCGTCTGTAAATAATTAATAGCAAGTCTCAAAACGTCTGGGACCTATACTTGTGCCATAGGTGGAAACTCCCCAGATGTCTCTTACATTACTGTGCCAACGATGAGGTATCGTTTCTCCAGCATGAATATGTAATGAAACTTACTCATCAAACACAAGGAGCGTGGCCCTGGGAAGTTCCTTCTAAGCAGATATGCAATGGCAAGCGAAGTAATTAATTCTCTACCAAGTCTATGCACCGACCTTCGCTGCCTCAATCTCCTCCTTCAAATCATTCAATACTCTTTCTCTCTCCTTCCAATGCCTTTCCAAGCTCTCGATCTGATCTCGAACAGTATCAATATCTTCCCTGATACTCTTCAAGCTTGCCCCTTCTTTAACACTCCCGATGCCCTCCTCTAGGTCTCGTAGTTCACGCCTTTTATAATCTAGTAGTTGCTCCAATTCCCGCTTCACAAGGGCCGGTTTTGACGTATCCTCCCTCCTATTGCCTTTACTTCGACCCCTATTGGCTGCCTCTTCAACCCGCTTCATCTTGTCTTCGATTTCACGTAGTTGTTTCTTCAAGCGAACCTCCTCCCAATCCTCAGTAGTTTTCCCACCGAAATCAGTCTTCTTGTTATATGCTGCGCCAGCCCGATCTCCAACACCGAGGCGCGTCAAGTATGCATCCCCGAATTTGGCCTTTCGGCCTGTGCTTGTGTCGTCACCACTTTGAACAGCCCAGCGGTCTTTGTTCGTTCTTTGTTCGCCTACTCGATCGATATTATACTCGATATTGCCTTTCTCGAAAGTAGCGCGCAGACTAGGAGGTACGCTCCGCGGAACACGGTATCCCTCGTGTCGGCCATTGAGGATGTGTAGGAAAGCCAGGCAGGCATCTTTACCGATTGCGCCGCGCGCTTGCGGGTTCACCAGGTTCCATGCTGATCGTATGTCTGTATCTGGAACGTCGAGTGATTCGTAGAGGTCGGTGAGGGAATTGAATGCGACCTCGCCATTAGCGGAACGGTTTGCCGTGTATATCTCTTCATATTTGGATTTATCACCGGGTCCCATGTACCAGTCGAAGTCATTCCGAAGGGCACCAGCGTCATCGTCGTCATCGTCAACTTGTTCGAATTGCGGTTGTCGTCCGGTGAGTGCGCGTGTTGCTTGTACCAGGTGGGCTTTAGATTCAGGAACGAGCCAGTCAGGTAGCTGTTGAGGTACATCGGCGTATTCCTGAAATGACATGATACATCAACATAAGCCTATATTGCATAGCCTGTGAAGAGAGGCTGCGGCGAGGCGAGTAGACTTACTCCATTTACGAGATCAAAGATGAGCCTCATAGCTACACAGAATTCTTCAAAGTCTAGTTTTCCATCGTTGTCAACATCCGCGAGGTCCCATATTCTTTCCAGTTGATCATCGCGAAGTTGGCTGTTCTTTAAGACTGTCGCTGCCGACGCGCCAACGAGATGTGTTCCACCGTTTGCTAGAGAGCTGAATATTTCCCAGTAGCGATCAATTTCCCACTGCTCGATTCGTTTTTGTGCCATTTCATGAAGTAAATACTGACTGCACTGGTGTTTTGTGGCGTGTATGCGGAATGTCGACCGTGCTGCGTATGCTCATGTCCGACTGGGGACCCTAAGCCTCAGGTATAATGCAGCCTTGTAGCCTAGCAGGGCAAACGGCTTAATCTCGGGGCCTGCATCGCCGATATTGGAAATGCTTTGTAGGCGATGTATTTGGCATGTTAATAAGGAGTTGATGAAAGAGTTAAGATGAGAGTGTTGTATTATCGTTAAGACATGCAAAATTGACAATTATGTGCAGCCGAAAAAGCAGCGTGCAACAACTTTAATAATTCCCTGCCTTTCATTTTCCCTTGTACATTCACAACGCCAACTAGAGAGAGGAATCATATCAGTAAGATGTCTGTCCGTGCTAAAAGAAAAGAAACTATGACTATTCACATCTTTCCGGGGTAAGCTACCACTGGTGATCATATGCTGCTGACATTGAGGCGCCCATATATACCCCAACATATACAGGTTGACTTGTTTTACATATTTGCTAATTCAGCATCAATCTGGTGGTCGAGGAATGTCTTGCGTTCTCCATTCAACTGGGTCTGAAGCCTTTGCTCCGCCAAAGCCTTGAGCTGCTTCTTAGTAACAGTGTCAAGGTCAACCTCACCGAGGCATGCTTGAATGGCCTCGATAATCTGTGCATCTGACGGCCCGCTTGTCATTGATTGAAAGTTGAGGTTAGAGGCGGGTCTGCTTCCCATACCGGGCCTGCCCATCAAATTGTCCGATGATTGGAACCCTATTTGACTAGGTCTGTGATGTGCATATGGCGAGTTCTGGGCGTACACATCACTCATGTTCCCCATTGACATGTGGCGTTCGTTTTGCGGGTTGTCTTGGTATCGATTCAGGGTATATGAGGATTGCCGCTGTTGCATCCCGAATGGATTCGGAGAATGCGATTGTGGGGGCATATGCATCGAGTTGTGGTTGTTGAAGCCGAGGATCGTCGACGCCGGCTGAACAGATGAGTAGACGGACTGCATGTCGTTCATTTCAAACCCATCATCGTCATATGTGCTTTGAGCGCCTTTCTCGGCCGTCGCAACAAGGCCGCGTCTGCCCGGTAAATTATTGGCGGTAGCATAGTCGTCCCATCGTTGGAGTGGAATGCTTCGAGGGTCAAATCCTTCATCATCAACGGCGATGACTTGTTTGTTGCCTTGTTCACCAATGACGATACGCGTGTTACCCCATGAGAAGTCGTCCTGCTTCCAGAATGAATAGACTGGCAGAGCGAAAGAATAGATAGGGAACGCGAGGATGTAGATAATCATCCAGCCAACGTGCTGCCATTGTCGCTTCACAATGAAGATAATGGCTTGTAGACCATACACAGCTGCAAGCATTACAATCGAGAAGATAGGGAGTTGACCTTTACCTGTGGCTACCGTATAGATTAAATAGACGATGTATCCACAGGTGGCCGGAAGAATGATAGTACCGAACAGGTCGATAAAGACGACGAATCTCATACTGAAGCAGCAGAAACCGCACATGTCCTTGAGGAATATGAGTTCGCCCAAATTGTGAATTGTCGAGTTGATCCAGCGACGTCTCTGCGATAGAAGGATGCTCCAAGTCTCTGGTGCAGCAGTTTTGGCGTATGCATCGGGAATAAACTTGTAGGAATGGCCCGGAAAGTGTTTGGTCATGAGCGTTGTCAGATAACGATCCTCTCCGAGTGATAGCAGATTTTTCTTGTGCAGCGTGTCGACATCGCAGTCACTATACTCGTTGATGACCTTGTCAGAAATAATCAGCGGACGACCCTTATCCGCCGTGCGCAATCGGTACATGCAGAAACTGTAAAGTATTAGTGGCCGAGGACGAAGCGTATGTGTAATTCTGCAGTTATCTTACCATCCAGGTAAACATGTAACACTTCCAAACAAACTTTCGAAGGCCTTCGCCAAGTGATGCGAGATGTAGTATTCATATACTTGAATCATCGTCCACCAAGTTCGTTCTTCATTCTCCAAGCTGGTTTCGCCACAGATTCCGGCAATCTTTGCATCATTGGCACAGCTTGCAACGAGGCGATTCAGGGAGTCTTCCTTGACCATCGTGTCGGCATCGACCATGAAGAGATATTCGTAGAGTTCGGGATCGACACCAATGATGTTATTGATTTGATGAAACATCTCGAGTTCCAGGGGAGACATGGGAGCGCGATGATGAACCCGATTGAGGAAGCTCATGAGCAGGATCTGGGAGTCCCGCTTTCCACGATTACCAGGCTTGGCCTTCCTTTGTTCCGATTCCTTACCGACTTTGACTACAACGATGTAGGGGACAACGTTGCCTTCGTACTCGTACAGTCCAGAATAGACCTTACCGTAGTTAAGTTGCTCGCTGCCTTGGCCTACCGACTTGAAGGGAAGAGCGGGAGGATCGACTTTCGGGTCCACACCAAGAATGTCGAGTACAATCTTCGGTGTTGGTCTATCATTTCCGCCTCCGACAATCATGCCGTCACATATTACACAAATGAGCTTCCGTTTGTTATCATATGCCAGCGCAGTCAAAGAATCCAAACCCTTCCGAAGCTGGTCTTCCCCTTCGGTGTAGGCGGGAACCTGACAAATAACAAATTTATCTTGAGCTGCTGGCCGTCTTTTGGATCCAAGTTGAAGTGCGGCTAAGAACTTGACAAGAATCACAGTACAGAGAATAATAGTGAAAGCCAACAACAGATAGTCGTTTACCTGACACCTCGCAGTTTTCCGGAAGTCTGTTTCGCCGATGTAGAAGAGGTTCTTAAAGCATTGTAGATGAACACCACTGGTCGTTGAGTTGAATTGATTGTTCCAGTCCTCTGTAATGTCCTGGCCAGCATTGTCCTTTATTAGCTGTGCGACGTTGTCGTAGACAAAAGTATAATAAGGATTATCATCCATGAGGTCCAGAGTGTGGAAGTAATCCGTCAGATCGAAAACTTGTCCATCATAGATGAACCAATAATGGTTTTGATTTTTGCCTTCACTCTCGATCTTGGACTTCTCAGTCACTAGCGGTCCTTTGTAGTACTCTTTCATCTTCGGGAGGAAGTTCTCGCTATACCAGGTCTGGCTAGCAAGTTTACTCGTACGGTCGGATGTCATATTGCCAGATTTGTGGATTCCCTGCGTATTGCCGGTCGTAGTATTTGAGATGAGTGTGATCTGATTGTCAGTGACCAGGCCTGGACAGGCAAGAGTCAACGGTGGAATGATGTATGGGTCCATGTCGGCACCGGCAAAAGGCTGCATATTCTCAGTAGTCGTCTCAATGTGCGTGTCGGAGTGTTGTTTCCTCCAGAAGTCGCTAATATCGTACACCTTTCCACGATGGCTTACGTAGAAATCATCGTCACCCTGGTGATAGGAGACCTCCTGGCGATTCCAGACTTTGTCTTTGTTGGGGCAGAGAAGTTTTCCGAAGAAAACAATGTAGAAGATAATGGTGGCATTGAGGAGAAAGATGAGCAAGCAGAGCACAAGCTTCTCTCGCCAGGCCATTCTCACATCTGGGCGTTTCATGCGTCCAACCAGTTTCAGTACAGGTGATGGGATCCAGAACGTGAACGCCCATACGACAAAAACCCAGATCTTCCTGGTCTTCGAGATTGGCTGTTCTGTAACAACGCGGTGCTCTCCAGTCTCTGGGTCGAACCCCGGATAGTACGACACCCCTTTATTTTCATCGCCCTTATGCCCAAGTCCGTAGTCGCCAGGAGTGTTCCCCTTGATTGTTGGGGCCAACGTGGGCGCTATGGACTGAGCGCCGAAGACACTTTGGCGACCAGCTAGATTAGCCGAACTATGCTGAGGTTCCAGGAGGTCGTCTCGACTAGCCTGTGGAGTCGCAAATGGACCTGCTCCCAGATAGCTGTTGTCCATGCCACCGGCTCCGATCATGCCACCGAGCATGGTGGCAGGGGAGGCATCATCCATCGGTTTGAGATCTAACATACTTTCGGCTTCCCACCAAGCGGTTTCCCTAATCCAGATGCGTTCGGTCCCGACGATGACTTCACCGTTACTCCAACCTCGCTCCAGAATCCAATTTTCGATGCCTTCTCTGCCATCCTGACATCCCAAGCGGGAGTAACGCTCGACAAATTCAGTGATGTCGAAGTCCGCTGTGAAGTCAAGCTGCTTATTTCGCCGATTGGCCCACTCGGGAAGTCGCCATGAGCGCAACTGTGCAGACACTGCACCAGCTGACCATGAGCCTGAGGCGCCTTGAGACAAAGCTGATGGAACATCGTCGGTGGGGTGTAACGCAAGTTGGAACCAGACACGGCTGCTACCAAGTACTGTAGATAAATCGAAACGGCCAAGTTTGCCCAAGACAATTCCTTGGCCATCAATAGGAAAGAGCACACCCTTGAGAAAACAATCGTCTTCCATATCGTACGCAACCTTTTCCAATACCGCCTCTCGTCGTTCGCGATCATGTTCATGCTCGCGTCCAGCAGCGTTGCTCATAATACCAAGGTCAGGCTCAGATTCAGAGATAGCACTTTGCATTTCTCGGATGACGGATGATCCAGCAGGTGTAAATTCCACGCCGTCTTCTTTCAATTCGGCATTGATGCCCTGGGAGTCATCAAAGATGTTCCGTAGTGAGATAGCTTTGCCTAGAGCTTGATTTGGAATCTCTACAACCGTGATACTCACAGTATCACCGTTCTCAGACTCGGTATCAGGTGTTGGCGGGCCAGCATCGCTATTATCAGAAGAGCCAAGTTTGATACCCTTGAGTTCTAGCCTAATCGATTCATTTGCTTTGGTGATGACCCAATCAACGAGCGCCTCATAAAGACCGGCAATCAGGACTTCACGGTCAGTGGTGTCACATTTCCGAAGTAGGATTAGGGGGTCCATGTTCAGGAGTGCAGCAACATCGTTGCATACATCTTCCAGGACATCGGAGTCAACGAGGAAGCCGACAGTGTCGCCGAGCTTCAGAATACCAGCGAGTGCTGCGATCAGGTCTCGCAGACTACGACCTCTAATGCCGATGGCCTTCAAATTTTCGCGGAAATCCTCACTCGCGGCTGCATCATCAGCAGTGGGGACATAGGATGGAACATTGTATGTGCCCGATTTGGAGAGCAGTGCGTACTCAGAAGCCGATTTCAGTCCTAGAATCTCTCTCTCCTGTGGAGAAGCGGAGGGCGAATTGAGATAGTAAAATACATCGAAAGCGCGGAATCCAGGTTCTGACGGAACGCGCAGTAACCCTTTCTTGGTATCTATGCCAGTTGTCGACAGAGCAATCGAGGCACCCGTAATTGCTCCTGACAAGTCCATAGAAAAGTTCCCAGATAAGGCCGAGTGGCGGGCATAGGAATGATTAAGAGGTGTAACGCAATGCGTGAACGCTTTGAGAACATCGAGGGCTGTATAGAAGCTGGTGGGTACCGTGAGCGGAAGAGCCGAGACGAAAGGAGCAAGTTGTGATGGCGTTGATGGGTGCAATGATCTAGATTGAAGTAGTAAGTAAATGGCCATTCGGCTGAAAGGATCGATTGCCTACCCAAGGACAATGCAGCCATCCTCAGCTCTTCTCCTGGCATGTTCCCAGGCTTTGCGACCTAGCTCGACGTCTACAGTGCCTCCGTACCTTCCATCCGGACCCACATTACTTGCCGTAATCCAAGTGTTCACCACCAAACTCGTGCTTGACTCTAAATAGTATGGCTGTCCAGAAGTATATGCAGTATGTAGGGCATTAAGTAGTGTCGTGACAGAGACCTGGCTCGAAATCCCATTGTTTGATCGTGGAGCCGACATGTTCGAGTAAATCGACATACGGCTGTTATAGTTTGCCATAGTGTGCGAGCGGGCCACACGCCCTGTCTGTTGGAAAAACGCCGAATAAGTGTATCGATGATTCGTATCAGAAGTCTGTTGATGGCTTGTGAAGAGCGTATATGGTTCTGGTTCAGGCGGGTGAGTGGTTTTAGGGGTGTCGACGACAACGCGAGGCTACACGACCTGGCAACTAGATTCGACAGAAGAAGCGAGTGTGAATTTTAAAATTGAGCGAGTGTGAGTAAGGAGAGAAGATGAAGCGCAAGACACAAAGTCGAGCAAGAATGAGCAGGAGAGTGGTTGACGAAAGGGTGCGAAGGAGAATATCGGGGCAACCTTGGAGGAAGCGTCTCCAGCTCTAAGCCCAGCGTGTTTGTGTATGTAATCTATCACCAAAGAAGGCCTAGCCCCTAAACGACCAGAAACGCTGCTTATCACGTGACGTGTTCCAAGCTCGATCGGATTCTTCCAGCACGGAACCTCTGGCTTTTACACACACTTTCTTTCCAAAAGAGGTTTTAACGATTAAATATTTAAGAAGGTCCTCCGAGTCCTTCCGGTCTTCTGAATGCTACTTAGAGTTGATGAGTGCCAGAACGTTATACGTAGACGTTGACTTGCGTCAGTAGTATAGTAGGTGGCCGCGAGCATGCTTCAGGGGGTAAGCAACTAGCATCGTATTGCATGCATGTTGCCTGGGTCCCCTTGACCGACCAATTGCAGAACACCAATGGCGCAAATCCTGTTGATCAATATTGAACTGCTGGCCTCAAGGACGTCCCCTGCTTGCAGATGGGTTATCCAGCTCCCGTCCAACCTGAGCCTCGATTATCAATAGATAAAAGCTATTTTTGGTGTGGCACAACGGCCTGAAGTCTCATCCGTTTTACAAGAACAGGACTTGGTTCAATGCAGCTACGTCGAAGTACTATCGAATGGTTGCACCGCCTCCCTTCGACCGGAGAAATGTGGATGCCAAAACAGTGAAGCTCCGAAATCGAGAAGTCAGAAAGAAAAGGAATTTCGTGCTTCATTTCCCATGTCCGACAGCAGCGTAGAATTGTTGATGAGCTACACAGGAGAGATAACCGAATGGACCCGCTTATGCCCCAGGTCCACTAATGCTGGTGATTGAAGTTTATACAAAAATTGCTGAGATGATGAAAACCGCGATGGTCGAGACTGAGTATGTTGTTGTGTTACACTGCCTGCCTGTTGTTGGCGGTTACAGGCGTGCTGCGGTGAGAACCTCGGGCTGGCACAGTTGCCATCGCGCTATCGATAGATAATATTTACTGCGCACTTTTCGCCACCAAGACGCTCTTCGATCTCATTTACGCCTCTGATAGGCCAGGTTTGGCTCTCGCGAGCCGTAGAACGGGACGCAGAGAGGCAACCGTCAGATGGGATGAGTGACGTTCAATCATATCATAACGTGATTATTACTTCTGGATCGACAGCAGGGCCATATTGAGGACTTTCAGATGCAGCAAAAGTTGTATGTGTGTATACTATGGAATGCCTCAGTTATGGAGTACTGTGGTCGTGGTGGCGCAAATGACAACCTTGTTTGGTGCATCTCTGTACATAGTTTGACACGTGATGAGTCGCACTAGCGATCCGTCCGCTCACTGCTTACTGCCTTCGAAAAGTCCATCTTCTACTACTACTGTCTACCTGGTTATTTAGGACCACCACTTCTTGCCTCAACAATCACATCTCGGGCTTGTTACATGTGTAATAAATCCTTTGTCTTCTGACATACCTTCGTTTCATGGGATTCCTTTTTCCTTAACACACTCGTTGATCTCCTCGCGCTCGTTTCGTGTCTACCCCTGTTTGAGCCTCAGCACGACCACTCGATCTACCAACATCTTCGACTGGTATCAACACTCGCTACGCGTTCCTTAGGGACGCTCAATCAATTATGGCTCACCATTCGTACACGGGCAACTCGCCTCAGTTTGCACAGTCTTCACTACCACTACTTCCTGCACATCTTCAATCCGACACTCAGCTTACGGCACATCTTGCGAGTCGATTCCATGCCCACTTACCGACATCTCAGCTTTCCTCTCAGGCTATTATAGCTCTTAATACATACTCCGGATCGGCAAAAGGAATCGATGGCACCAAAGATGGCAGTGCCATGGCAGCTGCGGAGGACCTCGCTGCACGCGCCTTCAAGCGACTAGGACATCGTAGTGAAAGCCAGGCTATAGTATTCCTGTAGGCATTGTGCAGCATGTGCTTGTATATGGAACCGCACTGACAAGATACAGCGGAGAATCTGGCTCGGGCAAAACAACGATCCGATCTCACTTGTTAACAGCACTGCTATCCTACTCGGCCACGCCTCTGTCCCAAAAGCTTTCATACGCAGCCTTTGTCTTTGACTCATTGACTACAACAAAATCACTTACCACGCCCACAGCGTCGAAATCCGGTCTACTGTTCGAACTCCAGTACGATACGACCACATCAATGCATCCTACACTGATTGGAGGGAAGGTTCTAGATCATCGCCTAGAAAGAAGTCGAATCACTGCTGTACCCACAGGGGAACGCAACTTTCACATCCTATACTACCTCTTGGCTGGGACAAGTGCAGCCGAAAAAGCACACCTCGGTCTCGATGGCACGTTACAATCTAATGAACCTGGGTCACGTTTGTCCAATGGTGCCGGAAAACGGTGGAGATACTTAGGACATCCAACACAGCTCAGAGTTGGCGTGAACGATACCGAAGGATTTCAACATTTCAAAACAGCTCTGCGAAAACTTGAATTTCCTCGCAGTGAAATCGCTGAAATTTGCCAAATTCTGGCCAGCATTCTTCACATTGGACAATTAGAGTTTCACAGTAGCCAATCTACTACGCCTAATGCCGACGACAGCGGCGGCTATTCTCATGAAGGAGGTGAAGAAGTTACCATGGTCAAGAATAAGGAGACTCTCAAGACGGTGGCAGCATTCCTTGGTGTAAGTGCTCAAGATCTCGAGCGTAGTTTCGGGCACAAAACGAAAACCCTCCACAAAGAGCGCGTGACAGTCATGCTTGATCCGAAAGGTGCTCGAGCAAATGCCGACGAATTCGCTCGAACACTTTACTCCCTTCTTGTGGCATACGTAATCGAACAGACGAACGAGAAGATATGCGCGCTTGAGGAATCTGTAGCCAACACTGTCTCAATAGTTGACTTTCCAGGTTTCTCTCAAGTCTCCTCGACCGGATCCACACTCGACCAGCTTCTGAATAATGTTGCTACAGAGTCTCACTACAATTTCTGTCTGCAAAGTTTCTTCGAACGTAATAGCGATATGCTTGAAAGCGAGGACATTTCAGTGCCTGCTACGAGCTACTTCGACAACACGGATGCGGTGAAGGGTCTCATGAAACACGGCAATGGTCTTCTCAGCATCTTAGACGACCAGATGCGTAGGGGCAAAACGGACGCGGAATTTTTAGAAAGCGTTAAGAAGCGTTTCAACGGCAAAAATCCTGCAATAACTGGGGGTGACATCATGGCTACAATGCCTGGAAGTAATTTCGCAACGCACAACGCCTCGGCTTCTTTCACCGTCAAGCACTTCTCCGGCGAAGTTGACTACCCTGTCGACGGTCTCCTTGAGGAGAATGCTGAGGTCATCTCCGGAGACTTGCTCAATCTTATAAACTCCACTCGTATTCCATTCATTGGAGAGCTTTTCGGCCAGGCTGCGCTCAATACGGTCGTCCACCCGAAGGAAAAGTCATCGGTGATGCAGGCTTCAGTCAGCTCTAAACCAACACGAATGCCCAGCATGGCCAGACGTAAAATTGACAAGCTGTCGAAGCTCGGTAATCGCAAAGTTAGCGGTGGCGAATCGGACGGCGGTAGCGACCTCGATGCTCGAAGCATATCAAAGAACGGTCGTACAAAAGATGTATCTGCTGGGAAGCAACAAGGTGCTGCTGCTCAGTTCTTGTCTTCCCTAGACGTTATTACAAAGTCTTTGTCTCGGCCCAGCGTCAATCCTTATTTTGTCTTCTGTCTGAAGCCCAATGACCGTCGGATTGCAAATCAGTTTGACAGCAAATGCGTGCGTATGCAGATGCAGACCTTTGGGATTGCCGAGATCAGTCAACGTCTACGAAATGCAGACTACAGCGTCTTTGTACCATTTGCTGAATTCCTTGGACTTTGCGAAAGCGACGCTATGCTTGTAGGCAGCGAGAAGGAGCAGGTGGAGATGATTCTCGATGACAAACGGTGGGCGGCGAACGAAGCCAAAGCTGGCACGACCGGCGTTTTCCTAAGCGAGAAATGCTGGCTTGAAATTGCTAATGTCCCAGCATTTGGGACTACTAGCACTCGTCACGCCGGTGCAGATATTGAAGAGGATCAGTCTGGCTTTCTTACTCCTGGTGACGGCGCGCGCTCTGGATATAGTGATTCACACGTTAGGCTCGTTGGAAATTCTCAGTCTGGAGGTCCATACACGGATGACAAAGCTGGTGGCTACTTCGGTAGCAGAGACATTGATGTCAAGTCCGAAGCTGGTATATCTGCTGTGCATAGCGGAGATATGTTCAAGAATCTCGAGACTCGCGAGCAAATGGCCGAAAAAGGAGCAGAGACCAAGAAGATGGAAGAGATTGATGTTGCACACGTCAGTGGCAGCCGCAAACGCTGGTTGTTTGTCGTCTACATGTTGACCTTCTTCATCCCCGATTTTCTGATCAAATGGATTGGACGCATGCCGCGCAAGGACATCCGCATTGCTTGGCGCGAGAAACTCACAATCAACATTCTCATATGGATCAGCTGCGCAGCGGTCATGTTTCTCATGATTGGATTTCCTATGCTGATTTGCCCAACCCAACACGTCTTCTCTACTGCCGAACTGACGTCGAAGGATGGCAAGGATGGTCATGATGCTTATGTATCAATTCGAGGTGTTGTCTACGATCTCGGCGACTTCATACCTGTCCACTATCCATCCATCGTTCCTGATTCGGCGCTCGAGAAATACGCTGGCAAAGATGCAACCAACATTTTCCCCGTTCAAGTTAGCGCTCTTTGCGACGGAAAAGATGGCTCGATTGATGAAGCTGTCCAGCTCAGCTATCAAAATTACAACTACACCGGAACAAATTCTGCAACTAGCTCAGACGATACCAACGCTAAGTATCACGATTTCCGATACCAGACGAACGATACCAGGAAGGACTGGTGGTGGGAACAACAAGTCTATCTCAAGGCTAATTACTACAAAGGACGCATTGGTTTTAGCCCAGAATACTTGAGGACTCTCGCAGATAGTGGGAACTCTATCGCGTATATCAACGAACGTATCTACGATTTCACAGCATATATTCCTGGTGGCCGTGCTCCGAAGTATCCTGTAGGCACCGAGCCTTCCAATCCACCACCAGATTCTGATTTCATGGACCAGCAAGTCGTCAACTTGTTTCAACAACGATCTGGAATGGATGTCACAAAGTATTGGGACAACCTGAACATCGATGCGGCCCTAAAGAATCGCATGAAAGTTTGTCTGGATAATCTGTTCTACGTCGGTCAGCTCGATACCAGAAACTCGACACAGTGTAAATTTGCGACTTACCTACTTTTGGCCATCTCTTTATTGCTGGTCACCGTCATAGGTTTCAAATTCCTGGCTGCTCTGCAGTTCTCGAGGAAGAACGTTCCTGAGAACCTCGATAAATTCGTCATCTGCACTATCCCAGCATATACCGAGGACGAGGACTCTCTACGTCGCGCTATCGACTCCGCCGCCCGTATGAAGTACGATGATAAACGTAAACTTCTGGTCGTTATCTGTGACGGTATGATTATTGGACAGGGAAACGACCGACCCACGCCCCGGATCGTACTAGATATCCTTGGCGTTTCCGAATCTGTCGATCCAGAGCCTTTGAGCTTCGAAAGTTTGGGCGAAGGCATGAAGCAGCATAACATGGGCAAGGTCTACTCTGGTCTTTATGAGGTTCAAGGACATATCGTCCCATTTCTCGTCATCGTCAAGATTGGAAAGCCGTCAGAAGTCTCTCGCCCCGGTAACCGTGGCAAACGTGACTCACAGATGGTTTTGATGCGTTTCTTGAATCGTGTTCACTACAACCTCGCGATGTCACCTCTCGAGCTGGAAATGCATCATCAGATCCGGAATATTATTGGCGTAAATCCGACCTTTTACGAATTTCTGCTCCAGATAGATGCAGACACTGTCGTTGCTGCGGACTCGGCTACTCGATTTGTTGCCAACTTTTTACACGACACTCGCTTGATAGGCGTTTGCGGTGAGACCGAGTTGACCAATGCCAAGTCTTCCATGGTCACTATGATTCAGGTTTACGAATACTTCATTTCCCACAATCTGACGAAAGCATTTGAGAGTTTGTTCGGTTCAGTCACCTGTCTACCAGGTTGCTTCACCATGTATCGCATCCGTGCGGCCGAAACAGGCAAGCCTCTCTTCGTCAGCAAAGAAGTCGTTGACGCCTATGCTGAGATTCGTGTGGATACTTTGCATATGAAAAATCTGTTGCACTTGGGCGAGGATCGGTATCTCACGACCTTACTCCTCAAATTTCATCCAAAATATAAAACCAAGTACAACAGCCGCGCCCACGCTTGGACCATTGCACCGGACAGCTGGAAGGTATTCATGTCTCAACGTCGTCGTTGGATCAACTCTACCGTTCACAATCTAATGGAACTCATTCCCATGCAACAGCTGTGTGGTTTCTGTTGTTTCTCTATGCGGTTCATCGTCTTCCTGGATCTGGTCTCGACAATCATTCAGCCTGTTATTGTTGCCTACCTTGTCTATCTAATCGTCCTAGTAGCAAGAGGTGGTACATCGGTAGTTCCCATCACATCCCTGCTTCTCTTAGGTGCGATCTATGGTTTGCAAGCAGTCATCTTTATTTTGCGCAGGAAGTGGGAAATGATTGGATGGATGATCATCTACATCCTAGCCACCCCGGTCTTCGCGTGTGCGCTTCCTCTATACTCATTCTGGCATATGGACGACTTCTCCTGGGGCAACACTCGTATCGTCACCGGAGAGAAGGGTCAGAAGATCGTTGTGTCAGACGAAGGCAAGTTCGACCCTGCGAGTATTCCACATAAGAAATGGGAAGAATACCAGGCCGAGCTCTGGGACGCGCAAACGTCCCGTGACGACCGCTCCGAGATCTCAGGTGTGTCGTACGGCACTAAGCATTACGCCGCCTCTGAGCACGGTGGCTTCTATTCGCCGAATAGACCAATGTCCACAATGGATATGCCACCAATGCCACGTCAAGTCAGCCGACTCAGCCTCGCCCCTAGTGGCTTTGGTGGCTACCAGGAGTCAAACATGGATCTATCTGAACTAGCGGGTAATCTACCTAGCGATGATGCCATCCTCGCTGAAATTCGAGATATTCTGCGGACAGCTGATCTGATGAACGTCACTAAGAAGAGCATCAAGCAAGAGTTGGAGAGAAGGTAAGCATGACAAGCCCTCCTATGACTTCAGAATCTAACTCATATTCAGATTTGGTGTCGACATGAATGCTAAGCGCGCATACATTGGTAGCGCGACCGAAGCAGTGCTATCTGGCCAGCTATGAGATCCTATCTAATGTACGCTTTCGAATATCATTGGAAATATTGTAGTGAGCAAATATATGATCATTCTCTTTGTACGTTCACGACTTGATTAGAAATGAAAGAGGCCCGAATCATTACCTCTTTCTTTGTTATCAATTCTTGATTTCTCTCACTAGCGTTACGATATAAGATCGGTGTGAGATATTCCCTGGCGCGCGATTTTTTCAGAGCATGTAATATAGGGGCCGCGTGTATGTAACGTATGCATACACTGCCGCAGCTGGGATCACTAGCGTATAATATGCAATATATGATTGTTTGGAGGAGTCTTTCATCGTCTCATTCCCCTCGAGGACCGGTCGTCCCTTCGATCACCCCTGTCCCTCGTACTCCCTCTATCTCTATCTCTATCCTTATCTCTCTCCCGCTCGCGATCTCGCTCTCGTTCTCGCTCACGCTCACGATCTCGCTCTCCGTCCCGATCGCTACTGCTCACTGGCACCTCAACAACATACTCTTCCTCTTCGACGCGGAAATACCGCTCTACCATCTCCCTTTCGTCGCGCGCCCGAACCGGGCCTAGCATGAACCGCACCGTCCCACTCGTCCCCCGGACGCCTGTGCTATTAGGCACCACACCCTGTGCTGGACTCGCAGTCGTAGTCGTGCCAGGCGTCGCCGGGCTGGCGGGCGCTGTAGTGCCGTTGTTGAAGTGTTTTGTGCCGTTGGAAACTGCTTTGGGGCCTGTTGGAGGCGAGCGTTTAGTGGATTTGGGATCTGGGTGATCGTGGTGCGGGGTGTATCGTGGGAGGGATTTCGTGGTGGATTCCTGGTTGAGCGTGATGCGGATGCTTATGAAAGTCTCGACCGGGTGGGAGGGCCCGATGACGGTGGCGCCGCGGTGGTGCGTGTACAGATCGAGCAGGTCGAGCATTGTTTCTACGTTTGTTATTAGTATGATCTCCTACATAGCTCTCTCACATGGGAGGCAAAAATTGAGCATGTGACTTACCCATGACTTCTGCCCGCGTCGTTTGCCATCGACTATAATCGATCCCTCGCTCGTCACTTACGGCTTCGATATCCGCGTTGCACAGCCTTACGGCGAGTTCGACACATGCAATAGCCATGGTCGATGTCGTTTGCTTCAGCGGCGCAAAGGTGCGGTACAAGTCGGCGCAGATGTTGTAAGCGTGTGTACCGACGGGCGCTTTGGGCAGGCCGCATATACGTACGAGCTTGATGACGATGCGTTGCGGGTGGCGGTTACGGAAGTCGAAGCTGGCGCCTTCGAGCATGAGACGTTCGAGGCCGATGATGGCCTTGGAGTGGTGCTCGAACATCTGCCTTGGGGATTAGTGGGTGAAAGAACGCGTGACGAAGAGAGACGTACAGGGTCATCAGGGCTGAGTTGGTCAGTCGTGGTGCCAGTTATCTTGAGATTGAATGCCGCACAGAGGATTTCTCTGGACTTTTTGAGCGTGTCCTCGATTTTGCATGCTGTGAAAAGTGCTGCGGCGGCGGCGTCCTGGATCTGGTCAGCATACCTCACGCGACACATGGTGAGGACTTACTAAGTAGTTAAAGTCCCTGTCCGCATGCTGCAGTCTAAATTTGTGGTAATAGACCACCGCGGTGTTGAATGCACGTATAGGTCTAAGCCAATATCAGCATTCATCCATAGCATCCAAGCACGAGACCTACAAAGATAATGCTCTCCGCACATCATCTATCCACCTCACGCCCTGCAACCGGACCGTCACTTCAGTCGACTCTGCCTTTCCCAATAGGCTCATACATTGCTGCAGCCTTTGCTCAAAGATATATGGCTTCGCGACCTCGATGAATGATGGATGTGGTCCCACAGGCGGCCCATCGCCATTCTCTGCCGCTGTCAGCGTCGCGGGAGCCATCCCAATATCTCCCAACGTCCACGAAAATCGCTCTCTTCTCAGTCGAACAGGTAATGGACTCGTTTCTATGATATTAACGGGTTCGTCGTGCTGGAGTCGTAGGTTAGGTCCAAGCGGAATGTTGTTAGGATTGATCTTGACTTCTTTCGGCTGCTGACCGTTGCCAAGACTGGCGGGCGCGTTCAAGGTAGTGTCTAACGACATGGAATCCCTAACGTTACGGTCGACATCTTTTTTTACTTCTGTAGCTGCTACGCCACGGCGCTCTCGAGCAGCACGTCGAGATGCTCCTGTCCGAACTCGCTTTAACCTTTTCTTTCTGGCACGTTGGGACTCTGTGCTATATTGAGTAGGCAGTGGCTGACGCAAGGACGGCGCGTTGGCGTCGTATGGCGGACGTAGTCTTCCGTCGCGCTCCTGGACGCGTTGAGTTCGTCTTCGAGAATGGTCTTGAGCTCGAGATGGAGATCTGCCAGGCAGCTTTCTTTTGCTGGCAGGTGATGATGTATCTTCGTGATGGTGGGCCATCTTGCTGTACTCCGTCTGACCAGACAAAGCTTGAGGAGCTTGCCTAATATTATATGCTGTAGTGCACCGGGAGATAGAAGTTTGAGTGGTCTGTCTAGGCAAATATGCTTAAGGTGCTATTCTCGGGCAGTAGAGCTCGCTGAATCTGGTAGGCAGGACAGAGTCGGGCTTTTTAGTGAGGCGAAGTGAATAAGAGCACATAGGCTGACGCTGAGCTAGGGATACTGAAAAAGGGTGATCGTTTACCGCACAGCTTTCGAAAAAAAAAATCGAAAAAAAAAACTGAGGAACGAGGTCGCAGTAGAGTCTAACTTGTAAGCTCCCAATGCTCCAAACAGTCAAGGTCTGGTGGCCAACCACGTGAGTGCAACACTGAAGAATGTGAACGACCATGCACTGTTACCCAACCTAGAAATGCGAGGTGTGCTCTATCAAATATCTCAAGATCTTACACTGGTCGCCACCGATTATGCTATGCCAACCTCTGGCTATTATCAAGATGACCACTTTACCAATCCAAAAATCAAGTTCACCACAATCCCCGATAGTATCACCATCTTCCTCCTCGCAGTCCACACTCCTTCCTCTCGCAGGCCCCATACGAGTGCCCCAATGGGCCAGAAGAAACCAATCAAGTTCCCCCAAACAATATCATCCAAGGCACCATCTTCTGTCCTGAATGTGAACCCCCATCCCGCACCTCCCTCGTCGCCAGTCGCTATTGCAGACGGCTCGCCCTGTGCAGACTGATCAAACCACTGATCTTCCAGTAGCCGCAGAGCTTGACCCTGGGGCATGGTATCTGGTGTATGCGTGAAAGCTAAGTTCTCCATGAACTGCGAGCGCAACTCGGCGACTTCAGATGTTGTGAATCCAGCAGTTAGTAGCCTGTCGAAGCCAGATGGTACATTAGATGTACTTGGAATCGCGACTTCTGCACTGCTTTTTCGCCTAACAGCTGCATCACCGGATGCGCTCGCCACTATCTTATTTGCGTTTTCCGTCACAAGAGATGTCTCGAGATTTGCAGCCAGCGTTGCCTCAGATTGTAGTTCTTTCTCCGTGAGCGCATCGCCAATTGAGCAGTGTATGTACATGCGTTGCATCCATGCGTCAGATGTTGCAGGCGCTTTGCCCTTCCCTTTGGTGTCTTTGCTCTTCAAATCGACGTCTCGCGGTGGCGGGGGAAGCCACTTCAGTGACTTTGATAACGGCGTTGCATCTTGTAGAGCTTTTCCGGCGTGGATGAGGCGCAAGCGATTGGAGGCTAGATCATCGGGGAGATGCTCGCGGATGAGTCGTTTGAGCGACAGGGTTGTACTGGTCAATGGAGAAGAGATGGAGAGCGGGAGGTCGGGAATGGAGGCGCTGAAGCGTATCACGAGGTAGAGCAGCTCATCCGGCAGCGTTTCAGACATGGTGAAGGGTTGAGATTCGCTTGCAAAAGGCGTTTTCGTCCTGTGAACATAATTATGGGAGAGTACTTCGGCAGATGGTTGTTGTCTACGCGTGACGTACGTGTCTCAGGAACCAAGACGGACTTACCCTCGGACTTACAAGGTTGTCAATCATTGGCAGGCACGGTCAAAAGTGGGATGCGGATCACTGTACTCCAATGCGTGTCCAACACTCAAAATAGAATCCCTGGGCCAATTCATTTGTTACGACAGTTACTACAACCTTACCGCCTTCTCGTGATACTTGTGTCGTAGATTCTGTTCTACAGCCTGTCAAAATGACTGTCACCCACATCGTCCTGTTTGCGTTCAAGAAGGATGCGCAGCCTTCAGATGTCAAAGATGTACGTCTCCCTGGTTTTATATTAAGCTTTTCCTAACAAATGTGGTTAGGCTTGCGTGCAGATGCTAGCCCTCAAGGACAATTGCCTCCATCCCACGTCCGGGAAGCCTTATATAGTGTCCTCCCAGGGAGGACTCAACAACAGTCCAGAGGGCATGTCTGTGCGTTTGACTTGACAAACTCTCTCTCACTTCGGCTACTGATATGAATACAGGACGGTCACGAGCACGGCTTCGTAGTAGAATTCGCCTCTGTGGAGGACCGCGATTACTACGTCCACAAGGATCCATCTCACACAAAGTTCAAGGATATGGTCATTCCTCTTGTTACTGGGGTCAAAGTCGTCGACTTTGAGGCCGGTGTATTCTGAACAGATGTGAATGAATAACGAGGTTTATATTAGCCTCCTGGGAGAGGGGCGGGCCGCTAAAACTCCACTCGAATGCTACCCAACCATGCGATGATATGATTTCTACTGTGAGCGCCTGTGTACTGTTTCATTTGACGCTGAAAGATTCCCCGCATCCGCATTGCTCGGCTGTAGATGGTTAGCAATGATACAGAGTAAAATGCCGCATAGCGCTTACTTATGTTCGGATTCTTGAACACGAAACGAGCACTCAGCTTGTCTTCCAGCCAATCCATCTCGCTCCCAATGATATTCAGCAATGCTCTATTATCTACAAGCACCTTCACGCCGTCCTGCTCCACTTGCTCGTCGAGTTTGCTCGGCTTGTCTACATATTCGAGATGGTACGCCAGGCCTGAGCAGCCTTTGTTCTTCGTTCCTATTCTGATCAACTTGGGTTCTGGTTGTTCAAGCAGTTGCCTCAGATGATCTACAGCGGTAGGCGACAGTTTCATGATCGCCTTCCGTTTCGCAAAGTTGAATCTTCTTGGCTTGGCGAGCGTTTGCTGTGTTGACGGTGAGATGGTAGAGCTGATAGCCGTCTCCGGGCCCTTAAGAGTCTCTTGTGCAGTCTTCTTTTGGTCATCTGACATCTTCTGTGCGGTGTGGCTCTTCCATCGACTCGTGCTCTGCTGTTGTGTTATAGAAGACGGTGGTGCGGGCTCGTTTCGAGGTGGCGGTGGTGGGGGTTCTAGAGTCGATGGTTGGTATGCAGTTGCGGTTTGCATCTCGCGCCGTGAAGAGGCTCTGAAGGGTTTGTAGGAAGAGAACATGCGTAGACACTGTGGGCATCTTCGCTGTGATCGAGGGACTTGTGCGGCGAATCTCAGCGATGCGCTCATGACTGAAGAGAGTTGTGCGGTCGACATGGTCACTGGAGAGGTTGAAGGTCGAAATAGATTAGAAAGACATGCAAATTGTCCAGACTCCGTATATATGTGCGACGAGGGTGACTGTGGGAGGTATGTTTCAGTGAAAGGATGTTGTGAGAGATGCTTGCTGGGCATTTATGAGTTCGTCATAAGGCCAATGTCAGGGCTCAGGCTTGTTATTTGCCGATGCCGAATCACGTAAGCCACACTAGTGTCATCTCTGAGCCAATGAAAGCTCGTGTATTACTAGTGAACCACTCCTTTGTTACTGCCTTGTTGCGGACACACATTTCGTGATGAATGATGGAGTTGGTCACATTGTTCCCCTTAATTATGAAATACAACGTGCTTGTCAAGTGTGACAGGCCAACAAGATCTTGTCAAGCTCTGAATCAAGAAAGAACCAGACTCTGTTTTGCTCGTTTCTCTTGTCAACATGAAACACTGTTCCATACCTATATACTTCATATCATGAAAATCGTATCTCTCTGGTCTATCAGAAATGGAACCAGAGAGATGCACCGCAGTACACTCTCTAGACATTGCGCAAGTTGGATTCACGTATGTTGCAAATGCGGCAAAACACCTTATAAAAAAGGCGATGCATCAGCGTGCGCTGCAACTCTTCGATAACGTAACCAGTCCGCGGTTTTCAGGGCTAGAGCTAACCCGAGGCTCACGACAACTCAGCGTCATTCCCAGACAATGAAGTCTCTTCTATCATCAGAGCTAGCGGGCCTTGCCTTGAATTCACAAGGTACAAGCCATGATCAGGAGCGGACCGAGAGCACCGCAATAAGTGCCAAAATAAAGCCCAAGAATTCCAGCCCTAAGACATCATGGATCGTCGGTTTCACATCAAAAGAGGCTCTGGTCTTTGCCTCGAGCACGATAGAAGCCTGGAATCAACATTCAAAGCATACGAGTCTGCATCTCCTGCTAACCCGAAGGTGGCCACATACCTGCGTCTGTGCAATTCTCCACTTTGTGCAGGCCAGCATACAGACAAAACAGGGCAATGTGTCGCTTGCACTTGGAAGTGGCGAGGTTTATGTGTTGTAGGAAAATGCTCGCTGGAAAGGTTTATAGAGCGTTTGTATCCTACCGTATATGCACGCTCTGTTGTATATCACCACCACGACCTTTAACTTCACATAGTCGACTCACAAACAGTCATATTCGACAACATCTCTCGCGAACCTTAGCATCCGAACGAAGAATTCAAGGATAAGCTCGTCAAGCACCGGAAACCACGATCGGAGACGAGACAGGGATAACGACGACAGCAGGCGACGAGACAATGCCAACAGCAATCCACACAAGCCCATAGCCCGCAAAGGCAAAAGAAATGAACGAATTCGCCTCATTGTCCAGGAGTGCTCACCCAAGGACCTCTAGACCTGCCATGTCCTTGATGTAAAACCAGTATTGAGGCCGTAGGGGATGCCGCTGAATGGCGAGAGACGTTTCTGCGCCATGTTGCCTCGACTGAGCATCATCTGGGCCAGCACGGATCCTGGAATACTGCATCAGAGTTCGGCCGTGAATTGGCGCGTCGTCTGTGGAGAGGGAAATTGATTAGTAATGCGGACTTGCAAAATTTCGTAAAGGGGACGCCGATTGGATCGTATCTTTGTTAATGATAAGTAGACTGAGGTTCTACTTTGAACGTGAGGCACAGGGCTTTTCTTCTCCGGCGAGAAGCGAGAGGAGGTCGATGCTGGGTTTCTGCTTTTAGGACTTGACTTCCAGTAGTAGTTTAAGCTGAAATTTGGTTCCCGGAACGACGAAAGCTTGACCAGTCCAGGAGCCGGTTCTCGACGTGTATTCTGAAATCGCGATTCATGTATCCGTAACCGCTGAGCGTAGCATTCGAAATAAACTGAACCCATAATGCGGAAATTCAACTTAATCATAAATCCGAGTATAAAACTTTAGCATCACGTCCAAAGACTGTGTCTACCAGACATCTTATTCATAAGGAGACGCCCCTTATCGGATAAATATCGTTTTCTCATGTCACCATCATAGCACGAAAGGGTAGAGGCGGACAGTATGAAAGTATAGAAATGTAAAAGTATTGCATTTTACACTATAGAAAGATGACTATTCGGTATTACCCAATAGAGGATCCTTGAGCGATAAATGCAACTCTACATAGCTTACTCTGCTCTGCTCTCCTCCATTACATTCCGTTGTGTTTTCTACCGCTAAGCTATCCGAAACATACACTAGACGGGTGGGTAGATGGAGTAGCTTCCTTTTTGAAAAAAAAAATACACTAAAATGTATATATGGCAGGTCAGAGTACAAGGCGTGTCTAATTCAAACGTGTGTTTAGAGAACGGTTTTAAGACGGGGTAATATCTAGGTAGGTAGGGAGAAGGAGATAGGGGGCATGAGCGAGAGGCCACCTCAGACGTCTTCACAAAAAGGGGTGGACAGAGGCTGAAATCTAAATTTGCATACGAGAGATGATAGTACACCAACCCATCCATCAATCACAACACCACTTCCTACCACTCCAGGCCCTTCGCGCCTCCCTCCTCGGCATCTAGAGCCCCGTTCGCATCCACCCTCCGCACTTCCCCTTTCCCATCGGACAAATGGCTCGCATCACGCCCTTTGCGACCCTTCAACTCCATAGCCCTGAGCTTCCTATCCAGCTTCTCAAACTGTCCGGGCGTCTCATCATGCTTGACCACCCACCGACTCGTGCCCAGCACGGCGTCCAGCTCAGACACAGGCGGCAGCTTGACATAGACCCAGCCATCAGCACGCGCCTCGACAGGGAACGAGGCAATATTGACGTCTGGATCGTTGGCACACGCGCCAGCGTTTGCGCCGGCGAGCTCGTAGTTGCGCTTGTGGTATGGGCATGATACCCAGAGCTTGTTCTGCGACAGGTCTTCGCCGATGAGGCCGTCGGAGAGCACGAAGGCGCGCTTGTGCGGGCACATTTGCTGGGTGCAGTAGTACTTGCCGCGGACTTTGAAGAGGGCGAGTTGGGTGTCGCCGCGCTTGACGGCCTGGCTGTCGCCGGTGGGGACGTCCTTGAAGGTGCTTGCTTGCAGGATGGGTTGCCAGGAGAGGGTGGTCCATTTCGTGCCTTTGAAGTCTTCTTTGACGGACGCCGTGGGCCAGTTTGCCGGGCGTGTCTGGCCGCGCTCGGTGATGGGCTCGATGGTGTCGATTTGGGTGTCGGATGTGTTTGCGAATTGGCTGAAGAGTTTGCGGCGCTCGGGAGATTTGATGACTTCGGTCCATTCGCAGAAGAATGTGCCGACGAGATCGGCCATTTGCTGCTCGAGGTCGGCGGCGATGCCGAGTTTGTCTTCGAGGATGACTTCGCGGAGGTATGCGATGCCACCGGGGAGGTTCTCGATCCAGCGGGCTGTTCGCTGGAGTTTGTCGGCAGTGCGGATGTAGAAGGAGAGGTAGCGGTCGAGGATTGGGACGACGTCGTCTGGCGGAACGTCTTTGGCGAGGAGCTCTGAGTGCCTTGGTTTGGCGCCGCCGTTGCCGCCGACAAAGATGTTGAAGCCCTTTTCCGTGGCAATCAGGCCGAAGTCTTTGTTTTGAGCTTCGGCACACTCGCGTACGCAGCCAGAAACACCGCCTTTGAACTTGTGCGGTCCTCGAATGGACTTGTAGCGCTCCTCAAGGCGGACGGCCATGCCAACTGAGTCGCCAATTCCGAAACGGCACCATGTTGTGCCGACGCAGGACTTGACGGTTCGTAGAGATTTCGCATATGCGTGGCCGGATTCCAGGCCACCGTTGACGAGATCCGTCCAAATGTCGATGAGATCTTGTTTCTTGGCACCGAACATGTCGATACGTTGGCCACCAGTGATTTTGCAGTACAGGCCAAATTTCTTCGCTACTGTACCGATGACAATGAGCTTTTCGGGTGTGATCTCACCACCAGCGACACGCGGCACCACGGAGAATGTGCCATTGCGCTGTATATTTGCCAGGAAGCGGTCGTTGGTGTCTTGGAGACCCCTTTGTTGCGAGTCCAGAATGTGCCTATTATAGAGGGATGCGGTGATGGAGCCGATAGCTGGTTTACACACCTCACAGCCAAGGGACTCGGCCTCTTTACCTGCATTCTTCATCACTTCCTCAAATGTTTCCAGTTTTTTCACATAGATGATGTTGAAAAGATCTGCGCGAGAGAATTCGAAATGAGGGCAGAGATGATTCTTGATCTCTTGGCCCATGGATGCCATGGTTTTGTTGAAGATCGTCTGGATAAGGGGCATACAGCCGCCGCAGCCAGTACCTGCTTTTGTACAAGACTTGACATCTCCAATACTCTTACATGTCCCGTCCTTGACAGATGTGACAAGACTGCCTTTCGTGACGTTGTGACAAGAGCAAATCTGCGTGTCGTCGTCAAGGTCATCACCGCCGTCGTCTTTCTGTGATCCGATGATAAATTCGCTTGGTGGTACCTCAAGTGGCTTCTGGTTCTTGACGAATGGGACGAGCTTGACGTAGTCTTTTGTGTCTCCAATCATCATACCGCCCAAGAGATATTTGCCGTCCATTGTAAATAGATATTTCTTATATACCTGTGTAAACGGATCCTTGTATGTCAGTGCTTTCACTGGCGCAGGTGCTGGACCGTCTGTCAAAGCCTTCACACGGCTTTTTGCATCTATCGTGCCATCTTTTTTTCCAGCGCCGCGTGCAGTGGGCAGCTGCTTTGGACCATCCCGGTCAGCAAAGAAGTCTCCAAAGCTAGCAACTTCGACACCAAGCAACTTAAGCTTGGTACTGAGATCTGGACGTTTGAATTTGCGATATGCATGGTCTTTGGCTTGAGTCAGATTGAACGCAAGGACATCGGCCATTTCGATTCCAGGCGCTATCAAACCGAATGTTTGGTTCTCCCAGCTGGCACACTCGCCAATAGCGTAGATGTCTTCAACAGACGTCGACAAGTCTTCCTTGACTATGATACCACCGCCACGGTCAGCGCATTTGATGCCTGCTTGTCGAGCAAGCTCGTCACGGGCTTTAATACCAATCTATGCGCTTCGTCAGAAGGTATGATATGTGTAGATGCTGGTATAGACTTACTGCAAAGCATATACACGCGCAGTCCATCCTCTCACCATCTTCAAACACCACACCCTTGACGAAGTTCTCCTCATCCGTCTCAATTTCTCCCACGCGCTTGCTGAGCAGCACGTCGACACCTAATTGTCGTACCTGCTCTACCACCATACCGCCGGCATCACCATCCAGCTGTCTAGATAGAAGCCAGCGGTTGCGCTCAATCAGCTTGACTTTCTCAAAATCTTCTAGATCCATCATCGCCTTTGCGGCCTCTAGACCCAATAGACCGCCGCCAACAACGGCACCCGTTTTGCCCCTGCGTGTTGCAGAGAACTCAATTAGCTTCTGCAGATCGTCAATCGTGCGATAGACAAAGACCCCTTTGGCGTCATGGCCAGGCGTGTGTCGTGGTAGCAGGGCATCCGAACCAGTGGCGAGTACAAGGATGTCGTACGGTACTATGAGATCTTTGGATGTAGTTACAGTTTTGGCGGCGCTGTCTATTGATGTGACGAGCTGGGATGTGTGGTATGTAAGAGAGCCCTCTGGCATGCTCGAGTACTACTTGGATCAGTCAAACAACATGTAGTTGGATCTAATAGAAAGTTTGGACGCACCCATTCTCTTGGATTCAGATACAAGTTTTCGACCTCACGATGCTGGAAGAAGCTCGTGAGACCAACCCGATTGTAGGCTAGATGTGGTTCTTCGCCGATGACTGTCACGTCGTATTCGCGGCGCTTGACATCCAATTTAAGAAGCTTTTCTCTGCACAATGATTAGCGTCTGAATATGGTTGATGATACTTTGTGTTGCATGCGCACATGAATGATATACCGACCATGCCCAGGCCGACTATCACCACTCTCTTCCTATGCGTCCCGTTGACGCTTTCCGGAATCTCGTCATTCTTTTCAAGTTCTGCAACTTTTTCTGGCAGCTTGTTCGCCTCGGCGTCGTTCCACTCTGCGTTGCTCATATCAATTGAGTATGGCGTATGTCCAAGCAATAAGCTTCTTCTGGGGAGCACACGATGGCTACTCAATGTAAAGAGTGCAAAGCTCGGGATTACGCGAATGCCTCTTTGTCAAATCGTATATCCTTACTTGTTTGACCTATGCCTTGAACTAAAAAGCCGAAGTTCGAGCTTCCCCCAAAAAGTAAAGAGAAAGCAAGATAGAAAAGAGCAAAGAAAGCAACAAAGCGCAGCACGGCTAGCATACCAACAGCTTCAGGTGGTATGGATGGAGATGAAATGAAGAGAGTTCGATGGATGAACTTTCGGAGGCGAGAGTGTAGTGTATAGGTCTATTGACTGACGAGTACGCCTAGATACACAAAGGAGCTACAAGATGCCCATATGCACTTACCTAGGCAATCAGAAGATACACATAGAAGCCGTCTGTCCAACCGTCCAGTCCAGGAGCCCATCCGCTCGAACCATAGCCGCTCGACGAATCTACGCAGCGGCATATCTCAGCAAGCAGGCTGAGCAGTCTGTCATGGCTAGAGCTCATAAAGCCGCGTAGCAGCACACTAGACATCTAGACAGGCGCCGCGGTGCTCGGAGAAGGTTGCATCGAAGCATGGGTCTCGACGATAGTGGACGTGTAGTGGGACCGATGACGCTTCTCATGCTTCTCCACGGCGCCACGAAGAGACGAGAAATGAGAGACTGATGAGCTGCAGCGGGAATTGCGTTTGGTGAAGACTGAAGAGTGGTAGTTGGGCAGAGATAACGGTCTCAGATAACGATATTACGCAAACAGGATTAGCGCTGCCAAGAGTACAAGTTTAGGGCGATAGATAACGAACGGGATAGTCTGCCTGCGCCCGGCTGAGATCGACGGAGAAAGACTCCGGCAAGCACTCCGGCACGCACGTGACTCTGGGTAATTTTCAGAAGGTATGGTATCAGACCTAAGTGGTCAGGGGTAATTAACAGATTCGAGATCTAGAAAAAAAGTAGGTCATCGTCTCGCCACCCCAGGTCCTCAACAAGGATCTTATGACAGCTCTTCTCAAGCGCCTCTGGCCCGCAGAGGAGAACCATTACTCCCTCTTCTCGTGTACCCGCATGCTCTTTCAGTAGTGGTGCAGCGATACGTCCTCGAAGCCCAGTCCAGTCGTCAGGTCCTTGGGTAAGAGTATACAGCAGCTTGCAGCGATCGTCGTTGCCCAGTGCCAACTGATCCAGGTCGTCTTTGCAGAGGATATCTTCCACAAGCCTGTTCCCGTCCAAAACTACACACTTCGTTGGATCCCCCTTGTCTTTCATGACTGCGCGGAAGATTTGGTAGATTGGTGTGATTCCACTGCCACCACTGATCATAATGAACTTCTTGATGTGTCGTTTGGCGTTGTTCACCGCGCACTCGCCTCGCCCAAGGTATTCAAACTTGCCGATCGGGCCTTTGAAATCGACGAAGTGGCCGATCGGCAGAGCGTCCATGGCTTTGGTCATTTTACCGCCAGCTTTCTCCTTTGTGTCAAAGTAGACTTTAACAAGAACGTCCATGTATCCTTTGCTGGTCGTCTCTGAGATTGGTGTGTAACTTCGGATGATTGCTTCACGTGTGACTGGATCGCGAAGCCGGATCATCAGATGCTGCCCAGTGGGTAGGCCGAGACCTTGCTCGTCATGATCGAGCTTAAATGTAAATATCCGCGTGTCCCAAGAGACAGTAGTTTTCTTGCTCAAGATGGCCTTGCTCCATGATCGAGATGTCAGGAATGTAGCACGAGGCTCACTTGATTCAGGGGCTTGGACTTCGCCCTCGCTCAAGACTTTACGGGAGGCTTTGTCCAGCGAGCCGATGTGGTAGTCTGGCATCATGGCTTTAGCAGTCTCGCTATCTGTAAATGTGTTAGTGCCGGAATGGAATGTTTGCACCTTGGAACACTCACGGATTGCCATAAATTCGTCCGTCGCATCCATGCCGGCGGCAGATATAATGCTCTGTGCGCCACCTGGATGCCCTTCCAAAAACGCCGTGCCATCATATACCTCGCCATTGACAACGAACCATGGCTCTTCAGGTCTATCATGCTTTCGCAGCTCATCTATTGTTATCTGCTTGTTGATCTTGTCGTTTGTCATTTTGACTTCCGCCGCCTCTTCATTGATCACATTCTCGGCGTCTTCTCCGCCTAACTTCTCTCCCCAATATCCATTCGTGAGGTTTCCACCGGACTTTTTGACCCTTTCCATCCATCCTCCGGCGATCAGGGCCGGCTGTGTTGGATGCTCAAAGCGGAGATAGTCACCTTCGTGGTGGACAGCGACTCTGAACCAAGGGTTGTTCATCATGCCAAGAACTGACCAGTACATATCTCGTGGTTGTAGATTCATACTTTCATCCATACCACGGACTATGATATCATTTGCACCCTTGAGTTCGTTGACAGGGATATCAAGATGCCAGAAGCACCAACAAAAGCTCGCTTCACGCCACCACATATCCAACTTTCCACCATATAGCTCTTGGTCTGGCGCTTCTCTGTACTTGTCTTCTGCATATTCGATATTCGACAATCTCCACGTCTTTCCTTTGTCAATTGAGATCTCAACGCTGGTCACTCGTCGACCTCCACCACCATATGCGTACCCTTTTACACGGTAGTTCTCCGGCGCACCGACAGTACACAGCTGCTCCTCATGCGCCGGATATGCGATTGCAGAATTGGTGCTGAGATCGTAAATGGCGTAGCGCTCATCTGTCCACCACTCGGGCTTGTTGGCTGATTCTTCAGGCGAGACCATGGTCCTGGTATGGTCAATATTGGCCTTAACGTAGATTGTAAGGATGCCCACTTACGGCAGCACTCTGTTGTCATAGATATGGTACCAGTTATCACTTGGTGCTTCGGCGAGAATGAGCTTCTTGAGCCACTTGACACTTCTACCTCCGATCTGACCAGGTATCACAACCCGTAGCGGCTTGCCATGATCCGGTCGCAACATTTCGCCGTTCATCTTATGAGCAAGCATCATACCCCTGTTAGGATCCATAGCCCAATTGAGCTTGACTGAGGTCCCGTAATAGCCATTAGGCTACCAGAGTCAGCATTAGAAGAGATAGATGTAGGTGTATGAACGTACTAGCTTGTCAGCGCCCTCCATGCATACATACTTTGCTGCACGCCTTGGGCATGCTTTACGGAGGACGTCTCCCAAAACCACCCCCGTCCAGAGCGCAGTTGAAACACCAGCAGCACCCCATGAGAAGCCTTTGGTCTTGCGGACGACGTTCTGCTCCTTGCGTCGGTTACCAGCACAAACGAGAGTGATTGGATATGTTTTCTGCTCGTATTCTGCGATAAGGTCTTTCAGAGTGATTCTAAGCGGCTTATCCACGAGTCTAGACGGGATGTCAGTATAGCAATAAAGGTATATAGAAATGACTAATTACCCTTCAACAGAGAACTCCCAGTCAGGGATGTCTTCATCTCTAACCTCGGGCACATGGCCGTGATTGCGCACGTAGAAGAGGTCGGGACTGGTAAGAAACCCCTCATTATACAGATCCGACAAAGGAGCCTCGACATTAAAGGGATGTACACCAGTCAGTCGTATCAGGCGTGGATCTCGAGGCACATGAGAGTCCGGAGTCTTGAGATCGACGTCGAGTACTGAAGGAAGCGTAGTAGGTGGTGGTAGAGGAAAGTCATACTCGTCAAGAGGAACTTCTACAGGCTCTGGAGTAGAACGTCTTGATCTTTCACCGGCTTCTGTGGCAGGAGGGGACGGCGGTAGATGAGCTGCATGAATAGGCGCCTTTTCGTCAATTATCACATTTCCCATGACGGATTGAGAAGCAGTATCAGATATGGAATCAAATGGTCACCAGAACTAAGGTCAAACTTGCATAAACATGTAGACACGAGATAACACCAAAGATGAGGGATATAGATAGGGAGATTGTACAAGCAAGTCCCAACAGCCATCAGATGAGAACTGATAATGTGACATCGGACAGAGGCGAAGAGTTCCATGCTAAGAGCCGGCAATATCATGTATTTGCGTTTCGTCATCGTCTTCGCAAGACTCCCCGGAGAAAGCGTAACTGTAGCGGGACCTAGACCTGATCATGGCTTTAGCCAGGGACGGCGCTGAGCAGCGCGTCAGTAAGCTCAAATGGGCGGGTAACGTTCCGATAGAGATGTACGAAGATCGGTCGATGCGTGACCGTCGACGATAGCGTGGTCAGACAGCGGTCGAGAAGGCGGACGGACGGGATTGCGATGGGCAAGAGGTGGGCGTGTGCGCGGAAGAGAGAGAGTGTGAGTGTATTATGGACATGAAAGGATTCCTTATCAAGGCCCAGCCACAATGAATGCTCACTCACTCGCTTGTCAAAATGCTTGTTTCCTCCCTGGCTGCTTGGCGGTGCTTTGGGGCGTTGGGGGCTCGGTGATAAGCAGAAGGAGCTACCTCGGTGGCTTGAAAGAGCGACGGATGCGCGGGTGGGCCCGCTAAAGTCCAGGGATCAGCAGCATGGCAAATCATGGAGTCTAGCCTGGCATGTTTCTCCGTTGTTCTCATACAAATATACATCCATCTCCGAACAGACACTGCGTCATTACGTCGATTTGACCACCTATCCAACTGTGAAAACCGACTTTCGCCCGGTTGGCCATGTTTCCAGACGACGTAGAGTCAGAAAGAAATTGCGATATGTTGTGCTTGATATAGAGTATCTAGTTATAGGCAACATCTCAATTCAACAGTTCATAGCTTAAGCATACCAACACTGACTATACCCATACCATTGATTTTCGAAATAACACACTTATCGCACGATATTTACATGTAGTAGTTCCTAGATCCGAGTAACGCTGAGCTTAATGCACTAATAACAGCTTTACTGTTACCGTTTACTCTCGACTTTCTACACTTGATACTTGAACTAAGCTTTATCTAGTAGCCAGAGTTGACTAATGTTAGAGTAGGTATACTAATATTATATATACTATCACCGTTAACTCTCGATTTTCTACACTAAATACTTAAACTAAGCTTTATCTAGTAGCTAGAGTTAACTGAATCTCTAATGGATATACTCAATCTATACCTCCTATGGCTGTTGTTTATGTAGATATTCTACTTAATAGATTATTATAAGACTGTTAAGTAGCTATAAACGAATAAAAGTGGAGCTACCTATAATAATATAATCTCAAATGACCCTACTAATTCTACATATGCTTGTATCTCGTTATCTATTTCAAAGGTAACTAATAGCTAGAATCATCTAATTCATAGATATACTACGTATTAATGGATGCTTCCCAACAACGAATTCATTTAAGCCACTCCTTGGAACACGTACTACAGCTATTTCCGAGTGATTGATCCATACTATCATAGTCTGTATATGCTATTTCAGAGCGTTTCAGGTGAAGGGAACCACGAAGAATGCCGTATTGTTTACGGGATCACGCTTATTCACCGCTCTGTTTTCACTATAATCATGGTCACGTCATCACATTTCACATTTATGACACCCAGAAAACTCGCTTTTATTGTCTTCTTCTAACTTCCAAGTGGTGTCTCTCCAAGGTCTATCCTCTGCCCACCGCCTCCACGAACCATTGCGGCACCTCTTGGTCCGCAATGATTGCCGTGAGCCCCGCCGCCTCAATGGCCACCCGCGCCGCCTTCAGCCTGTTGAGGGGGTGTTGGTCTGCAAGCTCCCCCAGGTACGCCTGGTTAACCAAGTCGAAAGCATCGACATGGAAGGATACCATGCAGGCCGTGTCGTATCGGAGTTCAATGAACTCCAAGGACAACTCCTCAACAGACTTCAGGCGCGCTACCTCCAGCGCCGTGGCAGTGAGCCAGTCAAGCTCTACCTGCTCAAGCCCCCACGACCGCTGGTACCTGCTCTTCGCCGTATACTCCCCATCCCTGGGGGCGGCATCCCCCGTGTTGGAAAGCTTGTTGAGGTCCAGGACAAGCCTCCGAAGTGCCTTTGGGAGGCACTGTCCCAATTGCTTGGGCCGGATGTGGAAGCTTATCTGCAGCTCTTCAAGGCTTGTGAAGTCGCTGACGTCGAGCCTGTCCCCGGGCAACGCATCTCCAAAGTCTAAGATGCAGAGAGAGCGGAGTGTTGCCCGGAAAGGCAGCAAGACAGTCCGCAGGGCAGAATAGGACCAGTGGCAGGAGGGTGGTGTAGAGTGCCCTACTGGGCAGTTCATTCGTAGACTGAATGCTTGCAGGCTGGTCGACAATCGTACAAACTTAGCGACATCTCTACACTCTGGCCAGTTATTCACTCTCTCGATGTGTAGCTCTCTGAATGCCTCTGGCCGATTGCCCTTCTGCGAGAACCACGTATTAGCATAGCTTCCAGGGCGTATAGTAAGTGCTAGTAAGATGTAGCAATGAGATTACAATAGGGATACTTACTGCTGCCTTGAATGGGGTGGGCGGAGCAACACCACGAAGAGGTTTCAAAGGTAACTTCCCGTGACCATCAAAACCGATGCTCAACTTGCGACATGTGTGACCCTTTCTGAAGACCACACCGGCTTCGTCGAAATTGGCGCGGAATAATGACAATTCCTCCAGCACAGGAAGCACAGGTAGCTCTTCTGCAAAGTTCTGATCGATTTTCGTTAGGGTGAGAGACTTTAGGTTGGCGAACAGGGGCTTCTGATCGAACTGCAATAGTTCTAGTGACGCATAATTCCTGAATTCCACTGTCAAGGAGCGGCAGTATTGCATGAGTGCCCGATTGCTGCGTATAGCGCGACGGTACTGCAAGAAGGGGCCTCGTTCGTAGAAATCGTTCTGGACAATGATTGAACCTTCGCAGTCTTCGTAGCGGGTTTTGGATAACATGAGGGTTCTGATATCTGAATATAGGAACTTCAAAAAGACTGAGTAGAAAAGGCGGCAAACACGAGTAAGTGTGAGTGCTACGTGTTGGTCATGCGAATGAATGCAGTCTTTGCATCTCGCAGGGCACTCCCTTTCCCTGTGGCCAGGGGATGTAATGATCTTCCAGTGATTACATCCTCCCGTTCTCGTCTCGGCGTGTATATGATCTGGATTCTGTTCGTAGTTGCTTTCACAGTGGATACCCGTGAGTAGTGGATAGAGAAGCTCAAGGAGTTCTGTAGGAAAGCTCAGGATGCGTGGCGACGCAACTGTCTTCTGCGGTGACAAAGTGCTAGACATTTTTGGATAAGCAATGATGAGAAAGATGTGGTTGTAGAATTGTTCGCTGGCCAGGTTTGTGGGTGCAGAGAGGAAGCTGAGATCGTGAGTTCTGGCACAAGATAAATATCAACAACGCACGAGCCCCCTGGGCCCTGACAAGGCAAGCAAACACAGCCATTAGACCCGGTGAAATCCCTCCAATGGAGAGCCGAGATAGACTGCTGTACCATTCACTTGCAAGGGAAAATCAAAGTCACCTGGATATTGAGTTGTACCTATTGTCCTACTTCAGTTCCTTCTAATGGAACTTCGCTTCTACAGCACCATATCGTACCCCATCTACTTTCAGTTCGAACATTAGGCCCGCACTCTGTATCCGCATGTCAAGTGTGAAGTCTAGGTTATCGAATTCTACTCCTTTGGTGGTCGTCAGTCTTGTGAAGAGGCTTCTCGGTACGGTCCCGAGGTCTGTAGTCAACGTGCAGACACTGATTAGTCCTTTCTGATATGAATCAGGCGCAGTGTCACTATCGCATGCAATGAGATCGTCTTCCACGACTAGTGATTGTCCTGGTCTAAAATTACGCGTGTAGTGGAAGGAGATCGGTTGGCTCTCGGAGACTTGGGCGCCCTACGGTAGCGTTAGAAAAGTATTAGTTATTGGGAGGGAGGGTAAGATAGCGTTACCTTTGCAATATGCCATTGCATTCTGTCACTGACCATCCATCGTTCCCAGAGTGGACTCCAATATCGATCACTGATAGGATGTTTGACCTCATCGAAGACAGTGGCATAACTCGTACCGTAGTGCCATCTACTCCTTCTACTGACGACCATGCCCCCTTCTAGACCTCTTATGACTGCACCACGTACGACAGCTGTCCAAGCGTACATTGGGTGCATTACTTCAATGCTCTGTGGTGAGTTCAATGCTACCGCGTGTGTGGGTCGTTCTGTATAGGGGGGTGGTGGGGCAGTGTTGAAATGTGACTTCATCCGGCTGTATAGATAGTTGGACTGGCCAAAGCCCCCGACAAGAACAATTCCGCTCACGATTCCACCTTTTGCTCTGATTGTGTCGACTTGTCCTTCCACGAGCGCCACAACCTCCTTGATGACTGGCTCGAATATATCCTTGACTTGTTCTGCCGTCATAACTAGGAACCCACTGTCAAGACCGGCTTCTTCATCATCAGGCATACCTGGAAATGGAACGTTGACTTCGTTGTGCTCATCCTCGTTGAAATTCCGCTTCACGAATTCCTCAAAGTATTTGAGACCCATGTTCCACGTCTTTGCTTTCTTCTCACGCATATGATTGTACCGTTCCTCTCCTATTCGCGATCTAACATGATCCTCGAATCGATAATTGAGAAATGCCGATCCGCAGAGCCCTCCAGTGCCAACTGCTGACTCTTCGACTTTCAAAGGTGTAAGTTGTGTAATTTTATATGCAATCAGATCCACCGTACCACCACCTACACACACTAATTAGCTTTCGTCAGAAACTAGAAACCTTTGGAAACGTACCAGCATCACATACTATAAAGTTGTCACCGACTCGGAGATGATTTGGTTGTATGGCTTTCAGGGTGTAAACCGCCGCAGCTTCGGGTTCTGATATAAGCTTGAGATCATGCATATTACCCATCCCAGCCCGTTCAGCTGCCTGGAGAGTCGCATTCTTTGCCGAGTCTGACCATACCGCAGGCACAGTCAAGACAAATTCCACTTTGGTTGTAGACATGAATGTCTCCCCATATCTCCTCGACAAGGTTTCCATTGTATGTTTGTATATCTGTGTCAGGTAGTCTGATACCGCATCCATCACTGTACGATCATATTTCCGAAGCTGTGCAGCTGTGTCGAGGGACGAGACGAAGTGTGGTAGCTTTTGATTTCGATCTAGAAACAACTTGATGCAACGTAGTCGCGACTCTTCTGGTTTAAACTGGAACCCCCATTTGATCTTCTTGGGCGATTTCCCGCGCGGTTCACCATCGAATATTGGCGAAGCAGGAGTGGTATCAGGGGAGGTTTCGTAGGCTATCTCAGTTGGGACTTTATCGCTGTTCACAAGCATTATTAGTGGGCTTCGTAATGATACAACTATGTTACAGAACATACCTGGTGAGACCATTGGAAGAAGGCCATGTCTTTATTATGTCTATATCATCTGGATTGGCGCTATATACCGTCGCGACACTTGCATTACCAAATCAGCAGCTTCCCCTGAGTCATCTTAGATACACAAACCCCGAGTATGTCGTCCCAAAGTCCACACCGACTACCAGTCTATCCGTGGGAGCAACTGGAGGAAATTGTGCGGTAATTGAAGATGCAGTATTGAGTGACAAGTTATTAAGACTGTCGGAAAGATTGGTAGCAGGGTTTTGGGCATGAGGCGACTGGAGACTGCGAGTAGACATGGCGCCCGTATCTAGTTACCTAGCACGCTGGGAGAGCACAGTATGGAATTATTTCCTGACAAGATAATAGCGTATCGCGGTGGTAGGAATACAATTGCCAGCTGTTCGGGGTCGGAAAGATCTGAAGACTGGTTTCTAGATTCGCACTTTACTACGAGGACGCCAAAGGAGTCGCTTCGAGGGTGCGGCGTCGAGGGACCGTGTTGCTCTTGGAGTCGAGAATCAGCCAGACTTTGATCTTTTCATGGGAGCCTAGGAGTAGCGAGGCTTTTCATCCTCATATACAGCGGCAAGACAGGTGTTTAGTGTTAGGCATCAAAGATGCAATGCGCATATCTTTGAACTGGACGGACATGGGAGGTTATTTGATCTTCCCTCGTCCCATCAGTTCGGTACCAAATCCATGGCGCCCTTCCCCTCCCTAAGATGGATCTATTCTAGGGTGACTGGGTGGGGGCCAATAATGCAGCCAGACTAATGCAGAGCGTGGATCCAAGCACGCCGCCACATGAAATTGATACAGCGACATCTCTTCCCTTCTCCCCCTGTCATGATCGCGTGTTAGGCAGCCTTGTGAGGACGGAATCTAACATACGCCATGAATTTGCCTTGCTATATGTGAGGTGTGCAGTGGCTTCAATGTTCTTTGCTGCTTGGAGCATCATCAAAGCTGCTGGATTACAGCATGCCGAGAGGTGTTGAGGGTAAGAGCTCCGAGATCCACTTTACGGGCATGTCCTGTCAAGAATAATGCTGATGTAGTCCAGACGTATCTAAACGTGATAAAGGAGGCACCAAAGTCCTCCCACAAAGGTCCAAGACCACCAAAGGATCCTCTGCGCTGTCCATTACAAGCCCACCCAGAGTAGCAATTGTGCCTGGAAAAAGTGGAAAGGGCGACAATACCGTACGGCGAGAGAAGAGCATGAAAGGACTGTTACGACCGTCTCATGGAGCATTCGGTATCCAAAAGCCTGGCAAACAACAGCCACCGATTGAAGTTCCTTCGGACCCGCAAGCCAACGAGGGGTCCTCAGCTACCAAGGATCACGGATCGTATATAGAAGCTACGGACAAGAATACGCACCAGCAGGGCATGGCTGACCGAGGAGGCGCGCTTGCGCGTTCTTATGAAGAGCATTCGCGCTTACAGGCAGACCTGGATGACAGTGGTCCTGACAGCAGTCCACCTCATAGCCCAATGCTTCCTATATCACCTATCGGGGCCCCGGAGAACTTTTATGCAAATCTTAGTCCACTGCAATCTGCCCCAGAGTCTTGGACAACGGACCGAGGCAATCTGGAAGATCAGGTCCTCGAACTACAATCCAGAGTTCACAGTCTCCAAAGCGATATAGCTGACCGTGACAACTATTGGAAAGCGCAGTGGGAACGCGAAAGTAGAGAGCGAATCTACGAGCGGAATGCTCTGGCTGAAGATCTTCACACAGCCCAGAAAGATGCACTTGACAAACGGAAGCAGCTTTTGGATCTCAAGCAGAGTATTTCGTCTTTGACTCATATTGAGAATCAGGTCACTGATGGAGAGGTCGCTGAACGCATGGATGGCCTATATCATCGAGTCAGAAATTGGGTTGTTAGTAACTACCGCAGATCACAACCAGGTAAGAACAAATGTCTCCGTTTGAGCCATGTCGCTTGTTCAAACTTTGCATTGACGCTATTTTGGTAGACCTTGCCTGCCTCTCTAATGTACATCTTCAGCGCCTGTCAAACTGTGTGCCACGATATCAGGATCTCGATCTTCGCACTTGGAAGATAAGCGTCTATCAAGCTATGGTCATGCGTGAACTTATTTATATTTTTCAAGACGAACATTGCTACGGGCTACCCCACGATGGAATACTTGGTCAGGTACGCACGTTGGCACAAGAATTAAGATCCACTGGACTCGAATATCGAAAATGGCATAGTGGAACTGTCGAGCTTCTTCTTCGCACTTCTCCTGACTCACTCGTTCAAAATACCAAAAATCTGGCATTGAAAATGGCCGACGATCTCCTCGATATTTTACACGCCATATCTTCTGTTGAGGCAACAGATTCTGCTCATATCGCTCTTCATAATATTATCATGGAGGCGATAGGGATATCGAGGCTTCTCCGCGTCCAGATTCCGCTATACAGTGTATTTTTGCCTCGCGAAGAGCAATTCGATGCGGCAAATATGCAGCTGACTGACGAGCAGGACGAGGAGGATGAGCAGAAGCTTATTGCGTTGGCGGTGACGCCCTGTGTACAGAAGATTAGCGAAGAAACGAATGACGGATCCCTTACGAAACGAACCATTCACAAAGCCAAGGTTGTCTGCCTGCCATGTTAAATGTATCTTCTGATACAGGAACGTCATTTTTGAGTTTTACCGGAGTCCAGGATGGTGATCGGGACCGGGCTTTCCCCACGTATCGTTTTTGGCCGCATTCTTGCGCGGCTGTGAAATAGGGGCATGGGCATTGTAGCTAACGGTGTAGCTGGTGCTACTGTAGACGGTGACTGTGGTCGCTTTAGTTCAATTTCCTTGAGCCCATAGGGAAGAAGCTAACCTGAAGTGGTGTATTGATGACTTCAAGTCCTGGAACAAATGAGAGTGGCCGATCATGTCGAGACTCTCTGATGATGTTGAGCTGGGCATTTTCCATCGTGGCGCTGAAACCTTCAGCTGCTTGGCTATGCAGTTCGACAGGAGTCAGCAACCCTGGTTCCTGTATTGATCTGAAGGCTAATCGTGCTTTAGGCATGAGCTTCGAAAACGCGTCCGTAACCTCTTGCCACAACTGTTGAATTTCGTTCCTATCAATGCCTTCTGTGCGCAGAATCAAACGTTCTCTCGTCGCACCTTGGCGGCAAGAGACAGCTGGTTTTCGTTTCAATCCACAATTATTGTCAATGTTCAAGAGTTCCTGTATCTCTTTTTGGACCTTTTCTTGATGTCTTTCATCTTTATCATCCTCCTCAGGCTCTTCTTTCGCAACTGCTAGAGTACGTTCCCTCGATACGTGCCTCTCTGTTCTCGGGCTAGATGTCTCAGCGTATGTAAGCAACCACTCTTCTACCTTTCTGCTTTTCTGAAGTATCTCTATTATGCCCCATACTCTCTCCAGCAGCATTTCGAGGTCCTCCATAGTGAATGTACTGATGTCGACAAGGATCTCGAACAGTCGGGAGCTGTGATGTATATCGAGCACTTGGCATTTACACCGGTTCTTTTCCATGAATTCCCACATTGACTGAAAACATGTGCTTAAACAAGTTGTATCAGAGCACATCTCTTCGAGGGTGCTGATACGAGTTAGCGACTTTCAGATCATTTCATACTTGCGGACATACGGTTTAGCATGTTGCCACTTTTGATGCTCTTCATGTAGAGACTGCCGAGTTTCCAACTCTGGCAGTTCTAGGTACTCTAGGACTTGTTGTAGTCGTTTCACAAATCCGTCCAGCTTTGTGTTCCAGAATTTTGACATTCTTCTGCAATTGACTTCGGCATCGTTCAACTTTTCTTCATTCAGATATTGTCTCGACGCAGGTTCCACCAACGAAAATGAGTGTAAGTTGTTTCCTATCCAATTGAGGGCGTTGTTCCAGTACAGCATAGTTACCTTTGTGCTGCCTTCGGGTATGTGGTATGACTTGAATGCATCATGTATACTGCATTGGGACTCGTTCCAGGCGGCAGTAACGACTGGAAACCCCTGCCTGTCCTCAAGATCCCTTGGTACTGAAGCCGAAGCACTTGGTAGGTATTGACGAACAGCAATGATTCTATGCTCAGAATTCTGTCGGATCTCTTCGCTATTAGCTTCCTGTCTAAGAGACTCGTGTCGAACAGGTCCTGACCGAACCATGGATGGGAGTTGATTGGAAACTTGACGATCTTCGGCCCTCTCGGACTCAACCAGAGTTGGAAGGAGAAGCTGGATATGTTGGTGTGATGAAACTCGTGTTATACCTCGTTTGACAATTCTCAAAGGTCTAGGTTTTGAGACAGCTTTATCTTCATTTCCGTCAGAGCCTTCGTCAGTGTCTATGTCGCTCAGGCATACATTCTGTCGTAGTGTGCTAGGGTCTTTTGGGGTGTGATCAGTAGCCGCATACTGCAAAGGAGAACTGCTCTGCCTATAGACATTTGGTGATAAGGGGAAACGACAATGGGTTGTACTTGGTGCAGTTGTGACAATTCTTCGCGGCGGATGTCGTATAACGGTGCCACTTGGCACGTCCTCTTCAAAGGGGACGTTCTGCGTTACAGCGCCGTTTCTTATCATACTTCCTTGTCCCTGTCTTCACAGGGACAACAGTGGACACAAGCTGAACAAAGATAGATCGTCAGGGTAGTTCTCTTCGAACGCTGGTTGGGTGGTTGTAGTTGTCAGACACAGAAGGAGCTCGAGCTTGTCTACCACACGGGAGCCACAAAAGTCAAGCGCGGGATTGACATTGGGGTAAAGTGAAGTCCAATCCCTTTCGAAAGCTGCAGCATCGAATCAGCGGCTATCTGCAGCAAAACAATCGCCAACACTCTCAAATTCCCCTTTTAACTCCACGGTCGAACGTCAATCGCATCTCAACGACTATTTCCTGCGTACATATGCTCAGGGTCTTTAGAACGGCTAGTGCGAGAAGCAAGTTGAGATCGATAGCCTTCTTGCATTGAAAAGATTCAGTACTGCCTGATATCCCTCACGAACTACTACTTTATGCTACCCCTGTCAAGTCTTTCCAGCCGCATACCTGTCGTGGAAGGTTGAGATTCCATCAACAGGCCTCGCTGCATTAGCTCTAAGACTGTCCTTTGGGTGATCTGCTCCTTTGTCAGATCGACAAGCCTGCATAGAGATACCATCCCTCGCTGCGCTTGTAGTAGGTTGGAATCGAAGTTCAAGAAGTAAGTACGACTTGTCCCAAATCAAGGAGACTACACTAACTTGGCTTCAAATACCAGTATTCGCGGTTCCCATCAAGCTCTAACCCCCTTTGATACCTCGGAAATATACTATTATACAAGAAGATGGCTCGAATCAAAGGCTACGACTATGAACACCAGACACCTGCGAAGAACCGAGCGGCAGAACTAAAGACTCAACTGTTGAAGAAGACGGGTACGAAAGACTTGAAAGATCTAGATTACGATGCTCAGACACCCCAAGTGAAAGCAACCCTTACGCGAATCCGCAACTTGGATTTCGGTAACGGAAATTTCTCTGAATACATCTACAAGCCTGTTGTGCCTAAGCTACAGCCTGAGATCAAGCATGTTCAAGGATGGAGATACTTCATCTGCTGCCAGTGCAACGGTGTCTGCTGGTTTCTTGACAACTCCCTCCAAAGCATTGAGCAATATTCCAAGTGTGGTGACGGCAAAGACCTAGGCCTTGATTACTGTGGACACTCTCGTTGCTCGGGGTGCTTGATTGAATCTATTGAGGGCGAATCGTGGCTTTCCCCAGGGCTTTCACAAGCTCAAGCAATCACATACTGCAATTGGCAGAGGGGAACGACTTTGGGATTGCCTCACCGCAGGCTAGAGGGGGAGAATCGGAGTGATAGCGAGCAAGCTGAGGGCAGCAATGAAGACGTCGATACCGACGATCGGATGAGTGCGTAGGTGCACACCCTGACGATTGCAAGGACTGTACAACAGTCGCCGACAAGGAAGCTGTTTTTATTGGCGTTATGGGCTCAGCAGAACATCTAGAGAGCAAAAAATATGCGTCAGTGAGGGATCATGCATACTTTGAGGCTCCTGGTCTTGATCAATGGAACATCAGGAAGTTATAAAATCTGCTTAACATCATAACTTAGGGACTCAATCAGTCAATATCATCCATCGAGAAGCCATAATTTGAACATTTCCTGCGCGCAAATGTGTCACAATGGCTCACATATATACTAATATCATCGACTTGTATGCCTCAACATTGTGTCCAGATGGTGACGAACAACGTACTCACAGCACATAAAGACGCTTCTTTGACCACATTGAAATAACACACCTGGGAGAGGCAGTTGTGTACATTACAGTTGCCCATGTGTCAATTACCCTCGTCAGTAAGATTCTCGAAACCACATTGCTCCACGTCTGCTCGATTTCCTATTGAACCAATCTTCGATTATGAGGAACATTATTAAGGAAATATGAACAGTCTGGATCTAGCCCACTAAACATGATCAATGACATAAACTACACAAAGAACATGCCGTTGGGCGAATACTCGTATGTCACACACAAAGCATACGTATGAATGCTTTTCCTTGATGCGATTACAGAGTCGAAAGTTGACGTTGAGACGTGTGCACTGTGATTGGCTGCCTGAGAAATAGTCTAGCACTGCCAAGTCTTATGCCCAAATAGGTCTAGGGCTTGAGGATCGGGCGCACTAAGCGAGAATTTGGAGCCCACACACTTCCTTTGCGGACAGTGATTGCGAACTTCATCCCTCAACTAACCACAGCCGACTCATCACCTCAACATTGCTCTTGGTGCAGACTCGCAAATTTAGGTAGGTCGATATTTGGACGTTGAACGCCATATGACCTTGGAAGGACTTGCTTGACTGACATACCTGTGGTTCATAGCGACCTCATCAATCTGCAATCATGGGGTATCTATCACCACAATTTCGTACTCCTACCAAAGTAATAGCTAACACTCGCCAGTATCTCTCGTGACAGCCGTCACAAGCGCTCCGCCTCCGGCGCAAAGCGCGCATACTATCGCAAGAAGAGGTATGCATAACCCGATCGTCTCCGCTATCATGTCTAACAGCATGGTCACAGAGCTTTCGAGAAGGGCCGCCAGCCTGCCAACACCCGTATCGGCGCAAAGCGCATCCATCTCGTTCGCACCCGAGGTGGTAACCGCAAATTCCGTGCCCTTCGTCTCGAAACCGGCAATTTCTCATGGGGCTCTGAGGGCGTTGCCCGCAAGGTCCGTGTGATTGGTGTCGTCTTCCACCCCTCGAACAACGAACTCGTCCGTACAAACACCCTTACCAAATCTGCCGTTGTTCAGGTCGACGCTGCCCCGTTCAGACAATGGTATGAGGCACATTACGGACACAGCCTCGGACGCAGGAGAGCGCAGAAGGGTGCCGAGCTCATCGAGGACAAGAAGAGAAGCAAGTCTGTGGAGACCAAACAAGAAGAACGCTACAAGTTGCAGGGCAAGGTTGAGAACGCTCTTGAGCGTCAATTCGAGGCTGGTCGCCTATATGCCGTCGTTGCATCCCGTCCTGGCCAGAGTGGACGTGTCGATGGTTACATTCTTGAAGGAGAGGAACTGGCTTTCTACCAGCGTGCTATCAGGAAGTAGAGTAATTACTCTAGGTGAAATCATGGTCGGAGTGATGGTACGACAGGCTAGTCGACTTCGGTTTACGAAATGGCTTCATTATGTCCATTGGGTCAAGGAATTTAAAAAGCGCCCACGCGTCATATAATGATGACAAGCTGTACATTCTACATTTCTGTCGTTTGCACCGGTGAATATTTCTTCGTGCACACATTTGCTCTACAAGCTGTCGATGAGGAGAGCCTGCGCAAGCGTCGCTACTTAACATTCCCGTTACGTCTCCTTAAGCATCCACCCGACCCGTACTCATTCCTATCTAGTGTATCTCAGTGAGGTAAGCCTGGCAATGTGCATGAAAGTGGCAGATCATGCATATCCCTGTACCTTTTGGCAGGCAGACGAAATATGAACTGCGACACCGACGAAGAATTCGTGGACATTGTCTGTATCACAGCACAGTCAATATGAAGTATTATATGCCAATTATTATGACAGAACCCAAGGATTGATCGTCGTGTAGACGAGAACCTCGGAGGCCTCAAAAAGTTCTGAGTCGCCAAGACGCGCTTACATAAGACACGAATCCGAAACCTTCAAACCAACGAAGTCACTCAATCGATCACCTCCCTAGGTACTCATTCAACGCCCGCCACCTCCACCAGCTCTCCGCTCCATTCAAAAATGATCTCCTCAAGAGTACTAGCGCAGGCCACTCGGTCTGCGGCTCCTCGTATCCCAATTGCATCCCGGGTCGTCTCCAGGAGCTATGCCGCCGCGGCTTCGGCGCAGAACTCAAAACCTCCCGTCCAGCTATTCGGCGTTGACGGAACCTATGCGAGCGCCGCCGTACGTTGTATCCAGCTTCACTTCAGTCTATCACGGGATGGAGATTAAGACAGAGATGATGAATTTTCAAATCAATACAGGATGATGGCTAATCGAGTTTGGCCCACAGTACACTGCCGCCGTGAAGACCTCCGCGCTCGATAGCACCGCCAAAGCTCTCGAGAACCTGTCCAATGTCTTCAAGAAAGACGCCAAGCTCGCGCAGATTCTTGCTGCCCCAACTCTGACCGTGAGCGACAAGAAGCAAATCATTGCCGAGCTCCAGAAACATGTTGGTCAGGACAAGGAGAATGTCGTCAAGAACCTGTTGAACACCCTGGCCGAGAACAACCGTCTGGGCGTACTCGAGGGTGTGTGTGACAAGTTTGGATCGTTGATGGGAGCTGCTCGCGGAGAAATTGAGATGACCATCACCAGCGCTGCTGTAAGCCGCTTCATGACGAATTTGAGAAGCAGGAAGAGAAAAACTAATACCGTTTAGCCTCTTGACACCAAGCAGGTTCGTCAGTTGGAGACTGCAGTCTCCAAGTCGCAATACGTTGGACAGGGACAGAAGCTCAAGGTCGTGCCAAAGGTAAGTTCATTGAAGGTGGATGTATACACAATGCCTAACAAAGGACAGGTTGACCCTGAGATCCGAGGAGGATTGATTGTTGAGATTGGCGACCGGACGATCGACCTGAGCGTTTCATCGAAGATGGCTAAGATGAACAAGCTGCTCAAGGATCAGCTATAGATATGCATATCACTTAGAATTTGCTTGAAGGAGCAGACCAATGTACATTGTAACCATGCTGTCCTACTAGTATAGTTTAAATCCCACAAGCCGTTTCCTTGGTATAGTTGAGCCGCAAGCATCGCAGAGCACAGTGTGCAGGTCTCCTGCCTAGAGGCGTACGTTGGTCGATGTCTGAAATGATCATGCGAACCTGTTTCCGTTCTACTAGTCGATAAGGAGCTACTGCTCCATTGTCCGCGACAAACACAGGGGGCTTGCGAGCTGGGTGCTTGGTCTGCGGCTGCCATGAAACAGCACTGCCTCATGCGCAGCCAGCGACTTTGCGATGTGTGGGCATGAAGCTGGAGTCGTTGTGTCTATAACGTCTCCATAGTGATCAGCCCTTGGAAGATTCAGCGCAGAGCTTCTTAAGTCTCTGTAGGTTTTCTTCCGTATCCTGACTCAAATCGGCGTCGCTGCCGGCTGGTTGAGCAAACTTCCCATACCTCAGATCGCTCAAGCCGCCGATGATGCCTTGGATCTTTTGTAATTTGCTCGCCGCTTCTGCCTCCAGGGCTGTGATCTCGGCTTCTACGTCGTTGCAAGCCGAATCCAGGGCAGCCTGGAGGGTGACTGGGGTGTGGGCTTTGTTCGATGGGCGGTGCTGAGATTGGCCAAACAGCTGCAAACGGCAATCAGTGATGATAGATTTTCGCGCACAAAGAGAGCCCCCTGAAGTACCTGTGCTTCCATCCGGATGTCTGCCATATCTACACCCTCCGCAGCCTGTGCATCTTGCTTGCGCCTCGTCCGGATCACTTCGCGCTGGTACTTTTCCCCTCTCTTGACCTCTGACGCGATATTGCGCTTGACGTCGTCTGTATCGATAGCGCGCTGGTGCTGGAACTCGCGGTAGATTAGCTCTATCTGTGGACTGGAGTGGTATTTGCGCGGGAACAGAGCGGTAAAGTCGTCGAGACTGAGGACTTGGTGGAGCGGAGCAGGGGGGATCAGGAAGTTTGTGAGTATTGAGCTCTCAGTAGGTGCCATACTCGTCGTGAGACCTCAGCGCAAGCAGATTACGGGTGGTTTATAGAGAGACCATGTGGCGGGCTGGTGAACTGGAGTTACAATATCCCAATCTCTGGGGGTTAATTAAGGAATGCCAAGCCGACGCGTCTCGCGCGTTCCATTCGTGAACACTTTCACCCTTTCACACCTATACTTGCCTGAAAGACGGACGGCCCCATGTGACCTGCGCGCACCAAGCTCACCTTTCTTCCTACATCTGAATCTGCTTATGACCCTGAGGTGCTATATAGGACTTGCCGGCTGCAAAACTTTGACTGTCTTGGATAATCCATCGCTGCTTGGTCGACATGGCGCCTGCACCGCAAGCGATGTTTGCGACGGATGAGAAAGCGCTCTGCTTCCACCATGAGCTGCTCTACGAGGCCAAGGTACTGCAAGTCAGACAGAAGGACCCGACGGACAAGAAGAGTACTTTTGAATACAAGGTCCACTACAAGGGCTGGAAGAATACGTAAGTTACTGTCTATCCTGTCCCAGCATATTTCTTCAAAAGAAGTTTCTTTTCAGAAGGGGAAGGCACGGCAATCTGGCAGATCGGTAGACTTGCGACCTTTGCAAAAGTAGCGCTTCTCATTATCTTCTTGTACTGGTTATTCAAGATTCTACTGCTACGTTTTGCGAGTTCCACCCCCTCCCCCTCTTCATCATCCCTATCCTCATCACTGTCTTCACTCTTTACGGCGATGCGTCCAAAGCTACGGCTCAGACTTGAGCACAACTCACCAAAGTCTAGTTGGGACGACTGGGTTCCCCAAGAACGGTTGCGGAAGAACACCGAGGAGAATCGGGAGATTGCGACGAACCTGAGGAAGGAGATGGAGGCGTTGCAGAAGCGCAGCACGAAACCAGCGCCTGTATCGCACAAGAAGCGGACCGACCGAGCCTCGGAGGACCGGCAATCGTCGCTTGCAGCTGGCTCTCGGGGACAGAAGCGGGGACGAGACTTTGAGATTGACAGAGTAAGTGACTGATTTTGTTCGCGAGTTCTCGACTGCAGATATTGCATGGCTTTTGTGAGGTCCTCGATTTACTCAGGATGCACTTGCGGGGTTACTTGTGGGAGAGTGTTGGGAAAGGGGGTGAGGACGTGGTTCTGTGTCGTTCACTTTGAAGCCGTGCAATTTCCCTCACATGTCTAATCTTCATCAAGCCTCCTGGCAATTGGTGAAAAGCACAAGTTGCTAACACATCGACACAGGAAGAAAGCATAACAGTACGGCCAATAGTGCCCCTGCACATGCCAGACCGGCTGAAGAGCCTCCTGGTAGACGACTGGGAGAACATCACCAAGAACGCGCAACTCATGCAGCTGCCAACCAAGATGCCCGCCGGCATCATCCTCGACGAGTACGCCGCGATCGAGCGCGAGAAGCGCAAGGCAGGGTCCGCCGAAGCCGACATTCTCGAAGAAGTCGTGGCTGGAGTGAAGGAATATTTCAACAAGGCGCTTGGCCGCATCCTGCTGTACCGCTTCGAGCGCCAGCAGTACTACGAGATCCACAAGGAGATTGACTCGCCCACCTCCGACCTCGCCGGCAAGCCGCTCTCAGACGTGTATGGCGGGGAGCACCTGCTGCGTTTGTTTGGTAAGTCGCGGCGTCAACAGATGAGCAGCTTTTCCTATTGTTTTCTTTCTTACCCCTGACCTGCACAAGTTTGCTGACGGCTAGTTGGGGGACAAGTAGTTACGATGCCGGAGCTGATTGCGCAGACGAATATGGACCAGCAGTCGGTCAACCGTCTCCGGGAGGAGCTGGTGCGCATGACGACTTGGCTGGCCAAGGAGCCGAATGTGGGACGGTACTTTACGTCGGAGTACGAGAGCACGAACAGCACGTACAAGGACAAGATTAATGCTGGCGGCTGAGCAGGGCAGGGCGGGAGGAGGTATGGGGCACGCAGTAGTAGTATTAGTAGATGAATGTATACAGCCATGGATGGTTGGGAGCGCAGAGTATGGACGGTTGATGCGACTATATCATAGCATAGCTGCCATAGCCATAGACAGGGCAGACGCAGGCAGCAGTGCGGAAAGCAAAGAGGGCCATTTCTGGACATGTAATATTATATACCTATAAAAAGCCAACTTTGTAGGCTGTTCTAGTAGTCTTTCTTCGCGTGCGTACGGCTCTTGAAAAAGCGATCACGGACGACAGACAGACAGGAGGGTAGAACAGATATATAAGGCACCAAGGCATGGAGACATCGAGGCACAAAGATATCAAGGCAGCAAGGCATCAAGATATCAAGGCACCAAGGCACCACCAGATTATGACCAAAGACGTGTCTGACCTGGACTGGAGTCTTAAGTTGTTACATCGATGCACACATCTCTCTATAATAACTCCAAGACTCAACATCTATCTACTGTCGCACACACACACACATGAACGAGACGAGAAAGGACAGGACAGGACAGGAGACAAAGATACGAGCCGGGGAAATGAGCGGGACATGACATACATACATACATGCAATATTACTCATTATTTGTCTTTTTGCGAGGTATGTACCTATGTATGTATGTATGTATGTATGTATGTATGTATGTATGCATCGTTAATAATTAGCATGCAGGTGACTTGGACGGATGGGAAGGTCTGGAACCGAGACGGGGCGAGGGCGAGGGCGTTAGATGTGTAGGGTGTAGGGTGTAGGGCAGGTAGGTAGATACGTAGATACAGGCATGTAGGGTGTAGATTGGGTCCTGCGTTGTGGTGCGGCGGTGCAGTATATGTCTACTACACCTGACGGTACAGGTAAGATATCTAGTGGGAGGTTGGCAGTGGCGCAGCAGGGTGCAGCTGGCAGCAGCGAGAAAGCGAGCGAGCGAAACACACATTGCTGTCACAGCTGAGATCAGTCTGCATAGCATAGCATTGCATACATAGTTATTATTGTTTATTTTCTTTCTTGTCTCTCTCTGACAGACAGACACAGACTGAATCGATAGTTGGATGTCGATAGTTGGATGGTAATATGGTGTGGTATACGGTTGGGCTCTGTTTGATGTGTGGGAACTGGCCGGGAATTCCCCTGAAGCGGGAAAATGGAAAATGGAAAAAATTGTTCACAAAGAAGTAGCTAATGATCCATCCCATCCCATCCCATCCCACGCTCAGCCGATCAATCACCGGATACTTTCATTGTTGGGTTGGATGTTTTTCGGGGGGTTTTTGGGTTAGTTGGTTGGTTGGGTCCGGGGGAGAATTGACGGGGTGCTTTGGGCGAGTGGATGAGTGTGATGGAAGTGAGGATGGACATGGACAGGCCTTGATATATGGGATGTCCCGGCTTCGTATGTTTGTTTGTTTTGTTTGTTTGGTTGTTTGTCTATTATGTGGCAGGCTGAAAAAGCAAACGGGGAGCCAGTACAATGGTGATGACGATGTAGCCCCAGAACGCCGGCCGGCCTGCCCGCCCCAAGACGGCATATACTGCACTGTAGGCTGTAGTTAGGCTGGAGTAGCGTCGATCTAGCGGGGGGAGTGGGCAGCGTGTCTCGCCCGATTTGGCGGGAATCTAGTGCGGAGGGGGAATCTAGTTGGGCGCGAGGCAGCCAACACACGCGCAGAGTTTAGGGGCGGCCGAGGGGGAAAGCCGCGCCGAAAACAGGCGGGCGGGCGGCGGCCAGGCGCAAAGAATTAGTGGCAGCAGTTGTCAGGTTTAGTGCTAGCAGCTTGTGTTGTCAGTAATTAGTGTCAGATCCATTCACATCCAACGCTCCCGTGTTCCGATTCCGTCCAGCTGCGAGATGTTTGCAGACAGACAGACTGACAGACCGGGCCTGGACTCGTCAAGACCGCCTTTTCTCTCTTTCTTCCATTATTATTGCCCGCTCTCACTCACTCCCTCACTCTCACTCTCCCACATAATTATCACATCCACTTCATTTCCTCCGCTACCACTCTCGCCTCACCTTCCTACTCTTCTCCACTTTGCCATCTTTTGTGCATTCTCGTCATTTACCATTTGACATCGGTCATCATACCACTGCTCGATATTATATACATATTATATATACACACGATACCTACACCCTGCGAGGGCCCCCACCCCGATCCGTCATTTCTCCACGATTTGCCCAACAACCTCAACACCATCCTCTACTCTCCACGATTTGCCTCGTAATCAGTCGAGAGCCACGGGGCTTGAGCGACCGCGCTCTGAAAGTCTGCACTGCGCCGATATGACGAGCACGCCGACAACAAGAACCCTCCAAACCCCGTCTTCGCTTCTCGAGCACAACCGCAGCTAAACACACTCTATCGGATAGATATAGACTATGGGACTCGCCGCCATGCTCAACCTCGTCGTAGAATCATGGATCTGGTACGGCGTGACCGTCATCGTCGCCTCGGCCCGCTTCATCTCGCGCGGCCTGACGTTTGGCTCCATCAAGAAGATGCAGACCGACGACTACATCATGGCCGCCGCGCTGTGCACATACACAACCTTCCTGGTAGCCATCAATATCGTGTCGGACCACAACAGCAATCTACTGCCGCCCGGTTTCGATTTTGCGGAGCTGACGCCGGACGATGTGGCGAATCGGCAATATGGGAGCAAGATGATTCTGGTCGTCGAAATATGCCAGTGTGTGACCATCTGGGCGGTCAAGGCCTGCTTGCTGATTATGTACTATCGATTGACGTATGTCAGCCCCTACACCCCTGTCCCTGTCCCCTATCCCTGTCTGTCTGTCTGTCTGTGCACTCCCAAAGTTTGGTGGAGGATGCTAATGTCAACACCCCCACAGCATCGCAATGAAGCGCAACCTCCTCGTCAAAGCTCTCGCTGTCTATGCCGCCTTTGGCTTCATCTTCATGATGGTCTTCTATCTCGGCGTGTGGTGCCGGCCCTTTAGCAACTACTGGGCCGTGCCCACGCCGTCGCAATGTTCTGCCGCCACAAACCACCTCATCACAAACGCAACCTTCAACCTCTCCTCGGACCTGCTCATGCTCGCCCTGGCCCTGCAGATGTTTGTCAGCTCGCACCTCCCCTGGCGCCGCAAGGCTATCCTGTGTGGCATCTTCGGCTTGGGCGGCTTCGTCATCCTCGCCGCCGTGCTGAACAAGTACTACAGCTTCACCAGCCCCTTTGGTGGCGAGTGGACCTACTGGTACGTGCGCGAGAGCAGCACTGCCCTGCTCGTCGCTAACCTCCCCTACACCTGGACCCTGCTGCGCCGCGTCTTTAAGCTGCGCGCCTTTAATCCCGACTCGTCTGTCACGAACAACACTGCTACTGCTGGGATGTCGCGCAGTAAATTCTGGCACCGCGGCTCTGCCTTTGCGTCTGCAGGCGGCAGTGTCGACAGCGGCAGTGGCAGTGGCGGTGGCGGTGGCAGCGCCAAGAAGAGCGTCGAGTGGGCCGTGCGCGGCCCTTTCGAGCACGGCCGCCTGCCGAGCAATCTCGACAAGGACCTTTATCGCCTGCCGAGCATCGATGAGCCAGACAGTCCATTTCCAGAGGGTCAGGTGTTTTGCGGGCCGCCACGCGGGTCTGTGGTGTCCATGCGAACAAGCAGTGGTGTCGCGCGACGGGCCAGTCTCGTCGACAAAGACCCCTATCGACTGCCCAGTCTGGACGAGCCTGAGCGTGCGATGCAAGACGGAGACGTCGAGGCGGGCTTGGATGGGATGGATGGGATGGATGGAGGTGGTGTGCAGCGCCTGGCGATGGCGCATGTGACCCCGGAGAAAATGGTGTGACGGGCTGGCTATATGAATTTACATGGGCGTTTTTGGGTATATACGACACGATGCATGAGATGCAGCTTTGACTGGCGTTTGGGTGGGATGCTGGCATTTTTTTGGAACGAATTATTGAGATACCCAGACGGAACGGACGGACGGCATATGATGAGCGTGGTGTTGACACTGTAGCTCAGGGGCTAGCCATATATTTGGTATTTGATACACGACATACATATACAAACAGCGATACACGAATGAAGAGTAGTACTGAATATAAGACACATGATACCTGTTTACCAGGTTCGTACTTTTGATTCGAAACATATATATCCACTTTTACCCCTTTTTTAATTCAACACGAATAGTTTGTTTGTAGAAACTCATTGCTTTTGAATCGCCATGCCATGCCATGCCATATGAACAATGACCATCTATCTGCGTATATACATACACATACACAACCATGAAGCTCTTACTCACTCCCTCACTCCCTCACTCATCCCCCTCCAACGCCGCAAAATCCAACGTCCGGAACCGATTGCCCCGCGCCGTCGTATACTCGTCCCTCTCCAACGCGCTATCCCTCCTCTCCATCATCTCCTCCCATTTCTCCCCCCTTTTCTCTCCCTGCCCCTCCTCTCCATCCACACCCTCTCCCTTCTCCCCCTCACCACCACCACCACCACCACCACCCCCTCCCCTCCCCAACCACTCCTGCACCCCCACAACAACCCTCTCCGCGCCCACCCTCGCACCCCCCAAATTCCCCGCTCCAGGCCCGACCCTCAACCCCGCCATCTTCCCCGTCACCCAACACGGCACATCCGCCCTCCACTGCAACTCCTCCGTCAAGCACGGCAGCCCACCACACGTCGCGATCGGATGCGATGCAAGGAGCGTCTGCAGACAGGGGATACTAGCCGTGCAGGTTGGCGCGCCGGTGGCGTGGTAGATCCAATCTACGTCTTCTACTGTGGCTTTCTCGGTGGGGTTGGTGGTAGACGTCGTGCGGACATTCCACGTGCGATTCTTCTCGTCGAATGTGCTGCATTCCCAATCCACGACGCTGCATTCGCGGATATCGAGGCGGTGCCTCGCTTGCCAGGTGCGCAGATGGCGGGTAAAGGGGGGCGTGATACTTCCGCCGCCACGCGCCTGGGCGATCATGGAGATGCGGTCCTGGTCGGAGTCGGCGCCGTAGAAGTATGCCTGGTTGATATTGCGGAATTTGCCCATCCAGGCGAGGTCGACGTCGAAGGGTTTGGTGCGGAGCGGGTGGCGGGCGAGGAGGGTGATTTTGGAGATGTTGTGGGGCGGGGAGAGGAGGAGGTGGGTTAGTTGGGCGGCGGTGAGGCCGGCGCCTATTATGAGGGCGTGGGTTGGTTGGGAGGTTTTTTGTTTGTGGAGGAGGGGGG